AATGATTCGGTCTTGTTTCTCTAAATACATGGAAGCAAAAGTAAGGATGGGAATCAAATATTGTATCATTCTTAGGTGTTCTGTTTCAAAACCATGTCCATTTATTGGACTAGGAATATTGATACGCTTGCTGGGCGAACTTATGTAATAATTGGTGTTATAACAGAGTTTGTGACCAAAAGGCTCTCAGCCTGACCACAGATCAGAGCTCACACAGAAACAGAATTCTTTAATAGCTTCTGCTGCCAAAGTTAGATCGACTATGTGACGATAACGAACCTAGTTGTGTCTTGGTTGATATCATTAATTTATAATTAGTCTTTAAATAACCTGCTAGGTATTAGGACTAATTAGTATTTCATATAGAAACTATTATGAAGTCAGTTCCTCAGACTTCACGTGTTACATCGTGGGGACGGTTTTCAATTGACTGTGAGGGTTTGTCATGCAATCAATTTGTTTCTCTTCGTCAGCTCAAAACAAAAAGCAATCTTCGATTTTCATTCTACCAGTTAGACCCAGTATCCTTGTTTCCCCTCCTTTTGGGTTGTATTTTGCTGCGAATGACACTTACTGCACACTTTTACCGCGACCGGCGCCGGTTGCAAAGTGTGTTTTACTAATTTGAGATACGTTTGGTGTCTCAGTTTTTTTTTATCATTGGAATACGTCATTTTTTCATTGTTTTAGTTTTGGTTTTAGGATTCCCAGTCAATTGAAAAGAGTTCAGCTTCACCTCTAGTGGAATCCTGTAAAATGAAAAAAATGGCCAAGGGTTGATGTCAACTTGTCGACGTGTCCACTTTAAGTAATGTGTTTCCAGATGTTGATTAATGAAGCGGTTATAAATGCCAAGGTGATGGCACGTTCAAGTTTCCGCAAAACTTCATTTGCTTGTTAGATTATGTTTTTGTCAACATTTAGAATAACTTTTTAGGAGGCTCACGAGCTCTTCCACATAAAAAGGAGGAGAAACGTGTAATTGTAATAACAATTTTCATTTCCGTGAGTCTTCTGTCAGAAGTGTCAATTTAAATAACATTATGTTAAAAATCAGTAAATCAGTAGATTTCAGTAATGGCTCTTTACTTAGTTGTACCTAAGTTATAAATTAACACTAACTGAGAACAAGGTTATTTGAGGAAAGGACGTGGAAATATATTTCACCGAAAATACGAGAATCCGCAAGTTCACTATATCAATTTCCCGACCTTCATTTTTCGTTTTTTGCTTCCTTATCCCTTCAGTCTCTTCTCCTGCCTTACTTTCTCAACCTTCTCAACGTTGCCTCCCTTGGTTAGAGACGGAAGATTCACGTATGACACACATGGCCGTTGAATGGCCTTGAACACAGGCCTAATGGATAGTGAATTGCAGATATGACTTGCAGAAGCGCGTGCGGGGGTTGGGGATCTTCCAGTGTGTGATGACTTATGTGTGCTGAAGAAATTTCAAGGACATGACTGTTTCCACAATTTTTCCAGATTCTCCTAACATTAAAGGAATCGTTCAGAACCTACTGAAAGTAATCAGCCCAAGTTCCGCCATGTTGCAATGTATATAAAACGAACGTAGACTTTTCATTTTTTCAACTCATGTCATCCTTAAAATCTTTGTCCCGAGTATGAGATGGAATTTTGATCTTCACAAAAGGTTGTTAGGCGAAGATTCGTGAAAAGACGTCAAGCAACCATCGTCTCTCAAGTCGTAGAACTGTAGAATTCAGCCTCTTGCCACCTCTGACTATACATGTTTATAGTTCAGTGATTATATTATTGAAGAGAAGATATGAATAAGTGTGAGAATAAAATCTTGACCCCTTTTCCATAAAATTGTACCAAAGCCCATTCAGATCCCTAAAAAAAGTAGTATGGGGCTTCAGCACCTCCAAGCTGAAGTCAAAATACACTGTAATATTCGTGGATTTTGTCATGTGTAGTTACATAAAAACTTGTCACGTTCATGGGGCTAATTATTCGCTTGCACACTTTGAACACAACTAAAAAGGAATCGGTTCCTATGGTGAAAATCTCCTGCAGAAAGGAAGTGATAATTGTTTCGCAAGAAAAAATCCAACTTTGCTCAAAAGTTCTTTGAAAAGACGTGAAGTGAAGCATGGACAGGCCTTTTCATCTCCTTGGCTCTTGCTCGAGAAACCCGTACCCCCGTCAACCTTCCCTGTACAACAATCTCATAGCGTCTGAATTAAGGGGCGACGGGGGAGGAGGTGGAGTTGGCACAAGACTCTTCTCCTCGTATTGGTATAATGAGCTCTTTCGTCTAAATACTTACTCTTCTTGCAATAGTATAGGATAAAAAATACATTACACAAGAGGCTCGTGAGTATTTGGTCACTCTACAACCCAACTTTTTGAAGTAAGATGAATACAAACGGATAAAATTTTAGGGAAATTGTTTTTGGAGAAGCCTAAAGCGATAGTTTACCTCAGAGTAATTACTCACGTCTCTGCAATGCTGTTCATGAACGTTTTTGACTTTTCGATCCCACAAGATGGATAAGATGACCAGTAGCAGACCTTTGTGTTTTAAAAAGAAAGTTGAGAGGCTTATTTAAACTTGACTGAAATAGCTCGGCTGGATCGACATAAAACTCGACACCGCTTTTCTACAGTTTCGTAATGAATATTGATTATCATGGGCCTAATAAGGATTAAAATTATGTGATTTAAGGGTTTTTGTTGAATCTTTCCGTTTGGGTTTTTTTTTCCAGTACCCAGTTTATCTTGTCTCTGTGTTTGATTTGCAAACGCCATGACATGTCGTCGTACCTCCAAAGTTTCAAGGAGTTTAGAATTTGACTTTTTTTCCATCCACTTATGGGTATATACTTTTGTACATAAAGCATGCCATTAATTTTTTTTTTTTGGTGAATTTAGAAAACGTTCAAAGTAATTTAAAGAAAAAAAAGGAAAGTAGGCCCAGTTACTCCTGTAGAGGTATCGCAAAGAGACCTGGGAATTTTCTTATGGTAATTTTGCTGTTTCTGATTGAACATTCGTGAAAAGACGTTTATTAAACAATAAGAGGTCCTGATTTCCAGAACTTAAAATAGCATCGAGTCGAAAAATCATAGAGTCGAGCTTCCTGCTACTTTTGATTATGTATGTTTATAACAGGTAATTTAGTGTTAACAACTGAGTTGGAAACGTAAATTAGCCACTGTAAAGGGTAAAAAAGCTGAAGTTTCGAGCGTTAGCCCTTCGCCAATCGCTCTGATGATTTACTGTTATACTCCCTAACCGATGCAGCACCACAGTTTCTTAAGAAATTTACCCCCTTTATGTATGTTTATAGTCCAGTAATTATTATTGAAGTAAATACATAGTTAAATGATAGAATAGAATATTCGACCTGTTTCAATGAAATTGTAACCGTATCAAGGAAAGCGGATCAGCTAAGATTACAGCAGGCTTTGTTAAACGATTAACAATGACCGTATATGGCTACTTTGGAACAATGGGGGAAACAACTTCAAAATACACGCGGTATTCTTCAAAATTTCCGATTATCATTCGTATTTAAACCAGCGGCAAAACTGAAGATGACACAAATCCTCCCCGTGGGGGTGATTCTGGAAGATTTCTTAGGATGCAAATATTCACGGTGGGGTGGATGGTGGGGCGACTGTAGCTTTCTTAATATTCAACCTGTTTCAGTAAAATTGTAACCGTGACAAAGCCTCCTGTAGGTCCCTTGAAAAAAGCTGAATATTTGGGGCTTGAGTAATTATAACCTGAAGTCAAAACACACCGTAATATCCGCTGAGATGGTTGTGTGTGGTTAAATAAAAACTCATCTTTGTAGGTATGGTTAATTATTCGCCTGCACAGAGACGAGTCGGTTGCTATGGTGACAATCTCCTGCCGAAAGTAATGAATGTAGAGTATTTGAACGCATATTAAACTGCAGCTGTCCCAATTTGTCTTATGTTCCCCGGCATAAAGTTGAAAAACTCACTTAAGCTGTTCGTTGGAATTACATCGGGCGCTTTCTGGGAACATGCTGTTTGTATTCTACTGCTTTGTACTCACCGTTTTGGCTTCTCTAATACCAGAAGGACGAGGTGAGATTTTCCTACAGTTATGTCCTAACTCATATCTGAATGCTATTTAAAAGTTTACCGAATCTTTACGTTACATTTTTATTATCCTTATTAACATAACTGAGCCTTTAGATATCCACTCAAACTTCTTCCAGAAATATTTAAGATAATCAACTAATTTTAACCAAGTTTTGCTCTAGGCAGGCGTAAGACAACCCTCAAATTTTTTTTATGAGAAGTTCAGAATAACATTTTTGGGAACATGGGTTTTGGGAAAGTTTACTTCAAAATAATTAATCGGGTCTCAATGTTTTCCATGAACGTTCTAGAGTTTTTGATACGGCACAATAGATAAGATAACTACAGGCAGATCTTCGAATTTTAAAACAAGTGGAAAGTCTTGTTGAACTCAACTGAAATGGCTCGGCTGAATCAAACGAAAACCTGACACAGAAGAGCACCTTTTCAGGTTATATGATGTAGTCTTTTCGTCTAGAAATAGGGTTTCGGGGAAAAGAATTAAAAATAAAAGAAAAAGCAACAGAGCTTTTTACTTTGGGCTGAATCATGTTGTTTGCATTAAAACTTAGCCTTTTTTGTAAAATCTGAGTAAAAGTTGATCCTTAAGTTGATTCGACCATTACAATCCTATAAATCGAGGACTTTGTGGATTGCGGGGAGTCTCTGCAGAAAAGAAGCTCTACATGCATATATACATAAATACACACATACATTCATTGTTCTTCCTAAAAAGGGCTTTTTAACCTAAACAGGTGGTTCTCAAGGAAAATTTTACGCATTCCTGTTTGATCAAAGTTTAGATTGTTGACCATCCATTCGAGGAGTTTCTCAGCGTATTTAATTTTCAAAAATAACGCCGTCAAGTTTTTCAGTTTCTAAAAGCGTGAGAACAAAAGCGGCAAACACCACTTTGTTTTTTTTTTTGCTTTGATGGAAATAAATGTGTTTTTTAAAAAGGGCTTTTCAATCCAAACAGGTAGTTCTCAGGGAAAAAATTTGTCAAACAAATTTTACGTAGTCCTGTTTGATCAAAATTTAGATTGTTGACCGTCCATTCGTGGAGTTTCTCAGAGTATTTAATTTTAAAAAATAACGCCGTTAGGTTTTCCAGTTTCTAAAGGCGCGACAACAAAGGTGGCAAACACCACCTTGCTTTGCAAATGTGACACAAATCTCAAAACAGACCGTTTTTAAACTATCTGCTATCAAAGCAACTTTAATTTGGTAGCAAACACAGGTTTCACTGTGAACTAAGAACAGGTTTTCAAAACCTTGCAAGAGTAAATCCGCCAGTTATTTCATGCAATAATGATCACGAGATCTTTACGAACTCAGGCAAAATAAATGAATGTCCATCATCCGCGTCAGTATGGTGAAATAAGATCGAAAATTATTTTAAAAAACTCAGCACATTTTAACGATCGCAAAAAGATTTCAACGCTTTTTTGTTTTGAAGGAATGTGTTTGATAGTATTTTCGAATACAGGAAAGTAGGGAGCTTAGAGTAGATTCTGTCTGATGGAAAACCACGGTTTTTTTTTTTTGCTTTGATGGGAATAAATGTGTTTGATTGTATTTTTCGAATATAGGAAAGCAAGTAGCTAAGGGTAGATTCTGTCTGATGGAAAACCACGGACGTGTTCACTACAGAGGATGTATTTTTGAAAAGGAATTCATAATTAATTGATGCAGACATCCTGTCTCGACTGACATGAACATTTTTCCTCGCAGGCTCGATATTCAGCACCTAGCTTTGAGTCCTCACTTTCACTTAGTGCAGTAAATTTAAAAAGCAAGTTTATTCTTATAGTTTATCGTACCGTCAACACCAATCTGGATAATAAAGTTGTCCATCTAAAACGGAAGTTTTCGAAAACACAGTCTTAAAGAAGATGATGTGAAAATGCAGACTTTAGCTTATGGCTTAAAAAATTCTAGAAAAAAGAATTTGTCTATGAAAACCGTAAGGACAGCATGTGGCGTCGTATTTTCTAACGCTTTTCAAGTTTTGTTGTCAATTACTTCTCAGACACCGGATTCTTAAAAGCAGTCGCATGATTCTTTCATCGTTTTTCTACTTCACTCGACCAAAATGTAATAGTTTAGGATTTATTGTTCCTGTTACGTTCAATTGCGCCCTAAAAATGTGCATGCTCGAGAGTAAATTTCAGTCAGTTCGCCTCCTAGCCATTATTAATACGCACTAAGGATGTGAAACGTTTGTTATTTTTTAGAGATAAAAGCCTGAACCTAAATAGTATCATAATAGTATAAGTGTTGGTAAAAAAGTTTTTAATGAACAGAGGAGTTTCTAACTCCTTGAGTTATACGTCAGCGAGTTTAATTGTCTCTCGCTTTGCTTTCATAATACTCAGTATGGTCGAAATCTGCAGTCAGGCTACATAACAATTAACACACGTACGCTTTTCACGAATTGAGTCTTTAAGCCGAGACCAAACAAGGGCTAGCAATAATTATAACCAATAACCTTTTATAAAGAGCTAACCATGCTTACACGACATTACTATCATCACGTGACTAACACGAATTACTCTACATATCAACACGGGTTGATTGTAACTTTTGTTATATTTTTATTGATAAAAGCCAGGATCTAAATAGTATGAAAAGGGTTGGTAAAAAAGTTTTTAATATACAGAATAAATTATACGTCAGCGAGTTTAATTATCTCTCGCTTTGCTTTCATAATACTCAGTATGGTCGAAATCTGCAGTCACGCTACATAATAATTAACACAATCATTTCGTGATAAAGACGAATTACTCTACGGGTTGATTGTAGACTTCAGCGTCGATTGATAGATCGATCATAATAGGTGATCGCATCAAAAAGTCAAAATACAAAAGGGACTTACATGTGAACAACAATGTTACTTCTCATGGTTCATCTTGGAACGGGATTCATCACTCATTTTTGTTTTTTACCTCATTGAGTTTCAATTTTCTTTATCGCGGTTTCTTACCCACCAAACTGTAATCTCTCAGATTCCTTTCTTACGAAACGAATGTCAAAAAAACCGAGTACAAAGTTTACACAAAGATCAGACGTGATCCCATATCGAGATAAAAACACAAAACAATGAAAATCTCTAAAGAAACAAACTTAGATGAAGATAACGGTCTTCTCTTTCCTCTTATAGATATAGACGAGTGCTTGTCTGGTAAACATAGCTGTAAGGGTAATACCACATGCAATAACACCATTGGATCGTGCTCCTACAAGTGCAAGAAAGGATATCAGGGAAATAAGACAAACTGTACTGGTAAGTATTCTTATCAGACAACAGGAGACGCTCGCGTGAATACGAAAATTCGTGAAGCCAGAGCAAAATAACCTTCACATTCTGATGATATTCATTTTGTTGTCTCAGACATAGATGAATGTTTGAACGGAACACACGGTTGAGATGTGAATGCTGAGTGTAACAATACCCTGGGATCTTACAAGTGCACGTGTAAAGATGGATTTCAAGGAAACGGAACTAAATGCACTGGTAACTAATTCTGACATATTCACACTCCGTCTGTTATCTTCAGTTTTTCAGATTAGTGAGAGAAACGGTCTCATTTACATTATTTTCCTTTTCGTATTCTAGATCTAGATAAGTGTATGAACGGAACACATGACTGTGATGTAAATACTAAGCGTAACAATACCCTAAGATCTTACTTGAAAGGCCTGAATGACAGTTACGATTGAGCGGAACCTCTTGGAACGAGTAATTTATGCCAGATAATACTTCATTTCCTGTTCAAAAGCGAGCGCTTGGATTTTTTTGCTGTGTGTCAATCTGATACAAGTTGACGCGAGTTTTCTGGACCAATAACAGAGCGAAGTAAGGCAAAACCAGTACAATCCCGGAAAACTTGTTTTAAGGATTTGAAAATAGCTCTGCATAGTACTTTTAAATAGACTTATCAGCTCTGGTTACATAGGGTTCCTTCCCTTTCACTCTCCTCTTTTCACTTTCACGTGTGACCGCCGAACCACAAACTGGAATAATTCGACGCGAAAAACTACTCTAATTGTGGGAATGGGAAGAAAAATTTGTCTTCTCCTAAGATTTTTAGATTCCCCAACAACAAAACCTCGTGATGGCTCAACCGTGCAGTTTATGAAAGTATCATGTTTATGAAAGTATATGTTTGTTATCAGTTACGTAGCTACATGGCCTACAACAATAACACGTCACTCATTTTTTGTCTATCCACCCAGAGCCAGAGTTTAAAGCTGTCTTTACAAACCTTGGTTCGACTGCAGCTGGTGGTCCAAGTTCAATTGGCAGTCACTATACAAGGCAAGATCATGACGGACAAGTTACCGTGTCCAGCGGTATTCAATCGTGGACTGTGCCATACTCTGGAGAATATAGAATAGAAGCAATAGGAGGTGCAGGGTGGTACGGTAAGAACAGTGTCGTCCAGAACGGAGGAAGAGGAGCCAAGTTGATAGGAAACTTTATTTTGACCAAAGATGAGATCGTCCGTATACTTGTTGGACATAAAGGAAAGAGAGGGCCTAACTCCAAAACAACTTCAGGAGGCGGGGGAGGTACATTTGTGGTGAGAGGAAGCAATACGCCTTTAATCATAGCTGGAGGTGGAGGGGGGATTAAAAACATGTCAGAACAACATTCAGGATGTGATGCATCCATAAGCACCACAGGGAATGCTGGGTACTCCTCGTCATTGGGGTCAGGAGGAACTGGCGGAAATGGAGGAGGTAGCGCTGGTAATAGGCCAGGTTAGTAAAATGAGATTTACCCAATCATCTTCAAACCAGGGGTACTACGAGATGATAGAAAAAATTTTTACACGAGTTAAAAAACCCATATTTATGGCAATCATTGGGCTCATTCATCAGAAGCACGCACTTCAAAAAGTCGAAAACTTTGCAAAATCGTAGTTCACTTGAATGTAGCTCGTTCACTAAAATTCTTACTTCACTTACGCCCGTGTTACATTGCTTTCAAGCCACCAAGTCTACGAATACACATTAGGTCATAAACGTAAACAAGGTAGACATTTGCACAGTTATCAAGGTTGCCGATTAATTGGGTGACACAGCAAAAGCATTACGGGAATCATACGGACCTTTTCTTTTTTTTTAGCAGGGATTCGATTTTCGTATTCCTTAAAGCAGAGCATAGAAAAACATAGAACTAAGTTATAAATAGAAGAAAATAGGTATTCTCCCGACCTTTATATAGATGTGCTCCGGTACAATTAAAGAGACCACTGGACATTTCTTTTATCGTTTTAGGTGGCGGCGGCGGCGGCTTTTACGGCAATGGGGGAGGAGGAGGTAAAGGTGGTAAAGGATTTCTGAACGGTGGAAAGGGTGGAACGTATAACGGTGGGTTCGGAGGTGGCGGCAGTAATCCAGCTTACTCTAGGGGAGCTGGCGGCGGTGGAGGTTACTCTGGGGGAGCTGGAGGTGTTAATGAAGATCCCTCTTGTGGTGGTGGAGGAGGATCTTTTAACAGTGGAACAAATCAGGAAAATGAATGTTGTTATAATACGGCTGGAAATGGTAGAGTGACTATCACCTTGATCGAGTGATCAATGCAACAATTTTCAAACAAAAAATAATTGTGGTATTTCACACAATCTTATAATTCTCAATATCATGACAAATTACGGCTTCTGTTATTTCGTGATATTAGTATAGACAAGGGATTCTCAGACGAAATCTATTTACCTGCAGATCGGCAGAAAGCACTAAAATTATCCATTGCTAAGTGCAGCTTAATGAAACTTTTACAAAATTTCAGTTTCTCTATGGCAGTGTATTCTTGGGAATGCCCCCCTAAGATAACTCTCACTTATTACATCTAGTTGTATTTGTATTCGAGTGGATTGTCAAATATAGATGTGGACTGCATTAACACGGAAGTGAGATTTTGTAATACCCAGTTGTTAGCGTTCTACGTTTAATTACGATACGCAGGCCCCAGAGCTCAAGTTGGTCCATTTTTACTTCTCATCATTTTATCCGAACTTCCTTCAGATTGTGGCGTTCATTTAAACCGAGTAAACGAGAGACGGTTCGGCTTTATCACCTTCTTGGTTCTCCGCTTAGTCCCTCCGCGCGCAGCAGCTTAATTTGGCTTAATTCTCATTACCTAAATGCTACACAGTGCCTTATAAATGTTAGAGGAAATTAGAATCTGACCACTTTCGTGAATTTAAGGGTGTGAAAGGTCAGAGCAATAGATGATAACACATCTTGATTGAAAATTCAACTCGTCCTATTACCATCGCGTCTAAATAAGCGCTTACTTTGAACTTAAGATGCAATGCTTTTGGCAATTTCAAGTAAATCACTTCCCTGGGTATTCAAGAGACGCCAATTCCTCTTTTTCCACAGGAAACGGAAAGGAATTATTTCTTGCATCAATAAGTCATCGGAAGCGTCCGTAGTTGTTGGAGGATTTGCGTTATTCTTTACAGTTTCTTGGCTTCTGTACATTTCCGCAACCTAAATTTAAGGGAAACTAAAATTTCAAAAGGCATTCCGGAACAATTTTCTGTGATTAGGGACGATTTCGAAGTAACGGAACTTACAATCATACACGACACCTGCAAAATATGAACTAAAAAAACTGGTTCAAAGAACTAAAAAGCTCATTGAAGGTAAGTTTGTAGAGCTTCGCACCAGAAACCCTAAACTGGCTCAGTATTGTTTATAACTTCGCCAGAGGGTATATTTTTGTTTCACCCACTCTCGTACGTGCCAAATGGTAAACATCGTTCCTTAAAAATAAAATTGCTTTTAACCTGTGAACTCTGTCCGTGGCTTATTCAGGTTTCTTCTTATCTCGGATTCTCAAAAAGCGAGTGAACCGCAGTGATAATCCCTTTACAGGATCCACCTAATAAACAACGATGAGGAAGAACTCTTCTGTAATGGAAAAACTGTTACTGGTGAAAGACAAGGAGGAGGAGATAAAGGATAATTTCAGGGAGGAGAGAGTGGAGAGTATCTGGGTGGATTCGGAGGTAGCGGTGGTTTTCGTGGAGCCGACAACGGAGCTGGTGGCGGTGGTGGTAACTCTGGGGGAAATGGAGGTGGGGGGGGAGGGGGGAGGGTCTTTTAAAATTGGGACAAATCAACTAAACGAATGTTGTTATAATTACGATAAACATGATAAAGTGATCATCACATTTCTTCAGTGAAATGGACATGGCGACACAATCCTCAAAGTGAAGCGAATATTCTTTTCTCAAACCTCAAATTTGAAAAATCTTCTGATTTTTTATTAAGAGTTTGAAGATGTACGCTAACCTTTAGATTTAAAGTGGTTTGCTTTCGAGTTCAGAGTTTAAATTAACAATCAGTATTTGCTGGAATAGGTTTTTTCGTGGTTACACTTTGACCTTAGGGAATTTATTTTCTGCAAAACCTTAAAGTTTTGTTCCTTTTCCGGCTCTTTTCGGAGCATTTCGGACGTTGTGCTTGAGTATTTAATTTATAGAGCGCAAGTGTTCTGTCTTCAACTGTGAAGGTTAATAGACATAAACAATACTAATTACGAATTGTTACGAGTCAATTGTTTCTAGGAATTACAGAAACAAGCTACTACTTTTTCCTCCTTATCAGTCGATAATTCATAGTTTCAAACTACAGTTTGGTTAAAAATCAATAAATTGGTTTCAAGCTGTCAAATTAAAGCTGTTTGTTTTTTTACTAGACTTGAGTTATAACATTTCACAACTTAAAAGCAAGGTTTCTTTGGGAAAGAACGAGGTAGTATATTTCATCGCAAATACGAGGATCTACAGTATCACGATAGCTGTTTTCTTTGGTGGTTTCTCCGTCCATTAGATCCTATCCTGTTTTACTCTATCTCAAACTCATCGGCTCTATCCTATTTTACGGGTTAAGCTTTTTATGGGCCTCGTTACCAGCCACCCGCGCGGTATGCATTGTCTGTTGTCAATCGTCAAACCACGTATTCGCAAAGGGTTCAATTTTGGCCAGCCCGCGTGCTAATTTCCCGCGTAAATTCTCAAAGGAGAACATTAGAAAGAGCGTTTGCACGTGAAATATTTGAAAAAATTTAAATGTTCATTGAAATCGGTAAACGGGGACAAAAGTTGGGAAAGTCGAGACTTTCGAACACGAAGCTGATTAATATTGGGGATCCTGTTGACATATTTATTAATCTATTTCAGGCGGTCAGTCAGAGAATATTACGTCTAGTATTGCTTATGTTCTGTATTTTCATTGCTATGCTTAGCAGTTAAGTCCACAATGGTTGCTTTGGAGCAAATATCTCTAAAAAAAAGAATAAAGATTGTAAAATTCGCGGTGGGACACGGCCAAGAATCTTTTGTCCCATTTCTTGTCAGTATGCAGTTTACCATCCAAGACAAAGCAAAATGAGGTTAAAATTTTGAAGTATCTTCTTTCACAGTAATAATCCGTTTAAAACCAATCAAGGGTAAGCAGCCAAAGTTTCTCTGTGTTTGCATCATGAAAATATGTAGTATTTCAGTCATGTAGAAGCCCTCATGAGGGCTTAAATGCTAAAGAACGATGTCTCTTGCTAAGAAACTCTAGTGGCCTAATATCAATTACGAAAAATACCCTTTTATTTTTGTCTTCAAAATAATTGTGTTCCGACTATGAGATGAAATTTTTGGTCTGTCACAAACAAGCATATGATGTCCTACATAAATAATGTGTGTGGATCTCAAAAGTCTCAAAATAGTTACAAAGGAGCCGAGAAAATAGTTTAATACGATTCTGTTTTTTTATTCTTTTTTCCCCATTATGTTCTCTCGCCAGTAAAAACTTTAAACGATGTTAATTCTCCGCGAGAAAAAGATGTCGCTCTCTTTTTGTTTCGTCGAGTTTTTAAATTCACTTTTCAGTGACTTCTTTTTTTTTCGGTTCATCTGCTACTCTTCTCCTCAGTGGTAATTGTTTTGGCCGTCATCGGTGATATTTTCAAAGCAAATGAAACTTTATGAAAACAAATTTTTTTTCTAGCGGTTGTACAACATAACAGATCATGATATGTCACTCAAAGAGGAATTAATCTGTTCGTTTAGACTTGAAACCGCCATCTCCCGCTCTTTCGACGCAGAAGTTCGACTAATCGGAATACGTCAAGAAGACAAAGTCAGAATTTGAGTAGACTAAATTGATTACGGCCAAGGTACAGAGAATGAGGATGAGAACGAGAAGACACTTTGGTGTCATTAGTTTAGTAACTTGACTTGAAAACGAGTTAGATCTCAAATTGGGCCCAAACTTCTCGATGCACCAGAATTTCCAGCACTTACTTGAACGTGTCCTTGGCTACCGATAGATTGTAGTATGTTTAAGAGCCGCTCGAAAACAGTACAATTCCAATTGCTATCACGGTTGTGCATCGGATTTTTACCTTTACATATTTCGTGCAGTCATCTGAAATTCGTATGAAGGGATGAGAAATTTAAGGAGCTTTGTGCTCATTAATTTTAATTTACAGCACTTACGAGGGCGTCTCGATAACCTTTAAATTATTAAACAATTAGTTTTGAAATTAACCGGTCCCTTGAATGATTATGAGAAATAAAAATGAAACGCCTTCAGATTAGGTCTTATGACGAAACGAGAATCAGAATGACTGCGTAGTCCATGGTAGGTTTAAATGTTAATAACCATGTGAGCTTTGATAAATATAAACAGGAAGATAAGCTCATATTCCGCTTTAGCTTAATGCATAAGAAATTTATTTAACGGTAACTAATTGAAACTTCAAACGCACTCGTCATATTGTTCTCAGAGAGGGCAATATTTTTTTTATTGTAGGAGTATTCTTCATTCCGTGTTTTTAATTTTAAAAAGCTAAATTTTCAGGCTTCTGTCCCCCTTTGTTAAAGCTAATACCCCATTCACACCGGCAAAACATGTTTAGTTAAACTAGTATTTCCATAAGATTCAAGTACTTGCTAACTTGTATTTCCAATCTGCTACATTTTAAGTTAATAAATATTAGGTTATGTAGTTTCTGCGAAAAAAACATTAAACTGTGTTTAACAAAACAACTTTAAAACATGTGTAAGCTTTGGTGTGAATGGGGTATAAGGCATTCGTGATACGGGGGAACGACTGACTTCGTTTAATTTTCATTTTATTCTTCGCGTGACTTGAGAGGGCACTACAAAAAGCATCTGATAGCTGGGTCACAGTGACTAATGATTGAGTTAGAAAATTATATATGTACACTTCAGTAGTGTTTATAGCTGCGAGGATCTCTTATTTTCGTTTCTTCACCGCAGTGCACATATATGTTTTTCGTTTATGTACAATCATTATTCATCACTTGGATGGTTAATTTGGACCCAACATAATGACTAGCTCCCGGTTGGCTTGGGTTCAAATCCCGTACAGACCCTAATTTTGTTTTCAGGTCTTGTTTCATTTACTAGTTCAGTAGTGTTTATAGCTGCCAGGATCTCTTATATTCCTTTGTGGTTTTATTGATAAAACTCGTCACTCTCACTAAATGCGAGTAAAAATAAGACTAAGAATGATTGTGTGCCTTTTCTAAGGTGAGCTGTTCAAAACCATGTCCATTCATGGGACTGCAGGAATACTGAATCGCGCACCGGCCGAGCTCGTGTTATAATTATAGATTTAGTATAGTTTGTGATTGAAAATGCTCTCAGTTCGACCACAGAACAGGGCTCACGTTGGCAACAGACCTCGACAACCTCTCCTGGAACTCTAAGTTAGATCGACTGTGTGACGATCACGAGCTTGGGTTTATCTTGTCTCTTTGTTTGATTTGCAAACGCCGTGACATGTCGTCGTGACTCAAAAGTTTCAAGGAGCTTAGAATTTAACTTTTTTTTCCATTCACGTATCGATATATACTTTTGTACATAAAGTATGCTATTTCTTTTTCTTCTTGGGGATTATTTGGTCATCATTGGTGAATTTATAAAACGTTTCAACTTCATTAAAAGAAGAAAAGGAAAGTAGGCCCGGTTACTCCTGTAGAGGTAACGCAAGGAGACTGGGAATTGCCATATGGTAATTTTGCTGTTTCTGATTGAACATTCGTGGAAAGACGTTTATAAACCAGTAATAAGTAAGAGTTCAATCCTGCTTTCTAGAACTTAAAATCGTCTCAAGTCGTAAAATCATAGAGTTCAGCTTCCTGCTACTCTTGATTATGTTTGTTGATAGTCCAGTAATTATTATTGAAGTAAATATACATAGATAAATTATAGAATAGAATTTTCATCCTGTTTCAATAAAATCGTACCAAAGCCTCTTGTAGGTCCCTTGAAAAAAGTTGAATATTTGGGGCTTGAGTAATTATAACCAGATGTCAAAACACGCTCTAATATCCGCTGAGATGATCGCGTGTGGCCTTATAAAAACTCATCTTTGTAGATATGGTTAATTACTAGCTTGCGCAGAAACGAGTCGGTTGCTATGGTGACAATCTCCCACCGAAAGTAATGAATGTAGAGTATTTGAAGGCATATTTATTTAACTGCAGCTGTCTCAATTTGTCTGATGTTCCCCCGCATGAAGTTGAAGATCTCACTTCAACTGTCCGTTGTAATTATATCGGGCGTTTTCTGGGAACATGCTATTTGTATTCTACTGTTTTGTTCTTACCGTTTTGGCTTCCCTAATACCAGAAGGAGAAGGTCAGATTTTCCTACAATTTTGTCCTAACTCATGTCTGAGTACTAGTTAAAAGTTTACCGAATCTTTCTGTTACATTTTTATTATCCTTGTCAATATAACTTGAGCTTTGAGATATGCATACAAACTTCTTCCCAAAATATTTAAGATAATGAACTAATTTTAACCAAGTTTCGCTCTAAACAGGCATAAGACAACCCTCATATTTCATAAGAAGTTCAGACTAAAATACTAGGGAACATGGGTTGTGGGAAAGTTTACTTCAAAGTAATTAATCAGGTCTCCGCAATGTTTTCTATAAACGTTCTCGACTGTTTGACACGGCACAATGGATAAGTTGACTACAAGCAGATCTACGAACTTTAAAACAAGTGGAAAGTCTTGTTCAACTCAACTGAAATGGCTCGGCCGGATCAAAGGAAAGCTTGAAACAGAAGTGCAACTTTTCAAGTTATTTCATAACTACAGTCTCTTAAACTAGAATAGTGTTTCGTGGAAAAGAATTCAAAAGAGAAGAAAAAGCTTCAGAGCTTTTAACTTTGGGCTGTAACATGTTGCATAAAAACTTGACCTTTTTGGTAAAATGTGGCTCTAAAGTTGATCCTTAAGTTGATTCAAATATTATAATCCTATAGATCGATGACTTTGTGGATTGCGGGGAGCCTCTACAGAAAGGATGCTCTACATGCATATATACATAAATTCACACATACATTCATTGTACTTCCTAAAAAGGGCTTTTTAACCTAAACAGGTGGTTCTCAAGGAAAATTTTACGCAGTCCTGTTTGATCAAAGTTTAGATTGTTGACCGTCCATTCGAGGAGTTTCTCAGCGTATTTAATTTTCAAAATTAACGCCGTCAGGTTTTTCAGTTTCTAAAAGCGTGAAAACAAAGGTGGCAAACACCACCTTGTTTTTTTTGTTTTGATGGAAATAAATGTGTTTTTTTAAATGTTTTTTTTAGAGGTGTTTTCAACTCCTTGAGTTATACGTCAGCGAGTTTAATTATCTCTCGCTGATAACACTCAGTATGGTCGAAATCTGAAGTCACGCTACACAACAACACACTTACACTTTTCATGAATTGAGTTTTTTAGCCGAGAGCAAACAAAAGCTCCCCGAAAACGTTCTGATAGTAACGAGCTAAACATCTTCAGACGAGATTGCCATTTTTACGTGATAAACACGAATTACTCTACATATCAACAAGGGTTGATCGTAGACTTCGGCGTCGATTGATCGATGGATCATAATAGGTGATCGCATAAAAAAGAATTTAAAAATTGCCCTGATCATTCGGAACAATATTTAAAACCACTCCACTGGTGTTATAGGCCAGACAAAAAACCCAACTCCAAATTAAAGCAATAATTCAGGAATGACACTGCTCTAAAGTTCCAGTTTAAGTAAAAGTTCCTAGTACTACATAGCAACTTTCTAACTTGATAGATTTTTTTCTCCAGGTAATTGCCGCAATTTAAAGTTTACCAGTTTTCCTAAACTTGGCTACCGGTTGGAGAATCACACGGTTCGAACTATTGACGTTGTCAACGAGGATCTCTGCATGTTTCAATGCTACCTGGAACCTAACTGCGTCAGTTATAACTTCTGTGAGATAAACCAGTCGTCTGGAAAACATAAGTGTGACCTAAATAATGCGACTATTGAACACGGTGAAGGCCTGGTGGAATACAAAAGTTGTATTTACCGCGGAGCAGAGGTGAGAAAGAATTCTATGGGCCAAAAGTAATATTCCTTGTCCAAGAAAGCTTTGTTACCGCACCAGTGGATACCTCAGCCTCTCTAACCTGTTAAATACCCGCTTGCATCGGGAAAAAATAAACACATGCGAGGGAACTGTCATGCCTGCAAAATCAGTATCATTTTAAGTTTCTCTCTTCCTTTCCTTCCTAAGAATGCTTGTAAGAAAAATCCTTGCAAGAATAACGCAACATGCCAAGCTGGGTTTACAGACAGAGACTATCAGTGTTTGTGTGTTGATGGATCTGGATTTAAAGGCCATGATTGTGATGAGGGTAAGGAATCTTATACTTTTATTAAGGCAGAAACATGATGCATAATTGATAAGCTCAGCACGCCCCTCCCTTAAATTGAAGTTCTCTAAGGTGATTGGGCAGACTTATTTAAAAGGGATGAGATCAAACAATGGCGAACACCTCAATAGTTTGATAGACACAGAACATCGCAGTTGAAAGCCTTTGCCTTTGCCTTTCATGACTTGCGAGAAGAATAATCCAGAATGGCACAAGTTATTCAAAATACAAAAGAGGGCTTACATATGAACAACTTTGTTGCTTCTCATGGTTTGTCTTGGAAAGGGATTCATTAATCATTCTTGTTTTTCACCTAATTCAGTCTCAATTTTTTTTAACGCGATTTCTTACCCGCCATCTAAGCGAACAAACTATAATCCATCAGTTTCCTTTCTTACGAAACGAATGTCAACAAAACTGTGTAAAAAGTTTACGCAAAGATCACACGTGACTAGTATCTAGATAAAAACATAAAAAAATGAAAATCTTTAAGGAAACCAACTTAGATAAAGTCCATCGTCCTACTCTTTCCATTTATAGACGTAGACGAGTGCTTGTCTGGTAAACATAGCTGTGAGGGTAATACGACATGCAACAATACCCTGGGATCTTATAAGTGCACATGTAAAGATGGATTTCAAGGAAATGGAACTAAATGCACAGGTAACTAGTTCTGACATATTCGTACTCCGTCTTTTATCTTTAGTTTTTCAGATTAGTTGGAAAAACGGTCTCATTAACATTATTTTTCTTTTATCTAGATGAGTGTATGAACGGAACACACCACTGTAATGTAAATACCAAGTGTAACAATGCAACGGGGCGCATTTTACATATGATCTAGAAGTGTCTGAAAAAAAAAAAATTTTTTTTGACAAATTAGGATCTTTAAAGAAAACATTGAATATGTGGTCCCAAAGAGACCTCTCCATCGTTGGTAGGATAAATATAATGAAATCTTCGCGACAACGTTTATACACAAACATGTAATCAGCATTAAGGAGATATTTTCTCATTAAAAAAATACACCTGATGTGGGCAGAAGCCAAAATGTACTCAGATTATTTAAACTGGAAAATATCTACCGATGGCGTGTGAGCAATTTAAGTTCTATTAAGTTGTTGCGACTATCTCCTTTTATTTGGTAATTTAAGATTTCCATTTGTTTTAAAATAGATTTACGTTGTCAAGGAACACTTGGTATGGAAAACGATGTAATCACCGATGAGCAGATAAGTTTCTCGTCCCAAGAAGAGAATGACGCAAAAATTGTACGATTACATCACACAGGGACGACTTGGGTAGCTGATAGGAAGGATTCTAATCCGTGGCTTCAGCTCGATCTCAGAGCTCAAAACACTGAAGTAACACGAGTAGCAACACAGGGATCCCATCAACATAACAAATGGGTGAAGAAGTACAAGCTACAATACAGCAACTATGGAGTGAGATTTCAAAACTACAAAGAACAAGGACAAACCATATCAAAGGTAAGACTGATCAGAGGCGTGGAAGGGTTCTAAAACATAAGCTGCTCATTGTACACAAAACCAAGTTCATTCCATAATTCAAACTTCCCAATACGTTCTTTGAGTAGTTTGTTAGGACAAACAGTCCTCTTTACAATCAGATTAGCTTCGTTTCTCAATTTGTTACGATGCATGAGTCAGCAGTTGTTCTAGAAAATTGCGACGATGTATTAAAATTTCATATATTTACCATTTTCATTTTCATCTATCCAGTTTTTGATTAACCTTAGATAGACATTTGTAGAAAAAGTTCGACCCAATTTTACCGTTCGGTGGTATAGTATGAATTTCATGAATCAAATCGCTCGTGAGATATTTCACTGTTTACCCAACGAAAATATTGCATAATATAATTATATAAATTTTATTTTAAAATTTTTTATGTAAACAGGGCGGGCACGTACCGCGCATTTTAAACAAAAACATTTATTTCACATCTTTTATGGTACAGGAATTTAAGGGAAACACAGACAAGAACAGTGTTGTTTATCACGACCTGAACCCACAAATCCCAGCAAGGTACATACGTTTTCTACCCGTGGAGTGGAATGACGAGATATCAATGAGAGTGGAATTGTATGGATGCGTCAAAGGTAAGGAAAATAGCTTTCATCTAAAGCTGATAATCATTGTATCTAATCGGCTTATTAAATAAGCTGAACAATTGAGACTGTTATGTACTGAATCTAATTAAAGATCCTCTGGTCAGGAAAAACTAGATAAAGGTAATGAAAGTTAGAAGTTAAATCAGCCAAACCAAAATCGTAAGTAAATATCAAAAGCATTGACTGGTGTGTCCAGAAATTTCTTCTAAATTTCAATCGTCGAAACTATAGGCAGTTTTCTTCTAATAAGCTTGAGAAAGAAAAGGACTCCGCATTACAGTTGATCTGATCATAGGAGCTCTTTAAAACTATTCATTTCGTTAAAAGTTTATGCAACCATGTTAACAACATTTTTGAGCTCAATGTAATCTACGGTACATTAATTGCTTCATGATCTCATAGCTGCTTTCAATTCGCTGCCGTAGATAACTTACATTTGTAAAACGCCTGCTAACCTTTCGTAAACAGAATGTGGAAGATTTCTCGGCATGCAAAGCGGTGAAATCTCTGACGAACAGTTAAGCACCTCTTCAGAGAGAGACTCTAACCACTCCGCCACTCAGAGCAGACTTCATGTTGTAAATCCTGACAGAGGGGGATCTTGGGCAGCTAAAAATAATAATACGGATCAGTGGCTCCAAGTTGATCTGGTTATTCTGCACACTATAGTGACACGTGTGGCAACACAAGGAAGTAATGGACCCAAGAGGGAGTGGGTTACAAAGTACATCCTGCAGTACGGCAACGATACAGAAATGTTCTACAATTACACAGTCCCAGAACAAAACACAATGAAGGTAAAATTGGATGATCATTGGCAGGGGTCTTGCAAATGCACCGCCAGTAATAACTGTATAATGTTGGGCCCCCTTGAGGAACGATTAGAGGACTGGTATATGAATCAGTTGGAGGACTGTTTTCACATCGTAATAACTGTTATTCATAAAATTAATTCTTATCAAAGATTTAATGGAAAACCTCTTATGTTGTTAATTCAAAGGTTTTTGCTGGAAACATTGATCAGAATACCGTGGTTTATCACGACCTAAACCCGCCAATCACAGCGCGATACATTCGTTTTAAACCAGTGGAGTGGCAGGACTGGATATCAATGAGGGTAGAATTGTATGGCTGTGTACAAGGTAAGGCCTGAATGACAATAACGATTGAGAGGTACCTCTTGTAACGAGTAATTTACACCAGATAATGTTTCATTTCCTGTTCAAAAGCGAGCGCTTGGATATTGTTTACTGTGTGTCATCTCAATCACAATCGAGCTGCTACACGTTGACGCGAGTTTTCTGGACCAATAACAGGGAGAAGAGAGGTAAAAAACCAATACACTCCTGGAAAACTTGTTGTAATCATTTGAAAATTGCTCTACATAGTATTATTCAATTGAATCACCAGCTTTGGTCACATGAAGTTCCTTCCTTCTTCACTCTCCTCCTTTCACTGTCACGTGTCATCGCCGAACCACAAACTGGAAAAATTTGACGAGAAAAACTACTCTAATTGTGGGAATGGGAAGGAAACCTTGTCTTCTCTTGAGATTTTTAGATTCCCCAACAACAAAACCTCGTGATGGTTCAATCGTACCGTTTATGAAAGTATCATGTCGGTATTCAAAAACACCATTTTGATTCAGGTCGGCAATCAATATGTTATTGTCGAATGTAATCTTTAGATGTAATGAAGTAAGTCAATGCCCGACTATCGAGGATTTCTACTTTCTAAAAATACAAAAACGAGCAAGCGTCGAAAAATGCACAGTACGACTTGTTCGAACACTCCAAGTGACTGACGTTTCTATTCCATTCTTTCGGTGATTCAATAATTTACGTAACTTTCAAAAACTCATTAATAATTCATAAGCCTATTAACCTATCAAAAGGTAGATAATACATCACGTGAAGTGACTTTATATCGATAAACCTCATCCTTATTAGTATGCGGTGTTTTATCAGATATAAAGACACTGCACGTGACTTATGAATATTAATTAATTATCAACACAGAAACTGACACAACAAATGGTGGGAACATATTTAATGTTCTTTCAACAAATTTCACACAGTAAATTTACTTTTGCACCAAATTAATAGTACAGTTGTGAAATACACATCTGGAAAATTCTCTATTCCATTAGTACAGTAATCTGGTAAAAGCATATTAGACAATACATCATCTGAAACTTCGAATTCAAGATCATGTTTTTCTCGTATGCTAATTTCTAACGTTCACAAAAGCATAATTGTTATGAACTCTCTTGACACACGCTTTTCCAAGAATATTTTTGAAGCCGTTCAAAAAACTCGCAGCACGTGTTTTATCGGGTCAAAAACCCGATAAAACACTCCGGCTCGTTTTTTAAACATTACATAATAACATTTCCTCGGTAATAGTACCATTAGAAATGGCAAAGAAAATTTTGACAATTTCTTGCCAGCAACATTACTTTTATTGTATGGTTTTATGCAGGATTTACAGCTGTGTTTACAAATCTTGGTAAGATTGGATCAGAGGGTCCAACGTCGATTGGTAGTCATTACAAAGATCAAGACCATAACGGACAAGTAACAGTGTCCAGCGGTATTCAAGTGTGGACTGTGCCACGCATTGGTGAATACAGAATAGAAGCAATAGGAGCCTCAGGGGGGTTCAGTGAGGACAGTATCATAAAAACCGGAGGAAGAGGGGCACGAATGATTGGAAACTTTAATTTGGCCAAATATGAGATCATTCATGTACTTGTTGGTCAAAAAGGGGGAAAAGGGAATTCAAACCCAAAAACTGCCGGAGGTGGAGGAGGTACATTTGTAGTGAAAGAAAACAACAAGTCTTTGATTATAGCTGGAGGTGGAGGAGGAATTAAGAATATATCGGAACAACATCCAGGATGTGATGCGTCCTTAAACACAACAGGGAATGGAGGGTATAACTTTCCATTGGGTTCAGGAGGAAGCAACGGAAATGGAGGAAAGGCCAGTACAAAATATTCAGGTACGCGGAGAAAGAAGAAAAATCCAAACAATCAGTAGGTTCAATCCATAATGAAAAGAGGACCACAGTAAGATTTATCAGAACTTAATTATTGAAATTACTAATTCTAACTTTGAAGTTCTTCTTTTCTCGGAGGCACCTCTTAGAATATCAAACGAATAAAGGGGTAAGTTTTTAAAGAAACTGTGGTACTGCGTCGGTGAGAGAGTATAGCAGGTAATTTAGTGTTAACAGCTGAGTTGAAAACGTAAATTAGCCACCGTAAAGGGTAAAAAAGCTGACGTTTCGAGCGTTAGCCCTTCGTCAGAGCGATTGACGAAGGGCTAACGCTCGAAACGTCAGCTTTTTTACCCTTTTCGGAGGCTAATTTACGTTTTCAACTCAGTTGCTAACATTAAATTACCCTCTTAGAATATCAGTTTTCTAAAAAATCCTAAGTGTGCATTCCTCGTGTACATTTCTTTTGTCCTGACAAGCTGTTCAATTTCTAGCAGTTGACTACCCAATAATATTTTTAAATAAGCTTCTAAAAATTGAGAGAAAATTGATAATATTGCGAATCGTCGTTTAAACTTTCTCAAGTAAGTAATCAAATAGAAGCCATTTATGAGACAACTGCTTCTCACTTTTCGTTTATTATAGGTGGCGGCGGCGGCGGCTTCTACAGTAATGGACAAAGTGCTTCGAGCAGTTCTGGTCGAGGAGGTAAAGGATATCTTCAAGGAGGAGAGGGTGGAAATGGTAAGGGTGGGTTTGGAGGTGGCGGTGGTTTACGTGGAGGTAACCGTGGAGCTGGAGGCGGTGGAGGTTACTCTGGAGGAAATGGTGGAGCTAATGAACAGTTTTCTTGTGGAGGAGGGGGTGGATCTTTTAACAATGGGACAAATCAGCAGAATGACTGTTGTTTTAACAGGTATGAACATGGTAGAGTGATCATCACGTTTCTTCAGTGACATGCCCTTGGCAGCACTTTCTCTAACGTGTAAGGCTAATTCTGTTCTGAAGGCTGATTGTTGTTAGTCTTTAAACTCAGGAATTGAATAATATTTTGTTTAATGTTCAAGGTCAGTTACTGAGCGCTTTAAGGTGTTGGCCAAACGGTGCAACCTGAGGAATTAAAGTCATTTGTTTTTGAGTTCAGATTTTAGATTTACAAACATAGTTTTCTAGAATATTTTTTTTTGTAAACATCTCCTGACGTAAGGATCACGTCTCCCTTAAAAACTGCTGTTTTTGTTCTTTTTCCGGCTCTTTTCTGAGCAATTTATCAGATGGACATGTGCATCAATTGAGAACTAATTAACAAATAACATGCAGGTGATGAGGACTAGTAAGTATTTTGTAGAGAAAATGTTGTGAACATAGTCCTTAATATTTTTCTGCACTTCAATCATTACATATATTTAAGAATGATTTTCAATTGACTACGAGGGTTTATCGATTCATTTTTGTTGATTAAGTCAAAACCAAACTCGATTTTCAATTTTAATACGATCAGTTAGACCCAGTATCCTGTTTTTCCGGCCGCTCTTTGGGCCGACTGATTGCATTTTTTCGCATGACACAGATTGCAGTTTTACTGCCATTGGCGCTGATTACAAATTATCAAAAAACTTTTATTTGATTTGGGATTTGTATGGCCTCATTTGTTGATTATCAACAGAATCCTCTATTTATAAATATTTTACCTTTGTTCTGGTTTTACAATAATACTCTTGATTCAATGTTTCAAAGCTTTCAGTAACACCTTAGGTTGGAAAGATCCGGACAGTAGAAAAAGAGGGCCGAAATATGGTGGCGAGGGCACAACTCTTACGCTTTGTGGTTTCACTGATAAATCTCAATGATTCGGTCTCGTTTCTCGAAATACGTGAAAGCAAAAGTAAGGATGGGAATCAAATATTATGTCATTCTTCGGTGTCCACGTCCATTCATTGGACTGGGAATACTGATACGCCTACAGAGCGAACTGGTGCCGTAATAATTGGTGTTATAATAGAGTGTGTGACCAAAAAGGCTCTCAGTCTGACCACTGATCAGGGCTCACACTGGAACAGAATTCTTTTGATAGCTTTCGCTGGAACTGTAAGTTAGATCGACTATGTGACGATCACGAACATAGTCGTATCTTGGTTGATATCATCAATTTATAATTAGTCATTAAATAACAGGCAAGGAATTAGGACTAGCTAGTCTTTTAAAAAGAAACTATTGTGAATTCAGTTCTTCAGATTTCATGTGTTACATTAGAGGAACGCTTTTCAATTGACTGTAAGGGTTTATCCTTTAATCAATTTGTTTTTTCTTTGTCAGCTCAAAACAAAAAGCAACTTACAATTTTCATTCTCACATTTAGACCCAGTATCCTTGTTTCTCTTCCCTTTGGGTCGTATTTTGCTACGCATGACACATACGGCATTTTTTTACCGCGACCGGCGCCGGTTGCAAACTATTCGCGAAAAGTGTGTTTTATTAATTTGTAATACGTTTGGTATCTTATGGTTTTTATCATTGGAATACGTCATTTTTTTATTGTTTTAATTTTTGTTTTTTGATTCCCAGTCAATTGAAGAGGGTTCAGCCTCACCTCTAGCGGAATCCTGCAAAGTGACTGAAAAAAATGGCCCAGGGTTGATGCCAAATCGTCGATGTAGCCAATTTATGTGATGGGTTTTTAGATGTTGATTAATTAAGAGGGGACTAACAAATTCTAAAATGAGATTCAGTCATTTAAGTTCTGTTTCCCTCTTCAGAAAGTAGGGCATAAAAGCGGTTAAATATGCCAAGGTGATGACACGTTCAAGTTTCCGCAAAACATTATTTACTTGTTACATTGATATGTTTTTGTCAACATTTAGAATAACTTTTTAGGAGACTCTTGAGCTCTTCTACATAAAAAGGAAGAGAAACGTGTAATTTTAATAACAATTATTATTTCCAAGTCTTCAGTCAGTAGTGTCAATTTATATTACATTATTTTAAAAATCAATAAATTGATTCCTAAATGTCAGTAATGGATCTTTACTTAGTTTCACTTAAGTTATAACTAAGTAGCACTGATTGTGAACAAAGTTATTAGGGGAAAGAACGTGGAAATATGTTTCACCGAGAAAACGAGAAACCTCAAGTTCACCAGATCTTCGTTTTTGGTTTTTGGTTTTTTTGCTTCCTTATCCTTTCAGTCTCTTCTCCTGCCTTACTTTCTAAACCTTCTCAACTTTGCCTCCCTTGGTTAGAGACGGAAGACTCACCTACGATTCACATCTTGACCCTTTTTCCATAAAATTATACCAAAGCCCTTTCAGATCCCTAAAAAAGTGTAATTCGGGGCTTTAGTTCTTTCAAGCCGAAGTCAAAATACACTGTAATATTCGTGGATTTTGTCGTGTGTGGTTATATAAAAACTTGTCATGCGGATGGGGCTAATTATTCGCTTGCACAGTTTGAACACAACTGAAACGAGTCGGTTCCTATGGTGACAATCTCCTTCAGAAAGGAAGTGATAAATGTTTCGCGATAAAAAATCCAACTTTGCTCAAAAGGTCTTTAAAAAGAGGGGAAGTGAAGCATAGACGGGGTTTTTCATCACCTTGGCCCTTGTCCGTCAACCTTCCCTGTACAACAGACTGATACGGTCTGAATTAAAGGCGGCGGGGGAACAAAACTGGTCTCACGAAATAATTTAAATCCATCTTTGACGTTCCAAAAATTTCGGGTCAGTAATAAAACGGTCGTCTTTACTATTCGATCAAGTGTGGGCGGACAAGGAGAGCGTATAAACATTTGATGAACAGTCTTCATGTAGCTTTGCGCTATATGTTACACTTGTTCAGACATAATTAAGTCAGAATGGAAAAAATCTTAAATAACAACTTCCTCTGTGCAACTGATTAAAGGTCATTAATATGAATTATGTATAATTGACTTTCACCAACCAACTACATTCCAAAGAAAATAATTAAGTTTTGGCAACCAAAAACTCACTGTAGCTGTTTGCTAAAATTAAAAAATTAATCAAAATTAATTGCTTTGTTTTTCTAAGAACAAACTCTGTATTCTATTGCTTCGTTCTCACTGTTTTGGCTTCACTAATTCCAGGAGGACAAGGTAAGATTTTCCTAGAGTCATGTCTTATCAATAGTCTGAGTAATATTTTAAAGTTTACTAAGAGTTTTTTATTACTTTTTTGTTATCTTTATTAACCTAACAAGGCCTTGAAATATTCGCACAAGACTCTTCTCCTAGTATTGGTATAATGAATCATTTCGTCTAAATGCTCGCAATAATACTGGATAACAAATACGTTTAACAAGAGGTTCGTGAATATTTTGTCATTTTGCTACTCAATTTTTTGAAGTAAGATGAATACAAACGGATGAAGTTTTAGGGAAAAAGTTTTAGGAGAAACCTACAGCGAAAGTTTGCTTTAGAGTAATTACTTGCGTCTCTGCAATCTGTTCATGAACGTTTAACATAACAGCAGTTATCTAAACTTTTCGCCGAAACATGTTACATGTAATAAAACGTGGCTCTTTGCCACAAATTGGCTCTAAAGTTGATCTTAAGCTTTTCTCAAATTTCACAAAAATGTAAATCAGAAGATTCTTGTATTTCCGGTTTAAATCACTTGAACGTATCCACAATAGTTTGTATGCTTTTCAATTGATGTACCCTAAACGGCATGAATCTTAGAAGCTTTTTATAAGCTGATTCTTCCTACGAGTGTTGGATATCGATAAGATGTCTACATGTATAACTGATTTGGATAATTACCAATTTTGTAAAACTCGTATCGATTACATTTTTTCGCAAAGATTGGTAAAAAAAGGCTTTTTCTGTCTTTGTTCAGAGTGAATAAATTTGTTTTGCCGCGAGAAAGAAAAATAAAATTAACAAACAAAGAAAACAGAAGAGAGCAAAAAAGAAACTATTCCAAATATATTTGTCTCCTTGTTTTAGGCAGAATAATAATCTAACCTGCACGAAGCGATAACGTCATAGCAAGTAAAATTAAGAAAGTATTCACATTGTTAGACAACATCTGTCGGCAAGTCTTGTGTGGTCAGTAGATTTAATTTGGAATCACTGAAAAACTGTCATGAATAATTTGCCACATAGGTGGTTTGAACGAAAATTAAAAAAAACAGAACCAAAAAAACTATTCCAAATATATTTGACCCCTTGTTATAAGCAGAATAATAAATTAACCTGCATGAAGCGATATCGTCATATCAAGTAAAATTAGGAAAATATTCACATTTTTAGACAACATCTGTCGGCGAGTCTCATGCATTCAGTAGATTTAAGTTGGCACCATTGCAGAAACATAACGGAAACGAACAACAGCGTAAACGTCCTGACTTAAATATGACGGAAACATGACTTGACATTTCTGTTCCGGAAACATGACGAAAACTTGATAGAATCGCCAAGACTTGGTATCACACGTTTCTGCAGAACGTAATGTAGCGGAAACATGAAGCTCTATGTTTCTGTCACATTTAAGAAATGCGGAAACGTGGAATTTCATCCTGTGTCAAGTGCGAATTATTGGAAAAGTCTTATGACAATAGATGGTTTGTTTCTCGGCTACTAGGTAAAGGTTCGTTACCAACGTGATCTACAACTGAGCCATGACAGTAGGACTGAAATCACTTTAAGAGCACCTGGTAAGGGTAATTATCTTCCTCGCTATTTGGTTCTGAAGTGTTTTTGAATTGGGTAGATTAGTTTTTGAATATAGACTTTGAGTCGCAGGGAGCTCTGTCCGCTCCACAATAAAGTTGTCATAACTCATGGGCAGTCCTGTGGTCAGTTAATGTTATGAAAAATGCCTGATTATGATTAACAAATTATTATTATTATGATGACAAATTTCAAATTTAAGGGAAGCGCGATAAATTTTTCCGAGAATAGGAAATGAAATTTGATCGTAGGCGCCAAGGACCGGAAACTATCCATCCGTGTTATTAACATTTGTCCTCAAAAAGAATCAAGAAAATGTTGAGTGCACAATAAATAAGAACGTTAAGTTTCATTTGAGGTCTAAAAGGGAAAAGAATATGAAGAAAGTAGTTTTAATTCTTCGACCTGTAAACAAATTGGACTTAAGTAATAGAGGGCTTTTTTCGTTTGCACGACTTCATCTACTCATGAAGGAAATTGGAAGTATTCGTGGAGCCGGTTATGCAAACCTTCCGATGTGTCTCAGGGTTGCTTAACTTCCAAAGATAAGGCTAGGAAAATACTTGAAAGATATGTCTCAAAAATATGAGTGAAGATAAAAAGCCACTTCCTATCATCGTAGCACACCTTTCTATTAACAAGAGCGTACGTAATATCTTAGCTTCACTCCAACAGATAATCTTCCTTGTAAACCAAAGTTTAACAAGGAACTAAACGAAATCAGAGACGATGATATATTTGAGCAACGTATAAGCTGCTACATGCGACATATTTTTGGCGGGTAGGTTGGCACAGTTTCATGCTCTCACCACGCAAAAACGTCTCTTTTTGAGGGAGAACACCAAATGTATTGTGCCTTACCAGATGGTTCTCCCATTTTGTAATTCAGGCTGACATCCCTACCAAAGATACCACCTTTAACTAAAATCATCTGCGAGAAGAAATCAATTTAATACCAAGAGATCCAACTCAATACTTAATTCTCTTGAAGAAATGTTCTTAAAACTGAGGGCTTTAATGGACAACGCTAAACCTGAAAACAGACCCGTTATCCAGTACGCAGCTGTCCACAAGTTTTGTGTTTGTGTTAATTCAAACCAAAAGCGTTTTCGACATGTCTCAAAAAAAGTGAATCGAGAGGATATTCAAAACTAAATAGATCGTCGCTCAAATTCATCACACAGAGGCCAATAGAGTAGCACTGTAATCTAACTCTTCTTTCGCTGAAAGAATACCACGAATTCGAAGAGAATCAAATTCAACTGGTGGAAAATTAATGTGATTTGAATCTTTGACCAGTTTACGAATATTTGTGTTCATACAAAAGAAACATCACACCCTAAACGAATGCCTTTTACAGAGTTTAACTTTTGTTTCGAAAACTCTCTAATTTTTAGATTATTCTACAGCGAATCATGTTTCTCTTTTATAAGTTTATGACAGAAAGGGGGTTTCTATTCTAATTGTCCACTGTTCTCAGTCAGCCTTAGGAAACAATTTTATTCACTGATGTTCATTACCAGCAATGCGAGTCATATTGCGTCTCAAATACCGTACGTCAATCAAAGATTACTTTCAAAATGGCTTCCCGAAGATACAAAGAAATGTATGGGATCTGAAATAAAATCTTATTTTTTGGCAGTTTAAATAAATTAAATTCTACGTGCCGACCTCTCGTTGATAAATAATATGCAACTGCACTACGAAGCGAAAGTTTTTTCACCGTTTCGTTTATTCGTCGAGCCGCGGAATAGAGGTAAAATAACAAAGATCTTCGGTTGTACTTCCTTTATAGTTTCATCCAAATACCTTCACTTACCTTCACTTCCATGCTTTGAGCTGTCCGTGTGTTTCATGCTTTCATCGGTGCCGACCCTCAAAATTTTCTTCAGTTTACGATCTTTCAAATACGTTAAATAAAGCCTTCCATGATAAAATAGGAGGCCGCAAATCAATCTTGAAAATAGGGCTTTTTCACTATTAGACGTAACCTTTACCTGAGCTCGCGAATGTCCTGTAGGACGCGAAGAACGACCACTTTCCATCGTTTTCTTCGTGAAAAAAGTCGCCATATTTACTTCAGCTTAGCAGCCTAGCATTTCCACGCTTTTTACCGCTGTTTTAACAATCTGCAGACTCCTACAAGCGCCAAATCGCGCCAATTATAAAAAACAAAACTTGTATCACTGTGAGCTCATTCCAGTCTGAATCGTCAAAAAATGTCTGATGTTTTGCTCGATTTCGAAAAGAAATCCCTAGAATTTCAACTTAAGGTCACTGAATCTCCTCTTTCTTATATAAAACAGCAATGCGTTCAAGAATCTCGAATAGCTCTGGCAATATACATCCCGTATCCAATTTTGATGAAATGGCATGAGCTTGTTGGAATAAAAGACGAGAGAGGAAATGAGTTAAACTACATTGAAATGCAACTGATGCGCTCTGTAGTCTTTCCACGGTAACAGTGGGGTTGCTGTATGCCCTAGAAAGTTTTTAATGCAGAAAACAAAACATAAGATTGGAATCGAAAACGTGTTACGGTTAAGACGATCAAACCATCTTCTATAATGAAGCTCACATTTAAGCTTAAAATCACCATCGAAAACAAACTAAATATACCTGATAAGATGCTCATTCAAATGAGCCGAAGGCTCCCACGTGCTTGTCCACAATGGCCAGTCCTTCCATTTTACTAGGTATTCAAAGTCCTGAAATTGTCAGAGATTGATTAGAGCTGTTTATGAACTTACTTCGATTGTAGTATAAATTTCATCCGAAGTAAAATATAGCTGCAGGAACATAAAAGGGTCAATACACATACCTCGTTCTTCAATCTTCGCCGGCTGATAAGTCTCTCCACAAAATAAACTTTAGATCCGCTTTTAAATTTTCTCCTTCCTTTCAAATGAACTTCTAAATCCACTGTAGAAAGAACATTTAGTGCTTTATAATCAACTCGATTCCTCCGCGGAAATCTACTTCGCTCCATGTTTACATGAAATCTGACGCCATAGCGCATGAACAGTAGAACCTGAAGAAACTACTGACCTCGCGGACCGCGGGAGTAAAATGTCTCGGATTGCTGGTAATGTGTAATACCGGCCCGTACCTCTCACTGAATTTCGTTTTTCAGGAAAAATGCTGTGGATATTTCGTTATTTTCTTGTCTGTGTTTCGGTCACCAACCCTGTAATCGCTGAGGATCAATGCAGGGTAGAAATTAACATTCGTGGCATGGCTCTCAAAGGTTTCGCTTTTAAGAGAATGGCGGTAGCGGCTCCTCACATTTGTAATATCTTATGTGAAAGGGAAATTATCTGCCAGAGCTATAATTTCAACAGAAAAGAACAGATCTGTGAATTAAACAACCGCACAAAGGATGCAAGACCCGAGAATTTCCGCTCAGACCCAGCGTGCTTTTATATTCACCGTTTAAACGGAAGAGGTAAGAACTTAACAAGCACTTACAGTCCGTGTTTTCCAATCTCCTGTGCCCTTTGGTATCAATTTCTCTATCAAAATAGAAAATTTCATCCTTTTCTCTTTTCTTTTAAGTTTAAATATTTGTTAACTTCCGTTTAAAAAAAAAGCAGCTGTGATACATGTATAAACATTGACAAAAAATGATTGCGTCATTTCTACAAGAAGCTTAAGGTCAGTAAAGAACTTTGAAGAATTGGAAGCTCAAACGAAGGGTTTATGCGAGAGGGGGTCCTGTCTCCCTAGAGGGTTGTGCTTGACAGAACGTTGAAATATTTCACAACCAAAGAAGGACATTCAAGTGAATGGAATTCGAGCCTCATTTTTATTCTCTCGTGCTTTTCACTTTTTCATTTCCATCTGCGCTTACGAATACTTTATTTTCAACATTTTTACCCGTACCAGCTCCCTTGGGTTCGATACGGGAGTTACCAGCACGTTCATGCCGTGAAATAACAGCAAGCGAAGGGAAAGACACCGCAAGCAACAAATACTGGCTGGATCCATCTGGCACTGGGAAGGCAGTGTTGGTTTACTGTGATATGAATTTGGAAGGTAAATCACATTTAACCCATTGTAGCTTTCATTTTGTGTTTGAGTTGTCGTTTTTTTGTAGCGACCTTGGTTGCTTTAAGATGTAAAAAAATCGCACCAGTCCTGAAAACAATGCATCGCGCAGTTTCAGCTGTAGAATAAAAAGAAAAAAAAATACCCCAAAGGGAAAAAGAAGATAAGCAAATAGACAAGGTCAACCACATTACATTTTAATAAAGTTTTGAAAAACATTCTTGCTTTAAACCCTTTACACCCTAACATCAGTATGCATATTCTCCATACTGTTCTCTTTACATTTACTAAGGTGCTGACAGGGACAAATTAAGTATTTGGACAAATTTCTTATTAGTATCATAACTTTCACCTTTATTGTGTGTTTTTACGCAGGATTTACTGCTGTGTTTACAAATCTTGGTATGATTGGAAGGAAGGGACCAGACTCGATTGGTAGTCATTACAAAGATCAAGACCATGACGGACAAGTAACATTATCCAGCGGCATTCAACTGTGGACTGTGCCACGCTCTGGTGAATACAGAATAGAAGCAATAGGAGCCCCAGGGGGCTACAGTGAGGACAGTATCATCAAAACCGGAGGAAGAGGGGCAAGGATGATTGGAAACTTCATTTTGACCAAAGATGAGATCATTCATGTACTTGTTGGTCAAAAAGGGAGAAAAGGGAATTCAAACCCAAAAAATGCCGGAGGTGGTGGAGGTACATTCGTGGTAAGAGAAAACAACAAGTCTTTGATCGTAGCTGGAGGTGGAGGGGGAATTAAAAATATGTCAGAACAACATCCAGGATGTGATGCGTCCATAAACACAACAGGAAATGCAGGGAACAATTCGCCTTTGGGGTCAGGAGGAAGCAACGGACACGGAGGAAAAACGAGTGGTCAATTTGCAGGTAAGCGGAGAAGGAAGAAAAAAAAAACCAATCAGTTTTTTCAGTTCACCAGGATAGGAAGACGACAATAAGATTTATCGGCACTTAATTATTAAAATTATTAATTTTAACTTTGAAGGTTTTCTTTTCTCGGAGGCACCTCTCAGAATATCTAAAGTTCAACTGGGTTTCCAGTTCAGTTTTTAGAAATCGTACACATTTATTTACTGCTCACCATTGATCCGTCAATATACATGGGCATCACTTCATTACATTTCTCTTGTCCAAATAAGCTTTTCTATTTCTAGCAATTGACTACCTAATAATACTATTAAATAAACTTCCAAAAATTGAGAAGTGCACTTAATTGATAATATTACGAATCGTCGTTTAAACGCTTTTAAACAAGTAATCAATTTGGAGCCGTTTATGAGATAACTGCTTCTCACTTTTCGTTTATTGTAGATGGTGGTGGCGGCGGCGGCTTCTACAGTAATGGGCAAGATACGCAGTCCCGTAAAAATGGAGGTCAAGGATATCTTCAAGGAGGAAATGGTGGATATGGTAGGGGTGGGTTCGGAGGTGGCGGTGGGTTACGTACAGGCAACGGTGGAGCTGGAGGAGGTGGAGGTTACTCTGGAGGAAATGGTGGAGCTTATGAACAGTTTTCCTGTGGGGGAGGGGGAGGATCTTTTAACAATGGGACAAATCAGCAGAATGAATGTTGTTTCAATAGCGATGAACATGGTGGAGTGATCATCACGTTTCTTCAGTGACATGCCCTTTCTAGCACTTTCTCTCACGAGTAAGGCTAGTTCTGTTTTGAAGGCTGATTTTTCTTGGTCTTTAAACTCCGGAGTTGAATAATGGTGGTGTTGGCCCAACGGTGCAATCTGAGGAATTAGTCATTTGTCTTTTAGTTCAGATTTTAAATAAACAAACACAATTTTCTCAGAGTATATATTTTTTGTATGAACATCTCCTGACGTAAGGAATACGCGACCTACAAAAACTGCTATTTTTGTTCTTTTTCCGGCTCTTTTCTAAGCAATTTATAGGATGGACATGTGCATCACTGGATAACTAGTTAATAAACAACATGTAGGGTATTAGGACTATTAAATGTTTCGTAGAGAAAATGTTGAGAAGACATTTTTCTGTACTTCAATCACTACGTATATTTAAATATGATTTTCCACTGACTGCGAGGGTTTATCAATTCGTTTTTCTTGATCAAGTCAGTTTTAATACGATCAGTTAGACCCAGTATCTTTGTTTTTCCGGCCGCTCTTTGGGCCGACTGATTGCATTTTTTCGCATGACACAGATTGCAGTTTTATTGCCATTGGCGCTGTTTACAAATTATCCAAAAAACTTGTATTTAAATTGAGATTGTATGGCCTCCTTTGTCGATTATCAACATAATCTCCTATTTATAAATATTTTGGCTTTGTTTTAGTTTGACAATGATACTCTTGATTCAATGTTTCAAAGCTTTCAATAACGCCTTAGGTTGGAAAGATCCGGACAGTAGAGAAAGAGAAGGCCGAAATAAGGTGGGGAGGGCACAACCCCCACTGCATATAAAAAGCCAAGCCGAAAACAAAAAACAAAACTTTAATGAAAAACACTAAAAGCACAGTCACCCTCAGTTTTTCTCTAAGTACCTGCTTTGGTGTCATGGAAATTTGAAAGCTTTGTGGTTTACTGATAAATCTCATCAATGATTGGGTCTCGTTTCACGAAGTACGTGAAATTAAAAGTAAGGATGTGAATAAAATATTGTGTCATTCTTGGGGCCTGTTTACATGGAGATGGGGGACCCTAGGTAGGTGAGGTAGCCCGCCTAGGTGGGGTAACCCGCCTGTCCATATAACTTCTTATTTTATTTTGATCAATTTAACATGATAGGTGGGGTGGTGCGCCTTGGCGGGTAGGGTAACCCTGTCAAGGTGGGATAACCCGCCTAGCCAGGGTCGCGGTTATGGCAAAAAGCTCAAAAGCGAAACATGTATGTTTAAAAACTTTGTACATTTCCTAGCCGTCTCATGGCAGAAATCACCAGAAACCGCAACGGATACACAAGGAGTGTAAAATATTCACATTTAAGAATATTTAGCGATGTAAATCAACCATATTTGGTTTCCTAAACTATTCTGTATAACGTATTAAGTTAACGGTTCCTCATGAAAGCAAACACCGCGTAACACAACGCGTGACACTTTCATGAATAAATACATATGTGTCCGAGAATCAATCTTTCGCCTTTTTCGAGATGTGAGCTTGGAACGCCTCTGCTCAAACTCCTTAATTGCAAGCGCAACAACAACCTGATAATTGTTTCACAATAAAAAATCCAACTTTGCTTTTCATCTCCTTTGCCCTTGCTCGAGAACCCCGCACCCCCCGTCAACCTTCCCTGTACAACAATCTCATTACGTCTGAATTAAAGGCGGCGGGGAAGGAGGGGGAATTGGCCCAAGACTCTTCTCCTCGTATTGGTATAATGAGTTATTTCGTCTAAATACTTACTCTTCTTGCAATAGTGTTGGATAACAAATACATTTTACAAGAGGTTCGTGAGTATTTTGTCACTTTACAACCCAATTTTTTGAAGTAAGATGAATACAAACGGATAAAATTTTAGGGAAATAGCTTTTGGAGAAGCCAAAAGCGAAAGTTTACCTCAGAGTAATTACTCGCGTCACTGCAATGCTTTTCATGAACGTTTTTGACTTTTCGATCCCACAAGACGGATATGATGACCAGTGGCAGACCTTTGTATTTAAAAAAGAAGTTGAGAGACTTATTTTAACTTGACTGAAATAGCTCGGCTGGATCGACATAAAATCGACACCGCTTTTCTACAGTTTCGTAATGAAAATTAATTATCATGAGCCAAATGAAAATTTAAAGAAAAAGCCCGCGCAGTTCTTTAAACCTCTCGCTGAACATGTTATGGGTAATAAAGCCTGACTCTTTGTCACAATTTGGCTCTAAAGTAGATCTTAATAATGGTTGTTCAAATTTCATAAGATCTAAATCAGAAAATTGGTGCACTTCCGATTTTAATCTCTAAAAAGTATTCACAATAGTCAATATACTTTCAAATTGATGCACCCTAAAAAGGCATGAATGTTAGAAACTTTTTACACCCTGATGCTTCCTACGCGCGCTGAATATCGATAAGGTGTATAGACGTATATCTTGGTTTGGATAATTACCAATTTTGTTAAACTCTTAGCGATTATATTTTTTTCGTAAAGATCCGTCTAATAAGGCATAGCTTAGGCTTTTTTTTCAGAGTGAAAACAAAGTTAAAATCAACAAAAAAAGAAAACAGAAGAGAGGAAAAAAGAAACTATTCCAAATATATTTGGCCCCTTGTTTCAGGAGGAATAATAAACTAACTTGACTGCATGAAGCGATATCGTCCTAGCAAGTAAAATTAAGAAAGTTTTCACATTTTCAGACAACATCTGTCGGCGAGTCTTATGTGTTCAATAGATTTAATTTGGCATCACTGAATAGATCACACTCCATGCAAGTTATTAAAAAACTGTCATGAATAATTTGCCACATAGGTGGTTTGTTTCTCGGCTTCTAAGTAAGGATTCTTTACCAAAGTGATCAACAACTGGGCCATGACAGTAGGAGTGAAATCACTTTATTTAAAGCACCTGGTAAGGGTAATTATCTTCTACGTTATTTGGTTCTGAAGTGTTTTAAGGTTGGGTAGATTAGCTTTTGTATAGAGACACTGAGTCGCAGGGAGCTTTGTTCGCTCCACAATAAAGTTTTCATAACAAAAGGGTAGTCCTGTGGTCAGTTATTGTTATTAAAAATGCCTGATTATGGGACAAATATAAATTTTAAAGGAAACGCGATCAATTTTTCCTAGGAAAGGAAATGAAATTTGATCTCAGACGCTAAAGACCGAAAACTATTCATCCGTGTTATTAATATTTGTCCTCAGAAGTTTGGATTAAGAAAGTGCTGCACTGAAAAAAACGCAAGAAAAGCCTCAAAAGAATGAAGAAAATGTCGAGTGTATAATAAATAAGAACGTTGACTTTTAATTTAGGTTTAAAAGGGAAAATAATACGAAGAAAGTAGTTTTAACTCTTTGACCTGTAAACAGACTGCAATTAAGTGGTAGAGGGCGTTTTAAGTGTTTGCATGACTTCTTCTACTCATGAAAGAAGTTGGAAGTATCCGTGGAACCGGTTATGCAAACATTCGGATGTGTCTCGGGGTTCCTGAACTTTCAAAAATTATTCCCTGGTCTTTAGATGAAGGTAGGAAAATACTTGAAAAAATATGTCTCAACAATACGGGTGAACTTAAAACTTCCTTAGCGCACCTTTCTATCGACGACAGCGTACGTAAGGTACCAAAGTCGTTCCTTTTTAGTTCAGAGTTTAAATTTACAGAGAAGCTTTGCAAGAATATGTTCATTTGTGCCTACTGCTTAATCTTTTTCGCACTTGTTCTTCAAAAGACCTTTCGTGTTTCACTTTCTTAATAGTTCCAATAAGACCTAATGTCCCTAAACGATTTAATGTGCCTGAATTATTTATAAATGCAGGATTTCTTTAAAAAAATAAACTGCTGGCTCTCTCTCACACACATAGTCGAAGAAGTTTAATTTCGGGCACGATTTTTAATCATGGCTAGAAAACAATCTACAATACTTTCCTGTTAACTTGTTTTGAGGGAAGCTGACATCATACATCACATTTAACAAAACGTTTTGTTATGTGATTTAAGGGTTTTTGTTAAATCTTTCCGTTCGGTTTTTTTTTTCCAGTACCCAGTTTATCTTGTCTCTGTGTTTCATCTGCATACATCGTGACATGTCGTCGAGCCTCAAAAGTTTCAAGGAGCTTAGAATTTGACTTTTTTCCATTCACTTGTCGATATTTACTTTTATACATAAAGCATGCTATTCATTTTTCTTTGTGGGGATCATTTGGTCATCATTAGTGAATTTAGAAAACGTTCAAAGTAATGTAAAGAAAGAAAGAAAAGTAGGCCCAGTTACTCCTGTAGAGGTATTGCAAAGAGACCTGGGAATTGTCTTATGGTAATTTTGCTGTTTCTGATCGAACATTCGTGAAAAGACGTTTATTAACCATTAAGAGTTCTTGCTTTCCAGAACTTAAAATCATCTCAAGTCGTAAAATCATTAAGTTGAGCTTCCTGCTACTTTTGATTATGTATGTTTATAGTCCACAAAGTAAATACGTGGTTAAATAATAAAAAAGAATTTTCAACCTGTTTCTGTGAAATTGAAGCCTCCTGTTGGTCTCTTGAAAAAAGCTGAATATTTGGGGTTTGAGCAATTATAAACTGAAGTCAAAACACACTTTAATACCGCTGAGATGGTTGTGTGTGGTTGTGTAAAAATTCATCTTTATAGATATGGTTAATTATTCGCCTGCACAGAGACGAGTCGGTTGCTATGGTGACAATCTCCTGCCGAAAGTAATGAGAGCAGAGTATTTGAACACATATTGTGACGATAAGTTTTCCTCCACCAACTGGGAAACTGACTCTTCGCGGACGGCACAATAACAACTGGGGGAAACAACTCGGTAGAGACGACTTGGCAGCGAGAACGGAAACTCGTCACGATTTCCTGGTACACGGAGATCTGCTTCGAGCGAGCTTATATGGACGTCAAGGATAAGACAATCTTTGGTTCCACAGTACTTTTATTCTAGGTCAGGCCAACAAGCGACATGACCTCTAGCATACTCTAGTTTGTAATCATCAAAGCTGTACAAGGTACTTGCTTAAGAAGTAACTGGTGCGAAGTGCTATTGTTACACAAATCGCAATATTTGAATAAGGACACAAAGGAGCGGAAAAAAGTCTCTTTGAAGTTAAACGAAAACTACTTAAATATTCCATCTGTTTCTACGACGGAAAGAACCACAAAATTAAAAAGACAGATGCAATAAACCCTAGGCCATTAAAGTAGGAAACCTAGGTGCGAGTTTTACAGCTCTGATATAGAAAACAATACCCATCTTAATTGCAGTAGCGCAGCTCAGGAGATAAAAAACGGAAAATCAATTAAAAGTTTCTGCTTATCTATACAAGATTGGTTTGGAAACCATCGCATGAAAAGAAATTAAATTTACGCGTATAAACTCAGCTGCTATCTACCATGAAAACCAATGTTTCCAGAAAGACCATTAACACTTATATTTACTTAAAAAAAACCATGTAATAAATAAGAAAAGTGCCGGCAAGCAGGTACATATGATGAAAGCGAGTAACAACAAAAATCTATTCAAAAGCTACTGTGGTTTTTTTTTATGCATTTTTTTGATTTATTAAAATGAAAGGACTTGAAATGGTTAAATGTGAAAGCTCACGAATAAATATGTTCCGAATAACACTCACGGGAAAATCAGTAAATTTTCCCGTAACAATATTTAACTACAGCTGTCTCAATTTGTCTGATGTTCCCCGGCATAAAGTTGAAAAACTCACTTAAGCTGTTCGTTGGAATTATAGCGGGCGTTTTGTGGGAACATGCTGTTTGTTTTCTACTGCTTTGTTCTCACCGTTTTGGCTTCTCTAATACCAGAAGTACAAGGTGAGATTTTTCTACGGTTATGTCCTAGCTCATGTTTGAGTACTATTTAAAAGTTTACCGAATCATTATGTTACATTTTTATCATCCTTATTAACATAACTAAGCCTTGAGGTATTCGCACAAACTTCTTCCAGAAATATTATAGATAATAAACTAATTTTAACCAAGTTTCGATCTAGGCAGGTGTAAGACAACCCTCATATTTTATAAGAAGTTCAAAATAACATGTTAGGGAACATGGGTTTTGGGAAGCTTTACTTCAAAATAATTGATCGGGCCTCTGCAATGTTTTCCATAAACGTTCTAAAATTTTTAATGCGGCACAAGGGATAAGATATCTACGGGCAGATCTTCGAATTTTAAAACAAGTAGAAAGTCTTGTCGAACTCAACTGAAATGGCTCGGCTGAATCAAATGAAAGCGCGACACAGAAGTGCAACTTTTAATTATAGTCTTTTAGACTAGAAATAGCGTTTCGGGGAAAAGAATTAAAAAGAAAAGAAAAAACAACAGAGCTTTTTACTTTGGGCTGAAACATGTTATTTGTATCAAAACTTGCAACTGGCCTTTTTTGGTAAAATCTGACTAAAAGTTGATCCTTAAGTTGATTCAAATAGTACAATCCTATAAATTGAGGACTTTGTGGATTGCGGGGAGCCTCTGCAGAAAGAAAGTTCTACATGCATATATACATAAATAAACAAAATATTCATTGTACTTCCTAAAAAGGGCTTTTCAACCGAAACAGGTGGTTCTCAAGGAAGAAAATTTGTTAAACAAATTTTACGTAGTCCTGTTTGATCAAAATTTAGATTGTTGATCGTCCATTGGTGGAGTTTCTCAGAGTATTTGATCACAAAAATAACGCCGTCGGGTATTTAAGTTCTTAAAAGCGCAAGAACAAAGGTGGTAAACATCACCTTGCTTTGCAAATGTGACGCGAGTCTCAAAACAGACCGTTTTAAACAAAAAACTATCTGCCATCAAAGCAACTTTAATTTGTTAACAAAGTCTTTTTTTTTTAACAAACACAGGTTTCCGTGTGAGCTAAGGACAGGTTTTCAAAACCTTGCAAGAGTAAATCTGCCAGTTATTTCATGCAATAATGATCACGAGACTTTCACGAACTCAGGCAAAATAAATGAGTGTCCATCGTGCGCGTCAGTATGGTAAAATAAGATCGAAAATTATTTTAAAACAGTGACGTCAGCACATATTCATGATCGCAAAAAGATTTTACGCTTTTTTGCTTTAAAGTAAATACATGTGTTTGATTGTATTTTCGAATTAAGGAAAGTAAGTAGCTTAGAGTAGATTCTGTCTAATGGAAAACCACGAACAAGTTCACTACAGAGGATGTATTTTTGGAAAGGAATTCATCATTAATTGATGCAGACATCCTGTCTTGACTGACATGAAAATTTTTCCTCAAGCTCGATATTTAACACCCAACTTTGAGTCCTCACTTTCACTTGGTGCAGTAAATTGAAAAAGCAAATTTATTCTTACAGTTTATCGTAGCGTCAACATCAATCTGGATAATAAAGTTGCCCATCGAAAACGTAAATTTTCGAAACGCGCTCTTAAAGAAGATGATTTGAAAATTCAGACTTTACCTTATGGTTTGAACGAAAAATTCTAGAAAAAGGAATTTTTCAAGGAAAACCGTTAGTGTAGCATGTGGCGCCGCATTTTCTATCGCTTTTCAAGTTTTCTTGTCTATTACTTCTTGGACATCAGATTCTTAAAAGCAGTCGCATGATTCCTTCATCGTTTTTCTACTTCACTCGACCAAAATGTAACAATTTAGGGTTTATTGTTCCTGTTACATTTAATTGTGCCCTTAAAATGTGCATGCTCGGGGGTAAATTTCAGTCGATTCGCCTCCAAGCCATTGTTAATGCACACTACGAATGTAAAAATTTTGTTAATTTTTTAGAGATAAAAGCCAGGACCTAAATAGTATAAAAAGAGTTGGTAAACAAGTTTTTTAATTTTCAGAGGAGTTTTTAACTCCTTGAGTTATACGTCAGCAAGTTTAATTATCTCTCGCTTTGCTTTCGTAATACTCAGTGTGGTCGAAATCTGCAGTCAGGCTACACAACAATTAACGCACGTACGCTTTTCACGAATTGAGTCTTTGAGACGAGACCAAACAAAAGCTGGCAATAACCTTTATTAAAGAGCTAAACATGCTCAGACGACATTATTATCATCACGTGACTAACACGAATTACTCTACATATCAACACGGGTTGATAGTAGACTTCGGCTTCGATTGATAGATCGATCATAATAGGTGATCGCATCAAAAAGTTAAAAATTCCCTTTATCATTCAGAACAATATTTAAAATTACTCGACTGGTGTTATAGGCAAGGCAGAAAACCAAAATCCAAATTAGAGCAATGATTAAGGAGTAACACTGCTCTAAAGTTCCAGCTTAAGTTAAAGTTCCTAATGCTACATACAACTTTCTAACTTAGTAGATTTTTTCTCTAGGTAATTGCCGCAATTTAAAGTTCACCAACTTCCGGTTGGAGAATCACACGGTTCGAACCATTGACGTCGTCAACGAGGATCTCTGCATGTTTCAATGCTACCTGGAACCCAACTGCGTCAGTTATAACTTCTGTGAGATAAAACAGTCTTCTGGAAAACATGAGTGTGACCTAAATAACGCGACTATTGAACACGATGAAGACCTGGTGAAAAACAAAATTTGTATTTACCGCGGAGCAGAGGTGAGGATAAACTCTATGGGCCAAAAGTAATATTCATTGTCCGAGAAAGCTTTACTACCGGACCAAGGGATACCTAGCCTCTCTAACCCGTTAATTTTACCCGCTTGCAAGGGGAATAAATGAATACATGCGAGGAACCTATCATGCGTGCAAAAATATCATTTTAAGTTTATCCCTTCCTTCCCAAGAATGCTTGTAAGCAAAATCCTTGCAAGAATAACGCAACATGCCAAGCTGGGTTTACAGACAAAGACTATAAGTGTTTGTGTGTTGATGGATCTGGATTTAAAGGCCACGATTGTGATGAGGGTAAGGAGTCTTATATTTTTCATTAAGGCAGAAACAAGATGTATAAGTGATAAGCTCCGCAAGTGATTAGTGATAGTCACAGAACATCGCAGGTGAAAGCCTAGAATGGCACAAGTTATTCAAAATACAAAAGGGACTTACATGTGAACAACTATGTTGCGTCTCATGGTTCATCTTGGAACGGGATTTTTCACTCATTTTTGTTTTTTACCTCATTCAGTCTCAATTTTCTTCAACGCGGTTTCTTACCCACCATCTACACGAACAAACTGTAATTTCTCAGTTTCCTTTATTACGAAGCGAATGTCAACAGAACTAAGCACAAAGTTTACGCAAAGATCAGACGTGATCCCATATCTACATAAAAACATAAAACAATGAAAATCTTTCAGGAAACAAACTTAGATGAAGATAACGGTCTTCTCTTTCCTCTTATAGACTTAGACGAGTGCTTGTCTGGTAAACATAGCTGTGAGGGTAATACCACATGCAATAACAACATTGGATCGTACTCCTGCAGGTGCAAGAAAGGATATCAGGCAATAAGACAAACTGTACAGGTAAGTATTCTTATCTGACAACAGGAGACTCTCGCGTTAATACGAAAATTCGTGCAGCCAGAGCTAGTCAAAATAACCTTCACATTCTAATGATATTCATTTTGTTGTCTTAGACATAGATGAATGTTTGAACGCAACACACGGTTGTGATGTGAATGCTGAGTGTAACAATACCCTGGGATCTTACAAGTGTACGTGTAAAGATGGATTTCATTTCATAAAGATGGACATATTCATACTCCGTCCGTTATCTTCAGTTTTTCAGATTAGTTAGAGAAATGGTCTCATTTACATTTATTTTCCTTTTCGTGTTCTAGATCTAGATGAGTGTATGAACGGAACACATAACTGTGATGTAAATACTAGGTGTAACAATACTCTAAGATCTTAAAACTGCACGTTTAAAGATGGAATTCAAGGAAATTGAACCAACTGCACACGTAATCAGCTGCAACATATCATACTCTCTATTTTTTCGATGATACTTGTCATGTGACAAAAAGGAATGACCAGAGAACAGAACTGTTTTTTGTTGATTTAGATACCAACGAATGCACTGAAGGAAAACACGTCTGTGATGTAAATGCTGAGTGTAACAATACCTTGGGATCTTACAAATGCACTTGTAAAGATGGATATGAGGGAAATGGAACCAACTGCATAGGTCAGTCAGAAGCTAAGGTACCAATCAATGTTTTCAAAATAAAAAAAATTTAACTGTCAAACCAATTGATGTAAACTTGGCTGCATCAGGCCAGAAGTGCAGTATTGGCAGCGTGTAAGTCAATGATTGAACAGACGCCGGCACGAGACTAGCAAAATTGGAGGATGCTCTGCAAGTGAGCATAATTCTAAAACTTTTGGCGTATTGATAGTGCTGTTTGTTTTTTGTTCTCCTCCTTTATTCAGAGAAAATATGGTCTGTTGTAATTTGCGAGGGGAAAAAAAGGACCATAAGTTGTGAAAATGACCAAAGAACTATCGACGTTGTGGATGCAACTTATGGCAGACTGAATTCAAACACTTGCGGCCATACCAAAATTAGCGATACAAACTGCAAAGCTGAGAACTCTCTGGTCATTGTGCGGATGAAGTGCAACGAAGAAGCTAGTTGCGAGTTGCATCCAGTTAATTCAGTTATTCAGTTATAGCTATTTTTATATGCATTTGTTTTAGAATAGCATGAGGCGCTAGATCACGCGTCCATTTAATTTTCAATAAAGTGGTGAGTTTCTAAAGAAACTGTGGTGCTGCGTCGGTGGGAGAGTATAGCAGGTAATTTAGTGTTAAGAACTGGGTTGAAAACGTAAATTAGCCACCGTAAAGGGTAAAAAAGCTGACGTTTCGAGCGTTAGCCCTTCGTCAGAGCGATTAGCGTCAGCTTTTTTACCCTTTACGGTCCCTTTTGGGTTCATATCAACTCAATTCAAGGATGAATTTCATCACTTAATCCAATAACTGGTTGAAAAAATGATTAAAACGAGGTTTCTGTATATTGCGGGCTTTCAAGTTTTATGTGAGAAAATGCTTGACAACATCAATGAAGAGATCTGATGTTCTTAATCTGTTAAAATGGAAGATTATACACCAAGCTCCTCGCAACAACGTTCACTCACAAACATGTAAACAGCATTAAGGAGATATTTTCTCATTAAAAAAATACACCTGATGTGGGCAGAAGCCAAAATGTACTCAGATTATGTAAAATGAAAAATATCTACCGATGGCGTGTGAGCAATTTCAGGTATATTAAGGTGTTGCGACACTCTTTTTATTTGGTAATTTTAGATTTCCTTTTGCTTTAAAATAGATTTACGTTGTCAAGGAACGCTTGGTATGGAAAGTGGTGCAATCACCGATGAGCAGATAACTTTCTCGTCCCAAAAACACAAGGATAACGCGAAAATTGTAAGATTGCATCACACAAGGAAGACTTGGATACCAGATAATAAGGATTCTAATCCGTGGCTTCAGCTCGATCTCAGAGCTCAAAACACTGATGTAACACGAGTAGCAACACAGGGATCCCGTCAACATAACAAATGGGTGACGAGGTACAAGCTACAATACAGCAACTATGGAGTGAGATTTCAAAACTACAAGGAACAAGGAAAAACCATATCAAAGGTAAAACTGATCAGAGGCCTGGAAGGGTTCTAAAACATGAGCTGCTCATTGTACACAAAGCCAAGTTCATTCCTTTACTCAAACTTCCCCGAAGTGTTCTTTGAGTAGTTTGTTAGGACAAACAGTCTTCTTTGCAATCAGGGATTCGTTTCTCGATTTGTTACGATGCACGAGTCGACAGTTGTTAAAGAAGATTGTTACGATGTATGAAATTTCTTACATTTACCATTTTCTTTGCACGGGTACAAATTTCATCCTGATCCAGTTTTTGATCAACCTCAGATAGATATTTGTAGATAAAGTTCGTCTTAATTTTACCGTAAGGTGGAACGGGATGAATTTAATGAATGAAATCGCTCGTGAGATATTTCACGGTTTACCTAACGCAAAACATTGCATAATATAATGATATAGATTTTATTTTAAAAAATTCTTATGTTCTTATGCGGGCACGTACCAAGCAATTTATATGAAAACACGTAACATTTATTTCACATCTTTTATAATGCAGGAATTTGACGGAAACACAGACGAGAACAGTGTTGTTTATCATGACCTGAATGCACCAATCACAGCAAGGTACATACGATTTCTACTAGTGGAGTGGGAAGGTGAGATATCAATGAGAGTGGAACTGTATGGATGCGTGAAAGGTAAGAAAATAACTTTTAGCTGATAATTATTGTTTGCATCACAGTTGATCTAATTATAGGAGCTCTTTAAGGTTCTTCATTTCGTTGGAAGTTTCTGTGATTATGTTAACGACATTTTTTTTAGTTCAGTGTAAAATTCCCTTGATTAATTGCTTCGTGATCTTATAGCTACTTTTATTTCGCTGCCATAGATAAGTTATATTTGTAAAACGCCCTCTAACCTTTCGTAAACAGAATGTGGAAGATTTCTCGGCATGCAAAGCGGTGAAATCTCTGATGGACAGTTAAGCGCATCTTCAGAGAGAGATTCTAAACACTCCGTCACTCAGAGCAGACTTCATTTTGTAAATCCTGACGGAGCGGGATCTTGGGCGGCTGAAAGTAATGGTACGGATCAATGGCTCCAAGTTGATCTGGTTATTCTGAACACTCGAGTGACACGTATGGCAACACAAGGAAGTAATAGACACCAGGGAGAGTGGGTTACAAAGTACAATCTGCAGTACGGCAACGATACTGAAAGGTTTTACAATTATACAGCCCCAGGACAAAACACAACGAAGGTAAAATTGATTTCTTGTGTATTGATTCTCGTTTGAACAAGAAAAGAAGTATTTTTGGATCATCATTTGCAGGGATTTTGCAAACGCACCGCTAGTAATAATTGCATGATATTGAGCCCCCCGAGAGGCACGATTATAGGAATGGTGTATGAATGAGTTGTGGGACTGTTTTCACATCGTAATAAGTGATATTCATAAAATTAATTCTTATCAAAAAATTAATGGAAAACCTCTTATGTTGTTAATTCAAAGGTTTTTTCTGGAAACACTGATCAGAATACCGTGGTTTATCACGACCTTAACCCACCAATCACAGCGCGTTACATTCGTTTTAAACCAGTAGAGTGGCAGGACCAGATATCGATGAGGGTAGAACTGTATGGCTGTGTACAAGGTAAGGCCTGAATGACAATAACGATTGAGAGGTACTTCTTGTAACTAGTAATTTACGCCAGATAATGCTTCATTTCCTTTTCAAAAGCGAGCGCTTGGATATTGTTTACTATGTGTCATCTCAATCACAATCGAGCTGCTACAAGTTGACGCGAGTTTTCTGGACCAATAACAGGGCGAAGAGAGGCAAAAAACCAATAAAATCCTGGACAACTTGTTGTAATCATTTGAAAATTGCTCTGCATAGTATTATTCAATTGACTCATCAGCTTTGGTGACATGGAGTTCCTTACTTCTTTGCTCTCCTCTTTTCACTGTCACGTGTGATCGCCGAACCACAAACTGGAATAATTTGACGAGAAAAGCTACTCTAATTGTGGGAATGGGAAGGAAACCTTGTCTTCTCTTGAGATTTTTAGATTCCCCAACAACAAAACCTCGTGATGGCTCAACCGCACAGTTTATAAAAGTAAGTCACGTCGCTATTCAAAAACACCATTTTGATTCAGGTCGGCAATCAATATGTTACTGTCGAATGTAATCTTTCGATGTAATGAAGTCAATGCCCGACTATCGAGGATTTCTATTTTCTAAAAATACAAACGTGAGGCGTCGGAAAATGCATAGCACGACTTGATCGAACGCTCCAAGTGACTGACGTTTCAATTCCATTTTTTCGGTGATTTAATAATTTACGTAAATGTAAGAACATTTCCTTAGAGATGGCAAAGAAACTTTTGACAATTTCTTACCAAAAACATTACTTTTATTCTATGGTTTTACGCAGGATTCACAGCTGTGTTTACAAATCTTGGTAAGATTGGACCAAAGGGTCCAGACGCGATTGGTAGTCATTACAAAGATCAAGATCATGACGGACAAGTAAAGTTGCTCAGCGGTATTCAACTGTGGACTGTGCCACGCACAGAATAGAAGCAATAGGAGCCTCACGGGGGTACAGTGAGGACAGTTTTATAAAAACCGGAGGAAGAGGGGCAAGAATGATTGGAAACTTTAATTTGACCAAAGATGAGATCATTCATGTACTTGTCGGTCAAAAAGGGGAAAAGGAGAGTTTTAACTCAAAAACAGCCGGAGGTGGAGGAGGTACATTTGTAGTGAAAGGAAACAACAAGTCTTTGATTATAGCTGGAGGTGGAGGAGGAATTAAAAATGTATTGGAACAACATCCTGGATGTGATGCGTCCATAAACACAACAGGGAATGGAGGGTATAACTTGCCATTGGGTTCAGGAGGCAGCAACGGAAATGGAGGAAAGGCCAGTACAAAATATTCAGGTACGCGGAGAAAGAAGAAAAAAACAAAACAATCAGTAGGTTCAATCCATCAGGACAAGAGGACGACAGTAAGATTTGTCAGAACTTAATTGTTGAAATTACTAATTCTAACTTTGAAGTTTTTCTTTTCTCGGAGGCACCTCTTAGAATATCAGTTTTTTAAAAAATCCTACGTATCACCTCATGTACATTTATTTTGTCCTGATAAACTGTTCTATTTCTAGCAATTGACTACCCAATAATATTTTTGAATAAATTTCTAAAAATTGAGAAGTGCACTAAGTTGATAATATTGTGAATCGCCGTTTAAACGCTCTTAAGTAAGTAATCAAATAGAAGCCATTTATTAGACAACTGCTTCTCAGTTTTCGTTTATTGTAGGTAGTGGCGGCGGCGGTTTCTACAGTAATGGACAAAGTGCTTCGAGCGGTTCTGGTCGAGAAGGTAAAGGATATCTTCAAGGAGGAGAGGGTGGAGATGGTAAGGGTGGGTTTGGAGGTGGCGGTAGTTTACGTTGGAACCGTGGAGCTGGAGGAGGTGGAGGTTACTCCGGAGGAGACGGTGGAGCTAATGAAGAGTTTTACTGTGGGGGGGGGGGGGGGAGGGGGGGGGAGGATCTCTTAACAATGGGACAAATCAGCAAAATGAATGTTGTTTTAATAGGTATGGACATGGTAGAGTGATCATCACCTTTCTTCAGTGACATGTCCTTGGCAGCACTTTCTCTAACGTGTGAGGCTAATTCTGTTTTGAAGGCTGATTGTCTTTCTCCGGAATTGAATAATATTTTGTTTAATATTCAAGGTCAGTCACGATGTGGCCACTCTATGTGATGGGTTTTTAGATGTTGATTAATTAAGAGGGGACAAACAAATTCTAAAATGAGATTCAGTCATTTAAGTTCTGTTTCCCTCTTCAGAAAGTAGGGCATAAAAGCGGTTAAATATGCCAAGGTGATGACACGTTCAAGTTTCCGCAAAACTTTATTTACTTGTTACATTGATAAGTTTTTGTCAACATTTAGAATAACATTTTAGGAGACTCTTGAGCTCTTATGTATAAAAAGGAAGAGAAACGTGAAATTGTAATAACAATTATTATTTCCGAGTCTTCAGTCAGTAGTGTCAATTTATATTACATTATTTTAAAAATCAATAAATTGATTCCTAAATGTCAGTAATGGATCTTTACTTAGCTGCACTTAAGTTATAACTAATTAACACTGATTGTGAACAAAGTTATTAGGGGAAAGAACGTGGAAATATGTTTCACCGAGAAAACGAGAAACCTCAAGTTCACCATATCAATTTCCCGATCTTCGTTTTTGGTTTTTGGTTTTTATGCTTCCTTATCCTTTCAGTCTCTTCTCCTGCCTTACTTTCTACACCTTCTCAACTTTGCCTCCTTGGTTAGAGACGGAAGATTCACCTACGATTCACATCTTGACCCTTTTTCCATAAAATTATACCAAAGCCCTTTCAGATCCCTAAAAAAAGTGTAATACGGGGCTTTAGTTCTTTCGAGCCGAAGTCAAAATTATAAAAACTTGTCATGCGGATGGGGCTAATTATTCGCTTGCACAATTTGAACACAACCGAAACGAGTCGGTTCCTATGGCGACAATCTCCTGCAGAAAGGAAGTGATAAATGTTTCGCGATAAAAAATCCAACTTTGCTCAAAAGGTCTTTCAAAAGACGGGAAGTGAAGCATGGACGGGTTTTTTCATCACCTTGGCCCTTGTCCGTCAACCTTCTCTGTACAGCAGACTGATACGGTTTGAATTAAAGGCGGCGGGGGAACAAATCTGGCCTCACGAAATAATTTAAATCCATCTTTAACGTTCCAAAAATTTCGGGTCAGTAATAAAACGGTCGTCTTTACTATTCCATCAAATGTGGGCGGACGAGGAGAGCGTATAAACATTTGATAAACAGTCTTCATGTAGCTTTCTGTCATATGTTACACTTGTTCAGACATAATGGAAAAAATCTTAAATAACAAATTCCTTTGTGCAACTGATTAAAGGTCATTAATATGAATTATGTATAATTGACTTTCACCAACCAACTACATTCCAAAGAAAATAATTAAGTTTTGGCAACCAAAAACTCACTGTAGCTGTTTGCTAAAATTATAACGGGCTTTGTTTTTCTAAGAACAAACTCTGTATTCTATTGCTTCGTTCTCACTGTTTTGGCTTCACTAATTCCAGGAAGACAAGGTAAGATTTTCCTATAGTCATTTCTTATCAATAGTCTGAGTAATATTTTGAAGTTTACTAAGAGTTTCTTATTACTTTTTTGTTATCTTTATTAACCTAACAAGGCCTTGAAATATTCGTACAAGACTCTTCTCCTAGTATTGGTATAATGAATTATTTCGTCTAAATACTCGCAATAATACTGGATGACAAATACATTTAAGAGGAGGTTCGTGAATATTTTGTCATTTTGCTACCCAAGTTTTTGAAGTAAGATTAAAACAAACGGATGAAGTTTTAGGGAAAAAGTTTTAGGAGAAACCTACAGCGAAAGTTTGCTTTAGAGTAATTACTCGCGTCTCTGTAATCTGCTCATGAACGTTTTTGACTTTTCAGTCCCACAAGATGGATAACATGACCTTTGTATTTTAAAAAGAAGTTGAGAGGCTTATTAAAACTTGACTGAAATAGCTCCGCTGGATCGAAACAAAACTTGACACAGCTTTCTACAGTTTCGACAAAAAAAATTAATTCCTATGGCCACATGAAGATTAAAAAAAAAAAAAAAAAAAAAAAAAAACAGCAGTTATCTAAACTTTTCGCCGAAACATGTTACATATAATAAAACGTGACTCTTTGCCACAAATTGGCTCTAAAGTTGATCTTAAGCTTTTCTCAAATTTCACAAAAATGTAAATCAGAAGATTCTTGTATTTCCGGTTTAAATCACTTAAACGTATCCACAATAGTCCGTATGCTTTTCAATTGATGCACCCTAAACGGCATGAATCTTAGAAACTTTTTATAAGCTGATTCTTCCTACGAGTGTTGGATATCGATAAGATGTCTACATGTATAACTGATTTGGATAATTACCAATTTTGTAAAACTCGTATCGATTATATTTTTTCGCAAAGATTGGTAAAAAAAGGCTTTTTCTGCGTTTGTTCAGAGTGAATAAATTTGTTTTGCCGCAAGAAAGAAAAATAAAATTAACAAACAAAGAAAACAGAAGAGAACAAAAAAGAAACTATTCCAAATATATTTGTCTCCCTGTTTTAGGCAGAATAATAATCTAACCTGCACGAAGCGATAACGTCATAGCAAGTAAAATTAAGAAAGTAGATTTAATTTGGAATCACTGAAAAACTGTCATGAATAATTTGCCACATAGGTGGTTTGAACGAAAATAAAAAAAAAACAGAACAAAAAAAAACTATTCCAAATATATTTGACCCCTTGTTGTAAGCAGAATAATAAATTAACCTGCATGAAGCGATATCGTCATATAAAGTAAAATTAGGAAAATATTCACATTTTTAGACAACATCTGTCGGCGAGTCTCATGCATTCAGTAGATTTAAGTTGGCACCATTGCAGAAACATAACGGAAACGAACAACAGCGTAAACGTCCTGACTTAAATATGACGGAAACATGACTTGACATTTCTGTTCCGGAAACATGACGAAACTTGATAGAATCAAGACTTGTATCACACGTTTTGCAGAATAATGACGGAAAAAGCTCTATTAGTCAATTAGTCTAGTCAATTTGCATAATATGGCGGATGGACACGTTTTCCTAGCTCCGAAGGCTGATCGCTTTATCTCCAGACCGCGGCTTGTTGACCAGTTCCTTGCCTGATTTGATAGAATCGACTCAACTCTGGTAGTCGCTGATCAGATTAATAACAAGAATATGTCTACTTCTGTACCCGAATACTTTCTTCGTCCTTTGAAATGAGCAGAAATGGCTGCTATCAAGAATGCATTAAATGGACGGTCCGTCAACTCCCTGAAGGTGAAAGATCTAAGGGACGAACTTGAAAAAGCTCTCTAAATCTGGCAGGAAAACTGAGCTGGTTAAAAGACTCAAGGAGTCGATTTTGTCAGGATCTGGTGAAATTCAAATTCCCCGCCACAATGTCAACCAACCGTCACCTCGGCCATCGGCTGTTATAAACCTGGACGACACTAGCAGCAGCCCAGAACAACAGAGTCACACACATGCAATGGCTACCAAGTCCCTTAAAGATCTATACGACCGCTTGGAAAATGAGGTAAACAAACTCAAAGACTTGTATAGATCTCGATTAACGGACAGTAGAGAAATACAGTCAACCTGTAAATCATGTCAAAATCAACAACGGATACAGGAAGAAAATCGCGCTCTGCGAGAGCAACTTCAGCTAATGAAGTGAAATCTAGATAAAACAAAAGAGGAGCGAGATTCCCTGCAGATGGTAGTATCATTGCTAAGCAAGGAGCTATATAACTTTCGCCTTGACAGCAAGGAAGCTTTTTTAATGAGTCGCCTTCGGTTGATCCTAAGGTGTCGGATACAAAATGGTCGGATACAAAGGCGGACACAAAGCAAAACAATGGATCATCTAAATCTCAATCTTCCAAAACAACGAAGAATCACCAAAGCAAATCGAGCAAGAAAAAGCCGCCAAACAAGAGTTCTCACAACAGCTCTAATACTCTTAACCACAACCAAGAAAGATCCTCGCCGACCACCGTCATTATTGGCGACTCAATCATCAGAAACATACAAGGGTGGCAATTAGGGAAAGAAGTCGGCCACCGGGTTGTTGTAAAGTCCTTCGCGGGAGCTACAACAAGTGATATGTCACATTATGTGAAACCAACACTGGACAAGAAGCCGGACCAGATCATTTTACATGCTGGTACTAACGACCTTGGAAAACTATCCCCAAGCGAAATCGCCGATAACATCGTTGACCTAGCGAGGGAAATTGAAAGCTCCACGGACGCACAAGTAATAATATCAGAGCTGGTCACAAGATCGGACCTCTCAGATAGCGGCGATGTTGATGCAGTCAACAAAAGGCTTCGAAAATTCTGCAATCAGCGACAGTGGCACTTCATACTCCACGATGACATTCACTCAACGGACTTAAATAGAGGAGGACTTCATCTTGGGGAGACAGGTATTGCCAAAAATGTATAACAACTTCGCGAATAAATTACATGAATGTAATTGACCTACTGGCCGTCTGTTCAATTCAGAGCGCCTGTTCAATTCAGAGCGTAATCGTGACCTTGGAAATCAATCGTTTCTCACCAATTTCTCCCGCCTAAACGAGGCTTTAAATTGGCCTCGCTAAATATCAATAGTCTTTCTGTACACATTGATGAACTAAAATTTTGCTTTCCGACAGACCTATCGATATCTTAGCCATAAATGAAACTAAATTGGATGACACAATAGGCGATAATGAAATTCATATTTCTGGCTATGAATCTATTCGTAGAGATCGCTCTACTAACGGTAGGTTGGAGGGGTGTTTGTTTTTATTCGTTCCGAAATCATTATTCTGTTCGTTTTTCTGATCTAATATGTTGAACAAAAGAAAAATCTGACTGTCGAAATCAAGAAGCCCAGATCAAGGCCTTTTTGCCGTTATGACCTGGTATAGACCCCTGATTCTTCAATTGATCTTTTTAGACCATTTGAAGAACTTATTGGAAAAACTAGACTCAGAAAATATCGAATATTACGTCTTAGGAGATCTGAATTGTAATATGGCCGCACCTAAGTTTGACAAAAGTACAAATATCTTATCTAATATTGCTGATGTTTACGGCCTTGACCAGTTAATAACTGAACATACTAGAATTACCGACAAATCACGTACTTTAATTGATCTAATTTTTACAAATACTCCAGATAGGGTCGTCTGCTCAGGGGTCTCACATATAGGCATCAGCGATCACAGTTTAGTTTACGTTTTTCGTAAAGTTTCTATTGAATCGACAACGAATAAGCATACTACCCTGAGATATAGGAAATTTAAGAATTTTAACTCTGATCACTTTCGTAACGATATAGGTCAACAGGATTGGAGTAGCATCGAAAGCTATTCTGATCCTAATTTAATGTGGGCTGCATGGAAACAACTATTCCTGGAATGTGTAAACAAGCATGCCCCACTTCATGTAAAACGGGCGCGCGTCTCAAAGTCACCTTGGATTACACCTTACTTAAAGAAACGAATGCATGACAGAGATATTCTTAAATTGAAAGCATCGCGTTCTAAGGATGCTAATGACTGGCTACAATTAAAAAATGCCGCAACCTAGTTAATAACGAAATCAAAAAAAAGCAAAAGAGCTCTTTTATAAAAGAGCATTAGATGAAAATGAAGGCAACTCGCGCCAGACATGGAGGATTGTAAATGAGCTCATGTCGAGGAAAACTAATAATTGTTCCATAAAAGAAATCAAAAGCAACGGTAACTCTATTTACGGCCCTCCTGAGATGGCCGATGCCTTCAACAATCACTTTTCTTCTATTGGACCCAAGCTTGCTAGCCAGATTTATTCTAATAATGGTCCATCACACCTACATTACCTTGAGGGAACTGACAAACGTTTTGAGTTAAAATGTATTAATCCTTCTAAAGTGTTCTCACTTTTGTCTAAGCTTTGTAAATCGAAAGCCACAGGCTTAGATATGATATCTTCGCGACTTCTTAGGGAGTGCGCCGATCTGATAGCTGATCCACTGTGTTTTATTTTTAATCAGTCCATCAGATCAGGTGTTTTCCCTCAGGAATGGAAATGCGCAAAGGTTATCCCACTTTTCAAAAGGGAGATCACTCCGACTTAAACAATTATCGCCCAATTTCTATCGTTCCTATAGTAGCTAAGATGTTTGAGCGTATCATTTACGACCAGGTTTACGGTTATCTCACTGAAAACAATTTGATTTCCAACCAGCAATCTGGTTTTCGTTCGCTCCATTCAACTGTTACTGCCTTTGGAGGCCACAAACAATTGGGCCTTCAACATTGATAAAAAGGCAGTATAAATGCAGTTGTTTTTCTCGACCTAAAAAGGCTTTTGATACCGTTGACCATACAATTCTTATGTCTAAATTATTTGAATATGGTATCCGCGGTATCGCTTATGAATGGTTTAGCTCATACCTAGATAATCGCCATCAACAATGTTTTGTAAATGGTTCGCTCTCAATTAGTCAAGTTATCACTTGTGGAATTCCGCAAGGAACAATTCTAGGACCTTTGCTTTTGTTCTATACATAAATGATCTTCCTAATTGCCTGTCTAATTCAGTTGCACGTATGTATGCCGACGATACTCACCTCACCTTTGCCAGTAACAACATAGAAATGATCAATGATGTTATGAATCACGACCTATCAATGTTAACACATTACTGCAAACAAATTGACTCTAAATTCATCTAAAACTGAATTCATGTTAATTGGATCGCGGCAAAGGATAGGTACCCACGATACTTCCCTAAACTAATCATAGGTGGTGACATAATTAAACAAGTTAGCTCAGTCAAATCTTTGGGTGTACACATTGACGAAAACCTTTCATGGAATATGCACATTGAAAAAATAGCCAAGAAAATCGCATCGGGCATTGGAGCAATTAAACGTTGTAGGCCTTTTGTTAATCGAACCACGCTTGAGTCCGTTTTCAATGTCTTAGTTCAACCGTACTTTATTACTGCAGCGAGGTCTGGGGCATTGTAACAAGGGTCTTTCGAATAAGCTCCAAAAGTTGCAAAACCGGGGCTGCCCGTATTCTGACCTTCTCCAGTTATGACACAAGCGCTGATCCTCTTTTTGTGTTAACTGGAGACGGTTAGATACTCAGCGACAAATACAAGTGGCCACCATGGTCTATAAATCTATACATGGTCTTGCGCCCGACTATCTTGGTTCTCTTTTCACTAAATATGGAACTCTGAAAACAAACTAGCTGTTCCATTGCCTCGCACCAATTTCCTAAAAAATAGCTTTTTTGAAATGAATTGCGGCAAGCAAAATCACTTCAATCCTTCCGAAATGGTTGTCGCAATTTCTTCCTCTGAATCGACAAAACACACACGGCATCTATGGAGAATTTCCTTATTTTTTTTTTTTCTATTTTACTTTTAAATTTTAGATCATGTTTATATAGATTAAAATAGATTGTAACTGTAATAATAGATTGTAATAATATTATTATTTTATCTGATAGATTTACCGTGTCTAAATAAAAATAAAGTTCAAGTTCAAGTTCTATGTTTCTGTCACATTTAAGAAATGCGGAAACGTGGAATTTTATCCTGTGTCAAGTGCGAATTATTGGAAAAGTCTTATGACAATAGATGGTTTGTTTCTCGGCTACTAGGTAAAGGTTCGTTACCAACGTGATCTACAACTGAGCCATGACAGTAGGACTGAAATCACTTTAAGAGCACCTGGTAAAAAATTTGGTTCTGAAGTGTTTTTGAATTGGGTAGATTAGTTTTTGAATATAGACTTTTATGGTTAACATGGGCGGTCCTGTGGTCAGTTATTGTTATGAAAAATGCCTGATTATGATTAACACTTGGGGTTATCAATGAGACAAAATTTCAAATTTAAGGGAAGCGCGATCAATTTTTCCGAGAATAGGAAATGAAATTTGATCGTAGACGCCAAGGACCGGAAACTATCCATCCGTGTTATTAACATTTGTCCTCAAAAAGAATCAAGAAAATGTTGAGTGCACAATAAATAAGAACGTTAAGTTTCATTTGAGGTTTAAAAGGGAAAATAATATGAAGAAAGTAATTTTAATTCTTCGACCTGTAAACAGATTGGAATTAAGTAATAGAGGGCTTTTTTCGTTTGCACGACTTCATCTACTCATGAAGGAAATTGGAAGTATTCGTGGAGCCGGTTATGCAAACCATCCGATGTGTTTCAGGGTTGTTTAACTTTCAAAGATGAGGCTAGGAAAATACTTGAAAGATATGTCTCAAAAATATGGGTGAACATAAAAAACCACTTCCTATCATCGTAGCGCACCTTTCTATTCTTTCTTTCGTATTAGAGCGTACGTAATATCTTAGCTTCACTCCAACAGATAATCTTCCTTGTAAACCAAAGTTTAACAAGGAACTGAACGATATCAGAGACGATGATATATTTGAGCAACGTATAAGCTGCTACATGCGACATATTTTTGCCGGGTAGGTTGGCACAGTTTCATGCTCTCACCACGCAAAAACGTCTCTTTTTGAGGGAGAACACCAAATGTATTGTGCCTTAACAGATGGTTCTCCCATTTTGTAATTCAGGCTGACATCCCTACCAAAGATACTTCCTTTAACTAAAATCATCTGCGAGAAGAAATCAATTTAATACCAAGAGATCCAACTCAATACTTAATTCTCTTGAAGAAATGTTCTTAAAACTGAGGGCTTTAATGGACAACGCTAAACCTGAAAACAGACCCGTTATCCAGTATGCAGCTGTCCACAAGTTTTGTGTTTGTGTTAATTCAAACCAAAAGCGTTTTCGACATGTAGATCGTCGCTCAAATTCATCGCACAGAGGCCAATAGAGTAGCACTGTAATCTAACTCTTCTTTCGCTGAAAGAATACCACGAATTCGAAGAGAATCAAACTCAACTGATGGAAAATTAATGTGATTTTAATCTTTGACCAGTTTACGAATATTTGAGTTCATACAAACGAAACATCACACCCTAAACGAATGCCTTTTACAGAGTTTAACTTTTGTTTCGAAAACTCTCTAATTTTTAGATTATTCTACAGCGAATCATGTTTCTCTTCAAAAGTTTATGACAGAAAGGGGGTTTTTATTCTAATTGTCCACTGTTCTCAGTCAGCCTTAGGAAACAATTTTATTCACTGATGTTGTAATACCCGGCCCGTACCTCTCACTGAATTTCGTTTTTCAGGAAAAATGCTGTGGATATTTCGTTATTTTCTTGTCTGTGTTTCGGTCACCAACCCTGTAATCGCTGAGGATCAATGCAGGGTAGAAATTAACATTCGTGGCATGGCTCTCAAAGGTTTCGTTTTCAAGAGAATGACAGTAGCAGCTCCTCATATCTGTGATATCTTATGTGAAAGGGAAATTACCTGCCAGAGCTATAATTTCAACAGAAAAGAACAGATCTGTGAATTAAACAACCGCACAAAGGAAGCAAGACCCGAGAATTTCCGCTCAGACCCAGCGTGGTTTTATATTCGCCGTTTAAACGGAAGAGGTAAGAACTTAACAAGCACTTTGAATAAAAACCATGCTGCTTACAGTCCGTGTTTTCCAATCTCCTGTGCCCTTTGGTATCAATTTCTCTATCAAAATAGAAAATTTCATCCTTTTCTTTTTTCTTTTAAGTTTAAATATTTGTTAACTTCCGTTTAAAAAAAAAAACAGCTGTGATACATGTATAAACATTGACAAAAAATGATTGCGTCATTTCTACAAGAAGCTTAAGGTCAGTAAAGAACTTTGAAGAATTGGAAGCTCAAACGAAGGGTTTATGCGAGAGGGGGTCCTGTCTTCCTAGAGGGTTGTGCTTGACAGAACGTTGAAATATTTCACAACCAAAGAAGGACATTCAAGTGAATGGAATTCGAGCTTCATTCTTATTCTCTCGTGCTTTTCACTTTTTCCTTTCCATCTGCGCGTACGAATACTTTATTTTCAACATTTTTACCCGTACCAGCTCCCTTGGGTTCGATACAGGAGTTACCAGCACGTTCATGCCGTGAAATAACAGCAAGCGAAGGGAAAGACACCGCAAGCAACAAATACTGGCTGGATCCATCTGGCACTGGGAAGGCAGTGTTGGTTTACTGTGATATGAATTTGGAAGGTAAATTACATTTAACCCATTGTAGCTTTCATTTTGCGTTTGAGTTGTCGTTTTTTTGTAGCAACCTTGGTTGCTTTAAGATGTAAAAAAATCGCATCAGTCCTGAAAACAATGCAATACGCAGTTTCAGCTGTAGATTAAAAAGAAAAAAATACCCCAAAGGGAAAAAGAAGATAGGCAACTAGACAGGGTTCAACCACACTACATTTTGATAAAGTCTTGAAAAATATTCTTGCTTTAACCCTTTACACCCTAACATCAGTATTCATATTCTCCATACTGTTCTCTGTACATTTACTAAGGTGCTGACAAGGAGAATTTGTTTGATAATCAAGAGTTTCTTTAGTTGGTGATCATTTCCTTTATTCTTGTGACCTTAATGTTTGATTCAGGGCTGATATGGTATGGAGAAATTAGATGTTAGTCACTCTTAGGGCTTAAAGGGTTAATATTGCAGGCATTGTTCATTTTGTTGGACGAAAATAGAAATATTCTTTTTGTGTTATGTGGCCATGATTGTCAATTTAGTACAATGTACTGTTTCCTTGCCAAATTAACAACAAGATCATGATGAATGCATCAGTGGAAACAATGCCTGTGACGTCAATGCATACTGTAGCAACACTGTGGGTTCCTATTACTGTACCTGCAAGGAAGGATACACTGGCGATGGACGCTCGTGTTCAGGTACATTATTATTTTAATCAGTAAAATCTGTGATTACATTTAAAATTTAGATGATGTTTATGTGAACACCATGATAGTTTATACTGTTGGCTTATTGAGAAAGGAGTCAAATGGCTTATCAAGATGATATACATTTATTCGCTGACAGGGGAGAGGAGGGGAGGGGAGGGGGGGAGGGGTCACGGTTTCCGTATCTACAGATGGGTAGAGGATTGTTTCGTACGTGGCGTAATCATTAACAGAGCGGGAAGAGAATGGAAACCTTCTATGAACCTGCTTTGATTTTGCTAAAGGGATTTTAGGAGCTTTTTCTCCTTTATCTTATTCTGCTCAACCTGCAGGAATATTTTTCAAGCGGTAGTTGGTAATACTGGCAAGAAAATGTGGACAAATTTCTTATTAGTATCATAATTTTCACCTTTATTGTATGTTTTTACGCAGGATTTACTGCTGTGTTTACAAATCTTGGTATGATTGGAAAAAAGGGACCAGACTCGATTGGTAGTCATTACAAAGATCAAGACCATGACGGACAAGTAACATTATCCAGCGGTATTCAACTGTGGACTGTGCCACGCACTGGTGAATACAGAATAGAAGCAATAGGAGCCCCAGGGGGCTACGGTGAGGACAGTATCATCAAAACCGGAGGAAGAGGGGCAAGGATGATTGGAAACTTTATTTTGACCAAAGATGAGATCATTCATGTACTCGTTGGTCAAAAAGGGGGAAAAGGGAATTTAAACCCAAAAAATGCCGGAGGTGGTGGAGGTACATTCGTGGTGAGAGAAAACAACAAGTCTTTGATCGTAGCTGGAGGTGGAGGGGGAATTAAAAATATGTCAGAACAACATCCAGGATGTGATGCGTCCATAAACACAACAGGAAATGCAGGGAACAATTCGCCTTTGGGGTCAGGAGGAAGCAACGGACACGGAGGAAAAACGAGTGGTCAATTTGCAGGTAAGCGGAGAAGGAAGAAAAAAAAAACCAATCAGTTTTTTCAGTTAACCAGGATAGGAAGACGACAATAAGATTTATCGGAACTTAATTATTAAAATTATTAATTCTAGCTTTGAAGTTTTTCTTTTCTCGGAGGCACCTCTTAGAATATCTAAAGTTCAACTGGGTTTCCAGTTCAGTTTTTAGAAATCGTACACATTTATTTACTGCTCACCATCGATCCGTCAATATACATAGGCATCACTTCATTTACATTTCTCTCGTCCAAATAAGCTTTTCTATTTCTAGCAATTGACTACCTAATAATACTCTTAAATAAACTTCCAAAAATTGAGAAGTGCACTTAATTGATAATATTACAAATCGTCGTTTAAACTCTTAAACAAGTAGTCAATTAGGAGCCGTTTACGAGATAACTGCTTCTCACTTTTCGTTTATTGTAGATGGTGGCGGCGGCGGCGGCGGCTTCTACAGTAATGGGCAAGATACGCAGTCCCGTAAAAATGGAGGTCAAGGATATCTTCAAGGAGGAAATGGTGGATATGGTAGAGGTGGGTTCGGAGGTGGCGGTGGGTTACGTACAGGCAACGGTGGAGCTGGAGGAGGTGGAGGTTACTCGGGAGGAAATGGTGGAGCTTATGAACAGTTTTCCTGTGGGGGAGGGGGAGGGGGAGGATCTTTTAACAATGGGTCAAATCAGCAAAATGAATGTTGTTTCAATAGCGATGAACATGGTGGAGTGATCATCACGTTTCTTCAGTGACATGCCCTTGCTAGTACTTTCTCTCACATGTAGACTTGTTTTGAAGGCTGATTGTTGTTGGTCTTTAAACTCTGGAGTTGAATAATGGTGGTGTTGGCCCAACGGTGCAACCTGAGGAATTAGTCATTTGTTTTTGAGTTCAGATTTTAAATAAACAAACACAATTTCTCAGAGTAAATATTTTATTTATGAACATCTCCTGACGTAAGGAATACGTGACCTACAAAAACTGCTATTTTTGTTCTTTTTCCGGCTCTTTTCTAGGCAATTTATCGGATGGACATGTGCATCACTTGATAACTAGTTAATACACAACATGTAGGGTATTAGGACTATTAAATGTTTCGTAGAGAAAATGTTGAGAAGACAGTCCTTCATATTTTTCTGTACTTCAATCACTACGTATATTTAAATATGATTTTCCACTGACTACGAGGGTTTATCAATTCGTTTTTCTTGATCAAGTCAATTTTAATACGATCAGTTAGACCCAGTATCTTTGTTTTTCCGGCCGCTCTTTGGGCCGACTGATTGCATTTTTTCGCATGACACAGATTGCAGTTTTACTGTCATTGGCGCCGGTTACAAATTATCCAAAAAACTTGTATTTAAATTGAGATTGTATGGCCTCCTTTGTCGATTATCAACAGAATCCCCTATTTATAAATATTTTGGCTTTGTTTTAGTTTGACAATGATACTCTTGATTCAATGTTTCAAAGCTTTCAATAACGCCCTAGGTTGGAAAGATCCAGACAGTAGAGAAAGAGAAGGCCGAAATAAGGTGGGGAGGGCACAACCCCCACTGCATATAAAAGGCCAAGCCGAAAACAAAAAACAAAACTTTAATGAAAAACACTAAAAGCACAGTCACCCCCAGTTTTTCTCTAAGTACCTGCTTTGGTGTCATGGAAATTTAAAAGCTTTGTGGTTTTACTGATAAATCTCATCAATGATTGGGTATCGTTTCACGAAGTACGCGAAAGTAAAAGTAAGGATGTGAATAAAATATTGTGTCATTCTTGGGGCCTGTTTACATGAAGGTGGGGGACCCCAGGTAGGTGAGGTAACCCGCCTAGGTGGGGTAACCCGCCTGTCCATATAACTTCTTATTTTATTTGATCACGTTTACATGATAGGCGGGGTAACCCTGTCAGCCGGGGTGACAATTTGCCATGTAAACGTGTCAAGGTGGGGTAACCCGCCCAGCCAGGGGCGCGGTTATGGCAAAAAGCTCAAAAGCGAAACATGTATGTTTTAAAACTTTGTACATTTCCTAGCCGTCTCATGGCAGAAATCACCAGAAACCGCAACGGACACACAAGGAGTGTAAAATGTTCACATTTCGGAATATTTAGCAATGTAAATCAACCATATTTGGTTACCTAAACTATTCCGTATAACGTGTTGTCAACGGTTCCTCGCGAAAGCAAACACCACGTAACACAACGCGTGACGCTTTCATGAATAAATACATATGTGTCCGAGAATTAATCTTTCGTCTTTTTCGAGATGTGAGATGCATCATCTCTCAAGTCGTAAAACTGTAGAGTTTAGCTTCTTGCCACCTCTGACTATATATGTTTATAGTTCAGTGATTATTATTGAAGAGGAGATTTGAATAAGTGTAAGAATAAAATCTTGACCCTTTTTCCATAAAATTGTACCAAAGCCCTTTCAGATCCCGAAAAAAAAAAGGGTAATTTTGGACTTTAGCACTTTCAAGCCGAAGTCAAAATACACTGTAATATTCGTAGATTTTGTCGGGTGCAGTTATATAAAAAATTGTCATGTTGATGGGGCTAATTATTCGCTTGTACAGTTTGAACACAACGGAAACGAGTCGGTTCCTATTATGACAATCTCCTGCAGAGAGGAAGAGATAATTGTTTGGCAATAAAAAATCCAACTTTGCTTGAAAGTTCTTTGAAAAGACGTGAAGTGAAGCACAGACGGGGCTTTTCATCTCCTTGGCCCTTGCTCGAGAAACCCGCACCCCCCGTCAACCTTCCCTGTACAACAATCTCATAGCGTCTGAATTAAAGGCGGCGGGGAAGGAGGGGGAATTGGCACAAGACTCTTCTCCTCGTATAGGTATAATGAGTTATTTCGCCTAAATACTTACTCTTCTTGCAATAGTGTGGGATAACAAATACATTTCACAAGAGGCTCGTGAGTATTTTGTCATTTTACTACTCAATTTTTTGAAGTAAGATGAATACAAACGGATAAAATTTTAGGGAAATAGCTTTTGGAGAAGCCTAAAGCGAAAGTTTACCTCAGAGTAATTACTCACATCACTGCAATGCTTTTCATGAACGTTTTTGACTTTTCGATCCCACAAGATGGATATGATGACCAGTGGCAGACCTTTGTATTTTAAAAAGAAGTTGAGAGGCTTATTTTAACTTGACTGAAATAGCTCGGCTGGATCGACATAAAATTGACACCGCTTTTCTACAGTTTCGTAATGAAAATTAATTATCATGAGCCAAATAAATATTTAAAGAAAAAAGCACGCGCAGCTCTTTAAACCTTTCGCTGAAACATGTTATGGATAATAAAGCCTGACTCTTTGTCACAATTTGGCTTTAAAGTAGATCTTAATAATGGTTGTTCAAATTTCATAAGATCTAAATCAGAAAATTGGTGTACTTCCGATTTTAATCTCTAAAAAGTATTCACAATAGTCAATATGCTTTCAAATTGATGCACCCTAAAAAGGCATGAATGTTAAAAGCTTTTTACACCCTGATGCTTCCTACGCGCGCTGAATATCGATAAGATGTATAGATGTATATCTTGAAAAACTCGTAGCGATTATATTTTTTTCGTAAAGATTCGTCTAGTAAGGCATAGCTTAAGCTTTTTTTTTTCAGAGTGAAAACGCTGAACAAAAATAAAATTAACAAACAAAGAAAACAGAAGAGAACAAAAAAGAAACTATTCCAAATATATTTGTCTCCTTGTTTTAGGCAGAATGATAATCTAACCTGCATGAAGCGATATCGTCCTAGCAAGTAAAACTAAGAAAGTATTCACATTTTTGGACAACATCTGTCGACGAGCCTTATGTGTTCAGTAGACTTAATTTGGCATCACTGAATAGATCACCCTTCATGCAAGTTATTTAAAAACTGTCATGAATAATTTGTCACATAGGTGGTTTGTTTCTCGGCTACTAAGTATAGGTTCTTTTCCAATGTGATCTACAACTGGGCCATGGCAGTAGGAATGAAATCACTTTATTTAAAGCACCTGGTAAGGGTAATTATCTTCTACGTTATTTGATTCTAAAGTGTTTTAAGGTTGGGTAGATTAGCTTTTGAATAAAGACACTGAGTCGCAAGGAGCTTTGTTGGCTCCACAATAAAGTTTTCATAACTAAAGGGTAGTCCTGTGGTCAGTTATTGTTATTAAAAATGCCTGATTGTGGGACAAATATAAATCTTTAAGGGAAGCGCGATCAATTTTTCCTAAGAAAGGAAATGAAATTTGATCTAAGACGCTAGAGACTGAAAAATTTTCATCCGTGTTATTGGTCCTCAAAAGTTTGGAATGGGAAAGTACTGCGCTTAAAAAAACGCAAGAAAAGCCTTGAAAGAATCAAGAAAATGTCGAGAGCATAATAAATAAGAACGTTAACTTTTAATTGTGGTTTACATGCTCTCATCATGCCTGAAACACGTGTCATTTTGCGGAGAACACCAAATGAGAGTGCCTCACCAAAAGGTTCTCCCATTTTGTAATTCATGCTGACATCTTTACCGACGACACCACCTCTGACTAAAATCATCTGCGAGAAGAGTTCAATTTAATACTTAGAGATCCAACTCAATAATTAATTCTCTTGAAGAAATGCCATGAATTTCATATAGTTATGGAACTCTTGAAAACAGGAAGACTAAAAGCAGAATCTTCATAGCTTCAGCTACCTCTAATTTGTTCAATAACATTTCTTCAATAAAATGCATATGACAGCACTTTTCCTACTGTAAAGACTGAAGAAATTCTGTTTTAAAGGCTGCTTGTTGCTTGTTTTAAAAGTCCATAGCTGATTGGTTATCTTCTCATTCTTCAGGTTTTGGTATTGAGGGTTTTAAGGTGTAGGTTAACCAGTGCAACCTTTCAAAGGTATCAAAGTCGTTCCTTTTTTAGTTCAAAGTTTAAATTTACAAACAGCATTTGCTAGAATATGTTTATTTGTGCCTAATCTCTTTCGCACTTGTTCTTCAAAAAACCTGTCGCGTTTCACTTTCTAAATAGTTCGAATAAGACTTAATGTCCCTAATTGATTTAATGTGTCTGAATTATTTATAAATGCATGTTTTCTTTAAAAAAATAAACTGCTGGCTCTCTCTCACACACATAGTCGAAGAAGTTTGAACTCGGGCATTATTTTTTAATCATAGCTAGAAACAATCTACAGTACTGTAAATACTTTCCTGTTAACTTGTTTCGAGAGAAGCTGACACCTTTTATCACATTTAAGAAAACGTTTTGTTATGTGACTTAAGGGTCTTTGTTAAATCTTTCCGTTTGGGTTTTTTTCCAGTACCCAGTTTATCTTGTCTCTGTGTTTGATTTGCATACGCCGTGACATGTCGTCGTGCTTCAAAAGTTTCAAGGAGCTTAGAATTTGACTTTTTTCCATTCACTTATCGATATATACTTTTGTACATAAAGAAGGCTATTCATTTTTCTTTGTGGAGATTATTTGGTCATCACTGGTGAATTTAGAAAACGTTCAAAGTAATTAAGGAAAGAAAGGAAGGTAAGCCCAGTTACTCCTGTAGAGGTATGGCAAAGAGACCTGGGAATTGTCTTATGGTAATTTTGCTGTTTCTGATCGAACATTCGTGGAAAGACTTTTATTAAAAATTAAGAGTTCTTGCTTTCTAGAACTTAAAATCTTCTCAAGTCGTAAAATCATAGTGTTGAGCTTCCTGCTACTTTTGATTATGTATGTTTATAGTCCTGTAATTATTATTGAAGTAAATACATAGTTAAATAATATAACATAATTTTCAAACTGTTTCTGTAAAATTGTAACAAAGCGTCCTGTAGGTCCCTTGAAAAAGCTGAATATTTGGGGCTTGAGTAATTATAACCTGAAGTCAAAACACACTGTAATATCCGCTTGGATGGTTGTGTGTGGTTATGTAAAAACTCATCTTTATAGATATGTTTCATTATTCGCCTGCACAGAGACGAGTTGGTTGCTATGGTAACAATCTCCCGCCGAAAGTAATAAGTGTAGAGTATTTGAACGCATATTTAACAACAGCTGTCCTAATTTGTCTGACGTTTCCCGGCATAAAGTTGAAAAACTCGATTAAGCTGTTCGTTGGAATTATAGCGGGCGTTTTGTGGGAACATGCTGTTTGTTTTCTACTGCTTTGTTCTCACCGTTTTGGCTTCTCTAATACCAAAAGGACAAGGTGAGATTTTCCTACAGTTATGTCCTAGTTCATGTTTGAGTACTACTTAAATGTTTACCGAATCGTTCTGTCACATTTTTATTATCCTTATCAATATAACTGAGCCTTGAGATATCCACACAAACTTCTTCCCGAAATATTTAAGATAATAAACTAATTTTCACCAAGTTTCGCACTAGACAGGCATAAGACAACGATCGTATTTCATAAGAAGTTCAGAATAAAATTCTAGGGAACATGGGTTTTGGGAAAGTTTACTTCAAAGTAATTAATCAGGTCTCTGCAATGTTTTCGATAAACGTTCTCGACTTTTTGACACGGCGTAATAGATAAGTTGAAAAATTTTACGCAGTCCTATTTGATTAAAGTTTAGATTGTTGACCGTCCATTTGAGGAGTTTCTCAGCGTATTTAATTTTCAAAAATTAACGCCGTCAGGTTTTTCAGTTTCTAAAAGTGTGAGAACAATGGTGGCAAACACCACCTTGTTTTTTTTGCGTTGATGGAAATAAATGTGTTTGATTGTATTTTTCGAATACAGGAAAGTAAGTAGCTAAGTGTAGATTCCGTCTAATGGAAAAACACGGACGTGTTCCCTACAGAGGATGTATTTCTGAAAAGGAATTCATCATTAATTGATGCAGACATCCTGTTTTGACTGACATGAAAATTTTTCCCCAGGCTCGATAATCAACACCTAACTTTGAGTCCTCACTTTCACAGTAAATTTAAAAAGCAAACTGATTTATTCTTTCAGTTTATCGTACCATCAACACCAATCTGAATAATAAAGTTGTCCGTCGAAAACAGAAATTTTCGGAAACACGCTCTTAAAGAAGATGATGTTAAAATGCAGACTTAACCCTATGGCTTGAAAGAAAAATTCCAAGAAAAACGAATTGACAAAAAACCGTTATTTCAGCATGCGGCGTCCTATTTTCTATCGCTTTTCAAGTTTTGTTGTCAATTACTACTTGGACATCAGATTCTTAAAAGCAGTCGCATGATTCCTTTCATCGTTTTTCTACTTCACTCGACCAAAATGTAACAATTTAGGGTTTATTGTTCCTGGTACATTTAATTGCACCCTTAAAATGTGCATGCTCGAGGGGAAATTTTAGTCAGTTCGCCTCCTAGCCATTGTTAATGCTCACTACGGATGTAAAACATTTGTTACATTTTTAGAGATAAAAGCCAGGGCCTAAATAGTAACAAAAGAGTTGGTAAAAAAGTTTTTCATATACAGAGGTGTTTTTAACTCCTTGACTTATACGTCTATTTATTTATTTAATGGATTCGTACAAGTACAAGTACAGGTGCATAACAATAGGACATAAGTCCCCTACTTGGTTAATACACCCACACCCAGCCCTGTAAAAAATATCCCGGAAAGAAATATCCCGGAAAGAAATATCCCGAAAAAAGATCCCTTCCCTGATCCGACTAAACTACAAATCAGATAATATAAATCACACAGAACATTCGAAAGTATACAAATTAACAACTTAACTTAACTTAACTTAACAAGTACAGACAGAAGAAGTATTTACACGGCGACACTTAGGAAAAATTAATTTAAAAGAACGAAAGTTGTCACCATCAAAAGCATTCAAAAGTCTAGTAAAATAAAACGACTCGAGTTTACTTCTAAAAGAGCTTATAGTGTCTGAATCCTTGATATTTTTAGGTAAACTGTTCCACATCAAAGTTATTCTGTTGAAGTAAAAGTCTCGAAAGGAAGACGTACGACAGGTATTTAACTTTAAATGCAGCCCTGATGAAGCACGGCGCGTGTTGCCCTTTAGAAAAGAAAAAAAATAACTAAATTCATGAGTGAAATCTATAAGCCCATGAAGGCACTTAAAAAAGAAACTAAGTCAAGATATTCTAACCAGTAACTTAGCCGTAATAACTTAAGCTTGATTAAACGAGCCTTATAACATAGGTTACTATTCCTTAAGATAAAACGAGTAGCTCTCCTTTGTATGTTTTTAACAAGGATTAAATTGCTGGTACTTGACTGAGGGGCCCATAACTGAGAGCAAAAACAAAAATGAGAGCGCACTAAAGAGCAGTAAAGACGCAAAAGCACCGTACTGCCAACAATACCAGTGCAGTTCCTTTTGAGAAAACCAAACATCCTATTAGCTTTAGCTACAATCATGACTAAGTGAGCTTTCCAAGAGGTGTCATTTGCAATCATAATACCTAGATCTTTTTCGGCTGTGACAACCTCCACATTTAGGGTTTAAATGACAACCTCCACATTAATACCATTTAAAACATAGCTGCGAGGAGGACTAAGGCGCTTCCTAGAAATCCTCAAATTGCTGCACTTAGTAGGCTGAAAAAACAACTCATTTCGCAAAGACCAATTTGAAAACGCGTCTGAATCCTGCTGCAGATGCAAGTAATCAGAATGGTGGTTAGTAACCTTGTAACATTTAGAGTCATCTGCAAACAAAGCCAGTGTTGCATTGGTAACAACATTAGGCATGTCATTAACAAATAGTAAGAACAGTATCGGTCCCAATTGTGACCCTTGTGGGACACCTGACCCTATGTCGGTCCATCTAGAAGACGTTCCATTTATCACCGTCAGCGAGTTTAATTATCTCTAGCTGATAACACTCAGTATGGTCGAAATCTGAAGTCACGCTACACAACAACGCACTTACACTTTTCATGAATTGAGTTTTTAGCCGAGAGCAAACAAAAGCTCCCCGAAAACGTTCTGATAGTAACGAGCTAAACATCTTCAGACGAGATTGCCATTATTACGTGATAAACACGAATTACACCATATATTGTATACTTGATTGTAGACTTCGGCGTCGATTGATCGATTGATCATAATAGATCGCACCAAGAAGTTAAAAATTGCCGTGATCATTCGGAATAATATTTAAAATCACTCGACTGGTGTTCTAGGCAAGGAAAAAAATCAAAATCCAAATTAAAGCAAGGATTCAGGAGTAACACTGCTCTAAAGTTCCAGTTTAAGTAAAAGTTCCTAGTACCACAAAGCAACTTTCTAACTTAATAGATTTTTTCCCCAGGTAATTGCCGCAATTTAAAGTTTACCAGTTTTCCTAAACTTGGCTTCCGGTTAGAGAATCACACGGTTCGAACTATTGACGCTGTCAACGAGGATCTCTGCATGTTTCATTGCTACTTGGAACCTAACTGCGTCAGTTATAACTTCTTTGAGATAAACAGTCGTCTGGAAAACATAAGTGTAATGTGAATTAACGCGACTATTGAACACGATGAAGGCCTGGTGGAATACAAAAGTTGTATTTACCGCGGAGCAGAGGTGAGGCTGAATTCTATGGGCTAAAAGTAATATTCCTTGTCCGAGAAAGCTTTGATACCGGACCAGGGGATACCTCAGCCTCTCTAACCTGTTAAATACATGCATAGGTAACTAGTTCTGACATATTCATTCTCCGTTCTTTACCTTCAGCTTTTCAGATTAGTTAGAAAAACGGACTCATTTACATTATTTTCCTTTCCGAGTTCTAGATCTAGATGAGTGTATGGACGGATCACACGACTGTGATGTAAATACTAGGTGCAACAATACCTTAAGATCTTACAATTGCACGTTTAAAGATGGAATTCAAGGAAATAGAACTAACTGTACACGTAACTAGTTGCAACACATTATACTCTCTATTTTTTCGATGATACTTATCATGTGAGCAAGTCAAAATAACCTTCATACACTAATGATATTTATTTTTTTTGTCTCAGACATAGAGGAGTGTTTGAACGGAACACACGGTTGTGATGTGAATGCTGATTGTAAAAATACCGTGGGATCTTATAACTGCTCGTGTAAAGATGGATTTCTTGGAAATGGAACTAACTGCGCAGGTAACAAGGCGTTACTTATGAGAGATGCTGCAGAGATACTTATGAGACATGCTGCAACTGTCTAATCTTCATTCACGGAGGTGCAGTAAAGAATAACAGCACTGACTTAAATGGTCTTCTTTTTCTTATTCTAGACATAGATGAATATACTAACGAAACACACAGCTGTGATGTTCATGCTGAGTGTAACAATACCTTGGGATCGTACAAGTGCACGTGTACGAGCGCGGGCTTTTATGGAAATGGAACACACTGCACAGGTAAATACATCCTCTTTATGAAGGCCTCTTGTTCACAACGGCAACAACAACGGCAGTAAGGAGAGGCCCAACCAACAACCCAGTGTTAAAACAGAGCGATATAAAATGAACCTTTTTTCAATTACACTCGTTATCCTGCTAACCGTAAAAATGACAGCAAAGACACAGGATACTTATCTGGCGTATTGCGTATTTATTACACAGGATTTACAGCTGTGTCCGCAAATCTTGACAAGAATGGAAGGAAGGGTCCAGAATCAATTGGCAGTCACTACAAAGGTCAGGATCATGACGGACAAGTTACATTATCCAGCGGTATTCAGCTGTGGACTGTGCCACACACTAGTGAATATAGAATAGAGGCAATAGGAGCCCCAGGGGTGCAGTGAGGACAGTGTCACCGAAAAAGGAGGAAGAGGGGCATGGATGATTGGAAACTTAACTCTGACCAAAAATGAGATAATTTGTATACTTGTTGGTCAAAAAGGGGCAACCAAACCAAAAACAGCCGGAGGTGGAGGAGGTACATTTGTAGTGAGGGAAAACAACAAGCCTTTGATCATAGCTGGAGGTGGAGGGGGAGTTAAAAAAATGTCAGAACAACATTCAGGATGTGATGTGTCCATAAACACAACAGGAAATGAAGGAAAAAACTCGCCATTGGGAGGAGAAAACGGACATGGAGGAAATGTCTATGGTCAATATTTAGGTTAGCGAATAATTTCCTTTTTATAAATGCTATGATTTTCTATTTCATTTTTCAGCCGTCTATTAATATCTTCAACCCAGTAGGACAGTATGGCGCTGAAAGTTAGATATTGCAGGATTAGCCAAAACCCTAATTAGGATTAATTCATTTTAATCTTTAATCTTTACTATCGGTATCCAACAATTTGTTCAGATAAACATCCAAAACTTACGAAATAAACTTATATGCCCAAAAATGCGAATCTTAAAGTTTGTTTGATCACCTAACAGTAAATAATCAAATAGGTGCTATTTGTGAGAGATCACTTTTAACTTTTTTCTTTATCTATGTAGGTGGTGGTGGCGGCGGCCTCTTCAGTAATGGAAAAACGTCCTCTGATCAGGGAGGGGGGGAAGGAAGTAGAGGATATGTTGAGGGAGGAGTGGTTGGGGGGTATGGAGGTGGGTTTGGAGGTGGAGGTGGTTTTCGTGGGGCGTTAAGGGACCTGGGGGCGGTGGAGGTTACTCTGGGGGGAGTGGGAGTGCCAATAAAGATAATTCCTGTGGGGGAGGGGGTGGATTTTTTAACAATGGAACAAATCAGGAAAATGAATATTGTTGTAATAGCGATGAACATGGTAAAGTGATCATCGCATTTCTTCGTTAAGATGCACGTAGCAGCCCCTTTCTCATCGTGTTGTGGCAATTCTCTTTTGAAGGTTGATTGTTTTTAAACTCAAGAGTAAGCAAACTTTTGTTTCTTCTTTAGATTCAGTCATTAAAGGTTTTTAGGAGTGGTTTTTAGGTTTTTTTTAAACCAGCGCAACTTGTGCATCTAAAGTCCTTTGCTGGAATAGAGTTGTTTGTAAATGTTCTCCAACGTAATGAATTCTTCTCTAACGAAAACTGTAACTTTTATTATTTTCCGTCTCCTTTCATGTTCGGAGCAATTCATCAGACGTTATGTTTGACTTTTCAAACAATGCAGGTGTTTCGTGTTCATCTCTTAAGGTCAGTGGACACAAACAAGTGTCTATTGAAAACATTTTTTATACTTCCATCTTTTACGCAAAGTTAAGAGTGAGATGTGTATTTATAAATTTTTTTTGGTAGTAACAAACAAACTTGCCTATCTTATTTAAAAGTTTCTAATATAGACTCAAGAATCTTTTGCAATTGAATACATAACGGCTTTTCCATTTTCAACGATAAGATGACAAGGAGCGACACCACTCTGGATATATACTGATGTAGATGGTTTAACGCTCCTTAATATTCAGTTCTGGGTAAATATACTACTGATTCAAAGTTTTCTAGCTTTTTATAACATCTTTGGAGAGAGGAACCGAAGAATTGAGAAAAAGGGGGCCGAAATATTTTGTAAACAGCAGAACCCCAGTCAGGCCAATGTTACAAAAAAAACATTAAAAAAAATATGGGTGGACTAACATCCCCTCGGTGTCATGTCAAGTACCTGCTTTAGTGACATCCGACTTTAGTGTCATGGGCAGGAAACTTTCATTAACTGTAGTTGGTCATCGAACAACTAAAAAGGAAGAGGGACTATTTGATAAAAGTACTGCTTTGAGGTCAGTTCTTCATATTCCTCAGTGTCTTAATTGTTACATATAGAAGAATAAAAATAATACAAAAGGGATTTCAAAGAATTTAAGGTCTATGATTTTTTTTTTATTTTATCCTAACAGCCAATGCGTTCTGCGAAATTCTTCAGTTATGTTTTACATACATAATTTTGTGTGTAAAATTTCACAGAATGGCCATTCAAGCAATCAATGTTTGCTGCGTTAATGTATCGTATTTTTTGAATCACGTTATTCCTAAAGAGCTCTGTCCCGAATTTAATAAATAAAACTTTAGGTCTTTCAAAAAGGGCCTCAGGTGGCTTAAAAAGATTTGCAAACGAGTACATGGCGTCGTGCCTCTAAATTGCAACCAAGGAGTTTAGAGAGATATTTTTCTTCGATTCTGGGTTTTTATTGGCTGACAGTAAAACCACCTGGCTGTGCGACAAAGGATTATCTTCTGTTTCAATTCAATCAACCATGATGCCTTAACACAAGAAAAACAGCGCTTCTTTGCAGTTTCGTCTTTAAAGTTTCTTATTACACTTGTTGATTTATTTTTCTCCGTCCATAAAGCATTATTTTTCTATGTGGGAATTTTTTTCATCCTTAGCATGAAACGCTCAACTTAAAAGAGGAAAAATGTAATGCGTTGGTTCAATTATTCCTTGAAGTATCGCTTGCAGACTTACAAATTGCCTTATATCAGTTGTATCTTTATTAATATAATTCACCAACATTTGTCAAAGGGAATTCATCACCCATTATAAGTGTCTCCTTTCTAGGTCTTAACTTAAGCGGAGGACAAAGCATACTTCGATATTCACTGCATGGTATTGGGCATATCTACAATCGTCCTTGCAGATATGATCACCTTTGCATGTGACGAACTAGAGCCACGAAGTAACTTACAGCAATCTTCAATAAATAAATCGTTAAAATCAACATTCTCTTTATGGAGTTTCGTTTTGAAAACGTCGCTTCGGGATATTAACGCATTCTGTTAAAAACGGTTGTCATTATTTTTTTCCAACTTTGGGCGGACAAGGAGAGTGTAAAAATAGTTGCGAAACGGTCTTCAAGTAGCTGGGCTCAACGATGCACTCATGCTGACATAATTAATTTAGCCAAACTAGAGAAAAACGCGAAGGAAAGAACATCTTCTTCAATTGCAATTGAAGGACGTAAATACACATTGTGCATAGTCGAGTTTCACCAACCAGCTACATCCCAGAGGATCTTATTCATTTGTTAAAGCCACTGAAAGCTTCATGATTAAACAAAGAGAGCGGCGTATTTGAACGCATATTAAACTTCAGCTGTTTCATTTTGTCTGATGCTCCCCTCAAAATTGAAAACCTTTATTGTGGTTATTCGAATTATAACGTGCGTTTTCTGGTATTTGCTCTCTACTGCTTCATCCTCAACGTTTTGGCTTCCCTAATATTAGAAGGACATTAAGATTTTCCCACAGTCATGTCCTTCCTCGTGCCTGAGTAATATTTCGATGTTTACTAAAACGTTTTACAATATCTTTTTTACTATTTTTATTGACATAAATAAGCCTTGACAAAAATATCTGAACAATCTTCTTCTAGTATTAAATATGATGAATTATTTCATCTAAATATGTTTTCTCCCTGGAGTAGCATAAGACAAACTACTCAATTTTCAAGAAGTTCGTGCACTTTCGAAGTCATATGGCAAAAAAAATTTTTGGAAATACGAAGATTGTAATAAAATCTTAGGGAAAATGGTTTGTTGGAGCAACCAGAAGGCAAAGTTAATTTTACAGAATTGAACATTCAAAATGAAATAACGAGGGTTGTTAATTGAAACGGAAACGGTTTTAAATAAAAACTGTTTTGTTTCCGCTGTCATCCTGATCGAAAAAGCCATCATGCTCCTGTCACTATCCGTTATGTAAGGCAAGCAAAGTGGCTCTCAAAAATGAGGCAAATAGATTGCCCTTTTGGTAAGTAGGTTGTAACTTGCATGGAAATTCTACCTTTTGCCGATTTTAAAAGAAAGCTTTGGAAGAACTTGATGCACTTCATAGGCGTTTACATCCGGGTTAACTTCAGAAGCGGGGTTCAGTCCTCTGTTCTTAAGCTCCTCAGCCTTGAGAAAAAAAGTTTGTTCATAGTGCGAGGATCTCTCTATGAATTTCGTTTTTCAGGAAAAATGCTGTGGATATTTTCTTATTTCCTTGTCTGCGTTTCGTTCACCAACCTTGAAACTGCTGAGGATCAATGCAGGTCAGAAGTTGATATTCGTGGCATGGCTCTCAAAGGTTTCGTTTTCAAGAGAATGACAGTAGCAGCTCCTCATATCTGTGATATCTTATGTGAAAGGGAAATTACCTGCCAGAGCTATAATTTCAACAGAAAAGAACAGATCTGTGAATTAAACCATCGCACAAAGGACGCGAGACCCGAGAATTTTCGTTCAGACCCAGCCTGGTTTTATATTCGCCGTTTGAACGGAAGAGGTAAGTACTCGACCAAGCACTTTATAATAATTCTAAATATTTCTGTCTTACAGTCTGCTCACAGCCTGCGTTTTCCGATTTCCCGGAATTGATTTTTCTATTACCTCCTGACCGTAAAAATGAAAGATATCATTTCTACCTACTTTCTTTGAAGTTTAACCTATAGTTAACAAGCAAAAAAATTACTTTGATGCATGTATAAAATGTTGACAAGAAATTATTGATTTATTTACTTTTTAAAGTGCTGCAACAAGCTTACGGTCAGGGATGACTGTAAAAAAAACTGAAAGCTCTAAATGGAGGGCTTACGAGAGAAGGGTCTTGTCTCCTCAGAATAAAATCCTCCTTAAATATTCACAAGTCAAAAGGGAACTTAAGTAAATGGAATTCAGGTCCCGTTCATATTCTCAAGTGCCTTTTATTCTCCCTTTTTGATCTGTACGCCTCTAAATGCTTGGCCGGTTTAAAGTCACCTCGCCACCAGGAAGACTCGCCACCAATAAAGGAAAAGTTAACCAAAGTGATCGTAACTTTTTAATCGAACGAACGAACGACAAGATCTACAAGAAATGTGTTTGTCAATTATCATTTTTTGGCGAAAAGAGGAGTGTTGTGTTGAGTGTTAAGTTTCAACATTTTTACTCATACCAGTTCCCTTGGGTTCGATTCCGGAGTTACCAGCACGTTCATGCTACGAGATAAAAGCAAGCGAAGGGAAAGACACTGTAAGCAATAAATACTGGCTGGATCCATCTGGCACTGGGAAGGGAATTCTGGTTTACTGTGATATGTATTTAGAAGGTAAATCAATATTGAAGGCAGTGTTGGTTTAATTTTTTGTTTAAATTGTCGATTTGAAAATCGCTCTAGTCCTGAAACAATGTGTTGCGCAGTTTCTACTTTTGTCTACATATTTGTATAAAAAATCCAAAAATGGAAAAAAATATCCCAAATGGAAATTTTACACTTAATTGCAATTTAATAAAACTTTGAACAACATTCTTACCTCAAAGTTGCCATTAACCATAGTCTAACTAGGTGGAACACAATTCCTGTTGTGTTATGTGGCTGTAAATGTTAATTTAGCACAGGGTAAGACTATCTCTCTAGTAAAATAAATGTTGGCGAAATTTTGACTCTCTTCCTTCTCCATTCCCTAACCAGATCATGATGAATGCCTTGGTGGAAACAATGCCTGTGACGTCAATGCATACTGTACCAACACCGTGGGTTCCTATTACTGTACCTGCAAGGAGGGATACGCTGGCGATGGACGCTCGTGTTCAGGTACATCGCGATTAGTTTAAATGAATATCCTAATCACTTAGTCTATCGAGAGAATAGTCAAACGACCAATCAAACTAATGTTAATTTTCTCACTGGGGAGGGGGTGGGTCACAGTGTCCAATATAGTCAGACTCTGTCTTCCACCTTCATTGTCCGAGAGGGCTTTAAAAAAGGATTTCATTTATACGATGTTCCTCTCTGTGTTATAGATATAAACGAATGTGCTGACAGCACACCCGATTGTGATGTGAACGCTGAGTGTAACAATATCTTGGGATCTTATGAGTGCATGTGTGAAGACGGATTTCATGGAAATGGAACTAACTGCACCGGTAACTTGTTATGACATATCATGTTGCCTCTTTACATAATAATACCCTGTCATAAAACAAAAAGGTTAGTTACTATACAATAATAAAATATTTTTTGTTGATTTAGATATAGACGAATGTACCGAAGAAATACACAACTGTGATGTGAACGCTGAGTGTAACAATACCCTGGGATCTTACAAATGCTCGTGTAAAGATGGATTTCATAGAAATGGAACCAACTGCACAGGTAACTTGTTGAAACATTTCAAACACCGTCTTTCACCGGCATTGTATAAGGGGGGCTTTTAAAAAAAAAGTCTCATTTACATGATAATCCTTTTCGTGTTCTAGATGTAGATGAATGTGCTGACAGAATACACAACTGTAATGTGAATGCCGATTGCAACAATACCCTGGGATCTTACAAGTGCTCGTGTAAAGACGGATTTCATGGAAATGGAACTAACTGCACGGGTAACTAGTTAAAACATTTCAAACACCGTCATTGTATAAGGGGGCTTAAAAAAAGTCTCATTTACATGATAACACTTTTCGTGTTTTAGATATAGATGAATGTGCTGACAGAATACACGACTGTGATATGAATGCTGAGTGTAACAATATCTTGGGATCTTATAAGTGCATGTGTGAAGACGGATTTCATAGAAATGAAACGAACTGCACAGGTGACTTGTTATAGTACATCATGTTGTCTTTTTTGATGATAATACTCTGTCATATAACAAAAAGCTTAGTTACAATAAAATAATAAAATAGTCTGTTGATTTAGATATCGACGAATGTACTGACGGAATACACAACTGTGATGTGAACGCTGAGTGTAAAAATACCCTGGGATCTTACAAATGCTCGTGTAAAGATGGATTTCATGGAAATGGAACTAACTGCACAGGTAACTTGCTGAAACATTTCAAACACCGCCTTTCATCATCATTGTGTAAGGGGGCTTAAAAAAAGTCTTATTTACATGATAATCCTTTTCGAGTTCTAGATATGGATGAATGTGCTGATAAAACACACGACTGTGATATGAATGCCGATTGCAACAATACCCTGGGATCTTACGAGTGCTCGTGTAAAGATGGATTTCATGGAAATGGAACTAACTGCTCGGGTAACTTGTTTTCACATTTTCTGAGGTGCCTTTTATCAAAAGCAGAAATAATAGGACTTATTCAGATGGTCTTCTTTTTCTTACTCTAGACACAGATGAGTGTTTCGATGGAATACACGATTGTGATGTGAATGCCGAGTGCAACAATAGCCTGGGATCTTACAAGTGCGCGTGTAAAGATGGATTTCATGGAAATGGAACCAACTGCAGAGGTGACTAGATTTAACATATTCATACTCCGTCTCTCATCTTTCTTATCTTAGAGGACCTCAGTGAGAAGATTTCATTTACATGATATTTCTTTTCTTATTCTAGATACCGGCGATCTTTCTATTGTACAGACGCAGGGCATAATCGAATCAATTTGTTAGATAAATATCAGTATAAAAAATGGCTTTCAGCCATACAAGGGAGCAAATACAGTGTGGAAAACTGTCTTTTTCTCGCAGGTCACTAGAAGTCCACGAAGTCTTTTGAACGCGTTTTGACTCTGTTGGTAGACTCTTCGGGAGCTTTTTCGCCTTTTTCCAATTTCGCTTAATTTGCAGGGATATCATTTTCAAGCATTGAAGTTGACAGTAAGGTCAATACTAAACAAAATTTGAAAACTTCTTACATATTATTCCGTGTTTAATACAGGATTTACAGCTGTGTTTACAACCCTCAATGCGAGTGAAGGTGGTAACGGTCCAGTCTCAATTGGGAGCCACTACACAGGTCAGGATCATGACGGACAAGTTACACTATTTAGTGGTATTCAGCAGTGGACTGTGCCACACACTGGTGAATACAGAATAGAAGCAATAGGAGCCCCAGGGGGGTACGGTAAAAACAGCGTTATTAAAAATGGAGGAAGAGGAGCGAGAATGATTGGAAACTTTAATTTGACCAAAAAAGAGAACATTCGTATACTTGTTGGTCAAAAGGGGAGTCAAGCGAAGTCGTCCAGCAACTCAAATGCCGGAGGTGGTGGAGGTACATTTGTAGTAAGAGGAAGCGATACGCCTTTGATTATAGCTGGAGGTGGAGGGGGAGTTAAAAAAATGTCAGGACAAAATCCAGGATGTGATGCGTCCATAAACGCAACAGGGAATGCAGGGAACAACTCGCCTTTAGGGTCCGGAGGAAGCAACGGAAATGGAGGAAAAACAAGTGGTCAATCTCCAGGTAAGCGAAGAAAGGAGAAAAATCTATCAGTATGTTCAATTCATTAGGACAATAAGATTACAGAAGGATCTCAATTATTAAAATTATCAATCTTAATTTTACAGTTTTTCTTTTCTCCTCAATAAAACTTATGAAGACGCCTCCTACAACATCTGACACTCAACTGAGTTTCACTCGTCCACTTTTTAGATATCCTTCACATTTATACACAGTTGACAAGGGGTACTATTGGCTTATTGCAGATTTGAATTAAAAAGGTGCAATAAAAAGACAGTTTAACGAAAAATTGTGGAGCTGACTTGCCCCCAAAAACAATTTTGCGCATCGCTTAGAGTGAATAAATTAGATAGGTGCTTTTTATAAGAGATCACTAATTAGTTTTTCATTATTTTAGGTGGTGGAGGTGGCGGCTTCTTCAGTAATGGAAAGACTGTTAGTGGTGGGGGAAAAGGAGGAAGAGGAGGTAAAGGATATATTCAGGGAGGAGAGGGTGGAGCGTATTGGGGTGGATTCGGAGGTGGCGGTGGTTTTCGTGGAGCCGACAACGGAGCTGGTGGTGGCGGTGGTTACTCTGGGGGAAATGGAGGTGGGAATAAAGCTTTTTCCTGCGGGGGAGGGGGGGGATCTTTTAACATTGGGGCAAATCAGCTAAACGAATGTTGTTATAATAGCGATGAACATGGTAGAGTGATCATCACATTTCTTCAGTGAAATGGACATGACGATACATTCCTCAAAGTGAAGCGGATATTTTTTTCTCAAGCCCCAAATTTGAACAAAATCTGTTTTTATAAAGAGTTTGAAGGTGTACGCTAACCTTTAGATTTAAATTGATTTGCTTTCGGGTTCATAGTTTGAATTAACAAACACTATTTCCTGGAATAGCTTTTTTGTGGATACATTTTGACCTTAGGGAATTTATCTTCTGCAAAACCTATAAATTTTGTTCCTTTTCCGGCTCTTTTCAGAGCAAGACGTTGTGTTTGAATATTTCTGTAGCACAGGTGTTTTGTCTTCAACTCTGAATGTCAGTAGACACAAACAATGCTAATTACGAATTGTTACGAATTAATTGTTTGTAGGAATAACAGAAACAAGCTTTTACTTTTTTCTCCTTATCAGTCAATAATTCAATAGTTTCAGACTACAGTTTGGTGAAAATTCAATAAATTGATTCCTAGATGTCATATTATTGCTGTTTGTTTTCTAGACTTCATTTATAAAATTTCACAACTTAAAAGCAAGGTTTCTTTGGGAAAGAATAAGGTAGTATATTTCATTGGAAATATGGGAATCAACAATATCACGACAACTGTTTTCTTTGCTGGTTTCTCCGTCCGTTAGATCCAGCTTTACTAATCAGTTGCTACCAGGGTTGTGCATCGGATTTTTACCTTTAGATGTTTTGTGCAGTCATCTGAAATTTTTAAAAAGGGATGAGAAATTTAAGGGGTTTTGTGCTCATTAATTTTAATCTGCAACTTACGAGGAAGTCTTGAAAACCTTTAAATTATTAAACGATTTGTTTGGAAACTTAACCGGTCCATTAAATGACTATGAGAACAATAATGAAACTCGCCTTCACTGTTAGGTCATGATGAAACGAGTCAGAATGGATGCGCAGTCGATGGTAGGTTTAGTTGTTAATTGTCTTGTGAGCTTTTAAATATAAGCAGGAAGATAAATTCATGCATATACCATTTTAGCTTAACACATGAGGAATTTCTCTAACAGTAACTAAAAAAGGTTCTAACAGGCTCGTCATATTACTCCCAGAGAAGGCAATATTTTATTCTGTAGAAGTATTCTTCATCCTGTCTTTTTAATTTTGAAAAGCTTAAGTTTCAGGCTTCTACCCTCCACTGTTAGAGCTAATGCCTTATTCACACCAGCAAAATATGTTCGGTTAAAGTGGTTTTTTACTGAATGAAAGTCAAAAACAGAGGACTGAAAAACTTAATTTTCTTTTTTCAAGTCCTTGCTTACTTGCATTTCCAATGTCCTACATTTTAAGTAAAAAATATTTGATTATGTAGTTTCTACGAAAAAAAAAAAAAAAACTGTGTTTAGCAAAACAAGCTAATGCCTTTTAAGCAAAACATGTTTAAGTGGTTTTTACTGGTGCTTACTTGCATTGAATATGTAGTTTCTACGAAAAAAAAAAAAAACTGTGGCAAAACAATTCGTTTGATTGGTGTATACGGTGGGACGACTGACTTCTTTTAATTTTTCTGTTGTTCCTCGCGTGACTTGGGGGGGCAAGTATCCGATAGCTGGGTCACAATGAGCGTTTAACGTATTATTTAGCGCCAGCGCTAGTGTTGTCAATGGCTCGTGTAATAATCTGCTGCTCTCGTTCGTCACCTGAGTCGCAATCGTCAAGCCCTTGGGCAGGTGCGTGGCCTGTGATATTCTTTATTTCACACCTCGGGATACCAGAACTTTTCAGCTTCTTGACCACGGTTTTTCGTGCCCTATTGCTGGTCAAATTCTTCTCGGAACACAGATCCTTCAGCGGTGAATTCTCTTTCATGTTTTTCATGATTGTGTTCTTTCCCATTGGGGATTTCTTGTACCAAACGCTTGAAACTGGCTTGTCGATGACAGTGAGGTAAAACGGGCCGCTTTCCTTCATTTCGCTTTGTCGCTTCTCCAGATATCGTTTAAACAACATGACTGGGCACCTTTCCTCATTCCCTGTGGCAAACATTTTGGGGGTGACTAGTCTGGTTTTCACGCTAAGTCCTCCCTGTCTCGTCTTAGTTGGACCTTCGGCAAATGTTAGAAATTCGTTTCCGTCGTCGTCACGTTGTAAAGTGAAACCGTCAACTTTCATTTGGTGGTGTTCTTGTCGCTCTTGTAAGCCAAAGTGCTGAGTGAGCAGCCACCACATGGTGTTCAGTAGAGCTCGTTGAGTGCCTCCTCCAAGCTGGCCGTTCTGCCAGAGGACTTCTTCCTCTTCTTTTGTCAAACTTCTGGATCGGTTTGGTCGCTTTCTTTTGCCTTGCTCTCGCAGTTTCCTGGACTTCCCTCCCAGGACTTTTCTGGAGTTAAGAAACTTCCGATCTCGGATGATGGACTTTGGATAGGATTTTGATTTTAGATATCTCTCCAGTGATGTCTGCATTACTTTCAGGCAGACGGGCTCGTAGTTATCACCGTTTCCTTTTTGTGACTCGGCATATAACTGCGACAGTGTTTGGTCGAGGACATCGCTCTCGTACTCTTCTAAATTTGCTTGGAAGTTTCTTTCATTCGCCCACATTTTGAAAACGTTCTTCCAGTACTCCGTGCTTTTCTTCGTGTTTTCATTTAATTCTTCGATATATTCCTCGTCAACTACCTCGAAACGTGACGCCATTGTTACAAAGAATTTTTTGGCAACAACTACTCGATAGCATAAGCTGTTGCCAGGCAACCTGAGGACCGATCGTGAGCAAGTAATTTTGCCCTCTTCACAAGCAAAACTAAGAACAAAATACCCTCTTCATTGACCAATCAGCATTCAGTAATTTTGCCCTCTGTGTTATTTATTTATTAATTTCAGGCTGTCGGTCAGAGAGTATTATGTCTAGTATTGCTTATGTTTCGTAATATATAGATTTAGCCAAGCCTAAAAGCGGAGCTCGCATTATTTTTTCCCGCCCGCTCGTCTCAAGGGCACAACTCCTTGCCCCGGCCAGGACTAGAACCCGGGTCGTCCAACTCAGAGCCCAGTGCACTGACCACTGGACTACTGAACAAAGCCGAAGCGTTGGTGTGCCCGCGGTACAGTTGACCACGCATGTTAAAAGTAGCACCTTGTACGGTCGTACGGTCGTACAACCAAATTTTTTCAGCCCGATGGGTTACTACTATTTTGTATAATTATGGGGCTACGCTCTGCAAGCTCCGCTATTATCATTGCTGTGCATAGCAACTAAGTCCAAAATGGTTGTTTTAGTGCAAATATCTCTAAGAAAAAGAAAAACGATTGTAAAATTCTCGGTGGGACACGGCCAAGAATCTTTTGTCCCATTTCTTCTCAGTATGCAGTTTACCATCCAAGACAAAGAAAAATGAGGTTAAAATTTTGAAGTATCTTCTTCGACAGGAGTAATCCGTTTAAAACCAACTAAGGGTTAGCAGCCAAAGTTTTTCTGTGTTTGCATCATGCAATTACGAAGCATTTCAGTAATGTAGAAGCCCTCATGACGACTAAATGTTAAAAAACGGTGTCTCTTGCTAAGAAGCTCTAGCAGCTGAACATCAATTACGAAAAATGCGTTTATTACTTTTGTCTCAAAAAATTGTGTTCCGACTATGAGATGAAATTTTCGGTCTGTCAGAAACAAGCATATGATGTCCTACATAAATAATGTGTGTGGATCTCAAAAGTCTCAAAATAGTTACAAAGGAGCCGAGAAAATAGTTTAATACGATTCTGTTTTTTAATTCTTTTTTCCCCATTATTTGCTTTCTGCCAGTGATTACTTTAAACGATGCTGGTTTTCCGCGAGAAAAAGATACCGCTCTCTTTTTGTTTTTTTTCAAGTTTTTAATTTCATTTTTCAATGACTGCTTTTTTTTTCGGTTCATCTGCTACTGTTCTCCTCGGTGGCGATTGTTTTGGCCTTCATTGGTGATATTTTCAAAGCAAATGAAACTTTAAGAAAACAAATTTTTTTTCTACCGGTTGCACAACATAACAGATCATGATATGTCACGCCAAGAGGAATTAATCTGTTCGTTTAGACTTGAAATCGCCATCTCCCGCTCTTTGGATGGAGAAGTTCGACTAATCGGAATACGTCAAGAAGACAAAGTCAGAATTTGAGTAGACTAAATTGATTACGGCCAAGGTACAGAGAATGAGGATGAGAACGAGACGAAACTTTGATGTCATTAGTTCAGTAACTTGACTTGAAAACGAGTTAGATCTCAAATTGGGCCCAAACTTCTTGATGCGCCAGAATTTCCGGCTCTTACTTGAACGTGTGCTAGGCTACCGATATATTGTAGTATGTTTAAGAGACGCTCCAAAACAGCACAATCTTAAGCAAACAGACTGGGATTCTCGATGATACACATTATTAATAATTTATTTCCCTGAAAATGAATAGTGTGGAAAATGAAGCCACCATCGATTTAGCTAGTACACGCTTAGTTACGAAATAACCGAATCTGTTTGACTCTCATGTCCCGGCGCGACTTTTCGCATCTACTTTGTTTTGAAAATTTCTCTTTACTTTACCAGCTGAACAGAATTCTCTTTCAATCGATTTGCTTGTTTCCTAAAGACATTACGAAATCTCGCAATGGACATTTTGTAAACTATGATTCTGATCAGTTAGCGGGGCACCGGTGATGAGGAATTTGACAAATTGCGTACTTTTTTCCACTCTCTTCTACAAACCAATTGCTACCACGGTTGTGCATCGCATTTTTACCTTTAGATATTTCGTACAGTCATCTGAAATTCGTATAAAGAGATGAGAAATTTGAGGGTTTTGTGCTCATTAATTTTAATCTGCAGCACTTAAGATGTCGTCTTGAAAACCTTTAAATTATTAAACGATTAGTTTGCAAACCTAACCGATCCATTGAATGACAAAGAGAAAAAAAAAATGAAACGCCTTCAGATTAGGTCTTATGACGAAACGAGAATCAGAATTACTGCGCAGTCGATGGTAGGTTTAGTTGTTAATAACCATGTGAGCTTTGATAAACCTAAGCAGGAAGATAAGGTCATATTCCGTTTTAGCTTAACGCATAGTTATAGGAGATTTATCTAACTGTAACTAATTGAAGAAGCTTCTAACGCGCTCTTCATATTGCTCCCAGAGAAGGAAATATTTTTTATTATAGAATTATTCTTCATTCCGTGTTTTTAATTTTGAAAAGCTAAATTTTCAGACTTCTGTCCTCCTTTGTTAGAGGAAATAAGGCATTCGTGAAACGGTGGAACGACTGACTTTATTTAAATTTCATGTTATTCCCCGCGCGACTTGAGGGGGCAATACAAAAAGTATCTGATAGCTGGATCACAGTGAGCGTTTAACATATTATTTAGAGCCAGGAAAAGTGTCTTATCTCCAATAGCATCCAGTTTTTCGACAAAGAACGTCTTTTACATAGATATACGGTGAGAAATTGCGTTCAGGAGCTTATGTGCATTAAATTTCCATCTATATAAATTATTAATTCAGTTTTACTTTGATGTTATTCACACCTCAAGAGACCACACGGACACGAAGGAGTCAATTCAAAAATCAAATGCTGATATCAATCACGTATTTGTAAACATTTACATAATGTGCTTTAAAATTTGCCTTTTTCATGTTCTAAAATTGGAATTGTAACTACCACACAAATTTTAGCTAAACAGTAGAAGTTATCTATTGACAAATGTTTTGTCAATCGTGATTTAGCGTGTCATGAAGTTTCAAGAAATCAAGTTGTTTAGAGAGATTTTAGCAGTTTTTAAATTAAAATTCATAGTTAGATCGCCAAACAATGTTTATATGCAGGGACAATTACTATATTTAAACTTAACGTCAACAAAATCTAAAACATTTACCATCACACAGGCAAGACCAAACAGGTGTAAATCGACAATAGCCTCCATCTGTCCATTTGGTGCAAAAATATGCAAGGATAGTTGTGAGAAGACATTACTTAGATGCGATCAGTTTCCGAAGTTCGAAGAAAGCTGTGAGCAATTTCAAGTTTCAAAAATTTGTTCTGCCAAAAATCCAAAAAGAAAGGCTCGTAAGGTCGATGCTCGAAGAGTTGATGGGTTTCTAGAGAAGCATGAAATTTTTCATTATAATTTCTCTCTTACGTATATTCAGTTTTTTTTTTAATTGTCTCCTCCTTCTTAAGCTTTTATTAGAGTCCACCCCATATCTTCAGCATCTGTCAGTGAGAATGTGATGCTTGTGTTTGTAGATGACAGAATAACAAAATGTTACGAAAGGCCGCTGGAAAGCCTTCACTCTTTACCGTGCTGTTCATGACTCAAATGTTCCAGAGCATTACCAGCCACCAGTGTGGAGCCGGCATTTACTCCATTTTTCAAAAGATGCTCAGGGGCCACACCTATATGACAATTGAGAGCCAAGCCGGTACCGTCGCGCTGGAATGCAGGGAAGCTTGTCACGCTGATTTCAGATGTCAAAGCTATAACATCGTTATACTTAATTCAAAGTGCGAGTTAAACAACCGGACCAAAGAGGCCAGACCTGAGGACTTTGTCAAAGACAAAGACAGATACTACATGGCGAGAAACTCAAAACGAAGTAATAGAACTTTACACTAGAAATAATTTATTTTTATTCAAAGTTCAAATTAGTACCTCGTTCAAGGATCTAAAGTGGTACTCATCATTGTTTCTCATACTTTCTTCAATTCCAGTCCCTCTCGGCTCTATTCCTGAGCTGCCTGCCTATTCGTGCCGAGAGATTAAGGCGAGTGAAGGAGGACAATCAGTCAGCGGTACATACTGGTTGGATTCCACCAGGTCTGGGAACTCTATTCTAGCTCACTGTGACATGAAAACAGAAGGTTAGGAAGACAAATATTGCATGACGACTTTGATTATGCGTGAGTAAGTGTCATTTAGAGATTTTTTCCCATCCAGTCGCAGATTACTGCATTCAACACCGGTGCCAAAACAATGCCAGGTGCATAAACCATCACGTGAACTACACGTGTGCCTGTAACTCATCCGGGTGGACTGGAAACTTCTGTGAGCAAGGTAAATTCAAGGCTCAATTTTTTGCTCTCAATCATGAAAACGGAGGCTAACTGATAGTATCATCATGCTTATCGTAGATGTCAACGAATGCAAGAAAGGTCTACATGGATGCCATGCTGACGCCACGTGTAACAACACTGAGGGTTCTTACAATTGCTTCTGCAAAGTAGGATTTGCCGGGGACGGAAGAAACAGCTGCATAGGTAAGGGTGCAGTTGTGTGACAACTCTTTCCACTATTTTTTCAAACAAGGCGCGAAAAGATTACCACGCACTCCCATGAATTTCGGAGTGCGCCAAAGGTATGTTTGCTATCAGTTAGGCAGCTACATGGCCTACGACAATAACACTTCACTCATTTTTTGTCTATCCACCCTGAACCAGAGTTTAAAGCTGTCTTTACAAACCTTGGTTCGACTGCAGCTGGTGGTCCAAGCTCAATTGGCAGTCACTATACCGGGCAAGATCATGACGGACAAGTTACCGTGTCCAGCGGTATTCAATTGTGGACTGTGCCATACACTGGAGAATATAGAATAGAAGCAATAGGAGGTGCAGGTTGGTACGGTAAGAACAGTGTCGTCCAGAACGGAGGAAGAGGAGCCAAGTTGACCGGAAACTTTATTTTGACCAAAGATGAGATCATCCGTATACTTGTTGGACATAAAGGGAAAAGAGGGCCTAACTCCAAAACAACTACAGGAGGCGGGGGAGGTACATTTGTGGTGAGAGGAAGCAATACGCCTTTAATCATAGCTGGAGGTGGAGGGGGGATTAAAAACATGTCAGAACAACATTCAGGATGTGATGCATCCCTAAGCACCACAGGGAATGCAGGGTACTCCTCGCCATTGGGGTCAGGAGGAACTGGCGGAAATGGAGGAGGTAGCGCTGGTAATAGGCCAGGTTAGTAAAATGAGATTTACCCAATCATCTTCAAACCAGGGGTACTGTGAGATGATAGAAAAAAATTTTACACGAGTTAAAAAACCCATATTTATGGCAATCATTGGGGCTCATTCATCAGAAGCACACACTTCAAAAAGTCGAAAACTTTGCAGAATCTTAGTTCACTTGAATGTAGCTCGTTCACTTAAATTCTTACTTCACTTGCGCCCGTGTTACATTATTTTTAAGCCACCAAGTCTACGAATACACATTAGGTCATAAGCGTTAACAAGGTAGACATTTGCACAGTTATCAAGGTTGTTGATTAATTGGGTGACACAGCAAAAGCATTGCGGGAATCATACAGACCTTTTTTTTTTTAAGCAAGGATTCGACTTTCGTATTCCTTAAGGCAGAGCATAGAAAAACATAGAACTAAGTTATTAATAAAAGAAAATAGGTATTCTCCCGACCTTTATATAGATGCGCTCCGGTACAATTAAAGAGATCACTGGAAATTTTCTTTTTCGCTTTAGGTGGCGGCGGCGGCGGCTTTTACGGCAATGGGGGAGGAGGAGGTAAAGGTGGTAAGGGATTTCTGAACGGTGGAAAGGGTGGAACGTATAACGGTGGGTTCGGAGGTGGCGGCAGTAATCCAGCTTACTCTGGGGGAGCTGGCGGCGGTGGAGGTTACTCTGGGGGAGCTGGAGGTACTAATGAAGATCCCTCTTGTGGTGGAGGAGGAGGATCTTTTAACAGTGGAACAAATCAGGAAAATGAATGTTGTTATAATACGGTTGGAAATGGTAGAGTGACTATCACCTTGATCGAGTGATCAATGCAACAATTTTTAAACAAAACATAATTGTGGTATTTCACACAATCTTATAATTCTCAATATCATGACAAATTACGGCTTCTGTTACATCATGATATTAGTGTAGACAAGGGATTCTCAGACGAAATCTATTTACTTGCAGATCGGTAGAAAGCACTAAAATTATCCATTGCTAAGTGCAGCTTAATGAAACTTTCACAAAATTTCAGTTTCTCTACGGCAGTGTATTCTTGGGAATGCCCCCTAAGATAACTCTCACTTATTACATCTAGTTGTATTTGTATTCGAGTGGATTGTCAAATATAGATGTGGACTGCATTAACACGGAAGTGAGTTTTTGTACTACGTTTACTTACGATAGGCAGGTCCCAGAGCTCAAGTTGGTCCTTTTTTACTTCCCATCATTTTATCCGAACTTTCTTCAGGTTGTGGGGGTTCATTTAAACCGAGTAAACGAGAGACGGTTCGGCTCTACCATCTTCCGACCACCGTGCATGGTTATCATGTTTACATAGGTATGGGGCTCTGCTTAGTCCCTCCGCGCGCCGCAGCTTGATTTGGCTTAATTCTCATTACCTGAATGCTACACAGTGTCCTATAAATGTTAGAGGAAATTAAAATCTGACCACTCTCGTGAGATAAAGGGTTTAAAAGGTCAGAGCAGCAGCTGGTAACACATCTTGATTGAAAATTCAACTCGTCCTATTATCACTGCGTCCAAATAAGCGCTTACTGTGAACCGAAGATGCTATGCTTTTGGCGAGTGCAAGTAAATCACTTTTCTAGGCTTTCAAGAGACGCCAATTCCTCTTTTTCCACAGGATACGGAAAGGAATTATTTCTTGCATCAATAGAAGTCATCGGAGGCGTCTATAGTTTGTGGAGGATTTGCGTTATTCTTTACAGTTTCTTGGCTTCTGTACATTTCCGCAACCTAGATTTAAGGGAAACTAAAATTTCAAAAGGCATTCCGAAACAATTTTCTGTGATTAGGGACGATTTCGAAGTAACGGAACTTACAATCATACACGACACCTGCAAAATATGAACTCAGAAACTGGTTCAGGGAACTAAAAAGCTCATTGAAGGTAACTTTGTAGAGCTTCGCACTAGAAACCCTAAACTGGCTCAGTATTGTTTATAACCTCGCCAGAGGGCACACTTTTGTTTCACCCACACTCGTACCAAATGGTAAACATTTTGTTCCTTAAAAATAAAATTGTTTTTAACCTGTGAACTCTGTCCGTGGCTTGTTCAGGTTTCTTATCATCTCGGATTCTAAAAAAACGAGGAAACCGCAATGATATTCACTTGACAGGATCCACCTAATAAACAACGACGAGGAAGAACTCATCTGTTATGGAAAGACTGTTAGTGGTGGAGTACAAGGAGAAGGAGGTAAAGGATATCTTCAGGGAGGAGAGGGTGGAGCGTATCTGGGTGGATTCGGAGGTTGCGGTGGTTTTCGTGGAGGCGACAACGGAGCTGGTGGCGATGGTGGTTACTCCGGGGGAAATGGAGGTGGGAATAAAGCTTTTTTCTGTGGGGGAGGGGGAGGATCTTTTAACATTGGGGCAAATCAACTAAACGAATGTTGTTACAACTGCAATGAACGCGATAAAGTGACTATCACATTTCTTCAGTGAAATGGACATGGCGACACAATCCTCAAAGTGAAGCGAATATTCTTTTCTCAAGCCTCAAATTTGAAAAATCTTCTGATTTTTTATTAAGAGTTTGAAGGTGTACGCTAACCTTTCGATTTTTTGCTTTCGAGTTCAGAGTTTGAATTAACAAACAGTATTTGCTGAGATAGGTTTTTTCGTGGATACATTTTGACCTTAGGGAATTTATCTTCTGCAAAACCTAAAAATTTTGTTCCTTTTCCGGCTCTTTTCGGAGCATTACAGACGTTGTGTTTGAGTATTTATAGAACGCAAGTGTTCTGTCTTCAACTGTGAAGGTCAGTAGACACAAACAATGCTAATTACGAATTGTTTTGAATTAATTGTTTCTAGAAATTGATAGTTTCAAACTACAGTTTGGTTAAAAATCAATAAATTGGTTCCTAGCTGTCAAATTATAGCTGTTTGTTTTTCATTAGACTTGAGTTATAACATTTCACAACTTAAAAGCAAGGTTTCTTTGGGAAAGAACGAGGTAGTATATTTTATCGGAAATACGAGAATCTACAATATCACGACAACTGTTTTCTTTGCTGGTTTGTCCGTCCATTAGATCCTATCCTGTTTCACTCTCTCAAACTCATTGGCTCTGTCCTGTTTCACGGGTAAAGCTTTTATTGGCCTCGCTACCAACCACCTGCACAGTATGCATTGTCTGTTGTCAATCGTCAAACCACGCATTCGCAAAGGGTTCAATTTTGGCCAGCCCGCGTGCCAATTTCCCGCGTAAATTTTCAAAGAAGAACATTAGAAAGAGCGTTTTCACATGAAATATTTGAAAAAAAAAATTAAATGGTCATGGAAATCTGTAAACGGGGACAAAAGTTGGGAAAGTCGAGACTTTCGAACACGAAGCTGATTAAAATTGGGTATCCTGTTGACATGTTTATTAATTTATTTCAGGCTGTCAGTCAGAGAGTATTACGTCTAGTACTGCTTATGTTTTGTATTTTCGTTTCTGTGCATAGCAATCAAGTCCAAAATGGTTGTTTTGTGCAAATATCTCTAAAAAAAGAAAAACGATTGTAAAATTCACGGTGGGACACGGCCAAGAATCTTTTGTCCAATTTCCTGTCAGTATGCAGTTAACCATCCCAGACAAAGCAAGATGAGGTTAAAATTTTGGAGCTAGTATCTTCTTTGACAGGAGTTATCCGTTTAAAACCAACCAAGGGTAAGCAGCCAAAGTTTCTCGGTGTTTGCATCATGAAAATATGTAGCATTTCAGTCATGTAGAAGCCCTCATGAGGGCTTAAATGGTAAAGAACAGTGTCTCTTGCTGAGAAACTCTAGTGGCGGAGTATCAATTACGAAGAAAACGCTTTATTTTTGTCTCAAAAAAATTGTGTTCCGACTCATGATATGAAATTTTTGATCGGTCACAAACAAGCATACAGTATGCTGTCCTACAAAAATGATGAATGTAGATCTCAAAGGTCTCAAAATAGTTACAAAGGAGCCGAGAAAATAGTTTAATAAGATTCTTTATTTTTTTAAAATTTTTTTTCCCCATTATGTTCTCTCGCCAGTAAAAACTTTAAACGTGTTTATTCTCCGCGAGCAAAAGATATCGCTCTCTTTTTGCTTCGTCGAGTTTTTAAATTCACTTTTCAGTGACTGCTTTTTTTTCGGTTCATTTGCTACTGTTCTCCTCAGTAGTGATTGTTTTGGCTGTCATCGGTGATATTTTCAGAGCAAATGAAACCTATGAAAAGAAATTTTTTTTCTTCTGGTTGCACAACACAACAGATCATGATATGTCACGCCAAGAGGAGTTGATTTGTTCGATTACACTTGAAATCGCCATCTCCCGCTCTTTCGATGCAGAAGTTCGACTAATCGGGATACGTCAAGAAGCCTAAGTCAGAATTTAAGTAAGCTAAATTGATTACGGCCAAGTTGCAGAGAATGAGGATAAGAACGAGAAGAAACTTTGATGTCATTAGTTCAGTAACTTGACTTGAAAACGGATTAGATCTGAAATTGGGCCCACACTCCTTGATGCACCAAAATTTCCAGCAGTTACCTGAACGTGTCCCAGGTTAGCATCTATTGATTTTACACAAATATGATATGTAAATACTGTGCTTTGATCCCACGCAATTTTCTTCTTTGTGTTTGAAGCACATTTTAGAACTAGAGAAGCAAAGTTTTAAGAGGATCTCAATGGAGTTAACAGATTGCCGTAAAACGGCCAAAAAACTTAGGCAAGAAAATTGACAAATTTTAACCGATAGTCCAAAAAAAAAGTTAACCGTAAAAAGAATTAAGGCGACAACAATAGAATAAAAAAAAATCTGTAAAATGGCAAAATATTAACCGTTAGCTGTAAAAGCCATCACCCCATTGAGACCTCTTATAAATTTCAATGACTGAATTTTCAAATTCCGCGGTAATATCTCTGGATATAATAATATTTACTGCCTCATGCAATTTTGGAGAACTATTTTAGAAAGAGATTGGGGTAGATTTGAAATGATGAAGATGCAGCCTCGGGCTAAATTGGGACATAGTTCTGTTAGGAATTATTCAATACAAAAACATAAGACAAGGCTCTAACCAGGAGAGTCCATCTGTATATTCTGAAGGTGAAAAAATTCTACCGATAGATTGTAGTATGTTTAGGAGTAACCCCAAAACAGCACAATCCTAAGAAAACAAAGTGGGATTCTTGATCGTACACATTTCAAATAATTTATTTCCCTGAAAATGAATAGTCTGGAAAATGAAGCCCAGTCTCGATTTAGTTAGTACACGCTTGGTTATGGATTAACCGAATCTGTTTGACTGGCATGTCCCAGTGCGACTTTTCGCATCTACTTCGCTTTAAAAATTGTTCTTTACTTTATCAGCAGTACAGGATTCTCTTTCAGTCAATGCTTGTTTCTTAAAGACATTACAAAATGTCACAGTAAATATTTTGTAAACTATGATCCTGATCACCTGGCGGAGTTACCGGTGATAAGGAATTTGACAAATTGCATACTTTTCTTTACTCTCTTCTATAAACTAATTCATACCAAGGTTGTGAATCGGATTTTTACCTTTAGATATTTCGTGCAGTCATCTGAAATTCGTATAAAGGGATGAGGAATTAGAGGGGTTTTGTGCTCATTAATTTTAATCTGCTGCACTTAAGAGGGCGTCTTGAGAACCTTTAAATTATTAAACGATTGACTTTGAGAGCAAAAATTGAAACTCGCCTTCAGATTAGGTCTTATGATGAAACGGGAGTCAGAATGGCTGCGCAGTCGATGGTAGGCTTAGTCGTTAATTACCTTATGAGCTTTGATAAATATAAGCAGGAAGATAAGGTCACATACTATTTCAGCTTGACACATAAGGAATTTCTTTGACGGTAACTAATTGAAAAAGCCTCTAACGCGCTCGTCATATTGCTCCCAGAGAAGGCAATATTTTTTCTTTAAAAGTATTCTTCATCCCGTATTTTTTAACTTTAGAAAACTAAATTCCGGTCTTCTCTCCTTCTAAACTGGTTGTTACTGAATGAAAATTATAACAGAGAACCGAAAAGCTTAATATTCCATAAGATTCAAGTGCTTGTTGACTTGCATTCCCAATGTGCTACATTTTAAGTAAAAAATATTATGTTCAGTAGTTTCTACGAAAAAAAAATTGAACTATGTTTAGCAAAACAACTTTAAAACATGTTTAAGCTTTGGTGTGAATGGGGTATAGGACATTCGTGATACGGAGGAACGACTGACTTCGTTTAATTTTCATGTTATTCCTCGCGTGACTTGAGGGGGCACTACAAAAAGTATCTGATAGCTGGGTCACAGTGAGCGTTTAACATATTATTCAGCGCTAACATCCAATTGTTCGACAACGAACATCTTTTACACAGAGATACGGTGAGAAATTGCGTGCAGGAGCTTACGCATTAAATTTCCATCTTTTCAAATTAATAATTCAATTTTAGTTTGATGTTGTTATTTACACCTCAAGAGACCGCACGGACATGAAGGTGTCAATTAAAAAAAACAAATGCTGATGTCAATCACGTATTTGTAAACATTTACATACTGTGCATTAAAATTTGCCTTTTTCGTGTTCTTAAATTGTAGTTATAACTTTACCTCACAAATTTTAGCTAAACAGCAAAAGTTATCTATTGACAATTTTTTTAATCGTCCATGGTTGACCATGTTATGACGTTTCAAGACACCAAGTTGCTGACAAAGATTTTGGCAGTTTTTAAATTACAATTCATAGTTAGATCGCCAAACAATGTTTACATGCGGGGACAAGTGCTCTGATTATACTTGACGTCAACAAAATCTAAAACTTTTCTATCACACAGGTAAGACCAAACAGGTGTATATTAACAATTGCATCCATCTGTCCCTTGGGTCCAAACATATGCACGGATAGTTGTGCGCAGATATTACCTGATCTGTTCCGAGATGCGATCAGTTTTCCGAAGCTCGAGGAAAACTGTGAGCAATTTCAAGCTTCAGGAATTTGTTTCGCCAAAAATCCAAAAACGAAAGCTCGTCAGGTTGATGCTTGAAGAGCTAATGGGTTTCTAGTGACGCATGAAGCTTTTTCATTCCAATTTCTCTCTTACGTATATTCAGAGTTTTTTTGTAATTGTCTCCTCCTTTCTTAAACTTTTATTAGAGTCCACCCCAGATCTTCAGCATCTGTCAGAGGGAATGTGGTGCTTGTGTTTGTAGATGCCAGAATAGAAAAATGTTACGAATGGTTAGTGGAAAGCCTTCACTCTTTTCCGTGCTTTTCATGACTCAAATCTTCCACGGCATTACCAGCCACCAGTGTGGAGCCGGCATTTACTCCATTTTTCAAAAGATGCTCAGGGGCCACACCTATATGACGATTGAGAGCCAAGCCGGTACCGTCGCGCTGGAATGCAGGGAAGCTTGTCACACTGATTTCAGATGTCAAAGCTATAACATCGATGTACTTAATTCAAAGTGTGAGTTAAACAACCGGACCAAAGAGGCCAGACCTGAGGACTTTGTCAAACATAAAGACAGATACTACATGGCGAGAAACTCAAAACGAGGTAACAGAACTTTACACCAGAAATAATTGATTTTTTGTTCAACGTTCAAATAAGTACCTCGTTCAAGGATTCTAAAGTGGTACTCATCGTTGTTTCTCATTTTTGTACTTTCTACAATTCCAGTCCCTCTCGGCTCTATTCCTGAGCTACCTGCCTATTCGTGCCGAGAGATTAAGGCGAGTGAGGGAGGACAAGCGGTCAGCGGTACATACTGGTTGGATTCCACCAGGTCTGGGAACTCTATTCTAGCTCACTGTGACATGAAAACAGAAGGTTAGGAAGACAAAATTTTCATGATGACTTTCATAATGTGTGAGTAAGTTTCATTTAGAGATTTTTCCCATCCAGTCGCAGATTACTGCATTCAACACCAGTGCCAAAACAATGCCAGGTGCATAAACCATCACGTGAACTACACGTGTGCCTGTAACTTATCTGGGTGGACTGGAAACTTCTGTGAGCAAGATAAATTCAACGCTCAATTCTTTGCTTTCAATAATAAAAACCAAGTTTAACTGATTGAATGACAACTCTTTCCACTATTTTATCAAGGCGCGAAAAAAGATTACCACACATTCCCATGAATTTCGGAGTGCGCCAAAGGTATGTTTGTTATCAGTTAGGCTGCTACATGGCCTACAAAAGTAACACGTCTCTCATTTTTTGTCTATCCACCTAGAGCCAGAGTTTAAAGCTGTCTTCACAAACCTTGGTTCGACTGCAGCTGGTGGTCCAAGCTCAATTGGTAGTCACTATACAGGGCAAGATCATGACGGACAAGTTACTGTGTCCAGCGGTATTCAATTGTGGACTGTGCCATACACTGGAGAATATAGAATAGAAGCAATAGGAGGTGCAGGGTGGTACGGTGAGAACAGTGTCGTCCAGAACGGAGGAAGAGGAGCCAAGTTGACCGGAAACTTTAATTTGACCAAAGATGAGATCATTCGTATACTTGTTGGTCATAAAGGAAAGAGAGGGCCTAACTCCAAAACAACTACAGGAGGCGGGGGAGGTACATTTGTGGTGAGAGGAACCAATACGCCTTTAATCATAGCTGGAGGTGGTGGGGGAATTAAAAACATGTCAGAACGACATTCAGGGATGTGATGCATCCCTAAGCACCACAGGGAATACTGGGTACTCCTCGTCATTGGGGTCAGGAGGAACTAGTGGAAATGGAGGAGGTAGCGCTGGTAATAGGCCAGGTTAGTAAAATGAGATTTACCCAATCATCTTCAAACTAGGGGTACTGTGAGATGAGTTACAAAAACCCATATTTGTGGCAATCATTGGGGCTTATTCATTGGAAGCATACACGCCAATAAGTCGAACACTTTGCAAAATCTTAGTTCACTTGAATGTAGCTCGTTCACTTACATTCTCATCGCTCTTGCGCCCATATTACATTATTTTAAAGCCACCAAGTTTACGAAAACACATTAGGTCATAAAAGTAAACAAGGAGGACATTTGCACAGTTATCAAGAATGTTGATTGGGTGATGCAGTAAAAGCATTGCAGGAATAACACGGACTTATTTTGAACAGGGATTCGATTTTCGTAACTTGCTTTTCAAGTCCTCTAAGGCAAAGCATAGAAAAACATAGAACTAAGTTGTAAATAAAACAAAAAAGGTATTCTCCCGCCATTTATATAGATGCGCTCAGGTACCATTAAAGAGATTCACTGGAAATCTCTTTTATCGTTTTAGGTGGCGGCGGCGGTGGCTTTTATGGTAATGGGGGAGGAGGAGGTAAAGGTGGCAAAGGATTTCTCAATGGTGGAAAGGGTGGAACGTATAACGGTGGGTTCGGAGGTGGCGGCGGAAATCCAGCTTACTCTGGGGGAGCTGGCGGCGGTGGAGGTTACTCTGGGGGAGCTGGATGTGTTAATGAAGATCCCTCTTGTGGTGGTGGAGGAGGATCTTTTAACAGTGGAACAAATCAGGAAAATGAATGTTGTTATAATACGGCTGGAAATGGTAAAGTGACTATCACCTTTATCGAGTGATCAATGCGCATGGCAACAACAAAAAAAATTTTATTGTGGAATTTCACACAATATCATAATTCTTAATATAATGAAAAAATATAAGACAAATTACGGCTTCTGTCATATCGTGATATTAGTATACACAAGGAATTCTCAGACGAAATAGTGTACGATTTGATTTACTTACAGATTCACAGAAATTACTAAAATTATCCATCGGAAAGTGCAGCTTCATGAAACTTTCACGAAATTTCAGTTTCTAGGGCAGTGTACACTTGGGAATGGTCCCCTAAGATAACTCTAAGTTATTTTATCTAGTTGTATTTGTATTCGAGTGGATTGTCAAATATAGATGTGGACTGCATTAAGTCTGAGTTTTTGTACTACGTTTACTTACGATAGGCAGGTCCCAGAGCTCAAGTTGGTCCTTTTTACTTCCCATCATTTTATCCGAACTTCCTTCAAGTTGTGGGGTTCATTTAAACCGAGTAAACGAGAGACAGTTCGGCTCTACCATCTTCCGACCACCGTGCATGGTTATCATGTTTACATAGGTATGGGGCTCCGCTTAGTCCCTCCGCGCGCAGCAGCTTGATCAGGCTTAATTCTCAGTACCTAAATGCTACACAGTGTCTTATAAATGATAGAGGAAATTAAAATCTGACCACTCTCTTGAGACAAAGGGCGTAAAAGGTCAGAGTAGCAGCTGATAACACATCTTCATTGAAAATTCAACTCGTCCTATTATCACTGCGTCCAAATAAACGCTTACTGTGAACCGAAGATGCAATGCTTTTGGCGAGTGCAAGTAAATCACTTTTCTAGGCTTTCAAGAGACGCCAATTCCTCTTTTTCCACAGGATACGGAAAGGAATTATTTCTTGCATCAATAGAAGTCATCGGAGGCGTCTATGGTTGGTGGAGGATTTGCGTTATTCTTTACAGTTTCTTGGCTTCTGTACATTTCCGCAACCTAGATTTAAGGGAAACTAAAATTTCAAAAGGCACTCCGAAACAATTTTCTGAGATAAGGGACGAGTTCGAAATAGAACTTAGAATCATGCACGACACCTGCAAAATATGAACTCAGAAACTGGTTCAGGGAACTAAAAAGCTCGCTGAAAGTAAGTTTGCAGAGCCTCGGACCGGAAACCCTAAACTGGCTGAGTGTTGTTTATAACCTCGCCAGAGGGCATATTTTTGTTTCACCAACTCTCGTGCCAAATGGTAAACATCGTTCCTTAAATATAAAATTGTTCCTAACCTGTGAACTGTCCGTGGCTTGTTCAGGTTTCTTATCATCTCGGATTCTTAAAAAGCGAGGAAACCGCAGTGATATTCCCTTGACAGGATCCACCTAATAAACAACGACGAGGAAGAACTCTTCTGTAAGTTGAAACGCAGACGTAATTGAATCCTACTCTGGCTCTTAGACCTGGAAAGACATCCCTTCAGTGGTTTACCTAAATCGGCACTAATACGTTCCTGTTCCTTAATCGGGGTTTTAAGTTTTCAATTGAACCGACAAGTTTTTAATCAAGAGTTTCCAAATCCAAAATTGCATCTCTGAGAAACAAACAAAGATCTTCGCCCGTCATTAAAGGGTTTCCACCATGGATATTACGTGGCGCTCCAGACTTATTGGCGTAACCGCACCCCCTCTCCGGTAACTGCTACGTCTAATGCTTCAAAATACTAAAAATATCCTGCTTTCCATTTTAAATAGTGCTTAATGTCATTGTTTTTCAACCAAAAGAATGCATTCTGTACCAGGAAAAAAAAGTAGTGACTGATATTTTTTGCCACCCTCTTAACTGATAGACCTCGGGTGGAATGAGGGGGGAGGGGGGGCGGGGGCTAGTGGAGCATTTAGTGTTGTAAACCTCGTAGAGTATTGGACTAACTAAAAGCTTCATGAAATAATTATCATAGGAAGCATTTTACAAACGTAGTACTTACCAGGCCCAGAGCTGCTTTATGAACAGGAGAAACTGAAAGATCTGCTGCTCTGATTTCCCAAACCTACACCACAAAAATAAGCAAACTCACGTTACACTCAAATAAAACTGCACCCAGTAACCTTAGCAAAGGATACACTTTAAGCATTACATGTATATGTATGTTATATTGCATTTTAAGGGTAAACAAAGCCGGTTTCAAAATCAAGAACAATTGAGGTATTTTTAAACTTTGGATAATCAAGCCTCTAGCAACATCAAAGTAATTTCTTTTTTCTCTTTTAGTAGCTACGACTTGCAATCATAGCAAGTTGTTGATGTTTGATAAAGGGTCAGTATTCACATGGGCTACTTACCTGAGGGGAACAGGTTAGGGTTGAGGTCAGGGGGGTATCCTACTTTCCCCCTCCACCCTGATCTAAACACAAGGCACTGTTTGAAATAAATCAGTACCCATCAGTACCCACCAGAATGTAACTACATCTGTAAAGTCACAAACAAGAACAAATCTCATGCTCAAAATTCCTGTCTAGAAAAATAGATTTGTCACCTGAACTGGGTCAAACCAATGATCGGGAGCCAGATTATCATCATAGCGATAGTAGGCCTTTGGATGTGGAATCACTTGATCCTTAAAAAACTGGTAATGTTTGTCAAGTAGCTCATCTGTAAAACCTGTTCCAATCTGAAAAAAAATATATTGAAAATAAAATGACCCTGGTGACATTAGAGCAACTTTAAGAGCAACTGAACAGAGAGATTGTTGATTAAATAATTTCATAGATTGGGTATGAGTAGACCTGGGAAGAACTCTATTCTGTGACAATGACATAATTTGAAATATTCTGTAAGTTTTTTTTCTTACTTTACAGATGGTTTGGAATTCTTCATTCTCAGGATCATAGCAGGCCAGCAGGTATCCACCATATGAGCCAGTTCTTTTGCCTTTACCCAGATAACCTCCAATGACAACTACATCTAAAGTATCTCCCACACCAGTTAGGTAGTCTTTCTTCAACTGAAAGTTGAGGGGATGAACTGATTTACAAAAATTACAATGAAATAATTTTCTCTTTATAACAATGGTTTTGCTTTAATTACAACAGAGTAGGTTTGAAATAAGCAGCTAAAATAACATGGTTTATTCCTGTTACATAGACAGTGACATGTTTGTTTTAAAATAAATATTGAAATTATACAGTAAAACAAATTTCATAGCAACAAAACAAGGTTGTAGGAATCATAGCAATGTAATAAAAACAAAACTACAATAGTGAATACTGAAATGAAAGAGAAACAGTTTATCTTCACAGGGATTAATCATCACTACAATGTAAATAAATCAGCTGTGGATTAAAAAAGAAACACCTACAGCACTGAAAATCTATAACATTCTGTTTCTTAGTATTCTTTTCAGAATTTGTAAAAAAGTAAGACTTACCTTCAACCAATTATGTGAGCGTTTTGCAATTTCATATGTGGCATCCATGTCAAGGGTTTTAACCATCAGACCCTCACAATTACCTGAAAAATTGTAGAACAGAGGCAAAATCAATTCACAAGGGTATTCACACATTTTTGGGAAGAATAGACAACTAAAGAGAGAGAGTGAGCATTACACCTCTAAAAGGTACGATCCTAGATGTCTGAAAATTAAAGAGAAAACCTGAAAATTGTATTTAACAGAATCATCAACTATTAATTACCTTTGATTGACTCATCCAAGAATTCTGCAATATCATCTGTGTTTATTGAATCAGAACTCTGAGCAAACATGAACTCCTGTAATAGTAAAAAAAAAAAATGCAATAATTGTTTTTGCAATGTTTTTACTTGAAATTGAAACAACCATGCATGTAAAAAATTTCCCCTACCCCTTCAACTTCTGTGAGTGATGATCGTAAAGCTTCTCGTCGAGTTCGAAATGTTTCCTTGATGTATGACTGAAATAGACCAAAGGTTACAATAATTTCAAATATATTCAAAAGTGGACTTGAAGGTGTTGGTGTGTAAGTATAGATAGGAATGATTTTGGGAGCAGTGCTCTTTCCAACCAATACTGTTAGCCCTTTAACTCCCATGATCTGATTGTTAATTCTCCCCTCTAGCTGCTACACATTTCCTAGTGAATTAGTTATGAGAACTTGGTGCTAGATAGCAGCTTCTACTTGATAAGTTTGAATATTCTCATTACCTGTTTGCTGAAGAATTTATGGATATTGTAGGGAGAAGTTTTATGTTAATCACTTCTGGGAGATAAATGGTTAGCCACATGTCAGCAAGAGAAGCTCTCGGCTTGTCCTTTCTAATACAGGAAGCCATATTTGGTGGGGAGAGAAGCTCCCATTTACTCTTTAACTTACATCCTTCAAATCTCTGCAATACACTTTTACATCCCTATTCCTCCTCTCTCAATTTTGAGAGAGAACAAATTTAATTCTTGAAATGTATAAAAAGTGAAATCATATTAACTAACATTCATCCACCGGAAAATAAACAAAATGGCTATTAACTTTTTGGTCTCCCAAATGAAAAATATACTAATACATTGTCAAAGACATACCTTTCCATTCAGGTACAGCAAATCAAATGCATAGACACAAACTTGAACTTTTATTTCTGAGGCATCAGCATCCTTGAGAATACAAACTGAACTAAGTCAACCAAGTGAAGGGAATAAAAAAACTGAAACCTATCTTTATTTGCATCATGAAACTTTAGTTTACTGGTTAAAGCAGAAGAATGATGCTAGTTTTGTTACCACATAAAGTAAAATGTATAACATATGAAGTTGACAATGGTGAAATTACATGAAGACCAAGTGAACTACAGGATTAAACTTGAAAAGTTATGAAATGCTCTTTTATTTTTGGTTGGCATATACTCTTTCTCTCATCCTGCAAGGGCTGACTATGGTATGTTTACTGCAAGATCAATCTATAAATCACCTTTCTTTTACGTGTACTAAGAATCTGAAAAGGAAGAATCTGTTTCTTTTCCCTGTCCCACGCCACAGCTTCAGCATCAATTATGCAGGACTTAACCTCATCACCTAAAACCTATGAAGGAAAGGAAAGCACTTTACATTGAACAGTTTGTCATAGCTGACCATGTGAGTTTGCTCAAGTTTGGGGAAGATGAGATGTTACTTTTTTATGACTAAGAGCTGTACACATTTATATGAAAATAATAACTTGGCATAGCTTACCATCAAGCTAGAGGAAAAATAAATGAATAGTTAAAAATACTACATATGACTAATAGTAGTCAATTGTGATAAATTCAACTGTTGTGTCTTTTATGAAGTATACTAAGTGGGCACTACTAGTGAGTCTGGGTTGGGTTGTAAGAGTGTTCCAAACAGTTGAACAAACTGTAAACTTTAAAGATTTTCTGTCCTAAAAACATAACTAAAAAGTTGGAAAGTGCATATGACCTTGCTTAAAAGGCTACCCGAGTGAACCAAAAGTAAACATGCTGAATCTGGATGAGATTCTACCCAACTGAATATACCTAAAGGATAAGAACTACTAACTTTTGGCATTCTTTCAATAATGTCAGGATACTTGGATGTGTTGTTCTCCTGATTTCGGCTGTAAATGTGAATTTCTCCACTTTCTAGTACATGGATCTAGAAACATAGAAAAAGAAATCATTCTGTAACTCTAAACATTCTTAAGTAACAGCAGGCAGTCAGGGTGAATGGGCAAAAGATGGATTTTCCTCACTGTATGAGCCCTTGTGAGGCAGCTGTTTTATCATCCAACAAGTTACCCCAGACAATTTATGAGTGCCAGTGAGTCAATAGGAAGACTACAGCATCTTCAGACCTTAACAATGGTGACACAGTACACACAACAACAATAAATATTACAAATAATTCCTAACCTGAGCTCGCTCTCCATCATACTTATATTCACATGTGAAGGCTGCATCCTCAAACCTTTTGAATACTTCTTCCACTCCTTTGGAAGGATGAGCCAGCATTGGCTTCAGTGGAATACCTGAGTAGAAATCCAAGCTGTACATTTCCAAACAGTACTTGCACCTAAATAATGGCTATGCAACACTCACACGTATATGTCGGGGTTTAACCACTGAAACAATGCTAAATACCTACTATTCCCAAGAAGATATAATCTATTTCTAGTTGTAGTGTCAAGGACAGAGAATCTCTTACATGCAACTGGCGTGACAGGCAAGAACAGCCACTTCATATTGATCAATACATGTATAATTACCTGGTGTTAGATGACAGTGATCAGGCAGTGTTTCTAGGCCATGTTCCAAAAGAGATGGAATCAGCTTGTCATAACTGGGCATTTCACTGCCAAAAAAAAACCAAATAATCAAACATGTGAAGAGAGAAATTTGGTTTGATTGCATCATTAAGGCATTTGGTATGGACTTAGCCCTAATTCAAAAATTGTCAGGGAGCTAAAATATTAAAATGTTGGCCTGAAATACAAATTTTAGTCACAAGGAAAAAAGAGAAATTTCTTTTCTGCAATATGACACAACATTTGTTCAAATGTTTATCATATTTTAAATTGAGACCAAAAACACTGAGTATTAAAAATGCTACAGCTTGCTTTGTGACTGCCAAACACAGGTTGCCAAACTCCTCACAGCTTTTGCTACAAATTTAGTTGTTCAATTTTCTTTCTACCCCTAATGGCAAGCAAATCAAAATCTTGACAAAGCAATTGTATGAATAACTTTGAGAACCAAAAGGTTTCTCAAGGGCTGACAGGTGAGAATCGTATTTCTTACCAGTAACAGGTCTTGACAATTAAAGCAGCCTCATCTTGTTTCTTTTTCAATACATCACCAGAAAAATTCTTAGCATTGTCAAGAATGGGAGGAGGGAACTCTGAAAAAAGAAGAAAAGGAACAAATTAAGAAATCATTTTCACAGGTTTGTGATACAATTAGTTTTGCTACTCATTTCATACAGAATGTTCTATAGATGTAATAATACTGTACCTTTATTAGGAGGGGTGAGAAAGACAGCATGTCCAAGGGCTGTTAACACTGATTGTTCTGCAAGACCAATTCTTAACTTGCCTCCTAAGGATCTGAACACAAGAAATATTGTCAAGTTCGCTGCATGACACATTCAAGCTTACTGCAATAAAAGTCAATCCTGCAGTTACCAAACTAGCAACTTCATTAAAAAGGAAAAATTTTATCATCTAAAACCAAATAGTCTCAATTCTACCCACTCAAAGCCCCCATTTCACATCCTTTCACTGAAATTAATCCTTTCACTCTTAAGATATCAGAATCAATTCTCCCCTCTATCTCCCACACATCTTATAACCAAACATCTTTCATTTAGGCTCTTTCAGAGCTTAAATGAAAAAGAATTTGGTGTTAAATCAAACTGCATCCCCCACATGATACTTCTGATTTCTTCTCATCACTTTTCTGCAAGATAATGTTTTAATAATGCCCAGAAAAATTACCTCTTTATTATAAGTCAATAATGAAAGAAGAGTTCCAATAATGGTTTTAACAATTAAATTTTACTGTAACAGCTAACCTAATCAAATATCTTGCTTCTGCATCACGACAAGCTACAAACATGCCTTTGATTTTCTCTGACTTTCTTGTCATGGACTGTAACAAAATTTTGACAAAGGTTATTTAACATCACTGTACCCAGAGAACTTAAATTTTCACAATTCTAAACAAGTTGGCCATGAGTCTCTGTCAATAATGACTTCTACCCTTGAAGTGCAAATATCAGGTAAAAAGAATTTGCAACACCCAGAAAAGCCAAACTATCTGTTTACTATGTGCTGGGTGGGTTTATACTCACACTGTGTCCAGTCATCATTGCAATTTCTTTCAGTTTGGTAAAGACACTTGTAGCAGTTAGTTTGGGTGGGGCAAACATGGTGCGCTGTGTGCTTCGGCAACTCTGACAGGTAAAATAAAAACACCATTCATCTAGCAGATTGAAAACTCTGCTTAAAGTTTTGCTGAGGGTTTGTAAGTTTTGTGCCCTATATATATGATCAAGTTTTTGTTGGTACAACAGTTAACATAAATGTATTAAATAATGGCAATAGTCCAGTATCAGTCTGTACTGGCCAACAGTAATCAGGTAATAAGACTTAACTAGTAGTAATCCCAAGTCTCTCTTAAGATTTTGCTTGACTATTGTATATAACTTTTTAGATGCTAATATGGCTATCTTGCTAGTGTTGTAAAGTAAACTATGACCTACTTCTACACCGTATAAGAAAAAAAAAATTAGAAAATAATAAGTTTCAAATTTACTCAATGTTCAGATTAAAATTAGAATTAGCTGAAAAAATACCTCAGCTACTATTCCCAAATCTCCCTTTTCCCCAACATCACACTTTATCTGTTGAAGGCTTCGTCCTAAGATAAGAAATTATACCATATAAATTGAAATATCATAAAACCTGAGAGAAAAAGTAAACTGTCTGATTGCAATGTTTGCTAACTTTTTCTGTCGCATCAAATAGATCATAAAACTCTCGGTGCACCTGTTGACTCTGCAACTGCTTTCATCAGAATGTTCTCTCCAATTCCAAGTTCAATTCCTTCATATGCTGGAGCCAGCTATGAATTATGGACAAAAAGTGATCAAGGAACAATTCAGACATAATTGTTCAGACATGTACAGTTGGAGCATAACACTTTAATCCCTAACAGTGACTCACATCTTATTTCTTCTTACAATATCACACCTGAATCACACATTAGGCAATGAAAATAAACTAAGGAAATCATTGAAAACTCAAGAAGCACTGGATTATTTAAAAACATTTGTCTTATCAATAGCAGAGAGAATGTAAAGAGAACACTTAGAAGAATATGTATATTGATATTAGGGTGTAAAGGGTTCACCATTGAAGACACCTCTGTTAATTATAGAACTTCTCCACACCTGTAACTTTTCATCCCTTCACTCCTTAAAATAATCATTTTTCTGCACTGTCTACCAGACATTTCTTTTAATTTTAGCTGTCAGAATTTGATGTGAAATCTAGCAGTATAATGTACACTCAGTTTCAACAGCCTTGCCTATGGAGTGTAGTGATAATTATGTACTTAACTTACAGTTGTTTACTTCTTATAAAATGTCAATTCACATAACATTTGATGAAGAATTATCCATATCTTCTACCTTATTAAGACAGAGATAAACACATGGAAGCAAATCATCAGGAGAAAGAACAATCACTGAACGGAAGAAATTGCTGAGGATGGAGGTGATTTTTAACCTGTTTTGACATAAAATAAGTTTAAAAAAAATTGAAATAAATTTATTACTGTAATGATAACAAATAATTAAAGCTACCAAGGGTTCATTCTTAGTTACAGTCTTCTTTCATCTATGTGTACATCTACACAAAGGTCAAAAAATGTCACTCTGTACTTACCTTGCTGAAGTGTCTTCTATGGCCTGAAATGATTTGGCTACAGCCAAGTAAGGTACTCTAAAAGAGATGAGTTAGACAGTTATAAATGGGCACTGATAATACAAATGTACATTTAATAATTTACAGAGTGGCTGGACTACATGAGTTATTTATTCCCTGACACTCATGCTTCATGTGTAAACATTGCTAATAACAATAATCTAAAGATGTTATAGGAAAAATTTGGGGGAAAAAAAGCTTATTAACTAAAGGTGACTGAAAAATTTTGGGTGAACAAATGTATAAATAATTGTTAGAAGGATACATGGATGAATGAAGTGAGCTTTTTAAGATTCAGTTTAATAACAGCACATATAGCACATTACCCAAGTTAAAATTTGTAGAGACGGCATATAAATTATAGAAAAAAAGATACCTGCCCTTTAGGACAGGACTGAAATGATTGGGATTGTGTAGGGCTCTGCTCAATTGTTAGGAGAGTAAGGTAAGAAACACTACTCATGAAGCATGGGAATCTAATTGTTACAGATGATGAAATGGGGTGTGTTGTCAGGCCCTGAATTAAGAGTACAACATTGTACTTTGTTGATGCTTCTACCTTTATACCAACAATAATTATAATTCCATTTATTGCGAGTTTGTTGGAAACTAAAATTATAGACAATTACTTACCTTTCTCCATGTTTCCAACAAGCATTTTTAATGGGGTGATAGTCACTTTTCTCTGGAGAATATTCTGTGGCCTTCACAGGTTCACTGAGCCCAGTTTTATTTGAAGAGCTATAAAATGTGGGGTACTTTAGTTAAAGACAACATTATTTTGACCAGATATAAATGTTCTCTAAGTCTAAAAACCAACCCCTCACATTGCCTATGAGTATAGGGAAATTAGGGAAGGGATTAGATATGTCTCAGCATCTTCACCTAAACTTTCATGTAACCCTGTAACCCTCAAGATCTGATTGTTCTGAAGTCTCCCCTCTGGCTGCTACACATTTCCTTGAAAATTAGTAACAAGAATGCAGTCTTAGATCAAGAAAAAAAACGTCTGCCTGATAAGTTTGAGTATTCTCAATACCTGTTTGCTGAGTTATGTATGGATATCACAAGGAGACATCACTAGTCAATAACTTCTAGGCATTAAAGGGTTTGTCCTTCACTCTTTCTCACCTTGTTTTCTTTGTTGGTGGATTGTCTCTGTCACTTTTACTCTTCTCTGGAAGTTTTTCCTTGTTACTTTCTTCTTTTTTGGACCGTTTAGGAGCTTTAAGAGAAAAATCAGAAATTTAGTAATCCAGTGAGCTTAAAATCAAAGGTGGGGAGAGGCATCATCATGTGTGAAGTTAAGTGTCTTGTATCAGGTATTGACAAGGACCCCTAACCTAAAGATCATATTATTTCCCAAAAAGTACTTTTCTTTATTAAATTTCTGTGTCACCAGACATGATATGCTTGGTCATTTAAGTAGGCCATACCCTTCCACAAGGCCTGCCAATGTATATTAATGAACCCTTTTTACGCTACTAATGATCCTTCTGTGAAAATCTCCATGTTTTTTTTGTTCAATTAGATGTTAACAGCTGCTAGTGACTACCCAACAAGTTTGAAACAACACGTTTTTCTCTTGAGGAGTAACAGCCTTATGTACCTCTTCTGTGTGATTGAGGATGGTTTTCCAAACCTGTCAGACTTACAGCAGAGAAACAGTAAATCAAAGATCTTAGTTTCCATCCTTGTCTTAACAGTCTTCACTGTATTGTTTGTAGCTTGCATGCTTTATGTCTGGGCTACTACTTGAAAAGAAAAACCTACATATACTGACACATGAACATTCAGTGTACTTACAGAAGAAGTCAATGAATGCTCCTTTAACTTTTCTTTCACCCCTGGAGTCTTGACTGCTAGATATTTCTTCTTCTTTATCTTTCTTTATCACTGTCTCAGAATCTCCCTCTCCATTTTCCTTACTAGACTTAATCTGTTCTTTTGTTTCAGCATGTTTTGAGACTATCAGCCTCATATCACCTTTTGCTCCATCACTCTTTAAATTTTTTTTTGGTTTTGTTTTTTTCTTTTTTTTGTCTTCTTCAGTATCTTCTTTCATCTCAGTTAATTCTTCGCCACTTTCATTTTCTTTTTCTTTCATTCTGCCCTTAGATTCTGATCCCCTTGCTGTTTGATCTTTCTCACACTTAACAATAGTTGCTTCCTTGACTCTAGAGTTTAATCCTCTCTCTGCTTTTTCCATTTTTATTTCATTTGATGTAGGATTGCCTGCCTTGTCAAGATTTTCTCTTTGATTTTCTTGAGAGTCCTGTTCTGACTTTGCTCGTTTCACCACTTTGGCCTAAAAAGAATAAAGTTGTTAGAACGCAATAATTTGTTCCTTTCCATTTTAGAAGGAACTGCAGGAAATCTTGCTCATGTTTTATTATGCTTTACAAAAAAATTTAAGAAAATCAGCTTATGCATACAGTTCATTGTACCTGATTTTTCTCAGAAGATTCTTCCTCACTTGAGGCCTTCCTTTTGGCAGGTTTTCTTGGTGCTGAGAAAAGACCTGAATAATGTTAGTGTTACATACATGTAACAATTATCAAAGATGTACTTCTTATAAACCCAGGTGCTGCAGGCAGCTAACTCTTGTTTTTGGTGACTTGTAAAAACATACCAGGGGAATTCAGGACAGTATCAAAATAAGTATTAAACTGTCATTTGCAAACCTGTCTTTCGTTTAGGGATATGCATCCTCTCATTTTGTGGAGACATCACTTCTATGAATTTGCTTTCTTCCTTATTGTCACCAACTTCATAATGCTCTGTTTTAGTATTTTCTTCTTGCAATACAGTGTTTTGTTTCAGGATATCAACATGTTCACTGTGCTTGGCTGGTGAAAAGTCTTCTTTATTGTTTTCTTCGTCGCTAGCATCATCAAGTATGCGGCGTGATTTTTGTTTGCAAGTCTTTTTGACTGGAGGTGAATCTAAAGCTGTAGTTTGAGGTTTGAACTTCAGTGGAGTCCTCTCCTCTTTCACTTCAATGTCATCATTACTGAAAATTAGGTAACAGGTTAACTGCATTGTTACAATAAAACCCAATCATATCTGTAATAAATATATAAATACTCTTAGTGATGTGCACTCATGCTAGCTACAATGCATAAAATGTGATCATACAGAGAATTGCAAAATAAAGGAGGGTCTATGGAAAAGTTTTATTGGTGCATGGCTCCACTCCATACCAAAAACATATGAATCTCTTTATGAAGGATGATAGACTACAAAAGTAAACTCAGCTCAATCAGGAAGAAGGGATGCTGACGGCAGTCCTCTAAGCGCCCCCACTAATCTAGCTCGTGGTATTAACCTCTGCTTAGTCTCACCCCAATCATTACCCTATGCCATGTTGACATACATCGTTCCAATGAAGTCTTGAAGAATAAACGACAACGTTAACGACATAGATCTTAAACATTTCAATACATCAAGCATACCTGGCTACTCCTTCTTCGCTCCTATCTTTAACCTTTGGTTTCGCACACGGAGAGAAAAATGCACTGGAGGCGGAGAGACAATAATTTTGTAAGCGTCTAATTGGTTCAAGGTAGACGATCGCCACAATAACATTTACAATTTCATTCATCTTTACTCAAACCACGCTCCTACGAATCAAGGAGTATAAACTCACGTTATTCCTCTTTGAGTCATTCCTGTGGTTTAGTGATCGTAGTACAGACTATTATTTTACAACACAAATTCAGGTAACATGTTCACCAACATAGAGTTCCCGCCACTTCTTGTAAAAATAAAGAGGAGCCCTGAGTACGATGTTTGGTGTTACATAGAGGTCAGGGGGGAGGGGAGGGTTACTTTAAGCGGAAATTACTCTAAATTAGCCTCAATATTCACCTTTACGGTATTTGACTGTCAGAAATTATCAATAGCTTTAATTTAGATGTATCGGTTAAATATAGAATAGATATTTCTTTATTTATTAAAATTTCAAATAATACTCAGCGCCATTCAATTTAAAATACGATACAAATTAATACCGTTTATCCACCTCCTCAAAAATAAGAAATCTGCAAAACCCTGAAGTTGTTCAGTTGAGTGATCTTGGTAAAAGGCCAACTTTTCTTTGATGTTTAATTCGTTAGTAATCTAGAAATAAAAAAATTCGATCTAAGGATGATTTTCTGACTTCAGATTTTCACTGGCAAAGTTAAGACTAAATAAGTCACAGTCAGAGGATAAAGATTCTGTTAAATAAATTCTTTGGTTTTCTTACGAATACAAAGTAAAGTTTTTTCAGTCTTTTCTGAAGCATTTAAACAATTCGTACGGTGTATCTGCTGGTGGAAACGAGAAGCTTACTATGAAAACTGTGGCAGAAGGATTATTTCCTCAAACCGATCAAAGGTTCCCTTTTCGGGAGTTTTCCATGACCCCTCCTGATGGCCGGTATTTGCTATTAACTTATTCAATTTGGGATATCATGTTTCGCGAAAAGTAATCTCGAGATTCAGTGATCACTGTTGCTTTCTAACACAACGAACTGGCAAGTTTTTCACAGAAGAAGCTCACCATCGAACGGTCAAGCCAGCTTTTATTTGCTGACGGATTCTAAATTCGTCTCAGCAATCGCGGGAGAAACGGGACCCAGCATACCCCCGTTAAATAGGCTATTTTTGGCCACTTCGCTGGGGGTCGTATATATTTAGAGGGTGTGGCGAGGCTAGGTTCTCAGCTCTTATAAGGCGGACTCCTTCGATCGCTTTGGAACTTCCGTTTGATTCTCGTATAAGATTGGGTTTTGTCAGAGAGATTTACCATAGAACATCGTAAATTGACTTCAGTGAAGACTCCCAGCTCGATTTTGAAGGGTTTGCTTTGAACTTGAGAGGAGCTCGAAGCCACGATGCAAGCAATCAAATGTGTGGTTGTTGGAGATGGGTATGCAATCCTGTTGATATGACCTTAAAGATATATAAATCGCGAATTCCTTTTCGCTGAACATTCTTCACTCGTTCGGTTGTTTTAAAAACATAATATACGTTTAGCCGTTCACTTTTACCGTTTGTACGCCCCTAATCGTATTATTTCGGTGTTCAATGCCATCGTAATTTTCACGCTACCGGCGTGTGAAGATGATCAGCGTTCTTTTAGTTCCAGCGTTCTGAGAACTTATCTTCGCTTACTTTAAATCCTCGCGATGGATTCTTTTTAAAAAATTCAACCTAAAGTGTGAGGTAAGTTTCTAATTGTTTGCTCGTTTTCTTTTAGTGCCGTGGGTAAAACATGTTTGTTGATCAGCTATACCACAAACGCTTTTCCGGGGGAGTATATTCCTACGGTGTAAGTACTATATTTCTTTCTCATCTAGTGTTCTCACAGCGACTTTGTTCGCAGCCGATTTTATTTCAACCGTTGAATCTCTTACTGCTGTTGTTTTGTACTGAGCGATAGAATCGATAATTCCTATGGTCAAAAAAAAAACAACAGTTAAAGTCAGGCTAATGTGAATTTCTGTCCGCATCTTTAGATTTGATAACTATTCTGCAAATGTTATGGTTGATGGCAAGCCTATAAATCTTGGTTTATGGGATACTGCTGGTAAGTTCAGTCTTCATTTGATCTGTGGTTCGTTTTTTAAAGCAAAAGAACACAAGATCTCTAATATGCTATCAAACAGATACATCAAGGTGACATTATTTAACAAACTTATCATAAATGGTTATTAATGGAAATTCAGATGCACGTTTACCACGAAGGTTTTCAGGGTATCATTTCTTCATTTATTCGCGAGACAAATCATCAACCTGGAATGGCAATTAATAATGTTGGCTTATTTTTTATTTAGATTACTATAGTGATAGTCCGAGACTCGATCGTATTTATAGTTAAAAGTTGCATAGTCTATTACGATGAAAGTATCAAAAAATATGGTTCACTTTGGTCAACTAACAAAATGTATAAACATTCAATTAAATCAGAAATAAAAATAAGATAATCAAAGTTTACATAAAACGGTTATTATCGCTATGAAGAGTACAAAATTGTTTTATTTCCTTTGCTACATCGAATGGCATTGCATTTTATTCAGGCTTGAAAGTCAAATAACAGGCTATGATGAAACTCTGATTTTTTTCATGATTTTGACAACAATCCTCTTAACAACAGAGTTGGGGGAAAATTTACTCCCTTATTTAAGTATGATGAATATACATAATTGTTTAAAAAGCTTCTTTGCTGAAATCAAAGATTAAACCATGCTAACTGCATCCCAAAATGTACATCTAGACATTACATTTTCCTGTTTCCTGTAGAGAACAAATTCCTCCCTCTGATGTCATTTATTTGCTTAGGAAGCAAACTTGGTAATATTTGTTGTAGAGAAGACACAAGTTGTTATTTTTTCCTGTTTTTCTCTTTCGTTTTCTCTCTGAGGAAGAGTAAACATCTTAATAATAAGCAGATATTTGTCATTCTCATGGATAATAATGATCCATTACTTTCAATTTCTTATATTGTAAGATTTTATCTGAAACAATATGTTTTGCTGTAACATATTGAATGGGTGCAGCTGAAGAAATTAAAAAAAAAATCAGTTCAATGGAATGGTTGATCATTGTGAAGTTAATTGCATTTGTCAACAGAGCAAGTGGGACATTGCTGCAGAAGGAGGTTCCTGTTAGTTTTTATGGTTTTGCTCTTAGCTTGAAGGGTGAACATTATGACAGGCTGATTCACTTGTAATGTGGGACAATTTAATGGCATATTTCCATGTTTATATCTTTTCTCTACATCTCTCTCCAGTACTTTCCGGAGGAAATAGAATATGGAAACTTTTGAAATCTACAACTTCCCCCACTTTCTTACCCTTTGTTATGGATTTGTAAACTAATACTGTAAACTAAAAGGGAAATATTGAAAAGAAAGAAATATTCACCTTAAGAAATAAATTTTGTGATTGTGTCACCATATCTAGTCCAGCAATCTTCCACACTTTTTCTTCTTCATCCGGGAATCAGGAATATATCTCATAACATAGTGGCTAATTCTTTATGGCCAAGTTGGTTTTATCTGCCAGTGGTTATTCTAGTTTCTTTCGTATGAAGCAAGTAACAGTATGTTCTTACAAGTCAGTATTTATATCTCTCCATCACAGCCAACCTCTTGGTATTCTGGGGGTAAGTTTTAGTTGGTTATGATGTTTCCTAAAAATTTCAGTCATACATATTTGCACATTTTGTGTCTTACAGGACAAGAGGACTATGATCGCCTTAGACCTCTCTCTTATCCACAAACTGTGAGTATTAGTTTTCTTTGTCTAATATTATTTTAGAATGGTAAATCAGTAATTTACCCTAGCTTTCACCCAAAGTACAACAACAAGATTTTATATGACCTCTCCATATAAAGTTGGATTTTCTTCTCTTTGTTTGTGGGAAGAATCGTTGTATTAATATACAAGATATTTTTTGGGCCAATGTTAGCTTCAAATTGAAGGAGCCTATGGAAATAACCCTATGAAATAGACAATTATGCTGTGGTAAGGGTGTAAATGATTGTTAAATTATTAAAGTACTGAATTTTCTTCTGTTGCAGGATGTCTTTCTAATATGCTTCTCATTAATAAGTCCAGCTTCCTTTGAAAATGTTCGAGCAAAGGTAAGTTTGGATTCTAAATTCCTGATACAATATTCAAGTATGTTTCTTCATCAGCTTTCCTTGGCCATTTTGTCATTTTTATCATCCATCTTCAGTGTGCATGTTGAGTTTTTGTCCCTTGTTTACTTTATTTATTATCATCTCTTTCGTTGGAGTATGTAACATAACTTGGTGTGCCCAGCCTTATTTAGTTCATGGCATATCTTATTGATGAAATTTGATATTCAGTCAAGCTAATCAGGCAATCACTGTTTGTTTGTATCAATTATCGATATCAGTAATTGATTGTTGTTAATCACTCACCAAACTGTCACAAGGTATTAAGGGGGTTGCTGTGTTGGTGGGGAAGTATAACAGGGTAATTTAGTATTATCAGCTGAGTTGATGTAAATTGGCCATTATGAAGAGTTTCAAAAATGATATTTCAAGCATTAATCTTTTGTCATTTGCTCTGTTAAAGGGCTAATGCTCAAATTGTCAGCTTTAAAACTCTTTATGGTGGCCAATTTATGTTATCAACTCAGTTGATAATTCCAAATTACCCAGTCACCAGGTATTTTTAAATTCATCAACAATCTGCATACTGTCTTTTGACAGTCTTATTGTTTTTTCACTTCTTAAACTACTTTTTACAGTACTGTGATAACTGACCTCTACAGATCATAGTTTTCCCTCAAGAGGTTATGAATTACAATTTATAACCTAGGGTATGTGATATGATAAGAAATTTTCCTTTAAGGAATGTACAACATCACAAAGTTGTTATTACAGATTGGATATGTGATTATGTAGTATAATTAACTTCATGTACAAGGGTTGTGTAGATAAGAACTGTTGTTAGTGACAATGACAGACAAGGTTGATTGACTAATACTAAGGATGATGTAACTTTTGATTTGCAGATTTGCAATTATAACTGTTTTAGTTAATTAATTGTATTAGCCATAGTATATTACCTTAATTTGATTGTTTATCATTCCAGTGGTATCCAGAGGTAAGCCACCATTGTCCCAACACCCCAATCATCTTAGTTGGTACAAAGCTCGACTTACGGGATGACAAGGAAACACTCGAGAAACTGAAAGAGAAGAAGCTGTTACCTGTATTGTATACCGATGGCTTAAAAATGACAAAAGAAATTAGTGCACAAAAATACCTCGAATGCTCAGCTCTTACACAGAAAGGACTGAAAACAGTTTTTGATGAGGCAATCAGGGCAGTCCTGTGCCCAACAATTAAGAAAACAAAGAAGAAAGGTGGATGTCTACTGCTATAAATTAAAGACCGTAGCTTTGGAAAAACAACCAGACAACATGTTATGTGTGGATATTTCCTTGGTTTGGTCTGTTGCTACACATTTCAAGTAATTTGTCCTGAAAAAGGAATTATTAATCTTTTCCTATTAGTTTATATTGAAATGAGAAAACAAGTTGCTATCATGTTTTTTGATGTTCACTGAGTGGCAGTGTCAACTGGGTACATGAAGTTTATTTCTTTTAGTTTTTCGAAGGGTACCTAGATATATGTAGCTTTTGATAGGTCTTCATGGAAGTGATAGCATTCTTGGGCAAGGCCCAAGAAAGCAGAAACATAATTTTCTAATTGCTCTACATAGTGAATTTGTGATGCGAATGTAACAATCAACTTTCAAATATTTTTATGGTTTGAAGATAATTCTGTTCATTTTGTTTTCCACATGTAGTGTTAGAATGAGTGCTCAGATGTATGTTCAGTGATAATACAGCTGTTATTGTCTGTTGTTTTTCAAGTTTTATGTTCCTCCTGCACCAACCTTTTTGTCCCTTCATTTGGAATTTTTCTTTTATCATTAGAAAATAGCACGCATGACTGTATGGCTGGCACTGCTTTTACATGATTTTTCCTTAGGAGAATATATGAGATTTACATGCGAGTTTCTTCAGACTGATTGTTATCTTAAGTCTGCCAGCTGTGTAGGCTAGGGCTTGTGTTTTGTAGTTATTAGTTGACAGGGTTCTTGTTTGATAATTGATTTTGTCTAATGAGGATTTATTGAAGTGCTTTTCGTAGTGTTGATGGGAAGGTGGGTGATCATTCAGTTTACTTTGTGCATGGAGAGCAAGAGAATGAGGCTGGATCCCATACACACTGGCAAGCAGCGCTTGCTCTAACTTGTTTACAAACCCAATTCATGCCATTGTTAAATGGAAAGCTGTCATTACTTAAAAGCACAGCTCCTTGTTAGTTTAGTCTTTTACATCTCCTCTAATGATGATTTTTGCATTGGGTTTTGTGAGTAAACTGTGAAAAAAATGAAACAAATTTAATCTTTCAAATTATGATTTTGAAAGTACTACAGTCGTGCTTGGGTGTATCACTCCAGAGTTAGTATATTTTGATTGTCTTGTTATTGCTTTAGTTGATTTAGGTTGCCAGCTGGATAGCTTGGGTGTTGTTCATTTGCGTAAAACTGTCTCTTTAGACACTTGTTACCCATCCTACATATATATCGGATTGAATAAAGACCATGTACGGACTTTGATTCATTTTCAGGGATCATAACAAGCTAAATCCGAATTTCCATTTTGCTAGTTTGTAAATAAGATATGCCTTCAAATGGCATTAAGACGAGAACTGCTTTTTGGAATGGTCATTTGAGGAGTTGGTCTATTTTGAAGTAGGATGTCTTGATGTATTAAGTTTAGAAGTGTGGATAATCTTCTCTGCAACCTTATAATTTTTTATGTACATCTAGCTCATTGTTTAGACAGTAACATCTTGTGAAATTCGTGTTATATTTCTACCTTGCATTCAAGATTTTGGCCTTAATTATGTAATAAAAGATCAAGAAATAATGTCTCTTGTTTAGATGAAATCTGGAAGGTGTATGTATAAGTTTCCAGGTTATAGGGCCTCAACTCTCCACACACAAGCTTGAGGCATACAATTACCTTGGGCTGGGGTTTTTAACTCTTTCCTTGTTGCTATTCTACTTATGCTGGCAGGCTCAAATGGTTATGTTTTGCTGTAGGAAAGGACCCAACTGAGAGTAGAATTAATCTGGTTAAAGAAAAAAATGAGACCTTGTTCGGTATTTATTTTCAGAGAGGAAGTTAGTGGTGAGGGGGCTTTTATTCCAAACTGACATCTTCAGTGCTGCATTTTTTCTTAAGGGACAAGTGAACCTTGGAAAAAGACTGATTATCGGACAAAATACTGCGCTGTAATATTTATCGGTACTATTTATCAACATATTCAGCGTTACATTTTCTCCGCTTTGTGTCTCTTAATTAATGTTCTATTTTTAGTTCCTCCCCTCTAGAGATTGCACTTTGGGTAAAATGAGTTCCTTTTGCTTTTCATCTTGGCAATTGCAAGCTAATGATCAACGCCTTCGTTGACCAGACGGAATTAAGTTTTCGTTAATGATGCGATGCTTTATATCATTTTGACTTCTGCAATACAAAATCGCCCTCAAATATCATCGGCACATTTAGAAGAGTAAATTCTGGGCTATTTCGAGGCTCGACCTATTTCTGTTCACTTTCTGGTTCTATAATGTTATTAATATTTTCTTCCAACTCAGATGGCTTTCTTTAATACTGTGTAAATGAGGAAGATTGGCTAAAAGGAAAGAAAACCAGAATGAACTATCTGGCTCTCTGGTGTGCCTTAGGTTAAGATGCATTTACAATCATGTAAATCATTTTTCAAAGAGGAAAATATTCGCCAGCTGCAGTATGTGTTAGTCTTCAAGCCAGAAAGAAAGAATAATTCATAAAATCATTTTTCAAAGAGGAAAATATTCGCCAGCTGCAGTATGTGTTAGTCTTCAAGCCAGAAAGAAAGAATAATTTGAAATAATAAACGTGTCGCATGTAAAGGCAATCCTAAACACGGTAGTTATTTCTAAATTCAAAACAATCGACATGTATTCATTTTCTATTTGCCCTTTGATTGTCGTAAATACAACTGAAAAGGTGTCCTGTGTATAACCGACAAAAAATATTTAATATAGTATAGTATCATAATATGGTAGGATATAATTACCCAAGCGATGTGTTTATTTGAGTTGAAGACTCTCTAGGGCATACGAATTAAATCGCTGACCCTTCCTACAAAACTACAGTAATGATCGTTTTCAGATTCGAAGTTTTCAACTTAGGAAGGAAGGCCTTTGTTTCGGAAGTAATATTTGTTAATGGCAAAATAAATTAGATGTGGATTACGAACAGAGCTTTGTTCCTACGAAGTCGAAAGTGTCATAATCACACCATATATAGAGTTTGTTTGCAATATATGACGTCAAACGGAAGCCAATACGAAACAATAGAGGGATCGTCGGAAGCGCCTATCAATGACGTATTTACACTCAATTTAGAGCGTCTAGAGGGGCTTTTCCTTGCTGCTATCTAATTGGTTATAATATTAGCTTATTGTCTTGTCATTAAATGAAATGATTCTCATTGGTTAACGATGACGTTGTTGTCTATCTTAGAAACCAATCAGTGATGAGATTTGCGAAGACGATGCAAATATACTTTGACTCCTCTTTATGTCTTTCGCTTTACCATCCTACTAAACTCGAAGTAGTAAACCTTAGTGAGACATTTTATATATTTTTTAATAAAATCTTAGTCAACGAAAGGCCAATGGAGCTTGAAATACAAGTCGCTGTTAACTTCCTCATCGGGTACCTCGTCAATAAACTGCCACGTCGAAGAGTACAGCTTTTTAACGAGGAGGTTGTGAAGAAACTGACGAAGAAATTTGAAGGCCATTGGTACCCCGAAAAACCATGTAAAGGAAGCGGATACCGTTGCCTCCTTATAACTGACAGCCTAGATCCTGTATTGAGTTCTGCTGCAGAAGCAAGCGGACTTAGCGCAAAGGATGTGAAAGCCAATTTGCCGGAAAAGCTCTGTCTGTGGATCGACCCACAAGAAGTATCCTTCAGAATCGGTAAGTGCTGTTTGAGCCCAAGGCTAAAGGGATTTTATTTCGCAGCGACTGTTCTTAGATTTTAAATGGTATTTTCTGACAAGTTTCGTTACCCTTTGTTTTTTACTCTTTGAAGGGATTATTCTTTGGTTGATATTGCGAAAGGGATATTTTAGAACGCGTTCGAATACTCGATTGAATAGAGTCACGTAGGGTAACTGCATGCGTAAGCAAATATGAATCCACACGTCTCGAGTTTGCTAAGGACTTGCTTCGGTAAGCATTTTCTTTAGAAGGTCAGGTTCTTTTAAAAAGAGATCCTGTCAGATAATCCCATTTCGTTGTGATCAGACTGTAACCTCGAAAATCAATTTTCCTGGCAAATTATCGCCCACGCGTGTACCTTCTACCAAATGTCTTCTTGGTTGTGTATGCATGACTAATGTTTCTTTTCATTTGTTCTTCGTGTAGGCGAACAAGGGTCCGTGAAGACGATCTATAAAGCTGAAAAGAAACCTGAAGCAATCTGTGACGAAACCACTCGCTGGGTGAACCTTTTAAATGGCCACAACAGCGGTAACTCAAACAGCCCAGTTCCATTCCGTAGTCAAAGCCCTCCAAGAATCATGGCGGACCGCTCTTCTCCTGTGTTGTCATCCGCTTCCAGTTCTTCACCATCACCTCCCTTGTACAACTCACAATACATGCCTTACAATAGCTGGAGCGCAGCAGAGGAGTCTTCTTTGTTTAAATTCAGGGCGAAAAGAGCTTCTCCGACATCTCTGTCGCCAAACGCGAAAGAGTTCAACTATCGGACCCCGTGGGACAACTTCAACTATGGAGCACAACAAAACAGTGGGCTGGATACCACTCGTGGCGCGTTCATTTCTTCTTCTTTTTTAGACTGGTTTAATTACAACGAGATTGGAAATTTCAACACTGCTGCCCAGCTACCAATATTAGCCTGAAAAATGTTAAGTGTTGGGTGTGCGGAGTTATACATTGCAATTTGAAAAGGTGTTAAAATAATATTTGTATAGATAACCATAGGAAAAAGATGATGTGAAATTCTTCACAGAAAATTGTAAATTTTTACAAAATAAGTTACAGTCTTTCTCCAACGCATGTACATTTGTACAAAAACGTTTTGTTTATAAATATAAAATGTATAGTGTTTCTTAAAAGAGATGTACGAGGTATTTTGTTCTTGTTTCAAAGAAACTCCGAAAAAATAGAGCCACAATGGTGTTGAATTTATTATTGGATTGTATTTAAAAATTTTGAAGAAAGAGGAATAAAGTTTGCATACAATTTATCTATCTGTTTTAATTTTTTTGTCTTGACATCACAACAATTGAGAAAGTGATATGGAATGTATTGGACACTAATTTAACAAAGAAATGCTAGAGGATTTTACTCCAAAATGGTTTTTTTCAAGCGCCTGCATCATTCGGTTTGTTTGAGGCAATTTTATTTTATTTCTTCAGGGTTTGAGTAAGTTAAGGTGTTTTAAGTTTGGTTGCATTCATTTATGAACATGTCAAAACATGTACAAGCTGGGTAAATATCTGGAAGCATTTCATGTTAATGTTCAGCTGTTAGTGTCAAGGATATATTTCTACATTTATTCAATGGGGTTAACATTGGTGCACAGCTGTCCTTTTGAGAAATTAAGGGAACAGCAGAGAAGCTGTGGTTTGCTGAATGTGGTCCCTCATTACTTGTCACCTTCAATACAGAAATTGTTGTTTAAATGTCTTTCAAATTGACTGTAACACATTTACTGGTTGGTGGGGAATATTGTCTAGACAACCTGTTTAAACAACACTGACAGTTAATCTTATGGATAGAGAATGATTTGACATTGTGATCGATGATGATAATTGTGTCTTCTTCATGAGTTAAATACATATTAGCTGTTGCATTGCACATACTTGCAAGGGTTGAAAAGTATGAAACAAAAGAATTTGAAAGATCCTAGAACTTTTAAAGCTATTTTAACACACTCTTGTGTCTGTTTTTGTTCTTGAGCTAAATCATTTTCAAAGCTGCTCAGACATTTCTCTATACCTGGGAAGAATACTATATCATGGATGGTCTCCATGTTAGAATTTATTTAAAAGATAGCACTTTCTTTATAACAACTTGTGAATCAAATGTGACAGCTGACTCTTGTTGTGTTAGAATTCCAGGTCTGCTGTATCTAGGGTGTGTTCAGTAGGTGAGATGGCCAAAGAACTGAGAAATTAAGAGAGAAAGTTTTCAATGTAATTTCTGAATTAAAAAGCAAACATTCATCAAAGTGCAAAAATGTTCATGGATTAGTCTTTGAATCAATTTTCATACATACAGACAACCTTAAAGCATACTCCATCGAAATCAAAGCTACAAGCTTGTAGATTATTTATTGGTAGAGTGGAAGAGTCATTGTATTCCTTTATTTCATTCTTCACCTAACTTCATTTTACCTTATTGCATTAAGACTACTGAGCTTTGGGAAGCTTCCCTCTTTCTGGGTCATAAAGTGGTGCCAGGCAAGGTGTTACCTGTCTGACAGATCAGGCTGGGAGCTCAGGCATCTTTCAGATGACTTTCAAGTGTTTGTACCACTCAGGTGCTCTGTGATCTTCTCAAATAGCATTGGGCCTCATTGTTTATCCATAACAATGACCCTTTCACCCCTTAGAGTCTCTAGCATCCAATTTCTCCCTACACATTCAGGTCACAAGAAAGGCCAAGGAAATGATCCCAACCAAAAAAGCTTCTGATTTTTAAATAAATTATCCCTGTTAGCAGTTCAGAAAATGAATAGAGAGAACTATAGAGAAAGTGCACACTAATATCACGGGTTTAAAATCCCTTTCCCTCCCCACTCCCACCTACAACTTTCTTTGGCCTTGCTACCACAATATCTTGTACAGCGGCTGATTTCGAATCTCACGCGCATTACTTATTCCTGATTTAAGATGGAAGGCGGCAAATAGTAATAACTGAGTAGCATTAGGGGGAGAGGAAAATTTGAATTAAAATATAGATCTCCTGTATAACAAAGATCGGTTTTCAGCTGTACCTTTCTTTAGGTTATTCTCAATTTAACGTAAACAACTAGGTGGTATTTATTCCAAGACAGTAAAAAATAACTTACTAATGAAGGACGTTCGGATATTGTTGGTTGGTGACCGTAAGTAAATGTAGCTTCTTGTTGTTTTGGACTTACGTAACAATAAGCAGAAGTAAGTCATACGTAAATATATATGTATTTATGTTCTTTGAAATGCGTTATATTACAGCTCAAGTTGGAAAAACGTCGCTTATTCTGTCGCTTGTAAGCGAGGAATTTCCTGAAGAGGTAAGCTAAACAAGGCGCGGTATATCCAAAAAGGGCACGACGAAGCTGATCTTCTGTCATTATATATATCTGTTAAAGATCTACATTCGATCCCTGTTTATTTCATGTCTCTCTTGGAATGAACATGCAGAGACCAATTCATAACACAGGGAATGCTTTAGTTGCTTCCTGTACACCTGTGATTGCACAACTTGTTAGGTGCCGAGGAAATGAACATTGACAATCTGCCGCAGTTATTATTTCCTCTACGTCTGTGACAATTCGTCTCGTAGCACAGAAGATAAGTTATTCCCAGGTCTGTTACCGTGAGAGGAAAGGGAGCTCTTGATTTCTCTTTACCCTAAGGAAAAACATATTGTATGAAATTTTTATTTACATACATGTATAATGTTTCAGGTTATAGGGTAACTGGCGTGGTGAGGGAGAAACAAAAAGATTGGGGAAATTTGTTATTGAGCTTCTTTTATTGATATTTGAGCAAAACTTTCGTATGATAGTTTCAATGGCTATCACCATGAGTCTGTTTACTTGCTTTCCTTAGTACTCTTTCCTTCCAGCTAGTCTTAGGAACAGCAAAAAATGTTTACATTCAACCTACTTTGCTGCTAATGAGTTATCTCATTTATAATTTTTGAAGGTCCCTGCGAGAGCAGAAGAAATCACCATACCAGCTGATGTGACTCCTGAAAAGGTCCCAACACATATTGTGGACTTTTCTGGTCAGTAGAATTGTGATCATACATCTGAGAAGGGAGGGGAGATCTGTGAAGTGCTGTGGAAACATAAGGAAATGCAAGGGTGTGTGCGTGATGGGGGGGGTTGGGTGAGGCAGGAGGGTGGGAAAGGTAGGGTAAAACAGTGTGGTAAATGAAGGACATCCTGACCCCTTCTCCCTTCACTAGTTTGTTATCCTTACCACACCTCTCTACTCAATTTTTTTACCAGCCCCATGCTGTCCTCAATCTTACCAATCCAATATTAAGGCAAAAAGCTAGTCAGGGAGATTTCAGATATGTCCTCCTGGAAAAAGATGTAATTCCTTTTATTTTGTCTTTTGAAGATGGGTACCCTTTTTTTTTTTACCAGACCTTGATCAGTCAGAAGATATGCTGATTGATGAGATTGTGAAGGTAATATTCAAAACATGGATAATCGTGCACTATTATACATGAAATGTACATTTTAAAATCTTCCTTTGTAGCATTCCTTTAGAGTTCTAAGGGCAAATGTTTCGCTATTCAGGGAATGATCATTCATAACCAAAATGCAATCCTGTATTTTTTGGTTTTGATGGCAACCTACCCTTTTTAGCCCTTTCACTTTCACTCCCCTAAATTGATGTTTTTTTACTTCTCCTCATCTTTCTGCCTGAAAATGTATTGATAGTGAAAGGAGAAATTCATTTTTGGTCATTCCTCTCTAGGTAAAGGGTTAATGATCAAAGTTTTGTCACAGTTATATGTGACTCCAAACCTATTGTTGGATGTGATAATCATTTAGAAATTCAGATATTTATTTCATTTTTTACGAGAAAAATATGATAATTAGTCACAGTCCAATATGATTTGACAGGCCAATGTTGTGTGTGTGGTATATGATGTCACATCAGAAGGATCACTTGAAAGGGTAAGTGTAATCTTATGTCAGTCTGCATTGAAAAAAAAAATAAACATTTCCTAAGCATTAGATTATCTAAGTTACTTTAGATCAAGATTATACTTTTGTCCGTATGCCCTAAACTTCCTCAAACACTTGACAATACATACTTTTGATAGTTTTCCAGATATTCATAGGATGTAATGGGAAGTTCGGTTTGTCAGCAGTGAAATGATCAACATGAAAATAATTATTGAATAGAAAGCAACAAAGTTTTGTTTAGGTTCATCATTCATGAATATGAATCTGATCATACCATTAAATTATGTAAATTTATTTTGAACTGGGGTTGAAAATCAAGGTAAACAATAATCCTGGCAGGTGAGCTGCAATCTAAATAATTGCAGAAAAGAAACCTGAACAACTCTGGACTTTGACAGGATTCAAACCCAGGCCTCCCGGTTATTAGTTGGGTGCTACCTACAATTAAGGTATGAAGCCATATGCTGGGACTGGGGCACATTATAGACTAAGGGTTCTTCTTTTGCATGGAGGAATCTGAATCATTGACAGTGAATATCAGTATACATATTGTCTATACTGTTCTTTACATTTTCTAAAGTACTGATAAGGAGAATTTGTTTAACAATCAAGAGCTCCTTTGGTTGGTGATCACTTCCTCCACTCTTGTGACAGTAAAATTTAATGCAGGGATGATGTGGCAAGGAGAAATTAGATGCAAGTCATTCTAAGGGATCCATGAATTAAGGGAAAGCCTATTTAATAGAAAAATCCATGATGGACATAATATATTTATTTACAATAAGCCATTTGCTCCACTGTCAACTCACGCTAAACCACTTGATATGAATGTGTGTGGGTTTGTTTGAACAGATTACATCTTATTGGTTGCCGCTGATAAGACAAACTGGAGAGGAAGATAGTTCAAAGCCTGTTATTATTGTTGGAAACAAGGTAGTTTAATTGGCATGTTTTTAAGTTATTGCTTTTATGATTAAGACTGCTCTTTGATTTACTTCAGGCCCTTTTTGAAGGTTGGGAGGGGAGGGAGTTCATGGATGTGTTTTAATGTCAAAGAACTTTGCTTAGGTTGCGTCAAATGTTGATACACATGGATACAAAAGAGAACATTAGAAACAACCTCAACCAATTGGCTCTAGTACTTTTCTTTATAAATATAGTTATATTAATTGAGTAACATTCTAACGTAACACTACAATTACAGAACCCTTGTCACCATTGTTGAAACACTTGGCAAACAAACAATAACACCATACTGAACACTATTTTGAACACTGCTTTGCCCTTTGCCTCCATTTTATATGTAAGTTACAAGGTACTTTTACCCAAATTTTCTTTCAAATGAGTTGTTTTAAAGTGTTATAATGTATTTTTATTATTTGTATTTTTTGGTTTACAGTCAGACCTTATGGATGGAAGTACAATGGATGTAAGTGTACATGGGCTAAAAATATACATGGTTGTTACAAAGAGGTCCTTAGGAACCTGAATTTGATTATGAGGGTGATTTTCACAGTGATGAACACTACTTAAGCAGTAGTGAAAGTAAGGCTTGGAAAGTTGAATGCATGACCTCTACGATACCAGTGCAGTGCTCTACCAACTGAGCTAACAAGCCAACTGGGAACTGGTCATTTTGTTGGTTCATAGTAAAACTGTGAAGTGATGAATTAATAACTTTGAAGATATGAATATTATAATTATTTATGTGAACTGCAGATTGATAATTTAAAATGAATATGATAGTGATCTTTACATAGGCCTGAGGATATAGAGGAATAATTCATGGTAATCACTAAAGATGAAAGTAAAATGTTTGAAATATAAAAGGTGACTCAAGATTTAATTTTTGAAAGCATTTGATAGGCTACCATAAAGTCCTTGAATTAAGAAAATTTTGCATTACTCTTTTGTATCAAAAATGAAACAAAAAAATGGCAGGTCATTGTATGCTTGAGATGTTTTTAGTGTTTAGTAAACCACTCTGATGCATCAGACATCTGTTTGTTTCTGTGGCATGAAATTGTGTTGAAAGTGTCTTGTAATTTGTTCAAGTCTTATGAAATTATTTCAACTAGTTCCTTATGTAACTGCATTGTTCAAGGGGAAAGTAATCTGTAATTTAACTCTGATGAAGGGGTAATGCTCTCAACATCAGGTTGAGAAACTCTTTATGGTGGCCAGTTTATGTGATCAACTTGGTTGATTATATCAAATTATCATGTAATTATACCATTTTGATCTAGTTGGTATAAGTATTTGTGATGTTCTTTTTTTTTTAATAGACTGTCTTACCAATAATGAATGATTACACTGAAGTGGAAACTTGTGTTGAGGTGAGCATCTGGCAGTTGCAAAAGTTAAATTATTCACTTGAGATACTATAATGAGTCATTACTATGGTAGGTTAAAGACAAACCTTATAAAAATGTGGCAATTGTGTTTTGTACTTCAGTGCTCAGCAAAGGATCTGAAAAATATATCTGAGATGTTTTACTATGCACAGAAGGCAGTCCTCCATCCTACTGCTCCTCTCTTCTCTGCTGAAACCAAGGAGGTCCGTATCAACAGTAGGTTCCTCCTAAAAATGATTAATTTATAATTGAACAAAGTACTTTTTAAACAAACATTGAATACTCAGAAGATAATTATGATGAATAAGTAAGAAATCTGAAAAAAAGGATGAATAAGAGCAGTTATGTGGTATATTTTTTAACCTTTGGATTGTGAGAATAGCCATGTGAAAAATTGTGTGGATCTGCATCAATCTACTTTTTTCTGCCAATTATTAAGAAACAGTTGTTCATTTTTGTTGTCTTGTTTGTTGCAGTTAAAACCATTATGCCAGGCTGCTCTCACAAGAGTTTTTAAGGTACCTTTATGATTTCCTCTGTATAAATTTAAATTTATAATATTTTTGTCTTTAATTGGCAATTAAAAAGAAATGACACTTACAAAACTTATTCCTTCTTTCATTTTGTAGATATCAGATAAGGATAATGATGGCTTACTGAGTGACAATGAATTGAATGAGTTCCAGGTTAGTTAGCCCTGATTGGTTTAAAACTTATTGTGTGTTGCACTGATAAAGCCACAGAAAGTTGAGGTTTATTTTTTAATAGCAATAGAACACACTTTCTATCAGTTTAGTGGTGTTAACAGCCCTCGTAGGAGAACACTTAAAAAAGTGTGTAGACCACTTGCCCCTGGTTTGTAATTTTTCTGTGTGGCTCTACAGCTTTTTTGAACTATAAGCTCTGTCAATCAAAGAGCCACTCTGTGGATGTCACTATGATCATCACTTCTCTTTGTTTTTATTATCATAAACATCTGATTGAAGCCAGAGGATGGGAACATGGGCTTTTACCATTTTTTGAACCATTGTATTGGTCTTAATCCTCTCTCTGTTACAATTTATCCATAGAATCGATGTTTCAATACCCCTCTGCAAGGACAAGGTTTACAAGATGTTAAAAATGTAGTCAGGAAGAATGTTGAGGGAGGATTACAAGATGGTGGACTTACATTAAAAGGTAACACACATAAAGTGGTCCAGAGTTTTTTCCTTAGACTAACCCTCATGTTCTTATACAACTGTAGAAGCTTTTGCCTACAACATGAACCCAAACATCTCATAGTGAGCATTTCCACCCAGACATGGTCCATAACATTAGCTTTGGGTACTATTTGACAATATTCACCTCACTTTCAATCAATAATTGTTAAGCATTTTTTGTAGGTTTCCTGTTTCTTCACACACTCTTTATCCAGAGGGGGAGACATGAAACAACATGGACTGTTCTCAGAAAGTTTGGATATGGTGATGATCTTAAGCTCAGACCTGATTATTTGTGTCTTACGTAAGTTGACATGAATTTGTTAGATTGTATTAGGTAATGACTAGTTTTCCCTCAGCAGTGGTAACAGCAAAAGGCTTGAGAGAATTGGGTAATAAATTAAATGATATTTTCACAAAGAACTCAATTAGTTGTGAATTCCAGAGAAATCAAGCTTTCCAAATATTTGATATTGTTACAGGATTGACATGGGGGCAGATCAAACAGTGGAATTATCAGATGCAGGATATCAGTTTCTTATTGACCTCTTCCAGAGACATGACAAGGTGTGTATGAATTCCACTGAGAGTTTGCAAGGCATGATTGTACAGGTAAAGGGAGACAGTATAATACTGTGTAAAGATAAATTATGATAAGAATTGGGACTCACTGGAGTTGAATTTTGCTTGATTTATTGAAAAAAACACTAGGCAACTGATATTTAATTTCATGATTTCTGTTGCCTATGGACCAAACTTGCTCATGTCACTGTAGATTGCTGAAAATCAAGGAACATCTATTTCCAGTGATTATTATGGGTTGTTTAAAGATAGAGCCCCTCACAATGACCATGATTCCAGGATTAACTAACACCTTTATTTGTCTCTAGGATGAAGATGAAGCCCTTTCTCCTGAGGAACTTCAAGTGAGTTGAGGAAAATAATAATGATGAGAACAAATTGAGACAGTTTTTAAAAATGTAATATTCATAATATGGTAGAAAAAAGTTTCCAAATGTCAGATTGTTTTCTGTTTTCTGCTTTAGGCACTCTTTGGTACCTGCCCAACAATGCCTTGGGGTGAAGATGTTCTTGGCTCTGTTGAAACTAATGCCAATGGATGGATAACTCTCCAAGGATTTCTAGCTCAGTGGGCGTAAGTGTTACTCTGAATTCCTCTATTCAACCAAATGTTTAAAAAAAGGGATAAACTGTGAGGCAAATATATGAAGAAAGAAGCAGCTTGACATGGGTAGTTTGTGCTTTGATGCTGTGAGACAGAGACAAACATCAAGGAAGCCACGGGGGATGTCACTTATCTGTTGACTGGGAAACAAATGAACAAGGCTAAATCCTGATATTCATTTTGTTTGCATTTTTCATTCACTGGGGTGAATTTTTAAAAATTTTGAACTTTTGATGCATCAATAATGATGACTATTCTGTTTAAAAAAAAAAACCTACCAGACAGTCTACCAATTAATGAAGAGCACAAAAAAAAATTACTTCAGCGAATCTCTTGTTTTCTGTCATTATTTTTTTTTAACAAACTTGCAATTTTTGCATTTCCCTGAGGAATATTTTTTCCTTATCATTTGCAGGCTAACGACTTTCTTGGATTACACTAGAATGTTAGCATATTTAGCATTTTTTGGTTACATTCATCAGGAAATTGAAGCTTCCCTTTCTACCGCAATAACAGGTAAAATAAAAAACACACACTGCCTCACAAAGCATATACTTTACTCAGCCAGTGAGAAATATTAAAGTAATTTTTCATATATCTGGAAGTGAAAAGTGTTGTCAGTCAAGGGCATTCTTGCGTCAACATAAGTGTAATTTTTTAACCAATTTTCCTTTTAAACATCCATGATTTCAGTTGATGTTTAGATGAATGAAAATAAAGCTGTATTTACTTTAAAACTGAACAAATCAAAAAGTTTAACAATAACCCTCTGACTCCATGTTGTCTACGAACAACCAAGGAACAAAAGTAACTGATTTCAATATCATCCCTGAATCACACATTAAGATCATGAGAGTAAATAAAATGATCACCAACTAAAGAAGCTGTTGATTGTGAAAAAAAATTCTCCTTGTCACAGAGAACAGTCTGCCTGCTGATATCAAGGTGTAAAGGATGAAAGAAACTGTTTTGACTCCAGAGTGATATTAAGGTTACTAATAGACATTGTCATAAGCACTTAACTAAAACCCATTTGACCCAGAAGTATTACTTATAATTATGTCATCCTGCTGCTTTGTAGACAGAAAATTAACTCAACTTGATAGTCTACTAACTAATGTTTTCTTGATTTTTTTTCCATCTATCTCTTCCAGTCTGTTCCCCTCTTCCTTTTACTCTGGTCTCTTCTGTCTCTCGCCTCATTCAGATGCGAAAAAAGTTACGACTTTTACCTTCCTCTTACTCTCAGTGGGGCCAAGCAAAAACTCAACTGGGTATTTACTACTTGTCAAAAACGTTTGATCCGGAAGTAAATTTTGTTGTAAATTCAATAACCTTAAAACATTTAAAAAACTGATTTAAGTGTGATTATCAGTCAAGTAATCTATTTACTATTTGAGGTGATAATGGCAAGAGTTGAGAAACTTGAAAAAAACACACTTTGATATCGGTTCTGTTCTTTTCATTCCTGTTTCTTTACTTTTCTTTTCCTTTTATCCACTTTGCTTATTTCTTTTTTATTTCTTCTGTTCTTCATAAGTTTTGTGTATGCTGAACAATTATTGATTTCTGTTAATTTTAATTTGATTTTGCTTTCAATTATCCGTTCATTTATTCATCTGTTTCATTATTATTTTGTTTCATGTTATTTGTGCGTGTTAACTGATCTCCCTATATTAATACATGTACAACAAGTGAAATGACAGAGAGTGCTGAGTTGTGGTAAAGACTGTGATCAAGTTTTCTCTTGTTACACAGTTTCGTGCAAGTAATCATAATATGTGCAATTGAAATTCCTAACCGCTCGTAAGCATATGCGAACAGTACTTTTAATTTATTCATTTCCTCTTATCCAAGTTACTCGGAGTAAAGCTGTTGACCTACAGAAGAAACAGACATCTCGCTCTGTATTTCAGTGTTACGTATTTGGACCACCAGGCGTTGGAAAGGTACCACCCTGTTGAGTTAAATTTTACAGCAGTAATTGTACCGTCGAACAAACGGCTGTAGAATAACTCTAAAATTATCACCACTAATCGGCGTTACCATCAGCGCCTTTGTTTGGAGGCTTGGCATATTAACTCCGCCCACACTCCTTTAAATCGTGACCATGGCGGCTTGCTTCCTGACGCCTATTCACACCTCGTCAGAAAAAAGGCAGCTAATTAGTGATCATATAAAAGGATCTCTTGTTGCAGCGTTTAGATCACCCCTGATGAAGGCACTAGACAGGAGTGTTGAAACGTTGAGTCTATAAATTGTAACTTCTTCGGTTACATTCATTAAATCTGTAAACCAGAGTAGCATCAAACCATGTCTGGCCGTTACGGTTGTTTGCGCGCGTCGCTGAGAATGCGGTGATTTTTCGTGATGCTTCATCTTCATCAGATTTTTTTGTTTTTATTTCTACAGACGTCCTTCCTTCAAGCATTTTTAGGGCGAACCCTTGAGGTGAGGGTGCCATGAATTTCCATTCCTTCCCTTCCATTAACTTGCAGAAACACTCAGACTACATTTACAGACACCAAGGACAAGTCATGCATTCGATTAAGTGTTCTTGTTACCAGGCCTTGGCAAACCGTCAGGTGAAGCCCGGCTTGTCTCGGTTGATGCAATACTGGGATGAAAGTCTTCTCAGTAAACAAACACAGAATGCAGCTCAGTGACGGAAGCTGACCATCACTTTCATGTAGCGCCTCTTAAAGGTGTCTGTGCTGTTAAGAGACTCGCCCCTTGTTTATGGTAATCTTTCCACTCTGGAAAACTTCACTAAGTGCTATAGGAATAAACGAAAAAAAAAAGTCGTTTATGCTTCTTGCAGTTTCTTTCATATCCTACTATTCCCACCACCAAATTACCTTTGTTTCTTTTTATTCTTAGCCTGGCGAGTCAGAAAAGGAATTGTCGAATTATGCCATTAATCTACTAGAGGTGAACAGGCAAGAAAAATACCTAGTGGTGAGTAGAAGGACTGAACTTCTTTAAAATTGCGTTATATCGGCACACTCAAGTAGATAAGGTGTTGTCTTTGATGCAGGTTTACTAATAAATTCTGTCAGGTGGAGGAAACCTTGTAAGCGTCAGACGGACGAGTTCCCTTTTTGTGAATATGGTTGACTATTATTGTTGTCACTCTCAGTGTCTTTATCACGAATTGATTTTTAATTCGTGAAAACAATTTGTAGATCTCCTTTGTAAGGGCGAAATATTTCCAACGGATTGATGGCCGTCCTCCTCCCAGCAGGTGCCCAATAGTCATTTTCATGATCAGCCGCTTTGATAAACATATTTTCTATGGCAGTTTGTTTCAAGTTTATTCGCTGATATTTCTGATTTCATTTCTTTTTTATTTACTTCAGTTACGTGAAATCGAATGGGAAAATTCTGGATTTCTGTTGCACGACAGACGATGTGATGTGGCCTGTTTTCTTTATGACTCGTCGGATCCAGCTTCGTTTACACAAGTGGTACAACTGCGAGAGGTAATAACTATAGCTTGGCACTAATAATGTAAAACTCCAGATTTACTGTGGATTTGCCGCTTCCAGTAACTGATGTGCAAAAAATATTACAAACATGCAAAAGGCTTCATTTTGTACTCGGGGGTCTTAATTCAGTTTTTCACGTAAAATGACAATGTCTACGCATCAAATTAATGCATATTGTGATATTTTCTAAATAACTGGGTACGTATTTGTCGGTAGAATCTGATATGTTAGTCTTAATAAGTTTCGGTGTCCTTTATGAACCGATTCAAGTTTCATGAGGAAGTAAATATTTACCGCCATGGATACTTGGTGCGTAATACAGGTCTGTAGTACTACTGAGGAGCGTCTTACAAAGGGTGTAAAACAAAAGTCAAAAACTTAATAAGATTATGACTACGATTTATCTTTGTGTGTTTCCAGAAACTTCCCAAAACAGTTCCTTGTATGTTAGTCGCTGGCAAAAGTGAAGGCGTTGCAGCTAAACAGGTAATAAATTCCAGAATTTTCTTTCTGTAAAGAAATTTGATCAGAACTGGGATAGAGGAAATAAATCACAATTGATGTGTGAATAGCAAGGCTGACACATGGTGTATTGCATTTTTTTGTAGGATTTTGAAATGCAGCCGTCTTTGTACTGCTCGTTAAACAAGTTACCGCCACCTCAGGTTAGTGATCATTTGGATTTCAAGTGAAAGCTAACGATTGAAACTGTTCGTGTAGAGTTGTCTTCTCTTGACTTACTTTTACAAATCTTTCAGTTTTGAACAACTATTAGGAAGACTTTGTGAGCCATCGAGAAAGCTATGAGAATAGCAATGAGCCTCTTTGAAGAAGGGTTTCTTTTCAAATTAGCCTAAAATTAACAACTGTTTTTGTTTGTGTTCATTTTGCAGCCATTTTCATCCCTTAACAGACCAGACATACACAGAGCTATCTACGACAGCCTCGCCCAAATGGCCGTTTATCCGTAAGTAAAGTGGATCATATGCTAATGGTAGTTGTTAAAGGGGAGCAAAACTCTTAAGTCATGATTTGCTAACTTGGCTGTAGTAGTTCTAGTACACTTGACCGGTTCGTCAAGTATGGTAATAGGGTTTTAAAAATAAAGGTAAATACAAAGAAACATGGCAGTCCCCGAATTCTCAGTTAGCAGGGAAAGTTCATAACATGTCATAACATGCAGGCCATCCTGGAGATGAGGTAACTGACATCTCCATTGTCTGTGTTAGTTTCTCGGTTGTTTGATAGAAAATGGACTGAATTCTCGTTTCCTCCCTCGCTCACATTGCTTCTTCGCTCGTCTTTACAAAATGACTGTCTGGGAGAGGCAAAGATCTTGAAATACCTAGCGTTGTTGTTTTTTGTTTCGTAGGCACCTCTGCGGCCCTAATGCAGACAGTGTGACGTCATATTGGATTATGGCAGGCTTAACAGCCGCGCTCGTAGCAACCGCTGGAATAGTGGTGTTCAGATACTTGAAAAAGGGAGGTTCGACCACGTGACAAGAAACCAAGCGTATTAGGAATATATACTAACAAGGCGTTTATTTTGCCTTTGTATTGGACCACGGAGTTCAAAATGTAAAGAGGTTCTAAATTGAAAAACTATAAGCCAAATGTGGAAACAAGAGGATCAATCATAACAAAGTGGACATATTTTTATTTTCAATGGAATTGTAAAAGTTTCCTTTTTACCCATTATTGTAGTAATGTAGGAGTTTGTGATGGGAACAATTTTTGTGAATCTCGATCTTTAGCTCGGTTAATTCTCGTATTTGAAACAAAAACTAGGATTGTTTGAATTTGTTTTTTCCTTGCGGACAAGTTTCATTAAGGAGTTCTTCCTTTGTCCGTAGCTGTGTAATATCGTCTAACAACGTTTAAATACCTGTTGTCCAGAAACTTTTAAAATTTAAACATGAAAATATTTTATTTTGTTTTGGCTTGATAATGTGGGGAGTTTTGTGACGGAACACGTAGAAATGTTCAGTTCTCGCTTTCACAATCTCTTGTCCTCGCAGATCAGATAAGTAATTCTCTCTTTTAGCTGTTACACATACCTTGGTAAGTCATACGAGAATCTGGTGTTATAACAAAATTACACCCTTAAGCTAGCAAGTTTGAAATGTATCGAAATTGCAAAATGTCAACACTCATTTTTTTCGCTGACTCGTACAGTTCATGAAGCACGAAATATGTATCTATAATATTTCTACTGTTCCGTTACTTTGTAAGTGATGATCATTCATAAATATTCCATAGAGTCCTAAATCAAACTCTTTTTTTCTAAAACTTTCTCCAAACTTTTCTTGCAAGGCGGCGTAGTTTTGCAGAATTAGTGCTGAACACGGCGTCTGTAGCAAAGCCTTAAGATAACATTGCCTCCACTTTGTTGTCTCAGGCCATGAAAGATGGTTCACTACCACTTGATGAAATATTTTCTTCTCGCAGTTCTTGTGAATATCAAAAGCACATTTTTCAGGAAGCTGTTGTATCTCTAAACGAGAAAAGAAAATTTCAGAAGCACGAAAATTGAAAGGCAAACTCGGGAGGAGAAACGTAGTTTTCTTGCTCCCAAGCCTGAATTATACAATAGAATCGATAGTTCACGTTTGGTCGCAGACCAAATTATCTATCACGAGCTCGACCCAGTCTACCTGTATTTCATTCAAACATATCGATCGCTGAATCGACCATGGGATTCGTAACAAGACATGTAACAACGTCTTTCAATGTCCCCGCCATTGAACTAACTTAGACCAGAGGATCGACAAGAGGACACTCCTGTGCCTGAATAATGATAAAAACAAACAAACAAATGATTAAACGAAGTGAAACACATACCTGTAGGATACTCCTTAGACAACTTCTGTGCAGCAGCTGAAATATAACAGAAAATATTGTCTGATATCCAAGTCTTTTTAAACTTTATGCAAACACTGGCTGTAGAATGAGAACTTGTCCTACTTCTTTGAACGCGCCGGACAGGCAAGACCATGAAGTTGTGGGTGAAAAAATGGATTTTTTTAAGGTTTTACTCACCGGAGTTCTGAATAGAGTCCTGTAGCTTTTGGTAGTCAAGGTCAGGACACATCAGTACTTTATCCACTGTTGCAGACTTGAGGAGAAGAAATCGATCCTGATCTAACAGGTCTCCTGAGCCTTCGCTTTTTTCAAAACATGTTATCGTTTTCTGTATCAAGATGGACAAGGAAAGTTCTGAAAGCAATATTAATTGTAGATTGAGAGAATTCTCTCACAAATTGAAAATGTGGGTGAAATAAAGTAGAGCAGGGTCTGTGAAGAGGGAAAATTTCTGTACATATACCCCCCTCTGATATGGAAAAGTGATTACAATTGGTGGTAGGGCATTCCCCATAGGATCCTAACTTCCTATGCCTGTAGGACCCAGCCCACCCCAACCAGCCTTCTTTCTCTCTCTCTCCCCCCATTAAAGAAAAAATATCAGAAACTTATAGACTTGTCCGATATTTTAAAAACTGATTTGGTAGATTTTGTTATGTTGTTACAAATTATATTTTTGAACTGTTAACCGGCTATAACCTTTTCGTGAGGCTAATTATCTTCGTGTAAGTTATTCTACGATCTGCCGAGCATAATCAACGTTTATGAACAAGTTACCGTATAATCGACCTCGATCGGGCAACAGTAACAACTCACTCTTCAGAATAAGCCATCGAGAACAGTACATAGCATAAAGGTGTATACAATTTTGACGGCATCTAGTAAAAATAAACCTTTTTTTTTTCTTGATTTTTTTTTTTTATCTAAACAATCAAGTACTTAACGACAGTCAAAATATACAGGACGGAACTGCTCGTTGATGCCGTAGAAGTCTTCGATTGACTTCGATATGGTCTGATATCCTTTTCAGGCCAGCTTCTACATCGAACCCAAGAGATTACCTGTTTTATTTCGCAAGCTGTATCAGGAAATGGAGGTTCGCCTAAGTCTACCATCAACCGATACTGGATACTGTTACAGTCCTTGATAATGTAAGTCTCTGATTTAGACGTATCAACTGTTGAATAAGCCACATCAAGGAAAAAACTACAAAGTGAGGTTAGCACTGGAAATAACAGAGCAGAATTTGGGCTGACCATCATCTTCGATTCTTTGACTGACTTACAGTTCCTGGGGATTCCTGTATATGCAAGGTTTACTTGTTCAGTCAAGAGTGTCATAACACCTGTTCAGTGATTATTACAAGAAAAATAGAACACCGGTAAATTTCTTGTTGAAGAATACCTTCTCAGATGATGAATGTAATAAAGATCGTGTAATGATGCTTACAGCTGTCAGCAGGATGTTTAGTGCTCAAGAAATTAAATTTCAACAGTGCATAGCATGGAAAACGCCAGTGCCTAAATGAGGCGGTGAAGAAAAACTCTTTGGCTTTCTGACATACCCTCAACGGCTTTTTGACAAAAAACGACACACCGCGGAGGGTTCTTTGGCGCGTTGGTAAACGAATCTGAAGTTGGAAAATTTTCCTGCTCTCTAACGGCTTAGACTCAGTGATCTGACTCTCCAGAAAAATTAGGTGCTAGAATCCAAGTTTGGCTCTAAAGATAACTACGAGGTGAAAAGCCGTCAGACCATTTAACGACCTCACTGTTTTGTAAAAACTATGGTCCAACTTGACTTACTAAATGAAATAAAGGGAATAAGTTTCTTAAGAAACTGTGGTGCTGCGTTGGTGGGAGAGTATAACAGGGTAATTTAGTTTTATCAACCGAGTTGTAAACGTAAATTGAAGGGTTTAAAGGCTGAACAGGGGCTAGCGCTCGAAACGTCAGCCTTTAACCTCTTTAAGGTTGCCAATTTACGTTTTCAACTCAGTTGATAACACTAACTCACCCTTAGTAAATGAAATGATTGCGATGTGCAGGCCCACTTAGCACAAACTTGCTTACAGTGTAATCCTTCAGGTCTGAGACTTAACAAAGATGTTACCTTGTTGAATTCCAGGTTATTGAGCTTCAGTTAACCCCGTAAAACCTCATTAGTTGACCCAGTGAGTTGACTTTCCCACCAACCAAACAGTTTCTGTATGTGCAATTTTGTGTAAGTAATTAATAAGTTCATAGATTTGAAAGGGGGCAAACCAGTCCTGCAAAGGTTTTGTTCTCCAGCCGAAGCAGAGAGTATTAATTATACCAACACTGCAAAGTGGATGCCCAGGGCATGTGCAGCTCTAAACACACACCTAGAAGGTGTCTCATAACCACCTTTCACCACAAGGGATTAATTGTGTACTAATCTGAGCATCAGCTTTGCAGGGGGACAAGAAAATTTCCATCAGTGAGAACTGCAACATATACAACCAAGTGAATCCAAAAAAAGGCTTTACACAGAATTTTTCTCTGTTTATTTATAACGATTTCAGTCAGTAGAAAAACCCAAGAAGTTTTCCACCAGTGTGCTTTCTTCTGGCTTCTTCATGATCCATGATGCCACTCGATGTGGTGATCACAAGGTATCTGCAACAACAATGTTGGCATTAAATTAAAAAAAGGCAACTATTTTATGAGCAAGTACTCTTGCTGTGTCATCATCTAAGAAACAAGAAACAAATCTTTTCTCTTGCCCACTTGCACAATCAGTCAGTGTCTCCAGTGGGCCATATCCTCACTAAACTCACCTGGAGAGTCACACTAGGAAATGGATTGCCGCTTAAAACCATTTACCATTTGATGTCACTGGCAAGTTATTGAAGGAGCATAAACAAAGCTTCATTTCAAACAATGTAAATTCCATCTTTGATTCCCGGCCTAGTTGTTTGAAAGGGGGGAAAAACAACCATCCATGCAAATTGCTGTCCAACAACAAAAACTACTGGGACATCAAGTGAATTGTAATTTAAAGGGTGGCTGGCACTATTGACCCTTCAGATACATGGTTCTAAACCTAATGCAATACTGCTGAAGTCTTCCATTTAGTCTGAAATACTTTCATCTTAGCAATACTAATACTTACCCAAACTGTCTTGATGGTAGAAGATTGCTTGCCCACTGTTCAATGTCATGAACTTTCAAGTCATAGCGAGGACTTATGACACCACACTGAAAAAAAGAAAAAGAAAACAGTACCAAAATTATTGGTTGATCATATCAGAGAAACTCCTTTATGTACTCTATATGACTGAAATACTGCCCTAAATGTACTTATGAGTATAAAGATATGGATCCTACGAGAACAAAGAACATGGGGAAAAAGAAACAATCACAGCAGAAAGAGTTTCAAAGAAATCAGTGGTTTTGCTTTTCTCTGTAAAGATCATTTATGAAATAAATGAATAAAGGAGGAAAGTTTCTAAAGAAAATGTGGTGTTGTGTTGATGGAAGGTAATACAAGATAATTTGATTTTACAACCCGAGTTGATAATGCAACTTACTCACCCTTTGTGCACTATCCTTTGCTCAGTTGATAGAACCAAATTATCTTGTATTTATAAAGTAGTTTTCTTCCACTACAAAACAACACTTAGTAAGCAACTTCTGCAATACCTGGAGGAGGTAGCCCAAAATGGCAAATTTTTCATGATGGTTAATTTTTGTTTTTTTTTTTTAAGTGTTTAAGACTGTTTAGTGCAAGACTTTCATCACTCAAATAATCTCTTTTCACCTCTATCTGCATAGCGACAATACAGTACTAACCTTGTTCAAACGTCCAGTAAGGTTAACAACAATCTTGCCTGATCTGTGATCATCCACAATTTCAAATTCACCAATATAACCTGAGATGAGCAAAATAATATACAAAACCATCAGTTGTGATAGTAAAAGGTTATATACACTTGAGGTGTCAAAAAACCACACACACTCACACTCACTCATGCCCATTATGCCGTGTGGCATGTAGGGCAGCATTTTGCCATTTCCGTAACATGGGTGTTTTACAGGACAGGGTTGTTAGCCCTGTGCCCAACCCCCTAACCTGGAAGACCAGTGGATCACACTTCATTAGACCTCTACCCTTCGACCTGTCAGGCTTGGGTAGCCCTACCAGGAGACAAACCTCCCGCCAGCATAGTTCTAGGGGTCTCCAAGGCACTCAAGCCTACTGACAAGGTGGCGATCCTTCAGGGGAAAACCCATACAGAGAGATACAATTCCCAATTTCCCACCACAAATAATATTTTACATTGTTATGCATCAAAATCTATCATATGGTAAAAAGTGCTCAACAAAATATCTCCAACCACAATTCTTGGCCAAATTGTCAAAATAATGCGCGATAAGAATTTACATGCACTCCTACAGGTCGTAACCAGGCCGTTCATCTGACCTAGCTGATAGAGAAGAACAGTTTGAAAGCTTGGGTCAAAATTGACACACTTTTCGGTGAAAAATCAAATAACGAGAAAAGGACCATGAGATATGCGAAGGCCGTAAGACTGGATTACCTTTAAACTACCCTTGCTGTATTTATATGCAGTATAACCACGTGTTCGAGGAACATTAATGGGTAGATTTCTTAAATGCTACATTGGGGAAAAACAAAGTTTCGAGTCACTCACCGTGTTTCATCATCACGGTTAAAAACTTGATTATAACCTTCGAGGAGGGCCGTAGAAGAACTTGACGCTTTCCTCGTCTTTCAGCATTGCATATGGAATTGAGAGCGTCGCTTAATACATTAATTCGCACCATGTTGAATCCTATAATAGAAAACACTTTCGTGTCAGCAGAAGCGTCAAAACAAATCCCATAAAAAGCAGTATTCGATAAAAAAGTAAAAAAATAACTACACAGAACTCAAGAAGAGTTCTTGCTTTATTCAAAGAAGGAGAAAAATATGGGTATTCGCCATTTCAGTTGCGGATGAAGGCAGATTTTTGAGAGATCTTACTCATACCTTGGTGGAAGTTTGCGATCGCAAGAGAGAGAGAGAGAACATACTAGAGCCTAGACCATAATACAATTCCCGGTTGCCTCGGTTTGAAGTCATGTCCAGTTTCCAGGCGCGGTTCACAGCGGAGCGCGGGTAAACAGAAATCAACAAATGGCTCATCTGAGCTTTCAAGTTTATTAGTGGTAATATTTGAGCTCTATTTAAGGATGTTAAGTTTATCAGATGTACTCTACGTGTAGATGGCAGAATCTTTTCGTTAGCCAGGAACAACGAGGGTTTTTAACTACCTAGCTTCACAACAACTGCAAATGTATGGTTGATCGATGGCCTCTTGGGAAAACATATTTAAGTTATTGTAGCTCACTTGGGAATTTATTAGAATTTGGTTTTCATCACTGGAGAAATAGATGGATGACTGATTGGTAAAAAAAGGTTGACAAGGGATTTTCCAGTTATGATCTGTACAGTTTAACTGTTTTGAGAGAAGTTGTATCACTGTCGTTAGCGTGACTTTTTAAGGTACTGGAAATAGACGTGAATGTCTTACAATGTTTACTAGAGAAAAAGTGAAAGTTGACCCAGCCAAAATCACTAACAAGAAAGGAAGAAAAGGAAAAAGTTCCAAAGCAGCTTGGGAGACGCTTCTTTCTGGCTCCCGTAATGATTCTTCAGGAAACATTAATAGTAGATCACCTTCCCCAGACAAGAGGAATGGATACAAGCATGTGCAATGGTCTGATGATGATGACGATGAAGAAGATGAGTATGATAAATATAACTCATCCATAACGCCAAATGCTTCTCTAAACTTTTCTGGTGATCGATCACAAAGTTTTGAAAGCTTGTGGCAGGCTGCAGCTAATGGAAGATCCAGTTCATCTTTGAACAGAAGCTTTGAATCTCAACGCATTCCCATCTCTGACTTTCGGATGCATACTGGCCAGCCCCCAATACCCAAAGAAATTGTTGCTAAAATACGAGAAGGAAGATATATCAACTTTCAGGAAATTCTTCCAGAAAACCTTGAAAGAGAAACTACTGACAGCAACAAATCCATTGATGAGACTGAAAGAGTGGATGACATTACTAAATGGACTGATTGCATGGCTGCTTATATTGCAGTGTTTACATGTGATCATCCCAATCGTATAAGAGACTTATTGGCATATCAGGGTATAATAACTAAGTTATACCGTGAATGCCAAGATAAGAGAGCTTGGCAAAGGTATGATGTCGCATTCAGGCGTAAAGCATCTCAGAATGAACTGAAGAACTGGAGCACAGTGGATGAGAACCTTTGGATTATGGCATCATCTAGGGATGCACGAAGAGCTGTCCTTTGCAAGGCTTGTCTTTCTTTGGCTCATGATCAAGCTTCTTGTCCATTTCTTCCCAAAGAGGAATCTTCAAGAAAGCGGCACTCTTGGTAAGGTTTAATTCTCAATTCTTTTAATTCTCATGACAAAGCATTTATGTCAAGCTTAACAGCAAAATGCTTTCAGTGTAAGCTGTTCATTTGTTTAATATGTGACTCATACTTTTAATTGCTTCATGAAAGGTTGTCTAAGTCTGCAAAGAGAGAGACAATGTCAGAGGAAGAGCGTCCACGATCAGTCAGTCCAACAAGAGGAAAGAGGGGTCCTAATGAAGGCCTTGATCTCAAATTTGCATTTGGGTATGTTGGCAATATCTAGTTTTTTTTTTTAGAAGGAACTGCTTTCTAATATTAGTTGAGAGATTTCTGTAGATATCAAGCCAGAGTGCACAACAGATTGGTTGACACATTATTTTCTTTAGCCAGTATCAAGTGAATATATGGAAAAGAACTTCAGAATTTATTATATTTTATCCCTGAAAAAATAATCCTTTTCACAGTCAATGCTGTACAATCAACAGAAACAAAGTTCAATTTTTTCTTGGGAAAGAGGCTGTAAATAAGAGTATTAGGAATGAACTAAACTTGCTAGTACCTGTACTCAAGAAAGCAATTTCAGTGGCATTCTTGAGCTCAGGTACCTAGGTAAGTCAGCTATCCACTAATAGTTTCAGATTGTAGTTAGAACTGTTTATATTAGTTTACAGCTTTTAATCTGGTAGGTCTTGTGCTTTTGTTGCCTCACAGGTATCATGGATACAACGCATGTAACAATTTATTCTACACACAGTCAAACGAAATAGTATTTCATGTGGCAGCTCTTGGAATAGTATACAGTCCAGCCAGTCATCAGCAGCGCTTTTATAAGGGTCACACAGATGATATTCTGTGTCTGACAATTCATGATGACAAAGACTTTGTAGCTACAGGACAGGTCTCTGAAAGTTAAATGTTTATCATATATATTAGTTAACTTTGTTATTTGCTCATAGAGCCTAATGAAAATTACATATACACTGCAGCAATTTTACACATTTTTGCTGATATCTTCCATTGTTTTTCATTAGCAATTCTTGTATCCACATGTACATCACTGGTTTAGTTGGGTTAAAAAGGCACTAGGGAGGAAATTTCAAGTTTGCCATGTGAGAGCCCTGAAAGTCACAACAATAACAGAAGTCAAAGGAACTTAAGAATAATTTTTGATTGATAAAGAGTACCTTTAGTTGTGGAATTTCCATCCGGACTTAACCAAACATTTTTATTTATTGCTGCACTTTGTCACTTACTTGTTATTAAAGGTGGGAAAACAGGCAGAGACTCATGTTTGGGATGCCAGTTCCATGAGGACTGTGTCTGTGCTGAAAGGCTTCCATAGGAGAGGCATCATATGTGTTGACTTCTCAGGTACAGTAGGTTAACAATAATTGTTGCCTATCAAAAGAAGAGTGAAATTATATTTTGTGAGGATTGTGCTACCGCCATGTGTATATGTTTGCATGCACCTTATTTTCAAATTTTCTAGGTGCTAATGACCAAGAATTAACAGAAGTAAGACATTCTTGATCCTGTACCGGACACAAATTGTTGCTACACTGTAAATGTAGTTGTATTATACTGAAAGCAGTTCTCAGTTGGCTTCAATCTTCTTGATGTAGGAGATGGAAAGAAATTAGCTGATGTGGGCTTGGATGATGACCATAGCATCTGTATTTGGGACTGGAAAAAGGAAGAGAAACTGGCATCAACAAGAGGTCACAAGGACATGATCTTTGTTATTGAATGGAATCCTTTCAACATAAACTACCTGGTGTCTGTTGGAGAGAAGCACATCAAATTCTGGACACAGAAAAGTAATCAAATTTGTGAAATAAGTTTGTCTCCTGGTGATTGAGGAAATATCCAAATGTACAGTATGCAACAGTGTAGTTTATTGGATCAACATAGATGCATATTTTTATTTTAGATTTTTCACTGTATGCAGATGTGAGTACTTTTGGAAGGAACTTAGCATGTTTGACAATAACAATCTTCTCTGTGATTTTAGATTCAAAGCTAGAGAAGCGTCCTGTGACATTTGGTAAAGCTGGTACTGCTGCAACTATGCTGTGTGTTTGCCATAGTCCTACAGATGACTTGTGCTTTACTGGGAGTGATACAGGACTAGTATATGTGTGGCAAGGAACCACTCTTCGTCGCTCAGTGCAAGCACACAAAGGACCTGTTTGTGCCATGTACTCACTCAGCCAATTCAAACAACAGGTATTGTACAAGGCATTTTATAGATAATCTTAAAATACAATTCTTTCCTTCTCTTGTTGCTTCTTGAACACTTAACTATGACAGTATTGTTGTTCTTGAAAGATTGATTTCCTCAATCATAGCCTTACAAATCATGTGACACTGTTTTGAGCAAGATTTACCTAATTTCTCTTTTGTTTTTGTGAAAGCCAGATTTCAATAAGACATTTGAAATACTGACCGCATTTGTTTGTCCTGTGCGTTTGATATGCATCACATTTTTTGGGGAGATGTAGTGATTCAATATTCATACCTATATATGTACCTCTCACTCATTGTTATGTAATTAAGTTAAGTGAGTGGCTTGCAGTCAAACTTCCTTGTTAAACTAAAACCCCTGCTTATCATTTCTTCTTCTTCTTCTTCTTTTTCTCCTTCCTCTTCTGTCCTACTGACCTCACTGTCTCTGTCTGTCTAACCAAGCAATCTTTGGCAGCTGTAAGTTGTTTAGTTTAATTGACTGTGGTTTTTAATTTTGTTTAGTTGATATCTCAACCTCTCCACTTTTTGTGTTGAAGGTTATTTTTGCGACAAGGAAAGGAATCATTGAATAAATCACAGTACCCCTCAAAGAAGGTTGTTATTGGTTCTGGTATAAGTATGGGGCTACAAAAAATAACTGAATTCTCTTTGAGAAGATTGGAACCCTTGACCTTTTTATGTTTGCAAGATGATGTAGTACTTCCAATCTTTAGTGAACTAAATAATGAGCATGGTCATTACTTGTTTCATGCACACTAAGCATGCTGCATACTGCTTGGATTGTTATTGTTGAAAGAAATCATAACACTCCTTGCTTGTAACATTCAGGGCTATGTGACTGGTGGAAGAGATGGTGTGGTTACTATGTGGGATCCACTTTTTGAACAATGTCTTAAAGCTTTCAAGGTGGAAGATGCTGCCATGAATCCAGGCTCAGTTCTTTTGCAGAATTTGCCACCTGTTAGAGCCTTACACACTGATGAAGGAAAAATACTTATTGGCACCGGAAATGATGAAGTTAGTTTGTATTTAACATAGTTCTGCAAAGTTTTACTCATTCTCAGTCGTCATGAAGTCCAAAATAACTACAGCTTAGGGTCATGACATGTGATACACAGGGAGTGATTAGTTATTCTCTTCTTCACCAGTCCCCACATCACATGCCCAGCATGGTTTGAGGTTGACTGGAAAGGAATCAGTTTCAAGGAATCCATATAATTGTGTACTTTAGATTTGTTGACCAGAATGTTTTATTCATTTTGCTAAGTAATCACTTATGAATTCATTATAAGGCCTGGGGCACTTGTTTTATTTTCGTGTTATGTGGTTTTGGTTCTTGCAACATAACATGTAGTTCAACCTTAAGGTGCGCAGAGGCAGTGATTTATTATTTCAACTAGAGTCCTTAAGTAACAATGTTTATCTTCTTTAGATCATTGAAATTGAAGAAGATGGCAAGATGACAATTTTGGTGCAGGTAGCTGTCTTGCCTTAATTTTCATCTGAAAGTTGTTGCACGTCATTTTGATAATTCATTACATTTTCATCGTTCTTATTTACGTTTCATCAGGGCCACGGTGAAGGGGAGGTGTGGGGCCTAGACACGCATCCAGCAGATGATGAGTGCATGACCGTCAGTGATGACAAGACACTTAGAGTCTGGGACCTAACTAAACTGAGACTAAAAAAGGTGAGTTTCACAAAATCTCTGAAATTGTTTGATTTCATCATCCAGTTTCTTAAAAGATGCAAAACACCGAGTCGCAACATTGGATTTTGTAATTAATTAAGTTAATTGAAAACATTAACATCGATACATCTGTTCCTTTTTCTGTAACCTGCGTAGGTAAAGAAATTAAAGAAAGGTGGTCATGCTGTGGCATACTCCCCAGATGGTACTACTGTGGCTGTGGGTCAGAACGACGGCGGTTTCCTCATTTTAGATGCGGAATCATTGGAAAAGATTGTTGGATTCAAGGACAGAAAGGAGGGCATTTCCGATATCAAGTTTTCACCTGGTAAACTTTCATCTGAGTTGTTTGTAGCGTAGTGCTACTAATATTAGAAATACTTCAAAGGATAGCTTGCGATTAGGCCCTCATTATCTGCGTTTCAGGAACGCGCGTTTCTTCGCTTGCGAGAAAGTTTGAGGCTTTGGGCAACGTTAACTAGCGTGAGGTCTGTAAGCGGTCTGGCACTGTTAGTTAGTGCCAGACCCTCCACAAACCTCTCTCCGACCCGAGCGGAGAAATGGTCGTCTAATGAGGACCTGTCCGTATATTAGTCACAGGATTACCAAAAAGTTGTCTTATAGGAATCTCTCTTCGCGACTGGCAATCGACTCCTGGCAGAGTCACCTGCAAAATTTCGATCGTTAGCGTTTCGATCATTTTGCAAAGTAAACCGAATATTGTATTTTTCTTCCTTTTTCGTTCGAATGGTACAGAATTAGGTAGGAAAAAATTGCTTGTGAATGTCTTTTTGTTTGTATCTTACTCCCACAGATGGTAAGTTATTAGCGGTCGGTTCACATGACAACTTTGTGGATATCTACAGCGTAAGGCGAGGCAGACGAACTGGTGTCTGTAAAGGAAGCTCTAGTTACATCACTCACTTGGACTGGGACACTAAAGGTAAAAATGGTATTTGTTAGTACCAGATAGTACACGGTTTGAATTGTTCACGTACAGTTGTCGCTTTAGGATGCCTTTATTACTACATTTCCTCTCATTTGGTCCAAAACTATGATGGACTTTGGCACACGCTCGCTAAGAATTGTACCTCTTTCTTGATTAGACAAGTAGTTTCTGGGAACAATGAATAGGGGGTAACTTTATAAAGAAACTGTGGTGCTGCTTCGATGGGAAAGTATAACAGGGTAATTTAGTATTAACAACTAAGTTGATAGCGTAAGTTGGCCACCGTAAAGAGTCACAAAGCTGACGTTTCGAGCGTTAGCTCTCCGTCAGAGCGAATGTTTCTAGGACACTTGTCACATATGAACCTAGAACCCATTCCATTGCGAAGTCCTCCGCTGTTTCTCATATTATTCAGCAGATCGGGCGGCGGAATAGGAACTGGCTTTTGTTTGAATCCTTATTGGAACCCAGATTTTTCTCTGTTCCACGCACTTAAAAAAATTTGTAATATCTTATTTTATGATGAAACTTAGTGGAAAGATGTGAATTTCAACGTGAAAGTGCGTCATTTTTCAGGAAAGCTTATTCAAACCAACTCCGGAGCCCGCGAACACTTATTTTACGAGGCGCCATTTGGCAGTCGAAAGACCATCAGTGTTCCGGATATTGAGAGATTGCAGTGGTCCACGTTCACTTGTGTCCTGGGTCCAACTGTTAAAGGTGTTTTCCCGCCCGGAAGTGATGTCACTGATGTCAACGCCACCTGTCGCTCTAAAGACGGAGGTTTATTGGCCAGTGGTGATGATTTTGGTCTAGTGAAGCTTTTTGAGTACCCAGTGTCGGTAATAAGTTTTTGATAAATAATTGCTTCCAGTGGTATTTTGCATTGCTTTTTTATTATTTTACGGATCAATTGAAAAGGACCAGAAGAAGTATGTGTCCATCTTGAAGTAATGCACAAATCAGGAACAACCAAAGAGATAAACAAAGGATCCTCAAAGATGAAAGTACATTTTTCAATTGAATTTTCGGCGGAAAATTGGACACTAGTGTCCTAAATCCAAAATCGGACACTGGTGTCTCAAGTCCAAAATCGGACATTGTGTCAAAAATCCGACATTGGACACTGGTGTCTAATACCATCGCTCTCTCATTTAGATAACATATGTGGCTTCGTCTCCTATAGGAGACATTAGCCACAAAAATTGAACGTTTGTCTTTTTTTCAGCATCGTGGAGCACGTGGTCGGAAGTATGGAGGTCACTCCTCACACGTGACAAACGTTCGGTGGAATTATGATGACCGCGTACTTGTGTCAACCGGAGGTCTGGATACCGCCGTGCTGGTCTGGGACCGACTGGTTGTTTCAGAAGTTGATGAACCAGGTGAGAACACTTAAAGTGGTTGAAGCAAAAATGTGGGAGCAAAAATTTTGATTGTTTTTTTTGTATGTTATTTTGGTTTCTGGATCAGATATATCTGAATTTTCTTTTTTGAGCGCTTAACCCTTACCTTTTCTGCTTTAGACCTATCCTAAAATCTTTCAGTCAAGGGGAAAGGTTCATGCGATTTTGGATTGGACATCGCGTGCAAAGAAAAAATGTCTCCAAATGATAGATGTTTCTTCCGCCTTTGTCTTTTAAGCTTCTCAGTTGTCAGCTGTTATCCAATGATGATTTTGTGTGATTTTGTTTTATTGATACTCTTCTCACAATTGTAACTGTTGTTCACAGAAAAAACCACGGAAGAGAAGGTTCTTGTTCAACCAAAGTTTATCCCAACTGGACCCATAAAGAATCCAATTGCAAGAGGAAAACCTCAATGGGACTGAAGCACCTGGCTTGTATTTAATTCGTGGTCACTTTGTGGCTGGGTCAATTGCTCTGCAAATTATTGAACAGTTTTAATCGAGTGTCGAGAGTACTCCTCTTTACATTCTTATTTTCTTTCTTTTTTCATCGAGTTTTTATAAGCCCGTTGTCTTGCTTTTTTTTGGTCTTGATGAGCAACTGGCATTACTTTTGGTTTTACGACACTCATTCGAAATGCACTCCATTAGTGACTTGGGGGTCTTTTACCCTATGGGCGACTATTGTAATCCAGAATGCATTGTATATCGCGTTGAATCTTTTTCGTCAGATTATGGCAGAGATCTTGCCCAAATTCTGAAGACAGCTACGTGCAATAATATATTCAGTCGCAATATGTCGTATGTTTATTTAGTCTTATTTAAAACGATATTTAATTATGAGAATCATTGTCGTTTCAAAGCAAAGCGTGCTTTGAAAGCGTTGAAGAGAAACTCTTACAGTGCGGCGGAAGATCAAATTGTAACTATTCCATTTTCTGTACATTCCCTCGAGAGTTCGCTTTGGGTTTCAAGCCTTGTTTTCCCTCAACTCATTGTACATGTATTTTTCCCAGTGGATAGAAAGTGAAAGAGATACGAGACACTTTTATAACTTGCACACATTAGACAAATTCATGTAACAAGAACATCCTTACTAGTGTTCTCACTTGGTATGGGTTGTTAATAAAACGTACCTTTCTTTAAAATTCACGGGTCTGTGTTACTCTATTGAAGAGACTGAGCATATTTTTGTACTATGATCGAACCATTCCTCTTTTTATTACATGGTTGGTGATAATGTGATAGTAATAATTTGTCATTCCAGATTTGTACAGGCGTAAATGAGATCTTTACGAGGATGGTATTATCCCTAATTCCACATTTCTGCGAGCATTTTTCTTTGTAAATAATTAGCTTAATCAGCTGCGCAGTTACAGTAATTACCGTTACAGTCACCACAATCGCTTATATAAAGATCGACGTGCGTTATCCTCAGAATCAAGTTTTAGACCTGACTCAAATTGAGAGCCAGCGGAGTCAAAGAGTACGATTGGTGCGCGCTAGTAGGTTTATCGTTAATGCTCCATATATTTCCGTTATAATGCTTCTTTCTTTTCTTCCCTTTAATATTATTTCTCCAATTCACCGGATGTCTCTAAGTCCAAGTCTGCCACAATGTAGCGGTATCGATAGCTGTTCCTAAATCCTGTCTAAATCGTGTGGGTTGTTGCTGGAAAATACGTGAAGTTCGTGCAAAAGTTTAAAAACTTCTGGAACGCGCATTTTCATGATGGAAAGCTCGAGAGTAGGTTTAGGACAAAAACTTTACGGTTTTAGTAGACTTTAAAAGAACATAGTGTTAGTTTAAGGATATAACCTGTACTAAACGTTGAACAGTGAAAGTGAAAATGCTCGTCATCAACCTGTCAAAAAAATGAAAATGCTCGTCATCAACCTGAAGTGTTCTCGACAGTTTTTGAAGAGGCAACCACGGAAAGTAAAAAGTCCATTTGACAGTTGTGCACTTATGTCGTAAAATGAGTTGTGGTTATTCATTGTGGTAAATAACACTTCAAAGGAGAAATATAATCGTTTGTCTCATGATGTGGTCGCTTCGGATGTGGATCGCGACGTTTCGACTCCATACTGCAGTCTTCTTCAGGTGCGACCTACTCGCACATCCGAAGCGACCACATCGTGAGACAAACGATTATAATTCTCTCTTGAAGTTGTGCGTTCAGTTGCCAAGCCTTTGGTCAGGAATGGTATTAATGCTGAGGCTGACCCTAAGTGACAGATCAAGAGACGTGAGGAAACAAATTAGCAGTACAACAAAGTAGTATGTATCATAACAAGGTCACCCTTATACCCAAAGGCATAGCAGCTTAGCAGAGAATTGTTAAAGGACCACAATATTGTGCATGAGCTTTTTTGTTTTTTTTTTCTTTTGAGAAGTTGTTCAGTTTACGCAAGCGCAAACGACGGTTGTGCTGCTGTGCTGCGCTCAATAATTTATATGAATTAATATTTTATTTACTGAGAAAAAAATATGTTCTTTGTGATTGCATGTCAATCCCCCAACCCTATATAGTTGGATGAGAATTGAAATTATAGGAATTGTTAGTGCCAGCCACTGAAATAGAAAAATAATTATTAATTTAAGAAACGTATTGATGCATGTTTTGAGATCTGCTTCAGCTTGATTGATGAAAAAGGATAAAAGAGTACTTCGAGTCGATAAGAAAAATATTTCAAATGAAAAAACTCATAGAAAAACGATCTCGGAACATGAAATGGCAATTTGTACTTTTGCTTCAACTAAGTAAGTTGTACATGCGTTCGCAAACACATTCAGTCATATCTTACGATCAAAGAGGAGTCAGTGATATCGCTGATGACATAATTTTATGGTAAAAAATTAAGACTTTACTTCAAAGCGTGACGGGCCCCTAACGATTTGAACGCTGAGAAATGCCACCTGGACTTTTGTCTATATGTGGGCTTCTTTTTCGTTCACCTGATGCTAAAGACCGACGGTTTCTCTATTTTTCACACGCTTTTAACTCCCACTGTAGCACAACTAATGTTTTATGAACACTCCTCCTCTGTTAATTTCAATTTTAAAGGTTTAATGACGCATCCGATAGAATTGAAACTGCTTACATACAGGTGCACTGACAGAAAAAATAGACAAGCCTTTCATATAATTTCCCTATCTCGATCTTAAATTTGACGCTGTGAGTTTTTTAATCCTAGAAGAATTATATGAACAATATTTAAATCATTCAAGGAAAAGGAGATTATGTAAATTTGAATCAAGTTATTTGCCATTTGAAATGTTTATTTGGTAGATTTCACAGCCAGACAATACTGTATAATCTTTGCAACTTTCTATTAATTTTTTAGATAGAAGTCTTGCTTTAAATTAATGAGAAAAAAACATCCCAGTCTCGTAAATGAGTCATCTCAGATATAATAAAATCGTTTTATTAACTGACCAGATATAATAAATCATTTTATCAGCTATCCAGGTGGTAAGAATACGTTCGTTTTATTAATTTTTATCCTTTTCCAATCAATTTAAAAAGTGATTTCTCCTAAAAATTCTCGCCTTTCTACTATTGCGTTAATTACAGTTCATAAAGAGTAAACAGGTCTCTCTCAACATAATCTATATCAGATGTCAGTCGATTACCAAAGCGCTTTTCTTGTTCTGAGATGAAAAGCTTGCTGAGAATTGTGCGTACAACTATTATCGGATCGTCGAGATGCAGTGCGTATTTACAAATATTTTACGGATTGGAAAAGATCAATAGGACGCTGTAACTCCTGTAAAGTGCAATCAAGGAAAAGTTTCCACGCTAGGCACTGAACAGCTTTTTGTTTTGCAAAATATGAATCGCAGTACGACGGTACTTCTTCGCGATTTGGATGAGGAAGATAAATCTCAAGAAAATCAAGGTTTGCCTTTGTCGCTTCTCCGACAATTTTCAACCAAGGAGAGAGGAGTTGCAAGGCGTCGCCAAACCATGACGAGCATCTTGCGAAGAAGCATTTCAGATTCAGTGGAAAGAAATCTCTGTTACCGTGTTGGTTTGCATCAGGTATTAAATAATGTAATGACAAAACTGGGACACGAAAATCGATAAAGAGCTGAAAAATTTACAGCAGCGAAAAGTCGGAAAGAAGTTAGTAAGACACTGAGACATCATTTTATCCGAAGGTGTATTATTACCATCTCTCCCTGTGCGTAAATCATTCCGTGGTGTAGCCTACAGCGTCATTGGAAGATGTGAGGCTCAACTGAATACTAACGAAAATCTTACATTTTTTATATGTGTGGGGAGGAAAAGTTAACATCCTTCACTGTTATTCGTTGTATTTCAATTTCACTTGCTGCTCAAACGCTGAATCACAATTGAGTATTTATTGCTGACCAGTTTCATAAGAAATAATCAGAAGAAATCGACTCAATACTAAACTCAAAATGGATGTGACCATCAAGTCTCTGAAAAATTTTTTTTAATCTTGTTTACTAGTAATCTCAAGGAATTTTGAAAAAAATAAAAGAGAAGTAGATATGACATGTGCGATATCGACTTCAGCAGAATGAAATATTTTTCCATATCACATGGAATGCGCCATACAATGATAATCTAAAATTTGCATACAATGATAATCTCCGTTCTTTTGAGAATGTGTAATTGCTGTTAAGGACAACGGGTGATCTCTTGGAAAAGGAATGAAAGCTTCCACCGATCTGTAAATTAATAATTAATTTTTCATGGAACAATGATTTGTAATTTGATTCAACTTTAGATGACGTTAAAATATACATTTATGTTCTATCATCGATCATTCGCTCTGATAATTTTCTCATTGGGGAGGAGAAATCCATTATATGCTGAAATCATTTCTTGATTTTCAAAAAATATATACTTATATGTTTTAATTCGTACAGAGAAACACCTCGAAACCATTGTCACCTACATTAAGCTTCGTTTGCTCACACTTTTACTAAAAAATTTTTTTCTTCGTTGACAGGCCTGTCGGGATGGTCTCATTGATATCGTTCGAGCATTACAACAGAGAGGTGTACCTACCATCAACACCTTAGACAAGGATGGGTTGGCCCCAATCCATTACGCAGCCCGTTATGACCACGAAGAGATTGTGCAGCTACTAATTGAGGGAGGTGCAGGTAATATTTCATCCGGATATTGTTTCATTTTCTCTGCGATAGTTTTCCCTCGAAAATTTCTTTTTTTTGTGTGGCAAATCGTCGCCCATTACTCTCGATGACAAGGGTCTTCTTTTCAGTGTCGTCATTATATTCCGTTTCATGATAGGAAAACTTATACCGCTCATACATTATACAATACCTAACTATAAATAAGGTAAACATACCTTTTAATGTTTTAGATCTTGACATATTCTCTGGCTGTGAAAGCAAATTTACTACACCTCTTCAAATCGCAGCAAGATTCAACAGTCCTGCCACAGCTCGGTTGCTGGTACTGAATGGAGTAGATGTAGCAAAGCAGTCAAGTTATGGACAACAAGCTTTACACTATGCTGCAAGAAGAGGAAACTTAAAAGTCGTTCAGGTGGGTTTTGGAAATATCGCGAACTTTTGAACTCTAAAACTCCCTCGATCCAAGATAACATGAAAATTACCAGACAGATAACTTTATAACAATATCTCAGTTATCTATTCTGTGTGCATGTTTTAATTTAGGTTCTGCTCAGAGAAGGAAAAGCAGAGGTAAATGCAGAGGACAATGAGAATTCCACCCCACTACATGCTGCATCTCAAGAGGGAAAGCTAGATGTTGTCGAAATTCTGGTGAGGGTATTATCGCAACGCAGAAAAAGATGGGACCGCGGAGTAGCAGTCGATCGTGTATTCTGATATAATACAGTCCTTAAAAAGGGCTGGAGACGTTAACAACGAATGACTTTACGTCAACATGAACAAAGGTTATCATCCGACTTACGAGGGAAATTGTTTGTCAACGAGTGTTAACAGTCAAATTCATTATACTGAATTGATTGGTCAGTTTTCGCCTTAATGCTATTGGCTGTAAGACTCTAGTAGCGTAAGTCAGTTGTGATAGGTCAGTTTGATCTTTTTGGTAAGGTCGGCTTGTTACCGTCTTTGGTTCATTGATTATGTTAGTGTGTTAACTGTTCTGTTCTGTTCCCTTAGCTGCAATATGGCGCCGACCCGAGTTTAAGTGATAACGACGGATACACTGCAGTGCATTTAGCAGCTAAAGATGGATACGATGATGTGTTAGAAAAACTACTTTCCACAGGTGAAAAATCGGAAATTCAAGTAGTCTGTTCCTTAATTTTGTAATTTATAGTTCATCTCGATGATCTAAAAATTTTAAAACGCCTTTGGTTCGCACAATTGAGAATTGTTGAGCCAGGATCTATTTCAAATTACACGAGCTCACAGTCAAAATATCTCAATGGTGTATGTTCATAGAATAACTGTTTCCAGAGAAGAACAAGACATAATTTTACGCAAGTAAGGTATCATATTAGGGAAATATTACATTTTTTAAAACTGAAATTTTCCTTCAGCGAAAACCTGTGGTGTATCATGTCCAGCTATTTTGAACAAAATGGATAATGATGCCAACTCATGTCTGCATCTGGCTGTCAGACATGGCCATATTAAAGTAAGCTTGATATACTTCTGTTTATTCGTTTGAATGATTGTAGTATATTAGAGGTGTGATCTAGTTTCTCTTTTTTTCTGAACAGTATTCCTTTTTTCCACTTCTTTTTCAGTCGGCAGAGGTTTGTATAAAATACGGCGCTGATACATGCGCAGTGCAGGTAAAGTTGATTAATTTACAATCCCAAAAGTAGCAAATTAACATTCGACAAACGGTGACGCGATCCATTGCTTACAGAGGGCCAAAGTGTTTGAAAGTGTTCGTCTATCCTAGCTTTTTAGATTTTTTGTTTTCTATATAAAGAATAGATATTGCTGTCATAAAGCAACTTCTATAATCGCGAACTAACGATTTAACAAACGCTTCTGAAAGATACCTAGTGCCGAGTCAAGAGAGTAGATGTATGATTACTGGTTTGGAATTCAGTCTCAATCGCAGTTCTTATTCACATAGGATGATTTGTCGTCTCCTCTTCATGTTGCCTGTGTGAATGGTTATTATGAGATTGCAAAACTTCTCCTGTTGAACGGGGCCAACATACACGATGAAGACGCAGAAGGAATGACGCCCATTTTGAGGTAAAAAGTAAACAGATGTTTAAATCATTTAGGAATTATTTCATAATCATTGCATCAATTAAAGTTGCATTTCTCTCATGAATGTAATTATCTTTTTTTTTCTTTCGAAACTCGTCACAGGGCGTCACTGACTGGAAATGTAGAAATTCTCGATCTTCTTCTCTCAGAGGTGAGTGTTTATTTCCCTCAGTGTGTGGTTGCTCTGATGGTCAGCGTGAAAAACTTTTCCCGGCACGCCTAATTACCAAATGAGCTACATGTTTTTGGAAGTTCCAACATACCTGCTACACTATTTAAGTTCTAACTACACATCTAGTCTGAAATGTCTTGCGATGCTTTTTCTCTACACAAGGGAGCTGATATTTCATCTGAAGAGAACACTTATTCCCCCTCACCACTGATGTGTGCAGTAAAGAGAGGCCATCCCAATGCAGTCAGATTTCTATTACAACGCGGCTCACCCATTGACCTGAGAGACGTAAGTCACAGGACTTCTCTTCACGTTGCTGTTTTTAGCTCTGATGCTGAGACACTGAAAGTACTTCTTCAGGTAAATCTTGATTGACTTTGAGTGATTGTTGTGATTATGACATCTGAACCCAAGGTAGACAGGATTCTTACGACTCAGAGCTGAAAAATAACAATTAAGACAAGCAAGGGAAATGTAACGAGTAGGCAACTTAGACCTCTACTGCAACGGGTGGGATTATCCAAGTTTACAATATATCGTGCGTTACTTTGCTTTATATAAAAAATCATAACTATAAGAAATTCGAGTTTATATTTATTTCTAGTCATTTTTGGTTTCCACGATTTTAAATGCACACACGTGCCTGCTCAAATAGGCGTATCTGCTCTACTGCACAAACAAGACACCCAAAATTACTTTTCAATTTGCTTCGAGTACATGGTTGAGTACATAAGATTCCCCTTAGGCAAAATTTTTTGTATCGAAGGATCTCCTCATGTCAGGAAAGACTCATTGAGTTAATGCAGGTGTGATGTAATTGCCCTTTCCCTTTGTTCTTGGCACTTTCACGTCAACAGTTTTATATGTATTCGCTAATGCCACATATTGTGACCGAATGCAGGCCGGGGGAGAATGTTTGTTAAACAGCAGGGACAAAAACGATCAGACACCACTCCACTATGCAGCGACTAAAGGAAGTTTACAGGTAAAACAGTTGTCTGAACGCATAGGCTACAGTGCTGGAGCTACCACATCAGGCTTATTTACATTTCTGTCTCTTTCTCTCTTCTCTCCTTTTTCTTTTCTTCAAATAGCTCATTCAAGAGCTTCTCAAAACTGGGGCCAAAGTCGACGTCAAAGATGAAGACGAAAGGATTCCTCTTCATTATGCTGTGGAGTAAGTAATGCAAAATAAGCTGCAGTGTTTTTTTCTTGTAAATTCAATCGATACTTCCAGCCACCATAACAGCAAGACACCGAACGTGTGACCTGATGTTAAACACGTTGTACAGTGGATCCCTGATTTAAGTCCTATATTCTATTCTGATTTCCATAAGGTTGAGATGAGAATATCTTATTAGACGTTTTGGTGTGTAGTGTCGCTGAGTATTTTTACGATACTGCATACCAAAACTTTTAATAAGTTATTTATTATCCAACTGCTTTAATTCATGAGCATTTGTTATAAAGTGGGGAAAGCGAAGCAGATAGAGAGGCATAGCGCGCGCAGCCGACAGGTTAACCCTTCAACGACCAATATCCTATTGTCAATTCTCCCCTCTAGCTGTCACAGATTTCCTTGTAAACTAGTTATGAGAATTTGGTGTTAAATGAGGATAACAAAAATCTACCTGATAAGTTTTAGAATTCTCATGACCTGTTTGCTGGATAAAGTAGGGATATTATCGGAAGAAGTTTCATGCTTATTTCTTGTGGAAATTAAAAGGTTAAACAAGTTTTTTTTACTATACAAAATAGCCAACTACTCATCTAATATCTAAGGACATTTGTACTCGATACGCGCTTTATTTAAACTCTACTTAGTACATTTGGATAACAAAATTACTTATACAAAAGCTGCCAGAGTGCTAATTTAAGTTTTTTCATGCACAGAAATGGTGATCTTGATTGTGTTCGGGTGTTGTTGGAAGCCTGCCCAGAGTCAATTCACATAACCGACTTTTGCCTCCAAAATTGTTTGCATTTTTCTGCTTGGCACGGTCATCTTGCAGTCACAAAATATCTGTTGGATCAAGGAGCTGCTGTCGACAGCAGGTGAATGAAACGAACCGAGAGAATTTAACCATTTACTTTATCAGGAAATTGTACTTCAAGCCAGCTTCACCGACGATATTTTGAAGAAGACATCGGTAAAATGAAACGAAACGAAGTTCTCCTAATAGTTAATACCAACTCTTTGAAAAAAATGTTCTCTGAAATCACTTTTTAAGCATACACCTTTCCTGACTTTGAAGACAATTATCTAGTAATGAAGCGACAATTTTGTAAATTTGTAGATGCGATGAACGCCTGACTCCGCTAATTCAGTCGGCATTTTGCGGTTGTAATTTAACAACTAGCCTGTTGTTGGATCACGGAGCGAAGATTGATGCTACAGACAAGAACGGGGTACGATATTTCGGTTGTTTGTGTCGAAAACATACCACAATCTTTTTTACAGTTAGATTTCTTCTAATTGGTTTTGTGCAGACGCTCTAAGTTGTCATTTATTACTCACATTGTATGTCACACTGTAGGCCATGATTCGCTAACTATTACTTTTTCACTGACACGCTCTTGAACTTTTAACTGTGTAATTTAAAAACCAGGCAGTCAGTCTTTTATTAACCAAACTTTATCGCTTGGAGACGAACTTATAAAGTGTTTAAAACATATGTGATCTTCATTAAAAGATAAGATGCTCTCAACTTGAAGTCGCTTTCTGAGACTTATATTTTCTTTTTAATTCAATCTTCAGTGCACCGCTTTGATTGCTGCAGCATCTCGAGGTAGGGTGAGTGTTCTGCGGCTGTTGTTGGACCGAGGAGCGGACATTCGACTTGTAACAACTGACGGTAAAAACTGCCTGGAAACTGCAATAGCTAACGGTCACCAAGATGTCTGTATGGAAATTATCAAGCATGAGAGGTAAACTCAAAACTGTTCCGATTCAGCAATCCGACTTTCCACGCGACACAATGGACCATTTCTTCAAATCTAAAACAAGTAACAGTTTGACCAATCATTCAGTGCGCAGCAAGAAGAACTGCACAGTTAGGATTTAGCCAAAATCCTAACAACTGTTTAACAGTCAAACAGCGGTTAAAGAGATATTCTTTAGTTAAAACCTCTTTCCGAGGCTTCACCGGTGCACAACTTCCATCGTTGCCTATTTTCAGGTGGAAGGAAGCTTTTCCAGTGTGTGACAAAAGAAGCAATTTCATTCCATTAAAAAGTCTCATTGAAACGTTCCCTTCTGTGGCCAAGGTGAGAGATACAACGAACTGAAAAAAGGATTTTCACCATAAAAGAAAAGTTTATTAAAAATTGGTCGTTTACTGCTCTGAATTACTGTTATCTTTTTCAGGTGGTTATGGATAAATGCATTCAGAGTTCCCATCACCTACGAACAGATGAGGATTACTCGGTATGAATGAAAGAGCTCCTAAAGGATCAAAATTAAACGTTTCTTTAATTAGATACCTTCAGGTGTAAAGTACTCCATAAATGTACTTATTCTTGACAGAAAATTACACTGTTACAAAATGTCTTTGAAAATATGACTTAGGTATTTTTTTGTTGTTGTTGTTGTTGTGCAACAGGCGCAAATTAATGAAATTATTTTGTTATTTATTCCTAGGTTACTTATGACTTTAAATACGTGAATCCCCATCCCTCCCTGCTTAGCGATGGACGAGTCTTCTTTGCTCCAAAGGTGATAACAACGTCAACATCAGCTGATCGGCTGAGGGCTATAGAATGATGTTTAAGTAAATAGAGTAATATTCCTACCATGCTTAAGCGACATAAGGAAACAAGATGGTGATAAAGGAGAAATTGACAGCTTGAATTACAGACGATAATTTTGATAGAGCTGAAATCAGGACTTGACGTAACAAGCCTTTCTAGGGAAAGATAGATTATTATTACCCATGACTCGCAATTAAATAAACAGAGAAGATTCCGATGCAATAAGGATTAAGACATCTAAATCTGGATTTCTGGATCTCATTACAGACAATGCTGGACTATGGAAGAGAAGAATTGATTTTTCATCCACTTATCATCGAGCTGATGCGATGTAAATGGTAAGATTGTCCAACACTTTTTTTTTTTTAGCAACAGGTCCCTCTCGATCAAGAGTCTGACCTGCTGACCACTTTGTCAAGCGTCTCACACGTGACACAACTAATGAGAGTAATCTCATCTTTTCAATTGACAAACGTCTTCTTTTAACAGGCAGCATATGGGCGTCAGGTATTTTTACATCTCTGCCGTGATTTACCTGTTTTACCTTGGAAACTTGACGCTTTACATGTTGTGCATTCAACATCTTTGTTTGCTCAATTCCGCCCGACCAGTTATATCAACCAGACAGGTACGAAACCCACTGAAACCTTTTCCAGATTTGCCGGCCTATATATATATATATTCTTTCACGATGGATCGTTTAGAGTTGTATCACGTGTCATCTTCTTTCAGAATGTGTGTATCTTTGCTCGCATAAAGGTCTGGGAGATTTTCATTGCAGTTATGACAGCTGTTTATTTGCTGATAGAAATGCATCAAGCATTCTGGGAAGTGAGTTATTTGTTGATTCGTTTGGCTTTTTTGTAGGTTTGCCTTTCTATGGGATTGATAACTGAAAATAATTCAGTAAATGTAATAATTATATTAAATTTATCTCCTTTAATTTTTTTTTTTTTTTAACGATCTCGTTCCTCTTTTCATTTGTGGCATCGCTTCTCCCATTTACCAAACGGAGAGCCCTGGGACCTGGGGAAGGTCATGGACGAGAAAAAAAATCCAGTATCGCAAGTGTTATAGTAATTAGCAGGCCATCTAAAAAACTCAAGAATGTACGAGTAGTTTGTGACAGAACTCAAGTCATTTTGTTCAAAATGCAAATTTATGACAACCATGATCTGGTATTTGTTTGATTTTTCACATCGCAGACATGGAACTACATTGAATTAAGTAACATTGCTGATGTTTGCACCTTCTCAACGGCACTCATTTCCATTTTTCCTGAGCCTTTGGGTTTGGAATTTCATGATAAATGTGTTTTCCTTGTTATTTCTGTGCTGTTTGGATATCTCACGCTTTTACTGTATCTGCAAAGGTTGGTTAAAATGTATTACTTTTAAACCCAATATCTGTATTTACGAAGGGAAATTTGAGGGGTTTTATGCTTGAGACATTTCAGCTCTTTTGCGTTACTGTTCAGAGTACTCTGAGGTATAAAGTTGTGTAGGTAAACTTAAGTTGCGAACATGAAGGCCAATGAAGGCCAATGCCGTCGGTGCTGTTCTTAGTTTCAGCGACAAAAAGGGATGAGGATCGAATGTATTTTGTCCAGTTCCTCTGAAAGGTCTCTGTTACTCATCAAACCTCCGGATGGCGAGATCTGCTTTGAAAGTAAATTGTCTTGTCCAAGAAGACAGCGTAATGGCCTTGGAATGAGCCTTGTATTTTCGATCGGGAGTCCAGCGCAGTAGAAAACCATGCCACTTGTTATGAGGTTAAACATTTCGCTAAAAACGATTGAGAAAAACCAACTATTCACGATGAAACGTTACAGCAATTGAATGGGTTCTCTTTTCTTTCAGTGTATTTGAATCTGGAATACACGTCACCATGCTTTTTGTTGTGCTGAAGACATTAGGCAAGGTTTGTGATTAATTCTGAGAATCTTATTTGTGAAAAATAAGCCCAATTACATACAGGAGGCAGCATGCTCGAGAGGTGAGCGCAGTCCGGAAGTCCTGAGTCCCTGTTTTGCTCTGACCGTAAAATGAGTGCAAGTGAGACGTTGCATTTAAGCTTGTTAGACTTTTTTTCAGTGGAGTGCTAGCCAGTTGTATAACTATACTCACTAAGAGCACTCCCTTTGGGAAAACAAAAACTTAGAGTTTTTCCTTTAATAGTTCTATCAATTAAATATTGTCCGATCCAGAGGAGTGTGTTATTTAAAGATAAATAAAATGAATAAATAAGTACATAATGAATAGAAATGGCCTCGATGCCACATGTCTGATGTTATTTTTAGTAACAGTATTTCCGGACTATATGAAGCATTTATTGCTTGGTGAGGTGTTGTTGCTGTCTTTCTTTTCAGGTGGCAGTGATGTTCTTCATATTAATCTTTGCTTTTGCTTTGGTATTTCAAATGCTTTTATCAAAGGAAGCAAATGTAAGTGTTTATTCTTCAGCTTAATTTCGCTTTAACGCGAATGTTTCTTGTATAATTAAAAAGTATTAAGACGTGCATTAAGTCTTCACGGCTATTTTATGCACGTCCTCACCTCACCCATTTTAAGTTTAACTCAGCATGATGAATTTGATAGCTTTTCTGTTCAATTTCCTCCAAAGTCAATGTACATCCATCAGTCATGATGCGTCGATCAATCAATAAACCCCTTTGCTACTTAGGATCTCTTGAAATACGAATGATTTTTGCCCTCTGTCCAATATCTACACTGTCTACCTGGTTAAACCAGCTTTCTGTCCCATAACATGCAACCTAACTTTAAGCTGTATGGGCGATTTTCCCTCCTAACTTCCACCATCTTTTACAATGCAGGCCATAGCTCTCAACATGACAATGAATGGAACTTTGTTGGGAGATATTGATAAGGTACGTCAGGCAAAAAAAACTTCTTCTTCTGACATTTCTCCCCTGAAAATGAACGTTTTCAATCTCATCCATTAGTTTTTGTTTGTTTTTTTGTTTTAATAGGACCCATTTCAGTCATTACGTTTCTCTTTTGTGAAGGTGGTTGCCATGACAATCGGTGAAATCGAATACACCCGCTTTTTCATTGACCAGCGGCTGTTTTCGCCGACCTTAAGCCAGGCAGTGTTCTTGGTATTTTGTGTCATGATGCCGATTGTACTTATGAATTTGACGGTTTGTACAAGTTCACACTCATTTTGTAATTGTTATTGGTCTTTTGCGTTGTGTTAGACTGGATGACATGTTTGTTAGATTGAAACCATAATGACCTGATTGGTTGATATAATAAGACCAAAAACTCAAGTATCACCCAATCACCATAATTCGTCTGACGATTTTCCCGCGCTCCTGCGTGAACATGACAGATCCTTACCAAACTAGGTTACCGGCTTATCGCTGGCATGTTGTTTCACCTCACTCCCTTTCAGAGTCTAAATTTCCAGCCTAATAGCTATTTTTAGGTTTGATTCAAAAGCTCTGTTTGCTTTGGAGCACAATTCGTTAATTCATGTCTCGATTTTTTTTTCAGATTGGTCTCGCTGTTGGTGATATCGATTCCATTCAGCAAAATGCCGAATTTAAACGTTTATCTATAAAAGTATGCTCTTACTAGTACTTTCCAGTCCATAATAAAATGGATTTAAATGAGCAGCCTTTCTAACTTAATTACTGAAGGGCAAATGGCTAATAGGAGAGGACTAACATCGGTTTTCCTGTTTCATTCACTAGTTAGTATGTAACATTTATTTTAAAACTCTAAATCAATAGGGTATGGTTCAATACTTCATTTTTGGTAGCAGGGTTTACAAACAACGAGTTGCGGCTTTGACGTTTAAGGCCATATTAGCATACAATACGTGCTAGCCTACGTAGATTGCAATCCCTTTGTGCGCTTTGCAGCGTCGCATAAACGAGCTGCAAAGTCGTAGCAGACTTAAGACGCGGTGCCGCCCGGAAAAAAGCCAGCTACGCAGACTTTGGAGCGGGGAAATACGAAACGCCCGCAAATCCCTAAGCTTATAAAGATGAATGAAGTAAGTGGACTTTGCAGCTGTTTTCCGTGATTATAATTCCATTGAGTAACGCTTCTTGCAAACTTCTTCAGATCGAAGTTATCCACGAGTTCCACGAAAAATCGCCCCTGTGGCTTCTTCATCGTTTACATCAGCCAAAGTCGGTTAAACAGCCGAACAGGAAGGCAAAAACTATACTGCACAAAATAAAGGTTGGTGGATGTTCACGAGACGTCTCTTACTGGTTTATGTTAAAACTTGTATATTCATTGAATTTAAGATTTAACAGGAGCCCATTACCCGCAGCCTCCATACCAATTGTACCCTTGAGTCAACCCTGTCCCGTATCTTTTTATTTTCAGAACTGAGATATGTGGGGGGTTCTGTAATTTCCCGTGAAAACACGCTGAGGTTCGCATAACACCCTAACAAAAATGGCAGCCAAAGATTCCTTCTCTGCGTGTGACGAAAACAATAGAGGACCACAGCTCTCTTATGATTGGCTATTATATAAACACCCGCGACAAACCCCATGGGAGGTGCTTCTAAAAATAAAAAGATACGGGAGGGTAAATATGGAAGATGGAAGCTCCGGGTAATGGGCTTCTGGATTTATAAATGACAATAACATGCACAGTATTAACACAACCTGGAGAAGTCTTTCTCAATAACTCCGCAGGCCGAAGGTAAATTGAATTAATCAGCTAAAAGCAACAACAACAACAACAACATAAATATTGATAGAACAAATGAAATCACAGTGATCTGTCTCACATCCATCATGTGACTTCATGTGAATTCATGTTTTCGAATGTTAATGTTGTTTGATTCAGGGCTTAGGGAACAGACTGGTCAGCGGAAAAAAAACAAAATACACGGTAGAGGACGCGGAAAGAAATTTGGCTGATCACCTGACAAAGATTTTGACATCAAGAATGAAGGAACAAGATGATAGGTAACAACAACGAAAACAACAACAAAAATAACAATAACAACGACAGAACCACAATAATCAACAAAACAACTTAATTTAACTCTTCAAGGCTCTCTAAAAGTTACCTTAATACATTTAAGGCACCCTTATAACAAAACTTTGGGACTGGTTTTAAACAATATGTTATTAGAGACTTTTGTACGATGGCGTGCGGAATCAAAACCGCAAATATTTAATTGCACAGGACATCAATTTTCAAATCCGTGTGGATTTTCCCGGCAGCTTGAAAAAAAAAACTAAGTAGCGAATCCCACAGACTTAAATTGAAGGCCGATGCAACGCTTCATCTAACTCATAAAATCTCTGATAGCCAATTTGAAAAAATGTTTATTTTATTTTTGGTTCAAGCTAAAAACTAATAAGGCTCGGTGCAATTATTTGCGTGATTTATTATTAATCGTAGGTCTCTGCCTTTTTATCCCAGAATCAGTGGTATAACCCTGGAAATGAAGGAACAACGAAAACTGCTCGAGTCACTGCTCCAAAGGATGCCCGGGACTGAAGCACTAAGAACTTTGAGCGACGATTAAAAAAAGGGAAAAACATGATCATAGAACAGTCAGACAACAAGGAAAAATAAGGGTTGAACACTGACAACCGTGGGTCTTTGCTCATGGTATGAGAGCCTAGCTATGCTATGAAAGTTAAAAGTTTCGTCAACCTTCGGCAAAAAACATCATAGTAGCCAGTCGTAGTTTTGCCTCTAGGAGCCAGGAATTTACTGGTTGATTTTAATGTTACAGATGGTCCCAGGAAAGCATGGATTTTCGCTTTTCTGACAGGGTCTCTTTCAGTGACTAAAACTAAACTGATTTATGGATTGATTAAAGGAAAATTACTATTACATGTTACTGGAGTATAGGTCGTAAAAAGGAAACGAGAATAAACAATAATGATAATTACAATAAAGGGTTTAGTGAGGTGATTACTGTTATGCGAGGCACAGTCCTTTTTCCTTTACCTGTGATCCGTTTGCATGTCAAAATCCACAAACATTCGCGCTCTTCTGAGTCACTGATGTTTCTTATACATCCTTTGAATATTAGGTTTACGTTTCCAATTTTTGACGTTTTCATTCTTCTTCATTTGGAGCATTCAACGTGTGTGACAGTCTTGCACAGTTAAGCCTTTTCTTCTTCAGTCATCTATTTGCGAGTCCCAATTGCTACGTCACGAACATATGTCCGCGCTCTAAACTACAATTCACGTCCCCAGAGCTAATCGGCTCTCCTAACTAACATCGCCTTGGGACGAAAACTCCCAGGTTCCTTACTTTGCTGTCTGCTTGGCATAAACCAAAGACATCTCTTCGAGTGGTTAGTGAATTTGCTCGAGCGATGGCAAAGTATGTCCCGAAGGTTTCCTATTTCTGCTGGCGCAAACAAAAATTAAGAGCGCTTAGAAAACAACTACAGGTCTGCACCAGGAAATGTTTCTTTATTTCAACCACGCATCAACACTTTTAGGTCATATCAAAGGGCTTGTAAGCTCTCATATATCCTCAAAATATGTCATAAAATATCCGGAGGACGACCTCGTGACACTACAGCTGAGTTTCTCAAACTGTCAAAGCATAATTATTTAATCAAATGCTGTTTCGCATGTCACGTCTTAGCGCATTTGTTCTATAATTCCCTAAAACAAAAACTCAATTGGCTCTTTGGAAATTCTTTGGACATCAATTATGATGCTGGCGGTGTTCCCTAGACAACCTATGAAGGGCGGCTTAGTTTGATTGACAACCAGTCAATCATAATACGATTATTCCGTTCTTTGTAATTCGGTTTAATTGCCTTTTTATGCTATTCAATTTAATTCACCGAGTGGTCCATGATATAAGGTGCTATCAAAATTCACTTGGAACGTTTAGGGAAGTTCTTGCAGAATTAGAGTTTTACGGAGAGGTCCCGGAAAAGGAAATGATGTGAAGCTATGTAGATTTGCAAAGACGACGACAGAATTCAAAAATATGAAAGTTGCTCATCCAAATCAAAGCGCAGCTGCGGCATTTTTCACCAACTTCCACCAGCAGGGATCGAAGAGGTATGTAAACTTAAAACACTTAGGAGATATCACTTACTCCTCGAAGAAGTGGCATCTTTTCAATAACGATTAACTGGCATCTTGATGATGCTCCTTAAAGCGATCCTGTTAAATTCGCAATTGGTGGAAGACCGACCAAAATAGGCTGTTGGCTTTCTTTCAAAATTTAGCGTTCGCTTAGCTTAGGAAAGCAGTTCAGTAAATTTGAAATATCGAATCTAAGGTAATAGTGTTAATGAATGTTTTCTCTGGAGCAGCGAATCTTCTGGATGTTTATAGGCGACATTTGCAGACAGAAATGTTTTGTACTCAGTTTGCATTATTTTCAGGGTTGTTTTGAGAACAAAGATACTCGAAACGTTATATCATGCCTAAGAAGTCTGTAACCCAGGAAACAACCCCTGCGGGTATGTCGTTCCTTCAGATTCCTGGGACGTCGTCTACAGCCGAAAGCGTGTCCGAAAATTCTCGAGATGGTTCGGCAGTGTCTTCGCTGAAGTCTGCTTCGTTACACTTTTCAACAACAGTACGAATGCTTGCTCCAGTTATATGGTCGCGAATACAGTCCCGGAGAGCGGTTTGTTATTGTTTTTGGTTTATAACGTTTTATGAACAGCATTGAAAGATATTTTGTGGTTTAATGTGGACTTTGGTGACTGTTACGGTTTGGATGACCCGCCTTCAGGCAGTGTGTGACGCTATGTTGTCAAAACAATCTCACAAACTGATGTTAACTGCTGAACAAGTCCACCAACAATTTATCAATCATCCCCTTTTTTGTTAAAGTTCAAGCACGTAGTTGAGACTAGGCAGGTATTAATATTTGAAGGCGCCACAAATTTGCTTGTTTTAGTAATTACCTTGGACAGGATTAGAATGTGAAGAACGATAAGCTTCTTGAGGAACGCATGATTTTTTATTCGGTTTCCACATCTTGTTTTTATTTTATTTTTTCAGAAATCAGTGGCCTTCACCACCCCTGTTTCTTTCCACACAAATGATTCTTCAAACGAGTAAGATATAATGTTTCTTTTTCGATTGTGGTACGGGCATTTAAAAAGAACGTAACTTAATTCAATCAATTTATTAGTAACAAGATATTAGGAATCTAAATTACAAGAAAAAAAGTCTTTCTCCTGTCCCCTGGTGGTTTATGAGGGTTCACCCACCCTTCTCACAAGACTTGTGAGTTTTCCATGAAAGAACAAGTTTGGTTAGTTTGGTTTGATTGTTTGACAACTGACAATGCAGTCAAAGAGTGTGTCACTTGGTTTCATTTAACTGTTTAATCTAAGATTGAATGACTATTGGATAATAGCCTGAGTGGAGGGGAGAGGGGAGGTGGTGGTTTGTTAAGAATACAAATAAGTAAAGATTTTGTGAATACACCAAAAAGGAACTGGTGCTTGTTATCAGATGTGACTTTTTGTTTGGCTAATTTTGATGACTTCCCTTAGCTTTTATATCAACATGAAAGGACTTACATGTAAATCTTAAAGCACAGATTCAAATTTATCTCTTTGAAAAGGATGATGTATTTCATACAGTGGACATGCAACCATTCATAAGGAAAAATTTACCCATGCAACCATTTTCAACCAGAAGAAGATGTACAGGGTATAAGCGCAAGACAGACAAAATATGATTAAAAGCACATTTCCAGTTTAGGAGATTAAAATATTTAGTAAAGACAACCATGTTGATATCAGAAAGTTAATCAATACCTAGCTGATTCTGGAAAAATATTTGTGTGTGTGTGTTCTGAAAATGTGAGAGATGAAAGAGTGCATTTAAAAGGAGATGAAAAAATAATTTGTCTTATTGTCTTTTTTTAATATGAGAGGTTTTAAGTTAGTGGTGGATAAATGTAGTCCTACTTGTAATAATGAAGTTTATTATGTTTGACAATTGTGCATTGATGTGGAACATAGTCAGAGTGTCTGTAATTACATTTTGCATGTAAGATTGAAGTTTAAAAACTTGCCTTTCTGAAAAAATATTTTGTTTGGACCAGTGTTAAATTGTGACACAAAGTATTCCTTTGATTTTCCTTCAGTAATCTTTCAATTTGTTGACTTATCTTTTGTTTTATTCATTGTTCAACTGCCCTTTGTCTTTTTTTAAGTCTCTGAAAACCATTTAATTACCTATGCAAATTTCAACAGAAGTCAATTTTGTAGTAATTCAAGTGTGACCATTGAAGTTGGTTAATACCATGGCTACCTACGCCAGGCTACAAAAAGATTTTATGATACTTGAGAATGATTTTCACACATGGTCTAATTAATGTAGAGAGATTATTCATCAAAGTTCTGAAATTGTGTCTGAAGAACACAAGTTAGTTCTCAAAGAAACATCAGGGATATTAACAAGATCATAACATGGGATTACACATACAAACAAAACTGTTATTAAAACCGTTGGTCTAAAGAAGGAATGGGTGCAAGGTAGGAAAGATTTAAAGAAATCTTAAAGAGTTTTTGCTCAATTTTCTTACCTTTTTTAAGTTTCTTGTGAACAGCATAGTTTCATAAAGCTGAAATTATGATGTAGATTTACAACTGATATCTATCATGGCATGCAGAGATGTTAATTATGTTTGTCAGTTATCATTATTACATAGCAGCTTCTTATATTTACTAAACAAACTTTTAAATAATTCTGAGTATTTTTGGCCTTCTCTGTGAAGGACTTGATCATTTTTTATTACCTTGGAGGTATTTAAAATGTTTAAAATGATATGAAAACTAAGGATGCAATGTTATGACACGTGTTTCTTGTCTCACTCTATTAAAATTATTTGTTTTTGAAAAATGACTTGGTTGTCAAATAGGACTCTGACTCCCCAACTTTTCTGTGGGTACATGGTATATGGTACATGTTATTATGGTCAAGTCGTATCTATGTTAAGTCAATTGAACCTACATTAGGTTTTGGCATATTTTATATTAAATTCACTTGTATTCCATGAGTAGAACAGGAATAGCTACAAGCAGCATCTTGTTACTACATTGTATATTCAACATTTTACTCATAACTGTTTAGCTGATAGCCTGTTCCAGTCTTTCAGCCTGCAAAACAGAGAAAAATAGTAAATGGCACAGTTCTAGCAGCATAGAAAACAGGAGGAAGGCACCTCCCTTGTTTTATCACTCCTTTGCTACTACTGCACTGTTCACTATCAGGCTTCATCTTAGTGAACTCCTGGAACAGGCTATATAACTCTTCATCACAGTTGCTTGCATCCTATCAATTGCTCTGAAGATAAATGACAAAGGGAAATGGAAACTATTGATCATGTCCAGTTAATGTTGTAGGATTTGTTTTTGATAAGAATACACTGCTTGGTCAGCCTAACTCCACTTTGCTTTGATCAAGGGCTAATTTTCAAAACATCAGATTTTTAAAATTAGCTAAATTTGCTTGTCTGTGTTCATCAACTTATAGTTGATAGTCAACCAAGTGCTACCCACCCCTCTTCCTCTTGCTCCTGGTTAAGAGTAATTTTTCAATTTGAAATACATTGTACACTTTGAAACACAGCAATACCAAGGGCCTGGGGCCCCTGCGGTTGGAGGAAGAATTGGACATCCAACACCTTGAGACTCTGATGTTCAAGTTTAAGACACACATTCCTGACAAGGTGGAACTCAAGAAATGGCTGACGAGGCGAGGATCAGAATACAGAGACCAGAGCAGATTTCATTCTGCAGGGTTAATGACACAGGAAGAATTTCATGAAATGCTGGCGGATTTATTAGAAGTTGAGACATGGGACAGTCATAAGGTGGCATTATTTGAGAAGGAGATAGGGACATTATTCAAAAAGGTACACAGTACTATTTTATACAAGTTGAACAATTATTTTGGCATTTAATGTGACCAAGTATTCATTAATATGGTTATTTACCATTGTCAAATATGTTCTTTCTGCTGTATATAGGTTGATATTGCGTCTGATGGCCTTGTTGACTGGGATGAATTCTGTACTTATCTGATGCTTCAGTTTGAGGAGAATGACCAAGCCACAAAAGTCAATGGGAATACTTTTATTCCAAAGCCAAATATTGTTAGGATAGATTATAACAAGGTATATTTAAAACACATAATTGTGAAGGCTACAGGTTTTGATTAATGGTGTAAGTGACTCATGAATGTTATGCTTCTGGCTGCAGACAAACTGCTGATTAGTCGTACATAATTGAACCTATATTCCGAGATAAATATTACATCTAGGTTTAAATAAATTGTACAATGTTTAGACCTGTTACTCAATACTCTTCTGTGTCATTACTGTTCCATATTAATTGAAATGCTTTATTCCTTTATCAGGAAACAACAACAAGAATTCTCACAGATTTTAATCCTATGAGATATGTAACAGTTAGTAAGGTATGACACAAATATAAATACAATTTGTACCTGATTTATGTTTCAGTTTTATCAGTTTCTTTGTTGCTAGAATAAATCACTGAATAGTTAAGAAAAAAAATTTTGATAGTCTATGTGTACAATTTTCAAATGTGTGTGGGAAAGATGCCACCTCATCCACATGGTCAAGGTTAATTAATTTTTTAGTAATCATTGTCTTTAGGAAGGAATTATTGGTGTCTGGAGTACAGAACTAGACCTTCAAAGGAAAATTGAAATGGAGCATAATAACTCTGAGGCTGAGCGAACTTCCAACAAGAGACACATCAAGATGTGGGTTACAGATGCTGTTGCTATGCCCAACGTGCATAAAATGGCTCTGTCTACCACAAACAGAGACATCCATTTTTATGATATGTCCACACCAATTTACACACCACAATTTCATCTTTGTGGTGAGCTATTTGAATTGTTAATTTTGGTAATAATCCAGTAAAATAATTGTTTCTTTTAACACCCTGTCTATCCATTATTTTCAGCTCTGGGAAACGTGGTTCTCTGTCTTGATTATTGTTACAACAAGAAAGTAAGTTTATTTGTAGCTGTTACAAATAAATTTCATCAATCAAAGTTTTAAAAATAACAGTTTTAAAGAATTAAGTTTACAAACTCGTAGATGATAACAATTCCAGTGTAAAGGATGAGAGGGAATATGGCATAGAGGGAGGGGGGTAGGTTGGGTAAGTATTCTTACTCCATCTGGTTATTTTACAAGTGTAAAAATTATTATAGTGTTGATGTAAGCATTTACTATCTACAGCTTCCTGCTGGCAAGTCAATGCTTTTTCTTGGAATGGACAATGGCATAATCTTGTTCCTTGTGTTCTCTACACCTCTCAAAGGACTGTTTGAGACTCCATTCAAAAAGACATCTGGCAGTCACCAGGTTTACCTTCAGGTTAGAACAGCTATGACATCTCTTCCCCCCTCTTCCCCCCTGCCCTCCTAACTTCTGTTTCGTGTTTTGTACATGTATGTAAAATTTAACAAGGTGTTATCACTTTGAATTATAATACAGAGGTGGTATGAGTGAGACAGAGAGATGAGGATAATATGTACTTGATACGGACTGGGGAAAGGAAAGAATAGTTCTCCATTTTACTACTTCCCTTTTTTCATGCATTTATCTGCAGAGAGGCAAGGGGGTGGAATTTTTCAATTGGGGTATGCAACTTGGAGAGAAGGGAAGCAAGATTGGAAAGATGACGAAGTTTTCCAATGTTTACTGATGTAAGTTGTGATTTTGTTCCCAGGACCTTCCAACGCACTCTCGTTTTGTATCTTGCCACACCCTGGGGCAAGTCCATTCTGATTGGGTTAGAAGAGTGAAGTATATTCCAGCAAAGGAGTTTGTTATTTCCTGTAGCGGCAGTGGAAAAGACTCACTTGTAGTTAGAGATATCGATGATAAGAAGCGGAAAACATACACTTTTAAAGTGGCAAAGGTAAACACCATGCCTTAAAATGCATTTTTTTTTTTCAAGATATCAAAATAAATTGTTTAGAGACTGTTTAATTTACAACTAAACTTGGAGGGTGAGTTTGGTGGCCACAAAGTATGAAACATGCATGTGATCTGATTTTTATATGTATCCCCTTCAACGTTCAACTTCATACATTACAGTGGTACCCAAGGTGCATAAAGTCTGCCTTTCGTGCGACTCTTTCTGCCGTCAACACTCTCGCTGTTGTAGGGACAAATATTCTGGCAAAAATTGTCTATATCGTACTCACGCAATTGTCCATGAATTGTTCATTTCAATGTAGGTATCTCGGTTCATATTACGTATCGGTTAATACTGAACGATCCATTTGTCAGTCGGTAGCCTACGTGGCTGGCGGTTATCTGCGCTAAGAGATGAACGGCAAATCGGCGAGTGTTTTAAACTATTCTCTGTCACGAACCTCTCACGGGATCGCCGCTAATAGCTTTAGCCAGCTACATAGATAGTTAGTCGGCAGTCGATTGAAAGTCGTCGATAGCTGGCCGATAAAAGGTTGTTGATCTACCGACACTCTTGCGTTAGTTAGAGCCACGCTCAAGGTGCTTGCTGAGTGTTGGAACAAGTAATTGCTTTAGGGTTAGTTGACCCTCAGGCTTTTTTTCTGGGCAGGGCGTGGAATGTTTTGACTACAGTCACAACCTAAATGTTATCTGCACCGGTGGAGTGGACCATGCTGTTCGTTTGTGGAATCCTTACGTGACAGTGAAACCTGTCGCCATTATGAAGGGACACCAGTCCTCTATCATTGACTTAGCAATCCACGAGGCTCTGGAGCAGGTCTTCAGTTATGACAAGGATGGGGTAAAAGACTCGAAGAATACTGGTGTGTTTTTACTTTTCGAATTAGCGGCATGTGTTTGAACCATTACCTTTCATTCTCATATTGAAATTTAGGTATTGAAGGCTTGGGATATCAGAGAGCAAGTCTGTCTTCAAACAATACCTGTCAGGTTCCCATTTGGCCACAGAATTCCTGAACACGGACCTTTTCCATTTCTCCTCATCACCTCACCCATCAACTCTCTTTTTATTGGGAGTAACGACTGCTTGGCAGAAATCAAAATCGTGGCAATGAGTGCAAATAAAAACGCCAAAACCACTCACTGGAGACCCCTGACTGCTGCTCTGTACAACCCAAGCATGGGTCACGTGATCACGGCCTGTGAAGGGTCTGTGGTAACATTCTGGGATCTGAACACCGGACGCCAGGCGCAACACATCTCAGGGGCACATGGCACGGAGGAGATTTCTTGCATGACAATTGATCCTTCAGGGCGGCGGCTTATGACGGGGGACAGGAGTGGTCACATTCATGTGAGTTACGCCTTGTGAAGTTTAAGACTGAACTGGCGGTTACAAAGAGAAATTTTATCTTGTTAATATGTAAACGTTGCAGCGTTCAAAGTTCCTTTGCTCAAGAATTTTAACATATCATTATGAACCGAAATAACTGGGACAATCTACTATAACTATCAAAGTTGGAGGTATTATTTGTTTTCTCTTTCCAGTTTCGATTTTTCAGTAAATCTCTGATTCAGATCAAAGGATGTTCTTATGGGCATTTCTCCTGTACTTATTTGAGATTCTGCGTTCATTTTAACAAACAGCTTCACTGGAAAACAGTACACAATTTGGAATACTTAATCGTCGATGATGTAATTTTGTAAAATACTTTATTGAGAAAAAAATTTTTCTTTTTTTGCTTCACAGGTTTGGAATGCTAGCAATGGTCATCTGTTAAACAAACTTGAACCTGTGGAGGAAAATGAAGTGACAGGAATCATATCTCTTCCAGAAAAAAGTAAAATAATTACAGTGGGATGGAATCGCAAGATTTTGGTCTACTATGATGATATGCAGGTGAAGAAAGCAAAAAAACGTTCCTTCTAGTAAACGTTTAAGAAAGCTGGCGGCGCTGTAGAATTTGATGAAATTTTTAGATACGCACATGGAAAGAAAGAAGTCATTGTTGGGAAGGGAACATTTCAGTGTTCTCAATTTTAATTTGGTGAAGTCTACATACTGTTTTATATTGACTTTCCTAGCTCTTTGAAGTTCTTCGGATTTTCGTGGTATGAAGCGCGTGTAAGTAATGCCACATTTTTCTAGAGCGAATGTTACGCCATGGGAGGCTACACTAAGTATTTTGTCGGATTTTTTCTAAAAATTTGAGGTTAGAGGTTCTGTGGGGGTTAAGTCTTCTGTTCAAGAAAGCAACACAGAGGTCTTAGCAAGATCACAAACCCTAATTGTCGATCAGGAGTCGCGGTGTTTCCCATTAATGTCAACTGTTTTGATATTTTTTCTCTGTTATCTAGACGTTTTGTCTTCGACCCAACGCAGGTTGGAAAGGAGGGCAGTTGCATCAGGTATAGCTAGACAATTGTTAAAATGCAGGCCAATTGTTTGAGCAGTGATTTACAAATGTAAGTTTTGCGTTTAGACTTAAGTTTCCTCCATAGCTTACTGAGCTTGCCGCTTCATCTCTAGGATGACATTTTGACCGCTGCCTACTGTCCCCCAAATTACCTTGCCACGGCAAGTTTTGACGGAGATATCATTCTTTGGGGTCTGGATCGGGAGAAGATGATTCGACGGCTGAAAAAAGGATCTGGAAGTCTGTTGTGAGTTGATTGCCTTTCGTATATTATATTTCAGTCACCTCATTGTGTGTAATATTAACTGTTATTGTTTCTGTTTTTTCATGTTACTCTACCAAGAAAAGCCAAAATTAAAAAGCTGGGTCTTATCCAGACGAAGAAATCTTAGTAAGTCGCTGCCATGATTTATTCCTTTAACTCGCGAAGAGAGATTTATCGTTTTCTGGCGAGTTCTTTTTCTGACGCGCTAGTTACTCTTCGTTTGCTATTTTTCAGTCAAAATAGCTGTGGTGCACCGGTTGACAAGTTGTTATTTCTTACATCAAGAGCTCAGTGGAGGACTCAGGAGAGCGCTGTTCTTGTGTCATCGGAGGCTGGTACTCTGGAGTTTTGGTGTTTTTACGGCGCAAACAGACCCATGGGTATGTACCTCAATATTTGAGGTGTTACAATTGAGACAAGTGAATCCAACAATATTTTTCCCTTTCTTCACATATCTATTGCACTTGACGTGCCACAGGAAGATATTTCGCTGCCAGTGACGAGGAAAGTACTATATTTGCCTTAACAACCGACCCCAGTAACGAGATGTTGATAACTGGTGATTCCAACGGCACCATCTCTGTGTGGGACATCAGCTCTTACTGCATTTCAAGAGCAGAAGCCATTGTTGCTCAGGTTGGTTATCATTTTTCCAGAGGAGAGATGTATTACTAATGAAAATTTGCAAAGTAACAGGTTTTTCAAACCATTTGTGAAATTTTCGGCTTTATTAACCGATTCCATTGCCGTTTTGAATTACTTTTAATTCATCAACATGAAGAAGAGCACCGGAGCGGTGGGAAAACGATAGTTATATGACCTTTCCACAAATTTGTTCTTCAGGTTTGGTCGACAACTCAAAGAGCTGGCTCTACCGATGATAACCCAGAGGGCAAACCTCCACTACTCGCCAGTTGGCATGCGCATAAAGGCTCTGTATCCAGTGTGGAGTACATATCACGTGATAAGGGCGCTTTATTGCTTTCCGCTTCTGAGGACTGCACAGCAAGGCTGTGGACACTGAGTGGGCAATACATCGGAATGTTTGGACAGGTCATTTAATTCAGCTTTTTTTGCTTTTTATCATATCATTGGAATGAGTCATACATATGTATGCTTATCTTTTGTCAACTTTGTGATTATTACTCTTTTGTTCTTGTAGAAGAGGTTGTGGAATGTTGAAGATCCAACTTCCTACCGACTTACAGGGTGAGAAGGCTGTTGTGTCATGATCAGTATTGGTATGAAGTTGTCAATTTACTCCTTTTGCTTAATCTGTATTTGTTTTGTTTCGTTTTGTTTAGAAATAGTGGTCTCGAAGGAAAGGAAACCGAAGAAGGTAAAACATGACCCTAATCATGATATTATACTCAGCACGTTGTTTTACACTAACTTAGTTGCTCGATAGTGTAACTAAGACGTCAGTCTCCGATGGCTCTCGGCTTCAACTCGTCGCAGTCGAACCCTACCAAATTTCAGCAATCGAATAATGCGATGCTAACATGACAATCTATGGAAATGTCAAATATGCCTCTAAATGCCACGCAAGTTAAATCTTACAAATAAAATGTGCTAAGAGATTTTTTTGGCGTATTTTCAGTAAAGGAAACTGACAGGAAGAAAAGTCATCTGGGCGAGATGGGTGGTTCAAATGGTGACTCACCCTCCCCTCTCAGTTTAAGTCCAGTTCAACGAGGCACCAGTCCATCAATCTCTGACCCGCCTCGGTTAAGCAGAAGGTGAGTGTTTCTTGTTCTCGGTTTATCTTGGATCGATTAAAAAATTGTCCTCTGTCATGTATTCTACATTGAGTTTGAGATTTGTTTTTGCGTTGTTACATTTTTTATTTAGAATAAGAAATATGGTACTTTTTTTTCGAGCTCGGTAAAAAAGTAGAGAAAGATGTTTTTCGTCTTCTCACAAGCGTAGGACTAAGAAACAACTCTTGAGTCCCCGTGTGGAATCGAACCTCAGACCTTCGGGTTATGCGCTCTAATGCTCTACCATTTAGTCACGGAGACTCTACGGTGAGCGAGGCCAATTTCAAAGTTCATATGAGACAAGCGTCCTGCATACTGCAAGGATCAGCAATGTCGATAGTGTCAAGTTTGTAAATGGAATACGAAAGATGGTAAATTTTTACCTCGGTAAAGAAATGGTGAAAGGTGTTTTTAATATTACGTTATTAAAAACAAAATATCGTTGCAGTTTTGACTTACACGCAATCACAATGTAAATCATTCTATCTCTTACGTCATTTAGCACACCCACAACACTTCGCGAGTGCAGCTTTTTGCCAAGCATTGAAGTAGCAATGGTAGGTGAAGGTGGAAGCGAAGAGGATCCATACTCCTGGAGGAAAAATGAATACTACAGGTCCATGACCAGCTTGGTGTTGGAAAGATCCTCCAAGAATTCTCAGTCGTGGGTAAGTTAGTGTTTATTAGCACTGCACTCGATCTTTGTCTGGTCTCAGTTGTCAAGTCGATCTAATCGTTGAACGGGAGCTTTCCAGCTTGTTTTTTTATTGCACGTTACTTACCAATCAAATTAAACAAACAAATTAGGAACAGGATCGAACAATTTGTAGCCAACAGAGAGCTTTCCAGCTTGCTGAAGATGCAAAGAACAGAGGCTTCCCGTAACTTTCTGTAGTTTAATTACGTACCTACTACTACGCTCTTGTTTAGTAGTGGGCTATATTTGCGCTGTTCTAAGTTGATCTATACGAATCTTGAAAACGTTTTTTCGAACGATTATCGTAACACAAAGGTCAAGCCTTTTTCGGTCTTTGTTAGAGGTTGGTATGAAGGTGTGCAGTGGAAATTTGGAATTCCCAAAGCGCCAAGATACCAAACTAATGCGATCCCTGATGACAACTGAGGCCAAATTGTAACTTGTTCTGTTCTTGTCATGCATGTCTTTGTTAGTCCATCCTGGGGGATCATTACAACAAGGATTTTAGGCGCCGCATGGAGACGAGGCAATCACGAAGAGATCACGTGGGTAATGTAAACCGAAAGTTGATGTGCGGAGGAGGATTGGGAAACGCCTGTTCTCCTTTCCAAGCGCTTCATATCCCTGTAAGTTGATCTAAGAATGTGATTGATAAAAAGTTTGTTTAAAGGGAATACAGGCATAACTACTTAATTTGCAGAAAATAATATTCTTTCCTTGATGCATGAATCTAACATGTTACAAATTTAAACTCCTACTTTTCAGAAGTTTATTAACATGTCTACAACTCTAGATAAACAAAATCTTTACCATTTTATCCGAGTCCTTCAATTTTAATTTAATTACAAACCTTTCTTCAGCTGAAACCCTGTTGCGTTTTCAATGGAACGGGATGGAGGCTCTAGGCGAGGCGGCGCGAAGAGCGTGTCACGTGCAAGGGGAGGATACCTCCCTTCTCGCTTGTCAAGAGCTTGTCTCCGTTCGACCGAAAAACGTAAATAATTACGCCTGTTCTTCAGGAGATCCATCTAGGGGGCAAAAAAAACAGAAACAAAAGACCAAAACTAAAGGAAAGCAATAATTGCTACATATGTATTCCTCTCATAACAGGACACGAAAGAATACGAGCTACCTAAGGACATGCCGGTGACATCCCGTATGACGCATAAGACGAGCAGAGCTTCAGCAGAACCCATCTGGATGGCCGTCAGACAGAGTACATTGCCGCCATTACCAGCGCTCAAGAGATCTGATAGCTTCCTCACGATGGCGGATTCTGCTTCAGGAAACACATCGCAGTTCTCGTTTTTGGTTGAATAGGACTGAAGGAAGGCCGCAGCAAGTAGAATTCGGGACCAACAGCTTTAGTGTTGTAGTGATCGGCATCATTGCAGTTACAGAAAATCTGTTTCGTAGTAGACCATACTTCAAGAAACTTAAGGGAGAACCACTGGAGATAAGTCTCATATTTCGTGAATAAGTGGATGAACTTTGTTTAAGACTGCTTAACTCTCCTCTGCAAATGTTCTCGTAAATGCGGTCATCGCGCCAATAATGAATTATATCTCAGTTGTGGAACAGCTGGTTTATGAGTTGAAATTCATAAGGAAAATGTCGAATCAAATTTTTTAGTTGATGTTGGGCACAATACAAAAAAGTGATTGAATTAGATAAAAATTAGCACCAGCTACGAGGATAACAGTGTAAATATGTATTATAGTTTCGCTGATTTTCAGCAACAAATTCTGGTATGTATACTTTATACGGTAAATTATATTATCTATTATGAAGTTAGATACACCGAGTGCCTTATAACAACACCACTTCCGATATTTATGTTATGAAAATGATAATAATATGAAAAGATTTCTGACTGATAACGGACTTATTTGTAAATATATATTGAATGTTATGTACTATTTAGAACGTTCGTGCAGAAATTTTTTTCAGTTATGCCAGGAGTTGAATCAGGATTCAAAACTACTCCATGAATTTATTCAAAATTCAGTCTAGATGAGGCGAAGGTTCATCTGATCTATCAAAGGACTGCCTCAAATGAAGAAATAAATAGAGCATTTAACTTTTTACAAACCATTATTTTTGTCCCAGGCTGTGGAAGAATAGCGCTAAGTTATTTCGTTTTCTTTTGTTTGTTTGTTTGTTTTTTCTTAGCGGCACCTGTACCACAGGGTAGCAATGATCACATAACCACTGTTACCGGGGTAACCTACCCAAAACTGACCAATCCGATCACAGGAAACGCACAATGAATTCAACCAAAATTGTTCATTTCTCTTTGCTTGCCTTGGTCTTAAGCACCGATAAGCACAATTGAATTTAGGTCTGCATGGAATTATTGTTCGCTTCTTGTGTTGTCATCGATGAATTTTGTTCAGTGACAGTAGTGGACCTGTAGTGCCATGTACGTTTGCAAACCACATTGTCTGTTCCAGGCCTCTGGTTGATAAACAGCCGAGCGGTGGATGAGGCATAGTGAAAAATAGGGAAAGCTCCTTCACAGAGATTCTCAAAAAGACATTTCGAGGATGAGAGGAAGGATCTCGTGATGAAAACTTTGAAAATCTGAAAACAGGTTGATGTAAAACTATCGAAAGAAAACGAAGATTGTTTTATTTTACCTATCTGATGTTGAATATCCGTGAGTAGATCAAGAAGAATACGTGTAAAGCTAAGTACAAGTATTAAACTAAGGAAGTCAGCCAGTAATCGCTAGAAAATTACATGAGTATCAAAGAATTTCCACTTTTCGTTGTCAGTTTAGCATTATTTTATTGTTTCTATGTACAACTCAATAGAATCTGTCGTATTTTTTCAGGGGCCTTTAATGTAAGTAACAAGCAGTATCCAGTATCAGATTTGCTTTAAACGTTTCCGATTTTATCGACAGTTTACTGTCGAGTCAAATATATGCTAGATCGTCTGAGGCGCATTTTACAGTCTTCTGCATTAACCATGCGGACAATGAGGATCGTTTGTCCTTTTTTTCTATTTCTTTTTGGCTATTATATATTTTTTTTATTTATTTTTTTTATCATTTCACAGTTATCTTGAACGACTTTTTGGCAATTTTAGCCATAACTGCAACTAAACCTTTTTTCGTTTGCTTTAATAAAGTTTCGCTAGAATTGTTTAAGTATATATAATGGATGTGTTTCAGGTCACGGTGCGTTTTCTGTATTCATCAAGGACTTATAAACAAATTCGCGTTACTAATTTAAAGAGTGAGGAAACAGTTTTTTCTTGTTGAAAGTTTATACTTTCAGATATCCATGTAAGGACTCAGAAATCATCCATCAGATTTGTTCTGTTACTGGTAGGGGATCTCGCTCCCATATTGATGGAAATGTTCTCTAAAATCGTTCTTTGAGATCGCAGCTCCGTCCGTAGCGTATTGAGACTGTAGAAATACGATGAAAAAGAGAATTCGAGTTTGATTGGATGAGTGAATGAAAACAAAGATGAATGCATTGATTAAAGAGACTGAATGATTAATAATCATAATTGAATCGCTTAGCAAAACCTTGAAGTGAGTTCCATGGCTTATTCTTGCTACTCTTACCCATTTTCTACTACTTAATGTGAAGTTGTATCAAGAAATGTTTTTGTGAAGGAAACATCATTCACCTTTCTTGTTGCGTTTTGAGTTGTTCTTGAAGCTCTTTCATCTTGTCTTCTTCATGGGATGGCTTAGTTTTTTCCATCATTCGAACTGGAGCGTAATCTACTAGTCCCAGAGACCACTGACGAGTAAAAAATGCAAAAAAAAATCGTCAGCAGTCAATCAAGGTATTCATTTTTATTGTATTCATCTGACAGCTGTTTTTTTAATACCTGTAGTGCGTTATCTTACCGTTAATTTCCTCACAAAAGACATGGATCCCGAGTTTGGCCAAAGAACCAGCTTGGGAGAATAGAGGCGATCTTTCATACTAGATGGCAGCTTTTTTTCAAATTGAGACAGTGACTCTATCTGTTGAGAAAGATTGTGGTTGGATTAAAAATAACAATTTTCAGTTGTCCCTGAGCTGTCGTTCTGCGCCTACTATCTGAGAAATACATGAAAGTCATTCTACGATGATGATGGTTTGTTCTCCAAAATGTGATGTAGAGGGAAAAGAGAATTCTGCTTGGTAACCTATAGAAGTTGACTCTTGGGGTATCGTCCTCTAGCCAGACCAGAGTATACGATTGGAGAAGAACTGCAAAGTACATTTCACCGCTTTTGACCTCGACACTAACACTGTAGATAATAAATAATTTTCTGCCCTATCTCTTGTGCTGGTTGGTTTAGATTTATGTTGACTCTGTAAACAGAATGACTGGGAGAGATACGTGGACAAAAAGAATGCCAACGTGTTAAGCAAAAAATCAGCCTGGTCACTAACCTGTGTCCTCAGACGTTTGAGCTCGGCATTCTTTTGTACAGACTCAATGTCCCCAACAGCCAAACCAATCTGCAAAGAAATTAGAAAAAAAGAGAAAACATGCCGATGGGGGCGTGCTTAAAATAAAGCGGCACTGTATAACAAATTGGGAATAACATTGCGATCGCTAAAATATTAACTGACATTTGACTCAGCTAATTTGGTGTCAGTATACATCTACGACTGAGAGTTTTTCTCCTGTAGACACTTCCTGAAATGTTTACAGCTATCAATTGAAAGTAATATGTATTTGGAAATCAGCTTTGAGAAGGAAATGTATGAACAAATGGATAACGACACAACACTACACCACAATTAAAAAAGTTGAGGCGCGAGGTCAGTTGTTACTCACCAACAGGTTCATTAGCGAGATGGACATAACGAGGATAAATGTGAAACAAATGAAGCGGGCCAGATCTGGCATGCGAAGTTCCAGGTTCTCCACAAAGTAATGGTTGAATTCGACTCCACCAGCCATCATGTCGAACACCTTCAAAACTGACATATACGGGGAAGTATACGACAACTGGAAAACAGCAAAAAAAAAAAATAATGACAATTATGATTAAACGGGCTCACTCGTGAAGATCTCTCAAATTGGAAGTTCAGTTGGTTAAGCGGTGCACGGGTGTCGCAGAGGTCATGAGTTTAAATCCCGTACAGGCCTGATTTTTTTTTCAGGCGTTATTTCTACGACTGCTCAAGTAGTGTTCATTACTGCGAAGATCGCTTTCATATTTACTTCTTTATCTGCAGTTCAAATATATGACATTTATGTTTTCACAGTTGTTAGTAAACTGATTCTATTCTTATTACCTCATCTCCCAAGAGCAAGTAGAATATCAATCCATATGCAGCAATGAGCAAGGAAAACATAACGATCACCTGAAAATAAAACCAGCAGATAAACAGTGATGTGTTTATGATTATTTGAGGACATTTGATTTGACTGAGCCAACTAACGAAAAATCTGATGAACTAACTAACTGAGAGACCACTGGCGAAATATTTTCAGCCTTGGTGGCGATGCGCATTTTTGTGGTGTTCATGCCATGATACAAATAACACTCATTTGCTCTCACTTAAACAGCCTCATTATGACCAAGAGAAATAACAGGAATAAGATAATGTTATTAAAGATATTTAGCACTGTTTGTGATACAAACCTTGAATACAGATTTAAGGACCTCCAACAGCATTGTGACGTAGATACCTGAGCAGAAAAGTCTGAAAGGATGCAACAATAGTGTATTATTGTCTTATGTATTTCCTTAAACTTTCATGTGATGAAAATCCTGATTTCTATAAGGAGTTTTCATGGGCGCAGGAGAGGAGTCTGAGATAAAATTGTAAATCATATATTGGTTTTACCTTTCCTTTTCGGTGGATGTCAAAGTTTGGTATATTATGGTTTCTGGCATTATCTTAATTCAGTAAGATGAAAGGAAACCAATTTCCAATTGTTTTGCTGACCCTTCTGGTCGAGAATAAAGGGGGTAAGTTTCTAAAGAAATTGTGATGTTGCGTCGGTGGGAGAGTATAAAAGGCTGGTTTATATCAAAAACTGACCACCGTAAAGAGTTTTAAAATTGACGTTTCGAGCGTTAGCCCTTCGTCAGAGCGAATGACTAAGGACTAACGTTCGAAACTTCAGCTTCGCAAATTTTTACGGAGGCCAATTTACTTAATCAACTCAGCTGATAAAACTAAATCACTCTTTTAATCGTGGCTCCATATGATTACAATGATCGTACTTTTCATGTCATTCTGTAAATCGAAGCCAACCTCTTCTAATTTTAATAACTTTAAGCAGGACCGCTGAAAATCGGCGTTCACGAAGAGAAAATTCTCGATTATTCTACTTTTAAGCATTAAAATTCACTTCTGATTCATCACTTATTTTAGGTAAGCCGGAAAACATGCGATCCAACTACTGTATTTGGGTATTTACTTACAGTTGAAGCTGTAGAAGCATGGCGAAGAATGCCATTAACAGTGCTATGATCCCGACAGCCCATTGGTGGTCTTGCTCATCTGGTAGAGTGACGGCCATGATTGTTGTCACGTAGGTGGAAACTTCCAAGAAATTGGTCAACTCAAAATACATCCAGCGCTGAGAAAAAATAGATGACCATGAAAAATTATCTTCAACCAGTTCAAACGTTACTCAAAAGTATTAAGTTTGTTACTTGAAAGAAACGTAAAAACTCGCACATACGAACCTCGTTGTAGAGTTGGAAAGCTTCCAAAAGTAGGTTTGACGTACAGAAAATAAGCAAAAAAATCTTTTGTGGATAATTCCAACCTTCATTGCAGTGTCTCTGGGAAAGAATTATATTCTGCGTTGTGAAAAGAATTCTGTTCTTGCTTTTAAATTGAGTCATCTCCTTTATTTCATAATTTAAGCTCGTCGATTGTATCCCGAGGAATTTAGTTTATTACATATTTCTATTCGTAATAGAGGAAGAAAAAACATGATTTCATATCATGATTCAGATCTCTGGAACCAAAATTAAAATAAAGCTGACAATGTATCATGTAATTATGTCATATTTGATAAAGATGTGAAGTTTCGTGAATTGTAAATTTTCTCATAACAAACAAACAAACAAATACTGGAAAGTAAAAGATGGAAATCCGTCGTACGGACAGGACTTTTCATTCAGGAAACATCCGGATAAGAGGGCAACCCTTAGGCTTTCACATTGAGTTAAAGCAAGATCTGAGTACAAGATTGATTGCGATTGATGTTAAACTAACCTTAAAACCATCGTCTTTGCAGTAAAGGAAGAGAGAAAATACGGACAAGAACGTTAAATAAAAGATTGCTCCCATGAGAAACACAGTCAGACCAATACGTCGCCTGTTTGAAAACAAAGAAAAGAAATGAGATACAAAAAACTAATGTGGATTTGTCGCGAGACAAATCTTCTAATGTCACCCTGAAAAAAATGTCTGCATTGCAGTTTCATAATTTAATTTTTTCAAATTTTAATTGTTTTGTTCAATTCTCCCTACATTTCATACCATACTCCTTTAAACAAAGGTATGTTTACTAAGAAAGCGAGTATAAGCGGAAAAGGTCATCATTGTTAGGCAGTATCATCCTACATACCATTTCATTCGTACCAGCTCCCTGGTCAGAGGATGAAACAAAAGTTCTTCACGGCCAGAATCCAACATTGTCTACGAAAGAACCAATGTGACAAAAATTAGGACCATGGGCTATCTAGAGTACCCACAAGAGATTATAAACAGTTTATATCCTCTTGGTACACATGTATATGTTCTACTTACGATGTTTATGTTTTCTTGACGATGGCAAGAATAAATGTTCAGTCTTGTTATCGATAGACGTTCTTAAGCGATAAATGTTATTTGTTTCAATTCTTTCGTTCATCATACCTTTAGTCCACAATATCGTTCTTGGTTGAGGTCAAATTCCTCATCCGAGTTTGGAAAAATAAAACTGAAGTCGTAGGTGATCTGAGAAGAGATTATGGGAAGAAATTCAGATGGCATCCTTTAACACGTTTAGATGTTCGAGTCGGTGTTTTACTTCTGCCCTTACCGTATAATTTGGATCTGTGTCCAGAAGTGGTGAATGCTCGATACATTTGTCTAGCACAAGCTGTAGATAAGATGCCAAAGAGGAAGACAGATTTTAATTGGGATGTGTGTGTGAAATTGACATTTTGGTGAGGAACTTGTTTGGAGTTATTTCTCACGTGGAGGCAGACATTGAATAAATTTAGATGGGCAATCATGAATTTTATGCAATACTGAATAGCCACAGTTTCGTTACGATTTTGCCCCGTCATGGTGCAGTGCTATGGACTGAGAGTATTTGATTGCAAGAGTTTGATGATAATTTAGTTGATGTTTAATTGGCGTCTGGGAGCTCCCTCTATTTGAACATTTTTAGGAACGACAAACTGTAAAATTGGAACTCTCGCCGTCTTATTTCCGCCAATTTTTGCTGATTTGATTGAGAATTCAGGAAAAGAGCGTAAAATCACAGTTATTGCTTGCTAATTTCGCCTTGCCGTAAACGTCATACTTTTTAACCCCTTTTGACCCCTCACACCCTAACATCAGTATGCATATTCTCCATGCTGTTCTTGATACATTTCCTATGGAGCTGACGAAGAGAATCTGTTTAACATTCAACAGCTTCTTTCGTTAGTGATCAATTCTTTCATTCTTCTGACCTTGATGTATGATTCAGGGGTGATATTGTAAGGAGAAATTAGATGCTAGTCACTCTTACGGGTTCAAAGGCTAATGATAAAAAAACGTACTTTGGCGACATCTGGAAACCGTTCAATGAGTCGCCGCATGGGTGATACTCCCTCACATTTTGTGTTGCTTAAGACTTCCCGCCACCTGTGAAAGAATCTTTTGTTTAGTGTGAAATCAGTGAACAAAGAAAAATAAAACACTCAGTGTCTCAAGTATCATGTAATTACACAAAACATATCTTAATGATAACATATACTTTTCGTGTTTAATTATTTCCATACAGACTTCCTTGTTCCCAACCCTGATAGCGGCATCCAGGCAGTTGTAGCCTGTCGTTGATACTACCGTCATATCTGCTCCTAACCGAACGAGCTTTCGAAAATTTTTGTTGTGTTTGAAAAATGCTGCAAATACCAACGGAGGCTTCTGCAATTTAGAAAAAAATACAACAATTTCAGACGATTTGTTAAAATTCTAAATTGTAGCGTAATTGCGACGTTAAGTTTATTTTAGATTTGGCTATGTTTGCTTTTATTTATTGTAACCCAATCAATGGAAGTTTTCACATCCATAGTGTAAAGTAATTAGGTTGAGATGCTGACCTGTAAATAGAAACCTGATGATTTCAACGTATTGACTGAACATTACGATGACCGATTTAGAGAGCCTTATGCAAAGCGCTCCTTTGGCTCTGATGGACACGTTTTTTCATTGAAACACCCTCATGGAATTTAAAATTCAGTACTTTACATAAATTGAATAAACGGACCCATGCTGACTCATACATCACAAGTGGCAGACTATGGTGTTTACATGTGAATAATTTACCACGTCAATTTACTGGGCTCAAAGTCCTTTAAGTTTTTGTTGGTACCAAAAAGCCAGCTACACTAGCTGCTTTCCACTTACTCGATTCTTCTCAAGAGCATTGACATCTGCCCCATGATACAGCAACGTATCCATTGTTGCAGGGCAACCACATATGGTAGCATGAAACAACGGTGTAAAACGTTCATCATCCCTGCAGCCAACAAGAAGATAATCTTCAGTAAGCATCCATAACTATGATACTCGCTCTTTTCGCGAGTCAAAATTTTTGTTCCCAAAATTCATGATCAGTGTTTTTCGTGGCAAGGAAGAATAACTGGTAACTCGGTGCACACAAATGAGAAGCATGATTAGATTACCAGCCATTAATTATCATTTCCATGTTCAGTTACCTGTAGTCAACTTCAGCACTGTTTTGTAACAAATGAGTTGCTACTTTATCTCTTCCCTCGGCTGCTGCAAAATGGAGAGGCGTGCGGGATCCATAGTCAATGTCATTTACAGACTCTGGGCATGCGCTTAGAAGCGATCTCACAGCACAAAGAGCTCCAGCCCTAAGAAAAAAAAAAAAAAAAAAAAAAAGGAGCGCGTTATTTTCAAACTTTATTAACTAAATTAAGTCTGTCCACCAAATGAACCTTCGGATCTTGCCTTGAATTTTTTCGTTTATAAACACTAAATCTATTTCCTTAACCTTCTCAATATGAATAAAAAACCGACAAGAAATGCAATTCCGATTTCCAATGTTTGGCGCCTACAATGTATGAGCAATTCCTTAGACTTTTATTGAGCCAAATGTGTGAACGAAACCTTTTTGCTTTGAAATAAACGGGCTGTTACATTTTATTGCGCATAATGAAGCTATTTTATTTTCCTTGGATGTCAAGTTGAAGAGTAAATTTACTTAAAAAGTATCTAATTGCGTATGAAATCGGTAAAGGACTTGTCAATGCATACTCTGCAGCAAAATGAAGAGCTATTCTTTCTTCGTTGTCTTTTGCCCTGACATCAGCTCCCACAAGGATCAGACGGTTGATTATCTATAAAGTGTGAAAGGAATATGTCACGTGTAATTAGTGTACTCACCAGTGTACGTCTTGCTATTAAGACATGACTGAATCTAGGTTAACCGAAGACTTTGATGTCAGTGTCATTGACACCAGAGTGTGACGGGCTTCATTTGAGATAGAGGTGAATATAATATCTGATTGAAAATAGGCAGAGTACTGCTGTCGCTGGAATGGGATATTACCTGAGGAAAATTGGGAGGTAACCATTAAACAACACTGATTCTCGCTGGAAAATGGGGTTTGCACCTCCACCTGCTTTGTGACCCGTAAAGAGACCTCTTAAATCTTGATTTTTTGTGCTTTACATAATACTTACATCGACATTACAGGTGGCGGCAGCATAATGTATTGCTGTCTTCCCATACTGATCTTTGCTCTCCAAAAGGCTATGACCTCCATTCTGAAAAAAAAAGCGTTTAAGTTTCACCACCTTTAAATATGATGCTGCATTATTCTCTTTTTGAAGCCAGAGGTTTAACGTGGACCTAGCGAAAAATATGGATTCCGAGGGAAATAGTGATGGACCTGTAGTGTTTGTGATCGATTCAGTAACCTTTACTGCATCATTTTATGGCTAGTTTTTCCCCTTTTAAACAAACTTATTTTACCAAGGGAAGAAAAATTTAATCCCAGCCACAACCTTTTCCTTAAGTTTTAGTTAAATTACCTCTAAGATTAAGTCTACAGTTTCAATATCAGCACATGCCACCGCTACATGGAGGCAGGTTCTCCAGTTCAGGTCTTTATATTTCAGCGAAAAACCGCGTTCCAAGAAATATCTGACAGCATTGTGTTGGCTTCGTTTCACAGCACACATTAAGGGAGACGGGGTGCAACTATCTGCGACTGGATAGAGCCTAGCTCCCTATCAGCAACAAAAGGTTAAAATGGCACAAATGTATGAGTAAGAGTGACCCTTCATGTATCAAAATTCAAAATAACTATAAGAAATATGACCACAGGATAAGTAAATGTTACGAGTGATCTAGTTGCGAGTGCTCAATGAAGTAAAAACCAGAGAAACTCATGGTTCGGTTATCAAAATAAATGTTCAAAATTCCAAGAGGATCATTAAAAAGCTTGGAACAAACTGTTACTGGGTAGTAGTTATTAGGGAGCTGAGATATCATTAACAATAATAACACTTTGATACTTGTGCAAGAAGAAATTCGATGATTGGGACGTGCCCTCCAAGTGAAGCCCTGAAGAGAAAGTAATAATTAACATAGTGAATACATGTGTGGAAAACGGGGATAAAATGGTGTAAGGCTTACAATGTTTTATGCATCAAGAAAACCCAGCCACCAATAGCACAACTTCGCACGAATGTTAGCAGTTGTCAGTCTCGTAATGCACTTAATTTAACCGAGGTATAGCCCTAAATAAAGAATAGCAGGGACCAGATCCGCTGAAACTCTTTCTCAGGCTCTCTCTTCTTCCCGCCCCTTCGAGCGAGGAAGAGAAAAAACTGAGAACAAAGTTGAATTTGATCCTGTTCAAGCAACCAGTTAGGAATTGGGCCACTTTCGATTGATCCATGCACTAACTCAGGGAAATGACAGAGAGGTATTTTCATTACCTCAACAAAGGTGTTAAGCCGTTACCGTCTTCACTTTCAATCTTAGCACCTTGTTGAACCAATAGCTTTGTAATTTCTAGGTCTCCATGACTACAAGCTAAGTGGATCGGAGTGGAAAAATCATCCTGAAATAAATTGTATGAAACAATCAGAGTCTCAGCTGCAAAACAATTTCGGTAGTCATCTATGATCCAAAAAAGGATTTATCTTTTCAAATGAAAGTTTTTTGTGCGCTGAGAAGTTTTTTTCTTTTTTCAATTTTTTATCTTCCTCGTCTGTGTTTTAGGTTGAAATTTCTCAAAAATGTTTTACAGATGATCTCGTTAAGTTCACCAAAGGTAATTTCTAAATTTATGGTATTGTTATTAAATACGGCCTCTCTCCAGGCGTTGAATTAACAAACATTAATGTTTGTTTCCTTTCACTATCATACACTTTATGTATGATCCCGAGGTAGACAGTTGGTTCTGTTTTCCTCGACTTCGTCTCAGGAAACATCAGGACTCTCGGGAAAAAAAAACTGACCAGTTTCCCGGAGGACCAACTATTAAGTACTTTGTCATATATTTAGACTTTCTCTTAAACAATCATATGGCAATTGTATCCCTGTCGGGATACACTTGAATTTTACCAGGGGCACGTGACCAAGAATCAACCAATCACAGTGCTTGTTTTGTTTTGTGAAAGTCTAGGTATATAACAATTTCCTATGTTGGTTCTATCGCGCTGTTATGGACCACTGTTATTGAACGCTTGGAAAAGGCCATGCTAAATATGGAATAAGTTCAATACAATTATGTACATTTCTACCTGTGCTGTACTTATGTCAGCCCCAGACCCCAAACATAACTCCACGATCTGCAGAAAAGATCAAATGTATATCAAGTTCTAAAAGCAAAGAAGGGGTAAAACTCATGATTAAATTGCTGCCCTCCGAAAACAAATCTAATTGGTCATAGGTAATTTGTTTTCTGACGAGTAATTGCTCTGATTAATTTCTAAAATTAAGTTAGAGTGACAATTATCTGTACCGACCTCTCTGTGTCCATGTTTTATCCCTAGGTGCAAGCAGACGTTTCCGTAACAATCAGGACTGTTTAACAGTGTCTTTGTAGACAAACCACCACTTTTGGCTGGGGAGAAAAAATACACTCTACAATATTTTGATTTTCACAACATGTTAGGGTAGTGCCCGACTGAATTTGATAAAATCCATTTTCAGATCTACTCCACATCGTTTCCTTTCACATTCGACTTTGTGAAGTGTTACCTTTTTTGAGGATCTCCTTGAAGGAATCCACGTGACCTTCACGTGCCGCAAGGTGTAGCGGTGTGTACCCGTCATTGTCCCTACGAGCCACGTCTGCTCCGTAGAACACCTAAGAAGTAACAAGGTTCAGGGAACCTGATTAGAAATCGTATATTGTGCTGTCAAGCCAATGAGAGACGACTGAGATGTGCTGAATAGCATTTCTCTCCAGTGTTTCCTGCAGTCGCCCTCTCACCAGAGAAAAAATTGCCGCGTTTGAACCTTGAGGTTTCAACGGGCTTGAACGCAGTAAATAACCCTTAAAATTTGGCCAGTAAGGTCAATTTTCTCTAGAAAAATGCACTTTTTAATAAGTGATTGTGATAAATTTCAACCCTCACCAGTTTCCTTATGACTTCTATCTGGCCGGCCTGTGCTGCAGTGTGCAGTGGAGTGGCTTTGTCGTTATCTTCATGGTCCACATCAGCTCCTCCTTCATTTAGCAGAACCTGAATAATCCAAGTAAGAAGAAAACCGTCTTAAAATAACTGTGCAACTTTTCTATATGTTTTTTTCATTGTAATCACCCTGACTTAACATCGGTAATGGAAAAGATGGGTTGGTTTTCCATCCTTGATGTTGCCTTTTGGCTCACTTGTTCTCATTCCCTCATTTTCATTTAATTTACTATTTTTTATAACTATTTTAAATACTGATTTTACTTTTAATCTACTTAACATGCTATAGCTGTTTTTTTACCTCAAGAACACGTGTATGTCCTTTCCGTGAAGCATAATGCAAAGGTGACTGACCGTTGCAGGTTTTCTTCGTTATTTGGGCGCCATTTTGAATGAGAACTCGGCAAGCATCGAATGAGTCAAACTTGCTAGCGCATATTAGCGGTGTCACGTACATACAATTCTTAGTGGCCGGGATGTCAATATCTGTATGAAGAAGTCACATGATTAGTTTCATGTCTCCTTTTCGCAGACAGTAGCTGGTTGTACAAGAACAAGTCAATATCGACCAATATACTTTTTTAAACGAAGGTGCAAATAATATTTAATTCTGAGACTGCTGCGGCGCTACTGCGTAGTTCAAGGAAAAAGTTTCCATTTCCGATTTTCAACCAAAAAGTTACGATTTTTTGTGACACGCAGAGCTGACGGAATAGCACATTATTTAAACAAGTTGACTCTTTTTGGAAACCGACCGTCGTAGTTTTTTGCCGTTCGCTCTACCTCCCCCTCCACCGTGACTGCAACCTTGCACCAAAATTTCAACATTGTTTGGGACCCGGTTACAGTGAGCTCACTTTAGTACAAACTTGCATTTTGCCATCAGCACATTGATGCAAACCTTAAAACTTATCCCTCACCAGCTCCAGCTTTAAGAAGCAATTTCATAATCTGTACGAAGTTTCCTCTGGCCGCATGATGAAGAGGTGCCATTCCATCTTTGTCGTATTCATTACAAACCGAAGGATTTACTCTGATCAGCCTCTCAACTACACAAGCCAGGCCATCTCTGCATGCCTAGGATTATCAGAATAACGCACTTTGATATCAACGAAAGTGACGGTTGATTTTAAATTTATTGATATTTAATTCAAGGCTAAATATCTAGCGGAGACAGTTTGAAGCCACAAAGCTAAAATAGTCAGTGCAACCAGCCAAATAACATTTTGCTGGTCACATGATGTGATTCATCATCTGCTTCCTCCTTAAACCCTCTTTTAGCTCAAGTAATCAAAAAGAAGCTCTGATTGGTCGGGAATAACGTTATTTTTAGCCACACTTAATTCTCATGAGGTGATTTCTCTAATAGGTTCAGCTGGAGTTATTCCTCGAGGGGCATTGGAAAGGAAGTTATAATCAGTGAAAGAGGAAATTGAATCGTGTTTCATGAGGTACACAATATCATTGCGGAAAATTTCCCTAATATAATAAATAAAAGTCAAGGGTAGGTCTGCAATTCTTGTTGCCTCAATATAACACGAAAAACATGGTCGGCTAACATGGAATTATCATTTGAATTTCCTTTTTTCAGCTAAGACGAAATTGATAATATTTGTATTTTGAAGAAGAGCTTTCTTTTGTACAATATTCAACGATATACCCGCATAACGTTATTTGTCAATTTTTTTTCATCGCAAACGGTGCAGAACAAAGTTAAAATATACATAGATAGCTTTATGATGCAATTTGGAATACATAAACAGTTGCAAATTTTTCGAAGATTTCAAATTACCTTCCCTCACTCTACGGGCTTGAGCAACTATTTCACTCTTTTAAAAATTTGCTAGCTCTTATTTAGTCCAAATAGCAGTCCAAATCATTTTATTATATGAACAAATTACATTGAATTAAGACCAAATAGCAAAGTGAATATCAAAATTCTAATCGCAAGGAGTTTTCTTATTGTCAACTGGTATAATCGAATGAAACGTGAACTTCACAGAATTTATGTTTTCTTTAAATTAAAAAGGTTAAGCTCAACAAAAAGAGATGTTTACAATTTTAAGTACCTGGGCGCATGATGACAGGTCGCTAAAAATAAATTACCTGAACGAAATTTATCAACAGGAAACAAAGTAACTTGCATGGGAAATGACGACGCAAAATTTAAGATTTTTCATTGAGTAGAGACACAAGATAATCATATGGAAAAATGGATTTCTCAGTCACACAAAGTCAGACTAGTGATATCTCTACCGGAATCCATCTTTTATTTCCATCTAAAACTTAAAAATTGAAAAAAGGGGGTAATTTTGTACAGAAACTATGGTGCTGCGTCGGTGGGAGAGTGTTAAAAATTAAAAAGCTATTTCATTTTATACTGGTAGTGATAAAATACCAGCTCTTTATAATTTTAAAATAATCCTCTGTCAGTTTTATGTCATTTACAGCTGAATTTAAGAAAGGTGGAGGCTTGTTGATGTCCACGTAGTCTCATTTCTCTTACTCAAGTCTTCAATTCCTTTAAGTGGCTCTAAACTCGAGGCCTGAGTTCGGAAGATCATGCATCCTTTGCAACAAGGAAATGTCGTTTACAATGTTCAATTTTAAGTCAGATGGTCCCTTATACACTTCCATCGACAATATTGCAAATTAATAAAGAGTTAATTAAATAAGTTGCATTAGACATTTAAAAAAATTACGACGAGAACAGTTCCAACCATATTCAATGAAATAGATGGTGCAAAAGCATTTTTTATGAGAATCAAAGGTCTCCAACAAAGTGTGCCTTTTATGATTTCGGAGCTCATGCATAACTTAATGAGTTTCCTTAGCTGCCGAAATAAGTTCATCTACCTGATTAACAACAAGCGAGCCGCCGGATAACCATCAAAATTTGCAACTATCAATCAGGGAAAAAATACTAAATGTTATTGTGTTTCAGCACAATAATCGTGTATTAATTAGGAAATCTGGATCATGTTGTTGTTTGTTTTAATATAATTAAGTCAAGAAACCCACGAAGAGACCTTAGTGCCTAACTGAGTATCAATTTGATTCATTTCAACAGGCCAGAGTTTGTTGAACAGTGGCCTCAGAATCCAGAGTAAATTGGATTGAAAATCTCTTACAGTAATCAGTCTTACATTCTAGCCTCATTTGTGATGAAAAATTGTCTGTTTTCACTCAAATGCAATCTCTAACAAACGCGTTTGAATCTTCTTCTTTACCATTGTCTAAAGAAAAATCCTCATCAAATATGAAATTTATCACATTTTGACAACCTCACTCCTGGCGATTATAAAAAATAGTTTCGGTGAAATTGAAAAGGTGACAATTGTACCATTCATTCCTTTTTTAAGGAAGTAACATATATAAAACAAAAATATATATTGCCATTAAAAGATGTACTGATGACGTGCATTGTAAAATGTGTTAGACTTTCGTAGGCCATAGGGATCCTCCACACGCTAAGATGCAGCTGTCGCTAGAGGATAACACTCTTTTGAAAGCTGAATCATACTGAGACAAAGAACCCCTTGAATAGCACACAATTAATTTTAGATAAGTTGTAAAGGTAGTGCCTTTCTAGGTGAGAGCATTTGAATTTGATAGGGTGCTTTTTTTGCTGTTGTTAAAGACAGTTACAGAAATTACCAACTGTTGTCTTTGTGGGTTTTCTAACTTCGAAGTCAAAACAACCACCTATCGCACTCAAAGAGCGCTTGTCGATAACAAAATTATTTGATATTCCCATCGAGAGTATTGTCATTTTTTTAATGTAATAAATGCACTTGAGTGGGGCTGTCTGTTTTTGGCGTTGTCACTCATGTGTGCACCGCAATCGATGGAAAGTGATTTCACATGCCCTATATTTAATTGCTCTGAGATGAAAAAAACAAATTGAAGACTCCTAGATATTGTAATGGCTGAAATTTTTAAACATTTTGACAAGAAGGGTTTTGAGTAACAAACACATAAAATAAATACATTTTAATTTTCAGCGTATGTAATTGAGAAAGATCTTTTTATTATCAAGTAACATCATTTTTCCTCCCTCATAGAGACTATGTATTTGTTAGCAAACATGCATTTCCAAACTTTTATTGAAACTGATTTCTTGAATCCTGACATCTAGAAATTTAAAGTTAAAGTCAATTCATTACCTGATGTAGGCTGATCCGCTTGCATGGGTTTCGCTCCACAGTTTCATCAATGCTTTGCTGAAGAAAATTTTCGTTCTTTGAATTATCAGATATTCTTCGCGAAGTTCTTCCACTTAAAAGGGATTTGCGCAGAGACATGTCTTGATCATCCGTGATCAGCCCTTCCAATTTAATGTACTCCGGATCTTCTATCATTTTGCCGTTAGTAATGTCCGTCCGGGAGATAAATTATCGGACCAAGCTTTGTTTTGCAAACGTCACGAGTTATTTTGCGGCCTGTGGTTGGTCCATGAGGCTTACAAATAAAGAAGAATTAAAATTACTGTGGAAATTGTCTGTGACAGCAGGGGTGCCATAATTTGAATTATAGGTTCACCTCAATTTCCATAACAATTGGGACTGATCTCAGAAATTACTTACTTTTAATGATTCTACAGAAATCAGTTTGTAATAAAACTTCAGAATTTCAAAACTAATTACTTTTTTTGTGAGAGTAATGGTTTTAAAAGCATTCCCCTCGGCTCATAAAATTTGAAACAGAAGGTATTATTTACCTATTTTGCTGCGCGTACCGTATTGCGTTGACGAAAACGATCCGCACATCAAACATCCTCCATCAAAATCAAGAAAATGGTCCGCGTGTCTAAGATATTGATCTTATTTCCGTTTCTCGTCGAAACTTATTTCCGCTTCTCAAATAATTTATCAGGTACTATATATAGGCTTTATTGATGAGAAAAATGACTTCTTTTGAACAATAAATGCCGTTTGTCTTTTCCATTGGCATAATGTCCTTTAAGACTGTTCAAGATCTCTAGTAGCCTTTCATAAGCATGTAAAATTCAACTTTCGTGAAAATTATTATTTTGTTGATTAATCGAAGTGTTCCAAGCCAAGTGGGAATCTTAAAAATTACATATTTTTTTTTCATCACACCTGTCACGTCGAGTAGCGCTGATGTACAAGATATGGAATCTGACGTACTTTTTAATTTTAAATACCGACCTACCTTAATATTATGGCCTCAGGTGTGGTCTGTGTATTAGGAAAACAAAAACACAGCTCTCACTAGCGAATTTAAGATATCCTCAAAGGAAATCCTCTCTTTTCTTTTCCAAAGTATGTTTTCGTCAAGCTATGGCAAAGTTAATGGATTTCTTTAATCCCTGGTTTGACTTTTAAAATGAACGCTATTTGTGATGTCCGCACCAACCAATAAAATTTAAGCCCTATCTACTCGATTAAAAGCTAACGTTTGCTTTCGTGGACATGTCGCGAAAAATGCTTGGTCATTCACATCTCATTTCCTAAAATAAACTGATCTTTTATCATACAATACCCCGACAGGTATGCCACAAAATGAAGGTTCTAGCCGGCATTGTGACTTATTTATTGTACCGCTTATCGCCGTTAATTAATTGCTGTTTGTGTTGAATCAGTCAAAAACGGAATAATTTATGTAAGTTTTCCGCAGAAGTTATGTGTACTCAGTATTTCCTAAAGGATTGACGAGTTATTTTGAATAATACCTAACCTTGCTTTTGTTACAGTCAGAAAATTCTGTTGCTAACTCAACGATAAGAATTGAACTGAAAAGAGAGCTGGATTCGACACACCCTCACAGAGTCAATTTTTATCCAAAATGTAAATCTGTGTTTTATTTTGTTTTTAAACGTTTTCAATTTCAAGTTTCAAATATGTGTCTCAGCTGACTTCGAGGTATTTTCGTCAAACCTATTATGGAGGTGGATATCAAATAGTAATGACTTTTTTTGCACATCCACCATCACGTCACAATACCGATAATTATCAAGTTGCGGCAAACCATACAGAAAATCATTATAACTCATTGAAAGGGAATGTAAACAGAAAAGGAAAAACACAGCCCAAGGCTTGCTGTCTGTTTTTTTTAAGTTAATTTTGCTGTTATTACAAAAGGTGGGCGAGTTAAAAGATTTAAAAGCGAATGTAAATTTAACCACATTTCATTTATTTTTCCTTTATACGTTTACTTCTACCTGAAGGTAATTGACGTAAATAATCTTAATACAACACTCCAGCAAACAGGGCCTGAAAAAAGACAATGTGAAGTTATCATCAGGAGGGTGATATAAAATCAAATTCTCTAACTTATCTCACAGGGAAACGTAAACGCCTGGCTCTTAAATGGGAGAATTACTTTTCAGATATTGGAAGTTGATGGAACTGCATCGCAACAGCCTCCGTCGTCGGCTGATACGCAACATATCTTTCAGCCAGAGATGCTGATTTAGATTGGCAGTAAATAAAAATGCCAAATGAGGAAAATGGGTCATAAAGAAACGGATGGTGAAATGTGGAGAAATGGACATATCATGGATTGGAAAAGACAGACGTGAAAGCTTGAAGCTGGATTTATAAAGATATGTAAACCATTATGTAACAGGCAAAGCATTGAGTTTAGTGTAAGGGACTGAGAATTCTTAACGAGAGTCCGGTGTAAGAATATTATTTGTGTCGAAGGAAATGATGATACATCTCCTTACACAAATGAATTAAAAAGGAGCCTAGAATCATATTCATAGCTCTTGGTCTAGGATTCCGACCGATCAGTACACGCTAAGAGCGCGCGCTGGTCAAGCATTTCACAGTATTTATGACGCATGCATCTTACGTACGCATACGTTTAGCTTCACATAATCAAAATAAAATTCACCTGAAATCACCTTAGAAATGTCGTTTGCAACTAGAAATACTTGCATATGCAGCAGCTGTTTTAAAAGACAGCACGAAATTATTGTTAACGACCAACGGCATGCTAAGAGCGGGAAGAGGTGTGTCATTAAGCCATGGACACCTTCCTCAGCCAAAGAAATTGAGAAAAATGTTTGGAAATTGTATCAAGAAAAGTTGAAACTTCAAGTTACCCGTGGATGCCAGCGATTAGGTAAACAATCAATCGACTACATTGAGGTTGTCCGCAAAATTTGTCCTTCAGAGATATTTGTGGAAAAACCAACCAGTGCTAACAGCCGGTCTTTGATTCTGGATGTGAACTGCCAGAACTTTTGGGATTTTGTCTATGGGCAGTCATGGAAAGGAAGAGTAAGAGTTTGCGAAGGAGAGCTGATGTATAAACTGAGAGAGACACTGAAAATGCTTGTTAGTCAGGAAAAAATTACATATTTTACTGTAACAAGGATGTTTACAAACCACGAATACATCGTCCCCAAGGTAAAGGTATCTAGTATTTGTCTTTGATAAATTACCTTAACATGATACCTTAATTGGTGCTGTTGTATCAACGTCATTTGTTTAGGGTGACTGAAACCATGTCAGCTGCACATAAGGACCTAAATTTGACGATAATTTATTCCCCTGCATATGATTTTCGAAAAGACATCAGGCAATTCCATGGTGTCCAGGTAGGCACATCTTGATGCGAGTGAGCAAGAAGTTTATCACCCACTTTTAACTAATATCACTCTGATTGCCCATAGAAAACTGCATTGCAGTGATGTTAATATCCCTGATATAATTACACTACGTGAAGCTTTTTCTGTCACGGTGTCTTAAATCATCTTATACCTGAATCTGTTTTCCTACTAATTTAGTTGTTTCTTTATGCGTTATACGTATATCAAATTAGTCCCCAGGGCTTGTAGTACGAGTGGAACAAACTTATTATGGAGGCGTACCAAAGAAGACAAAGAAAACAGTTAGATGGAACTTGGTTCCAGATAGCACGTTTACACCGCGCCTGAAATGTGTATCACCCATTCTTAAAAATGCATGGGACAAGACTGCAACTCCTTTCCTTAAAAGTAAAGCCTCAGATGTCAAACGTTCCGATATGGAAAATGAGCCCACGTTGCGCCGATTTTCAACCAACACAAAAGAGCCTGAGAGAATGTTCAATTTAAGCGCAACTTTCGCAAAAGGAGACTTTGCGACAATTTGCCTCCAAGCTACTGAGCATTTTATAGTTGTGAGAGAAATGGTCACTAATAGTAGAACCATGAATTCGTCAACGTCGTTCACGTTCAGAAGAAAGGAGAATTTATGTGGCACAAGCAAGATTGCTAAGACAATGAATGATTTCTACACTTCTGAAACCCTTGCTGAAAATTTCGCTAAAACACCGGAGTTTAAACCAAGTACTCCTCTGCTGGAGATGAAAATTTAATCTGTGATTAGAAGAAAATTTGCCTATAATCACAAGAATAGTGCCAGAGTTACTAAATGTTACTTATTTTTGAACTTCAATAAAGTTCGTCGATAGAACTAAAACTGCTATCGAAACAATCGCTAACTACAAAATTAACCTTGTGATATTTTAATTCCATTGCAAAGGGTTTTGTAATTTCTCATCCATGTCTTCACCTGCAATTTCTGTAGCCTAAACATTTAAAAATCAGCAAAACCTTAAGCAAAATATTGACCTGTAGTCAGTTTCTTCCTTTCAGTTGTGTGAAACTCCAGATTTGTGATTAATTAAGTAATTATCAAAGGTTTTTTTTTCTTGGTCTCACGTTTATACTCGGCGATGACGGCATGGAAATTTGACATGCTAAGAAAATCTGTCAGATGTAGGACATGCCTCAATTATCATTTATCACCTAAGAATGAGAAAATGGTGTCGAAATAAAAGCTTTCATCGCTTCTATATCACGTTGATGTCTTTTGTTATGCATAACTAGAATTTAACATCCATACGTCGTACAACTGATTCGGGAAAAAACGATTTTAAAATTTCTTTATTGGCCACTGCGAAGGCAGCATATACTCAATGAAATTTATTTAATTAACACTCGTGGATTTTCAGTTTTACTTTTTTAGTGCGTAATATAATTTATTGTTTAGGAAAACAACAAATTAGAAATTTCATTGGGCGAAGGTTTTTCCTATTCACAACGATCCTTTGTGGTCAAATTGTTAGGAAAGTGGAGACAGGTGTAAATGTTTTATCACTTGGTTGGGAAAGTTCTACGAGCCACAGCGCTAATTAAAGCTCTTTAAAGCAGCAAGTACACGTAAACTGCGGTCACTCGTAGCATACTAGTGGTTAGTACTTGAAGCTCTTGTAAAGACATGAGGACAAGCTTTTTGTTGGGTTCTGTGCAAAACAGAACGAATGATCATTTTAAAGAAGCGAGGAACAAAATGTTGGAGCCTTCAACGGTGAATCAAGCAAAAACTGTTAATCACAAAATATCCAGTTCCTCGAAAAAGCTGTCGAGAGTGAACAGTTTTGCAAAAGAAGAGGACATGGAAAGGATTTTGGAGGAGGTTGAGACTGGCAATTTGTACAGCCCCTCGTCTAAAAACGCCAAGAAACGTCCGTCTGTTGTAGACGAAGATTCGCAGCGTCCAGACGAGGAACTCGAACAATTTTTTCTGGATGTGGAGAAGAGAAATGCAGAGCTACAAGAATTGCTTCAACTTGTTGAAACCACAAGACAAGAAAACGAAGGGCAGATTTCACGAGAAGCTTCCGCAGGTGTGAGGGGAAGTACGGACTCCCTGGTTGAAAAACTCATGCGTGATTTAGAGAATGTGGGCTGGGAGAAGAGTAATTTTAACAGCGGAACCGTAGAGAGACCGAAAAGCTCGAGCGAAGCGTGTGATGGAACAAATTGCGCAAAACTCCGAGCCAGCGCATCGGAAGAAGAACTCGATGAGATGCTAGCAGAGCTCTTGGAATTGTGATAAGGAAATAAAGACCTAAAAAAGGTTATTGATTAAAGTTCGCAAATTTAATTTTGTCAATAAGAAGTTTTAATTATTAAGTTTGAGTTCTTAAGAAGAACATGAACCAGTGTATATTCTAAAGCCATATGACGCAAGATTTAGAAGTAAAATCCAACTTCAATCAAAAAAGAGGTGGTTGAAGGATTTTTTTTCTCTGTTTGTGAACAAGATTTTTGAACTGTGTTTTTATAAAGTTCCTATGACTACAGCTATCTACTGCAGTGTCTAACCGCTAAAATTAGGCTTATTGTGTGATATAAGCGGTTCCCCATTTGTTAACATGCCTACTTGCATTGATTTATGTGATTTAAAGCAATCCAAATCTTACGCTCCCATAAGACAAGTCGAGGTTATTGCCTGTCAAGATTTCTTTTACAACAAAGGAATATTTGATTCTGTTCCCGAGCTGTAGGACTTGACAGTTAATAAAAAAACTGACTCTAACTTATATTCAAACTTTTCATGGGGGAATATTAAATATGGAAGATCAACAAACAAATCCTTCGTTTTAAAAATTGTTTTGTATGTGAGAAAAATTTGCATGATGAACCCCCAATTTCTTTAATTTGGAAATACTCGTAATCTATTTTTCCGTCTCTTTAGTTCACTTAAATTCATTGTAGCTATGGTAATCATCCATGCTTGTCAAATCTTTTTCTCCATTGACAACACATTAGTCGTTGACCAAAGACTTCATTTAGAATAAATTTTTTCCAAACCCATAAGCGCTCCAGCTAATTTAACGATCAGTCAAAAAACACTTCAATAAAAAAAATTTATGTGATCACACAATGATGAATATTTTATTGATTTTCTGTATAAGGTGTAGAAATACATGCACTGATTAAAATTAATTATCGATCACTTTTAGGGCGATTATATTTGAAGAAATCACATGTTAACCAACATGACACGAAGTAAAGTCTGAGTTACGAGGTCAGGTTTCATAGCCAGCTTACAAGTAACAAGGCTGGCTTCCACGCGCCCAGATAACCGTTTATTTAAGCGACCCTGGACCTGCATGATTTACATGATCATTACATTACCACATGCATTATACATATCCCATTTTCTATCTACAATTTTTGATAACAGATAGAGCAGCATCAACCGCTCTTTATGACTGTTTTTGAAATCTTTATACATCATCCTTTTTCGAATTCCAGTCAGAAATTATGACAGGAACATCGGGATAGAAATACAAGAGTCTTTTTTTACGATACTCGCTTAGGTAAGTTACAATACTTTAATTACTCAAAATAGTACAGAGGTGCCACTGATATATTGCTTTATCACATTTGAGGGTACTTGCACTCAAAAAGCTCCACCACAACATTTTACAGAATTTACTATGATTACTAGCTATTTAGACTCCAGCCACTTTGTCCCACCAAGCCTTAACAAACACATAATGTTGTCCACTATAGCAATGGGAATGTGATTGGAATTCGATGTTTGAGTAATGACAAAACTTATTTCTTACTGTACACAGTTAATCTAGCCTAGAAGTCCCCCATTAATTCGGCAGATAAACTTGAAAATTTATCTTTCTTCTTCGGTTAAAATGAAGTATATCGGTTGGAGTTAACGGCTCTTTCGATCTCCGAAAACAGGGCTTTTCCAAAGTGGTATCGAAAGAGAAAATAAAAACTCAGAGAAGCGACTATTAATTGACTTCTGCCGTGGTCACCTTTGTACTAAAGTTGGAGCTTGCTGGAACGTTAATCAACAGTCGGGAAAAGTTTTGTTCCTAAATTGATCCCACTGGATTATTGTGTATGATTATTGTGTACTGAAATTGACTTGAAGGTTATGATGGATCGTTACCGGTGCGGTTGGAGCGATGAGAGTCAATTTTTCCATCAGGAGGCTTTAGCGGCTTTCTTGAAAAACAGCCCCTTAATAAATGCGCGAAAATCTTCCATTTGAATGAAATATATGATAACGTTAAGAATGCTGTTCGAGAAAATCAGCCCAGAAAAAAAGCACCTTGTGATAAATTGTGCTCTAAAATCTGGAGGATCTTTTGCCATTGAAGTAGAATATATGGCGTAATAATAAACCCCTGAATTTGAAACGATAAATGACAGTGTAATGGCAACAAGGAGATATGTTCCTCGAATTGTAGCAGCCTTTAAGCCCTCTCTTATGGCGTTACTTGACTGTATATCTACTTTTCTTTTCTGCCTGCCCCACATAGTTATTGCAATGGAAATATTGAAATAAATTAAGATCAAAGAGGGAATAAGGTACTGTATTACTCCATGACTGGCGCAAATTATCTGAAACACTCGGTAACTAATATCAGGTTTACACATGACTGTGTAATGTGTATCATCCAGATCATAAGGTATTCCATCCACTGCTGCAGCGGGGCCTAATACATGAATAAGACCTACTATCCATGCAGCCCATATTAGCTTGCGAACACGAGCAACACTAAAGGTACGAGGAACTTTACGGGTCGCAAAATACCTCTCCATACTTATTACTATAAGATTATTTATTGTAACAGTAGGAAACAGAATGTTGAAATACCGAACTAGTTTGCAAGCCCAGGTGTGCCTTTGAAATACGTCTACCGTTATCTGAATACAAAATAATGGGATAGATATCATGGAACAAAGAATTTCCGAAAGAGCTAAACTTTTTATGTACAGATTTAAATTTCTTACAAAAGCGCTTTTTTGCAGAAACCCGACGGTTTTCTTTCTTTTTGAAATAAAATAATATATAAGGCTGTTACCAACGAATCCTACGACTCCAAAATTTGCCAAAAATAAGACTGCAACTAGTTTGGTGGTGAAGCCTGCTGGTAAAAACACATAGATTCGTCCTGTTGTGTTTGAGCCATTCAGGAAGCCCGACGATTGGGTTGTGAGGTTTGACAGCCGGTGAGATCCTTCAAGCATGACGCTACAATCTGTTGGATTAGCAAATGAAATTTGATTGAATGAGTTTTAAAGTCGTAAGTAAATCATTTTTAGACTAGAACGTGCATCGTTTCGTGGTAAAAAAAAACCGTAAGGCAATATAGATAAGTGATGTAACGCCACGCAGTTGGCACAGGTCATTTTTTCAACTCGTGTATTGCGCTTTGTGTCATAGGTATGTTTGTACGGGTGTATAGTTATATATATACCTGTGGTGCGTTTACATGTTACTTTTGGTTGGGAGGTTATGCGCTCACGTACAGTATTAATATTCCAAATTACCTGACTAACTTTTTTCTTGTAGATTTAAAGTAATGTGGTAGAGTGTGAAGCATCCTCTTTGTGGGAATCGCAGGGTTTCATTTTTCGAAAACTTCACCATGTAAAACCTTCAAGATTTCTTCCAGTGAACCCTCTAAAAGAATACGCCTGGCCTGGGACAATTAGAGTTTTGACCTGCGGAAGACCAGAAATAATATCAACACACCGACTAAAAAAGTTATGGTCGGTAGCGCCGAGATTCTATACAATCGTATTTGAGGCTTGTTTCATCTTCAGTAATGTTTTTCTGTTCTCTCTTTGAACACCTCATGTGTCATGTACCTTGTTGAGAGAGTTGGCTGACTCAAACTATTTCAAAACGCTCATCAAGAAAAATCGAGTGATAGAATATTTTGAAATTAAAAAATAATGTTATCATTTCATGATTGTCGTTTTATTCTCTGCCTTGTCTAATTCTTAAGTTGCTCTCGATACGGACATATCTATATTTTATGTGTTTGTTCTGAAGCCTTATTAAAGAAGTTTGTACGACATTCAAGTTAGGGTTCTATTCAATCTCCTCAACGAGGCGATCCATATTAGTTTTGACAAAGAAATTTCGGAGAAAGACAGAAAGGCGTTAGCACAAGACTATTCACTTGTTCCGAAAGTTCAGTTTGTTTTTTTTTTTATTCATTACTGCATTTGAAATTAGGTGTTGGGAAAGTTCCGTTTCTTGTCAGTTTTCTAATTAGAGAGGAAAAGAGACGACGCCCCATCAGAAGGACGATTTGAAACGTTTGGTATGTTGATTTTCTCCTTATGGTCCGGCCACCAGAGAGATTTTCCGTGTTCCATGAGAACACAAGGACGTTGAGTCTTGTATATGATTTTGCCCTCCATTAATTTTGTCTTTCTAGATAACGGCAGTACATTGTAACTCATTTCAGTTCAGAACTTTTTAAAAGCATTTATTGTGTTAAGTTACGAATATAAAATATTGCTAAAATGCACCGGATTCAATTTGTCGATCAGCCGAGCTAAAAATGAATTTCCGAATTTGAGATGAAGTAAAAGAAAAAGTTATGAAAACGTTTAATGTTCAATAATTGGGTTTTTTTGCACAAATTTATCTTAATACCAAAAGAAATGAAGACCTAAAAGATCAAAAGAAATGTTAACGTAATCAGAAATTTTCTTGACCTTACCTTCTGAAAGAGACACCGGGTTTACGCGCACAGGCTTGAAGTGGTCTCCTCGAGCTCGAAACGAATATAACTTGTAACATTTGACTGATATGTCCCATGTGTTCCAAAATGTATATATTCAGTTTGCGAGTCATTGTTGCTCAAGCCATTCATTTCTCCGTCAGCAGCTGATCGAATTTTTTTTTCTTAAAAAACAACTTTACGGCCTAATTGGGATAAATTTGCTCATTTTAAACCGGTGTTGTTACTACCGGTATTTTGAAAGAAGACTGAAAAACTTCCGTTAAGAAACAACTCTCAAGTTTTGTTTTTTTCCTCAGTTAATTTTCTGATAACATCAAGTAAACTGATGGTGGATGCTATTTACATCAAAAACATTTGCTGCGATTCCACGCACTTTGAGCTGGACACATGAACAGTGTGAAGGCTGCATGTTTAATATTATCAACTGAGTTGAAGGCTGTTTGGCTCATGTGGTGTCACGTTTTCATCCAGCACTTGCAAATATCAAGGACTGCGTACACCTAAGACACTTACGACAATTTTCTAACAAATATTCACACGAAAAAGTTCATATTTGTCATTGTAATTGCGGGCTCATGCAATTTTGTTAGTCTACATGAAAAAAAGGCCAGACAATGAATTAGAACGCCTGAGATTTCGACAGCGTTTTCTTTAATTTCGTGTGAGATTATTTCAGCTGGTTTGTTGAAGCAGATTACGTTTGGTAGTTTCAAACTTTTGCAACGCTATCATTTTAAAGTTATTCTAATGTATATCTGGAAATAGCCCATTTAGTAATTTGCACTCGTATAACATGAGAACTGCACTCCTTGCTAGCCAATCAGAACTGTTTTCATGTATGTTATGTAAGTAATAATTGGAAAGAGTCATTTGATCATAGTCGTGGATAGTACAAGTGCTAGGTTCAATATATTTAAGCACAGCGGTTCTGAGTGGAGTGTGCCTTTGTTGTTAGTTAAGACAAAAAAAATATCCAAGTTACACATATAGCTGAAAAGCAGAAATAAAAAGAGATAAGATCGAGTATTAACTGCACCGTCATGCAATAAACGTTTTTACAGCTTTGAGCAACGAATATTTCCCTGATGGAAAATTAAGTTGCAGTCACGTGTTAGTTGTACACGTGACGTTTCATTCTTTTCCAAGTTTTCTTATTTAAGTTTTCCTCTGTACAGTGTTTTTTTACATTCTCTGAGTGATGTTTAAACACTGCTGTAACAGATGGCAAAGTTACCTAGGGCCATCTTCAATCCTTACGTGTCAGTTTACCTAAAAGATTTTCTGTCGTCTGTTTTTCCATGGATTAGTATTCGAATGAGTATCTCAAAACTTATGTTGGGTCTCAACGCATGCAAATTTTTTTTCGCTTACTGCACTAAGCTTGTGAAATGCGATCAAGGTTCCGTTCAACTACCAACTCAGAAATTCTCAAATATTTAAAAAAAGATTTTCAGTCATGCCTTGGTGATTTATTGATACTAAAAACAGAAAAATTTTAAAAAGGCAAGCTGTTCAGTTTGAAAACAATGCTAAGTCTATAGCAAGGCATACTAAAGGCGAAAAACTTTCTAATCAACCCAGCTAAGTCTCTGGCATTAAGGAAAATGAAGGATATAAAATAGCTGGGAGCGATTGGTTGCTCCGTAAGAAAAGATAGACAGTTGACGAATTAATGCGAGCAGTCGTTTAAATTATATGTCTTAGTGCGGAAATGAAAAAGTAAAGAAATTATCACAATAGGCCCTTCCTTTCACTGCTGTCTTAATACGGCAGCTGAAGAAATCCCAAAAGAGTCGAACCACTGATTTGTATACAATGTTTTCAGAAAAAAGTATCGACATAAACATGACAAGTCGACAAGTGAGAAATTTCAGGAAATGGAAGAAAACAAGCTTGGAAAAATTCAGGCTCAGTCGCAAGGAAAATGGGAGGGATTGGGAAATTCTTTCGCTTTTCACACCCCACAATATGGGATCCTTTCTAAACTGCTGCGTGTTGACTGTCCTCGGTTAATATATGGTATCCTCAATCACTTTCGACCAAAATATGCAAAAAGTTCTCTAGTATTTCGATCTGACTTCACGAAGAAAATTACATAACAAGAAGAAAATTACATAACAGCGAAGGCTAAAAGTGCTGTGCGCACAAAGTTTACGGGCGCTTTCTTTCGTTCGGATAACATCTGCCTCACAAGTGTGACAACTGGCGGTAGATTTGGTTTTTTATGAGAGACCTAGCTTATCAACACGCAGTAATGGTTAGGAATAAACGAGAATAAAAAATTATCTTCCTCTTAACCCTTCGCACCCTAACATCAGTAAGCATGTACTCCATACTTTTCTCCACGCATTTCCTTGGGTGCTGCAAGGAGAATTTGTTTAACAATCAAGAGCTTCTTTAGTTGGTAATCATTTCATTCGTTCTCATGACTTTACTGTGTGATTCAAGTGTGACGTTGTAGGGAGAAATTAGATGCTAATCACTCTTAGGGTCAAAGGGTTAAAAGTAAAAAAAAAACTCTCCTTTTCGGTGAAATATCAAACTCAGCCTCCTCATTTCGAACAACGAAAAATTATTTTTGTATTTTTTTGGAAAATCCACCCACCATGGCGGGGTATTTAATGTATGGTTTCCATTTGCAGTTGAACAAAAAAATAAACGAATGAAATTTATTCGCGAGACAGTTTTTTCCGTGGAATATTTAACTGACAGAGATTCCTTACTGCGAGAGTTCAGTCCCGTAAAAAGTTTGCTTGGGTGTTCAAATGATTTCCCATGCATTTGGGAATAAGCACGATTAACAATTGTATCCCATACGAACAAAATGGCGAATTGTAGTATTCGAAAAATTTACTCTGAATTGCACGAGAAACTATTTCATCACTGGTTATAAATGTACATTGTTATTTTAGTTTTTATTTATTTCAATGTTTTTCACTAACGATCAATTTTAAATCCATACTTTTCGCACTGTGTGGAATAAGTCGACGAACTCTCGGCCAATAAGCAGGCAGAAAGTCTTGCACGTGTATTGCAACAAATTGTTACAGTAAACAATTAACAGGTACATGCGGGGTGAGGAATATTCGCCAAAATTCGAAATTTTAGCAATAAATGAGAACCATGCAATCAAATCTGAAGTTGCTGAAATACAGTCGCGATATTTCAGATCCTGAGTTCACGAATTCAAAGTCGAGTGCTTGAAAAGTTTCTAAATATGATTAATTCCGGCTGTTTTGAGTTTGTTCAAGTTTTACGATTGATTATGAAAAATGTTCTCTTTGGTTGAAACAAATAACGTGAAAAGGTGAAAATGCAAGAAAACTGTTATCCGCCTGAGAAGTTCGATAGTTCAAATGTAAAAAATTTTAATGCTGAAAATCTGAAGGAAACAAAATAGAGGAAAGAAAAATATCGTTATAATTGAAACTGCTAAAATGACAGGTTGTGAAACAGCAGTCATTCTGTAGACAGTATAATGATTCATTTAGTTTAAGGCCTATTCCCTGATCAGCCTGATCTTATTTACAACTTCTAGACTGACTGAGACAGCTTTCAAATGAAGTATTATTATTATTATTATTTGGCCAGCTATGACAGCACCAGCCAATCGCTGGCAGTATTCATCTAAATTCGTAAAATTGCAGCAATTAGTTGAGTCGAGTTGTTCTCCAATTTTTTCTTCTGAGAAAATCAATTCTCGTAAACAGATGTAGTAGCCGACAACCCATCTGAAAAGTCTTCCCCTGTAATTTCCATTCTGTAGACCCACGCAAAAATCTCAGATATAACATTTTCTTCAGAATCAGCAGAAATATCGGATTCTCTGAGTAGATGTTTATCGTGGTTTCCATTGCCAAAAAATTTAATTTCGTCCAGCTCATCCCTCGCCGAAGCAAAAGGCATCAAAATTTCTGATGGGAAGTTTCGTGTGATTTCTGTGACGTAAATCGGCTGCAACACTTCTCGTGCAGATGGAAGGCACAGTTCTTGATCGCTTCTCAAATGCTTGTCAGCCCTGGTCAGAAAACTCTTTCCTGGTAAAAATCGCTTGAAGTTCGTTTTGCATCTGAGCCGTGAGAAACAAAATGTTCCGTTATCGCATCTTCTCAACTTGAAATTCTTACACATCATCGCGAGAAGCAGCTTGTGAAAGATTTTTACAAGTCCTGTGATGAAGGAATCAAGAAATAATTATACACTTTAGAGTCAGCTTGTAACAGCTGTGTCAGCCGGCGGTAGTTATACTATAGGGAAATGATTGGCCGAGAAATGACATTTGTTATTGGGTTTCAAATTCAATATTCTATTTTAAAACCTGAGTCACAATTGTTTTTGGAATAGAGACATTTGAAAAGTTCTGGTATCTTATACGCATCTACCGCAAAAATATAAAAAGCCCTACATACATCAACATCAACAAAAAGCCGAAATGACATCCGCACATTTTTACAGCAACTGACATATCAGTGATTAAGGATTAAAAGCTCTCGCTGCTTCTTCTCGCACTGACATACAAAGGTGAAGAAACAAACCACTTTCAAGCTACGAAGTAAACAAAGTTGTAAAAAAACTGGAAACTACGAGTTAAAAACTATGAGTTGGAAACTGTGAGTTTGTGACGATGAAACTATGAGTTAAGAATACTAACCTGTTGCACGAGCCATTCCTTCAACGAAAGTTCAAAGAGTTCTTAATTGGAGACAAAATATTTTAGCTTAACCGAGAGAATATTTTCGGTCTATACGCTACAATAATCTCTCACTTTTGTTGGAGTAACTCTATCTTTTGAAATCACTGTCACAGCGAACAGAGGAAATTCACATCCTTTCGCATTTATTCAAAGTAGACTTTGTCAAACACGTATGCAAAATGTTTCTCCGAATGATTTAATATCAGATGACACAATGAAATTTGGCAGCCAATGAAAATGAGAAAGTGCTTATCCTTCGCCTTCAAATTATTGACCACAAACCTCAACGAGTTTTAACGTCCTCAGATCTCAACCATTTGACGTCATTTCGACTGAGTCGTGCATTAGGAAAAATAGCTGACAAAATTATAAATTGTGCCGACATATATCATTCTTAAAAGAAATAGGTCAAATATTTTTCACCCATGGGCATCGGGAAAGCAAACTGATATTAAAAAAAAAACCCTCCGTAAAACCTCCCTATACAATTAATCCAGAAGCTCAGAGAATGTTCAATTACCTCCCAACTACGTGCAGTGTGAAAGCTATGTTTTTAGCATAAATTCCGAGACGTTGTTTCATAAACAATTTATGAAAACACAATTGGAGTTAAGATTATTAAAACTCGTTTACAAATAAGAGAAGTTTACTTTGACTGCCCGGAGTTTTAAAACAAAACTTTTGAAATGTTGATAGAATTTTCCCAGCTGGTTCACTGAAACTAAACATGCTAAATGTTCCTGTAAAACCTATCAATGGCTTTAAGGTAAAGGCAGCTTATACATATAAAAAGTTTTAGTTCCACCACATTCCCGCTGCAGCACTGGTTTGGTAAAGTTCTCTCATGTTGATAAAACGTTGAAGGATATCCTGAATTTCTCACTCGGCGGCGTCTGATTCAAACCCGTGTTATTTTCTCTCCTTGAATTGATTGCAAATGAATCACTGACTCGAAGGAATCAGTATTCATGGTGAATGCTTGTACATTAACAGCCTTCTGAGCTGACTTGACGAATATTTTTGCAATATTGTCAACAGTTCACTTGGTCATTATTCAACAAGCTCCTAAAAGGCTTTTTGCTTCACGGCTATCGATTGTGAAAGTAACACCGCTACGTAATTTTTAGAAAACACAGTCCATTCTTTGTCTTGCTCACAACTTCTTTCAATTCAGTTCTGTTGGCTTTATCTTCTTTTGTCTTTGACTGAAGCCTGGAATTCAAATTGTAGGGAAAATTAGGCATTGCTTCCTTAGATTATGTATTCTATCGTGTTTACGTGTTTAACGCAGCCCTACCCCTCCCCCAAAAAGAGTCTCACTGAGAAGGCTGAGTCTTATCCGATCAGAGAAGATCTGGAGCACCAAGAAAATTTTCTAAAACTACCAGGTCATCAAATACCTCAAATGGCTAACAACTTTGCGTTATAAATTGTGGGCTCAGTAAGGATTCAGAGGGGAGTTTGCTCATGCGTGTTCCACAGCTTTGCCATTACGTGCCACAGACTTTCCAGTACGTGAAATGGGGAAAACAAATAGTGATTACAATGGTCTTGGTATTCCTGAGATTGCTGTTTCTTAACTTGAAGCTAAGATTGCCAACTGATGTGGAACCAAATTCTCGGAACATGAATTACGGAAAACATGGAATGGTAAGTGAGAGGTATATGACTATACACGAACCTTATCACGGGCGATAAATCACTGCAACCAAACACCACTAATAATAGACAGTCACTTGGCACAGCATCGTGGATTTGCTGGATACTTGAATCCACGGAATGAAGTACGTCCTATTAAGAGCAAAGATACATGATTACTTTACCATTTGAAGTATGTACGCTTTACATTGATGGTACATGTGTGAGCAGTGAAAAACGTAGACCGACTAGTTGGTTAAACAGATGGAGACGATAACATGTACAACCTTACTTGACATTGTGTATGTTTGGAGGCACAAAATAAAAAAAAAATTGGCTAAACCTACAGCCAGAGCTACAGAGATATGTTTGACCTCCTTTTATTTGAATTTAACATAGTTACCGTGAATTACGATAAGATATGATTTTGTAATCTTTTGTGCGCACTTAGGTTTAAGCATGGTCGACACTTAAGTCTAATATTTGATTGGAAGATCTACACTTTTTTTTGTAATTTGCGTTGAGGACTTCAATCTATGGAGCTTATATTTGTTACATTATTTCATTATGTTTTTTTAGGCATGGGATCGTTGTAAGAGTTCAGCTATCAAAAATGAATTTTATTTTGGAGTGCACTTTCATCTCCTACCTTGAAAGTTCTTTGCTGATTTTCATTATTGCTTGACTGTTCCTCTGCAAACAGAAGATTAAGCATAGGCTCATTATCATACGTTAAGTAGGCAAAAAATGCGAATGGGAATGCGAAAATTACATTAACAGATAGTACATAGGACTCTAATAGCATTCTAATCAGACGAGAAGAGAGCAAAAGTCTCCGAAAGCGAACAGAAGGCAGAAAAGCATCGTGAGAGCGAAGAGAGTTTCAGTTCAAGGAAGTGGTATTTTAATTTGTACAACGCATTAATCAAATGAAAAGGTTCTCCTTGCTTTTCTCGTCATCCAGTAAACGAATTATCTGATTGGCCCCTTAGTGATGCATTATCAGACAAGGATAAGCCGCTGAATCAAATTCCGCTTACCTTTGAAAAACATCTCAGCTTCATGAAGATGAGTCCAGACGATATCGGAGGACTCCATTAATTTAACCGCGCCAGAAACTACCTGGAAGAAGTGAATGTCAATATCTTATAATATAGTAAAGGAAGAATTCCTTGTAATCATGACTACTGGACTGTTTACTTTTAATCGCCAGATCAGGTGTAGTTTTGGGGAAACCTTTCGCTTACTATTGTATATTGTGAGTCTCAACATCCCAGAATAACACATGTTCTGTCAAAGCTGACAATGTAAAAGTATGGAAGACAACCTCACGATTTGATTCTCGGGGCTGCGGAAATTTCTGTGCCAAAGCATTTTCTGATTATGTGAAAAAACAGCCTCATCAATATCAATGCCTTACACACATTTAAATCTGTAATCTCTAGACCGTCGCATAAGTCCCACCTCTTCATCTGAAGTGCAAGTTACTGCATGAGTTGCTCCTTTGCCAAACTTTTTTACTACTCCGGGAAAATCTAGGATGGATCCTACATGACGAAACAGACAGCTCAACACTTCTCTTTGGTTTATGTGTAAAAAGTTTTAAGAGAGAGACGATAGTTCCCTAAATGTAATTCTGTAAAGGTGCTGTTGAAAAATCAACTTTAGTTATTTCATTTGACTGAGATCATTATCAACCTTACATCCAAAAGAGCATCTTTATTAGGGAAAAAGTGGTGGCCTCCATTATGTGATAGCACCACTGAGCCATGAAAATGTGGCTATACTGATGCAGGAGGGGGGAGAGGGGGAGGGGGTAATACTCTTGAAGTTATCAATATCATGCAAGGAATGGGATCAACAATCATTCAATTTCTGTTTAAAATCAACTGGATGAATAAAAGTGACATGAAGGAATTTTTTTTTACTTTGAAAGATCTAAAAGAGAGTTGTTGTAAACGGGAAAACTTTTAGTACCCTGCTAACTCCTCTGGTAGTACTAAAAAGTAAAAGTTTCCAAGAAACTTGGTAATCAAAAAGTGTTAATTGATCATAATATTGTGGTGAAAATGTGGCGAGGTTCTACAGTACAGTAGAAAACTCAGCTACCTCTTTTCCTACTACGTTCAATTTGCTTGAAAAATCTGATTAGAGAAGCAAATCATGGTTAAAAACATATGCAATGATTTATTTGATGTTGAATATCAAACTTTTAATTTTAATATAGAAAGAGTCAAAAGTGAAAACAAGAGGGCTAATGTCTTCAATTGTGAATGCCTTTGCAAAGTCCCCTAAACTGTGCTGCAGGTAAATTTCGAGACAACATGTACTTCATACCCTTCCTTTCCTGACAAGGTTTTTCCAAAGTTAGGACCTGAAAAAGGCAAGAGCAGAGAAAATAACAAAGATTTAATGACAGAAAAAGATAATAAACTGATGACAACCAACAAGTTGGTAAAAATTGAAGTGCTGACCATTTTTAATTTTGAGCTGAACTAATTCCATGCAGGTTCTTGCATCTTCTATTGAACAATGACCACTTTCTCCATTCTGAATATCCTTCCTTTAGAAAAAAAAAGAACTTAACTAAAATTAACTGCTATGAATGTATATGTAACTTTTTTTTTTAATTTAATACTGTAGATAAAGTTTTCAATCCTGTCTCATATAAATTTATTGCCAAATTAACAAATTAGTTGTTAACCAAAAAAGTCCATCCTGCAATCAGTGGTGAGTGAATGAGCTGTGAGAAATATTTGAAAAACCTACTTTAAATGCTGACGAGCAAGATTCCGTAATGATGATTTAAACAAAGGTACTCCTTGACAGTCTCCATAAAGGAGAGAAGTATCGATCACTCTTGTGTGATAGAGCTGAAAATCAAATAGGTAAATGAACAAAGAGATCTGGAATGTGCCAAGTACCATGTTATACCATACAGATATAAGGTGTACTATTTGAGGACAAACTGCTGGAGGAGATGGCAAAATGGTTCTCCTTCAGAGGGTGAACTCACAAGGGTGGTGGGGGGCAAAATTGCATTGGGGCAAAACATCCCTGAACCATGAATAAAATAAGATAACAAAAGAAGGAAATTCAATAACAAGTAAATCACAAACAAAAGAGAATCTTATAAAGAAATATTAGAACCATACTATATTATGACATGATTAAACTGGTTCTTAAAAAGAGAAAAAAGTGCGTTGCACGCACTTCCATTACAGACTGAAATAAATGTCAAATTATTGCCAACCTTAAGGGCTCTGAGGTCAAACTCTAGTGAATGCCCTAAAAGAATGGCATCTGCTGGTAGAATATCTACCAAATGTTTCTGAACATCAGTTAATGTTGTAGTTACATTCTCCAGCATTTCTGCAGTGATTCCACTAAACCTACACAAAAAAAAGTATCACAACAGGGTGGAAACCTTAATAACTGAAATTGATGTGAAAAACTAAGTTAACAAATAAAAATTGGGAAATACTGATTCAAGAGTAGTTGCTGCATTTCTCTTTAAGCCAAGTTCAAGGTCCATAATGTAAGTTAAAAACTACCCAAACTATTTATCATGATCACACACATAGTTTAAGGTAAATTTGCCCCTGAAAATTTGTTTCTATCACTTACTCTGTTTTGTAGTCCACTATTGGCCTGGGTGGTTTTACAAGTGTGTCATAAACCACCCTACATGATTCATCAACCAATGATATTCTTGTGAGTTCCTTTCCAAGTGATGACTTACACTAGTAAACACATGAATGACAACAAATCAATCAATGTGGCCATTAAAACTGAGGTCAGTTTTTATTGATTAATAGAACTGACTACCAATCCCACTTTACATGGAAGAACAATTAATTCTTATCTATAATTCTTGAATAATTGATATGATTTTGTGAACATACAGTACCATTTCACAATCGATTGCAAACATTGGTGACTCTGGAGATTTCTTAGACTTCTTAAATGGTTTAGTTGAAATAAACCCTAAAAACAAGGAAACTAGTGTTAATGAAACTGCAGACTGACCGATTTTTTTCTGCATACTAATACATGATATTGCCTTTACTTGCAAACTTGCAACCCTCATCTCCTCCCCTTATCCCATGTTCTATATCAGATTTTTATTCCATATCCTGGTGCCCTGTGGCCCAGTTGCTATGGTGACCTTCTCTACATTGTACCTTGATGACACTTATTTCACATGTAAGGAGAAATTCTTTCTTGGTCACTCATAGGAATGATAGGGTTAAAATTACAAATATCAATTACCTGTTATCATTAGTATAGGTAATCACATGGTTTCTTGTGCAATTTTTAGCGCAATATGCATGAGTAAATTTTTTCAAAGACTAAAAAATTGCACAAGCCAGTAGGACGAGTGCAATTTGTGGTCTTTGGAAAAAATTACAAGTACTTATTAATATTTTCACATCAGTTCTTTAAGGCACAAAAAAGTTCAAAGTCTGGCTAAACAGTTCAAGGAATTGTTAAGTCTGTTTTGTTACTTCTTTGCACTGAGTTAACCCTCTTCTGCATGAATTATCTGAAAACTGCATTTATCTTAAACTAATCAGAATTGAGTAATTTTTTTCATGTATCTTATTAATATCTAGATTATACGCATTTATCACCAATACCATCATGTTCTGTTTCCCCATTCTTGTCACTGACAGCACTTGGCAGTGGAAAGTTATTTTCATGCATCTCCTCCAGAGTTAATTTGTAATCCTCTCTACCAAATTTAGCTGAATAAGATTTCAAATTACAGGTGGATCAATTATAATCACTGATCTATACATCAAAATCATAACAAAAATATATATTGAGGAAAATCATCACATCTGAAACAGATTAACATGTACATCATTTGGTTAAACACTCACTCTTTTCCAGCCTTTTCCTCAATTTCTTTAACTCTTTCTTTGGCATATCAACAAGAAGTAAGCTCTCATGAGGAAGTTTCACACTAAAGTCTGTTCCTGATGCTTTGGTGTTTAAGCCCTGAAAAAGGAAATAAAATCAAAGCAAAATTGGTTGAAATCATTTAACATTTAATTGTCTCAATACACCAGATAAAAAATCTTACCAACTGAAAGAAGCTGCTACATTTGGGAAAACAATCTTTATTTTCAATAAATTCCTTTGCTCCCACACCACTGACAAGAATGATGATGACTTTGTGGACTTTATCAGCACCTTCTATCTGACACCAGGACTGACAAGACTGGCATCTGGGATCAACATCTCGTAGGGATGCAAAGAAAATCAGATCTGCTAATTTTGAGATCTTAATTCTTTCTTTGGTGTTTTTTCCAACCCTGAACAACTGATGTGCATGAGGGATAATCTTTGGCTAAAGGATGATAATAAAATTCATTAAATCACAAATAGCTAATTTCACACATCTTTCAAATCACTAGTTTTAATTACAGTTAACCCTTCAACCCCTTAAAGTGACTAGCATCTAATTTCTCCTTACAATATCACCTCAAGTCACACATTAAGGTCACCAGAATGAAGGCTCTTGATTTTAGGAAATGTATAGAAAACAGCATATAAAATATGCATACTGATGTTAAGGTGAAACACATTAAATAGACTCTCTCTTTTGTGAGTAGGACTGTTTGAATATCTAGTCATCAATAAAAATCTCTGTTCCCTAGTAAAAAATCTGGAGTCCTTCTGCTGTTTTTTTCACTCACCTTCTGCACTTCCTTCTCACTCTTCTCCTTACTTTTTTTTCTCTTCTTTACTGGTTCTGCCACAGGAAAAAAAATTGATAACAACGAAGTTTATGTTCTGGATCAATTTGCCTGCATAACCAGAAACGATTGTGATACAGTGTTTCGTGAATAATACATGTATAGAAAAAGAAAAAAACTATGTGTAACTAAGGTGTTTATTTACCAGAAACTGATTTTGGCCGTTTTCTTTTCCTTGATTTTTTAGCCTACAAAATAGAGATATCGAGTGAATAACTGCTGCATAAGGATGAGTATACAGCTGTACATAGCCTGAGCGACTGAGATAAGCAGCCACTTTACAATTTACAATTCGGAGTATAATGAGCTGTTTACACGAAGGAAACACGCGTGTTTCTCTTCTGCAATTGCATTTTAAGTAAAGGTGGGATAAAACGGTGACAAGTAGGTTTTATGGAAAGAATTCGATTAGATAATTTTCAAAGTAAAAATGCTTCTTATTGAGGTATTAAAGCAGAGTTTTAGAACCACGTTACACACACGACCTACCGGCTTGTCGTCCATGTTGGATTTTAACCTGCGAAGAGACTGGGCAGAGAATGGTGTTTACTACTTTGTGTAAGCAAGTTGAACCTGTCCGTCGAAGCAGAGAGCCTTTGATTTTTCAAGGGGTACTACATAAAAAGGATGACGGTACTGTAGTCTACGAAATGAACAGATCGGATCGTCAAAATCTAGAAACAATTCGACCCGTTTTGGCTTCAGGAGCAGTTTTTGTGATTATCTTCACGTTCCAGTTTTACAGGTTAGTATTCTATTACATTTTTTCATATTTTTTGTTTGATCAGCACCCTACCCAAAATGAGCTGTGATTTGGTAACCGGTACGTAAGTAGCCCAGCTGAGAAGATCAGTGATCACAGTATGTCTATGGTTATCTTCTCTGTTTCAATTTTGATTTTGAAGCTTTTAGTTGATTATGATCTTATAAAGTTAACAAATTTCTATGAACCCATATTTTCACGTCCAACTCAAATACCAATACTTAAGATCATGTGACATGTTGTAAGCTTACTGTAGACGTATTAAGCTTAGTATTAGTAGTTGATATTGATGAGGGGTGTTCGTTAGAAAGGGGGTTTTTAGGGTTTGGGTCGAAATAATTTAGGGAGAGATATATCGGTAACGAGATCAACTATGAATATCGCTCTTACTCCATATAAGGAAGTTGGTATCTATAGATATCTTGGATTATTCTTCAAAAAAAATTGTTATTACGTGTTTGCATCAATGTAACTCTAAGCTTTTTTTGTAACTAGTTGTCCCCCATTAGTCATTGGAATATGGATTCTTGCCTTTGGAGTTGCAGTAGGATTCCTTGTCTTTAGGTAAAGTTTGATCATCATATTCATAGATATTCAAATCTTGCAGTAAATACATGGTAATAGTTTACTTATAGTGAATGAACAGCTGGAAAGCAAAACTTACTCGCTAAATCTGGGATATGATTTTAAAGGGCATGCCCAAACTGAGATGCTGATTACCAGCACTGGCTCAAGTCTAAAGAGACCAAAGTTTCATTTAACCAGGAAAAGGAGACCTGCATTTTATGTTACAAAAGAAAACTTTTAAAACTTCAAAAAGTGTTCATGAATCTAATTCTTAGTTGTTACCTTAACAATAATTTTTTTTCTCTGTTAAGCTTCTAAGTTGGTAGTTCTTAATGTTACTAACACTTGCATATCTTGACTTGTTTATATCCAGTTATTGTTCAGTTTTACCCTCTGTACTACTGCACTGGGGCCCTCGCAAAAAGGTACTTGACTGTATTACAATAAACTGTTTCTACTTTAGGATCCTAGTGGTATTGTACATCAGCCAACCGAAAGAATGTTAGCCATGTGTTATTAGTTGAATTAAGAGTGGATATAAATAGTGATATACCTAATAGTATACAAATTTATTGATGGTTTGTGAAAATCTCTTTTTCTACAGTATTATGAAGAAGGTGAAAAGTTACAGGCATCCTCATCCAAGCAGTGTACCATTTGTGGTAATAGAAAATGCCAACGTCACAGGTATATAACAACATCAAAAATTCTTTGTTCCTTGCATGTCAATTATATTTGAAAATGGTAAAACATTTTATTGACTTACTTCAGGCACATTTACACTTTTCAATTTCAGATATAACTAAATCCTTTGATGTACATATATTGGGTGATAAAAAATTAATTTTTTTTAATTATCTTATTATTTCCTTCTTAATGCACAAAGACCAGAGATTTCAAGAGCCAAGCTAAAGGTAAAAGTATCACAACTAATATTTCACTCTTTTTGCTCTGGCAATAATTAATAATAATGTTTAAGGTCAACACTATTCCCCTGAACTCTCGTGGGTAGAGACTAACATTGCTTCTGACATCATGAAAAGAATTCCAAATGGCAAAAGTACACTTTTAGTTCTTGGGAATGGAATGCTGCAGCTTGGAATGCTTCTGTCACTTATGAGCCCTCAACTCCCAAGATCTGATTGTTGATTCTCCCCTCTGGCTGCCAAACATTTCCCTACAAATTAGTTACAAGAATTATGTGTTAAATTAAGGTAACACTTTCTATACCTGATAAGTTTGAGTTTTCTCATTACCTGTTTGCTGGATGGGGATACTATAGGGAGAATTTACAAGTGAATCATTTCTGGAAGTCAACTATTAAGGGATAACTAGTATATTATTCTAAACAAAAGCGATTGGTGTGACTTAGGGAAAATTTCATGACTTTGAAAAGTGGCTGTAAGATGTAAGGACCAAGGTGTTTGAATGCAGGTTTGTTATCACTTAAGTTAAGATGATCAGCAACTGAGGGAATTAACTTTAGGTGGATGAAATTATCTTCCAATGGTATTTCATATTAAATTTAGCAACAAAGTGATCAAAGTAAGCCATTTCCTAATCTTGCTTCTCTTTTATCTGTAGCCATGGGAAGACCTTTTTATTCCAGAATCTGTAGATGCTGCATTACAAGAGGTTTGTCATAGAATGTGATTACTGACTTGTACTTATAGAAGTCACTCATCAGACATACTACGTCATTTTGATAAGGTATATATTGTTTGCTGATTTTATTTAATATGTAATTGTATCCTTTTATTTTCAGTTTCTTGGTCTCTTACTTCAAAACTATGTGTACAGCTGGTACAGGTACATGAATAAATTGGCAAACTTTTTCTTATTTAATAATAGAAGAGAAAGATTAATGTAAAATGTAAATAATTTATATCATAGTTTACTCTAAAGTTACTCCAGATGATATTTTACTGAGTTTCCTGTCCAATAATCACAGACATGTCATATGATTCAAATCCGACATATTTAGAGTTTATACCCAAATGTTTGGTTACATTCATATACAAGAAAGACTAAGGTAGCAATTAAATAAAAAATGAACAGTTTTCCTGCATTTCATTTTGAAATTCAATTTGTCACTAAGAGAGTTGGCTGCAAACTGGTATACCAGTTTTGAATCATGCATACATGTATTTAGATTAATTAAAATAAAACTGTTGTTAACAATAATTCTGCCCTAATTGTATCTCACTTCACTGTCCTGTAGAGAGTTAAGCTGTAGTGAAATATGTGTGGATGAAATCCGTGCAAGCATTAGATACATGGCTGCAGTGTTGTTAAAGAGAATACAAAAGGTACATTTCCTGTGTTACAAACTGTCAATGAATGTTTGAAATGTTAGAAAAGGCAAAAAAACAACTAGCATAGCCATATGACACCAGGTCTGGGAATTCAGCCTACAATGAGGCTAAGCAATGCTTCTTTGCCAGCCCAATACATGAACAACTATCAATATCTGTTCTCTCCTCAGTTTGATCTCCCAACTTTTGTTATTAACAATGTTGGCAAGGAAGGTTTGAAGCATTTAGAGATGTATTTGACAACAAAACAAAAAGGTATCACCCAGCAGTGCTCTTTATCTGTATAGAATAATAATGATAATAATAACATAGAGTTTATAATAGAAATAATTAATTCACAAGACTAAAAGTAACTGTTTGTTGTATTCATTCAGTCACAGCATCAGGCTCTGCAGCCAACATCCAGACAGCCATTTTAGATCGCTTTGGACCCAAGATGCATTGTGCACTGCAGAGTCGTCAAATGGAACTTCACTATCTGAGGAAACTGTCAGAGTCTATTATTCCTGTTATATTACCTCCAAATTCCTTGCAGTGTAGGTATGTTGTGGCCATAAAATTTCTTTTTTCACCAAACCACACAGAGTACACGCGAGTAAGCAATCCATTGAATAGTCTATTATTTAATTTGTTTTTAAGATTTTCTGTATTGCTTTAACCAGATCTTATTAAATTTCAGGAGTCTTTTGTCCTTACTGCGAGAACTATTAGCCAGTGCAGTCTTTTTAACAGCAGTTGACAAACTATCAGATCCGGTAAGTTCACTGTTAAAAAGTTGACTGTAATTTATGGTCTGATTCATTTTAAATGCAATGCTATAATTTTAAAATACTACACTTTGTTATGATAACTTAATTTTTTTAAACTTTTCAGGATTTTGTGAATAACATGCTTCTTCTACTTCTGGACAAAGAACCTGTAGGTGTTTCTTTTCAACATGTCACATTATAGTTGTTGTTTATAAAGTATTAAAGTAATTGTTGTTGTTTAGTTTTAACTTTGCTTTCATGTTGGGTAATGCTGTAAGAAGGGTTATTCAATTAATTCTCATAATATTATTCAAACCAAAGTCATGTCCATGTCTCAGATGGTTGCCTCAGAAGAACCACCCTCTCCAAAAGTGCCATTACTTGCTAAGTTTGCCAAACCAAGGACTCCAGTTATGAGCTCGGTAAGTTGTGAATCATGGACATGTCACACAGGGAGGAATTTGATTTGTGACAGAATTGATACAGATGTCACCTTTGGTAGAAAGGTCATATAATAGCTGTATCCACTAGCATTCCTTAATTTGGTACTGTTATGTTATGTTCTCTCAGGTGAAAGAGGAAGGTTCAAACTTCAAGAATATATGGAGACAGATATTTTAAAAGTTCAGATCCTGTCATTGAGGCAAAAAAAAAGCTCTTGAGTCCAAGCAATAAATTGTGCAAAAATTTAGCATGTGGAATATAACCGCTAATAGTTAAGTGCCTAGCACTGCAATATTTAGCTTTCTTTCTCTTAAAGGCAAAACATCTTTTCTGAGTAATGTGAGATAATTACATTTGCTAGTTTGTATGTTTATTTTCCAGGCTCTTCATCTTTCCATAGCAGATATACTTCATACCCAGTCCGCCCTGTTTCCTTTCATGCAGTTTATGAAAAGCGAAGGAGCGCTAAACATTCTCCAGTTCTGTCTTACTGTTGGTATGTTAATTTCATTTAACATTTAGATTTACCAACACTGTAATTTTTTTCTAGTAATACAACAATGTAGCATTAAAAATTGTCTATTAGAGGGTTTTTTCCAACAATTTTGCCTATGTTTTGTTCTACAAATTTTGCAGAGGATTTCAATAAAAGAATATTTGCTTCTGAAGAAACAGAAGAAGAGAAAGTATTTATATTAAAAGAGGTAAGATCTGCATGTGTCTTAATTTATAACCTTTTTTACCAAATCACTGGTATGTATCTTTGGACACGTTTTGAGACCATTGTTCATCTTTGGTTACACAGGTCAGAGAAATCTTCAGTTCATATTTCGATAATGAAGCTGTGGACAGAATCAACTTTGATCCAGATATGGTCCAGGGGTTACAAGACTGTAAGTGTTTAAACGCTGAATTCAGCTATAAGAAAGATTTTTTTTGCTGGAAATGAAACCTGACCGACCTGTTCCCAAGTTTTACTACGAAACCTCTTCTTTTAGATATGACGAGGTGGGGCTTGTTCACGATCAGTATTACCTTTTCTTTGTGTTGGACCTCGTATTTTACATTTAACTGAATACAGACTTCTAGTGCGGGTGTCAGTTACATAGTTTTTGTTCTTCTGTCTTGAAACTTTTCTCGTTTGTTTTACTTTATTTCAGGTATTAATGCTCCTGTTGACAAGATGGAGAGATTGAAAATAGCTTCCTTTCTGTCAAAGTAAGTTAATTTTAATCGTAGCAGTTGAAGCAATTTTACGTTGGTTTGAAAACAGATGTATAATTTTTTGTTGTAGTTTTGATATTCAGGGTTGTGTTAACTAAACACAGTCTCTGTCCGCACCAACCTGATAAACATTATACTCAACCGCATCTACATGCTGTCTTTGTGATTTGTTCTCGATCGATATTTCAGGGCCTGTGAACATGCTTACAATCTTTTAGAGACAACTTTTCTGCCCCTGTTTTACCAGAGCGATGATGTAAGTTCTTGTAAAGATAAATTTATTGATGTCTCATAAATTTATTGATGTCTCATAAGTTGAAACGATGATAAAAGTTTCCCATTCGTAAAAGGTAAATTTTAGCCAACCGTGAAAAGGGTGAAAAAAAATGAATGAACGTTTCTAGAACCTATAACATTTCGTCACGAAAACAAAAATCACATTGTGGAGGGAATCATTTACACGCATTGTACCTTCGTCAGAGCGATTGGGTCTGACGACTGGGGGCTAAACGCCACCGTAAATCGTAAAAAAGCTGACGTTTTTTTTAGCCCTTCGTACGATTGGTCTGACGAATTAACGTTTTCGAATCCCAGTTGTCAACACTAAATTACCTGCTATATTCTCCCACCGACGCAGCACCACAGTTTCTTTAGAAACTTACCCCTTTATAAATTTCTTTTCCCTCTAATTTGCATTTATTTGTTTGTTTGTTTGTCTGTAGATACGTGCACCTTCGTATATAATTCTTGTTGTCATAGGACACAGTTGTTTGCACAAATCGAATATATTCAGCATTGTCTTGCTAATCAGCTTACTTTTCCTTGACATGAATTTGCTTTTAACCCCTGATTTTCAACGTTAAGGCTCGAACATCCATTTCAATCTGCAGTATTTTACACTATTGTGTGGGAGCCGATTGCCGGCCAAACCTTTGAACAAACCGACTTCAAGGTAAAGAAACCTCTTCAATCGCTTCGTTTTCATTTTGATCAACGATATCTCTTATGAGTTGTCATCTGTTTGTAACTGAAAATGACGCTCGCCAAGTTAACTTCGACGTGTCAGAATGAGAGAAGCAAGATATTCCTTTCCATTTGTTGCAGGGCTTCAAAGAAGAAGTTTGATCCTTTGGCCGAGTTTTCAAGGTTAGCCGGAAAGTTGAAAGATAAAGTAATGAATCCGAACAAAGGTTAGTAAAAGTAAAGTGACTTTGTTTGTCGTAGGTCGAAAAGTATTATAAGTTGCTTTAAACATGTAATACGAAATTAGGTACATCCGATTTTTCCATTATACCATGTTTTTACTTTGTTTGTGGAACTTTTGGGGATTTCAATAATTCTTGACTACAGTTTCACGCAATAGCGCTGTAAATTCTCCAACGTTAATTTTTTTTAATCATAAGGATACTCTTTTAAGATATTGACTCCACTGAATTTTTTTCACTCCAGATGATTCACCGTATGAAGAGGACCCGTTTGATATCCCGGATACACCTCCGGTAACGCTCTACAACTTTTTCCCCAAATCACTAAATAGTGTAAACACTCTGGAATAAAATATATTAAAGTTCACACGGCAACCAGGTGGACAATCAGACATGGTTTGATGCTACTCTGGTTTTGAAGTTAACTTCTTCGGTTACATTCATTAAATCTGTAAACCAGAGTAGCATCAAACCATGTCTCACCCTGGAATAGTTTGGATGTTGGTTAGCAATGTAATGAACAACATTATCATGAACACTGATGTTGAAACGGGTATCTCTTCTTTTAGTTTATTATTATTATTATTATTATTATTATTATTATTATTATTATTATTAGGATTTCGACTGGCAAAGTGAAGAAAGTGAAGAAGTGGAAGAGAAGGAGACACGTGACCTCAGCTTGTGGAAGATAACGATCCCTCACGTGATCATGGAAACTAAACAGGTGATTGATCATTCCACATTTTAGGCTTAGGTTAGCCAGCCATAACTTTCGCTTTTGCCTGCATGGTAGGAGCCTGTTTCAGGCATTCAGTTTGTAAATAGCACAAGCAGAGCGGCAGGGCTAAGACACTGTGGGGTCAAGTGCTTTATTACGCGACCCAACCTCACTCGACCCAAATCTCCTCGTTTTTTCACTCCTCCGCTACTATCGCGCCGTTTGCTTTCGCGTTTCGTATTGCTTTTTGAACGCCCTGGAACAGGCTACCGCTGCAAGTTAAAGCGAGCAGGAAATCAATTATCACCAACCACAAAATTTAGTGAATGCAAAGCGGTTGACTTTCAATTTCTATTTTGTGACCATCAAACCAGACCTAAATGAAATCTATTGAATAAGCAGTCTTGTGATAGGATTGGTTACCGTGTTGATAGATAGTAGAGTAAACATTATGGTAAATGCTTAGACTAGTGATAACGCTGATGTTTTCACTTCACGTCTTAATGTCGGTAGCTTTAAATTACACCAGTTATAGACATTCTTACACGAAGCGTAATACATTACATTGCTTTACAGAAGTGTATGTTTATTATATCAGTGGAAAGAGCTGATGTAGGAGAAGGTGCGTATGCTTTACACCTACATTCTGTACAATTGTCACTATTCCGAATCAAGGTGTTCTTAACAATCGTCGCCTTTTCCATCGCAAAATTGAACAAGACATACATGGCAGAATTTACTTTTACCAAACAACGAATTTTAACCTGTCCTCAAATGCGATGAGATAGCGTGTCATCCATTTCAATGTGTTGTCTACGTTAATAGTTTATCTTCCAGTGACTTTGGCCCAGTTTACTAGACTAATCTCAATGTCAGATGTTTTTTCCCCTTCTTATGGTTTTCATCGCTTTCGACCAACGTTTCTGCGCACTTTTGAGTCCTTCTTCCTTTTCCACCAAATCTCTGGATATTTGTGTGAACTTGTTTTCTAAGCTTGCTGCTGCCTGTTGAGTTATTTGAGTTTGTTGCATGGACATTTGCAACCGTAATTCACTTTGTGAAAGTCTTCGGTCGATGTGTGCAAGCTGGTGATATAAGGTTTCAAGCCGATCGCGCATTCTCTCATATTCCATCGTCTTTCTATCGAAGTTAAGAGCCAGGCTTTGGTTCGCTTGATGTTCTATCGACGGTGTATAAAGTTTTCTAACAATCGCCTTGTTGTAAAGCGACGCCACCTTTTGAAATCAAAGGGGTATTGTTTCAGCCAAAAGCGGCTTTCTTTGCAACAAAGTCGATAATTAGAAGACGATAATTAAAAGTCAAAATTATTATAACTATTACTATTTTAAGCTACAAATTTCAACATGTAAACGAATCGTTAAGATGAAAGATGTTATCCAGCAAAGCGCTCTTTATAAGGTATTTTTTTACTTCTTTCACCTAAATTGTAAAGTATTTTTCCAAAGCTATGTTCGAAGGTTCTTTCAAATATCCGCTCATTCCACGGTTACTTCTCGAGTGTAACTCGATGATTATCAGTGTTTCCTTTCCAGCCCTATTCAATTTCCTTTAGTTCAGTATGAAACGATAACAATGGATATCAAACCAGCATATACCTTTGGTAACTAATGCCTTCAAAGCATCCCAGCTCCCCCACAATCCGCGCGTATTTTTCAAAGCTCTTATTTTCATTCGTTGTCAATAGGACACACCTCTTTCAAAATGGCTGAACCGCTTTCTGAATGCGCATAAGTGGCAACCTATTATAGGAGTGGTGAAGTTATCCAAATGAAGGAAACCCCAAAGAATTTTATTATTTCTCGAAGACCGGTAAAGCGGTCTACTATTGCTTCCGTTTTGTTGAAAACGGCGTCGAAGCTCAAGCAGCGAATTCTATTTCTTTTTTTTTCTGCTTTTCTTTGCAGTTACCCGATGGGATGTTGCACGGTAGGTTTTAATTACTGTTTGTCATCAGCTGCAAAGACTTCGAGCAGTCCATCCTTTTCAGCGAAAAGCACGAGTCAAAAAGAAATCCGTGAAAAAAACCAACGGTGTTAGCTCGCCGCGCGAAACTATGGGAGCGAAGTGCACGCGAAAAAAGAGACTGCTCGTAGTTTATCAGTTACCAGTTGATTTGTATTAATTGAACAACAAAGAGAGGCTCAAGCTGGACAGCTGTCCTTTCATTCTCTAGTTTGTAGTGGAACTAAACGAATAACACGAATTTTGACGTTTTTCACAAAGTTGAAGTTTGCGAAAGATTCCACCTGTTTTTTCAATTTTGAAAGTGGTGAAGGTATTGGTGATATTTTTTCCTTTTTTCAGAGTAAGGTTTGCTCGTATTCTTTTACCCTAGTTGCGAAAAGGAAATTATTGTGCAAGTCATTATACAAGGAAGCTAAGCCATTGCAGATTTGATTTTAACAGTTTTAGTTGCTTTGTGATGTTCATTTTAAATCCACAGGAGGTATAAGGAATTCTTTGTTCTTCAAAGCAAGTTACAGGAATTTCACGGTAAGTAATGGAGTTTATTCCATGTTTACTGAAAGAACCTACAGTCCACCACATGAGGCTAAGATTACCCTTTGGTCAGCCTGGACTGAAGAATCTAGGCTTATCTCGGGTTATATCTGTTTTGTTTCTGTTTCTGAGCATGCGTCAACTACCCGCACAGCAACTGAGCCTCATAGATTTTAAACACAGATTAGGTGATTTTCTCAAAGTCACAGTTGTCAATATTCCGTCGCGAATTGCATGTCAGTCTCTTCTTTTACAATCTGCAATCGTGAATGGCAATATAAGAACCACAGTAAATCTGATTTTGCATTACAAAACACCGTGACAGGGCGAACCTTAGGTAGCTCTTCCATTGGGCGTAGATGTGGGAACATCTAGAACTACTGCTAATGATCGTCCATTTATAGGACGCGGAATCCAAATCTGTTCACCAGAAAGAAGTAAATCTTTTAATTTTAAATAAAGGAGACCAAACGTTGGATGCTCTTCAAGTCAACTTGTGATCCGTTAGTGTTCAAAGGCCAAAGAAGAAAAACTCGTAGAACTAAATAGCGTAGGCACATAGTCAGTTTTATCACCCAGCCGTCGGAGAGGAGGGACACACCTTTGAGATCCTCAAGACAAGTCGTTTTTCTTGGACGACACACTTAAAACCTCTATCAGTAATGCATATATTTTTTTTGTAGGTTCAATCGACGACTCGCTTCTCCCACCGAAGCGAAATTCTTCAAAATCAATTTCACAGAAGAGTACAGCTATTTATTTTGATGCATGTAGAGTTCAGTTCGAGAAATATTTACAGGTCAGTATGAAGCATTAATGATGAATCTCATGGCGTGGAATGAATTGTTGCAATAATTTGTGGTTTGTCTGTTTTGTAGTATTTGTGTTCTAATCCGCTGCTCAAAGGGAGCGGTTTACTGTTCAACTTCCTTTCACCAGAAAAGGAATTCAGTAAAATGTTTGGCCCTGACAAGATGGGCGATAAAGCGGGTAAGTTACATGCTGTTTTGTGCTACTAATAAATTCTGTACATCAGTAACATAATGATGAATGACACTCGAAACGTCAGCTTAAGAAACTCTTTACGATGGCCAATTTACATCATAAACTCAGCTCATAAAACTAACTACCTTATAATTCAACCCATCGCGATAGCACCACAGTTTCTTTAGAAACTTACCTCATAAATGAAAAAATACATGAATCAATCAATATAAGGATAAGTCATAAAGCCATGCGATGTTAGTGAGCAAACAGCTTGTTTGAAACATATGTGCAGCTCAGAGAAATTAGTTAATCGGAGCTAATTAGGAAACATGATACAGTTTGGTGGTTCATCATGATTCTCTGTCAGAAGAATATAAAGGACACTGTCATATATTTCCAGCTTGATTTTTTTCTATATTTTGTATTCTGATTTATCGGTTTTTCGCTTTTCTTAGGTAAAAAGATCAAGTCAATGACAACAATACTCAAAAAAGAGGTAGGCATTGAAGAACAGGCTATGAAATGCTGTACAGAAAAGTGACTGACATTCATTCTTACACCGAGTTCTCTTTCAGTATTCATTTGGCGGGACTGGATATAACATTTCCATCGTGAAACTAAGTTTTTCTGATTCTCTTTACAGAAAGGTCAAAACCTTGATCCATTTCTACAATCGTTCTTATCATCCACCGTAGAACCAACCAAAAGGAAGCCATTGCCAAAGTAAGTCATTCTCTTCATGCTGAATTGTTTTACAGTCATGTGACCGTAAATGTCAGGCGATCGTGCAAATTAACTCTACGTGATCACAGACTATAAGCAGAGCCTCTTTCTTAGTTTATCTTGTCACGTGAGTCACAAGTGGTACGCGAAAACCAGTTATATTACATCTGATTGCTTATGACTCGCACAAAAAAAACGACTGGGCTTGCTGTCGCTTATTCAAGACAAAATTGCGCTGTATTATCGGCTTGGTAAATATTAGGTACTATTTATTGCAGGGGTCTTCTAGCTCAGTCAAGAAGAAGCGAGGTATGCTTTCATTTTATACGTTATTACCTTATTTCCATTTTTGCATTCTATATTTGGTTAAGAAAAAACTAAATTAAACTCGCTTTTACCAGCCTTCAATCTTATGTCTTTAAAGATTTTGAAGTTTCGGTTTTGAAACCTTTTAAGCATTTTAATGTGTTACATCTTGTTTGAATTGCATCCAGGAGGGAATTTTTCCAGGAAGGAGAAAACCATCGTAAGTATTGCGTGGTTCGTAGACCCTTCTTTATTATCCTCGAGAGGAACAATGAGTACAATCGACAGTGTTATCTAATCATTTGATATTATTTTTCCTTTTTTTAGGGGTAGTTCGCTACGCTTGAAGGTGGAAGGTGAGCAATTAATCCATAAAATTTTACAATCGCTTTGTTTGTTTGTTTGTTTTTTTCATATTTACATGGTGTAGCTCGTGGGATTATAGTAGGACATGAGTGTTGGATAAAGCTGATTATCATCGAAATCTTTGTTGTTATGCAGCATCAGGGAAGCCGCTAATATCAGTGACTGGTGTCACCGACTACATCCTGTTCCTCGGTAAGTCATTTGATCAGTTTTTTTGACTGTGGTATTAAAATGTCTTGGCTTGGGATGCTTGTGTACTGCAAGTCACCCAGCCTGAGTGGTCTGAGCGGTATAAAGGAAGTTGCAACCTGTACGACCCACCGACCGTCCATAATAAGTGCTACTTTTTACATACGTGAACAGTTAAAATGCGGGCAAAGTAATTCAAAGGCTTCGTTATTACGGTTCTTGTAGTTGACTGCGAGTATGAAATTTGGCCTTAAAGTGTACATGAAGTACGTGGGACAAATTAGATTCCTTTGGTGCCAAACCACTGCGCATGCTTTTTAGTTGGGTTTCTCGCAATCAGTCAAGTCGCAAGTTACATTTAATCCATGGCTTTGGGATTGTGAAGAATTAGCCAAGAAAGCATGTGACGATTGGTGTTGCTGCTGTAGAGATAGTGAAAAACTTCCCTAGTGAATTTTTACTAGTTAAACCATTTATTCTCATTCTTTTTTTCCTTTTCACAGCGCAACGTCTGTTCGATGTCCCAGCCTTGTTATACAGTTTGTTAGTTTGTGGAAAAGTCGCATTTCAACAGACCCTAGATGTTTACGCTGATAGGTGCTCATGAAACTTTACTTTTGACAGGACATCAGAGCTATTCTGAATATGAGACTGACATGCATAGCTGCTAGAGCCCATTTTGATTTCCCCCACAATACCGCAGTAATTAGTCTTACTCCTCGAGGAGAGAGGCTATATGAGAGTGAAGTTTCTTGCCAAAGAACACAAAATAACGGCCAAGCCTGGTATTGAACCTTTATTTTTCCACGCGCAGTGAATTCGGCGCAATACAAGATGAGCTAACTATTTTCTCTCAAAAAGATAGAGTTATTGTGAAAGAGATGACTTCCACTAAAACGCAAAATCAGCAAAATCTGGTCACTCCCGTCTCCGTTACTGACCTTACCTTCTTTTTTGTATTGCAGATATTTAGCTGGTAAAGTGGATTTGTTGACGAATGAACATCGCCTGGTTATGATAATTCATTTACTAAGAGGTGACAAAAATGCTGATGTAGATCAACTTGATGTTTTTGAGATTGTTTTCATATGATATGAGCTCAACTGCGATCAAAACCTGGTGAAAAATGCAAAGCCAAGTGGAAGAAAATTCAACGTTTTAGCTTAATTTGAATTATTTTACACACTCAAAGACACGCCTATGACAATTTTTTTCTCTCTCTTGTAGACGCACTTTTCTTTGATGAAGATCCTCCACGGTAAAAAAAATTGTTTTTAAAAGTCATTGTTTTTACTGAGTTTGATTGCACGTTTGTTTGATTACTTGGTATTTCATTTTATTTCTCATGTACTTATTTATCTCTATAGTTATTTTCGTTGGTTCGGTTGACTTCTCTCGGTTTTTTCTTAGAACGGATACACAAAAGTTAGAAAGACGTGAAAAGACTCTGAAAGAAATGCTCGAGTTTATACCAGGTGTGTAAGTCAACATACACGACACGAGACCACCCGCCATCTGGAGTGCGTTTGGACAAAAAACACACCTCTACCTTGACTCCACCCAAATTATGGCTAAATCACCTACATTTTGCAATGAACTGGTGTTATTCTTAGCTTAAGTGCATACTGTTTGTTACTTGTCTTCAGATATGGCCGTACGTGTTATTGGAGCTGACAGACATAAAACCGGGATCACTTCATTGTTTGAGCTCCTTCAGCAGCCAAGATTGAACAAACAGGTTGGTGTGTTCATTTGTGCTTTAAAATGAAAGGAATCCTCTGGTTAATGATATAAACTGGTTTTCAGTATTCCGGGATAACAGGTATTCTGCACCACGTCATGCTTTTAAAGTAACTTGTTCCAGATGTTCAGTCATTTAACAACCCCTTTTTACCCATTGAAAGAAAGAAAATAAAGCAGCCTGACATTATCAGTAGAGCAACGGAAAATAAACTCATGAAGAGTGTAGCATGATTTATCTGACTACGTTTTCTAAAACCTTTCGCTTGGAACTGAAGAATAATTGAGCCACAAGGCTAGTTTCGAACATATTTACAGTGATGTTTGTTTCCTGATATATTGTCGTTGTGTTGTATTTTGTGTTTGTGTTTTTTCTTTTTAAATTTCGCCTTTTATATAAAAAAAAGAGTTAATTTATGTATGCAGAAATGAAGAATTGCGACATCCAATAAAAGCCAGAAAACAAATAAAACTTTTCAAATCAAGTCAGATAGTTCAAAGTGGATACAAGAGACGGTTCGGGAGTTAACTGAATTATGAACCTTAGTACCTTAATTGTGAAGTTACTTTTTGTTTGTCTCTAAGCTGACGTACGTTCTCCTGGATAGTTTGATGGGAGAGATATTTCCAGAGCTGAAGGAGGTATGACACTGCTTCTTTCCTTAGCAATTTTCTCTCTTCTCTGCTGAGAGGCCAACAACTTAAGCTTAGGAATCCCTCAAAGTATGGCGTAGTTTTGTTATGGACCTGGAATTTATTCACGTACTCGTGCTGATTGATTTATGTATTGAACGTGGATTAAGCGCGTATCCCATGCCTCCCCTACAGAGTTTGGCTCTGTCCCCAAAGTCTTGCTATTTTCTTCTGTTCATATATCTAGGGGTGGAGCAAAGGCGGAAATTTCTCATGGAGTGATCAACACAATTCAAAATAGCGTTTGTCGTGTCGGGCTGTACTAAAAATTGTCAAAGTGGTCTTTTTGATAAAGAATTTAAGTACTCTTTACTGTCGGAAACAAAGAACTTATCAGTTCGTAACAATTTCAATTAATTCTTAGAACCGTTGTATTTTATTTTCTACAGAGTGAGTTGTTCCCAGCAGAAGAGCTCTCAAGTCGCAACTGAATCAAAATATGTCAAAAACAGGAAAATGGGTGAAAGTCAAACAAGCTGAGACAAAGTTTCTCACCAAGAAAAGAGGGAATAATTACCAAGCGGGGATGATTAAATGGAGATTTTAAAGCGTGTGGGCAGACCTAAATAGTGGTTCAGGAAAATAAGAGTAACCTTATTTTCTAATGTGAACCCAAGCGAAATTATTTCATACGGAAGAGTATATTACTTTTAAACTGTGTAGATATGTAAGTAACAATGATGAAAATTAATCTTTAAAAGCTATGATAAAATGTGGCAATTTATGTTTTTTATTTAAAGTTTTACCAAAAATGCAGGAAAGTCTTGGTATCTAATTGGATATAATTATTTTTTCAAAGGTCTGTGATTGCTACTTTCAAAATAAATTGACATACGAAATCAACGCCCACAGTAATATGGTTTTTTTATTTGTACGAAAATGCAACTGTTTTATTCTTTTCGCTTTTATTCATGAAATGTTTGACAGTGCGGTTGTCCACCATTACAGGAAGGTATCAGAAAGGTATTTACTTGTTGTTACTGGTCTATGAATGCATAGTATAAGACTGACGTCAGTTTACATTTCCTCTGATATTACAGCTTTACAATGACACAACTTAAGAACCACCTCTGTCATTCATCGTTGAGTTTTTAAACCTTTGATTCTGATAGACACGCTGTAGTTAGAAAGTGGATTCAGGTGGAAATGGGTTCTAAAATGCTGAGATAATCGGCCCGGAGACGAAAGCTTGTTCTAAATTTACCGCCGTTTGCCTCTCCTAATTAACTCGGCCTCGTTCTGCTGCAAATAACAGCAGGCAACTACATTAACAGATGGGTATTGCTTGATGAACTGGAAACATAATAATATGGTTTTCATAATCGAAACGTTTTTTAGTACTTTTCATACCATCTTTCTAGGCACATATGGCTAATTTTCCTTCTATAGGAGAGATAAATTTCTAAGATAAGTACGGCTGACCATAAACTTATCTTTATCTTGATGTTTTTGTTTCTGGTTAGTGAAATATTTGCTCCATGAAAAATCGTCCGCAGAAAGTAGAAAGTGAAAAGAGCCTGGGGCACATCGCTAATCATTCTGCGCGAACGAATGTTAAACATGGCAAATGATCTTCAGGGTTATAAACACATGAGTTCTGTCTTGTTCCTCGAGAACGTGAGCGAAAAAAACGCTTGAGACCTGGATAATGTGTCAACTTCCCGCATTTCCAACAGCTCATCGGTGCATTACCACTAATCTTAAAGAAGTAATGTACGTAGCAAGCAAGTTTCCATGAAGACAAAAAGAGTTTAGTTAATATGATAAATACGCGACGAGTCGTAAATGATTTACAAAAAGCTTTTATCACTTTTGGAAATGGTTATTTCCCCTAACCAAATCGACTTCTGCTTAAACCAATTAGAAATCAGTAATTTACCCCAAATTGACAGAGGTAACTAACCGATTACGGCGAATTTTATTTTCCCCTAGGACTCTTGAAAAGTTTCGCTTATGTCTTTTCCTGTCGTAAGCAGACGATAGGCACCCCGCGTAGTTGTGTTGAAAATAAGTTTGGTTCCAATGCAAATTTGTATCAGCCGCGAGGGAAAGGAAACTTTCATTATTTGAAGGACAAAGCAGCAAGAATTGAATTTTGCAATTGAAATAACTCCATTGAGTGATGACAGAATTTGAAGACCCACTGTATTCATCTTACGTTTCCAATTGCGTTCTAAACGCCTCGTCCTACTCGGCCATAATGTTGAACAGTTTAACAATCCAAGCGCTGAGAAGAACATCGTCGTTACCAAAGCCTTTAAGAATATTACTGCAGAGTCTTGCTGTTTCTGATCTTGGTGTTGGTTTGCTGGCTCAACCTCTTTATATTGCAGTTCTGTTTAAGTGGATCAACGACGTGGAGGACAACCTCCTTGATAACATCTTCGACGTGATCACCTGTTTATTTTATTACGCTTCGTTTCTGGGTCTCATGGCTCTAAGTTTAGACAGATTCCTGTCTGTTCATCTTCATCTCAGATATCAAGAACTTGTGACTCACAAACGTGTCGTTGGTCTGGTCATCTCAGTTTGGCTTTTGAGCACATTTCTTTCTTTAATTTTGTTGTGGTTACCGAGCGACTTTGTAATCGACCTACTGGAAATTACTATTTTCGGATTTTGTTTTGTTTGTGTGTCACTTTTTTATTTCAGAATTTATTATACTGTGCGACGCCTTGAAATTCAAATGCAAGCTTTACACTTAGGGCAAGCTTTTCAGAATCAAAATGACGAAATGAAGAATTTCTTGAGGCTGAAGAAATCTGCCATTAGTACTTTCTATATATATGTTGTATTTATGATTTGTTACCTGCCAGATTATTGTAGTGCTATCCTGAATGTGTTACAGAGTCAACCAAACTTATTTTTAGACGGTTTTGATTTGTTTACTTTTACTCTTGTGTTTGCAAATTCTTCTTTTAATCCTGTTATTTACTGCTGGAGGGTGAAACACATTCGACATAGTATCGTGGGCATACTTCGAAATATATATCGGAATATCTTTGGGGTTCATGAACATAGCTGATGAAATGTGGAGATATTTCACAAAGAGAAAGTGAAGTAATGACTTCTAGATTTTTTAAAATTTAAAGTTTGTGAACACTTTATGAAGTTTATCCAGTTGTGAGTCGATCACCCGCCGATGTATTAACTTTTCTGTTAGTTATATACACAAAAACCGGGTGAAAATAATAATCTGACGAGTTACATCTCGATCTAGTGAAGTGGAACTGAGATATAACTTCGTTGATTTTGTTGAATTAAGACGTTAATTTTAATACACCACACAGGTAAATAGAGCTTCTCGCGCGCGCTGATTGGCTAGTTGGGAAATGAATGGCAAGTATTATTCACCGACGAGTCGACACGAGCAGCAGATGAGACAAAGTCGCGCGTCAAGAGTTCAATTTCCGACACGTTTTTGGTATATTGACAGAAATAAACTAATATCTTGGTTTCTGTGTCGTACTGATACAAAGTCAGTCGAAGTCGTGGTGAAATAATACACATAAAAAATTATGCACTTCTGATTACTGATCTGATAGCGGTGTTAAAATTTCGTCTTTCTTGACTTTCTGTGATGCCTTTTCATGTAAATTATTAATAAGTAATAAAATGATTTGCTGTGCAACATGAAGTTGCAGTAATATCACAAAGACCGAGCCTTTTACCCTGTGGGGGGAAGGGTAGTAGGCTAATGAGCGAAATAAACCAGCATTTCGCAACAAGCTGATAAAAGAATGATTTCACTGAATAAAATTTTAAAAAAAAAGAGAAATGATATCTTTTTTGACGTTGACTGGAACTAGTTATCAATTGTTCACCGAAGTAGATGTGAATAATTGTTTTAGTACAGGAGAAGATAAAGTGTATGTATTTCGATGAAAACTAAACTGAGTCATGAAGATTCGCATGTGTATAAATGAATATGTATTTAACTTTTTAATACTCCCACATAATCACTATGCGTATTTGCTGCACAAATGACCTTGCAGCGTTATATGAAATCAACACGTGTAAGTTACAGTAACCATGCTAGACAAGAGTTGCTCCATCGTAATCTATCGCTCTTCACGTGCCATATTCCTATTTCAAAGTAAAAAAATAGGCTCGCTTTTTCTTTCGTTTCGTTCGTTTGAATCAATTTCCGAGTGACTTATCAGTTTATAAAAATTATATATTGTAAAACAATAAGAACAGCTGTTCACGTCATACGTCACCCCTTGAGGGTCCCCGAGTGGAACACATGGCCTCATCACACAAAGAAAAACTTACAAATCTAGTTGAAAATTTTTGCCGAGCACGTAACATATAAAAAAACTTGGACAGAACTTATTCTGGAAAGTTTTTATTTAAAAATATGCCGAAATATTGGCTCTATTTGTTAAATAGTTCAAGTTCGATTTTAACCTTTCTATAGCTTGTCACTCAAACCGCACTTTAAGCGATTTCTTATCAGCAGTCGATTCCGATAACGTTCTTGAAAATCTTAGTCAAAATCTCAGTAACATTAACTGCTCACTGGTGTTGTCTGCCTCAGGTCAGCAATATTGTTTGTGACATAGTCTAATGCGGATGCAGTGCGTCGTGTTGAAACTGATTTAAGACCTCATATCGGGATTTTTGGCACTAAAAATAGAAATACAGTCCCTATGTACTTGATTAGAGGAGTCCCTTATCGATGTTTTGAACTGCTATTTAGTGAAGGAAAAAGCTTTTTTCTATCATGGACTAGTGGTGGAAAAAAATGTTAAAGTTTCGAATACAATAAATGCCTCTCACTGGATGATTATGACATTTCAACATTAGAACAACTAATATTTAAGTTTACACCCTCTAGAAGACTGCTGAAGAAGGGAGAAATTAGCTGTATGAATACATACTATGATCTGTTCGAGGGCAGCCAACTAAAAACAGTGAAATGCATAGCGGAAATTTCTAAGTGTCAAACGCTGGTCAACAGACACGGTCATGATCGTTTGGTAACAATAATATTGATAATTAGGCCTTCAAAATACTTCCAATTGAAAATTGTAGCTTTATTAAAAATGCCAAGGAGAGTCTTGGAGCGATTAATTTTTAAATTAATTGAAAACTAGTATCTATTCTTTCAGAGATAACACTTCAAAAGTACACAATATTCATCTTCCAACAATACTTCATGGGCCCTGAAAGATAACTTTGCAGCTTGTATTAAAGGGAAATTTATGTGACTTAGAAATATCTGTAGTACATTGTTTTTGCCAGTGGCCTTATAAACAATCTAATAATTTCGAGAGTTTACGGAAATTGAGTGGGCGTTGAATTTGACAGACAGCTTGTCAATAGACATGATAAGCCTTCCTATTAAAGGTGACATACTATTGGTAGAAAACTAGAACTTGTTTACCTCATTTTATCCGTTTTCTAGCCAAGTTAATTACATTCTAATTCAGATGCTGCCAGCCGGTCCAAGTTGAAAACTTACGACCCGAAATTTTTAAAACCCGAATAAATTACAAACTTTAAATCGTTGATATCAAAATCATGAGACCCTCTCATCGGTCTTCCCAAACGTCTTAACAATTTCTTAAATTTGGAACCAAGTTTGAAAGGTAAGCATTTTTAGTTATACAGTATAACTAATGTTCCTATGACAACCGAGCTTGATAACAAGCTTTGCCAAAATTTAGCGTTTTATCGTCCTTACTTTGTATTGGTTGTAATAAGAGTCATACTCAGTTCGTACTAAAGTTTATTTACAACTTTTCACTATTACCATATACTTATACAATAAATGACTCCTTTTTAACTTTCCCACGATGGCCACGGTGAAAACTGAAAGGTAATAACCTTTCAGACATTATATAAACATAACGAAGGAAAATACTGATGGGCGGGGAAAACCACAATCGCCCAAACTTCCGTGATATCATTCGAATGGTTAGATAACACAACAGCTTTGTTTGAAACTATTTTTACTTCCCTAAGGGTCACATGTATGGGTAAAGAAACAAGAGACAAATAATTTCCTTTTTTATGATGTATACTTACAAGTGATTCTTGTCCAAAGTTCAATCGAGAGAGTAAAAGCGTCAGGAAGTTACTACTTGCCAAGATTAAGAAAAATTTAGATACAAAACTTGGACATTCCATTCGTTTAGAAGCTTTGCCAGCTAACAATGACATTATCCTATGCATTAATGGTTAGTTTTGCATTTATTAAGCTAAAATTTCTCATACTCATTTCAAATCATATTACCTAAGGAGCATTAATCATGTCTTTGATGGTTAATATCATTTTTTACGAAGTTTTTGCCTTTGTACCTTGTATTCATCTTATAACTTTAGTTGGAGAGCCAATAGATCATAAATCCTTGTGATTATCATATTGAGCTACTCCCTATAACTAATTAATGCATTTCCGTATTTCCTTTTACAATTTGTAATCTACTACTCTTCGACCTTCTACTTGTAGAATAACCTTCGGAATTTGTCAACCCACTAATCGGAAAAAACACGGGGAAGTGTCACGTTCTCATTTAAATACAACTGGCCCGGCTGATCGATCAGAGAACCATTATAATTAATAATTCTGACGGCGACGAACTGACCAGTGGTTGATACTCACAGGTAAACCTTCATTTTCAATGCTGTATATCAGAAAGTTGCTTGCAAACATCACAAGCAAAAGAAGAAAAGGAAGAAAAAAACAGCCATCTGAACGAGAAACGCATTGAAAGGGTTAAGCATATGATGTTATCGATTTTTTTTTAAGAATCCAGTCGACAGTTTATTACACTGAAAAGCGATTCTGCTTTTAACAAGCCGGAATCATCTGGCAATTAAAACATGGAACCTCTCAAAGCTTTGAGGGTTTTAATGAAACAAAGCCAGAAGATAAGAGCAGTTTCGGCAGAATTTGGGCATGGTTCAAGGCTTGAAACTCAATACACGCTGTTTAAGGCAAAATTTATTAATTGTGGGGTTTTCTGTTATGCTAATACTCCTGTTAAGGTCTTCTTTGATGTTCCGAGATGTGAAATGAAATGACTGATTGTTTATCAATCGCTGAACAGGAGTCCATTGAAATTTCGATCCTTTGGTTCATCTCCAACAAACAAATAAACGACATTGGTCGGCGTTTTATAATTGCATATCGTTTAAACATTTGTGAATTTTTGAAGATTGATTTCTCTTTTTAAGCTTGGATGCGCTAGCAATTCTCTAACAAAGACAAAATTAGAAAACCCCGCCTACTTTTCTGGTCTATTAGAAACAGCAGGATTCAATAAATTGCACTTTCTCGATCACTTAGAAAAAAGCATTTATTGATCCAGACATTTGTACCTGCGAAGATGGTCAATTTATTTTTTTCCTCGTGTAAATTGAAATTAAAAATATTATAATATCTTGAGGACGTTGAAAGGTTGCTTGTAAATTTAATTTTTTTGCTATAATTGCACCATTGATTCGTATTTGCAGATATTAATTGAGGCCTGTTGAGAGGAAAACAATTCAGAAGCTCCAAAGCTACAAGTAAACGATATCAATCTTCTATTTTGTAAGAAAACAGCGATTACTATTTGTTAAAACAAAAGAGTGACGTTTAACATAACACGTAGTCTTGCGTACTCCTTAAAGGCTCCTTACAAACTTCCTCAACTGCCTTGGAATCAAATAAACTTCCTGAGTTATCTTTTTCAGGAACCTTGAAAGGCCAGCAGCCCAAACCAACGTTTAATCACAAAACACTTCACTGTGGAGATCAATAAAAACTGAGTTACATCTGACTTTACATATCAAAACATTTAAGCCATCAGTCAGAACATCTCCAAGTTCATCTCCACGGAAATAATATTTATGCGCGATCAAACTATTATCAAGGACATCATTGAAGTTGAAAAAGCTTTCATACGATCAATTTATAGGAACAGGACAAAGACACCCTTGTTGTCTGATTGATTTCGTATTGTGCTCTAACTTGGAATAAACGTGGCATAACTAATTAGCATAGGCCATCTGATCATTACAGTCAATGAATCCGCCTTGAAACTGCCATCGGTTTTCTGTAAATTTATCACGAATAGTGATTGTTCAAAATTGTTGAAATATAGAATGGGGTTTCAATGGAAATTAAACTTGAGGAAACGCTTCCGCGAAAGAGATGAAAGAAATATTTTCCATCTGAATCCGGGTAAATCAGATTAATTCAAACTTTGTTGACATTTCTATGTAAATTCAAAAGCCAATTCGATATTTATTTCACCCTCTGATGTTTATAAAAAAACAAAGACAAGCGAGAAATACAGAATCTAAATGCATAAAAGAAAGACTTTATCAATTGGCCTTTCCTCTTGCTTTGTAATGGTAAAACAAAATACATCATACACTGAAAATATACCCTGAAAAGGTTTTCTCAATTTTATGTTTGCAGGATCATGGGAGGTAGCCAAAATATGGTTTGGTAGATGGCAATTAACGTCAAATTCGTCAGTCGAGAGCACCGGGGAGTCACAGATAATTTAAAGATGCTTTGGTTCTTGAGAGGTTAATATTTTGTCCAACGATCAACCCTGTTAGTGTCCTGATCGACAAGCCTCGCATTATCTGTAAAGCCGCTCGGTCTCCGTTTGTGTCCTAAACAATGACAAGCACTGAGGACCTGTATCATTCATCAATGGTCACCAATTGTGCGCTCAACGCATCTTTATCCTACACCGCCATCGCGTTGAACATCATAACAATTTACGCGATGAGAAAAACATCGTCTCTGCCGAGGCCGCTGAGAACATTATTGCTGAGTCTTGCTGTCTCAGATCTGGGTGTCGGCATTTTTGTACAACCTTATTACGTTGTGCTTTTAGTTATAGAGCTGAAAGGCGCCGATCCTGTTGACAAATCAATGGATAATGCCATGTATGCCATGGCGGACACCTTTTCCATTGTTTCATTTCTCAGTGTTTTTGTCCTCAGCGTGGACAGATTCCTGGCTGTACATCTTCATCTCAGATATCAAGAACTTGTCACTCAGAGACGCACTGTTTTGGCCGTGATATCAATCTGGATGCTTAGTGTGTTTCTTGCAGTAACCGGCCATTTTTGGTTGCCTCTTTTCCTTCTAGATTTTTTTCCTGTAGTTTTAGGGTTCTGTCTTATTTGCACAGGATTAGTTTACTGCAGAATTTATTTCGCTGTACAACGCCACTTGAGAGAAATACAGTCCTTGCAAGTACGGCGAACCGAGCAGAATGTCGGTGACATGGAGCATACTGCCAGGATGAGGAAAACTGCCATTAGCACATTTTACGTTTATCTTGTGTTTTTAGTCTGTTATTTGCCTGAATACTGCACTAATATGGTTGTTAGCCATGGCGAGCTTTCTGATTCTTTAAAAACCTTTAGGTTATACAGTTGGACTCTTGTGTGTGTGAATTCATCTTTAAACCCGGTTATTTATTGTTGGAGTATGAGACACATTCGGCACACCATCATTAACATTCTCAGAAATACACATCCGTGCAGATAGTGAGCAACATAGCATGAAAACAAGTTAAACCTTTGTTACTGTTGCACCTGAAAGTTATTATAAGAGTGGATACAATAACACAACCTAACAACTATTTTAGTTAACAGCCTGCATTAAGTAGTAATATGATGATCCATTTGTAATACTCGAAATTGATCTTAAATAATAAGGACAACAACAAAGTAGGGAGCCGGCCTGAAGGAGAATATTTCAATTGCTCGCTGCTAATGACATTGCCACAGAAAATAAGTGCTTTGTATTTATGAAATTCTAAATTAAATGCACCCATGGAAAGGTATATATCAAAACGTATTGGTTACTATTGTACATATCTTCAAAGCCAAGGTCGATATAGTTTGAACATAAATGTTAAGCATGGTGATAATTTGAATTTGAATATCAAAAATGAATGAAAGCGCTTCAGCTGTCTACGTTGTCTTGCACTAAAATCTATAGGAGAGCTTTTACAAAATAACAAGGAAACGTTCAAATTTTTCATGGCTGCATAAGTTATTATAGATGATAAAAATACACGGACTGATACAGCGTCGTGGCTAAGCCTACAAACATCTAATTAAATTTGAATTGACCTTTTAGTTGCTTTCAGAGGAGTTGCCGACAACTCCCCGACGAAATGACTTCAGGGAAATCAGAAATTCTTTTTTTTCAAAATGCTTTTTCTTCTCCTCGAGTGGAAGCTATTATGTTTCAAGTGTGTGTTTTTTTTTTGTTGTTGTGAATTTGGTTTTTTTTTTGTTGTTGTGAATTTGGTTTTAATAGGTGGTTCTACACTCGAAGTTTATAAGTCTTTAAACAAATAAAGATCTAGTATCAATTCTCCAGCCCTTTCTTCCCAGACGAATCCAAATGACATTCAATACACACTTGTCGTAGTTTTCACAGCAGTTATTGGAAAAAAGGAAATGAGTAGACCCAAGAACCGGATACTGCCTGTTTTATTTATTGAAGAGTTTTTTTGGCTTCGATTATGTAAAAATCTGAATCATCACGAAACTAAAAAGTTTTTTATCGCTTTTTGATAAAACAGCTTGGTGAAAGTTAGACCCCATTAGCTCACCGGTTTTTTCCGAATACTAAATGTGCATCAATTTATTTCTGGAAGATTCTCAACTGACGAAGATCGACATAATTATATGTCTTACTTCTATTGCAAATTTTACAGCTGCACTTTTAGCCTTAAATTCATTTTATGTATCCGGTTTCGTGGCTGATTTTTCGATTCGTTGAACAAATTTGAATGAGTTAACCGACTCTTCGCATCTTATTCCCCTGGACATACTGTTTGGAGATAATTTAAGCTTTGGAGTTTTTAACTTGAAAAATAGTTATTTGTCATTTCGACATGAGACCCTAAGCGCGCTTTGTAACCATAGCTACGATAAGCTGTTTAGGAAAACTATCATGAATACACCTGAAATTTTTGCCATGATATCTGGTAATTTTGAGATGAAATAATTTTCTTCTAATACAAGAGGAAACTCCTGATCTCTGACGTTCAGATTCGCTCAAAGCAGAAAATTCAACTTTCCTAAGGATTTCTTATTAGTTTTACCTCAAGCTATATGAGTAACACACCTGTTTGTTAATTTGTTGCGTTATTTTTTCTGTCTATCCTTTGCTTTTGTTCTTGTTATGTTTTATTAATGGTTCACATCTTTAAAAACTATTTCTGTTAAGAATTGGCAAAACAAACCCGCACCTCCTCGTCGATTCCGCCTACATAGGATTCCGGATTCCCTTGGCAGCCCAGGCTCCTGCTTTTGCCACTCAACCACCCTTGGCCCGGAGGGACTTTTTCTACTGGCTAAGCAGCGGCAGAAGGTAAGCTTGGCTTCTAATTGTGCAAAACTGTCCACCAGGAAAGTTAACGAAAACAATGCTTTTCATGAGAAGCCATGTTTAATGGAAGATCAAACTCAAAACCTACCCTTCCCACCCATTAACTTTCGATACGCCACTGCCGGCAACATATGCAAAATTGGAATGAAGATCAATATAAACATCATTTAATCAGCCCATTTTGAAGTACGAACGTTCTTATGTTTATTTTCTTAAAACAGAATAGAGCTTCGATCAAAAGCCTCAATGATGAAAAGGAGATCACACTCTTTGTTACTGGAAATAGAAGGCAATCACTTTGGAGGAATAAATTATCCCGTCGTCGCGATCATATTAAACAAGAAAAGGACCGAGAAAGTCTAAGCAGAGTAAATTTAAAGTACACCCTGGGTAGTGCTCAGAAGACCTTATGTCGCTAGCGACAATGACGGGACATTGACAACGTCATGAACGGGAGATGATATCCGTTCAGTTCGTCTTGAGTTAACCCTATAATAAAAAGTATTTATCATATGTAAATTTTCGGAAATTACCGGAAACTTTTCGTAGTCTTCTCGATGCTTGCTTAACTCAGAGTTAATTGAAGGCGATAATAGATAACCTAAGCCGCCATAATTTTATTTTGAAACGTCGTCTGTCGCACTGTTCTAACATTTAATGAATGTTTACCAAGGCAGACTGAGTACAGCGTCATAAATAAATATATATTTAAATTAGTTTCACTTCCTCACTAAACAAGAAGACCGTAAAAAATCTTTTAAAACGACAGTTTATAAAGGGAAATGATTCATTCCATCCTGATAATGAATATCCTTCCTTTTAAGTACTACAAAAACATAAAAATGCATTGCCTGTTCACAGTTTGGTCTTAATATTACTCTGTTCACTTACAATTGGACTGAGGAGAATTCGAAAAATAACCTGAACCAAAAACAAATTATGTCAAAAACGTCAGACCGGGTTCCTTTTTGAAAATATCATTAATTGACAAAAAATAATTAAAGCAGAAATAACTTTAAGTTTGAGAGGTTCTTCCTCTATTTTTGGACACGCATACAGAGATGCAAACAGAAGGAAGAAAATATAATCGTTGACTAAAGCTTAAATGCAATTTTTCTCTCAGCACTCCTTACCAAAGCTTTATCAAGTAGTTTCGTGTGGCAATTGTTTATTCATTGGAAAAAGCTAATTCTTAGAAGGACAGGTGAACCCGCCCTCGATCGAATTAACTCGTACCACAATCGGCTACGTTGCGTAATTTGATTTTTAGTTAAAATTATACATTTTGAGAATTATTCTCTTTTACACATGATTTAAGTTTACCCACTAACTCTCGAAAAAGACTGCCAAAAAAACAGTTAATGCATTTCTGACTTAAGAAAATTTCAGTCCAAGTTTGATTCTGATTCCGAAGTCTAAATTCCGTTTTCTTTTCACCGCTATGCTCATTGAATAAAATGGAAATACGGAATTTATTTAACAAAGTGCATATGAAAAATATATATATATTAAAGAAACCATCCTCATCTATCTTATCATTCATTAACCCTCCTTGAAGATCAATCATTGTAATATTACTAGACATCAACGATGATAAAATTGCAAAACCTCCCTGTTGTTCTTGATTCTATCAAGCTTAGATGAAGGACTTCGACTTGAAGTGGTATCGACATCTGAAAGGGTACGTTATTTTTAGATCAGGTATGTAAAACGAATCCATGAACATAATATCTCAGATGTGAGCAGCTGTTCATCATTAAAGCGTATCACGTTCATAAGCCCGAAATCGGCGCATAAGATAGTTAACCATAATCTTCTCTGTGCCAACGCTTAAAGTATTTTTCTTTTTGAACACAGCATGGAAGTCTCGCACATCGTCAATCTCGTCTTGAACGCCTTCACATCCTTCTCCGCCATTGTGTTCAACTCTTTTACAATTCACGCTTTGAGGAAAACTTCATCCTTACCGGCTCCTTTCAAAACACTTCTCCTGAGTCTTGCAGTCTCTGATCTTACTGCTGGTTTGTTAGCTCAACCATTATACATTATACTAATTGTCATTTCGTCCAAGCAAAACACCGCAGACCATGCCTTGACATCCACCATACTGGTCATTGTATGTGCTCTATGCGCTGCTTCACTTCTCAGCGTCATCGCTCTGAGTATGGACAGATTCCTGGCTGTTCATCTTCATCTCAGATATAAGGAACTTGTAACCCACAAACGTGTCGTTGGTGCAGTGATCTTGATATGGATATTAAGTGTAGGTATTTCACTAGTTTGGATTTGGAGAGACATATACAAAGTCTTCTCTCTCGTCGCAATCATTTGGAGTCTTTGTTTCGTTTACATGACAATTGTTAATTTGAGATTATCTCAAGCTATTAAACGCCACAGAAACCAGATCCAGGCAGACTTACGGGTACAGCAAGTAGCACAGGCAGCAAAACCAAGAAAATCTGCTGTTAGTGCACTGTATGTGTATCTTTTAGTTTTAGTTTGTTATCTGCCGATGTACTGTAGCATAATTTTATATGTGGTACGTAAAGGTGACTCAGACAGTTCACTTTTCTACTCACGGACTGTAATGTTTTTCAACTCGTCTCTGAATCCTATTATTTACTGTTGGAGGATAAGACCAATTCGTCAAACCATCATGAGCATACTGGGAAACATATTCTCATGTAATTCGGCAGACGAATTAGTGCTTAAAAGATCTCTGCAAGAAAGAATATCAACAGCAGGTGGTATCCCCACCGTAGGGAAATCTACATGAAAGTTGAGGCGGTTGTGAATTTTCTTCTTGACTTAGAAATTTTGGTTTGGGTCAGCGATTAGTACACTTTTGGTAGTATGTACACCACATAAAAATAATTATGAAAAATAATGCTTTTTTTATGATAAACGGGCATACTAGGCAAAACAAAAATATTAATTCCAAGCGCTTTCATAGGAATTTTATCTATGTTCTTCTGGTTATGATCTCAGATTTTCTCAAACTAAGTTGTAGGTTACTAGCGCTACATGTGCCGTTTTAATTGGGTTCATGAGACAAGTTTCATACATAGTGTTAGAATTTGAGTGTTTAATAAAGCTTTTGCACGATCAGTGGAAAATGAAGATAACATATTAGAAGCCTCATAGGCGAGGACTTTTCTTCATCAGACACTGACATAATTCATACAAAGTGTAAATGGCGTGAAGCTTTTTCTCCCCGCAAATCAAGCCAAATATTCCTGAAATAAATTGTTTTTCATGGTGGCATCCTAGTGCAGAAGTTATTACCAAAATGGAGAAAATTAGGCATAGTCTTTCAAAGAACCACCATAAATTCTGAATAATCAATATTGATTTAGGCTTTCAGTGCCTCGCAAGTTTTTCCGCTCATTTGCAGCCGTCAATCAGTCTACTACTGTTGTTTTCCTGTTGGTCTACTCCGACCATACTTTGAGGCACACTTCATACGTGAGCGCGTTTCCATTAATTAAAGTGGCTGGGAGTTCAGAGTTATTTCCCTACGCGATTGTCATGGAAGTTCTTTCTGTGGCGGCTTATTAGCTCATTGCTTGACGTCAAAGCGCGTCAGAGCTGGTTTCTTTCTACTTCTGGCAGCCGTCGTATTCTCAAAAACGTCTGAACTATTACGCTACGCTGACATTTTGCCATTTGATTTTATGCAGACAGAACGTTTTTCTTGACGGAAACAAATTAAAGCGCGTAATTAAATCCCTTTGTGTCAATGCCACCTGGTAGAGGAAGTAGTAGTAATGCTTCAGGTGTTTGCGTTGAAAAAAAATGCTTTACCTTGAAAATAACTTAGATAGTACTTAGAAACTCAGGACTAAAGTAAGGGTAAAGCCTCATTGCACTTTTCTCAAAAAAAAATTGCAAGAAAAGAGCCGCTTGATTTGTGTGAATGACATATGATAAATATTCCAAACTGGCACCTCCACAGGTCACTGTTTAAATAGATAATCTTAATATGATTCTAGAAAACTGTTTTGAAACCTGAGATGTGGTATGCATACACCTAAGCTAAACGACAATTCCAATATGTAAAGTAAGGACTCATTTCATGAAATAAGAGAATTAAATACTCTTTTATAAAATTTCAGAAATTGACGTACATTTCAGAAAAGAAACGCGAAAGTTTTGTGCTAATTTGAATGAAAATATTAGGAGAAAACTAGGACTGTAGCGTGGATTTTATTGATAAAGCATTTTGACCACCGGCCTTTTAAATTAGGCCATCGGTAGCCTCCCACCGGGTGATCGGCAAGCACACTTCGTACGAAACAGAGGGTTTGGGATGGGAGTGCATAAAAGTACAATCAACCTGAAGGGTGCGAGCATCGTTAATCTTGTCTTGAACCTATTATCAGCCCCTATAGCCATCATTTTGAACAGTTTCACAATCTATGTCATGAAAAAGGCTTCGTTGTTACCGAAGCCTTTAAAAGCATTGATGCTGAGTCTCGCTGTCTCTGATCTTGTAGTTGGTTTAATAGCTCAGCCATTATTTATTGCATTGGAGATTTCAGGGTACTAGAGCCCATTTGTACCATTTCCATTCGTCAAGTTATTCAGGGGAATTTTGTATGTACTTTCTAGCACTTCGTTCCTCGGTGTCATGGCTCTGAGTGTGGACAGATTCCTGGCTGTTCAACTTCATCTCAGATATCAAGAGCTTGTGACGTCCAGGCGCGTCGCCGGAGTGGCAATTTTGCTATGGGTGTTAAATATTTTTATTTCAGCAGTTACTTTAATTGGATCCAAGTTTTACTCCTCGTAATTTGGAATATTTGTTTTATTTGCATAACAATTATACGTTCCAAACTGTATTTCGCTTTACGACGCCATGTAAACCAAATTCAAGCTTTGCAAGCACAACGAGCGGTACCGAAATCGAATGGTGAATTAGAGAATGCAATGAAGCTGAGAAAATCTGCAGTCAGCGTACTCTATCTATATTTTGTATTCATACTTTGCTATTTACCAATATATTCTTCTCTTGCTGTCCGGATAAATTTTGGACTACGTCGCTTCAGTGGCCCACCATTGAATAATTTTTAGCTGTTCTCTCAGACACTTATGTTATCCAGTTATTTACCGCTGGAGAATGAGAGATATTGGACATTCTATCATGGGCATACTGCGAAATATATTTGCATGTGATAAAAACGTTTTAAAATTGAGAGAGGTTGGAAAGGTTATGAGTGCTTCAGTAAATAAAGTGTATACTTCGCTTGCTATTAAATTGTTCCTTCCTTATTCGGGGTGCGTTTCAGAAAATTTAGCAAAGTAACGTCCCTGAAGTATTTTATGTGGATTCAGTGATTGTGTCAAGCTATTTAAGTCACCCTCCCTTTGAATGGAAACGAATAAATGGGCGCGAGTTTATGTTTTATTCCAAGCAAAATCATTCGATTGCAAAACCCCGGGAAATTAATTTCGGCGTGGTAACAGGAGGAAATGTCCAAGATTACGAGATTGTCTGCCGGTTTATTATCATTATTGGCGCAAGTGTTTATGAATAATCTCTTGAGTGGCGTCAAATTTACAGCTAAACAGGCAAAACAATTCGGTTCGTTGGGTTGGACAAAACATTTTTGTGAGCAAATTTATAATTTATTATGTATACTTTGGTTTGTGAAACTTGGAGGAGAAGGATTAACGTGAAGGAGTTGACTCCTTTTCAGCATTTACAGCGATCATTTTCAACAATATAATAATTCAAGCCATAGGTAACACTTCCTCTTTACCAAAACCTTTGAAGGCATTGCTACTGAATCTTGCTGTATCTGATCTCGCTGTCGGTTTAGTAGCTCAGCCATTATTAACTTCATTGAATTGCAACTGTTTCATGGTGGGATTATAATTTACGGGTCATCCAACTTGCACACCCACAAACGCGTTCTTGGTCTGGCGATCTCAACATGGGTGCTTAGTGCTTTTCAGTCATCCTTTTTGCGTTTGGACCACTTATACTGAATCACAATTAATCAATCCAAATCATCGTTTGGAGTCTTTGCTTCATTTTCATAACTGTTATAAGCGACAGACTTTGCTTTGCAATAAGACTCCATGTAGACCAGAATCAAGCTTTACAAGTACAACAACTAGCGCATAATGGGGAATCAGCAAATGCCGTTAGGCTGAGGAAATCGTCGATCAGCACATTTTGTGTTTATTTTGTGTTTTATTTTATTATTTGCAGTTTTTTTGCAGTCTTCTTGCTAGGCAATTCTTTAAGCTTATTCCAACTTCACTTTGTTATTTTCAACTTTCCGCTAAACACTAATGTTGGTAAAGTCATCTCTGAATCCTGCTATTTGCTGCTGGAGAATACGAGACATTCGACAGGCTGTCAAGGACCTGCTGCGAAATATAATCGCAAGGCTTATTTAATGCCGATAATCATAACGGAATATTATAAATTACTTATACCAGTCCATTTTATTCACGAATCGCACCATTTTTTGCTTTAAATCGCATCTTTTTTCCAGCCAAAGAAGAGGCTACACTAAAAACAAAACAACCAATCAGATTTCAAGGCTTGCTTAAAGTAACCCATCAAATTGCAGGAAAATGAAAGACAGAGTGTTATGTGGCAATGAAGTCATATTTGAGCGAAAGTATGCATGCAGTCCAACATTGTTAAACCAGCGTAAGTGGATCATCTCTCTAACACAAGTGGGGAATTCTTTGAAACAAGCACAACTTTGGGTCCCTAGAAAATCAACACAGTGCTCTAACTTATGTGGAACCAAGTGCTGACTCTACTCCACAAAAGAAATTTAACACTTTAAGAACTCTGCGCAAACAAATGAGTCACAGAGCAAAAAGTTTGTCGTTTCTATTTTATTTTCACTCCGATGGCACAAGATGCTGTGCAAAATATTGAGTATTCAATTTCATTGACTTGATATTTCAAAATTCAGAGCTGGAAAATTAGAACTAATTGTACTGTCTACTTTCTTAATGAGTCAAGTTTTATAAGTAATTATTTGATTCAACTCTCTCTCTCCATTTAGTATTTCAGTTTACAGGTAGGTATCCGGGTCAGATCTAAACACGGAACAAATTAGAGGAATAGACTTATGCAAAAAGAATTCACTGATGAGGCCTCATGGTTCGCCTTGAGTTCTTCTCATTGGCTAACAGGTTGAGCTTTATACTAATTTAAGATTAACATTTTTCGTTTATTTTTAGCTCAGTCAACCTCGTATTCAATCTCTTATGAATATAAATGTTGGCACCCGCAGCGCTGGACGACATCAAAATAAAAAACAAATTAAAACGGGAAGACACTGGATCTTACCAGCTTCGTTAGACGCTTACTTATCGGCACCGTGTCTCTTTAAATTTATTCACAACGCAAGTTGTAGTCCATTATTGTGTCTCCTGTCAACAGCTTAAGACATCTGGCTCAGCTCGCGCATAAATAATCAGAATGCATTGTCCTTAGCTCATGCTCTGTAAAACTGTTCACAGTACGACCACCAGCTTTCGGAAATACTTAAGAATTCATTCTGACTAACCATACATTTTCTAATCAAAGATGAAGACTTGAGAAGGAAAACAATGACTCGTTCTAATTTTCACTTCTCGAGATGGGGAACATTTTCCATTTTGTTGGTCTAATTTACGGTATTGACTTTTCAATTTGGCGCTCAGCATATGAACCACTTCTATCGTTCTCCATTCTTCAGGTAGTTTTTCTGGGTTTTTTTCCTTCAGTTCCTTTAATCTTCACCGTAAGTCGCTTGGAAGCAGATGCAATTCAGTCGTACCCGAAATAGGGGAAAACATAGGAAGGAAATACAGATAAAATAGTTTGCCTAGGGGATCGTGTGCAACAAGTGTTTTCCTTTGGCTTTAGGCTTATGTTATCTCTTTTTCTTAGGATGATCTGTGTGGCAGAAGCACAGATGTAGCATGGAGTCATGTTCGTTCTCAAGAACATTGATCACATGGTCACCTGTTTGAAGACATTGCGCAAGAAAACCGAGCCATCCTGGGTACGAACACGAGTGATGGGATTTTTCCCACTGTTCCTCTCCTAGTTTTCTTTTCCCATTTTTTATTCCTTTTCTGTCAAACCCTCAACATAGCTTTAGATTAATTTCTGGCTCGAGTCAAAGAATCCTATTAGTCCTTTCTGTATTTCTTCATGCTTTTTGGAAAAATGACAAATGGCAAATCTGAGTCAATTCTCAGACTACTGCAATGGCAGATTAAAATCTTTTTAATCTGAGGGGGAAGCAAGTTCTTGTTATGTAAAAAAATCCGGATGTTTGCCACTTATATTTTTTATTTTGCAACAGATTTCAGTGAAACTTGGAAGAATTAATGTCTTCCTGAAAAATTGATCACCATACAGGAGTTTTTTGGTATTGTTTCATAAAAAATCGAAAAATATATAAATATATATTGGTCACTTTTATGGTACTGTGGGATCACCTGCTGTACCACTTACTTAATAACATTTCAGAGTTTTATCCTCTTTTGAAATCTTTGGATTCTTTTTTGCAAAACAAAGGAGCTTTACAAAATGTGCAGAGTATGGAAGAGTTTTTGTGAAGTGAGAGTTGCAAAAAAGATGTAGATGTTTTTACAAACTGTATATAGCAGAAAGAAATCAACGAAAAAAAGGGGAGATGTAAACATTGTGCTGGGCAAGAAAAATGAGGTAGCAGAAAGAGAAAAATTTTGAATAACTGTACTTTATAACACTTTCATTTGCACAAGTATAACTTCTCTGAATCAATTTTATTAAAATTTTCTTTCCATACAGAATTAACATTATTGTCTTATCATATCACAACTGATGATAACAGGCATTTTGTTTCTAACATAGTGTTAAATCATAACCACTAACTACTAAAAAACATTTCCCTCACTAGTTTCATAGTATCATCTGGTGATGTCACTTTGTGTCCTTCAGTTCGCTCATCCATGTAGATTTCATAATCATTCCCTCCCTATAGCAAGGTGGAAAAAGAACAAAAGTTCATCAGTACTTTGAGCACATTTTATTGATCTTGCTGTCAAGTCATCCTGATAAGAGGAGTCCCAAACATGCCTTGCCGTGACCTTGACTGGCATTTTCCAACCTAAATGGAAGTCATCATCAGGGTCAAATGACCTCTGCAAAGGTTATCAAAATCAGTTTTATTGATAACAGACCTTTTCAGGACTACTCTCACCTGGACAGTTAGACTACCTGATAAAAGTGAAGTATCTCTAGAGGTATGACTCTAAGATATGTTAGAAACAGTCTTGAAAGAAAACAAGAAAAAAGAGGAGTATTCATACATAGCACCTTTAACAACTGAGATACAGAAGCAGTTACCTCATAGCATTTGTCCCCAAAGAAATGAATTTTTTGGTAACCATCACCTTCAACATGTCTCAGGCAATATGTTTTGTCCCAGCCTTTTGGAAAGACATCAAAACTTATCTGACCTCCTATACTGATATGGAGTCCATAATCAGAAAATTTTTCCCGCAAAATTGACACAAACTTTTCCCTAACTTTGTGTTCCTGTGGAAACAACAGATCACAACCATAAAAACCTTACAAAAATATTGCTGGCATTTATAACTGACATTAAATTACAGAAGGTAAGGGGACTTTTATCCTTTAAGACAAGTCACCTATGATGCAAACCAGGTAGACATACTCTTTTTCACTGATAACACTTTTAAGCTTTGTTACATGCAAGTGTGACCTACACATTGGGAATGTGATCCTTACTCAGGAATACACTAATGATTGATAACATCTAAAACAGCATCAGAATTTTAATTCCACCAAAAAAGTCTTTTTGAAAATATATGCAGTCATGCAATTTTTGGTTTCATACACTGTACTATAAGGAGAACAGAGACGGTAAAATTTTGTAAATGTAAGAAGTGGCTAGTACATTACATCAGCCCATTTTTCCAACCAAAACAAGACAGCAAATGACATTCTTAGAATACCTTATCGTACTCAAAGAAGGCTATCCTTTCTTCTTGGGAGCAGTTTCGTCCAATAGGTGACACATTTAACATGCCACTTCGAAACTCAATGAAAGTTCCCCTAAAAATAAAATGAGATTTAATAAACAAGATGTAATTGAGGTACAAGACACTCTTGAGTCAAAACTTTTTGCAATATTTGACAAAAGTATGTAGCTTGAAACAGATTTCTAATCTCTTATATTGTAACTTCACTTGTTGCTTCTCAATGAGTATAACATTAAATAGTGATTCTCTCTATATCAATCCCAAAAGTGAATGCTCTGTGGATCATAAATTTATAAAAACACAGAGGAAATAAAAATAGCATACATTTTGAAAAGGAATGTATATAGAAACTTTACCTCTTCATAGGAATGTCCAGGTCAGCAATATATTTTAAGCAGAAATTGATGAAAGTCTTAAGCTTTGCTTCACCCATAAATTCCTTGATACTCTGTACACATAACCATGTAACAAAATATAAATAAGTACAAAGATTTAGTACAAAGAACAATAACCAATTCCTAAACAACCCATCTCTTATACTTTAAAAATATGATACCTGTGTTCTCTTTATGGTCTTACAGGGGATAAGTTGCACTTTGAAAGGTATAATTTTGGGAGTTTTAAACATATTTCACAAGATACTCTTCAAAGGTTTTAATCCTTGAAGTGTTGGATGATAAGATGAATTGGAAGTGCTATACATTGCATAGATTTCAAAGCCACAGTTACACACTGGCTTTTACTCAAAATGTAGGCCATGAAATGTAGCCCCCCTTTCTCCCTTCCCTTCCTCTCCCCCCCCCACCCCCCCATCCTCTCCAACAGCTGTCTCCATTTTTAGTCTTCATTTTTAGTGAAACACATATTAATTTCCAGCAGTGTTCAATTCTTACGTTAGGAACATTTACAAAGTGTGGATATGATATTGTCCAAGTTGACGGGGGGAGGCAAAACACTGACCTGTTTATGAATCAGCTCTCCGTTCTTGTAAGCTACCAAACCATTCTCCGAAAACACATAGTCATACAGGCTCGTCACTGAAAAGAGGAAAGTAATTGGACACAAATAAACTAGCAAACTACAAATCAGCATTAACACTGTAAATGGACTCGACGTTAAAGATTCTTTGTGAGCCTACAAAGCAATTCATTGATATAAATTCTTCATCAAATATCAATCATTACCGCTATACTTTCAACATTAACCTTACCATCGTCTCCTCCCATTTGCTCTTGAATTTTATGAAAATCAGATCCACCAACTAAGCCGACGACAACCTTTTTGCGAAGCTTCTTCATGAACTCTTTCATTTCTGCGGTGACAACCTAACGATCGAGGTTACGGTAGGGTTAACGAAATTATGTTATCTCACAAAATTACCATTAAGTGTCATAAAATGACCCCTGATGTCCACAGAAAACAGCTACTGAAAGAAGTTTACCAATCTGGCCGGAGTAACTGTACCATCCACGTCAAATAAACATAAGACATCCTTGGGACTATTCACGGAAGCCATCTTTACTTGCGTGACGTGAATTATGGTCAAAGTACGATCTAAGAAATTTTGATCGAGAGCGCTTGGTGACACGTCACCGACACACCCACAGAATAAGCCAATCACTGAGCAGCATTCTTTCCTGGGATCTCTCCTTCACCAAGGAGACCACAATATGTCATCCGTCGATAAATTTTCCTTTCCGGGTTCTGAGATTTTAGTTTGTAGTGCTGATAATCACACACTTCTCTTTGTTAAGAATTTGGTGTTCAATCAGGCCAAGGATCTCTAGTAAGTATTTCATCAAATTCTTATCACCCATCGGTTAATCAGTCCTAGAGATTTGTTGGAAGAATAAATATTCTGATCACCCCAAGGGGTGAAAGGATTAATATGGAGGTGTTAAAATATTGTCTGTGAAAGGAAATGAGCTGCAATAATTCCAGAAACCGAAAACATTGAGCAAGGAGAAAAATGCTAGTTGAAATGATCAAGGCTGTCACAAAAATCATCACTCTGTTTGAATGTTTCATTGATAATTTTATTTACACACATAAATTCCTTCATAATCAACTGCTATGGCTGTAGTAATACTGCTTTCCTTCCATCATCCTCTTACCTTACTTCAAGCTTTTAATTTCTTTGTTTTTTTCATTTATTATACCCATTTTGAAATCACTGGTGGTCCCTGTAATCTGATTGGCTCTAATTGGTGCAATTTATTCACGAATCCCACCATTTTTTGCTTTAAATCACACCTTTTTCCCAGGCAATAAGGCTACACTAGAAACAAAACAACCAATCAGATTTCAAGGCTTGTTTAAAGAAACCAATCAAATTGCAGGAAAATAAAAAAAAAAGAGTATCATATGGCAAGTTTTGCAACTTTTGTTTCCACAACTCTTATTTTTCCCCCCAAAAAATGGATGACTTTAATTTCAAACCAGCTCAGTGTTGCATTAATAAAATATCTGAACTGATCAAGTCCTGTATTTGGGCAATTTCAAAATGGATGTAATAAAGTGGTAATTAAACCTCGTGTCATGCAATTTTGGTCTGAAATCATACTTGTGATTGCAAATCGAACTCATGCTGTGGGCTTGTTCAATTTTTAAATCATGCATATGATCTCAGCCCAAATTGCACTCCACTTGTTCATGATTTTCCATTTGGAGGAAACAGTTTAAAGTGTGTACCTATACTCTACATTACATCCATGAAACTCTAACTTATGAAAAAGTCTACAATAAAAATTACACATTTTGCTTACATGTCATTTCCTAATGCCATACAAAACCTGTACCTCACATAACCATACAAAATCTGCACTGTTTTACAGAAGTGCTTTTAATTACATGGAATAAGTATCAAATTATTTCCTCATAAGGATTAGGCCACTGCCAGGCTGTTGGTGCTTACACTAAAACAGAGCCAATTGGCAGAGTTATCACCTGTTATGTCCTTGAAGAAAATTCAACCTACATTAATAAAATAAAAAAAGGACATTACTTCTACACATACTTATGATTCCCAATTTAATGCCTCTAGTTATGTATAAGGCCTGCAGTTGTATTTTCTCGCACTTTTTATTTGACATTAGTCATTTTAAACACCCATGCCCACTGACAGGGCAGGTCAGATGCAGACAGGGGTGGAATAATTATTTTCATTCCTCCCTTTTCTGAAAGAGGCTTCCAAGGAAACTCAACTCCTGGTAGACCAAGCAGATTAACGGTTGCATTCTCAGCAGGCACAGGTGACCCAAGATATAGTGTCTCCTCTTTGGGCCACTCCAGTGCAATAGCATATGTCAGCCCAGGTTTGCTGGTGTACCTGTGGAAAGATAGTAAAAGTTGTAACAGACCAATCTATGTATCCAGGTTTATCAGAGTAAAGGTGAGTAATAACTCAATTATCTTTTGGATTACATTTACTTAAGTTTTGCTCCACTACTTGCTGTACATGTACATTCAATTCTGCAATAAACTTCACTTTTGATACATTGTGAGCACTGTAATCTTAATATGAAAAGAAAAAATAATGGGACCAACAAGAAAAAGGTACAAACTTCTGAGTCCCAGGACTCACACATTGGGCATAACACTACTACTAGCAATTTGTATAAAGCTTGATGTGTGCGTTGACAGAAAAAGGAAAAGGTGGTAATTTTTTTTAAGCTCTGTAATGAAATACAGAGATGACTTTTATTCTTTGGGAAAATAATACTTACCATATCTTAGGGGTTAAGGTATCATTTTGAACTCGCCAAGGCTTGGTTCCATAAATACCTTCCCCATTAACATTCAGCCAGTCTCCCATTTGTTCAAGACGTTCCTGAAAAATTGGGTCAATTCGACCATCTGCTGTTGGGCCAACATTCATCAGCATGTTACCACCACAACTGTTCAGAGGGAGAGTAAAAATAATTTAATAAATTAGTGACTATAAAAAATCAGACCAGCTCTCTTGTGCCTCAGGGAAAATTGTCTCATGATTAGTTTTATTCCATAACCAGCTATGCCAACTTCTGTAGACTAGACTAAGGAAATCACTTGTTTAAAGTAAGGAAAGGTGACATTATGAAAAATAATCATGAGGAAAGTCAATAGTGATAAAAGAAAAGAGAAAAGACAGTGATTAATATGAGGAATCAGGAGTGAGGGGATGACAAAAAGAGCAACAATGAGAGCTGGAGTAAATACTGCAGGCACCTGAACCACAATGGATAGGGAAAGGACACAAGGAAAAGAGGAACATTTTAAGATTCTAACCTCACAGTTGAAGCAAGGATACTGGTCAGGTTATCCATAGTTAGAAAGTCTGAGATAATTGTGTTTCTTCGATATCCCCATGAATCTTTATCAACTGTCATGGCATCTTCCCATTTGTGTTTCTGCAAAACACCTGAAAATGGATGGAAATACCTTTTTAATAAATCTGATATTAAGATCTACACTCCATCAACAGCAAAATGTAATGTTGCCTCTAAAATTTTGAGAAAAATTATAAAAGTTTTATAATTTTAACAAAAAAATATGAAAATACAATTAAGGGATTGTGTATACTTTTAGATATGTTACCTGGATTATATCTGTCAGCACAAGTAAACACACCACCATGGTGACACCTATCACCAACACCCCAGCGGTCATTCACCACCACAGTGTCTTTAACAGGACTGAAAATAAAGTGTGAGAAATTCACTTTAACCCACTGACTTATATTACTGTCATGTGCTTAGAAAGTCCCAAAGTAGGTTCCTTACAGTACATGTTTGATGTTAAGTGGCCTTGGGGCCAGAGTTGGTCTAGTTAATCACAACTTGATGCCGGTTGCTTCTGGTAGATTCTTACACAGGACACAATCATGAATTTTAAAACTTTAAGCTTGCAAACATGTATTGTGTGATTACATCAGAAGATTCTTACACAGGACACAGTCATGAATTTTAAAACTCTAAGTTTGCAAACATTTTGGAGTAAATTCTTTATTTTTAAGAAGAATAACCACCTGTGAAGATAACTTTGAGGGCAATTCTCTAAACTAAGTATTTACTAATTTTTACAGGTGGTTTCACCTTAAAATTTTGTCATTTTGTTCTCCTGCAATAAAATGTTACCTGTCATTGTACAACCATGCAAGAAATTCTTTACTCTTCCAGTAAGAATCACTAGCTTCCCAGTCACCATCTGACCAAATATACTCTGGCTTGTAAGTCTCTACAATATCATACATCTGAGGTAGCATAATTTCCTTTATTAAAAAACAGAAAGTACATATTATCCAGGAGTTTCATTCAGATATTTAGTACCATAATTTCTAGCCAATTACCCATGGGTAATCTGTTAATTTTTCCACAGACAGTTGTTGGTGCAAGTTATGGGAAAGTGCAGGTAATAAGATAATTTTACAGAACAACAGCATGACAGAATATTTGACACATCAGTGAAATTTTCTTAGCTAGCACTGCCATGAGTTAAAGAGTATTTTCATGTTTCAAGCCATTTCTTTGATTCATTCTATAAGAAACATCGAGAACAGGAAGTGTGAAAATTTATTAATTGCATGCTAAAGGATATCATGTCAACAAAAACAATGGTAGAACTTTGTGTGAGTTGACGATTTTCTTTTGTTCTTAGGTGCAGCTTATCTGCCAGTGCAGGTGATCTGTTTAAACTTTTTTTGTCACAATTGCAAAAATTGATAGATGCAGGTAATCTGCCACACGGGTAAATAGCCAGAAATTACTGTACCAGGATAATGGTGTAACTAAAAGTAACAGTACAGAAAAAACTGCACAGTCTACCATTCCACATCTAACAATAAACATATATTTTAAAAAAACTGCCTTGTCAATATCTTATTAAGAAAATATTCCACATCAATACAAAAATGCGTTATTAGGTTTGGAGGTTGACAGCCTTGAGAACAAATCCATGATTTACATGTAGCTAGGGAGAATGCAAGATCAGAAAAACAAATAAAACAGTGCTAAAATGTTCATTTAACCCTTTAACTCCCAGGAGTATTTAAAAAGAAACTTCTCCCTAAAATATCTAACCATTATCCAGCAAACAAGCAATGAGAATATTCAAACTTATTAGGTTCAAGTTGCTCTCTCAATCTGACACCAAATTCTTGCAACTTACTTATGAGGAAACATATAGCAGCTAGTGGGGAGAATTCACAATCAGATATTCAGAGTTAAAGGGTTAACCCTTTCACTCACACGATCTTATCAGTAGTTCTCTTTACCATCTGCCCCACAACTCCTATAATGTTAGTTAAGAAAATTTGGTACTGAATCAACTAATAATCCTTTAATTGATTTTTTTTCTTTATTCTCGTCACCCATCAGCTTGAAAGTGTACTGTTATCGTAAAGAGAAACTTTGTCCTGGTCACTTATGGGAGTTCAAGTATTAAAACTGAATTTATCCTTAAGACTTCAACTTACATCAACATATGTCTGTGTGGCAAATTTATTTTCTTTATCTTCCAGATAAAGAGGGTTAAACCATTCATAAAGGGAATAGTACAAACCAAATGTGATGTTAGTGCGCTTCCTAATGGCTGATGCTAGATCACCTGTTCAAGACAAATAAAATGACCATGTTATTTTTGCACAATGTTTCAAGAACAATATCATGGTGGGCATCAGATCTGAGCGTGCACTATAATAGGTCTGGCTTTTTCTTTTGTATCTGCTAACATGAAGGATTCCTATTTTATCAAAACATACAGTGGCACAAATGCAACTTTAAAGAAAGTGCCATTTTGGTTGTGGAGGACCAACTTGGAAATGTTCAGTGTGACTTTAGGTGATTGCAAAGTAAATCTGGCCTTACAAAAAGATTACAAAAAGCATGAAATAGAATGCCCAAGTTGAGACCAAAAGCTTGCTTACCAACAAGATCCCTATGAGGACCATTATTGACGGAGTTCCAGTTCCAAGAAACATTTGACCTCCAGTTTGTCCAGCCCTCATGGTGTTTACTTGTCAAAACAACATATCTATCAAAGATGAAAATAATTATAAAAGTAAGGCATTACTTCTTCCAGCCTAGTTGTTAAAAAAGTAGTAGCTGACTTTATGTTGTTGATCCTCTCTCCTAAAGAAAAGCTCCTTCTACTTGAATATGTTAGTTTCTTAAAAATAAAGTTTACTTTTGCAAAATGAGAGTTATGCAATGATTCCCATAGAGAAGAAGGGATATTATCACAAACTTAATTGGCAGTAGAGATTGCCATCACAGAAAATGAGCAGTTGAGCATGGTTGAGATGGGAGGAGGGATGAGCCAACAAGCCTGGTACACACACTGCATATCCCAGGCCTACTTAAGACTATAGAGATAAATTGAGACTGTTGGCCATGGTATAGTCATCAACTATGCAAAGAACAAGTCTGTAGAGTAACAAGACTTGATTAAGTAAAAGGACTTGTCACCCATTAAAAAAAATTATATAATATCATCACTTCCAAAAAAATCTTAAGAGAAAATGCGCTCTCAGCAGATTTTGTTCGAATAGCTTTAATGCTGAAACTGGAACTAACATCTGTCAGATATCAAGGAATGTCTGCTGAAGCTGAATATAGCATATTTAATCAAATCCTCAAAACTCTCAAACCAAGAGATTTAATCTACGAAAATAGGTCAAGTTGAGAACCCTTTGTGATGCAGGTACTTATTACAAAACCACCTATTTTAGAAACCATTTCTAAAGATAACTACATATATTGCATAATTTTCTTAGTTCAGCTTGTCTCAACTGCTTCGGAAAGCTTGAAATGCCCAATTTTCGTACTATAAAGAAACACTCTATAAATGAGAGTATTAAAAGAATGGCAACCTTTAAAAAAATCATGAAAAAATCGTCCCACAAACCTGGCACCGGATCGAGCCAACATGTCCGCCCACAGATCAGGGTCGAAAAATTCAGCCCTGAACATCGGCGCAAAATCGGCATAGGAGAAACCCGGACGATAATTCTTTTTCATAAACTCAACGTATTTTGGATCATTTTCTCCTTTCCAATGCCACCAAAACCATTCGGAGCCAAAACTCGGAACAGCATACACCCCCCAGTGCATAAAAATTCCGAACTTCGCATCGTCGTACCAGGAGGGAAGTGGCCGCGAATCAAGCGACTCCCACGTCGCCTGATATTTCGCGTGTGCAAAAAGAAACTTTAAGCCCAGGAGGAAAATACTAGTACTCGTTAACATTTTTCTAAAGGCAAGCGTCTGCTCTAAGGGAAAGATTTGAGACAAGAGGGACAGCAATCGATACCGAAAAAAAGGAACACATGTCGTGTAAAAATTCATGAACTATCCCACAAATGCCACATTGGTTCCCAGTCTTTCAAACCCAACTTATGGTCGAGACTAACTTTCTGGGGTCAAAGCCTTTTAATGTTATTATGATAGGTATAGTACTGTTTTATTATGTGGAAATAAAACAAAAAGTTCTCCTTTTCTGTCAAAGAAATTTTATCAGTATCACTTTCATCATCACCGCGCCATTTCATAAACTTTTGAGCCATACAGTTGTTACCTTGGTTGATCGCTCTGACGAAGGCCTAGAGCTCGTAACTTCAACTTTATTAAACTATTTACGGTATCAACTCAGTTGATAATACTTAATTACCTTAGACGGTTAAGAATATATGAAGGTCATATATTTGAACTGCGGATAAAGACATGAATGAAAGTGATCTTCGCAGTGATGTGCACTACTTAGGCAGTAGTGAAAATAAGGCCTGAAAAAATTCAGGCCTGTACGGGATTTGAACCCATGACCTCTGCGATACCGGTGCAGCGCTCTACCAACTGAGCTAACAAGCCAACTGGGAGCTGGTCATGATGGTGGTTCTAAATAGACTCGTGAAGTGATGAATAGACGGTTAAGAATATATGAAGGTCATATATTTGAACTGCGGATAAAGACATGAATGAAAGTGATCTTCGCAGTGATGTGCACTACTTAGGCAGTAGTGAAAATAAGTAGTAGTGAAAATAATTTTATAATAATAAAATAATAATAGAAAATAAAATTTAGAACCACCATCATGACCAGAATATAGACCAATACCCCACCTCAGGCTGAATTCAAATTCTTACCACATTGGGTGAGTCATCACCAAATATTCTGGTTCATCCATCAAAATTCGAAACACATCTGACCGCTTTGCTGGTATATACACCGGCTCTAGCGAGAATCCTACAGTGACAACTTCCAGCTCCCTGTAGGCTAAAACGCCAAGAATTGCCACTAAAGAGGTCCAGAAGATGATCCTGAGAGTCATTACGGTCGTTCACTGGCACTTGATCGGGTCAGCGAGACGAATGAGAGAGCGTGACTTGAGCGACGGTAGACGTTTTGTGACATGCATGACGTCATTTCCAGAAATGTTTGCGAAATGTGTGACTTGAAAGGTACTTGATCGGAAAGAGAATACTGTCTCATTCTTTCCCAGCTCTCGTGTCAGTTGTAGCGAGGATCAATGTTTTCAGAAGCTTATGGCAGCTGTCAAAAGTGGAAAACTATACCATAATCCGAGATTTATCTTGGTGTTACATTCTTGCTTTAAGCCTTGTCTTTTGGTTGAGGACAAATATGGCTTCCTTCGAGAAGTCGAGAAATAGCACCAAATAGATAGTAAAACCGTGTTGTTGAATGGCTGATAAAAACGACGACGAAAGCGAGAAGTGGTGTGCTGTATGCAGTGATAGTGCCTCCGGTTACCATTACGGTGCGAACACTTGTGAAGGCTGCAAGAGTTTCTTTAAGAGGACAGTACAGAAAGAGCTGCTGGACAAATATGAGTGTATTGCTGATGAAAGCTGTCCCGTAGACAAGCAGTCACGGGCCAAATGTCAGTTCTGTCGGCTTCAGAAATGTTTTACAGTGGGGATGGTCGCAGAAGGTATTGATTTCTCTTACAGAGATTTTCATTCAAAATTTAAAGATTATTAGAGATGAAGCACAGGTAGAAATATTCCGCCAGAGTAATCTTTCGATCAAGGAATTCGACTGGACAAATGACAACATGTACTTAGTGTTTAATTATGATTTCTGCGAGTTAGACTGCAGGGAAAAATAGCGAAAATCAATAAAATGATTTTAATATACTACTAAAGGCAGCCAATCTCTGAAAAACGACCTTTAGACTGTGTTGAGACAAAATGATAATAAGTTTGACTTCAGGATGTTGAAACGAGTCACAGCAGTGTCATGTGATCTACTTCTACTTATTATGCTGGTGAAATTAACAGAACCTTCGATTATTATTGTAAAAAGTGGGACAACATGTAAACAGAAAAGCTGTTCTGTTGTTATGCATATTTTATCCAATTATATTTTATATTTTCATTCGTCAACTTCAAAACTTAATTAAATCCCTGATTAAGCATTGAGGTTTGAGTTGCTGCAAGTTATTAAGCAAGGGTGAAGATATGGGTAGGATTGGTGACTGGGATATATTTCAGACTGTGTTTCATGAAATGATAATCATTTGTTTTATTGATATTCATACATAACAATCAATTCCTCACTTCTAGTGAGAGAATTTGAGCATAGGGTTAGTTGTAAAAGTAAATTTACACATTTTGGAAAACAAATTTGGTTTCAAGTTGTGTTTCTTTAGACATCTTTACCCAAACTCTTTGGCCATCTTCAGATATGTTTGTTTCCCTAAAAGTTATCCTGACCCTCTCAGTACTTTGCTTTAAGGCTTTTTTTTAAAGCTTCGGAGTAGGAGTCTTAGACTTAAGAGCACAATACTAGTGGAACCGGAGTCTGAAGATTCCAAATAGTTCCATTTCCTCCCAATCCTGCTGATGAATCATACGTTTATGATCAGTTAAGAACTAAATTGTTCAAGCAACAAGCAGAAGCAGAAGATTCAACCAATCAGAGCACAAGTTCTAAGGTCATCAAATGGCTTAATAACCTAATCAACCTAGATTTCAAAGATCACAGACAATTGAGGCACTAATGGCAATGGAATACTGCTTCCAATTCTGTTGTTGTTGTTATTTATTTATTTTTTTTTTGTCATTAGTTTGCATCTCTCTGCACTTCTAAGAAAAAACTCTAGCCCTGATATTTGTGAAAACCAGCCTGAAGTGTAAAAGGTTATGTCATGCATACAATGCAAGTGACAATTATTGCCACATGTTCACTTTTTTATTGAAATATTTATTTTTTTTTAGGGGTAAGAAAAGAAAAAAAGCGTGGTGGACGATCATTCTATCCACTAAAGAAACAGAAATGTGATGAAACAACTGAGAGAAATGTGAATCAAGACACAAATATTGTATATTGCTCTGAACTCATCGAAAAACTTATGGAAAGTAGTCCTTGCATCATTCCTCCTGGAGAGTCAGTTGAGAATCCAAAGGAAGCAGATGGCACAGAAAGCAGGGAAGGAATGCTCACCAGACTTTCCACTGCAATTACCAAAGAACTATACTTGATTGTTGAATGGGCCAAACTGGTACCGGGTTTTGAAAATCTTTGCCGTAAGGATCAGATTGCTTTGTTGACCGCTGGAGGAATGGAACTGATTGTGTTTCGAGTCATCTACAGGTCTATTCCTTACAAAGAGTATGTGTACATGAACTCAACCACTCTTCTTGAGAGAGAGGATTGTTACAGTGTGTTGAACAAAGAAATTGTTGACATGATTCTTGATGTGGTAGAAAGACTTAGGCCCCTTGCCATGGATCAAGTAGAATTTGCTTGTTTAAAGACTATTCTCTTAGCTAATCCAGGTAGGGATTTTCAGTGCATAACTTTACATTATCAACCTTGGTCAGTCTGTCTAGTAAATAACTGTCTGTCTATTTTTTCAATTGCCTATCTGACTATATTCTTGCACAGTTACATCCATCTCTCTGTCAGAAAAATTACCTCTGTCCGTTTGTCTATGTATTTGCATAAAGGGGGTAAGTTTCTAAAGAAACTGTAGTGCTGCATCGGTGGGAGTTTATAACAGGTAATTTAGCATTAACAACTGAGTTGAAAATGTAAGTTGGCCTCCGTAAAGAGTTTAAAAGCTGATGTTATGAGCATTAGCCCTTCATCAGAGTGAAGGGCTAACATTTGAAACATCAGCCTTTAAACTCTTTATGGCAGCCAATTTACGTTTTCAACTCAGTTGTTAACACTAAATTACCTATGTATTTGCATGTCTGAGTCTCACCACATGCCTCCAGGGTCTTGCATGCTTAGACAGCTACATGGTACATTACTACCTAACCGTAAGCTTTATTCTTGTCCTACATTCTGAATCATTTTGTATTATTTTCAAGCCAAGAGGAATGTTATGCCAAGAAACCAATAGAAATTGCCATCTACTACTGACAGAAATAATTTGCTGTCTTAAATTGAGTTGTTGTCCAGAGCAGAATGCCACTTAGTCTTACATTTACATTAAAATCTTTTGAAATTAATTTTACCATAGGCACCAACTTTTCTGACTGATTTTTGTGTAGTGGAATTTGGCAAGTATGAAACTAAAACTGTTTAACTTGTAATTCCTATGAGTGACCGAGCCAGAAGTTCTCCTTACAACATCAATACAACATCAAGCAGACAAGTAATGAGAATAAAAGGAAATATCAATTTGGGGATTATTAGTTGTTCCAATACCAAATTATCTGAATTTACATTATGAAAATTCTATGACAGACAGTATAAGGAGGATTTCTGAAGAGATCTTGGTAGTGGAAGGGTTGAAGGTGGAATTGGTAACTAAAAAAATGGTGAATGTTAAATTTTGCCTCACCCCTCCAATGATTTATTAGAACATAAAACAAATTCAAATCATGGCATTCACCATGAAGGCTATGTTCTTCAAAAATTACAAGAATCTTGGACCCTTAAACCATTCCATCTGTGAAGATTATAACCAACTGATTTCTAAAAATGTTTTACAGAAACATCAGGACTTTCTGACAAGATTGCAGTTGAAGCACTTCAAGGGTCATTTCTTGCAGCTCTTAAAGATCACATGGAGTTAAATTACCCTGATCGTTCTGGACGCTTTGCTAAGCTTCTTCTCCGGTTACCAGCTCTTCGTGATGTTTGCACTAAAGGCTATCAGTATTTCTTACTAGTGCGGGCCAAGCTGGAGGGAGAAATTCCAATGTCAACATTACTACAAGAAATGTTTGAATCTGCAAGGTTTTAGAGAACATACCTCTAACCTTCCTTGGTACATAATATAGGGACATTAACTTGGAAGTTACTTCAAATGGAGTAGTTTTAGAGAAAATACCTTCACATTACTGTCCGAGTCATTGAAATATGGACATCTTCATCCCATGGAAATGTATGTTGTGGCTCAAATTTTTACCTTGTTTCTAAAATGTTTGAAATCAGTTTGGCTTTTTTCTTTTCTTTTTTTTTTGCCTAGTATTCATTGGTGAACTTAATATTTTGGAATAAAGGTAGGTAACACTGGTTTATTAATTCTTAGCACAAGTGAAAAATGTGAACCACATCATATTTTTGACAACAAAAACTTTTGAGAAGCTTAAGCTGAAAACCTGTAGGTAAATGATTCTCCTGTTCTCTATCAAATTCTCCCACTTTTCAGGTTGTATGAAGTTTGTTAATTCTGAGAGGGACATATTGGTACATTTTGTAAATTCTTGTATTTCCAAATTTGTAACACAAGCTTGTGCAGACTGCTCACATTCATTTTGCTAATAGGATCAGGTTATACATGTCTCTATCTCCATATTAAGACCTGCTGTGAGCAGGTTTGGGGAAGAAATAGTCATTGTTGGGAAAAATAGATTGTTTACTATGGACGTAATGATTTGTATGAATTCAATCAAGAGAACGTTGTACAAAACACAAATATCAAATAAGTTGTATGGTTTGTTTGAATCGAATTAAAAGTAATGAATTGGACTCTTAAGGGTTTTATGGGCTTATAGAGCCTAAGTTATGCTCAATCTGTGGCATAGTGCGACCGTCCTATTACCAGCTATGAGAGGAAAACTGGAGAAGTTTTGTCGTTGTACTGTTGATGGGGTAAGAACCTAAATCACTGAAAACAAGGACTTAAAAAAGTTTTCAACTTTATTCATAAATCAACTCAAAACAATTGTCAAAAATTATTTTCCCGTAAACCCATCGTTTTTCCTCAGCATTCATTGAAAAGTTTGCACTCCGCGTGCAACATTTGTGTAAATCCAACTCTCAATCGTAAGATGAACACCTCTCTGAGGATGAACCACTTTAACCTATAAAAGCAAGGATTTCATGATAAGAATCTTGATTAAAACTGCGAAAATGAAACAAGAATTTATCAATTATCACTTTACATGTGACAGTGGTTAAAGTAGTGGTGTCCTACACGTCTGGTGCGGTCTCGAAATCTTCCAGCGCAACCCCATCACCATACAAGTACGTAGATTGCAGTCTTTCCGAAGAGGACGGGAGAGAATGGTTGGGAAGTCTAGACACCCTGCACCACCTTGTAGGTTCTTCAACTGGAGCTTCACGGCCCAAGGAAGCGTGATCAGCACGGATGCTTTTTCTTGGCTTCACCGACCGCTTAGTTTTGCCTTGGAAAACTAATGTTTCCTCTTCATCACGGAACAATTCTGAAATATCTATGAAACACGAAATACTACGTTTGCATATTGAAAACACCAAAAAAAGAACAAGAATTTACGCAATACGTAGCATGCCCCCTACCTTCAGACGATGAATCTGAACCAAAGCTCTTTTCGGGCTTTGACCAAACTACTCCAAGACAATATCCTTGTCCACCTCTGCCAGGCGGCCTCTCAGTGGGGACAGGATCCCAGTGCGCTGGGTAGCGTGGAAGCGTCGCCGTCATTGGCCGCTCAAGGATTCGTTTCACCTCGTCTGGTTCAGGTTCACCAAAACCCTCAAAGTCCTCCTCCATTTCTTTCTCCTTCTTTCTCCGGTACTTCTCAAGGAAGTCTTGAACCATGTCGGGCTTCTTTTCTCGCTTGATTGAAGGCAAACACGGTCCAGCCCCATGCCATTTCGGCTTTATGTCAGGAATAGGAGGTGAGTTACTTTCGCCACCTTGAAAACAGTCCGTGCTCGTGAGCGCACGGAATTGCTGAACGAATGTTGACGGTTTCCTGTCTACCCAGTTGCGCCTCGTTTTAAACGTTGAGTTGAATGTGGCGCTGTTTGGTTCTTCGTTGAAAATTTCAGGTTCCAGTTTAAATCTCACCCTCTTCTTGATTTTATGACTCGGAGAATCTTTCTTGACGCACTCCTGCCTGCCTGACAGAGAACTTTCATAGTGACAAATTGAGTTAAGATCATATTTGTTCTCGGAATTGAAACTCCTTTGCAGCTCCTGTAATGCTTCCTCTCCTTTCTTGTTCTTTTTACTTTGTTTTTTCTCTGAGCTCTTCTGGCAAAGTTTAGACTTCGATACCTTCCTCGAAACCGCTGAAGGTTCAGTGAGCCCGCTTTTCATGTCTAGTGTACTAAGTTGTTTCTTCTTAGTAGCACGTCGCTCACTGCGTTTTGTCACTGATTCTGCTTTGTCTTTGCTGTGCTCTTTCCTGGAGGTATGGCCGGTGCCAAAGTCACTAGCCTCCAATGAAGTTTGTAATGAGTCACTACTTTGGCGACATGAGGCTTTAGGCATTGGATTTGTGGCGTTTACCTCCTTTCCCATTGCATGTAGTTTTAACGCAGATTCCTCTGAAGTGTCTTCCTCGTAACCATTTGACTTTTCATCAACGCTTACGGCGGGTTGGTAGTCAGTATGTTCTTTGCTTCTCGGATTGTCGTTTACGATCTCAAAACATTCTCCTCTCTCCACTGTCGAACTTTGTTCATTGATAACGTCTGCCTCGGGGACCACAAACTTAGACACACTCTCCTTTCTCACTAACGCCAACCAAGTCGAACAGCCATTAGAAGAGGGCTCATCATTGTTTAACGATGTCCTGGATCTCTCCTTTCTTATTTCCAATTCAGGATTGGAAGAGACATGTTGCTCAGTATATCTTATGTCATCTGCCGCTACTTTCTTGAATTGCACAGAATGGTCTTCCTGGGCGTCATCCTTCAAATCATAGTATGGAGCAGGTGCAACAGAGTTACTCCTCTTTTTCAACCATTTCCCTAGAGAAGTGCGCGGCCGTTGTTTTCTTTCATAGATGGGATTAATCCCGCTTTCATTTCTATCGACCCTGGACTTCTCTTTCAGCTTTGCGCTGCCCTCTTGAAAGTCATGATTAACGCTGATGATCTTGGCGCAGACATTTCCATCCAGTACAGTTCTACCTGTTGGTTCCTTCTTGTTGGTCTCACCACCTTGTTTCTCTACGTTTTCGAAAGCACCGTCAATAACAACTCGATTTTTTCTCTTATTTTTCTTCTTCTTTTTCTTCTTTGGAAGGTTCGATCCAGATTTGTCGTCGTGTGTTGGAGAACTTTCGCCCTCCATGATTTGACGAAAGTAAGGAGTGTCACCAACCAAATTTATTGGTATGCTTCCCGTGGGGCCATAAAAGGAAGGTTGTCGAACTTGGACCAGTGGCTTTCCCACAGTGGAGAAGATGTCTGGGAGACCACTTCTTCCACGTGAGTGGCAATCCTCCCCTGCTGCTGTCTTTTTTTGCTTTAGTTCACCAGGTCGTGGCTCCTGGGCGGCATTAAAGCAGGGCAAGGTGTCTTGCTTGTTCAAGACATGCTTATGTATCTTCCCGGGACCTTCTCCTACATTTTTCTTTTGTGAATCGTTTGCGGTACCATCTTTAACAAACCTGCTCGCCAGAAAAAAACTTGAGGAATCTAGCATTTCAACTGGGGGGAGTGAGGCTTGACATCTGCAAGAATCGAGCCTCGCATCGGCGAATCTCGTTTGTGGTATATTTCCTACATTGCCAAGGGGAAGGAATTTCAAATCCTCGACGTTATCAGACAGGAATTCCTTATTTCTCCCTATTATATGTTCACCGTCTTTGCTATCCCCCAAGAAGGACTCTTCACTGGCCACGTTTGTGGATTTCACTGATCCGGTACACTGTGAGTGTTTCTTGATCACTTCAGTCTTGAATCCAGACTCATCCTGTAGGAAAACAACTTTATTCTCTTCCTCCGTTCTCCTCGGAGAGTCGCTTCCACGTTCCACTCTTCCACTACGTCTTCCGGTGACAACATAATTTTGTAAATAACCAAAAAAGGAAACGAATCTATCCATTGTAAACAAATTTCAACCAAGAATTGAAATCGCGAATTTTTCCTCGTAAGCTCACGAAGATAAGTTTTTGCTCTATGACGTCATTAATTGCATGTGACACCAAATGAACCGAGCACGTGCAATTTAAGAGAGGTAGAGTATCAACGGTAATGCTTTTAGCCGAGATGAAATTCTTGAATGAAAGTTGAATATAAAACTACAACTGATCACACGTTTACAAAGTTTTTTCTCCATTCGTAGAAATACAATACTCCAGATCGCCCTCGCGCACATCATGCTGATATCTTTAAGTTTCAAAGTGTTCGCAAAAAGTGGCTATTTAATCAGTCAGACAGAGGCAGTCCTAACAAAAGCGTTCCGACACATTCTCCCTGGAAAGTTGATACAAAATTCCAAACCTTGTCGTCCGCCATTGTTCATAGATAAATTAAAACACTTTATCCCAAATGATCTTTGCCTGGCTAAAATCGCCATAGCCCTCGGAGGCACCTATTAAGCACAGACCATAACCGAAAATCGTTAGTTCACAACACTCCAATTTCTCTTTCCGATTTCCACAGCCGAATAGATCTTTCACAAATGTGAAAGGCGCATTATTTTCCGCTCGTCAACTAAGATTTGTCCCCAAAAAATTTCTTTGACACCTGTTTCTCCATCGGCACCAGAATATTTTGCTACTGATTTTCGTCGCGTCGAGACTTGAAAGTTTGTCTTCCACGCAGTTCTAGTTAAGTTCTTCTTAGGACAAAACTGGCAGCCACAACATACCTTTAGAATAAATTACTTCTAAATAAAGTACTTTATCCATATCAAGTAGCCAAATCATCAAAACATCCCTTCTACATCCACATTATATTTTCAGATATTCATCCTGTGTACACATTTATAAATTAATCATATCACAGAAAATAACCCACGTGAGGTGCTGATAAATAAGAACGTTTTATGAATTCAGAGCCGAAGGCGAGAGATTTTTCGAATTTTTTCTCCCATGCCCCCCGAAGGCTCCTATTTAGTGGAGACCATAACCGAAGTCGTTACTTCACAACATTCTGATTTATTTCTTCCGATTTTATATTTTATATTTTATATAACAATCATACTAAGTGGGTTTTACGACGGTGAATCAATAGAAAGTACAGTCACGTGATTTTATAAAACAGCTTTTTTTTTTTGAAAAGTCAGTGTGTGATTTGTGTATCCGCTATTTCATAGATGTAAATATGTTGCATCAGGACTAACCGAGACCAAACGATTCGTATATGAAGTCAATAAATATTAACACTAATAAGCAGTGAAAGCCTTTTGTGTACATGGACCTGAATAGCTAGGTTGTTCATGAAATGGTAAAATTACTTTATTAGCCTCCGTTGTCAAGAGGGGAAAAACATCGCAGCAAACCAAATTGAGCAATCCAAGAGTATGTCTGAATGCTGTATTAATAAACACTAGAACAATTATCTATGGTTTAAATTGTCGTCATATTTTGAGGTCTGTCGTCTTCAGGAGAAAGGTAGGAACATCATTCTGGGAAAAAAACGTCTTTCTGCGACATCTGAGCTCCAGGGAAATAAGTTTGAAAGAGGCAAAATTTAATGGGACAATCATTTAGCTCTATTGTGCGCCCACTGAGATTGGCTGTTTGTTTTCTTGAATTTCTCCATGCGAAAGTAACAGCCAATCAGATGCGCTTAACATACCCCTGGGCATCGGTGTAGAATTATTCGTACAAGCTTTTACAGAAAAACGAAATTTTCCCCGCTCAGCCCAACAGTAAGGTAGATTTGAAAATAAATAATAATTCGTAATCTTTGGAATACGAAACTAATCCCAAAGACACTTCGCACTCAGACACTTCAAAACTATGGCGTCGACTGCCCGGGAAAAAGGGCTGTTATTTCAAGGATAGGTCGCCATCGTCAGTTGAAAAAAGGAGGTACACCCGTCGGGAAAGTTCGGGTCCAATTCTTCGACTACTTGCCAGTACTCCGGCGCCACGACGGACCTGAAAAAGAAAAAATACATAAGTCTAACTGTGCGTGGAAAGCAAGGGATCATTGCAATTAGGGATGGGGAGTATTTTGGACAGAACACAAGCTTTGATTGATGTACAAATAAAGTTATCATGAAACCCGTGAGAAATTTCAATTTTACTATCAAAGCAAACCGGAGAGCGAAATATTTTCTAATTTCTGAGAGCTTACCAAGATGTCTTGAAGAAGTTTAGAAGCTTCCTCTCTACTGCTACAACCTTGATAGGCCTTAAAAAATATATCATTACGTTCATTATTAAGATTCAGTATTTCTTACGTGAAAGAATATTATATCAATAGCAACTAAAAATTAAGTAAGTTCACAAGATCTACGACTGTTAGAGTGCGAAAACACTTGATGTAGGTGAGATGACAGCATTTACAAAGAAAAGTCATTAAAAAAGGTAAAACAACAAGATGCAGTACCTTGATGAGACTCTGTGGAGATGGGTAAACGTTTGTAATGGCGGCCGCCATCTCCGCTGAAACATTTCTCAACTGTTGAAAATGTTTCTGCCAGACTTTCTTCAAACCCTCACCGTCTTTTGACACCTGCAGAAAGGAACAACCTCTTGGCAAACAGCTACAATTGAGAGATAGTGGAGAATTTGAAAGACGTGAGATTCAAGGAAAATTGATGAAAACGGTTGACAGATAGCAATGACGGGAATGTTCCGGTGACATCTTCTCGGCCTAAAATGGCCCAAGTTTAGTTGACCCATCAAATATTTTAGTGCATAACAGCTTACTCCCCCCCTCTCCCTCACCATCTCAACCCACACTATTTTTCAAGATTCTCCTGAGTGGAGAGGAGCACTGTTCAAGTTACATATTTTACCCAAGAACACAACATAATATTCCTGCCTGGGCTCAAACAAGACGTTTTCATATGGAGTACAGCGCACCAACCACAAGGACAGCGCATCTTCCTCAATACAGAGCATAGAAGCATTATATCTACTTGCTCCACCCTTCACTCCCTATGATAATCCCAACTGCGTACTAATCCCCCCCCTGTAAAATCATGAAACATGTGCTGAGACAAAGTGGAGAGTATTTATTGATGACAATGAGCTTCAAAGTGTACCTTCACAGATCTTTTCTGTCCTTCCACACAGAAAGAAAATACTTCCGGTTGTTTTTTCCTATTAATGCAAAATGTGATTTTAATTCTTAACCTCTAACAGAACATGTGGCAATAGACACAAGGAATCAATGCAGACGTGATCTTACTTAAACGGTGCTTCAGCAACAGCTTTAGTTAACATAGCCAACAGATCAGCAAACTCCTCTTCAGTTTCACACATGCGTATTCGGCAGTCAGGCTGTTTTATTTGTAAGTCCACAAGAACTTCTTCTACATCAACCCTTGACACCATAACACTGGGTACAGATTCTTTGTTTATTTTCTTTCGTCGCTTACTGCTGGAATTATCATTATCTGAGGAGCTTTTCCCAAGAACAGCTTTTCGAAACTGGTGTTTTTGAGCGAGTTTAACATCTCTTTAGAGAAATCAAAGAAACAAGAGTGACAATTTACTTTTAGCCTTGTGAAATCTTCCTTGATGCAGCCCATAAAGAAAAAAAAATCCAAGAAAGGTGCTCTTTACTATTAACACTGCAAGGTACCATGGGCACCTACTGGAAGTGCACTTTGTAAAAGGTATAATTTTATTATTCTTACTTTTATTCTTATTGTTATTATTTATTACGGTAATGTTAATGTTGGTAGTGATAATAACAATGATGATGATGTCAATTGTTAACATTATTATAAATTTCAAGAAGACACACCTGAAATACTTTTCAAGACCCATGACAATTAAAGTGATGGTTTTACCAGGGTAAATTGTCAGGGCTCTTTCAAAGAATTCAGTCAAAGTTTCTTCATCAGAGATAACAGATACTGCTGGATTTTGAATCTCCTAAATGAAAACAATGGAAACAAAAAAAAAAGGATTTGCTGCAATCATGTTGCTTTCAGGCCCCACAACACAAAGAGGATAAAATTGTCAGTCTGCAATCATAAATAGGATAAAAGTTTACAGATACTGATTCCTGTTTCCTCATTTGATCTCACCTCACAAGATCGTAAAACCATTTCCACAAACTTCACTACTGACAGACAAAGTACTGCATGGTTTTCATCAGTGACAGTTGTTCTCATGGAAATCTGACAAGAAGGATAAAAAAAAACACCAAAAAAAAAAACTATAAGACAGAGAACTGTTTCAATGAATACTGAGTCAATTCCATTTTTATTGTTTGATATTTCAATTTCTAAAGAACACTCACTTAAAATTATGTCTCTTGAGCACACTGTAAACTACAATCTTATTACTCCACAGAACAGAGCAGATAAAATCAAAATACAAGAGACAGAACTTAGAGTGATCCCAAATCCTTTTATCAATTATTTTTTTTCTATTTCTTTCTTTTCCTTTCATTTTTCAAGGAGAAGAACTGACATAGAAATGAGCCTTCCCCATCCTAAATTGTGTACATATAAAAGTACCTGAAGTGTCCCCTCCTGTACATCATGCTGCACACAAGCTCTCTGCCACGTAATACTGCTGGGAAATAGCTGTGATTTTATCTCATGACCTGCTTCCAGTGTTTCTAATCTTTGAAGGAGAAGATTTTCCCCAGCAAGCTGACAACAGCTCACTATTTCATGATCAATGCAAACCACTATTTGCTGTTCGAAAGAATTTTAAATAAAGCACTTAATCATGACAAAAAGTTGGCATTTACCAACACCTGTACCTCAACAGGATGAAAATGAAAATGAAAAGAAACAAAATACACATGCAACATTTAACCTTTAAAAGAACATATGTAGTAGTATGAAGCAACACATTTTGGGACTCAAGTAAAACATTTTTTTCCCATACAGTACCTTGATACAGCCATCTAATCGATTGTTTGATTTCTGATTCATTCTATCTGCCTAAACAAGAAATAAAGCACAAAACAATAAATATAGCATAAAATCTAATGTAAATCCACAAAAAATAAATTTAAGAGGAATAATTTTTTTGCATTCTTCCTACTAATTTCCTCTCCTTAATGCAAAACAGAAGATTCAAAGGCTTCCTCATTAAATGTTTACACTTAACTTAAGTACCTACATTCTTCTTTCATTCTTTATACATTTCTTAAGGTAATGACAAAGAGAATTTATTGAACAATCAGGTGCTTCTTATGTTGGTGATCATAATTATCATCCTTGTAATGATTAGCTATGATTCCACAATCGTCGATTATGTAATTTCCCTTTTGAGTTAAGTGTCATAAGGTCAATGAAATTAGAGAGAAGCTTAGTTATCCTCAGACACAGTCCATTAAGATCAAAGCTACAAGATTAAGGCAGTAAAATAATAAGAATTCTAACCCAAGAAAAGAGGTATGATTTTGCTTACATAATTTCTATTTGCATGTTCTCAGATTATATTTGTTATCATGGTTATTGCACGTGATTTAATTCTAAAATAGTATTATCATGTATGCTCTATGTGTACAAGTGATTTCACAATAGCACATGTTATGTATAGTTTCTAATTGTTCTTAATAGTATGTTATGCTGCAAATTACCTTACAGTTTTTTACATTTTCAAGTACCATACCCCAAGAATAAAAGATAATCAATAAGATACAAAGATGAGTGCTTGAAGTCAGTAAATCTCCACCTCCGACCAGATATGTTTATACCTTGAGAACCTAAACCCGCTACAATCCTCCTGACCTTAGTGTTTGATTCAGTCATGATACTGTTGGGAGAAAATCACCGTCACTTTTCATTCTTAGGGTGAACCAGTTGGCCAGATTTTTTCACAGTAGGTGTTGGGACCATACAACTTCATAGGGTAGATAACAGAGCCCCTTGAGCAAAAATTACTAGTATCCAAAATGGATGGACAAGATTTTTCAGATCCCAAAATTTCATTAACAAACCATTTTCAGTAGTTTGTCCCTGTCCTTCTGAATTTTCAACTGTTCCCTGGCTTGTTTTCTGGCATGTTGTTCTTTTTCCTTTGCTTCTTTCTTTGTTTGTTTTTCAAGTTTTTTTACTTGTTTCTTAAGCTGTAAATTGAAAGTGAATAGTAATGCAAAGAATTATAAATATTTTAAAAACTGTTACGGTATATTTGCAAAATAATTGCAAAAATAATTCAGGATTTTGTCGAACTGAGATGTTGAAAATGGAGATTGGAGCTTAAATATTATCTCCCAGTTTAGTGTCTACACTCCTTATAACTGTTCCTGACATAACAAATGACATAGTGATACTTACATGAGCTTCATTTCTCTCTCTTGTAATTTTGTGTGGTGACCCTTTCTTTTTCTTAACAGGGATTTGAGAATCATCCTGAGAGTCAAAGTTGCTTCCTAGAAACTGAGAATCCCTACTTTTATAATCATCTGTGCATGAGTTTGAATGTGATTTAGAAGACAGGGTGCCCCTATTATCTGTGTGTAAAGATGGTAGAACACATGGAAGATCATCACTATCAGAGCTGTAATCATGAGATTGAGAGCAATCTACAAATATTTCTCCACTTCTCTTGAAGTACTCCTCTGCAGCTTTCCTGTTCTCCTTTGGTGGCATTTGATTGCTTGAGTTTGTAGTTAGTGTTTTAGCAGCAGGTGAATGTAAAGTGAAAACATCCTGAATATCCTCTTGCTCATTATCATCAGAGAAGGAAAGATCAATTATCGAACTTCTGCATTTGACCATTGTTTTCCTTCCCGTTGCCTTTCCTTTTACATGGTAAGAGGTAACCTGTGCACTAACAGATGACTCTAGAGCTTTTGACCCCTTTTGAGGACATTTTCTAGATTCCTTTTCATTCAGCCTGCTCCTTAGGGCACTGAACAAGCTTTTTCTCTCTTCAATTGCTACAATGATATCATCATCATTACTATCTGCATCAATGTCACTGGAATCATCTTTAATTTCTAAAACATTTGCTTTGTCAACAGATGGCTCTGATTTCTCAAAATTCCTTATATTAACCAGATTTGCTCTGGTATGATCCTTGGCTTTGCTTTCATCATCAACATCAATAGTAATTACGGCAGGAAACTGAAAAACAAAGAAGTCTCCACAGGTATTTATTGTGAATATTAATCTCTATTAATATGAATCTAGACATCAATGACTGAGAGGCCTGGACTGGGTACAGGCAAGGTGCCTATTAGTATTTTCCCTTTCCTTAAAATGGAGCAATTTGTTCAGCATATCAGTTATAAGACTTGGGTAGAGCCAATGGCCATTCACCACGCTAACGCATTTCAATTGCAAAATTACTTTCGTATATTACTGCTTAGGCATCTGTGGACATGTTATTCATAATCTAGCGAGTAAGCAAGCAACAAGTTTATTTCTAGCTTTAAGAAAGTTTTAGTTTCCCTCCCACCCACATCATCAATACTTTTGATTGTATCTTAAACTCATTTGTGTTTGTAATTTATTCGTGATTACTGGATCGTTGGTTTAGAGCATTTGTCAAATATCTTTTATGTAATAGTCTAGTGTGTTATTTATGTAGGATATATACATTTAATAAACTGTCTGGTCCCAAAACAAGCTTCTGTCTGTTGTGGTGTTTAGTTGGAGACTCATTAAACAGTTCATGGAATAATATACAGTATTTTATGAATTTCTTTCTTTCAAATTTGACGCTTGGACATTCGGCTATGTCTTCAGTTGCTCGCACAAAATGTAAAGGAAATGACAAAGAAAGATTTGTAAACAGAGTAACGTTTTAAAAAAAATCGAATTTGTGAAAGTAGGCACAGGTACAGTCCTGATCAGCAGTTAAAATAGAAAAAACTCATTATCAGTTCATACCTAAAAGAAAATTCCTACCAATGGAGTAAATTAAACGATTTTTATGTTACAAACGATGGTTCAAACTTTTAAGATCGGTTTCCGGTTTGTTTTCCTTTTAATACCATACTGACCTGACCATCCAGTATCCTGTTAACAGTTTTCACTGGACTTCTGGTGATTTCCAAATCTTTAGCTATATCTATTGGATCAACATCTGGATAGACTGACAATACATTTTCGATCATCGTATGTGCTACAGGCTTTCTACTAAAAGGAGAAGAAAGCAGATCGTCCTCTTCATCTTCCATTATAGATGGCGCGCTTTTTTGAAGAACCGCTGTTTTCATAAAGTGTGGGCGTCGATGAGCTGAAGGTAGGGAGGGGTGGGGGAGGAATAAACCTAGAGTGTTCTTATTTTGTTCCAAGCTTTAGGCGGATTACGCTGGGAGAAATGCGAGAGAAACTAACTGCAACCCTAGAAATTCATATCAGACATATTCTGTATCCAGTTTTAAGTGCAGATGTCTTATTTTACAGGGCATTGTTTCATCCAAAGTGTGACCATTAATCATTCACTTGTGCTATTGGTCAGGACTGGTAATATTTGCAAGTCCCAGACTCCCTAGCCAAGCAGTGAAGACTAATCAGTTTTTAAACTTAGTCAATTTTTACGTCTAACGGCTCCATTTCTTTGGCCGTTTTACGGCTACCGATTAACTCTATTGAGATCCTCTTATAACTGGAAACAGTCATATGGCTTCCCACCTCTTCTTTATCGAAAACCGGCTGGTTAATAAGATTCGTGAAGTTGGTTTAAAAAAAAATGGAGCTCAAATAAATCGAGTGTATTTTTTTATGGACAACATGGTCAAAAAGTTGCCCAGTGAAGGAAAAACATTAACAGATGGATAAACTGACTGAACAGCTTTTCACTCAGATTGTACCGCTTAGTGATAGAAGGCTAATCTCAACTCGAGTGAATGACTAAGTCGAGCTTAGTTCTACGTTATCAATAAGGCTTTGATTTCATAAATTACTAAGCTTCCGTTAGGAAGTATGTATTTAATCCAGAGAAGAAAAGATTTATCACTAAACTCACATATAGATCTAACTAAATGCCTCTTCCTTTAAAACTTCACCCAGTCGCAAAAAGTCTTCCGTTGTTTAGAATAAACTGAATCAGTCATTTTTGTCGCTACTTCACAACGAGAAGTTGACTCAAATTAACTAGCAAAGATTTAAGCTAAGATCTGAAGTTATAAAATTCTAGGCTTAGTGCTAAAGATAGCTTCCTCGGATATGACGAACACATAAATACTTTCTTACGTTTGAGAATCAACTGAATTTACTGAGGCACACTTACAGTGCTCGAGGCAAAACCAAAATCTAAGAAACGAATAAACTTGTAAGTATTAAAATGCCCTGTGGTGTTATCATGGGAGGTAGAAATTATTTTATTTCGGAAATGATAAACAGGAGTTATCAAGCGGCCTTGAAACGGGTAATGACACTGATTTCTTCACAAAAGGCAAATTAAAACGTGGCTTTCTACTGCAAACAGCATAAAGTTAAAAAAATTAGAACAGCGTTGTTTTGTATGGTTTAAACGGAGGGATTTGCACTGTGATTGGAGAAAAGGCTGTCGAGTTTGGAAATATACTTTTCAAAGAAAGGAAGCGAATATGTGCTCATTAGAAACCCAACTTGAATATGATTACCAAAGCTCTTCACAATATCCGCCATTGAAGACTTCTTTTTCATTCAAGAGGAGTTTATAAACCTTGAAAATTAATGTAAATGATAAAAATGGGCTGGGAAGAGTTTTTATTGAATAAATTCTTTAAAATTTTTTCATTTAACGAAAATGTTAGCTATTTAGAGAAATTGGAATTATTATGTTTGAAAAAGATGGAAGCAATAGAAATTATGATGCGGATGTTTGGGCCGGTAAATAAGATGTGGCCTATGAACAAAGGAAATCTCTCTTTTCTTTTACTTCCACTGATTAATATCGGGCACAAAGAAATGATATTGAATGAAAAGGCGGAGTAGTTATTGTCGATAGGAATAAATAAACATACTTGTTAATGAGGTTTCACCGGATGCCCTTTAAACTGCTAATTGTAACCAGTGGGAGAACGTTTGTTCCGCGTCAGCCGAGAAGAACATTTTATTTAATGATGATAAGTGAGACTGTAATTAAAAATATAATTGAAGTGTTGACAGTGAAAATGCTTGGAGGGAATTGTATATTAAGAGCAGTGTTTTCAGCCGAGGCTCACTTTAGTCGGTGCGATCAACACGCCACATTTTGTAAATCTGCTTCCGAGACGATTTTTCATTGACAAGGAACAGGAGTGAATGCTCAGGTAAGAAGATTGTATATGATAACATTTCATTTACAATGATGTTTGAGTATTTATTTTTTGAGTGTTGTTTTTTCGCATGGGCATGCTCTTGCCTTTCATTATCTGACTGCCGAGCCAAGTTTTTAAGATGATTCAAAAATGCTTACCATGAGCTCAAAGATGATGTTAGATGAAAACGCTTTCACCATTTTTTTGTGCCATGTGTGCTCTATTTGTGAAGCTGGTCTGTTCAATTGGATAACACCCAACTAAAACTTGGTTTGTACCACGATTTTTTTCCATTTTTTATCATTTCTAAACTACATAAGATAAATTCATGCTTCGCGTAAGAACAAAACAAAAAAGAAAAAATAAAGAAAATAGACTTTGAGAGCCATGTGCTATGCTTAGGAAGAAAAAGTAAAGTTCCCTTTTTGCGGACCTTGTGAAATTACAACTAATTTTTCATCAGATATTTTAAAATCTTCGCTGCTTTCTTGTGTAATTATTTGGTCGTTTGCGAGCACTAACGATATATTATAACAATAGTTTAGAGCACATGTACAGAATTTGTCACGACAAAGTCGCATTGTTCCTGGAAATCCTCTGATTTTCTTCTTGATTGCCATCTCTTGGCTAAATGGGTACCACCCAAACCAGATATTGAGTATTAATCGTTGTGAAAGTTCCCATTAACGATAAGATAGTTTCAAGCTTTTGTGTTTGCGTCTTTCCCTTTTACTCTTTGTGTCAATTAGGTGCAAAATTCCTTCTTTTTTCATGTCACTTACTTGACTTTATCATTCCTGTTAAAAGCGCTAAAATTTGGTGATTACATCTTTATTCTCGGGATTTAGTCTTGCTCAAAGAATTCTCCTGCTTTTGTCTGGTTTTATACTGAAGACAAAATAATGAGTTTCCCACAATATGGAACACTTACTCTGAGAAAACCTTAAAAACGGTCATTAAAGATGAAGAAATATATACAAAAAAACGTAGGAACTTAAGATTAAGTATCCTTAAAAGTAAAAAAATTGTTAGTGCTTTATTTTATCTTAATATCCAGCTGCCTGAGTAAATCTATCGCGCACTTGCCTCCAAGGTCTTAATTAGCGACTCCTGATATTGCACAGAAAAATTTGGTGCGAGCTTGATAGGCTAGTGGAACTTGAAACAATGGCCATTGTAACAATTAATTATAAAAAGACGAAGAGACTTAATGTTTGTATGTATTTCTTTACAGGTCAATGATGTTTTTAAGACTTGCTGTCTTATTTTGTGTGGTTTGCTTAGCAAGCAGCGAAAAAGAGAAAAACTCTGAGGATCCGCCCGGCTTACTTCAAGCATTAAACTCTAAATATTTTGGTCACATCAGGGGCAAAAGAACGGTTAGTATTTGATCGCTCTGTTAACATCTCACATTACAGCCTGTAACCACGCACTGATATAATGATACAATACGCCTCGTGATTTTCATCCTATGAATTAGATCAAAATCGAAATTTTGAAGAAAAGGAGTTCCTTTTTATTGAAATCTTATGTTGTACTCAGATAAAAGGTCGGTGAAAGAGACCTCTATACCCAGCCATGGAAAAAAAAATCAGTTCTCGTAGTAAAACAAAAGTCTTTTTTCGTGAATTTTTCCGACTGTAAAGAGGATTTCAAAGAATAGTGGCTAATGGGGGCGGCTCTACCATGGAAAATACACTGAATATCTATTTTTTTAAACTGTGCATGGTTTCCTTGCGTCTCTGAGCACTGATTTGCTTACATTCAAATACCGACAGGTACTATTTTAGTTAATCAGCTTCTAGTGTAAATGAAAAAACTCTCAATTAATTCGACATTTCACTGATCAAAACGAAAGGTACTTTTTACTTTTTTCGTTACAGATTATTCAATTAACTCGAAGTTCTCTTTATTTTAAAGGGCAAGGATGATTATCCACCCTTGGAACAGGCACTTAATAATGCTTATTTTGGACATATTCGCGGAAAAAGAACGGTAATGCCTGGCTTTTACTATGACAGTCCAGTGACTGTTTGTTTAAAGCAATCTCTTATTCGCTTAGTTTTGGCAGTGTTGAGCAACATATACACTATACAGCCGCTTGAGAAATGTGCGTTTTTTTGTCCAACTAGAAATTTTTTTGGATGAGCTTTAGGGATTTTACACCTGAACTGCAAGTCCTTAATGTCATTTGTTATTATTTCAGCAATCAAATGATTATCCGCCACTAGAGGAAGCTCTCAATTCAGCATATTTTGGACATATTAGAGGAAAGAGAACGGTAATTGTTTCTTTGTAGTTAAGAACATGATAACTAACGGTGAATGGGATAATAAGTTCCCTGAAGAACAACAAATTCAGCTGAACCGAACTTAACCCTGTCAAAGAGAGGAAACAATAACCAAAGATTATAACTGCAGTTGCCGCATTTAAGAAGGAAACATTCGTCAATGACTGTTGCCTGTTTTGACCTTCATGGTTCACATTACAATCTGGATCATAAGAGTTGAAAATCTGCGAAAATTTTCTCGTTTCCTCTTTGCAGTTCGCCTGAAGCATGGGAAAACCATGATAAGAGTTTCGAAATTTCTATATTTGCTGAACCAGCCACTTAGGTGCAGGATAAGGCATAACAAATGCAGTGCCCTGCCGGAAATCTTTTATCCAGCTTAATAACTGAGCTGATAGTCAAGCAGGTGAAATGACTCCCAGTTCACTTGATGGACGTGCCAACTTCTCCTAACAAGCATTGTATGAATCCTGTAATAATCAGTTAAGAGAATCTGCATTTGTTTTGCTTTACAGCTTCAAGGTTAGGGTTATAATCCTGCGCTTCGTGAAGCACTCAATAGGCAGTTTTTTGGCCGCTTTCGGGGAAAACGGACGGTAAGATGAAAAGTGAACAGGCTGGCTAAGGCATTTCGCGTCGCATAAATGAACTTAAATGAGAGTGGTATGCTCCTTTAAACTTTGGCCACCGCTGCATTGTGTGTTTGTTTTGCAGGGAGGCTGGGGATCAAACAAAGATTTATTGGAGGCCTTAAACAATGCTTACATGGGACACATCCGTGGGAAACGACAACAGGTACTAAATTGTGCTGACTTTGAAACGAGTAGGTGTAGCTAATTAAACACATTTGATTTGTTTTTTCGTTCAATGTAGGTATAATAATCTTGTAATAGTTTATTTAATAGTTTACTGTATGATAATCTTGTTTCTTTTCTCTTTTGAATTTTTTGTAGGAAACAATGGATAAGTCAGTTTAATGACCACCTCTTGAAACCATGCCATGAAATTGCAATCGAAGACACTGCCAGTGACCATTAGAAAACATGATATGTACTACTGCCATGAAAACTTGCTGAATGCCAAAAAAGTATATTTATTTCGAGAAGATGTGTTTCATTACAGATTTTTAATGAATGGGCAAAGTGTCAAATAAAGTCGGAACATTAGATTATGAAATAAGTGAAATGAATAAACGTTGAGCAAAGAGACTACAACATCTTGTGCTCTCTTAAAAGTGTTTTATCTTTAATGATTAAGTTGAAAAAAGACAGGTTAGCGATAAATAAATTTCATTTTAAAGGTATGCATTGTATATATTTAGGGTTCAATTTTATCCTTGGTTCATATTTTCTTTTCCTTTGTTTCAGACTCATTATCATATATTACAATACCCAAAAACAAAAGAAGATAAAATTTTAATCAAGGATAAAATTGAACCACAACATACATCACTTATTTAGTTTTGTTAATCGAACAGCACTCACTCAGTATTTCCCATCTGTATCTGTACAAAACATAATCAATCAGTTTCCTTCTTGTTAACTATTTCCATCTACTCGAGGCGGACTCGGTGATCAACATCAATTTATCCTAGTCCCGTTCTGGTGACGTGATCCCATAATCATGTTTTGCCCGAAAGCAGGAATGCCTTAAACTACGATTAAAAAGCAAACACGATCGGTACTTGTACAAAATATACGTAAGCTTTTTCCATCTTCCTAACCATTTCAATCTGCCAGTTGTTTGTATTTCGTGATGCATTTTTTTTGTGAGGCTGCGGTCCCTACCCGATCGTAACAGACACGTGATCAACAGAGCTTTGTCTAGGCTCATTAGTTTGTCACAGTTCGGGTTCTGAGCCTGCACTCATGATACCGCATAATGCAAACTTTCCGCCTTTTACAATCTTAAAACTTAGTTTGTGGCTTCCTGGTTTTACTAGACGCGCTACATTAACGACTTGTGTAAATCCAGATGTGGAATACGCATCAGCATAGACGCTGTTGTTACGTTTGTTCAATGAAACTTCTGCTTTTCCTCCATAACCGTTTGTTCGGAAGGCTATAAGAACATCTCTAGTTTGATTATCCCCAGAAATGCCATTAAAAGGTAAATCAATTCGTAGTTGTAAAATAGAGTCTACTTTCTCTGCTTCCCATCCACCAAAACCATCAGTCCGCACAGGCCCGAGTTTATTTTCCCATGAACTGCTTCTATAAACACCGATAGGTAGATTTTGAATTCTTTTAAATCCCGTATTTTTTATTTCTGTGACAGAGAGGGATGGATTAAAGAAAGTGCTACTTACGTCGGGTGTGAGGCGAGTGTAACAGAGAGGGCCTGAAACAGATCCCCCTTTGCCCGCAAAATAAACAGGTCTCGGTAAGTCGACAAATCGTAAATAAAATAGCCCTCGATTGGTATTTGTTATGGTGTTTGATAAAGCTTTACGAACGCTATTGATTATCATTAAAGCGATTTGTGCATGGGCAATATTACCACTATGAACTCCATCCGCAGTGAAAAACGCTGGAATTTGTCTCTCTCGATCATCTGAACATAACGACTCGCGCATACTGAAACTTGTAATGCCATAATGCCAGGCTAGCATAGTCTGCCCGTGATTTTCCAGGTTGTCACACATGGGAATTTTATTATTTCCGGGAGTAAAATTGACATATGCCACTGCCGAGGAAGATTTTTCCCTAAGTATCCGCCTCGTAAGTTTTTCAAGAGATGACGCTCTTGGCTTTTGAGAGTCCTTAAATTGAAGATAATCGTTTATTGAAAGCTCAAGGAGGATAATGTCTGGGCTATCTTTAGGTCTCATCAAAGTTTTGTAACAATAATAAAAAAAGTCGCTAGCAGTTCCTCCAACGGCGAGATTCCGCAATTTGATGCGAGATCCAGTAAAAGGTTGTATGGCCTTCTGCCACCAATCGACAAACACACGATAATAAATTCCTTTTAGATTAGAGAAATCGTTGATTAATCCACCTCCAGCCGATGTTGATCCACCTATTACAATAAGGCCAATATCTTGACCGAGTAGAACTTTTTCCATAAGATTTTTAAGACGATATTCTGTTGTTCGTCGTTCAACAATCTGGTTGTTATACTTTTCGGCCGTAAGGAACAAATCTTCCAAAGACTTCAACTTATCCTTGAAGTACCAAACTTCGAACGGATTTCTTTGAATCGAACGCTTGAGATAGTAGATTTTGGTCAGGTTCACTGCAGGTGGTTTGTTTCTTACTTCAGGCTGCTTGTTATGTAAACTGGAATGACAGTCTTTTCCTATTTGTGTTGATGTTGCACTGTACATAACTTGAAGGATTAAACAGATCATTTTACGGAACATTTTAGATTTTTGTCTCAGGTTTACATGGAATATAGTTATTTTATATGTCAAGTTAAGTTTGAAAAGCTTTCAGCTTAGCTTAGTTAACCTGTCTTTAGTGTGTGCCAAAATTACAACCTGCAAAAAGTTTCAGCTATTATCGTAATTTGATGATGGGTCCCTTGACGATGACTTCAACTGCAGTAGACGGGTGAAGATCACTTGTCGATGTTACAGGTGTTTATCACACTAAGCGATCTTCAGTCATTGTTAATCGCCACAGATATTTTCACACTCAGGTTAATGACATTGCTATCATATCAAGATATCCTCCAGAGAAATATATTCTGGGCAATTTCAACTAAATTTAGTCTCGCTAGGCTAAGTCAGTCGCACCCGCAGCCCACGGCTAACCTCATAGCCCACTGCCTGAGGCCTCCGTTGTGTTCGCGTGCCAAGTAAAGGTCAGCGTCACCTCACCAAACTGCGGGACTGATATTATCAAAGTACCATAAGAACTCACCATCATTTGCATTGCATTGTAGGCGACGATGACCTTTGTTGGACAAGGCAGCAGGGCAATCGACTACGGACTGCGAGCTCTTAGGCTTTTTTAAAAGGCGGCAGGTCTGCTTTTAGCAAGACCCCGTTTATTAGCCCAATTTCCATATAATCTATCAAAATAATCATCTCAGGAATGTGTCATTTGTAAGTCGGTCCGGCCATAACACCCGATAAAATGAACACCCCTGGGGTTTCTGTTCTGATACTAATCACATGCCGCCCGGGCATTACGTGACTGGCAATAGTGTATAGTTTAGTGTGGCCAAACAGTGAATAAGTGGTGACTAAAATTCCTCTTTCTTCATGTTCATTTAACCACACTTTTGCCTGTCCACCGTTGCCGTGCGTTCGAACAGCTATTGCCACCTTTCTTGTCTGAGTTGCAGCGTCCATAATGCACTTCCTTGAGAGAGACGTGATTGGTATAAGTATTTCTAATTCCAGCATTGAGTTTTTAGACTTGGACTTCCACCCGCCATAAGCATCTGTTCTGTGAGTCTGGATTTCACCAAATTGCTTAACTTCACATGTGGCATTAGGTAATACTACATTGTTGATAGCTATTTTCTGAAACCCCTCAAATCCAAAATTTCCGATTGCTTTTACTTGCAGACTTTGATGTGCTGTGATGTTTCTTGTACAGTCGGGTGTTATTTGAGTGAAACACCTGGGGCGTTCCCGCAGATTTTGACGGTTACTCATGAACAAGGTTTCTGGAAGATTTCTAAATTTTAGAGGACAGTCTGGTAAAATTATCCTATCGCCAATTGATGGAAGTGACATTTTTTCAACAGTTACTTTCACTTTTTTGGTTGTGATTAAGCTTTCGAGCACGTTAAGAATTAATTGCCGCACATGGGTTATCATCATAAATGCCATTTGAGCATGGCCTATGATGCTGATGTGATTGCCGTCAGTTGCAAACATTTTGGAAAGCTTTTTCCGTTTTCCTGCAAAACCTGAACATAGCAACTTTCTCAAGCTAAACGTTGTTATTCCATAGTGTTTAGCGAGAAGTGTCTGGCCGTGGTTCTCCAAATTGTCACATTTTGGACGTCTAAGATCGCCTTGAACAAAGTTGACGAACATCACAGCGGGAGAACTTCCTTCGCTTAAAACTTCCCTAGTAAGTTGTTCCAGTGGCAGAGCCATTGGAAACATGGAGTCTTTAAACTGAACATAGTCATTCACGGTGAAGTCAAGAAACACAAGATCCATGTCAGTTTTAGGGTTCAAAAAAACACTGTAACAAAAAGCATAAAAATTGCTGCTGGTTCCACCAATAGCGAGATTGTTAAGTTTCAAGTCAGACCCTGTGAGTGGCTGCATTGTTTTGCGCCACCAGTCACTTAAAACTCGGTAATAGAGGCCTCGTAGGTCTTCACCATCATTTGTCAGACCGGCACCTGCAGAAATTGACCCACCCATGATAGCGATGTTAATGTTCTCACCCTCCAGTGATCGTAGGATTACATCTTTGAGGCGATTTGTGGTGCCTTTTCGTTGGAATACGCCGCTGTCCCAAGGTTTGGAAACTATAAGCAAGTCTGCTTTGGACTTAAATCGGTTTTTAAAAAACCATGTTTCAAACGGATCTCTTTCAACAGCCAATTTTAGAAGTCTGAGCTTCACTGGAATTAAGTCCCCGTTCAACCTTGATCCGATAGAATCATCACGAGAATCAGTTTTGTGTTCCTGTCGTGAAATACTGGCCGCATTTCCCATGTAAAACCAGTGTGCAGTTTCCCTTTTGGTAATAAACACAGCCAACAGTAGCACAACGAAATGAGATCTCCAATCAAATCGCGACATCAAAGCTACCACACCAAATATTATTAGAACTGAGGCGACCATTAGATATAACATTTAAGTCTGACACCCGAACAATTATTTGCAGTGTTACTTCATGGATTGTGTGATCGCTGCGGGTCAGTTTTAACTGAAATTATATGGTTCCTGTCAAATAGAGAAAACTGTCACCTGCTAAGTACCTAACTGGATTATGAGACACTTTGCAGTTACCCGTTAAATCTATTTTCAACACAGCCGTCATGAAGATGGCCTCTGGAGATCGCCTCTAAGACTAATCGTAATCATATAAAACTTATAGGCGGTCAATCTTTGAAAAGTAGAAAGAGCTCTAGTGGAAGATATTTCTATAAATTTCAAACAGCGAGCGTCAAAGAAACTTGGATTCTCAAAAAGGTTTTTCCACAGGAAGAAAAGATCTGTGTAACCCATAAATCTTGAACTTTTTTTCCCAGATTCTCGGTGTTTCCTTTAAGCCAATTATTCCATGTAGGCCAACCCTTTTCGAGAATTGCAAAAAGAAATCCAGTCAGATTAACCGTATGAAAAGTTCATCGTATATGAAAAAATGAAAATTTGAGTGCAGTAGTGGCGAGGGCTGGCTCCTCGTCTATTTTTTACCCCAGATCCCCACGGTATTTTAGATATATGTACCTCTAAGTTCAGTGGTCTTTGAAAGTGTACATTTAAAACGTCTCCACTCACAAGCTGTCAGTCAATGTGCATCTTCATCTTTGATCATGTTCTTGACATCGTAAGGCTTCGAAGTTAAGAACTGAAGTAAATTTTCATAGGTAGTTTATTTGCTGCAGATTAAGTGGCGATCTCTGTAAGAGCGGTCCAAGGCGTTTCGCATCGGAAAAAAGTTTTGCCTCAAACTTTGCCCATTAAACTATCTTTTGTAGTAAGTAAATAAAACCACAATGGTTTCTGGATATACGTTAAAAATTTTTTTCAGGGCTCTTACATCTCTAAGCATGTTGACAAAGGCACCTGTCTAATGGAAGTAGGCTTCAACACCACTGAAAAGGCAAGCGGCGGGTGATTGGAAACGTTGGAGAACAAAAACGAAAAGTTAGTAGAATGTAAATATTTAAAACTTTAACGGGTACCTTTGCTGTGCATAAAACTCCCTTAGTAATAGGTTAGAAGTCCTTCATACCATTGTAGTGAGAGTTAAAAATTTAAATGAAAAGAGACGCACATGAATTGGAAGTATCATTTCGTTATCATCATTTTCTCTGTCGCAGATTTTCCTTTCAGTTTGTCACAAATTGGACAGTTTGGCTTCGAACCTTTTTCAGACCAGTTATCACGAAGGAAATACAATGCTCTTAAAAAATCAATCAAAAGAGACCCCTATGAAGTCTGGTATCACAAAGACAATTACAAATCCTTGGGGGACATGTCCATTACGCCTGAGATATATATAAAAGAAACTGTGGAGCGAGCATCAACCACACAGCGACTTCAAAATGTTATGGCAAAGGTTTTGCGCGGTAAGAACATTGGCTTCGTAGTCATGGGGGGATCTATATCTGCTGGCGGTGGATTAACCAGCGATTTTTCCAATCTGAGAGGGATATATTATCGAGTATTTATCGATTGGTGGCAAAAAGCCGTGCAGCCGTTTACAGGATCTGTCATCACACTACACAATTTAGCTCTTGGAGGGACTGCAAGCAACTTTTTCTCTTTTTGCTACAAAACCTTCATGAGACCTGGAGATACCATAAACATTGCACTCCTTGAGTTTTCTGTCAACGATCACATAGTTTTCAAAGACTCTCGACGTTCGAGAGCGTTATCTCTCGAAAAACTTTCAAGGCAACTGCTAAGTGAAGAATCTTCCCCAGCAGTTATATTTGTGAATTTCATTGGTGGAAATAACGCAATTCCTGTGTGCGACAACCTAGAAAATCACGGACAGACTTTTCTGGCTATTCATTATGGTATTACCAGTGTTAGCACGCGTCAATCCTTATGTCCAAATTCGGGGAAGGTCCATGTTTACTCCATGTTTTCATCAGATCACAATCATGCTGGCATTTTAGCGCATGCACAGATCGCAATGATGATTATCAACATCTTTCGTAAAGCTCTGCTAAAAGCCATAGAAAGTTCTGAACAGAACTTACAAAATCATTTAAGTTCATACCTATTACCAAAATCTGCTTTTTTTAAGGACGATACGGAAACTCTCCCAGACCCACTATGTTATTCTCTAATTACACCAGATGTAACTGACAGATTTTTTCGTCCTTCGCTTTATGTCAGGGAAATCGCAAATATGGGGTTTACGAATATTCGCGGTATTCCTATCGGGTACCGTAAAGAAACTGTTGTACAAACTGAACCCGCACCAGTGCGAAATGATGGCTACAGTGGATGGAAAGCAGAAGCAGCGTATTCTACATTAAAGCTACGATTTTTCGTACCTTTCTCAAGATCTGAAATAAGCAATACCGTTGTCATAGCGTTTCGCACCACTGGTGGAGGTGGAAAAGCAAAGGTGTGGTTGGATAACGACGAGGCTGGTGTTATGGTTGACACTTCCTCTAACTTTGGACACACAAGGCTCATCCCCGTCGCCTATCACGTGCCCTTTGGAAGTCACGTACTGAATTTCAAGACAGTAAATGATGGGAAATTTGTGTTGTGTGGTGTAATGCTTGGAGCTAAAAGTCATCTAGTTAATGAGATGAAGTAAATGCATCATAGGAATTTCCTTTTTCCCATCACTGGCGAGACGAACTAATGTAGGAGGGCCACGCTGGGAATCGGACGATGAGAAATGAAAGCTGGATTATGTTTTTCCAGTTTCCTGTTTCAAAACCAACCAAACCTTTGCCAATCCTGCTACTCTTTCCAATGGATTAAGTTACTTAGGCTGGGGCTGTTTGTGTTAAGTGGACAGAATCGACTGAGATAATTGCAGGTGTAAATCAGTGTACATAGGGCGCGCTTAATATGCAAAGAAACATCTCGTGATACAACTGTCTATGTTACAAATTTTGGATTAAAGTTAAATGTTCTTGCATAAAAGCTTTTAAATGAAGTCAAATTCATTGATGGCTATTCCAGAAAAAAATGTGCAAAATGGAGCTTGAAGCATTCATCTTAATAAAAAAAAAAGAAAATGTTATTCTACATGTACTTGGTAGCTAACTCCTTTATTTTTACGCTTTTCTCTCCATGAAAGCTTAGAAATGTTATGCGTTCACAAGAAATAAAAGAAATTCAATTCCATTCGGCTTTACACCAGTTCTAAAGTTCTGGGAAGTGTTATAGATAGTGACTGTAGAAATAAGTTTCTAGAAATTTCTAGAATTCTTAGTCATACTGACATGCACACCATGGAACTTTGTAGAACATTCTACTATTTTAATGATAAATACTTAATAATTAACACTACTAAAATACTTGTGTGTAAGCTTCTGGAATGTTCTGGAACACTTTGTAAATGTATATAAGGACTCGGTCGTGTGATAATAGTAGTTCTTGTTGTTGCAGTGTGTAGTCAGTCGAAAGTAACTGTGGCTACGCTTTCATGAATTTTTTTTTTCTAAGTCCTTCTCGGACAGTAAAGAGAAGCAAAGTTTTCGAGATTCGCAACTCACTTAAGTAAAAGGTTATTTGCATTTCTTCTCGCATTCTTCCTTGGTGTCAAAGTTGTTTGCGTTACCATCGCATCCTCCATAAATGAACTGCTCACATTCTCCTGTATCACTGTTGTAGTAGAATCTTGGTATCGCTGCTCTGCAAGGGCCTTGAAATTTCGGCAGGTTACAGACTTCTGGATTTTTGGCATTGGTCCCAATTGAAACTGTCAACAAGACAAAGGGTTTCTGAGGATTTCTTAAGATTTATTTTTTAATCTATAGAAATTAGGGTTAACAACTGACTTTATAGTGCTTTGGATGAATTGACCAGACTGTCAGACTAGGAGATAGAAAACAGCCGCTCAAAAGGAACGTGATCAATGTGCAACAATCGCTCCAAGTGAGTTGTGAACGATTTATTTGGTGCTCTGGCCCGACGTTTAGTGAAAGAAATACAAGTTTTGTCTTCCACCCCTGAAGTCTAAGCTAGAAACCTTGTACTATTCACTATAAAAGTACGTACGCGAACATGATAACACCCTTATAGGCTACTCACCTTAGTCACTGTCTATCGAGGAATAAACAGCGAGTAGCGTAGCTAATCAGATAGTAGCACTAATGATTGAACTCTAGTAGATATATTCTAAGCATTCTTAGCCTCGCTTTCGAGTCGCAAGTCTCTACTAAGTAAGGTTAATCACAGTACGGGAAGAAAATATAAACAGTCTCAACCCTCAATCCGTACTTCCGCTGAAACTGGAGTAGCTTTCGTTTCGACTCGAATAATCTGTAACCTCTACCAGCCAAGAAAGCGAGGGGTCTCGGGGATAAGTCAGGTCATTCAAGAGAGAGCAAACTGTTTTTTGTGCTCTTACCGTGGGTAAAAAAATGGGACACGAAAAAAAAAATTTTAAATTGCTATTTATACCTAAAAACTCTAAATGCGTTACTCCAGCGAAAAGGAAATAATTCAGAGTGACATGTAGCAATAATCTGATCATTGAACCAAGTCATCTTATCATGTAGTCCCTCCTCCCGCGTCTTGTGGTTCCATTCAAATGTCAGTGCTACCAGTAGAATAATTATTTGGAATAACACATTTACAAGCTGAAAAAGCAATGTTCACACGTAGTTTCCAAATGATTAGTGAGTCAGTTGCTTCAATTAATTTCAGTTCAGTAAAAGCGCAGTTTAATAGTGGCGTAAATTTTTAGGTAACCAATTTCTGTGCCAAATTCCGGCAAAAATAAAAATACGACATGGTACTATGAACTCATCGTTAGATAGAGTGGTCGAACTAGGATCAAGCGATATTTTAGGAGTATGTACTCAGGTATCGCACTGAAAATTATTTCATAAAAAACAAAAACCGTTTTGAAAACAAGCAGTCGCCTATGTGCCTTTGAAGAAGGTTCACTTACTTACCGTACTGACAGGTTCTCTGCGATAAAACCAAGGTTATAGATTTAACTTGTATTGATCTGTTTTTTCAACGTATTTCCTCGCGATGCCTATCCACCGAAAAATAACAGCTGAAGATGAAATTTTCTATACGTGGAATTCTAAAGCTTATTGTTGTTATAATTTTGTCGTGTAGACACAACAAAGTCTATGAGTTTGAACTAGAGTATATTTCATTTCACGGCTACTGGACTAATCAGTTTGTATTTAAACATCCGCTCTATAAACTCCCGTTGTGAGCGCAATACGGAGTAATTAACTATCTTTTAAGCTTATGTTTGAAAATGAGAAGAAAGCCTAACAGATGTGTAACTTAAATCAAATAACAGTAGATGTTCGTTTAGATTAAACTTACCAACCGCGAAGACAATCAGTAGTAGAAAGGTTTTGGTCGTCATTGTTTTCTTGTGTATGTAACGATTTAGGGGATTTTAAACTGAGTACTTCGAAATAATCCTGTGAGCAGCTTTGACAACAGAGTTAATTAGCAATTGAATAAACCACAGATAGGAGGAACAAGCACCATGAAAAGCATTGTTTTGTCACTAACTTGTGGCAAATCTTTGACAGTAAGTGCGAGCTTTTCTTATCAATTTTTACGACGCGAAATTTGGTAGTGGGATGGTCGGATATTATGATCTCATTCTTATATTTCGGGTGCTAAGCTACCTAAAGTCCCCAATTCGTTATAACCGGTTAATCCTTTCGAGCTTTAATAGAGGGTATGGTAAAACACTGCCGGAGCTTATTGTGTACGGATTGGCCGTAGTTTGAAACGACAAGAGTACTGATAGTCCATTAAAGTTTTCCCCGGCAGTTTGGTACCTTTTTTAACTCCCGGATGGGGAAAAAGACTCCGAGAGTAAAGTCCTTTAACTGCCGAGAACACATCACAATGCTCCCAGACATGATTCGAACCCAGACCTCTGAATGCACGTTACCCTTTTGGCCACCCGATGTGCTTCTTTAAAGTAATGGCTCAAAATAGTTGTAAGTTATATTCCATGAAAAGGATCGGATCGAAAATTTCTTGTTAAGACCACGAAATTCTGTTAACAATACTCTTGCTTATTAAATTGTAATGTCTGTTTCCACGGACACAGTTATTTTTTCGTAAAAGTAAACGTATTCTGAGACTGGTTCAGTTGGAACACCCCAAGATAGAAACAATAAAGTAATAGTCTTATCTAATGCTACTGTGTAAAACATAACCCTTTATTGATGTTCCTTTTCAGAATACGACAAGAATCGAACAGTACATCTTGTTAATCTAGCAGAAATATTTCACCGTAATAACATTGTCATCATCAAACCATAATGAATGGCTTTCATTAGCTGAAAATTCGAAATTTATTTACTTGTTCCAAACACACTAAAGGTCACCATTGTTAGAACCTGAAAAAGAATGAAATTGTTTGAACAGACTTAGCTATTATAAGGAGCCCAGCAAGGTAAAGGTGGAAGGGAGAAACACTTCAGATTTTTAAATTTTATTACATTGAAATGAAATAAATTATATTTCAACCTGTTGTGGCTATTCACAAACTCCTTGCAAAAAAGAACACAGAGAAAGAAGAATTACAGACTTTTAATGACAAGCTAAAAATTTGCTTAGTCACCAAAGTACCCTAAATTGTGGAGTTGGTTATTGTCACGCACAGCAATTGACGCTGTATAAACTAAAACGGAAGAATCGAAAAATTCTGAAATGTAACATTTTCTTAAACAAAATGTTATATCCCTATTTTGATAAGTTGAGGAAATCTTGGAGACTCTTTCCTTCCCATGTGTCAGTCTTTGATGTGAAGAACTTTAAAAGAATTACACGAGTGGTTTCTAGATAAGTGGTTTGATAAGATTAATTTCAAGATATAAGACAAGGAATATTGGGATCCAATTACGAAAAGGGTTGAAGAAACCTTGAGGAAGTTAACATAGGTTATGTAAGAACAAGTAAAATCCAAAAAAAAATTTGAAGAAGTGACGTCTCGTAGAACCAAGACGCCATATACAACAGACCTCGCATGCAATTGGCAAGTGCATCTTCTAACCTGATACACTTTTGATAAATTATGGCCAAACTTGTTTTGGGTGAGTTTTCGAAAAAAGAAAAATAACTGTATTTCACGGTTAAACAGTAGATAACAGCGGACGGAAGTCTCGTATATCTAGTTTTTTCCCTAGGCCTCACCCTAAATTAACCCTTTGGCGTAATAAAACGGTATTTGACAGTCCAGTAAGTGAAGGATAATAATTGTTGCTGCAGACCTGTTACTGACCACAAGCTGATTTGCATTCTGCCTCGCTATCAAATCTGTTATCATTTCCATCACAGCCTCCATATGTGAACTGCTGGCAGGATTTTGACCCAGAGTTGTAGAACCACTTAATAAAGAGTCCCCGGCATGGTCCTGTGACAGATGGTAATGAACATTTTCCACCATCTGCCAGCGCAGCATTTCTGGAGAATCTTGAAAAACCTAAATAGAAAACAAAACCTGCGATAATGTCACTGAAAGTCATGACATGATCAGAGAAGAACACCTGATCAGGAAATTTGAAGCTTGTTCTTGAAAGAGATCGTCAGTAGGGGAAATTTATCCCCAATCAGCGTCTTCAATTCTATTTCATTGAATTTCAACTTTTTTTCTTTGTCAAAACTTCGACCATACAGGAGTTGTCGTCAGCATGACGTCACGTTACCAATGGCAAACGGGACGGGCATTGAAATATTCCATGTGGAATTTGGCTGTTGATCTCACTCATGGAAAACTTTGTTTTCTTTTGATTAACTGTTGACAGGATAATTATAAATGACAAATGGCTCACACGAAACGATGAAAAACATCCCTGTATGGTTAATTCATTTCCACGTTTTATTTGAGTCTCCCAATAAGCCCTTGCTTCGAGCTTTACGGGTAAAACCTGCTTCTTGGAAAGAAATTAAATGACTATAGAGGCAAAGAAGTAATCGAGCTACCTCGAATGCTCGCAAAGGTGTGTTTTTTACCCGGTACCCTATAAACCTGATTGAGTTTCCTGAAGATGACAGGTTCTAAGTAACTCGTCAATTTTACTGTTTGCACAGTTTACGACGACAATTATCTTTGGCCAAACAAAGCGGCGTTTGAAGTAAACGTATTCAGATATAGATGTGTCTTGAAATGCACTCGAAAGATTGTGCGTTTAAAAAGCACCGTAGCTTTTGTGTCGGATGAACTACAAAGATAGGGTTCATCGGTGTTAGGATGTTATTTTGACGGCATCTGGCCTGCGTTTCGATTTCCTTGACTCAGCGGAATAAATGGTGATAAACTCTGACGAATGCTAATAGGCTGTTTCCCATCATAGCGAAGAGCTGCTTTTTTTCTTAGTTAAAAGCAACTGTAACTCAAAAACAATATAAATTAATTGTAATCTTACTGTTAGTGACTTTTGCTTCAAGACTCAACCGGAGGCAAATGTGAAGTTTTGGCTAAACGCAAAATATATCTTTACGAATTTAGCCTAGATAAAGAACCGCTCTCTTTGTGTCTCGAAATTAACCCTTGGAAAGCCATGTGATCTTCATTATACATACAGTTTTAGACAAAGAAACAATAGCGGAAACAGTAGATTGCCTTTAAGTCTACAGCTTTGATATAGAATGGTACGGGCTTATACGGAAATCTTTCCTAACCTTGCGCAGTAATTTCACTTTTCTTACCTGTCGCCATCAGGACGGCGATAAGCAAAACAGTTTTCACCGATACTGGTGACAACTCTTGCATTTCTAGTAACGACGGATGGTCAGAAAGAGAAATGAATTTCCTCCAAGCAAGCGCTACAAATCGCGCTAGACTTTTCGAATCTCTAAAACGTGTAAAATGAACAAGGTTGCCACTTTATGTTTGTCGTTTCAAACCATATATGGAGCATTACATAAATAGAGTAAATTTAGGTGTTAAACCGTTCGTATGAAAACAATGAAACATCTGCTGCGTGCAAAAGCTGAGCAAAGAAAAATTAACTGGCCATTTGAAAGATTTAGTGTAAAATTGCTTTGTTTAGAATCTTTGAAAGCGCAGTTGTTAGAACAGAACTTTAAGCAAAGACGGTATCCTTCTTTGAAACGCGTGCAGCCGACAAAAAAATTGATATGGCAAGTAACCTCGCAAACTGGTAACAAAGCGAAAATAGACACAGGAGAATGGTCACAAACAACCTAAAAGCCTATCGCTACACTTCAGGAAGCGTTATTCTCAGACAGAACGCTGCTTCAAGTTTTGCGGTGCACTACAAAAAGCAAAAAAACCATCCTCGATGAAATACACCGGTAAATTAGTTAGGGATGAGTTGTCTCAGAGGGAGGTAGTTCTGTGAGTTTTGGTTCCGCCACGGTTGTTAAAAATCATCATCCGTTTCATTTCGTATCAGACTGATTTCATATACACGCGCTTAGAGAAAAACTCAGCCTTTTAAAAGCTTTTAACTCTTCAAACAAACAGATCTGCATTTTTATTTACAAAACCTAAAAACTTCAGCTTTGCTTCCATGAATATGTCAGCCCTTAAAACTCTTGGTTAATTGGTTAAATAGATCGAGGGCGTTTTCTAGAAGGCAGATAATACGAAGTCTCCTGAGGGGATTTTTTCCTTTATGCGTCTATGAGTCCTATAGGGGTTCAATGATTGTTGATGATTCTTGGATTCTTAGGCTGCTGGGTTGGGAAACTTACATGAAAAATCTTTTCTTATCTTATCTCTGATATTCTGTCAGGCCCAGTTTTAATAGTTTTTGTTTGGTTTGGTTTTTGTTGTGTTTTTTTTTTTATCTTGTAGTCTTTGTTTTCATTGTCTCATTTTGATTTCACTCTATGATGTTATTGCATTTCCCTCCATTCACTTCAATTTAGAATATAAACATAATACAGTATTTTTGTTGAGGTTTTATTTTCAACCGCCGGCGATATTTTTATTCCTGACCAGACTGTAGATCTGTGAATGAGTATAAATTCTCTCCCGACCAAAAACCTCCCTGAACTGCACCTTGAGAAAGAAAGAAAAGGGAAAAAATTCATGTTGCGAGAGTTTATAACATAACAGTATGACTAACGATCCTTGAATTCCTTCCATTGCAGAAGACTTAATCGGGTTTTCTAGACTGCACATTCCGCAGATTGTTCTTTTTCTTCTGGTTAAGTCTTCAAATCGGATTTTTGTTCTTAATCTCATTTAGGAGTCGCGAAAATCTGATAAAGACAAAGGTAAGAATTTACCAATTGAACTGTGGTGCTGAGAAAGGTCACCACTAAGTAAGTACGATGAAGAACAAAATGATCCTGAGACATTTAATATGTATTACTCTCCGAAAGTAGTGATTTCGTAGTATTTATCTATGTATTCATTCTAATCACGTATAATTATAAATTTTTATTAGACGCTGGGTTGCCCCCGTAAATCCAAACCGCTTTTAATCTGCTACATAAGTGTGAATTCATCGCGTAGCATTGATTGCATCAACTCTAAAGGGCTTTGAGAATAGTTGTGCTTGAATATGTACGTATTGCAAACCTAATAACACTCTATTGTACAGCCACACCAGGCTGGAAGTTTAATCGCCTTTGAGGAATACTTTCTCTATCACACGGCAAATCAAATTACTTTTCAATACCAGTATTCGGTTCTTTTATCAAAATTCACATATTTTCGGTTTTGGTCAATGAGTCACCATTACTGTATCAGTTAAACTGCCCACGGCATTGTGATTGACGCCAAAGAGGTCAAAGATGATCATTTACACCCAAACAAAATACAGATCGATTTTTCCAGCATTTTTCAACTCCTAGGGAATTCATCGAGTTATGACACGAAATTTAGAGAATGCTGTTTGAAAAATCACCCGACTTCCACTGAAGAGCTTTGATTCATCCCGTTTGGTAACAACACTGGATATTATAAACAATGATAATGTAACTTGTATTAGTCAATTACATATTATTACAGGTCGGAACAAATTTTGCTGAGATACATTGTTTGAATTAAAAACGTATTTTCTAGAAGACAGGGGCCTTAAGAATCCTTATGTAAAGTAACCGCCCTACACGTCTACCTTGTAAACTGAAATCCGTATAGTTAAGGGATTATGAACTAGGATTGTCTTAATTTTTTGGAGGGAGTTGAATAGAGAGCGTATACGCAAAATCGATCTTAACACTTTTTGATGAAATTGATGAATCTTTGACATTGAATTAGTAGAAAAATATTCATAACAAAGAGAATTGTGTCAGCGCAATGGAGCGAAGCATATCAACTCTCTTTTGCCTTAAAGTTCTACCTGACATAGCTATTGTTCTTTTTTCGATCTCATCGCAAATCGCGTTTCGACGCTTCATCAGTAACGGGCTTGGAAGCCAACACTTTACTTCGCCACTAACAGCTGTAAGGACATGCGGATAACTGCCGCATGTGTCACGAGATCCTGGTTTACACTTCACTTCAGTCGGCGCTCGAGTTGTTGCAAAACACTGATTCTGTACAATTGAGCTTGAGCCTTTCACAGACTGAAGATCTAGAACCATCGAGCTCAAGCAACTTGGATCAAATAGTTGTTTCTGTTCAGCGGCCTCGGGACTGTTTCCAGAGATTATAAGAAATCTTGTCTCATCGCAAACAGCTTTCTTCCTTTCCACAAAGCTCCGTCGATTTAATATCTTGGCTTTAAGTCGGGCGTTCATGCTCTTTAATTACCTTAATCAGCAAAAGATTAAAATCCAGACACAGTCTTCCACTATCTATTCAGGAATACGGCTCAGCAAAGCTCCAAAGGTCAGCTTCTCCTAGACAGTTTCAAGATACCTTCAGCTGGACAGATCGAAAAAAGTTTTAGTAAAAGTTCTTTCCTGCTGAGGTTCACTGAAGGTTGTAATTCATCGCTCTTTTGTTTAAGTCCACTTGCTAAAAAATACGAAATCTTTGGTGTAAAAAACAAGTCGTGATTCTCGCGAACACTTTCCTTGCAGTCGAGGTGATCGATGACTGACCTTGTACAATTAAAGCAAAGCTTGCTTTGATTACCGGAAATAAAAAGATGAGTCGATACCGACACGTTATTATTATGCGGAATACTTCAACTGTAAACAAACAGGAACCGACTTCGCTACAAAGTCAGGTGAAGGTTATCTTCAAATTTTCTTATCGGCCCAAGAATGTGAAACAACTGGCCGTAATGCGAATTTAAGAGGACTGATTATCTTCACTCGGTATTTTATTCGAAAAGGCAAACGCTTGAGAAACACTGTCATACAAAAGAATATGTGCAAATCTTTTCAGGAAAAGATATCCGCAAATAAGCAACTCACAGGGTTACTTACAGAAAAACTGTTATCTCAATAAAGGTTTTCAACAGATTATTCTCTTCTTGGTGTGGTTGTATCCGTCAGTTATCTAAATCGCACCGCAAGTCAATAACATAATCTCGACTAATTAGTTATCACTCCCGACCATGTGATCACTTTCAGTTACAGTGTGAAAAAAGAAACAGAAAATACGTTCTGATATCCTTGATGAACTGGGTTTCCCGAGAAATTTGTCATCGAAGGTCTTCTACATACCTGATATGTCCCAATTGCCTCGATTTACTTCGTGTTTTAAACCTCAAAAAAATGTCATACAACAGGATCTTCAGTCAAACTGACATTCTTTCTATTCCATCACGCTACGGTTATTCTCTCAAGGGGGTTTTCTGCTCACGTCACGAAATCAATGGTTCACGTATGTAAACAACTCATTGTGCCCACTCAGCGCAGCTGAACTTGAAATTTGCATTGTTTGTTTTAGTTCCACTTCCATCTGTTAAACGAAAACAACTCCAGTCTTATCTCTAAGCAGGAATGCGTCTTTACGTTGTGAGACAACTCGTAACAAAGCATGACGTCATTCACGTTATCAGAAAACTCCCGGGCTCAGTCTATCAACATCTGTAACCCAGTGATAGTGAACTAACGCTTTATTTTTTTGCCTCATAGGAAGCATTCCATCCTGTATTTCAATAATGACGTAGGAAAATTTCAGACCTCGACGTAACCATGATAAACAACTTTCCACAATTATGAACATTTGAAGCAGTATTTAATTTGATTCAGTATCTTTATATTTTGTCATCAAATACTGAGGTTGTAATCAGCCTATCCGTATCCGCTTGGAGATTGTAAGTATTTTATTAAAATCTCGTGTATTCCTCAGAACCGTTGATTAACTACACATAAAGAGGATCAATTTACAGAGATATTTTGCAAAATATAATAATTGAAGCTCTTGGTGGGCGCTGCCGCAGGGGTTTGTGAACAGTGAGTGAGGCTGCAAGAGGGAAGTTGTTTATAGACCAATCATCTGGAACATCAACAGCTTTGTTTCAATGTCATCTGCGTGTAGAAGAGATACTGTGTGGGTACTCCTCGTTGTTTTTCATTTTTTTTTTTTGGTAAAACACAAACCGTTTGGCTAGAGAGAGAGAGACAGACAAACAGACAGACAGACAGAGACTGTGCAATAAATACCCCAATCACACCAAAGCTCAAACATGCATCAAAGCCGTTTTGTCAATCACTGTTAAAAATTGTTTTCTTCATAGAAGCTGCTTAAAGTGATGTTTGTCGACTGTAATTTAGAACATTGAAAATACAAGTTAGTGATTGCTTGAAACCTATGGAAGATTCAGTGTCTCAGTTCTCTGTTTCTGATTTTCATTAAGTTAAATCTGGTTTAACTAAACATGTTTTTGCTTGTGTGAATAGGGCCTTAAACTTTAACGCAGTATCATGCAGGGTTTTTACCTTCCGTGACTTTTGATATCCTATGTACGTCACGCAATCTTAACGTTACGTTACATAACGTCAGACGGACACTGGTAACTACTTCTAGAGTACTTCCGCTTACAGCAAGTACTGCAGCAACACAAACGATGTGACTGGAGATGGCTTCCTCTGATAAGGTAAACTCTAAGTAGTATCACATCTCAAACCTTGTGGTTCTTCTTTCTGACAGACAAATGTTTTCTGTGTTTCAGCAATTCCTCCTGACAGGGGCTCAGACCGATGGTAAGTCAGAATTGTTTATTTTACTGATTTGATGAATCGTTTTGTGTTGTTACTATTGATTCGTTCCGCAAATGTATACATTCTTGGCCCTTCGAACAAGGCTTAAAAGCATTCCTCTGCGCTTACTTAGAGCATCTCGTTAACATGTCTAGACTGATAATTCGCTTTTCACGAATAGTTATAGCTTTCCTCCGTTATTTCACACTAGGTTAGACTAACCCTGCAAATATTCCAGCCACTATATATATTGCAGTTTCATTTTGTCTTTTGTAGTATTGGAATTACTTATGCATGTACGTGGTTTTTGATAGCACACAACATGATTAAATCGTTATTGTTTAAAAGCGCTTTAAACTTTTATTAAGATTTGCGACAAATCGATTGGCTCTTTTCTCAAAACAAAACCATTGTTTTCTGTTTGACCCGTTTTGCTTTCAAAGTAATCAGTTCTTTTAACTCATGCTCTACGTGTGTTTTTCCAATAATTATTTGGTTATTTCACTTTAAAAACTACTCCATGGATATGGAATTTCCGGATCAATCCGCCTTTCGTGATTGTGAGTACTGTGTACACTTTACTGGTGGCGGGAATCATTTATAATTCACGCGCTGAAGGATTTAAAGTTTTCCATTCACCACGAGTGAAAATGTTGAAAGAAAAGCGTAGTTTATAATCATTGAAAATTTCCACAAAAAAAGCTTATTCTGTAACTCAGAAACTAACGAATGACTAAATGTCTCTCATCTTGAAAAATGTGTGTTGTTTAGGGGGTTCTTCTCGTTCTGTTATGGATTTTTGCATTGAAAATGTGAGACCATCCAATAACCATTTACGTTCAAATGTATTTGTGATATTTTATCAACGATAAAAAAATCTCATGTACGACGCGGTGAACTTTTGGAGCCAATTAAAATAACGAAGTTGCTCTGGTCAAAAGGAATCCTTGTTTATAAAATTCTAGCAAATCTTGGATAAATGTGAGGCAAAAAATTTGGCTCTTAACCAAATTTATTTTGGTAGGAAGGGAGTGTCCCTACAAGAGAGCTTTCTTACCACCTGTCAAACTACTGCTATTGTCTTGTGTCACATGGAGTCAATCAGTAGAATGGAATAAGCACTTGAACTTGTTTTTACTGTATGTACTGGCTTCAAAAATGTTGTTTCATTCATAAATCTTAAACTGTATAGAGTATTTTAGTTTAATTGTTGTTCAGTTCTAATTTCAAATTGTTGACATTTTAACTTTATTGCATTAAATTTGTTATCAGTGTCCATACTATTGTACTGATGTGTGCTAGATATTTGAAATTCTTCTTAAGTTTTAGTCACAATATTTTTTTTGTGCCAGCCTGTTTTCCTGATATTTTGACCATCCAAATACTTCAAGTTACTTGACATCCATGTAAATTCTGATAAATAAGGTCTTTGTTGTACAGGTGATAACTTAAAGTTTCCTTCTCCCTGTTTAAATAAACAGTGTTTGTCTTATATTCCTACCATTTTGGAAAATGCACTCCACATGTCCATGTATTTTATTAAGAGTTATTGTCACAGTGAGAGTTCCAGTTTGGAAGAATTGCATTTGATCTACTACTCCAAATATATCTTTTATCAACCCTGTCTTTTGAAATCCTAAGGGGGAGCAGATGGGAGGGGGAAGGGATCTCTAGGATAGAATTTTATAAAAGGGACATTTTCAGAGGGGGCTGGGATTGAAACCAGGTCAAATGTCCTTTAAGGTGAGTGATGAATATTTCATCCATGGATAACAAAACAACTTTCTGTATATTTCAACTCAATGTTGTGTTTAATTTTTCCAGCTTTGTCTAAGGTGTTTAAGTTTGCTGATGTTGAGGAGACTGGGTATGTTGATGTGGCAACAATCTCAACTCTTGCAGTACAACTGCTGGGAGCTCAGCTCAGTGAAAATGAGAAAGAAACAATAAACAATAAAGCAGAAAGCAAGGCTGAAAAAGGTGCAACAAAGCATTTTATGGTTTGATTTTACTAGTTGAACAGCTCATTGTGATTACAGCTGCCTAAATTAGAGATGAGTTGGAGAAGTAGCAACCCTTAGGTTTTAACTATCCATTCTTACCAGACACCTCAGATTATTAAGGTATCAAGTGCCAACCACATGCATCAAGATCACATTGAAAGTGAGAAACTAGCTAAATTATTGTACATGACAAAGGATACTCCATCTTATACAATACAATACAATATTTATTTGCCATATACGACATTTACACATGGAAAAAAAAAAATGAAGAAAATTGATGACAGAAAATAAATGGCGAGAAAACCTGAAAGAAACCACGAGGCTTATAACAAGTCAGGCTTTCTCACTTAAAATAGCTAATCTTATATTAGAATTACAATATGGACTTATGGTAATTAACTTTGACCGCGCACACGTACACACACACACACGCACACACATATTAACTAAGTTAGTTAAGAATTACTGCCTTACAGAAGCTAATACTTAGAGAGAAGAAATTCCTTAAGCTTTCTTTTAAAAGAAGCGGAGGATTTATCTTGATTTGAAAACATCTTTTTAATACACAGTCATCCTTGTCATTACTTCCTCCATCGTGTTTTTTCATTTTTGTCTTCATTTTAAGAAGAAAAAACCTGAATCATATTCATTAACGGTTCCAGCTACATGCAGAATCATAGTTTTAGCCATGATACTTGTCTGTTTAGAAGAAACATCATTGAACAAAGGATCAATTGTAACAATCATGACTGTTTTCCTGTTTGCTTTAGGGTTGCTTTCTTATCAGAACTTTATAGAGATCATGATGGAGACAATGCAAGCTATGACACATTGGGGAAAGTTGAAGACAGTTCTAGAAGGTTATGTTGGATTTGATACAGTGCAGGAGCAAATCCGCAAAAAATCTCTCAAAAGAGGATTTGAATTTAACCTCATGGTTGTTGGTAAGTTTTGTCTTTACCATTTGCGGTTTGATTTTTGATACCTTTAATTCTACTTTTCATCAAGAGAATTTAGTTCCAGTGTGACTGCTATAAATGAATACAAAATGTTTTACCAGGTCAAGTCAGTGTATAATACATTTAGCATTAGTTTGGTACATGAATAAAAATTCCCGTCATCTTTTCTTACTTGACATATATAAGAAGTATTTTTCTTCGAAAAAATTACAAAAATTATTTCCTAATTCAAAGTTATGAAGAACATAAAACCATAAGACTCCTTTCTTGTGTTTTCCAGGTGCAACAGGCCTAGGTAAATCAACCATGGTGAACACTTTATTTAAAGGAAGATTGAGTAGGATATCTTCCACTGGAGCCACTCCCTGTATTCCCAAGACTGTTGAAGTCAAATCAGTTAGTCATGGTGTGTTTGGTTTTGTTGCTATCTTATACTTAGCTTTGTTTTTTCTTTGTTATTTTTTTCTTTTTGGGTGAGATATGGTACCTGGAATGTTTATGGCAGCAATAACGTAAATCCTTATAAATATCATTATAAACTTAAATTTTATTTCTTAATTTTCAGTTATTGAGGAAAAAGGAGTCAGATTGAAACTTACCATCACAGACACACCTGGGTTTGGTGATCAGATCAATAATGAAAGTTGGTAAGGCTGTTGTACTGTTCATTACCTAAATAAGGTTTTGTACTTGCACATCATGTACTCTAACTCTTATGGCAAATCCTGCCGGTTGGTTGTAAGTATTTGAGCAGCATTTCATGGCATATGTTCAATTTATTTAATCTATGAGATTTTACTCATATTTACTCAAACTTGAATCACTTGTATTTAGTGGAGTGGGGAATTCTTTAGACAAAAATGAAGGTAAAAGAGGGAACATTTGAAGGTCTGTTTGATAATGACAATAGTTATTTCATGTGTTTTTGTATAATGTTGCAACAGCTGGGACCCAATTCTGCAGTACATAAATGAACAGTACAACAAATATTTGAAAGAAGAAACTAGCATCAACAGAAAGCCTCGAGTCCCTGACAGCAGAGTTCACTGCTGTCTGTACTTTATTGCACCAACAGGTCACAGGTGGGTTCATGTTAAGAACAGAAAATATATCTATTAATTCTCTAACAAATCATCAAAAGTCTTTGTTGTAAGTTACTGGAATACTGAAAAGTTATGGACAGCTTTATATGTAAAAGTTTGACCAAGTACTGAAGTGTCTTACTTCCAATTTGCTTTTTGTACATTTAGGTATGGAATGTATGTGAAGTTTCTTTTGCAAATGTTAATAAACACCTTTACATGTACATCTGCCATAACAACTGTTTGCAATGCACATCAAGAAAAGCATTCAAGGTGTTAAAAATGAAGTGGCTGGCCTACTGATAGTTGATGTGCATTTGTTCATTCCAATCAGTGACTTATGACTTGAAATTTTTACAGGTTGAGGCCTATTGATGTGGAATTCATGAAACGACTAGACAAGTGCGTTAATATTGTGCCAGTGATTGCAAAGGCAGACACTCTAACTGTTGAAGAACGTGAAGCCTTCAGAAGGAGGGTACAGTCAAACTTATGTGAATTTTCATGTATTTCCTGGTTGATTTAGTTTTCCATTTTTGGGGAACTGGAACTAAAATGAAATTATCACATATGTTCATATTGTAGTTACGGGAGGATATAGAAAAAAACCGCATTAACATCTATCCCGTTCTTAATCGACATGATCTGGATGAAGAAGAAGCCCGGACAACGTCCAGAATAAGGGTCAGTAAGTAATGGAATTTATTTTCATTGTTACTGTTACACAATTAACTTAGTACATTGTTAAGTTCTCCAGAAATTGTAATTATCATTAAATGAGATGCAGTGAAATACAACATATGTTATTTGTGGTGTGTTCATAACTTAATCACTACTTTTACATACATTATTAGACGTGATGCAGATAAAAAAATTTTGTTGAGTTCGTTTTTCGGCTTTTGAGCTACAAAGCCTGAAGGAATAAATACTAATGTAGTTCACATTGCCTGGCTGTGGTCTATCTCAACGTTAGCTTGTTCGCTTTTCAAAACGTTCTGTTTGCGCTATGTCTTTTTAGGATCAGCTGCCTTTTGCTGTGATTGGTAGCGATCGTTACGTTACTGTGTCAGGAAAGCCAGTTCTTGGAAGGAAGACAAAATGGGGTCTGATCGAAAGTAAGGAGAATTTGCAGACATTCTGGCTAGTGTTAAAAATGTTTCTGTTATTGTTGTGCATTTTCTAGAGGTAATTTCTTTTATTATTTCCTTTCAGTTGAAAACAAAAACCATTGTGAATTTTCTCAGTTACGGGACATGTTAATCAAGTAAGTGAAATTAGTGGACGAGCATAAGCTTTTAGAAGATAACCACCCGGGTCCAGTTTGTCACGGTCACGGAAAGAACGTGTGGGGACTACTCAGAGCAACCGAAAGCCAGGATGGTGAATAGCTTAAAATAGAAGACGCTTTTAATTTTGGAGATTTGTAATTCTGTAAAAGATTCAACAAACTGATAGGTTTTTTTGTTGTCTTTTTTTCCATAGAACACACATGCAAGATTTAAAGGAGGTCACAGACAACATTCATTATGAAAATTATCGCCGCACACATCTGACAGAGGAGAAACATGAGCAAATAGTTTTAGAAAACAATGTGGTGAACATGGATGACGTGATGGGTCAGGAAAGCAAAATTTAAATAAAGCATGAAGAATAAGCAGAATAAATTTTTTACTAGAGATTCTCGGTCTTATCAGACTCAGTCAAGAAAGATTCAATACTATGTAAGTTGTTTGCTACTCCATATATGAACAATTTAGTCTTTGTTACAATTATCAATGTCGAAAATTTACTTCTTTGAAAGTTTTCATGGTGCACTATGTATTGAGAAACTCCATCGTAAAGGTTTGTTCAAAATGGTGCGGCTAACTTTTTTCCATCCCTATTATATTATGTGTAGGAATTCATTAAGATTTGGAATTCGTATCCTTTGGCTGCCTGGATTAAAAGAGTTATTGATATCAACAATTTCAAACATTATAAGCTTGTTATGAATAGCAATTTGTTAAAATAAATTAAACTCAAAGTTGTTTCTTCAATAAAATGTAAGTGACAATACGTAGCCATTGTTGGTGTCAGTGGCCTGGTATTAAACGGTATACGGGGATGTGAATGGCGTTCCTGTCAAACGCTTGTTTCGGCAGAGCGGGGATGATATATCCACATTTTGTGCCATCAATGACTCAAAGTCCTAGTTGTCCCAAACTGTAGCCGCTTGTCTACTGAGTTTACTTGAAGGAAATTTTAATTCAATCACACCACGTTATATCCCTGAACAAAAAATCACCCACGCTAATCCAGGGCGGCGCGAATGACAAGTTATTGCAACATTGCAAGAAATGGGGATTTTAATCAGTTTTTAATCTCTCTTTTTTAAAAAACGCTTCAAACTCAATGCCGGAGTTTGTGCGCTCTTAATCAATAAAACAGCAACTGTGCTCGGATTCAAAACAACATCAAACGCTTGTTTCGGCAGAGCGGGGATGATATATCAACATTTTGTGCCATTAATAAATCAAAATCCCAGTTGTCCCAAGCTGTAGCCGCTTGTGCACTGAGTTTACTTGAAGGAACTTTTTATTCAATCACACAACGTGATAGCCCTGAACAAAAAATCACCCACGCTAATTCATGGTGGCGCTAATGGCAAGTTATTGCAACATTATAAGGAGTGGAGATTTTAATCTGTTTTTAATCTCTTCTTAAAAAACGCTTCAAACTCAATGCCGGAGTTTGTGCGCTCTTAATCATTTAAACAGCAACTGTGCTCGAGCCCAAAAAATCTTGATGTCGATCAGAGATACTGTCAAGTGAGGGCTTGTCATCCCTGAGGCTTTGTATTATTCCAAAGCACGAATGCTTGAACAGGAAAGAAATGATTAAAATTTCCTATATCGAGTTTAATTATCAACCCCTATACCGTTTGACAATTTTCGTCTACCTTCTCAGGCCTGTTAAATTTTTTAAGGCCTTGATTTTTATTGTAACAATCACGGTACCAGCTAACAGGAACAATAGATTGACATCGCTATTGTAAAGAAAAGGAAAATGTGATTCTTGTTTTCGACTCAGTCACGGGTTTTTTGAGACCCAAAAGTAGTCATCGTTATTCTTGCTTTGTAGGAATAAACCGATACCTTATCACCGAGCCAGGTTTCAGTCTTTCCAGAAGTTCCGAAAGAGAAGCGCCCTTCCTTCATTCAGTACGTCATGTTAATATGTGACCACGTTGTCGTGGGCCCTGGGGAGATCTTTTCATTCGTCTCAGTTGGTTTTTTGTTGTCAGTGCGCCGCTGTCGGTGTGAAACTTGAACTTTAACTTTTTGTATCCTTAGCAACGAATTGTGCACGCAAATCATCCCTGAAAAACAACGATAGTTTCTAGAAAATTGTCATGATCGATTTGTTCTCCGGTGCGGAAAGTCGTGAGTATCATTCCCAGGTAAGGCTTTTTTATTGTTCAATGGACACCGCAGTTCAAAGGACATCAACACCAGTCCCCAATGCTTAACCTGTTCATATAACCTTTGTTTTGGTATCTCGTGTGAACAAAGTCTTGGCTCTCGGTTCTTCTGTATTTGTAATGGATCACTTTTATGACTTGCGAAAATATTTGTTTATGTTGAAACGCAGCTGCCGAGAAGTGCTCTCCTCAGTGGATTTAAAAACTGCGAACAGCAATGAACCGGAACAGTATTGAAAGACTGTGCCTTTAAACAAAACAAAACAAAAGAAGATTCGAAAAAGTGCCTTCGTTTTAACACCTTAAGTTGCATTGTCTGAAGTCTCGGACATCCTGGGTGTAACATGGTAATTTGGTATTATCAACTAAGGTGATAACGTAAATTGGTCACTATTAAGAGTTTCAAAGCTGACGTTTCGAGTGCTATCCCTTCGTCAGAGCGAAAAACGAAAATGAGTTAAGGGGGCGTTAGCACTTCGTCATTCGCTCTGGCGAAGGGCTGACGCTCGAAATGTCAGCTTCACAACTCCTGACGGTGGCCAATTTATGTTATCAACTCAGTTGATAATACCAAATTACCTTGTTATACTCTCTGTTGTCGCAAAAACGCAGCACCACAGTTTCCTTAGAAGCTTATACCCCCTTTATCCTTTCTGTAATTTTCCTTTTAAAGTAGATCCAGAAGAATTGAAGTTTAGTTGCAATGGCCTTTGAAATCGCCGTATATATTGATTACTTTATAATAAAAGGATTAAACGGATTAAGCCTAGACATGATTGATCGCACCCGCACGGTCTTTTTTTCTATTATTATTATTATTTCGACAGATACTGCCCCATAATATAAGTAAGTGTAACTTAAAGCCCGTTGTATTATTAGATCCTCTTACCGGTAACATTTCAATACTACACGTGGATAAGACAGGATATTTACGTCACATGCGTTGTCATAAATGCGTAGAAACCTGTCCTCTTTGCAAAGAAACACTTTTGCCACAAGTCAACGACTACGGAACCTACTTGATAGGGAATAATCAGTAAAAAGCCTTTTATGAAAAAAAGTACAGGGGGCGCTGCTCAGTTGCAAAATTAGTAAAGGCGAAGGATTAAACATGACAGGTGAATATTGGAACAAAAGGTGGGTTAGGTGTCAAAGGTATTTAGGCCATGAAAATGCAATCAGAGATGCTTTGGAATTTTTTGGCTTTCACCGCGCAGTATCGTGCATGAGTTAAGAGAATAAACAGGATCCTTCGCTGAGGAAAAGAAAACTGATTCAACATGCCTCGTTCATTCACAATTAGGAGACTGCCTGAGCCAAAACATTCAAACACATCACAAACTGCTGGTAAGGCTTCATTTTACCGAAATATCGTGAGATTTTTCCGACTTTTTCATTGATGCAGCATTCTTTAAATTTAAGTGACCGGGAAACGAGGAGGTAACCAATAAATGAAAAGAAAAAAAAGAGCCTCTTTATTAGGCTTTGTATGTGGTGTTCCCCACATAGATACCGAGCTTTAAACGTAATGGAGTATGTGAAACGCTACCAATAATTCGAGTTAAAAAAGTTCAAAATTCTTCCGAAACATCCTTTGTCCACAAAATAATGAAGTCTATAATATTCACTGGCAGCTTCGGTTTTGAAGTCGCCCGCCTTTGAAGACCTTTAGAATATGCTGGTCATGAAACTTTCCTTATCATTTGTAGGAAAGGATAAAAGTGAACGAGAACCAAAAGTCCTGAGATATCCAGATGCAGATAACACAACAGTGGGAACTGAAACTAGCCAAGCAGGAAGTGACTGGAGTGTTACACAAGAATCAGTAGATAGGAGCCAATTGCAGGAGAGTGCAAGGGAATCTGCAGAGGGTCTCTCCTTTTCCATAGAAAAAATCCTAGCGTGGCCTGCCTCTGAAGCAAAACGTACCACGCGGAAACCTCTTATTAAACAGTCCAGCAATAGGACAAAGTACCACTGCCCTCACTGCCGAAAAGTCTTTAAAACGAGTTACACTTTTGGAAAACACATGAGAATGCCCGAGCACACGAGTGACAAGCCATTTGCATGTCGAACATGTGGTAAAGGTTTTCGTCTCTCTAGTACGCTGTGCAGACACAAGATCATCCATACCAATCAGCGACCCTTCAAATGTCCCGTGTGTGGCAAAGCCTTCAATCGTCAATCTACACTAAACACACATCACAAAACCCATAAAGGCCTAGTAACGAATGACAACAGTGTCGACCAGCAAAGCTTCGGCTGCGTTGAAGTCTGGTATATTAATCAAGGTGTTTGGTTAAATCAAGCATCATTGATTTAAATCTCGCATGAAAAACTTCAAATAAACTGCGTTAAACTTTATGATTGTTTCATCTCACTTTTCCATCGTGAATATTTCTTCAACTGACTACTGCAATTGTGAGGGGGCATTAGGGCCTTTTAGAAACCGCAAAACCAGAGAAAAAATCATCCGAAACCGAAAAACCGAAAAAACAATTCGATCAAAACCGAAAACTGCATGAAAACTGTCAAAACCGATACATTTTCACATCCTAGTTGTTAAAACCCTGATCGATCCGATACAGCGGTGACAAGTGGAGCGTAAAGAGTAAACTACATTAATTTCATTACAGTATTTGTGAATGCCATGGACTTGGCATTCGTATCTTCTAGTACCTGCTTAAACTATAGACTTTATTTCAGCTGCTCTCTCGAGGACCTCGAGTGTGGTATCTGCGGACTCGGCAGCTGGTAATGGAGCCCAGTTAAACTTAGGAAATTTGCACCAAAGTCCTCTAAAGTCCTCTATAGGATTACAATTTTAACTTTACATCTAAACTTGTCTTTCTCTCTGAAATTCTCGCCGCCTTTCCCCTCTTCGTAAAAAAAACGCGACACAATCAACAATTGACCGTCTTCTGTTGCCGGCGCGTTTGGCACGTTGGAAGACATGGTTCGCAAACTGATCGACCTTGACCTAAGTGCTCCACATTGCAAGGTCAAAGTCTTGGGCGTCATTCAAGACGCGTGAACCCCTACGGATGGTCAAAGTCATGGGCGTCATTCAAGACGCGTGAACTCCCTAGCGATCCCTGCGATATTTCAATTGGTTTGTCACGCATTCCTCTCAATAACATTTGCGTCTCGCGAGATCAGTCGAGGCGCGTAATATTGCCGCGCTCGCCGCTCAGATCGAAGAGTAACTGAAACCCAAAATTTTTTGGGAAAACTTTCATAGGATATCAATTCCTTAGAAAACCTGTTGGTAGGCCCAAAACCGAAAACCAAATGCTAAAAATGAAAATTTGCAAACCCAATGAACACCTTTGAAAAACGAAGGTTTTGACACAAAACGAAAAAAGAATAAAAAAGCCAAAACTTCAAAACCAAAAAGTAGTAAATGCCCACAAGTTCATTTTTTAAAGCGGAACTCATCTTAGAGAAAAACGTTTTGAGACCGAAAGGTAAGTAAGTAAGTATTTCAATGTTTACAACGATACAACTCAGAAATATACGGCCTGCCAATGTATTTTGAGCAAATATTCGGTGAACTCTGGATGCATGTGTAGATTGGCTCTAAATTTTCATATGGTCAGTTTTACAAGTTCTCTCTTTTCAAAAATCACTGTGCATTTGGATCGAAGACACAAACTGTTTTCCACAATTTGCAAACTGTTAATTCGTCAGTGCTGGTTATATGAATCATCCATAACCGCGATCTAAACCTCTTCTCAATTTAGCGGGAAATGTAATGTCCACAATATAAAAGTGCTATCGATTTTTTGGCTTCAAGATGGCAAACCGCAAATTAATTCACCAAAGAAAGAATCAACCATCTAGCGGTTTTTCTTCCTCTCCTCAAAGCAATTTCTTATTTCTGCCAGGCGATCCTAAAAATAAACGCACAACTAAAAGGGTTAACAAATAAGATAAAAGATATTCTTCCTCGGTGGGTGTTTCCATGGAGACATATTTTTCAGGCAGTTTATTTTACAACAGGTAAGTTATGACAACTGACAATGAACGATTTTAGAACGACAACGAAACCCAAAAAAACGTCAAAACAAAGCAAAGACATTCAAAGAAAAGCGTCGGTTTATTTTGAAAAATTGACCTGCCAAGCATTATATATTAATGAGATTTTGTGTCTTTGACGTTAAAACAAAATGCGGAAAAACGTCGTCTAAAAAGTGAATTCTGAGAACGAACATCTGCCGTTTAAATCAGAAGAATCTACCTGGTTAATAGTTCTTTGTGTTTCCTACCAAAATTTTCATTCAACATCGGTATCAAACGACTTGTTTATAGCACCTGTTCGAGGAAACGCTGGCCATATCCAAGTCTCAATTGAATTAATAATTTACCTATAACCTACTTGATGTGCAAGAAAGCTAGCCAGTCAGTGATATTCTTGTACGCCTATGGCAACATCTACCACTCAGTGAGCATGTTACACCCATATTTACTAAGTCACGGAAAAAATCGTCGTTTATTTTGGTCGGGCGAGACTTCTGTCAAGAGGAGGATGTAACGTAAATTACCAACCCGAGGAATGTTTTCTCACAGAAATATCTGATATGCTGTATGAAATGTTCAGCATCGTGTTTTTTTTATTTCTTCTTGGCACATCGGCGACAGTGAGCATGGTTTCATACCCAAACTGTGACCAGCTCTCGTCGACCGAGCTAAGTTTTGACGTAGAGTTCTGGACGACAAGACCATACACAAATTGCCGAGCCACTTCAACAACAAAGCAGACGAGCTTGCAGTCCTGTACAGAGGGTTGAGTATAAATATTATAATTCTAAATATATGCAGTTATTACTGCTTCCAAATCTACCTTAAAATGCAAGATAACACAGAACAAACTGACTACGCGGAGCACTTCCCCACCATATCTGAAAGTACATCAACAACGTTTTTTTATTGCACCATACGATCAAATCCGTTTTAAGATTCCAAGAACAGTTCGCAAGCTCACTTTCCTTGCAACCCAATCAACGACTGTCACTGCGGTCGATTCTATATTGTTATTCTCACTGTGGTTAATTTCATCCCTGAAATTACGAAGAATAAAACCTAAATTACTGTCAGATAACGCATAGACGGATCTTGCATAGGGCCGGCTTCTAAATTAAAATTTCAACGAAAATTATAGGAAATGTCGGTCTTCTTGTCCATATACACAGGAAGCGAAAAAAATACGTGAGAACAAAGCCTGTTATCTAACTGAGAACTCTTCATTATTTTTTGAGCGTAATTTGTTCCCCGGAGAGTTATGTCTAATTTACAGTTTGTGTTTGAATCAGTCTACAAGCCAAGCTAAATACCAGCTCACGTTGTAAAAGCTATAATTTAGAATAACTTGCAGTGCGAAGAGCAAAAAGGGATGTTGGTTTATATTATACAAATAGTTTCTTAAAAATATTACTCTACAGCAATTTCTTTTTCCATTGATTAAGTTAATTTCAGTTTGAAAGGAAGTCTTTGTTCACTTAAGGGAAAAACGAAATAGGTATTGTTTCATAAATGTTATGCGACTTGAACAAAAACTGGTAATTGCGACGTTATGCAAAACTCGGGCAAAGTTACTGTTATTGAATGTTATTTCAAATTTGGGGGGGCGGGAATTTCTTAGAATTAGTTCACAATATAATATTACGGCTTTGACTTTGAACAACTTAGAAAGATATCAGCTAGAAATGGTATCCTAAATTTTCGTTCTCATGTTTTCATAACGAATTGCTACCGGAGCACTCTCACACTGTGAGAAGTATGACAGCTGGTGAAAAAAATGAAATTAAAATCACCCAAGACAATCGTATTCAAAATTATGTTAAACCACCAATTCTCACCCTCTTCCCCCCCCCGTTACTTCTCCGGGGAAGAGGCATCTTTCGAGGTGAGACGCCATAATGTCTCTCAGCGCAGTTCATCTTTTGAAAGTAGTAATGCTTTACCTCGAGCTGTTTTCACATTATCATTATAACTTTCATCCGCCATTCAAATTCAAAACGCTCTTATTACAACGATATCATGGGGTAAAAATAGGTCTGCACTGCGCATATGTGTCTAATACAAATTGAAATGAATGTAATGTTTGATAACTACATGCTCAGAGCTGTGCGGCGCTTTCAGTCTATTTGGAAGGTCTGCTTAACAAATATCAATGGGTGTATAGGTGTACCAAAGTGTAGTAGTTTTCAAGGAATTTTTTGGATAAACTATGAAACAGTTAGATTGTGAGTTCCGAGTTTTCTAAGCAAATCGATCACGGGAAAGTTTCTAAACTAATCAGATCATGACTACCGAAGGACAAAATTTTGCAAATATTTAAGGAATGGCAAATAAAATTTAATATGAAATCAGTTTTTGGAAATATGGGAACGGAAAACAAAACAGAAAGATTTGAACATGAGGATTTCCGTAAAATATTATTACGACAGATCTTCCGACTTATCACGACAGATCTTCAATTGGTTACCAATAAATTAAATGCCACTTCACTGGAATTCTTGTAATATTTATGCCAGTGACGTGGCGTAACTAAATCGCTTACATCGTCACGTACGGTGAACTTCCGTGGTGTCCAGTTGCTACACACTAGACGTAAAAACAGTTCCAGCTACAGCTAAGTACAAAACAAAAATAAGACTCAATTTTTTTTTTACTTCATCCTAGTTAATAACATAGCAAGTGAATTCGTGAAGTCAAATTCAATTGCGATTGTGCAAGCTGATAACGCATTACGTACGGAATCTCTCCCAACAAAACATTGCATCGACTACCGCTTTGAAACTCAGCATTATAAATAAATTGGCTCATAGCCTGCTCTGCGTTCATCGAGCAATTCTTACGCAACTTTCGAGCTCTTCAAATCTCCCGCGCTCTATATATCTCGCTGAGTGCACGTTGACGCATGAAACACTTGTCGATTTTCCTTAAATCCCTTTCTTAGAGGAGGACCTATATGGCCAACTTTCAATATCGAGCCCTATACTTTTAGGGTTAATCCCCAATGAGCGCCTCTTTTATTTTGTGGAGGATTATTACTTTGGTAAGTGATCAAAGCGTACTCGTACTTTCTAAACCTCATCTCTATCCATGATTGCAGGCCTTCTTGGTAAATTCCTTCGCCAGATGATCAGGCCCTCTAAGATATCCTTCAAACCAACTGGAAACATGTTCCAAAAGACTTCCTCGAACAACACTAAAAATGTAACCATCGCCATACCTTTTATGATAAAAAGGAATACGGACGATCCATGTGAGATTAAAGTGCATCACTCCAAAGGACCAGCCTACATCGCTAAAAGAAATCAGATGCAGCCATTGACACAACTTGGACGGTCGTTTATTAACGGAGGACAGATTATAGGTTTAACACTCATTCTGACGGTTATATCCGGGGTCTTTATGTGGATACTGGTAAGTGGATGGCGCATTTCAAGTGGTTCAGCCAAAATTTACACAAATTTGCCTCGAAATCGTCTGATTTTTGTACTGCTCTTAGTTGACTGGTTCAAAGGAATTAAATTTGGTAATTCTATCTCTAGGTAGCCCAATTTTGCGGCCGATAAGGTGGTGACATTGACCGACAAATAAATTAGTCGTCGTTTGTCCAGCATTTTGTTTTATAGTGTGAAAAATGAAACATTTCTTTCAACAGGATCGCCACAAGAATCCTGTGGACTTCCCTCCTTCATTCATCAGGGGTTCCTGGCAGGGCTTTTGGTGGGCTTTCGTCACAATGACTACTGTTGGGTAGGTAATATTTTTTTACCCTTAAATATTGTCATTTTTTTTCTAACTTCCATACTAACGACGTGAAAAATAAACAATTATGATTATCATGATGATATTGAGAATAATAATAAATTGATAATGAAAAGGATGATAAAGATTACGATAATTCTGTACTTATATGAGGTGATGTCTGTAGGTATGGGGACACTTCTCCTAAGTCCGTTCCAGCTCGTTTGTACAGTATTCTGTGGATGTTGTTGGGTATGGTCGCCTTCTCGGTTCTTACAGCCAATTTCACGAGTTCTTTGAATTATGAAATTGAAGAAGACTTGAATCTATTTGGAAAAACGGTAAGTGGTGTCTATTGATCGTTTGGCACATGATTTGCAGAGCAGCATCGGCAGTAAGTTTCTCAAAACGTCTTTTGGGATGCATATCTTGAAAAAAGTCAATGAAGTGTCTGAAGAATAGAATCAATATTATTTTTGCGCCCCCGGCTTCAGGTTGCAGTTTTGAATGGAAGTTTGGCGAGGCAAGTGGCGGTGTCAGAAGGGGCAAAATACAAAGGTAGGCAAAGAGGAACTGATATTGTGTATCATATGTGAGTCCAGAAAAAAAAAAGAGGCGAAAAATAGCGCCGCAGTCTCACTCGTACCTCTGCATTCAGAATGAATGGCGCTGGATTGAATCAGAGAAAATTAAATCTAAAAATAAAACTCTGCCCTTCGCACCCAATTTCGATTAAATTACCTCACGAACAACACAAAAATGTAGCTTTTGAAGTGGTTCTTCCTTCCAAAACCTAACCGGCCGAGTTTGACAGGTTCCAGTTGTGATGACCGGTGAATAAGTTCGAAGAAGCGACTATCATCAGAATTCCGTGGCACTGGAACACCAAGATGAGGTTTAAAGATGTTTTTCATCGTCTCTTTCTCTTTCAGAATACAAAGACCTAAATGCAATGATCGCTGCACTGATTAAACAGAAAAACCCACCCATAAATGGTTTCTTAATTGATAGACATATGGCTGTAGCAAGTCTGGAGCAACTTAAAATCAACACCCTGGCTATTGGCCGGACTATTGACTACGATTACTACATTGGAATGAGCGTAACTCCTCCCTACAACTCAACACAGTTGTGCAACGTGATAAAGAAATGCGCAACGGATGTTCTAAAGAGTAAAGACTTTGAACTAACAGCATTACAGGTAATGAACACATAAGACTAAAGTAAACCTAGCTTGTCAGAATAGAATCGTTTCGTTCGGTATAGACTTGTTTTTTCCTGAAAAGACAGATAACTTGTTATTTCTTGTAATATAGTTTTCCAATCCTTTACGACATTAATAACATTCATTTCTTATGCAATGGGAGAAATAGAAATGTCGATGAATTTTTCAGAGGTTGGTAGAAAAAGTTCTGCGGATTCTTCCCAAAGTAAACCGAATTACATTCCCCGTTGTTTGATTTTCCTTCCTCCAGGAAAACTTTTCTTATTATCACTTTTTTTCTCCCATTTTTCGTAGATTCTTTCTCATTCAGTTCCTGTGATAGAGACCGTAAAACAGACAGCCAGTTTATTTGAAGATTACGAGTTTCTCATCATTCTACTTGCTTTGTTTGGCATTCTTGTGGGCGGTGGCCTTATCTGGGAATATTTTTATTATAGACCCAAAATGGAGCGAATAAACAAAGTAAACGGTGAGTCTGAGATTAACCATTCTGTTTTTTCACTTTTTTCACACTTCCATCTATCTTTTTAGAAGAGAGGCCGTGGGTGAATGAAAATAGGGAAACAAACTAAAGCTTTGAAGCACAATTATCAGCACGCGATTCGAATAACCTGAGTAACCATGTCTTTTCTAACTTTCGTGTATTCTACATGAGGAAGACTTTGAAATGGAAGGAGATGACGGAAGAAAGGAATCAGAGAGGGCCATCCTGTACACAAATGAAGTTGAAGAAATGTGTGAGGAATGCAAGGCGAAGGTAGAGAACATCATGAAAGAGGAAGGAAAGAAAAGGTGGCAGAGCATGCAGACCATAATAAGTCCGTTGGAAGGGTTTTCTATTATCGGTAGTCAGTTGAGTTCTATCCCTGGTGTTTCATCCATCAGAAGAATTGGTTCAGAGATTCCCCACAATGTTCAAAACTTGACGAGAAAATCAAAAAAGAACAAAAAAGATGGAATGCAACCGTAAAAGCTGACAATTAAAAAAAAAAACATTGATATCTTTCCGTATTTCAGTATTTGGAAAGTATGGCTCCGGAATTGTTCCAGGAGACTGGACTAACAACTAAATTCCATGTGATGTTCATAAGGAATTAGTGCACGTGACCAAATGAACTGATTTTTTCCTAAGTAGAGTAGAAGGTTCAAACCATATTGAACACGTCTTGGAGTGTAAACGACCCAAACTTACACATACTGAATGATTTCGCCTGAGCAGATTTATGAACGGCCAAGGGCTGCCATTTAAGCTTTCATAGAACCCGGCGTCTCTTTAGAAGTATAGTATAGTATAATATAGTATAATCTAGTGCAGAGAGATCACATTAAGTTCTTGTCCCAATTTTTTGGTCCTAGTTTTCTCAGTTTTCCGCCTGAATTCCCCTCTCACCAAATTGCTCTTTAAATTCGTTTTGATACAAATAACTTTTTTCACCTCAAATCCATTTCAAATGATCAACTAACTGTGAGACAATTTTGTCATCCATGTAACTATCTTAGAACTAATGCCTTCAACTAAATATTTTGTTAACGTTTTTCTTATTTAGTAGTTAGAACCGATGCCTTTAGTTAAACATTTTGTTGACGTTTTTTTCTTGTTTAGTAGTGAGTCAATGAAGGTATTTTCTATAACAATACTTTAAATAGTTTATTAGTCTCCACACAGTGGATGGATTACATTTTTCACAGATTTAACAACAGTGACTAAAAGAAAAGACTCTGTATAGCAAACAAATTAGCTTTCTCATAAACGTAAGGCGATTCGTAACAGAGCAGCACTGTCATGGTGTATTCTAGAACTACGATCGTAAGTAGCTATATAATTTTGTTATGCAAATCGTTAAGTGTCCCTGTGGAAATAAATTTAAAATATTGTAAAAAATTTGGTAACAGCTGTAATAAACACGCCATTGACGGATTTAATCTGTGGGGGAAAATACAACGCGACTCGTAAAATAATGTCAAATAATGGAATAAGGTGTATGTATCTAATGGAAACAGCGTAGATGTTTGTGTCTATTATTGACTGGACAGTGTGGATAGTTGTTTATACTGTAGAGAGAAAAATATCCACCGTAGACAGTGTAGCTTAATCTGACCAATCAAAGTGATCCATAAACTTGTTCTGTGAGTCTCCTTCACACCATCCATCTAAGTATCTAACGACAATATCACATCCGGCAAAACTGAACACAAGCTTTAATCCACCGAGGACTTAATCAACCCACAAAACTTTTGTGCAATCGACCGTACATGAATGACGCATCAAAAGTGTTACACCATTATATAAAATAGAATAATGAAACAGAGGAAGAGGCTGATATTTGCTGTGTATCGGGCTCTTTATCGATAAATGTCGGTCTTTTTTTGCTCACTCTCCCCGGTCCCTAAGACGGCTGTATCACCTGTAAACGGTATTAATATCTACTGGACAGTGTAAATAGTTGTATTTACCATAGTATGATCCACTTTTGACTGAATCACCTGTAAACGGTATTAATATCTACTGGACAGTGTAAATAGTTGTATTTACCATAGTATGATCCACTTTTGACTGAATCACCTGTAAACGGTATTAATATCTACTGGACAGTGTAAATAGTTGTACTTACTGTAGTATGATCCACTTTTCATATAGACAGTCTAAGTGTGGTAAACGCAAACTGTTACCGTCCTTGTATTTATTGTAGTATGATCCACTTTTGACTGTATCACCTGTAAACGGTATTAATATCTACTGGACAGTGTAAATAGTTGTATTTACTGTAGTATGATCCACTTTTTCCTGTAGACAGTCTAAGTGTGGTAAACGCAAACTGTTACCGTCCTGGCATAAAGGATAACCCTCACATTGTGGCTAAGGAGACTATAGTTAGTAGGACTGGGAACTACGCTTTGTAACCTAGCTTGCTTAAAATCACCCATGATACTCTAGGTTATTTGTATTTCAACATGGCGGACGGCATGGATGGTGACTTGGATTCGACTGTGGCGTCAGTTTTGTCCTTAGCAGAGAAAAGCAATAAAGAGAAATATAGATCAATAGAGGTCACAAAGGATGTAGAGCCAGACCTAGATATTGGGAATTTATTAGCTACAGATCTTCAGCCTGTTGATGGACAAGAATTTAGGTGAGTTTACAACCATTAATTTACTTCTTTTGTGCACGTGGAAAATTGGACGGGAAATCTTGAAATGGTTTCAAATTCATCCGTAATCAGAGAAAAATTTATTTAGGCTTGGCTTTGCTTTTAAAACTCCTGTTCATTTATAGGAAAAATAAAGAGGACTTTCTTAGAAATCTTGCCAGAGATAATACGCAGCTGCTGTTGAATGCTATTTGGAAGGTATTGTATCACGAAATAATCCTATGAAGTTTTTCAGTCATGAATTTACAATTTTGTTGCATGTATGTAATATAACTAGTACGAGGCTGGGTAAAATTCCTGCACAGCCCCATACTATTGTAAAACAAATCTTTTCCCAATGGCGATGTATTGTTTTTGTCACTGTTTTCTCTCTCCAAGAACTGAATGTATAATGTAGGATGGGGCTGTGCAGAAATTTTACCCAAGGCTGTCAGGGCTGGTATGAAGGACTTGTCATAGTGCTGTGTAATTTAACATCTAACCAAGTCGACCAAAAATCTAAAATATAAAACGATTAGCTTTATGTACCACAGTATTGTTTGCCTCTACCAGTCTAACTTAGACAACTCTGATCCTGCCTTTGTTCAAATAAACCAGAAGATGCTGTTAATGTATAGAGTTAACTAGCTTTCATACAAGTTGAAGTTTTCACTCTTTCAATGTGATTCCTTTGCAGCTTCCGCATGAAAGATCTGAAGGAGTTGTTGTTGTAAAGGTATGTCCATTTAAACATTCATCCTAGAAGTTGCTATTTTCAATTTCAATTCATAGAATTAGGCTTTTTGTAAAAAATATCTAGCACTTTTAATTTCATCTGTTTTTCACACCTCACATTAACAAAAAGCAAATTTCCTTTTACTTATCAAGGTGCATGAGAGAGGAATTGTTAAACTATTTATTACCTGGAGGGGTGGTGTAATCCTGAATGAGCCATCTTTAATGAGGTCCAATGATAGTTAGACTCTATCATACATGTATATGTATAGCTGACCATGATAGCTGACAACAAGTGAAAACGAAGCTGTTTTGTTTATAGTCAAATGTATTAATTTACATTACTATCAGAATGACATGAAGCACTCATTATGTATTTCTTTTTAATTTTTATTCATGGAAGCTACCTGAGCCATATACGGTTATTCCCAGAGAAAAACCAGTAAGTATGTTAACTAAAAAGTCGTGTGTGTAGGACCAGTAAGCTTGTTTAGAGTCATCAGTATGTGTAGGACCAATAAGTATGTTAAACAGTCATGTGTGGGTGTGTGTGTATGTGTATGTGTGACTGGTAACTATGTTTAACAGTCATGTGTACATGCAGGATGTGTAAGTATGTCTAATAGTCATGTGAGTGTGTTATAGGACCGGTAAGTTTGCTAAACAGGCATGTGTGTTTAGGACCAATTCATTAATTTCTAATGATAATTGGAAGCTAGTTAATACTTGCAATCTACCTTTTTTTGTTGTTCCAGTTTATATGTATTATAAGTTCATTTTTTTTTAGATAATTGTCATCATCTCTTGACTTTTCAGATCCCAAAACCAAAACTGCCCTCAAAATGGGAAGAATTTGCCAAAAGAAAGGTACTGACAAAGAAATCATCCACCTTTGAGTTGTTCTAAATGTTATGTTAATGTTGATATTTTCTTAAGCTTCAAAAGAGTTTAAGCTATTGAGAATCTGGAGGATTTACTCACTGCGAGGGGGCATTATAATATGTCTTGTTTACACCAGCAGGTTTATGTTTAGAAGTATCACGTGCAGTTATGAATAACAAGTGATTTAATTGTTGTCTTACAGGGCATCACAAAAAAGAAACGTGAGAGGATGATTTTAGATAAAAACACTCAAGTTAGTATCAGTTTGTATAATGATTGCAGTAAGGGCCAAGTTGATGTACCTTTTCAGCAGTAGTGTATTGATTTCCCATGGACATCTGTGTGAAGTTGATTTCATTTTTAAACTGGTGCATAATGTATTCAGTGTTGACAATTCAGACACATCTATTGTGTTGACATAAGGCATAATGAAAGTAAATCCAAGTCTCTGCAAATTTCAGTATTTGTGTTTGCAATTTTTATCCTGGAACATTTTCAAGTCTAAATATATACTTTTGTATCTGCTTCAACTATAGAGTTGTCTGTTGTACAGGTATCTTTACCTATTTAAATGTATCTTCAGGAATGGAAGCCACGTTTTGGATACAAAAGAGGAAATGATGAAACTCAGGAGTGGCTTTTGGAGGTTCCTCAGAATGCAGGTACTGAGTATCATAAATTCACAAATTTGTGATGATGACTCCAAAATATTACATGGTTTAGCTTCCTTGTCTTTGTCAAGTTGTCCATGTGTGTAAATAGTGAAGAAGGGGTTTGCAGTCAGGTATGGTTAAAGAAGAATATTGTTCACTGGAATATCACATTTCTTGGAAAAATTACAAGCAGCGCTCAATTTATCCATGGATGAACTGGCCCCAGTGTTCTCTGACCAGACTCCTGATTCCATTTATTGTGAGCAGCCATCACCTTGAAAGAACATGGTTCCCTTCTTTTTCAAACACACTCATTGTTTAGCTCAGTATTGGTGCTATAATGTAAATTTTAAGAGTAAGAAAAACTTCTATGGAGTGATAGAAACCAATGCTAAAAGTAAGAATTTTAATTTTAGATCCATATGAAGACCAGTTTGAGAAAAAATTTGAAGCAAAGAAGGAAAGAGTTGCCAAGAATGAATACCAAAGGTTGAGAAACATAGCAAGAAACAGAAAGATTTCCGGTCAGTGGGACTGCTCAGGGTTTTGTTGTGAAAGCTTACTTTTATTGAATTGTGATGGATGGTGTTTGCTTTCTAAAGATATATGTCCTTAGTTATGTTTTTTTTGATTATTTGATTTATTTTTTACTAGTTCCAAATAAAGATCTTGCCCCTTCATCTGGACGACAAAGCAAAGAACAGGTAATTTCTTGATTCTGTATGTTTGAAATCCTTTCAAAGTCAACATTTCAACTTCCAAACTTTCATGTGTTAATTTTAGGAGAATAATGGCACTTAAACAAACATGCACATCAAGGATTGTTCTTTTTGTGCTAAAAGTGACTTCTTTTATAATAATTATTCTGGAAGGAAGAAAGAGTGCATATTCTTGGTTCTTTTGGGTTTATGTTACCTTAAGTGATTTACTAGTGTAAACAAATTTTTTTCAGATCTCAGAAAAGTTAAACATCAGCAGACTCTCTACTGCATCATTGGGAAAATTTACTGAAAAACTGGTAAGAAATTTGTGCAAGAAGCACACTTGAAAGTACAAGTTTGTATCCATACTTAAGTTTATGACAGAGGTATTTGTTATGTCTGACAGTAAACATTGGAAAAAAAAGACTGACCCAGATGTCAAAGTTTTAATTGCATTTATTTAATCTTCAGCGTGATGAAAAGATTTCAAGGAAAACTGGAAAGAAGCGAAAGGTAAAGAAATATACTAGCTAATTGAAAATTAGGGTAAGATGCTACCACTACAATCAGATTCATTGGCATTCTTCTTATGCGGACTCACTCAAAGTGTCATTCTACAGATTATTTGATCTTGTAATTTCACTTTGGTCTCACCAACTGTGATAAAATTTGCAATAGATACACAGTCATCCCATTTCTTTGGCCCTTGCGGGGTGCTCCAATTAAATTTGTGGGCCATATCACACAGACTTGCGGTGATGTGTGTTGACCTGAATGGGATTCATCTTACTTGGCTTTCGCCGGAAAAGTGTCACAACCAAGATTGTGAAAATGATTTGAATAATTCATCTTACTTGGCTTTAGAGAAGTGTCTCAACCAAGATTGTGAAAATGTAGGTAAGTGACTATCATTGTTCGAATAGATCTTCTTAAATTCCTTGTTGTTGTAATTGCAGTTCGAGCCTGTTGTGGGTGACTTGTCAAATGAACGGAGCCGAAGCAGAGAACTGGCAGAGAAAATAGCCAGAAGAGGTCCCCTTGATGTCAATAAGGTAACTGACACAAACATGTGCAAAGCAACAGTAAAGTCACTTTTGAATACAAAGATTGTGAATGCATGCAATAATACGGCCCAGTGAAAACTGATGAGGAAGCAGTGCACGTGGCACGTGGCACGTGGCACGTGGCTGTCAATCCTGCATCTTATTGTTTCCCTAACTGTTACTTTATGTGTCAATGGCCCAATCGCTAAAGCTTGGTTTTCACTAGCAAGCACAAGCGCAAGCACAAGCGCAAGCACAAACTCAAGCATAAGGTAATTATGCCGGGTGAAAACGCCAATAAGGCGGTAGACACTTTAAAGCGTCGAGTTCTGTTGTTTCTTCTATTCATGCGTCGAAGAAACAGAGAGCGGTTACAAAAGAGGAGGAGAAAAAAGCGCGTTTGGGTTAGGGATATTTTTAAAGAAAGGTGAAGCCAATGTGATTTTTCAACCACCAAAGTTAGTTCACGCCGCAAGTTTATTATAACTTAAGAGTGGTTTTAACCGAGACCATTTTCTTGCGGCACGGTTTGAAAGTAGTCGTGATCTAGTGCGTGGTGATTTTTAGAAAAAAAAAACCCTGGTACACCTCGTTAATATGATCGGTGCTGGACTTACTGCATCAGAATGAAGCGACAACAACTTAATATCTGTAGTGTTTGTCGATATTGTGAAAACCCACAGGACAGACAGAGAGAGTCAAAACTCTCAAGGTGTCGCCATCTTTATAAGATGATCCGAAGTGTTCTCTCTACGGAGCCAGGGTCATCATGTGTTACAAATATAAATTGTTAAATTGCTTTAACTCTTCCAGGCAGTAAACCAACACATAACAGAAGCACAGAAAAGGTAGGCAAACTGCCACCAGAGTTAAAGTGTAATGTAAAAGAACCGATTTATTTAAGTATCGGTCAAAGGTAACATGACAGTCTCCACTCGAAAATTAAATTAATACTTGAACAGTTAGAGGATCAAGAGTTGAGTACGGAGACTGACCCACGTTCGAGGCACTCTCAATTTTCCTTTAAATGAATCAAGGGGGTAATTTTCTGAAGAAACTGTGGTGCTGCGTCGGTGGGAGAGTATAACAAGGTTATTAAGTTTTATTACCTGAGTTAATAACGTAAATTGACCACCGTGTAGTGTTTAAAAGGTGATGTTTCAAGCGTTAGCCCTTCGTCAGAGCAATGGTAGGAATTGTGAGTTCTGTGTAGGTTTATATGCAATTACGTTATCAACTCAGTTGATAATACTAAATTGCCTTTAAATGGTTCTGTATATAGCAGAAGGACTTAGCAGTCAATGATTCATCTCTTATTTAAGAAAAACTAAAGCCTTCCGATCATACAGCCCGCGTATCTCCAAGGGTTCAAGAGAAGGTAGTGTTTCTTGCCATCCACCTCAATCCCTCGTTCAGCGACTAGTTCTTAATGTTTTTTTTTTTTCTATTTGCTGCATCAAATGATGGCTGGTCAATTTGATTATGTTCTGTTTTCTTCATATCTATTTTAAAACTAACTAGAGGAAGCGAGTTTAAAAAGAAAGGAGCCGGAAAAGGGAAGAAAGGAAAGGGAAAGCCTGCTGCTCAAAATAGAAACAAGAAACCAGCTGGAAAATCACCCAGAAAATCGGGGAAGAAAAAAGTCAAGATTTAAGCTGATACAGAACCGTCATTATTACCCTGGCTCAGAGCTAATTCCACAGAAAATGGAGAGGCAGAAGTAACAACTACATAACCATATGGTTTTTATTATTTGTTCACGAGGCATTATTTTCAACACTGTCAAGAGATTACGTTTCATTCTTCACCGTGTAATGTTTCGAGATACTGCTGTAGAAAAAGGTACTAAAGGCGCGAAGAATGTTACGCATGTTCAACAATGTCGCTCAAATGGCGCCAGTTCGCAGTAAAAGTGACAGAAATAAAGGATACGAATTATGAATAAACAATCTGCTTATGTAGTACAATGAAATTATATATTGTGTTAGTCGTTTAGCATTGTTAAATAGCTGTAATTCTTAATTTTGGATTCACTTTCATAGGTGAGGGATAAAGGTATGTTTTTAGCCCACTTAAGCATTGGACTGAATGTAATACTTTTGCCTTTTCCGCGTGAAACTAAAGAGGTCTCTCCGTTTAAATCGAATAGAAATCAAGACCTTAGTTTTTGGCGATACAATGAACTGCCCATTTCCACTGCACTCGCCCCGAAAATAGAGGGAATCATTACTCCGCGAGTAGGCCCTCATAATCAGTGCTCAGAAGACAGAGGGAATCATTAGTGTGCGAGTAGGCACTTATTATTGGTGCTTAGAGGGAATCATTAGTGTGCGGGTAAGCTCACATAAATGATGCGCAGAAGATAGAGGTTACCTTGAGGCGCCGTAATAAATAGTAAACACGTCCAGTAATTCGCGAGATTCCAACTAAAAATATAAATTCTTTGCTAAATCGATGTCTGTCTTGGCGTTGTCGTCCTAACTGCCAAAGGTTTCTAATATGAGGCCAGGAAGAACGCGAGCCCGCTGGGACCGTTTTGACAAACACATGGCTAGATAATAGACCTCTACTCGACCCCCGGCAAATCTCTCCCCAACTCGTCTGAAATCTTCCCGCGGGCGGAGAAACGTGCGTCCTTTAGCACTTATATGGAAGGGCTAACCGCAAGTTAGGGGATTGTTTGCAGTCTAACTTGATCATGCTGAGTTACTTCGGGAAAAATGTTTGATATGTATCTAAATGGCGGTTTACCGAGTAAAAGCAGCTTCTTTGACCCAGTCCAGCTCAACTACTATTGGCCAGCGCAGGGATGGACTGGGCATGTTGGTTTCCATAAAAATGGCGAAGCTGGTAGAATGTGCAAAACCAGGAAGAAAACTCGTTTGAAAAAGCTATAGAATATGGGGAACGTAACAGCTGGAGGCGTTAACGACGGAGAAGACGATGAAAACGAGTACTATGAGGTATTATTTTATGTTTCTTCGGCTATATGTTGATGCAACCAGCTATGGGATACAGGTCACATCTGACCTCGACGAAATGCACCGACTTAAAAAGTCCTACCGAAAAATTGATTATGACATCCTTAGAATTGATAGGACTAATTTGATTTAACATTTTATAGCCAGCAGATTAAGCGACAAGTGCAGCAGTTCTTGAACTCATTGTGCCTCAATTGATACAAACACAATTAATTAGCCTTAAAAGAACCTACATTTACATAACTCATTGCACGTAGTGACTACCTTTCTCGAGTGAACGGAAGCTGTTCCCAACAGCTGGGTGTAGGGACTACAGTAGCGAATATTTCCAGAAGTTTAGCAACCCTGGATACCACTAGCTTTTCAGAACGCTTCAACCCCAAGTTATTGATCCGAGATTATTGTGATGATCCATTGGTTCCTTACGTTATCTTCAGTTTCTCTGAGTCAGGCTTGAAGTAAATAGTGTCAACATAATGCATGCTGTCAGTCTATTAAGTCTCTGATAATCTTTGTAAACTAGCAGTTTTCTAATGTATCGTATTAAAGTTGGATCTTTTTACATCAATGGATAGAGAAACCTTGAAATGCCTAAGAAGATCACAAGGCTTTCACTAGCTAATCAACACTGTAGACTCCTTGTCACTGAAACCTTCCATTACTAGAGCCTCAAGCCTTATTTTTCTTCAGGCCTCATTAGCTCAAATTCTTGATGAGGTTTACCTCCAAAGTGACTTTGGTACATACTGGAGTAGTCAGAAGTCAACTGTCTTTCATTATTTATTTATCTGACATAAAATTGAAAGTCATCCTTTAAGTGCTCATTGTTTTGTCAGATAATTTACAATTTCTATTTCTGTAGGATGGAACAGAGACAAGTCCATCTTCAGGTAATTGTGTTTTTTCTTTGTATAGCAAACTCTATTACTTTCTCTTTGAAATTTGAATGTCATGCAACCATTTGATGGGGTTATGTCACTATTAAGGAAGTTGTCACACTTCCATTTTATTAAGTGCATCTTTAGTTTTCACTTTCTAATAGTAATTTATGCACTTATTGAGGATAATTATTTCTTGGGACTTTAGGGGAGATCACTGATGGAGCTTTAGACCTTTCTGTGTTATTTGATCATGGTTTACTGCGTGAAGCTGCCTCAAAGATCAAGTAAGACATTAATTTAGTTTTTTTTATGTTTGATATATTTTTTAATTGTTCCTCAGTAAATATACTTTATTTTCTTTCACTGCACTGCAAAAGTGAAGCAGCATAGCTTCACATTACAAACTCTGTGTATTCAGTTATTGTTTCTTTTATAGCATTTCCAAAATGTATGTAATTTTTTAAGTTGTTACTGATGTGAGATCATGCTCCAACAAAACAGTTCAAAAAGAATATATCTGCAATTGTTTTTTCTTTTTCACTTTTTCCCTTTTTATTTTTTTTTGGAAGGGAGGGATATTCTCTATGAATTTTATCTTTCTAGTTTTGGTTTGACATAGCTTAAATAAACACTAGTGAGAAATTCCTGTGACGCTTGGTTGTTTTAAAATGAATTGATTGTTACCAGTTATGTCCTCCATGCTATATAGATTTCATGCTATTTGTTATAACTGTACCCTATGCAGTATGCAGCTTTATCTTTTAGGGTACTTGAGTAATAATTTAGGTTTAATTAAAAAAATAAATTTTATTAACACTGTACTTGTGTTGTTTGTTTAGAGAGGAACCAAATGAATCCTTTATGCAGCAACATTCAAGCAGTATTATACGGTGGCTGGAAGAAAGAAATTCCAGACATGAGGTTTGCTCAGTGCACTCTTTTAAGTAAATAGTGTGATATATTGAGGTTGAGCAATGATGACTTAGTCCTCACTCAGGCAATTAAGGGTGAAAGTTAGGTAAAACTTGTGGAACTCATTTAGCAGAGCTCTATAGTTCAAAAGGAAAGTGTAACCAGTTAAGTGCCTGAAGTGAGCATGGACAGTTCATAAGGGGAAAAGTTGCAAAGAATTGTATATTTTCTGTTGAAATAATTTTCTGGTTTATTACTTTGTTTTCACTTGTAAAGGAATATGTCAGTCTATCACAATTCACTGACATGCTGACAGGAAGAGGAGCCAGTAAGGAGGAGTGCATAGAGGTTAGGTTCTGAGAAATACAATAATGTAACATACACATGTGTTTTAAGATAAATAATCCATGGATCAGTGTGCCTCTGATTTCCTTTTTAAATTTGATATCTTTTATTATGTACAGTAGGTAACTAACTCAACAACATGGAATCCATTTGGTTTGGTAAATTCCTGTGAGAAAAAATTAAACAGTCATGGTATCAACTACAGGGCCTGTCTAGATTACTGAGAATCTTAAAGGACATTGAATTCTGCAAAATATTTCTCTGGGCCTGAATAGTCATGGAATTTTGGTTTGGGTCATGGAAAGTCATAGAAGATGACCAAAAATGATTGTGTATTGTCTAAGTATAGAATGCTGTAAAGTACTGGTGCCAGGGCTTGAGTTTAGCCGTTTCACTCTCTGCTTACCAATTAGGCCCAAAAAATGGCTTGGTGAAGTCAAACATAAATTGCATTTCAGTTAAACTTTGAACTAATGAACAGTTAATAATGAGTTTCATCATAAAATTGATATTTTTGTTCCGTATTTCAAATTTATTTGTAGTTATTCAGTCAGTTTGATGCTGATGGAGAAGGCTTTGCAGATGTAGAAACATTTTTAGAGGTTTGTTTCTAACTGAATAATAATTACTAGGAAGCAATAAGGTATTAATTGAGGAAATTACATAAAATGTATTATGTGTGTCAAAACCTCATACACATTGTTCAATCTCTTAGCAGGCAAGCTTTTATTAGTTTAATCAGTCATGTATATAATCACAGATTTTTCTCAAAGTGGTCTGATTTAGCCAAACTCAATCAACAGTTGTAACATTTTAGTTAAATTTTTATCACAGACTCTTCAAACCCTTGGAGGTGGCCTCAGTGCCAAAGGAGATTTAAGGACTTCCATCAAGACACTGCAAAACTGCTGTCTAACACCAGGTACAGAAGTGAAAATTTTCCCCTTTGCCTAGGGGACCAACTCTCCCTCTTTGTTTATTGGAAAGAAAGATTGTTGGGAAATGAATTTTGAGTTCCACTGGGATTCCAGGAATAGCTTAGATCAAATAGCAAATAAAATATTAACCTTTAAAAATCCTTGTTACCAGTAATGATCATTTTCTTGTAAATTTTAAAACAATATGGAAGTTGGTGTACTTTACATGTGTGTAATCAAATCAATATTGAAAAAGATGAGCTGTTTCCCAGCTTTAACTTAGTACATGTCCTCTGTATGTAGGATTTTTGGATGCTTTTGCTGACAATAAGGAGGCTGTTATGAATCACGGTCAAAAACTCCTGAAGGTAAAACTTTCAATACTTTAAATTCCAGTTGTGTTATTTCTTTTCTCACCTGTTGGAGTAGCCTATTCTAGCTCTTGACTTTGATGGTCAGGTTTTCAAAACTTCAGTCCCTAATTGTCACAACCCAGCCACTCAGGGTTCCAAACCGATTTTTTGTATTTAGTAAATTACTTTGTTGAGAATGGTTACTGAAAAATCAGTTTACTTCAATGTATTGTATTGACTTGACATTTTTGGATGTTCTAGTTCTTGCTGCGAAACAGAGCAAGTAGTACATCTCTTCCTTTACCAGCCTTGGATGGATTCTGTAATACATCTGAGATGAGACTGAAAGTTTTACAAGCACACATAGAGGCACTAAAGGAAAAAGGTACAACATTTAATGTCCATTCCTACAAACATATATTACCAGTACATTTTCATTGATTTTATTGCATAAAGATGTTTGGAATGCTGATTTCTCAACTGCAGCTGCTCTATTTCTGCATACAATTCAGTTAAGTCTAATGTTTTAGTGTCATTTGCAATAAAATGATTTTTATCTTATCTTGTCAGCTGAAGTAAAGAAACAGGTTCCCTCAGTTGAAGAAGGTGAAGTGCTCAGGCCTTTAATGAAGTGTTACATGACTCTTGAAGTTTCCAGTAACAAGGGAGATATATCCAGGTAGCACAGGCTTTCAGATAGGAAAAGCACTCTTTCTTCAGGTTCTTATCCAATTTTGTTGGTGAAAAGAAACAAACAAAAAGTATAGTTGCATTCTATATTCTGTCTTGTGAATGTTTCAGGTTAACTAATGGGGATGCAAGTTCATACTGGCAGTCAGATGGACCTGCAAGGTCTCACTGGATCAGGTAATGTTCATCCTACTAAACAGGAAAAACTATCATTTTTATTACTGCTGCATTAATGCTACTTATACTATTTCCAATTTTAAATCCTTGTTATTTGAGGGTTAGTGATGATGCAATGATGAAATCACAGGTTTGATGATCAACCCCTGATGTCAAATGTGGGTTGAGTTTGTTGCTTGAACTCCTGTCAATTAGCCAGGGTTTTATCTAGGGTCTGTTATCTTCCTCAGTCCATAAAACCCAATACACAAAATTCGAATGTGACCTGGAATCAACACAGAAATAGCCAACTCATGAAAGTTCCACTGCAGAATTCCAATATGTTGCTATTTCTCTTCATGTTTTTTTTGTTATATTGCCTGTTCTGTAATGTGGTTCAGTCTGTTGTTTCATATTATTAAATATGTGTAGGTGTTAAGATTTAACAAGGGCATCCAAGAATTTCTTGACTTTTGTGGTGTTCTCCTGTTGTATGTTTCAGGTTGCGAATGCGGCCAAATGTTGTTCTCAAACAGCTGTCAATAAATGTAGGTTCTTCTGATCAGAGTTACATGCCACAACATGTTGTTGTCACAGCAGGACGAGATGAACAGAATTTGAGAGAAATTAGTGACTGCAGAATTCCAAGGTATTACAAATGAAAGTGTCATCTGTCCTCAATTATATCTTCTTTTTATAACACAAGTTAAAGAGCATTCTCAGTACTGTGAATAAAAACATCTGATTCCAAATTTTGAAATCAAGGAAGGGAAAACTTTTGATAATTATTAGATATAACAAAACTCAATTCTAAACTGAGAGTTTTATACTGATCATTCTCACTTGAACCAGTATGGTATGTAACAATTACTGTCAAACCAGATGTTGGGGGTTTTTATTAATTAGAATACATTTGGTCTAAGGAAACATTTAAATGCTAGCCAAAGGGGATCTAGCGTACTTTTTAAAATGTTTCATCTAGTTACACTACTCACAGTTATATTAGTAATGTTAGAATATTTGACAATCACTGAGAAGCAAACAAACACTACATGTATTTCAGAAATTATGATAAATGAACTTTGAAATTTTCTATTAATTTTAGCCAAGTCAATGGGGATTTTGTTTTAGTAGAAAATGTAAAAATTCCATATCCAGGTGAGTAATAATGAACATTTGTATAAACACATTTACTAGATAATGAAGTAACATACTCTTCATAAGTTGATTGTTTCATAAAAAGGAATTTAGCTGTTCCTTACTTACCTAAGAACCTCCATACACTTTATTGAAACAAGAGTTGTTGTTTTTTGTGCACATTTCTAGTGATACAGATCAATATTAGAAGATGTCACAGTGATGGTTGTGATACAAGAATTCGTGGAATCAAAGCTGTTGGATACAGGTGACACCTTTTTTTCAACACTAGGAAAGGGAGTTTGACTAATTTTTTCTTCAGAAAATCATTCCACCTTTTCATTCACTCAGCCAGTGCAAATTAATAAACATGATTTTGTTAGCTTTTGTTAACCCATCTCAATGGTTTGGGCCATCATACACATGTAAGGAAAAGCATGTGGTTCACTTATTGTCATATTTTCTTGAAATTTCCAATAATACCTGAAAAGTGTTTCTTAATTGAGGGCATCTTGCATTATTAAGGATTAAAATAAATCATTTCTATAAAGAAATTTACAAGCTCTCATTTGCATCTCTCCAGCAGTGAAATGTTATTTAAATAAATATCTTGGCTTACAACTGTAACAGTTTGCTTCAAGTGTCTCTGATGAATTGTATTTCAGAGTCTTAAAAAGTAAAGGTATGAGTGTTGGTGATGCATCGGCAGTGTGGTTCCTCTCAGTTCTTGGAGCTACTGCCACTGCAGCCCTTCCAATGGCTCCTCACCTTAGGGATCTTATCTTGTCTCACACAAAGTAAGTGCTGGTAGTATTGGTATGCACTCGTTTAGGGCACTGCTGGCTCAAATGCACTCACAGAATACATTGATTTGATTTACTGCAGGTCAGCATTGAGCCATATGAAGCCAATGTCACTATCGTTAACATCACCAGACAGACCAGTTGCCCTCTCTCAAAATGTTCTTGAGGAGATTGAAAATTTCCTTCATTCTATTGTGAGGTGAGGTGTACATGTATTTTGTTAGTTTTTTCTTTTTTAGATATAGAAATTGGTCTGATGGTCAAAGTATGTCTTTGTTACTCATTCTTCGTGTTCATGTACTAGTAGTTTATTCACTTCTGTGGCGGTTGTGTGACATGCTAGTTTTTATCTCTTATCCTACTCTTTTTGTGGTGTCCATTGCAAAGTATTTCCACTGTCTCTATCTAATTATTTCTTTAACTTGTGTTTTCCAGACATGTTCTCTTTGTTAATTTAAATAACAATTAATCTGTGTTATTTTAAAATTTCTTTCAGGTTTGAGGGAGCAATTCAACCAGAGAGTTTAAAAATTTTATTGGAATTTTCTTTAGCACGTGGAAATTTAAAAAGTATTTTTAAAGTTCTTAAATTATTATATGGTGAGTAATACAGGAAATAAATTTTGTTTTCTTTCTTGCTACAATGATGATCATATCAGTGACCTTAGCTGTATTTGTTATTTCATGCACTGAAAATAAAAAGTTGTAATTACTTATCATACTCAATCCAAAAGTGATGAAGTATAATTGTTCATTCAAATAATGTATTTAGGTTTCATTGATAAAATGTCACCTAGCACTGCAGAATAATCCATCTTCAATGTAGACAACAGATTGATATTTTGCCTTTACATCCTCATAGAAATTGGTTATGAAGATTTTCCTGCGGCAGAAATTGTGAAATCCTTGGAAGATGTTCAACTTAAAGCTACAAAGCAACATGGTGAGACTTCTATCTGACTTTATTGGATTTGGAAATAAGCCAGTGATTAATTTTTTGGTGAGAATACTGTTCCTAAAACTGGCACTTGGTGTAAACCATAACTCAAAGACACCTTACATACAGTGTGCAAGTTTGTAGTGTTACAAATAGGCATTTAAGCAAGAAAATGTTTGTCTTTTTGTAAATGTAGATTTTACTAGTTGTAAATTGTCTTACTGCTTGTAACTGTTTACTTCCCTTAGGTGCAATTTTAAAGATGTCCTTGTCATCTTGTGATGGGGGTCACAAAGACAACCTCTCAAAACCAGAAAATGTTTTAACAGACAACTGGTCATCTGAAGGTAATTCATCTTCTCTCTGTTCTCCAAGCTCAATTGTTCTTATCTAGATATTTTATTTAAAAGGTTTAATAACAGAGTAAGCAATTTATTTCAGCACATATATAGCAGCATTTGTTCTCTATGGTGAATATGCTTCCAATATGTAAAACCTGTTTTTCTTTTTTCAAGCTTTCTTATCAGATTCTGGAAAGACATGGAGGATGAGTTTGTCAATGATGTTTTCAATGTCACAAACTTCAACTTCACAAAACAAACAATGACCAACAATGATTTACAAATTAACAAGATTAATCATCAAGAATCTTGTAAGCACCCGTAAATTTTTTTGGCGAAAATACTCGGCTATAATCCGAACCCCCTACCTTGGCGACAATTTACCTGTTCTCAGTTTAATTTGTTGGAAAAACAGTGTATAATATTTGTCAATATGTAAAATTTTTCAAAAACTTAGAGACAACACTCATCAGTTCGCGTAAATAATAACAAGATTAATCATTTGATGCCAGTGTATAATATTTTAAATTTAATGCTTTGATGCCTTGCTTTGTTAAATTTAAGGGAAGGTTTGATTGCTTTAGCATGCAATGAATATGTTTCATTATATAGGTGTCCAAAGGAGCAATTGGACCTTCACATGGCTTGGTTTTTGTGCTGGATGACTTTAAAAGGTACATAATGAAAAGAGGTTTTTGCAAGCTTTCTATGCCTAACTAGGTTTAACTGAAATGAAACCTGCAAATCAATCACTAAAAAAGGCAACATTTAAAATAGTTGACAAGGGAAGTCACTTTGGAATTATGCCTTCCAGAGACTCCAACTGCATTACAATATCCTTTAGGCAATCTTAAGGCACTGGGCTCAAGAATGATTAACCATTGATCTTTCTACACCTCAATTGGTTTTATTTGTGAAAAAGTTACTTCACTTTTTGTCCATCTGTATTATGTGATATGGAGAGTGTCATGATTGGTGATAACTGAGACTTTTTATAACAATATTACTCCAATTAAAATGAATGAGTAAAAGAAGAATTATTGACAAATAAAAGCTGGTAATGGTTTAACAGTAATTTAATGGAGTCATCATTTGTCAGGGTGATGGGGGGTCAATGGTGACTGAAAGATAGCCTTTACCAAAGTAGTGATGTTATTTCTTTTGCTTCAGAAATGAAAAAGAGAAAGAACAAGAAGAAGGAGGAGGACATGAAACAGATTTATTGAGCAAATACAATGACTGGACCAAAGCTAAATACTCTGAATATGTTGCAAGGTCTGTTTAGATCTTAAAGTTGTTCAGTTACAGAGGTTCACCAGTATCTAACTTCATGTGTTCAGGGTATCAACTTTTTTATGAAATGTTTTGTTCATGACAACATAGAAACAACATTAATTAAAAATGCAACTGTTGTTGCTTCATTTATAGTTGTAAGGGCAAATCAGAGTTTGGTAATGATGATCCAGTTGGTTTTTTCACCACAGAAGAGGACTGGTATGTTTAATTTTATGATTTTCTACAAGTACTTGTGAGTTGACAGAACAAAGAAAATCATTTAGTGTACAGGCTAGCTAAACATGCTTATAGTGTGTATCTCTCTACCCTTTTAAAAGACTTTGTCTCAGATGTAGATTTTTTTTCCTTTTAAGACTTTCTTGTGTTCTGTGGTAATATCTTTTCTCTGCATCATTTTGAATGCCATGTTTCATGTGGGATCATTGAATTACATAATGAAAGAAAACTGTAGATACAGTGATCTATTTCCTTTGACTTTTCAGGGATGAGGTGGAAGTTCACGTTGATAGAATTGTGACTGGGAAGGTATTGTCTGTTGATCATGAGCTTTTGGTTTTTACTCTGGATGATTTTAATCACCATCTCAGCATCAAGACTGAGACAGTTTCACAGATAAATTTCTTTTAACCTTTCAATAAACGGCAATAAATGGTGATTGAAAGTACTTTTGAAGGCTTTTATTTATTTTTATTATTGTTGTTTACTGCAGTATGTTGTAGTCAAGTTTTTAGGAGCAAGAAAAGAAAGTGCTGAGAGGATAGGAGTGTTGGGAGTCAACTTCTTTGGTTATGAAGTCAAACCCGACTGTCCACTGAGTGATGAGTTGAACTTGGTAATGTGAATATCTCTTTTGAATTTATTATTAATGTTTGATAACAAAATTTCAGGCAAGAATAACAGGTCTCCCAGTTAATGAGTAACTTCACTGGTAAGAGTATCACAGTTAGGTTTGATTTCTCTAATTTATCTTCTTCTTAAAGAGAAATTCTTTTTAACATTTTTTCCAGAATGAAGTTGCCCCTTTACCTTCAAGCAACATAGTGGAAGGTTCAACTTTGTTCATTAGAATCTTGTTATTTCTTGATGAAATGGCAAAGGACCAGGTAGAAAGCAGAAGATTACAAACCTTATTATTTTTCAAATTGCTTCTTGTGTTTCCTGACAGATGATTTTATGCAATATAGTCATTATTAAAAATTAAAGTTTAATTAATTTGGTATAGTTTCAGTTACATCTTATATTCTACAGATTCACCTTAAATCAAGACCGAAAAATCCCCCTCTGTATAAAGAAAAGGTATGTGCAATGTGACAGCAGTGACCAAACAGAAAATTAGTTTGGATATATTTATAAATGAGTAGTGATATGTTCCATAGAAGTAGGTCATTGCAGTTACACGTAGAGCTAAATGAGCTAATAAAATTGTGCCTGATAAAATTCAGATTCAAACAGGCTTAGACCTAGATTTTCAGTGTAACATGAGTTTGTTTTGTGTGTAATATTTCAGGAGGGTCAGCTAGAGATGAGCAGTGTGAGTCTTGAACTGGTCTGGGATGTTTACACACTTGTAACACGCAGGTAAAGTACATTGTTAACAATGTGCCATTAGAACAGTTGCCATAAAAACGCATGTGTATTTCAAGAAACATTACATATTGTGTCTCTTCACAGGGGAGTAAAGCACAAGAAAATCATAGCATCTTGCCTGCTGCTTCTTCGATTGTTTTACCAAAGCCTCCCTTGCTTAAAGTCCAACCTTAGAGAACTGGCAGCTGACTCTTCTGATAAGACAGCATTTGAAAAGGTGATAGCCGCGTCAGTAGTTCATTCCCTTGCATGTGTGTGGTAATAATGAATATTGTTTTTGTTTTCTCAGCAACAAGAACTGTCCTCCAAAGTATTTGCGCACTTATGTGACGTTGTGGATGATAACGAAGGGTACTACGATGAAAAGATTCATCAGATTTCAAAACTGATTATCTTAGAAGGTAACTCTACGGCTAACTTCCCACAACGCAACACTACCAGTGTAGACATCATATCTGTACGTTATTCTATTTCTAAACTGGTCTTTATAAACGGACTTATGTATGATTTCTAACTAGTATTTCCCTCAGTTACGAAAAATTGTCTAAGTTAAGTCCTAGAGCATTCTATAGAACAGTCTAGAACCCGCAGTCATCCAGCTGTGACCTTCTTGTATAAGAACATTCTGGAACGTTCTATCTCTTATGTAATTACTCAGATTTAGAAACCGTGTCAATCTACTAAATTTAGTTCTTTAGAGAAGTTTCTAGATCCTTGGACTTTATGTATATAATAGCGATAGTTTCATAACGAAAAAAAATCAGAGAAGTGTGAAGAAGCTTAGTGCTGTAAAGTCGAGAAGCCAACTGCGTGGAAATAAATCAGTTTGTTGCTGTTATCGACGATCCTGAGTTGTGTCTAGGAACAACCCTGCTCTACATTGACACTCGTAACACTCTCAGTTTGAAATCATGTTGATAGAAATATCACTTTATCTGTCCTTGAAACAGGAGCAGAGATTTTCTTCCCAGACTCGAAAACAAGGCGGAGTCACTTGTTGTCCATGGTGGATCAAGTGATGGAAGAAAAGAAGGCGGCATCTTTGGGACTCACATTTGAGTCACTCTGTAGATTCTTCAGTAATAAAGATGCCAGTGGTCTTCTTGGACTTCCCGATATTGTGACAGAGGTAGTCGAATTAGGTTTCAACGAGCTGGTAGTATTGGGTTATGATTAGACCAAGTAATATCAATCAGTAACATGAGTTGATAACAAATCTCTAAGTTAAGAAATTAGGAGAAACTCTTTTAATGAAAAACCCCTTGGTTTTTTCAACGTTTTTCAAAAAGGAGGAAAAAGGAAAAGTTAACTCAAAATGAAAACACGATTGTGGGTGATAACGTGATCAGTTGATATAAGGGGAACCAATCATCTAAAATTGAAAGAACTTCAGATCTGCAGTATTATACTAAATGAACCGTCCACCTAGAAGGACCATCTTCAATTAGATTGACACACCCAGCAGCAAGTTCGTTAACATTTGGTTGTCCCGCATATGCATGTAGTCGGTTAAAATGTTACAAAAAACAGTTTGTTCTGTCATATCTAGAGAGGATTTGACTGTGGACAAGTTCTTGCCGTCATGACAACGTTGTTGTCTGTGGCTTATCAAGAGGTGTGTTAAGATCTTAGCTGTGCAATTTCATTTGTATTTCTGTCGACTTGTTCCACTTACTTGCACTTTTCAAAATCTGTTTTCGTAGCAAACCTTTTCTCTTAAATTTTGCATTCAGAGCCTGAACTGCGTGACAGCAGCAGATGATGGAAACCAAAGCGAATCGACATCCAACCTTGTTCAGTTGTTGTGTGCAATGCAAAGGAGTCTGTTAACATGGTGCAGTACACAAATGAAATCTGGGAGTTCCTTTGGCCAAAATGTCGCCACTGATCTTATAATAGAGTGTAAGTTTTACATGTCAAGATTATCAAGTGCATGTTGTAGTGAATACTGCACACGTTTATTAAACGATGTACAATTTGGTAAGATAATTTGGTTTGATGCGTTTGTGGAAGTCTGATCTTACATTTTGTGTTTTGTTGTTCTAGATGTTGGTATTCTGGCCAACAGAGTGTTCATGTCACTACAGGCTGTGAATGACGCTTCAGACCAATTGGTTGTAATAGACAGACTTGAACATTCGTATGTCGCGGCAGCCATGAGACAGCTGGTGAGTTTTGTATGGGTTTCATACTGTCACCGTAGTCTTGGCATAGAGCTTCGTTTTCATATTACATAAGATTCCTTTGACTTGATTTAATAATCATTATATTTGTTGTATTTGTTGTAGGTTTTGTTTCTTAATCTATTTACAAACGTGGATTCCATTTGTATGCCAGTACTAAGACATCTACAGCCAGTTTCTCTGGAGTTGAAGAAGTGTTCAAGCAAGTATCCACAGCTGTTCTTCAAAGTAAGGATTTTTTAAACATCCCAGCTAGTTTATGCAGGGACCGCGCAGCAAGTTTTTGAGACGGGGGGGGGGACTATTTTTGGCTCCGTTATTTTTGTTAATTTATTTTTATTTTTGCAAAAAAGTGGGGGGGGTGAGGTTAAGCCCCCCCCACCCCCAACCCCCCACCCCCCCACCCCCAACCCCAACCCCCAACCCCCAACCCCCACCCCAACCCCCAACCCCCAACCCCCAACCCCCAACCCCCCCTCTCTGCGCGGTCCCTGTATAAGTGTTTTAGATTGCGATTGTTTTGTTTAATTCGTAAATACTTTTTCAATACAAACTTAAATAAGCGCTCAAAAAATTCGGAAATCAAATACTCTCATAATTTTGAAAGACTCGTTGTCATAAACAATAGATTTAATTCAGATTTCTGATACTTTGTGTTTGGTGAGTAATCTTGATTGCTTGAATTTGTTTCCATCAGATTGATTCTGAAGAATGGAACAAGACAGTGGGTCAGACTGTACTCAGAACATGGCAGATGGAATCTGCACATAATTATGAAAATAACCTGGATGTTAAAATGGTAAGGATTTGAGCATTTGTGTACAGCTCTTTATTGTTGTTTTTCTTTGCTCCTTTTGTCATTTTCACTCTTGCGTTAAACTCCTATGTACTCAGTATCGCCATTTTCTTAATTGTTTCAGGTCTTTAACTGTCCTGGCTGCTCGGAATTTACTGTTGACTTTGATGCGCGCTGTGAAACTGAAAGAAGGTTGGATTTTCTTAGTGCACTCATAGATTTGAATTTTGCGCACGTTTTGTTGTAATTGCAAGATAAAACCTACAGATTTAATTTTTTTAGTAAGAAGGCTCATCAACATAAATGTTAGTTTTTATGAAATCAATTTAAGAGTTCGACTTCGATGTCTTGCAGATATGATTACTTGGAATTTACAGATTCAAATGGTAACAAGAAACGCTTTGATCAGAAGGTTGACACTGAGAAGTGGCCAAAAGTGAGTGACAAGATCTTTTCTGCGGTTCCTTTCTGTCTATATCAGTGGCAGTTATTCGGATAAGTCTGCCAAATTTTTAAATGTCCGCCCTTTTTCGCGTATTTAAGACTTTTTTCCATTTCTCAGCGTTTTGATTGTTCAAATACAGTCTCTTCATCAGCCAACTGTTTTGTTTGTTTGTTTGTGCAGAGTTATACATTCAAAGCCGGAAACCGCTTGCTTTTTAATTTCCATTCAGATGGCAGTAATAACGAATGGGGATATAAATTCACGGTAATTAAAATGATGTCAAATTTCATCCTATTCTTTCCCTCCCATCCCCTCTCCCCATAGTAATCGATAGAAATATTCTGAATTTCGTCAGGTGACTGCAAAAGGTTCACCAGATGTGGCTCTATCGTGGATTTTCGACCTGCAGCTTGGAATGGCTCGTCTGTTTGGTCAGCTGTGCAGTGCGGCCTTGGATAGTAAGAAAGGTAGACATGTATAAATGACCGATATTTTAATTAGATTCTTAAAAAGTCTTATCCAATCAAATTCCTACTACCAGTCAAAATTTCATTTACGAGAGCTATCAAGCGTAGTTCATTTATCAAGTTAATTGTACAAAACAGGACCCGGTTCTTCAAAGCTGGGGTAAGATAACCCAGGGTTGGGGTGAAATCTGATCAGTTAAAAATTCAGCATCATTCTTTTTTGTACAATTTAAAGATTGGATGCTCTAAAAAGAATAGAGAAAATTATCTGAAAAAAGTTTTTGAACAAGCGAATAAAGGAACCCAGATTAAAATTTGACCCTGAGTTGGCGCTAATCGGCCTTTGAACAACTGGGCCCAGTAAATTAGAATGAACTTTGTGGGGAAAAATACTGTTTCACTCAACTATCATCTTCATTCTCGAAATAATATTTCCATTCCAAACTGTCTACAATGTGGTCATTTGACGGTGAATTTATCTCATTTAGCCTCCCCAACTCTTTCGGATGTTGACAATGAAGAAGAAACTAAGTTGCTACAAAGCGAAATTTGGACAACACTTTTCCGTGGTGGATACATGACAGGCAAGCTGCAAAGATCTCTCTCTGGTCATCATGTGAGTCATTTTCAGTTTATTTATTGCTCACTGTACTTTTACAACCCTTAAGTATTCATGACATAACCACTTTCCTCTGCTTGTTTCATAGGCAACAACAGCTTCTTCAGTAGAGAATTCCGTCAACTCTTTTTTGCACGGATTTGACGGTGGAGATAATGGAGCTAATGGAGCTATCGAAGAACTAATTAATAGGTTGGTTTGCGTTTAAATGCCTCGACAATGTGGTAATGTTTCAATGCGGTAGCTTACGTTAATCCGTTCCTGTTTATTGTCACGCTCTTTTTGAAGCATGCCGTCTAACGTGTCCTTTAGGTGTCGTGAGAAGGCTCCCGGTCCATTCATCGGAGGTCCCCTGGTAGACCAGGCCGTCAAATCTGCTTTTGCTGCCCTTATTTGGCACTCGCAGGAGTTAAGGGACCAGATAGTTCTATTTGGTGAGTAGAACTGTCAGCACTGCATGTTTCTCTACAAAGCAGTTTTTGTTTTCAAACTTCAGTGCTTTTAAATTTTTCGCTCAGTTACCTATAGGGAATATTTTAAATTTTCAGCCAACAACACTCCTCCAGAATCTGTCCCAGAAGGCGTTCAAGAAGCTTATATAACTGCTGAGTCTCTTAGGCGAGGATTGGTAAGTTTCTTTTGGTATTTCAATTCAATCTTTCGTCGTGGAGGATACTGCTGTTTGTTATTACACCTCTGTTACACCTCAGTTCTTAACCTCTTATTGTCGTCCTGTTTTGTTGCAAGGTGGATCGTCGCCAGCGTCTGATTCTGCAGGCAGAAGAGGAATCTAGTCAGGACAGCAATTCACTTCAAAAAATCATTCCTGACTCACAGGGTATGTCAGGGTTTCTACAATGCTGTGAATCATTTTTGACTTTGTGTTTATGTTTACTGAATTCCATCTTCTGTATAGAGTGACAACCTTGTCTGTATTAATCGATGTTTCGTGTTTTGTTTCAGTGATTGCCTGCAAAGAAAAGGCGCAGTTTCTTCTCAAGTTTGCAGGGCTGCAGAGGATCACTGACAAAACCTGCGAGGTACAAGAACAGATCGCCACACATTTCCTAGTCCATAAGAATAGACCTTTTCTTTAGCAATCTCTGATACGTTTAAATTCAAACTCGTTCATACATTGTAGGTTACTGCCTGGCAAGTTTCGGCCTCTGTTTCGTTTGGAAGGAGCAATCGACTTTGCATGAAACTGTTCAACATGCAAAATATTGATATTCTTTTACAACTTCAAAATTTTCGGTGTTTCGTTTTGTGAGGTGTTGGTGTTAATCTTGCGGTGGTTTTATGGCACTTGCACAGGGGAGAGAAAACAGACGATCCAAGTGGCTGAACAGAAAATCGTCTTGGCAGAGAACATCTGGCGAGCACAGTGGGAGCATTTTGTCAGGACCTCGACAGGTGAGAAATCTGCACAGTCTGCTAAATTATTGAATCAGTTTACCTTACCTTTTTGGATCCTGTTTTCCTTGCATTTACTGAATTTATTTTTTGGATACACCATAAAAGCTTTTCCTGGCGTCGCAAAGCTTGAAACAAAAGTATTATTGTTTCCGCCAGAGAACCCTGTCCATCGAAGAGATCAAGACGATAGACAAGCATCCAGCATTCAAACTTATCCTGGACTTTGTCACAAATGATTCCTATTCTCATGAAAGGTATGTTAATGGGGCTTGGGTCAGCTCAGGCTGTACAGTTATTCCTGTTTCCATCAGCTTTTGTTGTTTACATCTCTGGTTGCAACACGGGTGCCAATTGGTAGAGCCGCTCTAGTGCTTTAATTTTGATCTTTATTTCACCTTAATTTTTCTGTTCTGTTGAAGAATCCAAGCCCTACTGCAGCAGAGAGTGAAACATGCAAACAATGTGGCCGACATTTATCTCTTCGCTGCGGAGTTTCTTCGCATTTCTTCGGAAACAGATCTTGTCCAGGTGATTTCTTATGTCTCAGTAAAAAAAAAAAGACATTTCTTTCCTCAACCCATCCAATATCTAATTCTCCCTGGAGCATCCCTCACCCTTCAAGCCTGAGGTTTTTTAAAGTCGAACGTCAGGTCATCTTTATTTGAAAGCTTCAAATTTTATTAGTAGACCCAAAAGGCTGACTGAAATAAGTTATTTTGATAGCTATTTTATGTGAACCTGGGCCCGAACTGGTTTGAACCTGTCACATAGGACCACGGACACTTTACATTACTTAAACCAAGGATGTTAAAATTCGTTTCATCTTTTTTTCACTTTACAATAGCTGTATTAGTTTTAAAAAATCTTTATTGTCGAGCTTCCTGAATTGTTTTTGTCTGTTGTTTTCTTAATCCACTCAGGCCCCAGCCGTACTCTTCTTGCAACAATTCTTGGCTTCTCAAAAGTTCTTTCCGAGGTAAGACTCGCCGTTTTGATATAAACCTTGACTGAAGTATCTGTGCGCTATGAAACATTAAATGTATTACTTGTTGCAAGAGAATAAATACTGTTTGTTGTAGCAATCACAGTTTTTTAAAAAGACACTTAATTAACGACCGCTACAAATTAAACTCACGATACGGACTAAGTCGGAATAACTTAGGAACACCATAGTTATTAACATGAAATTTAAATATTCCTCCTGAGCTTTGCGAAACATTGCTCTTTCACTTTCAAACGGCCTCATTAGTTACATTACAACATGACATCTCACTTTTACATGTTTTCATGAACACTCTATACATTAGACTTGCTCAAAGCAAGTAAATTGTGTAAAGGAGCAGCTGCGAAGAGAACTGGTGATTAACATTTCACCGGTGTGCATTCTGGATCAGTTGGGGCGATCGTGGAGTGAAGTTTTTTTTTTTTATTTGATAGACATTATGCGGACAATCTTGATGGTTGTGGATTACATCTGGAGAATAAAGTCCGCCGAGCGTACTATGCGCTGGTTAGAAGATGTCTGGAGGGAGTCAAGTCTTACCATACACAAGCTTCAATTCGTAGGTATGATCACTAAACTTTAAAAGGAAATGAAAGACGCTATGGTCGTGTCAGGATGGACTGTGAAAAGAAAGGCAACGAGGAAAAGACTTCCCTGGCTTTGGTTAGATTCAAGTCACACTAGACCTAAACCGTTTGTGTTTCATTGTTTTTTTTTTGTGTGTGTGTGTGTGGCTTTTTTTTTTTTTTTTTTGGAAAGAGCTGCAATGTTCAAAACGTTTCAAAGAAATTGATTTCGTGACGAGATGATATTTTGTGTGTTGTGTCCTATTTCAGACCGAGTTCTGCAGCATTTGAATGTCTCCGAGCTTTTGTTCTCCATCTACTTGATACTGACTGGAAGGTTTGTGATTTTTTGGATTTTCTTAAGAGTCCGCGATCTTTGTACGTTTTCATGAAGTTCTTATGATATTCTTTTGTGATTGCTTATCAGGGTTACGATTACACTTTTATTCTCGATGTTCACCTTCCGGAGTTCCTTCTGGACACTGCAAAAGGTGATCACTTTCTACGCGCTCAAGATTCTGCCATTAACTTTGTGACTCGTATAAATAGAAGCTGAACAACGCTTTTCCCGAGGCTGAAGTATCTCTTGAGAAACGTAATTAATGTTTGAATGGAAAACTCTGATAGAATACGGATATGTTGTCTCGATATTATATTATCTTGCATGAGCTTTCAACGATATACCTGAAATTTTTGCAAGGGCCAATGGAACGTTGCCAAACGTTCTTGTTTATGTATTTGTTTATTTATTTTTTAATTTCAATTTTGCTGAGCAGAGCATAACCTCATTTTTAATTGATTTACTCTATAGAAAATGACGGTAAAGGTTTTTTTTAGCAATTCATTGTGCTGTGTGTATAACATTTTTTCTCAAATCCTTGTGTAGCGACCGTATTGGAACCTAAACAGGATGTAAAGGATATGAATGAACAGCAAGAACTGGATCATTATGAAGAAGGAAATGGCTGGCTACAGGAGGCTAAACGAGACATATCTTGGTTCTCTCGTCTGCAGAATGAAGCACAGACAGACCAGGAACGACGGGTTAGTGCACTTTGAAAACCACCAAACAGAATCCCCGTATGACTACATACATTTTGCCCCTGTGACGTCCCTCTCTCTCTGCTTGTTTCGTTTTTCAATTTTCTTACTCTTTGGCTTTCTTGGTTGGTTTATTTCTTTTTTACTGTAGTTAGCTCTCTTAAACATTCATAAGAAAGTGTTTAGACCCGCAGATTGTTAATTAGTAGTTACCATAAAATTCGCTTTTTTCCCCTCAGAGAATGCATCTATTTGTGGCACGTTTCTCAGATATTCTTGATGTGTCAATAACCTGTGATGGCTGTGATGTCACCCTGTCGGGCAGGAGATACCGTTGCCTTAACTGCATGGATGTTGACTTGTGTAATACGTGTTACCTAAGTGAGTGAATATCGGGCTTCATATAATAGCCCTTCCTTCGTAACATACATATTTAAGATGTTCTTCAAGACGTGAACCGGTGTCTTTTAAAGCCAACATGATTTATTTTAGTTCAGTTTCGCCAGGTATGTGATTGTGTTATATGCTGAAATTCACTTGCACTGTAATTTTTGTTGCGATGGAAGTCGGATTCTTATCAACAATTGTTTCTTCCTTCATGTTTATCTTTAAATTGTACTGCGCAGGTGGAGTGAAGCCCGAAGGTCATACAGACTCTCATGATGTTATTGACATGAGGTTAGTGATCATTACGTGATCTTATTATCGGCACAGGAAAACCATTTTAAATGGAGGAAGCATTTTACTGAACTCTTTATTGCAAAGTTATACTTCATACATCTTTACCTTCACCATTCTGTGCAGCCTCTTGCTATACATATCCCTATTCTCAGAGCTTGGATTAAGTTTGATCGAAGGCGAATTGATACTCAATGTTATTTTAGTGATAACGCGATATTTTTTTCTCAAGCTGCCAGCAGCAGCTATTTAATGACGAACCAAGGTGTGCTGAAGAGAATCAGCGAAGACAAAATATTTTAACTAGAAAATTAACATTTTACTCTGAGGTTAATGAAGTATTAGTGTTATGTGAGTAGACTCAGATTTTGGTAATGTTTTATTTTTCAGATTCAAGTGTGACGAATGTCAGAGTTTTATCGTCGGAACACGGTTCCACTGCAATGAATGTACAGACTTCGATTTATGTTTTGGTTGTCATTCATTTGGCAAGTTCCCACCGAGGTAAGCTAATTCGTCATTTTTTTAACATATTATGTCATCTACCAAAGTAGAGCTGATAATCATGTCTACCGACTGAAATTATCACTATGTTTTCTCCCAGACACTCTGCGACCCATAAAATGACCAAATTTCCACTTAAGACAGGTGAGGTAGAAGTTTTAACGTTTGAAAACGTTCAAAGTCAAACAATCTGGATATGTGGATATGTCCAGTTTTTGTCAGTAATAAAGAATGATTGCTTTAACTTTTTTAAGGTTCACTTCTAGACACAAGTGCAAACGATCCGGCGAGCCGTGTACAGCTTTACACTCATCATCACGCTTGGCTGCAGTTTACCGCGTTGGCTCTTACTTTGGCAAATTTTATTAATGAGCCAAACAAGTCTGGTAAATATATTTTTCTATACATCATTCTGTAATCAGTCGTTCTTTGAGTTTCTAAGTTTGTTACTCGCAAAGCTTAATTTTTTAATGAGACTCAAACAAGATCTACAATAAAATGAACTGGAATAAGGTTTTGTGAGAATGTACCCCGTCTGAACGTCTGTTTGCAAGTACGCGATGTTACATATACAAATCCTTTCTTTCCATCCTGGATCCGCCATGGCTTTTGTTAATGGTCAATTTGAATTGACCGAAGAAGATTCATTTTGACCAATTCATTGACCAGCTCCCAGTTGGCTTGTTAGCTCAATTGGTAGAGCGCTGACTCGGTATCGCAGAGGTCATGGGTTCAAATCCCGTACGGGCCTGTATTTTTTTCAGCTCCTATTTACAACTACTCGTTTCAGTAGTGTTCTTAGCTGCGAGGATCTCCTAATTTCATCTCTCCACCGCAGTGCAAATATGTGAAATTTTCATATATCTAAAATCTTCATTCATTTGGATGTTTATTTGTACCCAATTCATTGACCAGCTCCCAGTTGGCTTGTTAGCTCAATTGGTAGAGCGCTGACTCGGTATCGCAGAGGTCATGGGTTCAAATCCCGTACGGGCCTGTATTTTTTTTTCAGGTCCTATTTACAACTACTCGTTTCAGTAGTGTTCTTAGCTGCGAGGATCTCCTAATTTCATAAAATTTTTGTTTTGTTAACTTGTTTGTTTGTTCATTTAGTTTTATTTTGTTAGTTGTGAGTTTAGATTATCTCCGTACCGCTGGCCATCTTCACATGGACTGCCTGTCTTTGGTGACTAAGTGCCTAAGCCATGCCTGCTTTAAAGCACAGACCGGTATGTAAATGTTACGTTGGAATAAATCTCACCTTAGTTCACTTAAATTTCTGTTTAACCCTTTAACTTACAAGATCTCATTAGTAATTCTCCTTACTGTCTACCATATAGTTCTTGTGATGTTAGTATTGCGAATTTGGAATTGGATCATTGATATTTTCCCTTATTCTCATTACCTGTTTGCTTGACATTGTACTGATAGTGAAAGGAGAAATTCTGTCCAGGTCACTAGTGGGACTTAAAGGGTTAAACACCCGCATAGTAAAAACAAAAGGAAAGGATTGTCTCGACAATTAGTTTCAAGTAGCCCCACTCAAACTTACCTACAAGTAACGTCTGTAGTAAGATTTTTTGTGACATCAACCTCTTGGGTTGTATTAAAACCTTAATGCCAAAAGATCCTGACTTGTATCTCTGTGTCCACCAGTGTTTTTTGGTTTTTTTTTGTTTTTTTTTCTTTTTTCGCGTAGTGTGGCATTTATTATGTTTTCATCTTGTAGGTGAGGATGGCACTGAATGTGGGGCATCCTCTGGGAAGGAAGTTGTTTCTGTTTCTGCTCATGAATCAATTCCAGAAGGAGAGAGTACACATGACGTTGAAGGAGCGGCGACCATAAATACGGCTGCTGTAGCTACCGCTGTCGCTGCTACTGCATCTGCTGATGTTATGGCGATAGATAAGGATGCATGTCGATCATCAGGAGATGAACCTCACCAAACTGAAGCCAAAGATCATAAGGATACGGCTGCTGTAATGGAAGAAAAGGTACTTACGGAAGGAATTTCTGAAGTGGACACAAACACAGCAGGTAGTGATGGGACAAATGAAGGTGTGGTGATTAACGAAGGGCCTTCATCTGAGAGTAAAGTGGAAGGATCTGCTACACGGCAAGACATAATAACACAAACCATTGAAGATGTTGAAACATTGTTTGCCAGCAAAACGCACGAAAGACTATTAGGACTTCTTGGGGCTGTTCTTCCGCAGGATTCAAAGGTGCAAACATGATGTTATATCTACTGGGTTATCTTCTTAGAGAAAGGAACTAGCTACTAAGAATCGGAATACTTTTAACTCGTTGATCAACGAATGCTTCTTGATTTTTATTTCGCTGAAGAGTTTGATAGTTAGTTACCTTTTCCTCGTAAAACGCTTGTGCCTGCAATCGTCAATCGTTCTTCACCATTGGCGAAAAAAGCATTAAAATTTAGTTTTATTGTTTCTTATGTTATCAAGTGGTAAGAGGATAAGAGTCACTGATGTAACTGGGATAAAAATATACTCTGAATTTTCTTGTTATGTAATCGCTGTATGTTTTTTCCTCTCCTCAGTTCAATCGCTGGACATCTTACTGCTCTGGAGTTGAAGAGTTTATATCGGACAAATTTCTTCCAACGTTGTTTAAGATTATTAGGTGCGAGCCATTTTTAATTCTCGTCACGAGAAGATTGAGAAAAGTAATGCTGAAGTGGTGTTGTTTTTTTTTGAGCAGGGACGGCGAATGTGACGACAAAACGAAAGCTCTTGCCCTTGGAATTCTTGGAAAGTTTTTGCAGTGCACCAGCCCTGTGGTGAGTGTTGTTTCTTTTAATGGGTGTGTTTGTTTGCCATTTGAGGCTGCGTTTCCATGTTGTGATGATTGCAGTGTACACTCCACCAAACAAGCATTCTTTACTTTGTTAGTAAATTCTTTTAGATACCTCCCAGAAGACACAAAACAGAGATATCGCCAGGCAAAGTTTTTGCCACGTCCCACTAAAGGGTATATGTTGTTATAACCACGGTCAGGGTTACAGCACCACCTACCCTTTTGATTTATTGTATTTTATCCCAGTGTGGTAAAGTGTTTTATCTTGGTGATTCTGACTTCTGCGTTATCGATAATTCGACAGTCTCCATTACTGACTGAATTATTTCTTACTGTGGTATTCAGGTGTCTGATCGTGGTGTATCGCTCTTTTACACTTTACCTGTCAAGACGGAAAGTGAGATCAGCAATAAAGAGGGATCATCAGGAAACGCCACTGTTGAGTTTCTCTTTCACCTTGGAGCAGAGTATTTAGCGAGGTGGGTATTATCATTTTGATGTATCAAAATGAAAATCATAATCACAGAGTGATGAACATATATATATATGTATGTATATATATATATATATATATATATATGTATGTATAGGAACGTTCTCTTTAACTGCCATCTTTCACCCAGGCCAAACAAGAGATTGAAGGAAATTCCTAACTGCTTTTGATTTACTGTTACCTCAAGGCTTCGAAATGGTATATTTTCAATCTTTGGCGAACTCGCTTTGTTATTATTTTCTTTGGATATAACGAAAGAGGCGAAAGGATTAACAATCGAATTTGTCCGTTAATTTGTTTGGTTGGTTTGTTGCAGATCTGATCTTAATGCGTCCTCGTGTATGGCATCCACATTACAACAATTGGCAAGTTCATCTCACTGGCAGCCAAGTGTAGCAGATTATGTTGGAATGTGTCTGGAGCGTTTGGCTCAACCGACTGAGGTAAAAGATTCACAAAGTTTTCGGCCCTCAAGTAATGTAACGTTTTTATGCTAACGTATCTGCTGATTTTCAAGTTATCCTACTTATTTATTTGCAGAACGTAGATTTAAGTGCATTGTTTGGACTGCTTGTCTTCGCAAGATTTCCTGATGTAAGTCTACTTTACTTGAAGGGCGATAAGTTGGGACAATAAGTACAACTTTTATATCAAGACTGGATGAGAAGTGACTGACGGAGGGGAAGCTCGATACTGGTTCAACAGGGCTCTTAAGCGTATTTTCTTTTATTATTGTCTTTTCAGTTTGTTCGTATGGGGTCCGTGGTTGAAATGAAGGATCCAAGTGGAGAGAAGCGGAGAGCGGTTGTGTTCAAATATTACCTTGATAAAGGAAGTGTTACAGTAATTGATGTCAAATCTCGTAAAAGGAAAACGGTAAGAAACTCTTCTCACTTGCTCTCGTACCAAACACTTCGCTTTGACGCACAAATTTTTATTCATTAACAGGTCAAGGAGCACCTTTTAGAAGAATCCTCTTCTCTAAGTGAAACTTTCAAGACTTCAAGGTTTTCTGTTCTTCTGGACATCGTCGTAAAAATTCTTCATCTTCTTAAAGATAGTAAGTCTTCAAGCCTTCACATGCAATTGCTCTTTAGGTTAAGTTCTGTAGTTGGCGCTGCATTTGTTGGAGCCACTTTCAACCAAGGAACCTCACAATCTAAAGAATTTGATTTTTTTTTTAACAGAAAAGACTGTTCCAGTGGAGAGAATGTGGGTTCTATATCTTGGACTGAAGGGCCTACTTGGTAACATTAAGGTATTCTGATATTTAACACGTTTTAATTTAATTTAAATGAATATGATGAATGTGCTGACCCAGTCAATCGATTTTGAAACACGTTAGTCAGGGAAGAAGTCGTGTCTTTCGAAATAATCTTGCGCCAACATCTGCCACAAAGTAGCTCAGTTTGGGAAGTTTCTATTATTATAGTTTAGAGAAGCACTATCTACAGCTTGATTAGAACTCGTAGCAAAAGCATCGAATGCATAATTGTTTCCGTTTAGGTATAAAAACTCTCATAATTTTTCAGGCAAATTCAAGTTTAAGTCTGAATTCAGAGATGGTGGCCAGTGGTATCGTTCCTTTGCTTGTTAATATCGCCTGTCAAGGGACTACATTCAGCAGTCAGTGGATTTTACGAGATTTGGAGGCGAGTATAGCCATTAGCAACAATCATTTCTTCAGAGCGTTCTACTACAAATTACAAAAAAGCAACATACAGTTGCTAAAAAGACATTTTTCTCCATCTTAAAAACACAATGGGCCGATTATTTTAACGAAGTTTACACAGTGTTTACGAAAATCGTAGTCTAACCATTGTTTAAAACATAAAAACCGATTATTTATACACTGTTTTACCTCAACGGTGCTAAGATCAGGTCTGAACACCGACTGGAGAACTATAGCGAGTTAGACCTACTCGCAGGCAAGGTAACACGCAGTTTACTGGGGGTGGGTTAGGGGGGGAGGGGAGCAGATATAGCACAGTGATGAGTATGCTTGTCCCCATCACTCAGGTTCGGGTTTGATTGCTGGAGTTTCTCGTCAATCTTGATTGCTCGGAGGTTTATCTTTAGATACTCCGGTTTTCCTCCCTCCCAGAAACCAACACTCCGAGTTCCACTTCGACCGCTGATAACAGTGGACTTAGAACCACCTCGTGAATTTGCCAAAATTTCATATCCCTGTCATTTATCTGTTTTGTTATCACTATTATTCATTCTTATGGTTAAGATAGTGACATTTTCTGCTGAATGAAGCCAGCCTTTTTAATACCAGCGGAATTCTAATCCAATTGCTATCTGTTGTCACTAAAACAGGTGTTGTCTCTCAAATTGTACAAGTCAGAGCGATTCACCACACCATCTCCATCTAAACCGGCTGAAAAAGATGAAAGTAAAACGACATCGAAGACTTCACAGGAAGCTGAACCAACAACAAATGATACCTCTGCAACGGTAGAGACAACAAAGACAAATAATTCAGTGAAAGAAGAAGAAGAAGGCGGGGGTGATCCCTTTGAAGGGCTTGATGATATCACCAAGACGTGCTTCGAGGTTTGTACTCTGTTAATGCGAATCTTGGCTCACCTATCTTGATAATGATTCATAATTTTTATCTTTATTTATGGATTTGGACTTCTTTTCATCTTTCATAGACTATCTACGAGGCGATGAATGTTCCTTGTTCCGTACTTAGAGCCATTTATGAGAATGTGGAACATGATCAAAGCCGGCTGCTGGAAGAAGTGCAGCGAGGGTCAGTAACTTAATGGGGCAAAAATCTTCGAATTCTAAGCGATTGTAGAAGATATTTAACAATCTGATTTTTACTTTGTGGTGCGTGGTTTTCTTGCTCTTCTTATCCTGTTCTATCAAGAATCACCAGAATTCACGTTCGATTAAGACGTTCGCGAAGTTAGGTAGGTAGGATGATTCTGTGATGAATAATGATTGACTCATCACGCAACATTCGTTCCACTCAAAAGAAGAGGGGAACCTGGAGCCTGGAGCCTGGAGCCTGGAGCCTGGAGTAACGTTTTGGAAAAGGAGAATCGCTTTACCCAGACACAAGCTAAGACGGTCAAAATGTCTCGTGACCCGCACATGGACTGATAAACAATACTGCCATGTTTTTTTTAATATTCCAGGTTTGATGGCGCAGGTTTTCAAGTATCGGACGAGGTTAGAGAACAAGCTAAGAAGTGGTAAGTAAGTATTAATTCATTTTGCCCATTATACGCACTTGGTTCGAAGCCTCTTTCAATTACTCGGTTGGTTGGTTGTTCATTTATTTGCTTCATTGCCTTTTTATTCTTCGGTTAGCTAAAATGTAAAATGCTCAGATTTGTTTTTAATCTCTGCACGATTGTTTTCTTTTTCTTTCTGAAGTTTTGCTTCTCTCATCAGGGAAGCTATCCAAAAGAAACCTGATGTGAACTCGGCGCCAGGCCCTGTTGTTGACGTTGGAGTTGTTCGTTATACGACCAGTGAGATATTACCAAAGAATGTCCAGGCCAAAGCTGAACAAAGCGAAGCGGCTCAAAAGTTGATTCCTTCGCTTAGTGATGCGGAAATTGAAGAGGTAAGTATTACTGCGTCAGGCCACGAAAGCGTTTCACACGATAAAAGAAACTTGAAGTAAATACTTTTTTTTTTGGACATCCTTGATTCTTTTAGACTCGCGAGAAGCAGGCTCGCACTAAATCAGCTGAGTTGTTAAAGAAGGAACTCGAAAGTGAAGAAAACTTGGGAAGTACAGAGTATCTTACCAAGGTAAGGATGTCTTTGCTGTTTTACTCTCATTGCTGGTGTTGCAACTTGCCTTACCGACTTCTTTATTTGTAAACAGTGATAGTAACAAAGATAAATTCAAAGAACCCGAAAGTGTTGAATTCGTCATACAACCTCAAAATCAAAAGCGTCCACGCAGCGTTAGCGATTCCATTCCCTTTTCAGCAATTACGTGTCCATAATAAGATTGCGTGATCTCAAAACTAATCACAACATTCTTAACGAACTGTAGTCCTTCACTAATAAACATTAACAAGTGGCTACTTATTTGTTTATAGTTTGAAGTATGATAATATTAAATAATATTTATTATTTGTAACGCTCTCTGATGCTTTTATTCCTGATATAGGTTAATCTTGCTCTGTCAGTGATCTACTCGCGGCATTTGATCGCCATTTTGCTGGGACAATGGCCACAGGGTCATGTGATCACATCTGAGCTGATGGACAACAGTGATGAAGTACAGTTCATTGGTTTGCTGGACATATTACAGAGACTGGAGAATAAAGAACTGTTTGAAAAGGTATGAGACCTGCCTATCCACTCTTATAACCTCAGTTCTTTACTAACGGTATTTGTTTTACTTTAGTAGAAATAAAGATGTTTGTGCTTCTTCATGACTTAAAATCTTTGAGAATTTTATATGAAGGAATAATCCCTAAGCCTCTTGAAACAATATATTTTAAAATGCTTTCTCTTGCAAAGACGACATAATGTTTGCATAAATTTCTTCACTTTCATGCTTTCTTTCTCCAAGGGCATGTTACATTCCTCCCAAGACTCCATCCCACACTATCCCCCCCCCTCTCCCTCCTAAGGAAGCCTCCGCTGGTCTAAGCCTCACCCTCGTAAAATTACCCCTGTTCCACTGCCTGCCACCTGGCTGCACCCACCAAGTGCTAAACAACACTGTATCTGCTATGTCAGGTGGTGAGTTCAGTTGTACAGTGTGGAGACCCTAAACTGGTTCATCCTTTGTCTCTTGCTGCCGCTCACTGCATGGGTGAAGTGACTCTGTCAACTGAGACCAGAGAGTCTGAACATAAGTATCCGAATGATACAGTGAACGAGGTAAGACTCCGCACTCAATGTTTTGGGTAATTTTTTTACTGGTATCATCTTGATAGGAACAACTTTATGTATTTCCGAGAATCTTTTTATGGACATCATCTTAACTTAAGATAAAAAAAATCTTAATACAACATTATACAGATATGTGAAAGTGACAAACGCATCTGCTGCCCTTTTTTGTTTGTTTTTTTTTTTTTACGCGCTTTTTTCCACGTTGCCCAGAGATGCGCTTGGCCTTGAGAGACAGTCAGTTAGTGAGTAGGCTCTTTGCTAGTCCCATCTAAGTCCCCTACTAATGGACTTAGTGTCTCGAGACACTTCTATATTTCCACGTTTCTTTCGCGTTTAAGCAAAGGTGAGTTACAGCCGCCTCTTCTTATTCCATATACAGGGAAAAGTACACATTCCTGGCGCTGCTACCCTCTTTGTCAAGTTTGATCCAAGGTGTGTGACCTTAATGTATTGTTCTTTAACTTTTTATAAGTTAATTTTTGGTCAAATCCAACGTGAATTTGTTTCATTAATGCACAACCATCAAATTGTGAAACAAATTTGTCATTTTTGTTCCCTTTCTTGCCTTTTCAGATGTTCCACCGAGGATGGATGCGATGAACTGCGGATTGCATCCTCAGCTGACTATGAACAAAACAAACACGTGTTTTCTGGTCCCAGTAGTCGATGGATTGATTTGGAAATACCAGGTTTGTAAAGCATCATGGACTAGACACAGATGATCCGATCCTGAACGTGAGGAATAAATACATTTTTAAAACTTTATGTTTTGTTTCAGGTGACACTTTGTATTACATATTCACTTCCGACAGCAGCACCAACGACTGGGGCTGGAAATTTGTAGTCACTGGCGGCCAACTGGGAAGGTAATGGCACTGACACATTGCAAAACAACACCTCAAGGAGTGACTCACACTTCGGATAGAAATGCATCTGTTCTAGAGTGCTATCTGGCCATTGAATAATTGGATGAAAGGTTTTTTTTTTCCTTTTTTCACGTATGTCTGAACTTTAGAGGGGTTTTGTTTATGCTTTCTTTTAGATTCAAGACTGGCTTTACAATGCTGAATGCTATGCTGTCACTGGATAACAAAGTTGCCAGGTATTGCTTGATAGAGCCAAATTTTTGTCCTCCAGCAAACCCCGTATGTGCTTTCATTCTCTTTAAGCAAACTGATGTTAACATGGGTGGTTTTTTTTATCATTGAATTGAATTTCTGTCACTGATGGGCTGATTTTGTTCATTCCCAGGTCCTTGCCAATCAAGACGTTATGGGTTTGGTTGGTATCAGTAGCCTGCTGCCAGACTGGTCAGCAGCGTCTCATGGCGACTGGCTTGCTGCTGCGACTACTGTTAGTCGTGTCAGGGTAAGACATGTATCATAGATCGGTCTTTAGACAAGGAGCAACTCATTTTAATATCACATAACAGTTAATAAAAATAAGGTTCCTGCTTGTAGAGTTGAGAACTCTGCATGAACAGATGATACGATTATGTAATATCCGTGGTTCGTAATTTTTTTCCATGGCAGACAAGTGTTGGAGAGAGATGGGTCGTGTTCAGTTCCAATGGAGACAAGTGATCGGCCAGACCTGAGTTTGTTGAGGCCCCTGTGGTCTCTTTATACCAGCATGTTGGAAAAGGAAGGAGGTCGGTATACACAACGCCTTTTTAATTTTTTGATTAATCACTTATTTGTACCAATTCTTTAAGAAACCTTTTTTAACCCCATTTCTAGTAGCTTAAACGACTAGAGAACTTTTAATTACGTATAATATATTACTTTTCGACATGTAACGCATCAACCCGGTGTTGTTTTCCAAACTGTTGTATTTTTGTATTTATCCCTTTAAGCCAATCAGTGTTGCCCATTGAATGATGTTCCTCTTCTATCAATAGGTTCTGGATCAGTTCCTACTTTGGTGTCTCCAGTACTTCGAGGACTCACTGAACTCTTTTTGATGGTGGAAAACCTCGCACAGGTCGCTGTAACAATTTACTGATTATCTTCTTAATCTACATATGGTTATATAATTGTAAATATTGTTCTTTCTGCAAAGTTCTTTACTTTCTGACTGATTTTACATTTTACTTTCCTCAATTAGGACTGGGGCACGGCTGAGGACCTCGTGGTTGGTTTTACAACAAATGAAAGTTTGAAGCGATGCTTCTCACAGGTAAATAAAGATAATTAGAAAAGTTACCGGCTTTAAACTTTTTCATCCTAAGATCAGTATGCACATTCTCCATACTGTTTTCTATATATTTCCCAAGGTGCTTACGAGGAGAGTTTGCTTAATAATCAAAAGCTCCGGTATTTGTTGATCGTTTCCATTATTCTCATGAATTTAATGTTCGATTCAGGGGGGATACTGTGAGGAGAAATTAGAGGCTAGTCACTCTTAGGGGTTAAAGGGTTAAAAGGAAATACAATAACTAACAAATTACTTTATTATCTGGAAACTCTTGGAAGGGAGTTGCTTACCACTCAGAAATCCTCATTTACAGTCTTATTTTATCGATGTTTGGAGAAATTAACGCAATGCTCAGAAATAAATTTGTGACTTCGTTGAAAATTTTTAAAGGGACACAGCTGTAGTAAATAATTACACATTAGTTGTCTCACTCGCCATAGGCCGTGCAAAAGGTTGGTCTCATTGGTCTTGCTATTGGACAAACAAACAAGGCTTCTGAAGCCCTTATCAAGGCTGCCTCTAATCCACAACCGAAGGCGGATGAATCCAAAAAGGTACGGAAATCCGTTCTGTATTCAGACTTTGTATGTTGATAAAAGTTGAGCAAGTCATACATTTTCATCTTTCTCAACAGGAGAAGTCAAAGGTAGACTCCTCTGTAAGGTGAGTCAGCGATCTCCTGGCTTTTGAAGGATTTCGCCATATTATCTCAGTGACTTTTGTTGAACACAACTGATATGTTGTATAGTTATTCTAATTATGCAGCTGTTTTTAGATTTGATCTTGAATATTAAAGAACGATGCTCTATGGTGTTCACTTGATGAAATCAGTTTTAGGTCCTCGTTATCTCACGAATCATAGAAATGAAAACCTAACTTTTAAGAATTATATTGACATTCCACTTCACTTGAATTGGCACAAATGTAGTTTCCATCCTGTTACAAGTTATTTTCTGTGATATTCAGCTTCCAGCTACCTTTTCCTATCACCATTGGCGGGGATGATAATGAAGATGACACGACAGGAGATGGATCCAGTGATGACTCGGACGATAGCAGCTCCTCTGACTCCTGGAACTGATCACGTGACTCAATGTCACAACACGGACTGGCTGTCAATTCATTTATTTGAAGTCACGTGAACACTATTCTGAGGAAAGTGAAATGATTCAAGAATTAAACATGATCATTCTGAGGATCACGTGTACTCAAAGGATGAACAGAACCATCAAGTAGTTCAATTTCTCTGATCTATTGGGTAGTGGCTTGATTTGGTATTTTAATCACTGCCTTAAAAACAGATATGTATGGATGGACAGTGATTCTTAATGGAAACTGAAATCCTAGGTTTGAATGATGCTATTAACTGTCAGAGAATGAAAAAACTGGCAATCATTTTCGCAGGTTAAACAGGAGTTTTAAATCCTGTTTTTGTCAACATAGACATTCAATATTGCAGTTTTATAACGTCAATCAGGTTATCGGCCCTGAATCATCTTTAATTTTCAAAAGCGCAGACTAAAATTGAAACTCAAGTGTACCACCTCGGCATGGTACGTCGACCGATCCTCTGAACTTAAATTGGCTATTATTGTTACTTCCACTGTTACTGTTACTTCCGCGGGGTCAAGTCACGTTTACTCGCTGTGGCAATGTGTAACTCGATGAATGTAATTCATACCCTTATCTTGAGACCTAAAGATGAAAGAAGTTTCGAAGAGTAATCTGCACTTAATCAAATCCAAGATTAGTTCTTATGCTAGAGCGCTTTAGTTGAGAATATAAAGAAAAACTGACGTAAAGCGATGAGCTTTTCAGGCAATCACCCTAATAGAATTTTAGTAACGCTACTTCTCTGTATTGAATGACGTACTCATTTGGCATTCAGTGTAGTACAATATTTCTGAATAAAGACACTTCGTTGGTGAAGAAAAATTCTCGCTTGTTACGTTTGTTATGGAAAGGAAATCAGGTTTTCAGTTTGCTGGTGAATTCTCTGGTAAGCACGTCGAAACTGTTCAAAGGAATAGTGGAGGCTTGTGAAAACGCCTGATAAAAATGTGTCACATCTTTTCATTATAAGATAACGAACACTTATGAAAACACTTTATTGTGAGCGTGTTTTGTTTGCCCTTTATAATAGAGGTTGCACCAGTGGAATCGCCTTTTGTCACCTGTCAATCAATTTTTCAGGACGTAAGTTTCCCGCGCAAATTTGTTAGCAACTTTCAATGAAGTCGGCGGACATGACAAAGAATTCGTTTCGTGCAATCCCACAGAAAAAAGTTGGGAAGTGAATCTGAGTGTTTTGATTGTTTGATAACCTCGCCTGGAAAGTATGAACAAATTTTCGGAGGAATTCCGACGATGTTACCGGAAAAAAGCTTCATCCTCTAGCTGTGGACATACGAGAAAACTCTGAGTATAGCGAATTGTGGCTTTGTAGAAACGTATAACCTGATTACCACCATCTAATACTATTCATCAAAGGAGTTCAAAGAAATTAACTGAGGAATTAAATGAAATCTTTAATAATTTGTTTGAGAAAACTGGAAAGGTTGATGTTGAAAACAAATCACTCACCCAACTAAAGACCACCTATGTTTGATTCAATTCTGTTGACATTCTTCAGACACTCTGTTTCAACAAGAACTACTTTCCCTTGCTGGATCCTTTGTCTTCAAACGCAGAAGCAAAAAATGGGTGCAAGCTCATCCGTTAGGGATATCGTTTTAGAAACTAGTCAACAAATTAAAAGGTATGTTTAGGGGAGGAGGGGTTACGAAGGGAGGCGGAGGCTGGTGGGTGCATGTGAAGCATGCCGGAACTGATGTTATTCTGTGGGTTTCATTTATTTTGTGGACCAAACACTCTTAAAATGGTATCCCGCTCTTTATGTTAAGAGCTGTGTTCCCTCCATACTTGCTACTGTTATTTCTTTAATTAATTTTTTTCAATCGTCCTAAACAATTCACGTTAGTATAGATTAGACTGCACGTTCCAACATGGGTGTTACCGTGATAGCATGGCTTGTTCTCAACGCTTATTTCACGCTGTGGTTTAAAATATGTTTATTCATGACGTTTATGTCTATTTTATGTAAACTTAACAACGCTAAACTAAGTAAGTACTTTTATCAGCTCATTAATGAATCAAAATGCTACATAACTGCGTTAGTACTATGGTATACTCCACATTAAGGTTAAGGGAACTTAAATACTCAAGTTACATCGCAAAGGGTGAGGCAACGATCTAACCATGCAAGTGCCGTGAGAGAAAAGTAATATATGCAAAGCTTTGTTTCAGGCATGATAATAGTTGAATTAAACAAGGCAGCAGTCACGCCATCTTACAATGAGAAAATTTCCTAAATTACAAAGGTTGTTACTCCACTGAGACACCCAGAACAGGAAATCTAAATCGAGAGGAATGTTACTTGAAATCCATCAAATAATAATGCATCACCATTTTCATATCTTGATTGTTTGGACCCGGTTCCTGTTCCAAAGATCTTTCGTCTGCAGACCCCGACCATGCCGGCATATCTTGTTTCCCAAAGTATCGAATGGTGCACCTTTCGCCAAAATTCTCAGTTATACTCTTCTCGGAAAGAAACTTGAATTGCGTCGGCATATTCTCTGGAGACTCAGGAGCAAAGAACTCAAGAAAATAACGGCCATCTGGCTTGAGGCAGCTGAGCATGATGTCTGTGTACTGCTTGAGTCGACCTTCCCTCATCATGTTGATTGCGGTCATGGATCCGCGATCCCAGATAAAATCAAATTTACCTCCAGCTATCTTGGCCGAGAAATCGAAGATACTACACTCGTACAGTGTGATATTCTTTCCATTGTTTTTGAAAACGGTACCTTGATTCTCAGGAGACAATGACACGGACTTCTCGTTGTAGGTCAACTTGTTGTCACGAAAAAATAACTCGATTCCCTTCCGGATCAGTTCAACACCTACAACTGAGTGTCCTTGATCGGCTAACCAGATCATGTCCAAGGACTTTCCACAAAGAGGCACCAGGACTCGGAGATTTTTTCTTCCACGCGTAACTTCGTCATGATGTTTTGTCAACATGGCGTTCACTTCGTCAGTGTGAAATTCAGGGTTGTCGGTTTCCCAGTCTTGAGCCCATGTCTCTTTACTTTCCATGTCAAATGAAGCAATGTGTTCTAAGTTTTCTTTAGCATCCATTTCCACCGCTTATTTACTCCAGGCACAAAGATCGAGCTTTCTGGAGTTTTCCAACGAAGACGCTAATAAAAATACTCAGTGCTAGTTGAGACTTGAGTCAAAGAGAAGACTGGAACCAACCAACCAACCAACATTTACGCATCTTCTTACCGACGACCAAGTCACGAAAGAAGCCATTTTTCTTTCTGTGATTGATAGCGGTGGTGATTGCGTTGGTGATTAAGGGAAATTTGCTTTCTTGTATCTTCTGGCGTGATTTTTATTGCGTGTCGTTATATTCTTGACAAACTGAAAACGGATGTAGCCAATGTCACGCGACGATACTGTTTAGAAACGTTCGCACTACTGAATGAATAGTAGATTTTATGTGTGTGCGTAAGTTAAAGCACAGCTCTGGTTATGTCAACTGAATGAAGTATTTGTGTTTTTTGAATAAAAATTACGTTTACATGGGAAGATTAGGTTTTCCTAGCCCTTTTATTTGGGTTTAAAAGTCAAACTTCGACAACTACACGAGTTTCTTTGGATTATTTTGACTTTTGGAAGAACTTTCAGAGAATTGAGTTTAGAAATTAAGTAGGCTATTTCCAAGGTGATTTTTCATACCAAATCTGAAGTGTGGAAAATTGACGTTTCATTGTAGTCTCGTATACCATTGTTCAATGATTGCATACGATATCTTCAATTTGACAAGAAACGTCATCTTTCGAAAAGCTTTATTAATATGAAAAAGTCGGTAGAAATTAATATCACTCATGGCGGAATATATAACATTTAATTTACTGCGCTCGCTTCTACCTCTTTATAGGCTAAATTAAGGCAGTTTTTCTGTTTTTGTAAATCTTATTAATTTTTTTTTAACTCGTACTTAGACACAATTTTCAGTTTCCATCGGCTGTTGAAATAGCGCTTTTGCTCAATTTCCTTTGCATCAGAGAACAAATAGAAATTTTTTCTTTTAATTTAAATAGCAATACAATAACGAAAAAATTATGTCTTTCTGGAGATCAACACAATAATGAACCTTGGAAAGGGAAAATTCTATTTACTCTGGCTTTAATGAAATATTTACGAAGAAATAGGTTTACCTGCGCCATTTTTTTTTATGTGAAAAATCTTACGAGTGTCATGAGGGAATTCCTGTGTGACGCGTTTCTGCGATTCTTATCCTCAGGCGATGATGTTGAGGGATTTTACTCGACTATTGTCACTAATTGTGTTTTGAACAGCTTCTTATCTTACACAGCTGTTATGCTGAACTTTGTGACAATTTATGCAATAACCAAAACTTCGTCACTATTAGGACCTTTGAGAATGTTACTGAGAAGTCTTGTTGTTTCTGATCTTGGTGTGGGTTTGCTTGTGCAGCCTTTTTACGTAGCACTGATGGTCATGACGCTACAAAAACAGCAGGCAACATGTATTACTTACTCTGTCTTTGCTGTTGTTGTATACATTTTTTCCGGAGCTTCGTTTCTGAGCATCATATGTGTAAGCGTGGATGGATTCTTGGCAATACGGCTGAATTTACGGTACCAAGACCTTGTGACTTCCAAACGTGTCACTGTTGCAGTGATCTTAGTTTGGCTGTTATGTTCCACATCATATCCATTAATGTTCGCTATACTTCCACCGAGAACTGTTCACATTACATTCGTTTCACTCGGGTTAGTCTGCATTCTACTTAATTCTATGGTGTTTTTGAACATCTATTTCATCGTGCGACGCCACAGCAGACAGATTCAAGCTCAGATACAACAGCTGTCGCAGAATGGTGCAATGTCAAATACTGCAAAGTACGGAAAATCTGCACTTAGTTTGTTTTATTTGTACCTTCTTTTCTTAGTTTGTTATTTGCCACAGCTTTGTGCTTTTATCGTAATGATAAAAAATGGAAAGTCTTCGTGGAGAATGCGAAACGTTCTCACTTTCACAATGACTTGGGTATTTTTAAAATCATCTTTAAACCCTGTTATTTGTTTTTGGAAGGTGAGACATATCAGGCGTGTCATAATGATTTCTCTACGTAAATTACTACCAACTTGAGAATCAAGATTATCCATATCGTGAGATCGCTATAAAATGATACTATGGTTATCAGTGGATTTTCTTTTATATTCACGGAAATTATTTAATTCGTCTGAATCAATGTATTGAAGGCTAAATTATTAATCTAAATCAATCAGTTAGTTCTAACAGATATCATGAGGCTTTCCGAATTCTCAAGACGACTGCGATCTGCTTGGTTGTTAGGCTTAAAAGTCACTTAATTAGCTACATAAAAAAAAATTAATTAATTAAAAAAGCAGTCATGGTAGTAGGTTGCGTATTTTTGTCATAGCTTGTAAAGCGATTTTTCAAAACTCCAACAACATATCACAAAAAGTTGACTGTTCAATAACGAGATGCAATTTGATTACCCTTTCCATAGGGATATACAGTCAAACCTGTATTAAGCGGTCACCCGTGGGAAATGACGAAGTCAATGAAATGAAAGTGAGAAGGATATTCTGAGGTGGATTTCTATATCTCAACTGCTTTTCTTCTATCATTACATTTGTATCACTTCCATCACTCCCTGAAGTACAAATTGAAGTTGAGTTTGCTACGAATTTAACGGCTGTCGATATGTGTTCGTGTGATGGAGATTGTGTGCGTAAATATCTAACAAGCAAATGTCCGTATGAGTGATGATAGCAAATCACAAGTTGGTAACAAAAAAAGTGTAAAAAAAAAAAGGTCATTGCCGGGTTGATTCGTGAGTGTGCTGATATTATTTCAGGCCCGTTATGTGATTTGTTTAATAAATCCTTAATGTCACATTGAAAAACCGGTGTAAAAAGATCGCTTCCGCTTTTGGAGCCATAAAGCGAGTTAAGACATTTGTGCCTCAATCCACCCTACTCAATATATACAACTCACTAGTTCAATCTCACTTTGATTACTGCAGCCTAGTCTGGGGTAATTGTGGCAAAACATTATCTAACAAGGAACAAAAACTACAAAACCGTGCTCCACGTGTAATAACTTCATCAAACTATGACGTAGAAGTCGATTGCTTGTTTCACAAACTCAGTTGGAAAGACACTCAAGAGAAATTTCGCATGTCCGCGCGGCCATGTAATATCCTTGATCTATTTTAGCTTGACTGACTCTATGCATTGGCATGTCTTTTGGGATTTACTTTCCCTAAGGTTTTCAAATACTTTTAAAAATTTGGTCGCCCTTTCTGATATTCAAAGATGTGGTTTAATTTTGTTGAAACAAAAGTGTATTCAATTATTAACAGGAATTATTTAGCTCAGGTTGTTACCTCCTGTATATCTATTATTTAACTCACATTCGTCTACCAAAATCACAGAAAGGCACCATCTGTGAACAACAATAACAACAACTTTTTCCGTGTAAAGAAAAATAACACATGACTTTTCTGGTTTACTTGAAAATTTGCCTGACAATAGATAAAGTAGGCTATCAGCTGGATCCTAGGGATCACTCTGGGAAACGGACACAAATTCTCACGTAGTTGAATAATACAGTTTTCACTGGTTCCAAACGTTCTATGTTTGTGATGTGAACTGGGCACATAGTTGTAACAGCAGCCTCTTATGTCATGCTAACCAAGGACATGAGATACAAAATGCAGAAAGGTAACACTTCTTAGCCCTGATTTATGTGGCGTATATTACACTTATCTGTATAGCTCTAGAAATTGACTTAAAAATATCTAAGACTATTCAGCTATACGCGGTTATAAGACCCCCTTTACTTTAATTATAAGTCATGGATTCCAAGAGGAAGTTGTTTTGGAAATATTTCTCTCATAATTCTGCATTTGTAAAATTTATAGAAAGAATTTTGTTGTGTTGTTTGTAATTAATCCGTTTGTGAAATACTCCACTTTCTTTTTATATCAACTCGTGAAACTTCGAGTCATCCACAGATAGTTGACACATAATTTAAGACTTGTTTGTTTGTGGATACCAGGATGGCAGACTATTTCCATCTCATAAGAAACGCTTCATTTGACTCAAATGAATTGATACACACTCGAAAAAAACGTATATGGTTTCTAGTAAACCTTTTACCTTCATACCTGCGGAAAACAAAATTTTGGAGATAATTTACTGGAGTCAAAGAGGTCTTTGGAAAACTATGACATTGAACATCCGTTGCTTCAAGACTGATTTCCATGATAAAGCAGTTCAATCAAATTGTCGGAATTTCATCTAGAAATTAATTGACATCCTTGACTTTGTCGTTAATTTGGAAATTCACTTCTGGCACGAATTTTTAATAAGGAAGAGTATGTAAATTAAACTTTCAATGTTTCCTTCCAGTAGATAAGCAAATTGCAACCGTACTTCTGGGTATTCATATTTCATTAGAGTTACCGCTGGAAAATTTTTCGTCGAAGGAGCTCTTGTCGAGCTTTAGTCATCAATTGTTCGTTGAACGTCAGGGAGTAAAATAAGTCCCCTTGAACTTTGCTGCTTTCTGAATTTCCAAATAGCAAAAAAAATGTTTTTCTTCTTAGGGTGAAAAGCTAAGATGATAAAGAAAATTATACAATTGATATTGGTTGCAACCACATGTGTGATGTTTGAGGCGTTTATTGCACACACAGTCGTCACAACCGGGTTTGAGATCACTTTAACACAGGAGAATATCTACGAAAGACTGGAAGGTAACGCCACCAACTTCGATTGTTCTAGGATTTTTTTTTATTTATTTATTTTACATCCTTCAGTACAGTTTTGAAAATTGACTAAAAGCTATCCAAAAGAAATTTTAAACCTATGAACAGTTTCTACCTCTCACTCAATTTAGGATCCTTTTTATTTCAATATATTTCATATATTTTAAGAGACGAGATATTTTTCTTGACTCAAAGTTTTAAATTTCACGATAAAGCATTTTTAACCAGTTGAATTAGTAATCAAACTGCAGGTGAAGTTGTTGTTATGGTTTTTTCCTCAACTTGTGAAACTTCGAGTTCGTCACAGATGTTTTACGTAAACAATTTAGAAACTTCTTTGTTTGTGAATACCGAGATGACAGCCTGTTCTCGTCTCATAACAAAAGCTTGTTTTGATAGAATTTAATAGATACAAGCCTTTCACAGACACTCCATTCCGTGCTCCCCCGTTGTTCAACTTCCAAATATTAATGATATTTCGAACAATACAGCGGTGTATCCTTTAATTTATTTTCAAATTTTCCTTGAGGCGAGAAGGAGGTGCGCTGCACTGGGAATCGAGGGCTACGAGAAGAAGGTGCACTGCACTAGCGTTCGAGGAATGGCTACTTCATCGTGTAAATAAGACGGATCCCGTTCTCTAATTGGCTAACTAAGTGAATAAGACAAGACGAGTTCCTTGCTTTGATTGGCTAAACGTGTGAGCAAGATGGGTCTATTTTGCCCAATACATGCTTTCATACCGCTAATATAACAAACACATAAACAAATAAAAGTCAAGCATATTGCCTCCAAAATATCTGCTAGGCTGGACATGCTTCGGAAAGTTCGCAAAGTCATTCCTCAAGAGGCCTGTATCACACTCAATGACTCCATGATACCTACTACTGCTGTGTAGTCTGAGAAGGCTGCGGTAAAACAAATCGGGACCACCTGGACAAATTGCAACTGCGAGCAGCTCGTATCATCAAAGAGCGTTGAGTGGAAAGTACAGGCAGTACTTTTAGCTGGCCTTCCTTAGAAAATCGTAGGAAATATCACACTTGCCTACAAGTCTTTAAACACCTACATGGTCTCGCGCCTGCCTATCTTTTGAACGAAGTTAGTTTTTCCCGCCCATATCATACCCACAATACCAGATATAGAGACCTGTTGCGATTATCTGGCTAAAACATCTAAATATCAAGGTTCCTTTCGCTACAAAGGGGCAAAGGCGTGGAATACTCTGACTAATAAACTACGAAACATAACCTCACCGCCTAATTTTAAGAAACTTCTCAATTTCACCTATGTAATTAATGTAATATTCTTTGTTATGTAACGTATATTGTATATCTTATGAGTAAATTTTAATTTGTGTCATGAACTCCCTTTGTATTTTATATTTCTAAACAGATTTTGCTTTACTTAATATGTCCTAAGCAGGCCCCTATTCAAACCAGCTTTAAGCTGAAGTGGGCCAGCTTGAATTAATATCGCTTATAAATAAATAAATAAATAAATAAATAAATAAAATAGAAGCAAGCAGACAAACAAGAGAAACAAAACAAATGAAATAGGAAAAGGGCTAGTTGTTTGTTATTCTTCTTATAAGCCGTTCATGTGGAGGGGACGGGGGGAGAAGGGTTGCTTGCGTTCCCAAAGTACGGTTAAGGATGAGACTATCAAGCTGCTGAGTAACATGAGATTTTTTTTTCCATTGGAATAAAGTTCGTTTTTAGCAGTATTCTTGTTTATGGAATGCAATGCCAAAACAGAACAACCTTTTCATCATCATCATCATCAACATCATTTATTTGCCTTTTTAACTATACAAAAAATTTTTTTTACAGAATTATAATTTATAGCAGGCGAAGAGACCCAGGAAGCCACCGGGCTTGTGGGGAAGGCTTCCTGAACTAACTTTTCGCATGAACTAACAAAAAAGAAATCTTATTTCTCAGGATTTAAACTGGTTGGACACGTCATTGAGACCTTTTTTGCTGATGAATTTGAATGTGGACTTCGTTGTCTGACAACCGAAGGGTGTTTATCATGTAACATTTTCTCTGACGGAAAATGTCAGCTGAGCAACCTTACGTGGCAGTCGAGTCCAAATAACCTAAAGGGTACTGTGAGCTCAACGTATTACGGCAAAGGTACCTGACAAATTCCATTATGGTCATTAGGCAGTTCAAGGAGTTACTATATTGTGCTTGAAAACGAAGGTAGCTTTGTTTATGTATGCATACATATATTTTCCCTTACCCTAGGAGGCATTAAAAAGACTGATTGATGCATATTATAAAAGAAAGAAAAAAAATACAATAGAAATGTGTGTTAGTCAACCAGTTTTCTGCTCTTTGCAAATTTGGAGGTTAAGGGATTGAAGTTCATCATATAATCAAATTCAAGAGAAACACTCATGGCAATAATTCTGGTTTTTGATTGGTAGTCATAGTTGGGGTAATACTCAACATCATCATAGCAATTGGTCAAGTGTTCCGCTAGGAAGGTTTTCTCTTGAATAAAAGTGTTTTATCTTAAACTTAGATATACGAGGTTGGTTTTCGTCAAGACCTGCTATTTCATGCAAACACATTGTGGACGCTGAAGACTCAAAAGGAAAAGGAGAATATTGGATCGATCCCGAAAATGATGGAAATCCACTAAAAGTCCTTTGTGACATATCAGATGACGGCTGTAAGTGTTTGATGATTATGACGATGAATTTAAGATGATTATCATGAGTTCATGACGATGATGAAAAAAGTAAACGATAAAGGTTTATTCTGATCTTGATTCGATGGTCTAAGCTATGTTCTTTAAAAAACTATTTTTCGATCGATATTAAAAAAACGTAGAGCAACGAGATGGTTATACCCAAATCAAAAAGAAGCTTCAGGATGAAGGAAAAAGTTTCTTAACAACCAATTCAGACTTGATTCAAATTTTAGAAAGTCAAATTCAAATTCCCGATAATGACTGAAAAAAGGGCCCGCGTCGCACGTAAGAACAAAGACATAGCATTGGAGGGAAATATGGAGAAACTTTTACATCAAAGTTGACAAAGAAAAAAACTCAAGAAGATTCATCCCTGTTTTCTCTCTTTCAGATTTAATCGGTTGGCATCATCAGCATCCTGGCCATTCTTGTAGGCACATTTTAGAATCTGGTGGCTCCGGAGGAAACAGTGTTTACTGGATTGATCCCGAGAGAAATGAACAGCCTTTACTTGTGTACTGTGATATGACTACTGATGGTGGTATGTGATGTTTTTGTGTGGTGATTGTAAGTGGTGATGTGCTACATAGCCGATACTCTTCTTATATTTTTATTCCTTGTAGTGCTCAGTCGAAAATACTTTCATAAAACTTTGGTATATTTGATGCAATTTCTTTGCAATAGTTTTCTGAGCTTTACTAGGCTGATTTTGTTAACGGTCCCCTGACACTTCTGTTTCAGGAGGTTGGCTTCTTGTTTCTAACTATATGATTACCGGTTCAACTGCTGAAGATGGAGTCAAACTTGAAGGATCTTACCGTAAAATCTCCGAATATTACACCGAGAGGATGGCACTCAACTTGAATGCCATGAAAGAACTAAAAGAGTTCACGAATTTCACTCAGTTGAGGTTCTATTGCAGTAAACCTGGTGTTCGAACGCTTAACCTGGTCACAGCTCTCAACAGCACTGGTGAAGCTGTAGTCCAGTACTTCAGCGGTCAGACAAATGTCCAACCTGATGCCTGTGGTTCATTCATAAGATTGGATGATGACAACTCCAAATTAGCGCAGTCATGCCACAGGTGGGGTAAAGGAAATAATGATATCTTCTATGTTGGCAAATGGGGGAGAGGAAGGTTCCAAACAAGATTGATTGACTTCCCTATCTTTGAGTACAGTGCATTACGTTGGTCTCTTTACCACCACTCAGGCAAGTTTGACTGCGACGACAAGGGCGGTGCAGCCATACCGTTCGCTGAGAGTTCTTTTGTTTTAATCATATAATTTCAAACAAAATTTGTGCCACAGCTGCAAAACCATTCAGTGTTTTTTATTGCAATTCGATGTTGGGAACCTGAGTAGCTCAGATCGTGTGCAGCCGCTTGGCCGTGGAAGGTCTGGGTACAAGGGTATAGCTCACCATATCCTATCGGTGATTTTACGAGTCATATTTAATTATCATTTTTAGGAAAGTTAAAAGATATTACATAAGTTAAGTTATTAAACAGACGTATTAGTGTGAATAAATGAAAACGCCTCTCGATCAGTTTCGATTGATTGTCTTCTCATACATCCATCTGTCTGTCATAAACATTTTTTGTGTCCCTGCCATGAAATCAATAAATATTTCGTCACAGGTGGCTCAATCTACCAGTGATATGTAAAAAGTCTACTTCTTGCAATAAGAATCACTCATTACTGATTCAGTCAGCCGTTAATAAGGAAGTAGTTAGTTTTCGCTTCCATAAAGTTAATAACATTACACTCGGTTAAAAATGTAATGCTTATGAGCAATGATAATGTAAATGAAATATGGTTATTTTCTACAAAGCTCACTGTGTTGAAATTGGTAGAAAGCATAAAAATTGGAGTGGCAGTCTTTTCTGTTTGCTCCATATTGTAAACTGAGTATGTGTTCAGCTTTGCAACATTACTTTGTATGTGTAAATAAATCAAACAAAGAGACATAAACAGAGATCACTAAATTTTTCCACTAATGTGTCTGATAAAAGTTGCATGATTCAACAAAAATAGTTTTCAGCATTTGGCCAGGACTAGTCAAGAAATAGAAGCAAACCTAAGAGTTGTTCTGTTCTCAGTTGTGAGCACCCTTTAGCTGATACACATCCACTCTTATGTCTTTGAATATATTGTACAAAACGTGTTCTCTACCGGCCAGTAGAACTTGACTTCATCTAAAATACTTTTTCACCTTTTGCGATATAACCATTGTAATCTTGTATTGAATTCTGATTATAAGACACTGAGTTACACAAAAATGTATATCCAACGAAGGTTTCCTTCGAGAAAACTTATAGCATCTTCACATTGGTGTTGTATTTTCGAGTTTATCCCAAGTGCTTCAAAAGACATCATCACCAGCTGTAAAAAATAATAATACTCAGTTGTGCACAAAAATTGTCAAGTAATAAGATTTTTTACTAATCACATAGCTTTTAAATCCCTAGCGACAACAATTAAGTCGCATTATGTTCTGTATTTCATTTCGAATGTGTCTCATCTTCCAGCAGTAAATGACAGGATTGAGAGACGAGTTAAAAAAGACTCCGTACATAAAGTTCGGGATTCACTAGTGTTGAGTTTTGTTTGTCGCTAACTATATAGGAAATATATACGCAATACACTGGCAAATAACAAACCAAAAAGACAACATATACATAAAACGTACTAACTGCAGTTTTTTCCGCCGGTTGAAGTTTTGTATCCCATAATTTTACGCTCCCCGTCGAACCTTTAGGGCTTGAATTTGGCTCTTGTGACGTCGAACAGCAATATAAATCCTACAGTAAAAAAAATGCTGTAAAAATGAAACAAAAAGTCATAAAAATAGCGACAATAAAGTGTGGAATGACGCTAGTAACCCACAGATCGAGCACTGAAAGAACTGCACTAATCATCCAAATGGAGATTACTACAGCAACAAGTGTGAGTCACGTGCGCTTGTGAGTCACAAGTTCCTGATATCCGAGATGAAAGTGAACAGCTAAGAATCTGTCCACCAATGATGGCAAGAACACCAAGAAAAGAGGCTTCAGATAATAACCAAACGATAAACGCCATGTAATTGTTGCAACGGAAACTCTCCTTAGCAGTGGTGAGTAAGGCAATGAACCATGGCAGCTCAAGTAAACTGACGCAAAGATCAGAAACTGCAAGACTCAGCAGTAATAGTTTTAAAGGCAACCCCATACACATTTGAAATACGATCAGGGTTTTTTATTTTCCGTGATATTTCCGAGAATCGTTCGCAAAATCTTGGTCTGCCCCTCCTTGATTCTGACGATTATTGATCAGCAAGAGATTATAAACTCGTGTGATCGGTAGGTTTTGTAGCAAAAGTTAAACGACCTGAATGGCTTAAACTTTCCTTCCAATTAGTTCGCATAACTTGCAGTGCGGCTTACATAACTGCAGCTTTCCACCGTCTCCTTTCTTACACTGAATATTCTCCACAGAACAATAAAAACAGCTCGTCTTATGTTCCTCATCTTCCAGCAGTAAACAATGGGATTCAGAAAAGAATTAACAAATGTCAAAGTCCAAGTGAACACTAGCACACGTTTTATTGCGGTCAAAGGTCCATAGAAAATTGCTGCTACAAATGAACAGTTCTGCGGTAAATAACAAACCATAAATACAAGGTACACGTAAAATGCACTGATGGCAGACTTTCGAAGGCTGTTAACACTAATTGATTGGCCATTTGGTGCAACTTGGTGAATTTTCAAGGTGTGGATTTCATTCGAGTGGCATCTTACTGCTCGATAAATTTTATAATAACAAATTGTTACGGCCCCAAGGCAAGTAAACTGAATAACAGTATATAGCCCTAAAGTAACATTTGATGGACTCCAAAAGGCCAGCAATGGTAACAGAATACTAAAAACTCATATTAAGATAACCACAATAACAACTCGTTTGTGAGTCACAAGTTCCTGGTATCTGAGATGAAGATGAGCAGCCAGGGATCTGTCGACAGTTATAGCTGTGACAAATAAAAATAATGAAGCAGTGAAACCAGTCATGATCATTGTAAAAACAGAGTACATTACGCAGTTTGGAGTTTGACGTCGTAACCACATAACCAGGAAAGCGATAAATAATGGCTGAAGCACTAAACCAACGCAAAGATCAGAAACAGTGAGACTCAGCAGCAATGTTTTCAATGGCTTTGGTAGTTGCATTGTTCATCACGACGATGGAAACGAAAAAGAAAATATAAAAATGGAATTAGCGATGTACGACCAGAAGAGATCATCAACTTCAGAACTTGACGGCTGAGAGTATCGAAATAATCTGCACAACGAATTTGTTATGGCCACGCTTCAGTTACTCAACACCAGGGGAAAACGTTACAACTGAATTTACGGCGTTTTCCTTTCGCACACGAAGTATTTCCTCGAATATCACCCTTCAACGTACTAGATAGGCATGTTTTTGTTTCTTTAGTACGCAGACAGTGGTTTTTTAATAGAAACGAGTCAAGGAGAGACTAAGATCTCGGACCGACGTTGATTGGGTTCAGTTCCTTTTCAGATTGTGCTTACAAAAATTATATTTGCATATTTACTGGATAATTATAGCTCGTGAGTCAACGGTAAATAAAAGCTCTTACCGGCTGCAGAATAAATTCCAATTTTTTAACACTGCACTGACCCCTCTCCACTGACCCCTCTCTACTGACCCCTCTCCACTTGTGCAGTTTATTGATTTCACATTTACTCTTCTGTTACCGCGTGCGTTTCTCAGATTCGCCACTCACTCATATCAGTTTAATCAGTTTGTGATTCTTTTTAAAATAATGTATTTATTTTTGCTCACTGATTATGAGCAGCGGTAACACGTATAGTTAAGATGGCACTAAAAGGATTGCGCAACTGAAACATTAAAACTGTTCATTCCATTGACATGTAATTATACTTCCTGCAGGTACCACTTAAAACCAAGTTGATTCAATTTTCATCCGTATCCTTGGGGATAAAATTTATGTCAACTCATCAACTAAACAACATCGACATAGTCTTTCTTAAAGGTGTCTGTGTGTTATATTCAAGTTTATCTTTTTAGCCGCGGTGTGGGTACTTTGCGCATGCACGTATAATGTAGTTGGATCTCTATGATTAGTAATGAATTCTTGAAAGATCTTGTCTCACATCGCCCAGTCTTTAAAAGTGGGAAGCCGTTATCGATAGTGGCTTCTGGTAAAACGAAACTGAACGGAGCCTTACTCATCGACCCTGTAAATACGAATCATGAATCAGTCACCAGCAGAAAATTTGCGTGACTTTAGAAATTTTAATGTCACAGCTGAACGTGACCTGGGTCGGGTGCTGACGTAATGATATTTACACATATTTACAAAGCGAAAGTGTTCCTTAGAACCGCGAGTTTGCGGACAATATTTACATTTGAAATCCTTCTAATTTGGCCATGGGAACCACAACTTCAAGCAGCCGCGTAGAAGAAACGATCTCGACGCATTACGATTATGCTTCTGTGTTGGAAGAGCAAGTCAATGGAGAGGAATCTTTCCGACTGTATCGAGTCACATCATGTCGTTTTGAAGCCATACTCTATAACCCTAAACACTCACCACACTGCTTCAGTCTCTATAGAGTACCGGAAGAAACAGAGGCTAGAAAAAAATTCAGGTATGGAGTTATACATTATCCTATCTTACTTTAATATTACGGCGGGAAAGTACGATTATAAATGTGAAATTGCGGTGCTAAGGTTGTTAATGGACGGATGTCGTTGAATAATACCCGAGTTTAGTGAGGTGTTATTGATTATCAAATTCGTAGTTATAACATATGAAAATATGGCTTTTCTGTTTACAAAGTAGCTTTTGTGGGTATTTACTCTATTCGATGAAATTAAGGACTGGTTTCACAACATGATGTTTTACCAGATAATTTTTAAAGATTTTTTGCGCCTGAATTGACAATTCACTTGTGAAATGTAAGGTATAAGGTGCCGTAAAGCTATTAAGCTGGAGGGAAGAATTTAAAACTGGCTTATTGATTTGTTTTGGATTAGGAAGGTTTTTACTTCCAAGGTCCACAGTAGATGGTTCAAGCATTGAGATGCAGAACTGTTTTGATTTGCACACAGATAAATGCTATTTTGTTTAGAAAGACAAATAATCAAAAACTGATTTCAGAAGGCAATCCCCTCCCACAATGTTGGATCATCTCAAACACTGACCATAAGGATGCTGTGACATGCATGGGAATTTTGCTTTAAAAAAAAGGTGATACAGGGTATTCTTCTACTAGGTTGAGAGCTATAATATTCTTTGCTTTTGTTATCTTTTAGAGATTTTTGTAAAAGACTAGCACCATTTTATCAAAGTTCTCCTAAATGCTACAATTCAGAAGTTCTCCAAGACCTTATTTCCTGTTTGGAACAGCATCCTGATTGGTCATTGGCTCATGTTGCTACTCACGTGGGTCTTTCAGAATGTCTGAAGCACAAGGAAATTGCAGATTCTGTGGATAGTGCCTGTAAAGATAAACAAAGGACTCCTCTGCACATGGCATCCAGGGTATGCCAGTGGAATCACTTAACGATATAATCAATGATTGGGGTTTGTTCAACAACAAGCAGGGGTGTTTGGTGAACTTTATTTTTATTGTTTGTGTATTCTTATGCAACCATTAAAACTGGTCATTAAAAGATGCATACCACATCCAATGGAAATTTTAAGTTAAGACCAGAGTTCCCCAGACTGAAACAGACTCTGTTCATACAGTTATAGATATTCCTGTTTCTCTTGTTTCTCTTTGTTCCCTACAAGATGGATCCCCTTCTGTGATGAAGAGATTGAAAACACAGCTTAGTATTGAACTGTATCTTTTGTACAGAGTGGAAAGATGGACTTTGTGCAAACTTTAATGGAGCATGATCCTAGACTCCTTGTGAAAGACAAGTCGGGCAACACACCACTTCACTACGCTGCTGAACGTTACCCTGAGATTCTAGACTCTTTTCTGAAAAAGGCCAAAGAACTAGGTACCTACCATTGTCTACTATGTTAACAATGAAAAGAAATATGAAATTTGTACAATTTTGTTTTTTCAAAATTTTTCTTGTCTTTACTTTCTATTGGTGATGTTTACTTAGGACAATGAGTGTTGGGCTCCTCAGTTACAAGTAATTTTTAATTATTATTATAAATACTTTATTAATTCATTAGTCTGAACGGTGCTAATAAGTCGTTGCAGCTTGATTAGTTGTGGGACTCTTGATCACCCTTTGAACAATTATTTTGCAAGTTTCTTGGTTGGATAATAGGGTTGGGTCGTTTTTGAAGCATTATCTCTGGCCTCTCACTCAAACATGATAATCCTTTAGACAGTTTTTCTCAAGTCTGGTTGTTTGGATAAAAGAGCAAGGCCTTTTTAAAAGTAATATTATCTCTGACCTAGCAATGACACATTAATTGCCAATTTTTTAGGTAATCAGCTTGCAGAAGTTGTGAACACAACTAACTCTAGCAACCAATCACCTCTGGACATTGCCTGTCGATACTCCCAGGGTGACAGTGTACAAATGTTGCTAGAAGCTGGTGCTGACCCTGACAAATCGCACAATGGCTGTCATCCCATCCATATTGCTATTGATGCCAAAAGTGATTCCTGTGTTGCCACACTTTTGGAGTTTCACCCTGAACAGGTCAATGTCCGAGATAGCAAATATGGAGGTACACCCCTACACTGGGCCAAGACCAAAGAGGTAAAACCCCTACTAGCCTTGTACAGCTCTGCAAATATTTTCATATATTCTCATGACCAAACACCTACAGCCATTACTGGGCCTTTCCAAATTCTTGTGACCAAACAAAAAAAGTCCCTTTTTCTCTCCGAAATTTCTTCTTCAGTGAGGTTTATGTGGAGCTTTTTTGTTGTTGTTATTGTGAGAGGGGTTTTTTTTAGAACTTTGGAAATGATGTATGCAGTATAAGTTTTTTAACAGGATAGTTTGTCCCTTGATGTTGGGATCACGTGCTGCCCCTGGATCATCAGCAGAGCTGTGCAGGAGTTCCTGAAACATATATTTTGAAACATTGGAGATTAGCTACTTTAATTTAAAACTTTTCTTAATGAGTCAGGCTGCTATTTAGGAATGTTCTGTGGTAATTGATTTAGACTCCACAGATCTAGCTCACAATTTACTGCAATCATAATGGGAATAAATCACAAAGCTGGTTATTATTACTTGTTTCTTTAAAGGCGGTTGAGCTTCTCCTTGACAGTGGAGCAGATATAGAAGCACATAACCATGATGGCGAAACACCACTACATATCATGGCTCGCCGCAAAAGACTGGATTGTACCATAGTACTGTTGAGCCGAGGAGCTGAAGTTAATTCACAAAGCAAAGATGGTTCAACTCCACTACATCAAGCAGCAATGGTAAGTGTCAAGCTATAATATTCTGTTAATGGAGGTTGACTAAAAAATGCAAACCCTCAACCTTGTCTCAAGTTTACATAACTTTTTAGAATTCTCCCTAAACTCTCTCAACTCTCTCAGTATTAACCTGAAAACACAAAAAAAATCCTCTCTTGCTTTCACGAAATATTCACCTTTCAGTTTTACATTTAATGGGCACATTGTCAATGCATCTCATAAATATAGGTTCAGGATGTGGATATAGTGCGTGCCCTGATTGTGTTTGGTGCAAATGTTAACATCACAAATAAGAGATACGAAACACCAAGACATGTGGCCACTGTCGTACGTCAGCATGGCTGGCAGGAAGTTGTACATGCTCTTGGGTTTGTGGGTGCAGCAGCTTGCGATAAGAGCAAGAGTAGATGCACTTTGGAGTGCAACAAACCATTCCAAGGAGAAATGACAATTGGTAAGTAGTTTGAATAGATAGCCTTTTCCATTTCCGGCAAAGTAAGACTGTAATTGACCTACACTCACTATTTTTTTGAAGGTGGAACTCCAGTGAAAGCAGCAGAAAGATTACCTGGTTACTATGACACCATTAAGCTTGCAGCTGCTGCAGTGGCTTCCGTACTACCGCAATCAAGGTCTTACCAAGACTCTGTTGATGCCCCAAGAAAGGGACCCCACAAAGAATCAATCTTCAAGTCCCGCCACAAAAAAGAAGCCATCCTTTCCATGGATGGAGGAGGAATCAGAGGGCTTATACTCATACAGCTTCTACTGGCCTTGGAGGAATTCACAAAGCAGCCAATTATTCAATTGTTTGATTGGATAGCAGGGACAAGCACAGGGGGAATACTAGCGCTGGCTATAACGCATGGCAAGTAGTAATAATGTCTTCTAAGTTGAGCGCTGTAAAGTTGATGAATAGTTTCAGAAGTCCAAATTCAACTTGCATTGTATCAAACCAATGTCGTATGGAGTTGCTAGCAATATATGTTTCCTGGTTGATTTCTTAGTTATGTTAACGTTGTTTAGCTACCTTTTGACGCCGGAGTATCTTTATATGTTTGTTGAACCAACATGCTAACAAGTGTTTTCTAAGAACAAACCCCTTTGACTACTGTAATTTTCAGGCAAGTCCGCGCGATATTGTCAGGGCCTATATTTCAGAATGAAAGACTTGGTTTTCGAAGGTCAACGGCCTTATGACTCAGAACCACTTGAGAAATTTCTCAAACAGGAATTTGGAGAAAGCGTCAAGATGACATCAGTACTTCACCCAAGGTATTCGGAAACATTGCTTTAGGTGGGAAAAGTGACCCTTCAAATTGTCTTAATGAAAACATTTATTCACTCGTCGATCATTGAGGTTATATTTTTAATGGTGTACTGTGGTGCTTTCTTGTTCCTTATGCGAATTCGTTATAAACTCCTAGTCATCACACGAGTAAATAGCAATGTTTTGTAAACTGCAGTGCTCGTAGCCAGCAACTTGTACAGAGCACTTTATTTATATAGAGACCCTTTGTAAATTGCCCTAGTTTTAATTGTACTATATTTATATTGTAAATAATTCTTCAATTCAGCCTTTGGCTGCGACGTAGTTACTCCTATTAAACTATCTATCTATCTATCTATCTATCTATCTATCTATCTATCTATCTATCTATCTATCTATCTATCTATCTATCTATCTATCTATCTATCTATCTATCTATCTATCTATCTATCTATCTATCTTTGTAGCATTTCCTCAAATGTCTGTAACAACATTCGCAGCTTACAAAGTTTTCTCCCTACAGAGTGCTGGTTACGGGAGTTTTGGCGGATCGCAGACCTGCCAGTCTACACTTCTTCCGCAATTTTGACGTACCTGATGAAGACTGGGATGCTGCTCAATCAATTTCTCGGTTTTCACAGCCACCTAAACCCTCAGGTGAGCTGGCAGTGTGTTCAATGTTTTTCGCTTGCTCGCTTGCAATGTGTGCATTGGCAGGCATAATTACAGTAAAGCGCAAAAAAGTCTCTTAGGACAGCACCAGTCGGCGAGTTCAATTGATTTACTCTTTCATAGACCAGCTGGTGTGGCGAGCAGCGAGAGGGACTGGTGCTGCTCCGTCGTTTTTCCGTGCTATGGGTCCGTTCTTGGATGGTGGATTGATTGCTAACAACCCAACCCTTGACGCTCTAACAGACATTCATAAATACAATCGTTTGGTACGAGGTGACACTGCCTGCTCGTTTGGACTTGTCGTGTCCCTCGGGACTGGTGTCCCGCCACCAATGCATGTCCAGTCATTTGACGTATTCAAACCAGAATCCATTTGGGACGCAACCAATGTCCTCATGGGAGCTCGTGCTTTAGGAGAATTGCTGGTTGATCAGGTAAATACTACAGCTGTATCAACACATCCATGGACTGGGTCTAATGAGCTGTGACTCGCCAAAAAAATATCGCTCAAAAGTGAATTTTAAGTCCTATAGTGTGCACAGAGTTTGGAGGATTTCCGGTTAGACCATAGCGTGCCCTCTAGTATCAATTCCCTCTGATAGTTGATTATCCTGACCGTTAGGGGTACTGAACGCTAATATCCGACATGCACCTTGTTTTTAGGCTACTGCTACTCATGGCCCGGTTGTTGAACGTGCGAGGGCCTGGTGCCAGATGCTTGGCACTCCTTACTATCGGTTCAGTTCTCCGATGTCATCTGATGTTGGGCTGGACGAGACTGACGACCGTATTTTGGTGAAAATGTTGTGGGAGACTAGAGTGTATGTAATCCAGAACTACAAGGAATTTGTTGAGTTGGGAAAGCTACTGACATCGTAAACACAATCTAGAGTTGTAGGGGGAATGGAAATGAATAAACCGGATTGTGGAGCAAGTCCTTTTGATTTCTATTTCGTAAGTTATCATGACAATCTCAATGCACATAACAGAAGATTGAGCCAATGATATGATACAGCGCATGTTTTTTGTCATCATAGTAGTCATATCGCGTAGCTTTGGAACAGTGCTCTTCGATATCGTTATTTTTCTGCAACTAAAAACTGAAAAAGAAAACTTTTTTTTCTCAAACACTGCTGCAACATTGCCGGCCGCCCTCTTTGTGGAGACTAAAAGACCTTTATCATCGAATTTTACGTTGGCAGTTTTTCAATGCAACTTGTCAAGGCAGGTGGCAAGACTGATCAGTTCCTGGTTCTATGGTACATCAATAGCGTTCTACACTCTGAAAATGTTAAATGAAAAGCGGACTGATACTTCATAAAAAGGGACATAAACTCTTAATGAGGTCGTCTGTAAATCAATTGACCCATAAAGTCTGATATGAATTTTTTTGTTTAGCTAAGTTGCTCTTTCTATTTTGCGCCACAGATTCCGTATAAAATATTTTTCCGGACACGGCTATGCTATGTTTGTCCGTCGTCTTGAAGTTTAACTTTAGTGGGAAAACCTTCCACTTTTAAGCGACAGGGCAATTTATGGGAATATTTCACGGTGTGCTAACCTAATTTTTTGTCGGTTGTTTCCTTTGATGTGTTTTAGCACAAGAAACCATTAAAGAATATGAGAACCGCCATCTACGTAGTCAATTACAACCCCTGAGGGTCATCAAGTTCAGAACTGCAGGCACGAGAAACACTTTTGATGCCAAGTGCTGAGTTGAGACGGAAGTTGTCCGTTGCATCAAACCCTTAGCGGAGATTTCTCTTGATTTTATTTTTGTAGGAGAAAGTATTAAAACTGAAATGTTTCGCTCGACAAAAGATTCATGGAGAAAGATGTTAACTGATTTGCTACGAGTGTATACCAAGCGGAGATAATTCTTACTATAGATCGTTCGTCATGTCTTATTTTTTTTAAAGCAATTTAACTTATTTAAATTTATTCCTCACTGGCACCGAGCTACATTAGCCTTGAATCGATTTTCAGTTTAAAGGCAGCAGTCGTCAGTTAAGTTGAATTTTGATTTGAGCTCTGACTGGGAATTTGTTTCTTATTTAATTCTCTCTTAAAGCGAATAAAGAGACAAGAATTTATTTTTTCCTCGGTCGGGATCTTTAAGAAAATTTAAATGTATATAGGTCCAAATTGACACACGGAACAATAATATTACTAACCAGCTGGAAGCTGCAGATTTCAATAACCCCATATGTACGTTTAATTTCTGCATGTCAAAAGTATTTCTTGTCGGACTTCAAAAATCTCGAATTGTTGAAGTCCAATGAAAAATATATATGTTTAGTATCTACTGAAAACGAAATGCAATTCCATTCACGACAAGCTCAACATGGCAAAGAAAGAAGAGAATTAACAAAGGATGCGTAATCATGTAATACAGAAAGGTCACAAGTGGAAGAAAAAAGAACAGATGGCCTCCATGGACCGAATAACACATCTTAAATATATCATTAAAAACTCATATTGGACGCAAAATTACATTTACATACGTGAAATCCGTATAAAGTCCGTTTTTTCATTTGTGATTATATTTTTTTTATTTCAGCTCGTCAATAGTAGGGGTATCCTATGTAAATATCAAAAAAATCCTCATGTTTTAATTTTAAGGAAAGATAGTAAACTTGGAGCTTGGTCTTCGAATGAATTTGGATATCATCCGTATTGTTACGGCTGTGGGAAAAAAGAATGGAATCTGAGTTCCCAACCAGGAATCGACCCCAAGACCAACGAATATCACAATGTTATACTCTACCAATGAGCAGCTAATGTGTACTAGACAGTCAGTCCAGCGGGATCATGCATATACCAGCTTAGTAGTAGAGCATTCGACTGCGAAACTCGAATTTCCGATATTCGTTTCCGCATAGGACACTCAAATTTTTTCCGTTGTCAGACGTTGGTGAGGAAAGGTATGGCCTAAAATATCTGGAAACTGCTACCGTCTAGCTTTTGAGAAATAAATCTGCATGCGGCATTCGTGGCGTGCTTAAAGCGCTAGGGAAAAAATCAATTACTTGAGAGACTGTGACAGGTATCCTTTTTTTAATTAAGTAGTACAAAGCTAGAAATTGAAAATCAGTTTTTCTGAGGTCTGATTATTTGATTTTTATATAAATGAAGTGTTAATCCCTTTTTTCAATTATTAACCAACACAGCTGCCTCTTCATCTTCAGCTAAACTGGAGAAATTGAATAGTTTCTGATATTCTGATATTCCCTGAGCTTCATTCAGTGCCTTGATTTCGCATCAGACAACGTGCGTCTGTGTGTTATTCTGCGATGAGAGAAATGTGTACTTATGATAACATCACCAGTTGTATATTGATGTTATCTGTGAGTATCTCTTCACAACGCCTCCTCTTTCCCGAGTATCTCATTAAATAACGTCACATCCACTCATTAACCCGTATACATTATTTTTAATAACAATAAATCAACGCCAGCTGCTCTCCTCGACTCCTCGTTGTACTCCACAAACCCTGGATATCAATTGTAATGAGCAGAAGAGAAAAGTTTCGCTAAAGAATTGTGAACCGTACATGTTCCTTATTTACCACTGTCGTGGATTCCATCATGGCTGAAGAACTGTGACAATCATTCTTCATGGCACATGTCGCTGTACTTGTTTCGTTCCAAAGCCCTGAATGGTGGTTATTAACTTGATTATTTCCCTGCTTTCCCTCCACGTCAACGATTTCAAAGCGGATTTTAGCAATGTACACTCGACGGAAGCATAGGTACAGCAGGAAGATGAGAGACGAAAGGAAAATCAGCAAGAAAACTCCACACAATATAAGAAAAATTATTGATGTATAAGACGCCATTCACCGGCGCTTATGTGAAAAATCTTAATTTGTACTAGAGTCGTGCATGCTCAAAACGAAACTGAATTTAAATTGAAATACCTTTGGGTTGGAGGGTTAACTGTCTCGTTCTCAGGGCTGTCCATATCAAACTGTCTGAGTGGAGAGGTCTGGGATCTAGCTATTCACTGTATACTTAATAATCATGATCAAAAGTTTTGGAGGATATTACTTTGAAGATTCTTGTCTGTTTTCTTATCACTAAACTTCTTTTTTTCACTTCTCGAAGTCTACAGTCGGTATTTTTCTTAAATCTCGTCACCTGTCTTTGAGAAATTACTCTTCGGTCCCTCCCAGGAGTGAAAGGTTTAAAAGAAATTGAAAAGCAAACCTTCTTTTCAGATTGTTGTTTTCTCAAAGAAAATAGAGTACGAAAACCAAACCAAGCTTGTTAAAAAGGGGAAAAAGGAACTTTGTTTGTGTTTTAAGTTCATTCCCCTCTGGAGATTTCTCTGGAAGTTTCAGCTTTAAGTGGTCTACCTAGGAGACCTAAGTTCAAAACAAAGTAGAAGGAATGTCCTCCTCATTCAGGTTCTGTTTCACTGGTGTATAATCGTTACATGCCTGTGAAAGAGAAGTCTTACCATAGAATATGTTGAGTAAGTTAAATTGATTCTAACTAAATCCCCACTGATCCACAGACAAACTATTTTTTGATATTGTAAGCAATGATTTAGATGTCTAGCAATTTCTAAAGGTAATAAGTCCATCAAGTAAAGGAACTGTGATCATCAAGACACAGCTTCTTGACAGACCAGACTATCAGCAGTTTATCGTAAAATTGGGTCACATTAAAGATGATGAAAGAGTTCAACCATTCTTTTATGCTACATCGAAGCGAAAATTTCGAATTATTCTGTACAAAGATTCTCCTGTTTTCACGATTTATCGTATAGTTCCTGGTTTTACTGGATAAATGACTCATGAGTGAGTTGAGTTGAATGCGAGTCAGTATAGCAACTCCATGTTACGTATGTATCAGTCCATTCACTTGATATGATTAAAGTGAGAACAATCTAAACTTTGACTGTATTATTGAGTGTTCTAGTTTGCTTTTCACCGCGTACTGTCGTATGTGGTGTTCTTCCTGATATAAATTCTTCTGTTTAAGTTAAAGTCCGGTTGTTTCAGTAGTTCTGGTTTCGTGTCTGAAAGGAAGGAGTTCTTCATTATCCCCAACGGACTGAAGCAACTGGCCGTTGATTTCAATATCTGTACTTTGGGTCTGCTCTGAATCTTTCCTTTCTGAGTGTTTTCTCATCATTCTCCCATAAAAACAATTGTACAGAGTAAAAAGGCAAAAGCAAAGCAGAATTATAGCGAATATCAGAGAAAAGAAACCAACTATAAAGATGAGGACTGATCTTTCTTGTGAGTTCCCCATTAACAGCTGAGTGCGTTTTTTGTTTAATCGGCCTTGGTCTTTTTGCTGTGTTTTTAGATCGGTTTTGGTCATCACGTTCAAACATCTTCCAGCGACAACTGTCATGCCCTGAACTAAAAGATCTGTCGCCTTCCTTGTGAGATCATTTAGATAATTAGCCAGTAGTTGCAGCTTTTTTTGTTGTCCCCCAAAGACCATCATTGTTCTGCTTTCCAAGGAATGGCAAACTGTGAGATTACACGATGAAAGCATTTTCCGGCTTTCTGTCAATTAATCGCACGCCCATTTTCATTCACAATTGTCGATTCTCGATGAAACATAAACTTCAAACATTTCTTTGTTTAGAGGCATTACTAATGTGCTTGCCACAGAGAAAAAGCGATCATTTTTCTTGATTAGTAATCCTCTATGGAAAAGTGTATCTTTTATTTTGTTAATTTGTCGTAAGTTTCAGCATTCAGTGGTCAGATCAAAAGATGATGTATTCCGGACGGACTATATTTCCTGCAATAAAATAGTTCTGTGAAAAATTATCCCATTTCGTCAGGGAGCGAAAATCTGATCAGAGAATTAATGACCATTTTAACACGATTAATAAATTCAATATAAGAATATCAGTGGGTTTCAGAGTCATGTTAAGTTATTTTAGCTTCGTTTTCGTGAATCTTTGAAAATACACACCAATGTAATTTCATGTGAGAGTAGCTAATCAGTGGAAAGAAAGAGAAAAAAAAAATCATATTTCTAAAAGGATCGCACGCGGTAGTAACAGACTCTAGAGCCGCCAAATAATGATAAGTCCCTGGGAACAAGTTTATTCCAGTACTACTCCATCATGTTTCGTAAACAAGAACATGGCTGCTCAGACTGTGACATTCGATGTTTTGGTGTAAAGCGGTACTTTCGTAATCCTTATTAAAATAATCGGGATGGAAAAGTTAAGTGATGAAATCTTAGTAAGGATTTTTAGTTTCTTATCTGCTCGAGATCTTTGTAGGTGCTCCCAGGTGAGAAATATGGTTAGTTGTTTGATATTTCCAGCATACGGTGTCTCTCACTGAAAGTTTAAATTTATCGGAGATGTTGAACATGTACCGTAATTATTGTTTTACTTTAGGTTTGCTCTAGTTGGTGTCGTCTTTCAGACGATTTTCATTTGTATCCTTTCCGCGGTTTATTTCTCAGTTCAGGAACAGCTGGACATTTAACGCTTCAGACAAGCTCAAGATGACGAAACACTTCTTCTGTTGTTTCGCGTAAATCTGTTTTCACTTATTATCGATTTACTTGACGTATTTTTTAAGCTTATATCGTAGTCAAGGTTACTATTTAACTTTAGGACAGGTCACTTTATCCTACCTTCGTTAAATAGTCTATACTCATTAACCAAAGTAATAAAAGGCTGCACTTTCCTTAATAAACAACTACCCGTTTATTTACAGATGGAAAAAGTTGTTTATAGAATCATTTGACAAATTCATTTCTGATTCTTCCTACTATAAGAATTTGTTTCCAACCCAGTGGAAAGAATTGTTTATTACTCGGTCAAACTGGTTAAGTGGACACTGTCATGTTCAAAGTCTTCATAAAAAGGCAATGAACCAAGAAAAAACTGAACCCACCAAAGTTGTGTGCTTGAAAATATCAAACTGTGGTGGGAGTGTTTTAGCAAGCGTCAACCAAGACTCAAAGTTGGTTCATATGTGGAGTTTGATTCACAAGAAGTCTCTTCATGTTGTACAGTGTGAAAGTGTTATTGGTTGTGTAGACTTTGGAAATGAACGCTCACAAAACCTTCTGGCTATTGGTCTCTATAGAAACAAGGTAAGAATATGTTTTATTTGAGATAAAAGATAAAGTTTTGTAATAACCTTTTGAATGAAAGACTGTAAGCATAACTTTAATGGAATTATTCTGTCTTCCCAGTACATGTTTAAAATATCAGTCATGCTATATATTAACTAAATTTAAAAATTGAAACTTATTGTTTCCTAGTTCATTCTTTGGGACTTCCACAAGAGAAGGATTATCCTAAGCAGAACAAATATAACAGAAGTGGCAAGGGATCAAATAGAGAGTCCAAGAGATACTGGTTTCCCACCTGCTATGGCTGTGTGTCGGGTCAATCTGGTGGATAATAAACTTGCTACTGTTACTTCTCAGTGTGTTGTCAAAGTGTGGCACTTGGATCTTAATCAGCTGGGACCAATATCTTGTACTTGTTTGCATACCCTTGCAACCTTTAAACCAAGGTAAATATTGAAGTTGTATCATCTTGAGAAAGAAGTCTCTGGGATGTCTTTAAACACCCCTTTTTTAAATCATAGGCTTTTTCTTGAAATTTTTCTAATTAAGAGTAATTAAAGACAGGCAATTATTGTGCCATTGACATGTCCTATGATTAAAGAAAAAGTTATGGTTTAGACTTAAATGATACTTAGATTCAGCAAAATTGTAGCATTTCTTTTCCTTCATGATAACATGTCACTTGCTCTATATTGGTAAAGTACAATTCATATTTATTTAGAAACATTTCAACTTAAAGCTAATTACAACTTAGTTATGTTCTTGTTTTCTTTTCACCTTTAGGTGTTCTGTTCTAGACATTCAACTGAAGAATGGAGGGAATGATGTCTGGTCTGTGTCCATTTCACATGCTGCAGAAGTTCTAGAAAACTGGAATCTCATTGGTTTTCAGGTGCAAGGAAACTTTTAATTGCTCTCAACTGTTATTTTGAACATAGGGTTACAGACCCTCTTGCCTGTCTACCATCCCACTTTCATGGCACAATTGTGAATCTTCTATTAATTATGAATTATCAGGGATTAATAAGCTATGGACCTATTCAGTGATACATGTGGAAATTTTCCACTTTGGTCATTTATAGAGAACATGTTAATTAATCCCAAACAGTACAAGAAGTCAAAATTAGATTGATTGACAAGAAAGTTGCAAAAAGTAGAGCAGTAAAAAAATGGCAAACAGATGGCAATAAGTAGGAACATTCTGCCTCTGCCCAATCAGTGTTTGAAGGAGAACGTTAGGAACAAAAACACTCAACAAAGCACAAATAACTTGATGAAAGTCTGAAAGTCTATGGCTTCTCAAAACAGCTATGTTAAAGTATTGAAAAGTATGTAGAGGAGACTCTGCACAAATTCTTCAGGAGTTTTATGCAACAGATAACAGAAAAGAGGGATAGATAGTGAACCTTATTACTCTAAACCTACTGAATGGTACCCTACAGAGAAAGAGGACAAACACTTTTTTATTTTCAATGAAGAGTTAAAAAGCTTAAAGGAAATTCATAAGGCAATAGCCCAGCTTCTGTGACAATAAAGCAGAGCAGAGGAAAGTACGTAGGGTCAATTTTTTTACATTTTGGTTTTTTAAAAAGTAATTTCATGGCTGATTTTGTGAAATGTGGGATAAATGAGCACTGGTAAATGTTTTGTATCCTTTAAAAAATTTACTTGCGATGATTTTCATCAGACTGTAAGATTTCAAGGTCATTCACTCATTGAGGAAGATCCTGGAGTCACTTTTGAGGAAGGTAATACAGTTCATGATATGATATGGTTTGACATCCAAGAGTCCTTTTCTTCTCTTTTTATTCTTAATTTTGAGTCAATGTTATTCATAGACAATAACTGCTTAATAATAGTTATATTCCCCCCTGTTGAAGAATCTGTTGATGATGAAGACGATTGTGTAACAGCCAAAATGCAAACATGGACAGGAATACAAAAAGAGGTAAGAAGTTATCTCTGGAAAAAAAAGCTGATTTTTTAATTGACAAACGTCACTGGCAAGTTATTGTTTAACCAGTTGCTAAGCTCACCCTCAAAATGGTTCAAGTTATATTTTATAACAATGGATTGTTGTCTCTCTTTACAGCAAATGGGCTCCAGAACATTTGTATCTTGCCTGTCCATCAGTCCTTGTACAAAACTGGTCACTTCTGGACAAAATGACAACACTATTACACTTTGGGACACTGCTACTCAATGTTCTAGGCACATTCTATTTGGACACACAGGTATTTGTAATACTTTATTGCACTGGACATTGGTAAACCTCAAGTAAACTTAGAAATCATCTTAACTTTTTAAGTTATTACAAACTTGGCTAAAACCCAATTCCACAGCCAGTGACTTAGTTTTTGTGTGAATACTATTTAGTTAAGCTTATGATAAGTTGTTAAATGATGGAAGAGTGTAACATTTAACTACAATGATGGAAGAGTGTAACTCTTAACTAATTATTGTTATTATTAACAATAATGCTGGTCAGGTGCTGTGACGTGTACAGATGTAGATATGCATAAGGTTGTTAGTGGATCAAATGACAGAACTGTTAAGGTAACATGTGTGCATTTTGATATATTAAGCATTCATTTACCATGTTTCTTCTTTCTAAATTTCAAGTGCTGGTGATTTTTGGTGTAATTGGGTACTGTAAGATGTTCCGTGTTGCATCTGTTCAGTGATGCATCACAGGTGACATCAATTTTGGGGTCAGTAGTATTAGAGAAAGCCATTTCCATTTGTGGATATTAGTAAATAAACCACTGGGAAATTCAACCATTTTTGATGTTTAAAGATTCTAACTTCATGCACAACCAGTCATAAACAACTTCAGGAACATTTTTCTTAAGTTTACAAACTTTATTTACAGACTTCATTTTTAGTCAGGACCAGCCACTTGTAAAGAACATCATGATTATAACCTTTGTTCATTTTTGTTCCAGCCATTCAGACAATTTTTTTTCGGTAAATATAGGTTTGGTCCTTAGAAAATGGTGATTGTCAGTTAACCCTTCCTGGTGATCATACTTCTGGAGTCTCTTGTGTTACATTCAATGATCAGTGGGTTATTAGTGGTGACTCTTCTGGAGAGATCAAGGTAAACTATTATCATCATGGTAATTTTTTGTCTAGCACTAACTCAGAAGCTTTTTATCTTAGTTTGTTCTCATCATTATTATTTCCATCAAATGAATAAAGGGGGTAAGTTTCTAAAGAAACTGTGGATCTGTGTTAGTGAGAGAGTATAACAGGGTAATTTAGTATTATCATTACTGAGCTGATAATGTAAATTGTCCTCCTTAAAGAGTCTTAGTGCTGATGTTTCGAGCATTATCCCTTTGTCAGAGCAAAGGACTAATGCTCTAAATTTCAGCTTTGAGACTTTTTGTGGTGGCTAATCTAAGTTGTTATTTTCACCATTCCTGTTATAATCTTCCATAGATCATTTTTGTCTCTATCATACACAATCCTTCATTCTCAATTTTTTATTAATACCCACTTGTTTCTTTTATGTAAATTATTTTTCTGGTCTGTAGGTGTGGGATTTTGCTGTTAACAGTCTGTCTGTATTGCAAAGTTAAGACCTGCCAT